GCATACTAACGCATGCTGGTTAAGTCGTGATTCTAGACGCCAGAGGTCACTCGCACTGAATCTCCGTAGCCTTTGAATTGAGTTGAGGTGCTTCCAGGAAGTCGGGAATCGAGACGAGGAGCGGAGAAGCCCCGGAACCTGTAGGGCGTACACAGCTTAGCTTAGATCGCAGACCGCCGAATCCGGGTGGAGTGTACTTGCATTTCTGTGGGCTTGAGCACCGTAAGCATCCTAGGCGGGGCGTACTGACAATAGATAGCACGGCGAAGAAATACGAAGGGCAACTCTCCCTTCGAGTGTTGAGTCCCGAAAGCCTCGCCTGGGAATGCACGGATGTCGGAGAGGCGTAGAAGTCGAGGAAATCCAGAAGAGGAACAGAAAGGTAAAGAAATTGAGAAAGACCGATCAAGAATCAAAGGGATCCGGGGCCGAGGACGGTTCCAGGTGTCTTGTAAAGCATAATACGCATATTATGTGGGGAAGCGGGAGAAGGACACGGGGAAGGTTTCGTGGTCGTGTGTGGTATCGTGTGTCCAATCCTCTATTCATCAGCCCCCGGCCCATCGGTTCGCATCCCTCTTAATTCAATAAGCAAGAATTGCATGGTAATATTAGTTCCAGAAGTACTGGTACCAGTGGCATGCTTTGAGGATCAACACTTGAAGCCTCAAAAGTAAGCTGCGGCGAGGAAAGGACGAAGGAACAGACTCGCTCGAAAGGGAGCAGCCTTTTTACTTCCTTCGAGGGTCCTTCGCTTTCGTCCTTCGTGCTTCCGCGCTTGTTCGTATCTCGGCGGCCACTGTTTATGTTGCTGTTTTGGCGTTGACGGAAGGGCACCTGGGTGACCTTACTTTGCTCAGCGCCACCGCCTGCGATAGTGAAATAACTACACGCCACGAGGCAGAATTCGAATTCTCTTGACTTATGAGGCCTGAGGCCTGAGATCTTGTTGTTGACCTCTGCTTCAGAATTAGTTCGAGGCAATGTATGGTTTGATTTACCGCCTATGTTGGGCATTTTGCATTGCGTTGGGAGAGTGTTCGGAGCCCGTCTTCCCCTGATGTACCCCTAACGCTTCGAATATCGTCCCCAGCTTTGTGAATCAAGCTGACCTTCGTGTCAATTATGATTGGGGGCTTGCCCGGGACAAGGAGTTTGCGAGACGTACATAGGCTCGTGACGCAGTGGCGTAAATTCCTCGTTGATTAATCGAGCCACTTCTCGCTCGCGATTCCTAGGCAATGAGACACCCGGAGGGAACCGTCGACTATCCTGGACCGCCGAACTGTCGAGTTCAGATATGGGAATCAGAATGTATGTGTCCTGTAGGCCGAAGGCTGATTCGAAAAGGGACGTCTAGTTCCCGGGACCTCGGTGCGAGGACGAACGTCTTGGTAGAGGTGGGCAAAACGTATAGTGTCGCGTGCTGGTTCTGAGAACGGCGGAGAACGTTGGGGGAATGAGATAGGACACCTGTACACCGAGTCTCGACAGCCTCATGCCTGTCACGGTACCATGGGTTGATGAGGCGAATAAATTTGATGGACATACAGAAAAGAGGAAAATTGAAGGGAGATCCGAGGGCGGCGACGGGTATAGTGAATAGCATAATCATCTGGGGAAGCGGGGAGATTTTGACGGGTCGTGTGTGTCTGCACCTCAGTTTCGGTTCATCGGCTCTAGTGCATCAAGTCAATCTCGCGTCAATAAACAACGGCCCACAGCGCGGACATGTTGGCGGCTAGTCTCATGCTACAAGGGTAATTAGTATTTCAAACTTCAATAGAAAGGATGACAGTAGTTACTCATAGGTTCGGCGTCACTTCCTCTCTTCGGCCTTTGCTTCACATTCTGCATCCTTCTGTCATTATTCGACAATTGTATTGATTTTGGCATTGGCCGAGGGTCACCTGGTGTGTACGGTCACATGCAGTACGTAGTGACCCCCCTCGGCCTCGGGCGGTCACTATTCCCAGTCTACTAGCGAAGCAAAGGTGAGTGTTCGGGAAGTGAAAATTCGGAATCCGGGGACACGCCAAAATGTCCCCACGGAAAGAGTCAAGGCTCCTACGATCGGGGGAACGCATGCGAATTTGGCGTCCTTTTCGTTGGCAGTGCCACTGTCAATGGTGTGTGTGTGGGTGTGTGATCAGATCACCACGCGCGCGAGGTGAACTTCGATGGCTTCAGTCCCTACAGTTCCTGATAGTTAGCCTGAGACTGAGGTACCATGCGGTATAGCTCGCGATTTACCACTTATTTTCTTGACTTTCTAACTACCCCTGATGTACTCCTAACAATAACTTCGACGTTAGCTTCGCCCAGCTGACTTTGTGTCAACTATTATTGCATTGAAAGTAGGATCCGAGTGTCGTCGGGGCCGGCAGTTTCGATACGCATACTCGTGCTCCGACTCAGAGACGCAGTGGCATAAATCCCTCCATGAATCAAGCTCAAGGTTGGCAGCTCTTCAGGTGAACCACCATAATCGGAGCGGGTACCTCCATGCACCGTTGTTGAGTACATGCTGGTTGGTTGGATGAATGGCATAAAGGACGCCGCGGCGAAATTGAGGACGAAGAAGGAGGTGCTGACGGGGCGGATGGAGCTATGGCTCCTCCGAGATCCCAAGTGCTAGCTAGCGTGGTTGCGGCGCCGTCAAACTTAGCATTGCCTATGCGAGCGTGCTTGCAACCTTGTACTTGCCTGGGAATCGGGTTAAGTTGGTAAGTACGATAGCATGACGCTAACCTCTGTACTCCAGTCGTGTGCGTGAGCCCGGCGGCATGTTGAAAATGCATGGAGCCTAGTTGATGATCGATATAATAGACCCCAGACGTCACTGACTTAGTGGGACCATGATGGGCTGGAAAATGTATACTACGTACCTGAGATCGTCCAAATGGAACGCCCAGATTGGCAAGAACCAGCACAAGACATGCTTTATCCGTATGTAGAGTATGTTTACTATTCACTCGCTGGACTTCCAAGCCCATGTGCATGTGACCTGTGATCTTCTGCCGGACGTGGAACGAAGGAAAACACAGAAAGGCATAGAACGACAGAGAAAAGGGGAACTTTCGTATCGAAAAGTCATTTTGATGCATGATGTATTGATGTTCGAACGTTCGTGTTGAAGAGGGTAGGAGGGACCCAAGGACGGTACCGGGTATATGGTAATAGCATATTGCCCGAGATCTGAAGAAGTGGAGAAGTCCACGCTAGTCCATGTGGGCTACCTGGTTGTCGATTGAGTCGCGTGCCGAGTCTATGAATAGTCTAGTAAGTAAAGTGTATCTACTTGGGACTTACAAACCTAGCGAGCAGCGAGTCTTGACGCATAAGTCCGACGGCGAAAGAAACCGAAAGACTAAACTGAGAATGGCACGGACGGGTCGTACTAGCCGCAGACAAAGTTAACGGTCGTTGGAAGTAGTGGTACTCCAAGGGCAAATGCACTTACTTATTCGAATGAGTGTAGCCCTGTTTCCTTCGTTCTATGTCATTCTTTAGCTTTTCTGCAATTGTATTGATTTTGGGACTGATGACCTGGGTCCTGGGGTCATGTGCGTGGCCTTGGACCTTTTGCGACTATGTAAATCCGACGATGGTGATGTTGGGGACCTTCCCCAGAGTTTGTATTGCCGATCGGCGGTGTTCGAGTTCAATGACCATGGGGAAATAGAAGGTCCATGCAAGAAGGGAATCAAGGCGTCCCTTGCTAGTGCCAATGGGCGATCACGCGCAGGCGAGTATACTTCTTTGAGGTTCGAGTTCTGGGATCTGAGTGCCCGATGGTCAGTGGCTGGAGCTGGGTTATCAGCAAAGGTGAAAGAACCGTGTTCCTGTGGGTTTATTCTGATGCAGAAGCTGGGAGGCATCCCAGGGATATAACGAAAGGAGAAGCTTAGATTGAACTTCTCCTTCTGATTGAAAATCTACCCAATAGTACTGATTTAACTTGAATTCCTGAAGAATCTCCATCGAACGGAAACATTGTTGAGGTGATTCGGCCCATCTTAAATGAGGTGTTAGTAAAGAGCAAGGTCGAGACGCCGCGACCCCTGGCCTCCCCTTCCTTCCCAGGGGTGCAGCTTACTGGCAAGTCGCTACTGTCGGCTCAATTTCTCCTGAATTTCATCGGTACGCTCTTTCAGTATGCGAGAGCATCACTAGAAAGCCAGCACTCACCATTTGACGCTTGGTCGAAGATCGGGCGCAAGAGTACGTCGTTCACTGACATGCCCAAGTACTGACTGAAAGGTTCTCGCTGCAGTTGTTTCTCTCGTCTATACGGTTTCAGACTTGCCTAAAGATCATGTCTCCTTCCCCCCATCACCTACCTGGCTTCGCGCTTCTTGCTCACATACGCTGTTACTTTCAGCCGTCAGTCCATCAGAACAGCTTCTCAGCACGCACCCAGCTTCCTTGGAAAACGTTGGAGTTAGAGACTTGGGTTCAGCATTCTTTTACCTCGTTCTGGTCTCGTCGCTGCGCTTGTTCCAAGTTCCATTCGTTCTGTTATCCCACCTTGCCTTGTAACCCGTAGATCACATGGGATTTGAAACTGATGGCGAACCCTTTCCTGATACTAATTGTATATCAGTAAACGCCTCGTGTGCGTTGTGCGCCAACTGAGCGTACTCCGCCGTTGATCGTTACTGCGTCTGGATTAACTATTTGTAGCGCCGCCCCGCCTCTAAGGGTAAGCAACTGAGCGAAATAACATTCCGGTGCACACCTATGCACTGGCTTGACAGTGGAGGGTAAATTCATGGTGGTTCTGCTTCATTTTGCTAGGGTCGCAGATATGAGTGGGCGCCTAACATTGAGCGCTGGTAGATGCCAGTACACGTGCCCGGTCCTTAGGGACCGACTACAGCTGTACCCAACTGACGCGTTCTGACTCTTTTCCTCCCATTTCTTTCCCCCAGTCCAGTCATAACCTCCCTGTTCCCATACCACCACCATCTGTACACTGCACCCCATTCCATGCTCCAATGGACGCTTTGAAATTCCTCGTACAGCCTCTTGTCGGAGGCGCTCTCGGTGGCTCGTCGTCTATTGTCGATGGGATGAAGTTTGTAGTCATCGGGGGGACAGTTGAGACTGCTAGGAGAGTCTCTAGCAACGCATGGAGCCAATTCATCAATTGTGAGTTTATGGTTCACTTCGTTATACCGAAAATCTGCTCTGGGAGTAGTCGCCGAAGGACGGTGCTCTCAGACTGAAGCAAAGATGTAACCGAATTCCATTCGTTCCGCATGCTTCTGCTGCTTCCATGAGAATTGCTTTCGAGGTTGATAACTATGTCGTGCAACTCAGACAACTAATACATGCTCCAGCGTTCTATCTAACCGCCCACTTTTCCGAGGACGACTATCCGTACGACTGGCTCATGAACTGGCTGTCACACCGCCCCGAATGGCAGCGTTCGCGAGAGTTTGAGACGACTACGCGGGCAGTGGACACTTTGTCGCCGGAAGCCAAAGACGAGGAAGACGACTCAGAAACGTCCTCGGATTTTAGCAGTACACGCACACGTACACGAGTCATCTTTCAGCCTACCTTCGATTCCACGCACACAATATTTTACAAGGGACACTATCTACATATCACACGCAGCATGCATCCGACGACGCAGTGCACGGTGCTGACAGTGTCTGTTGTGGCGCGGTCGCATAATATACTGAAGGATCTAGTGAGGACAGCGAGGAAGGGCTATGAGGCGGCCAGCGTGCATAAGATCCAACTCTTCTCAGCCGATGCGTACGGAGGGTGGAGATACAGTGATGTGAAGCATAAGCGACCGCTGGCGAGCGTGGTACTGGAGCCAGGGGTGAAGGAGAGGGTGGTGGCGGATGCAAGGGATTTCTTGGCCAGTGAGAAGGTTAGCCGCCGCGTACTTCCACCCTCACGCTGCTAATGTGTTGGTGCAGTGGTATTCAGACAGAGGCATACCTTTCCGAAGAGGCTATCTCCTGCATGGGATCCCGGGGTCGGGCAAGTCCTCCCTCATCCATGCGATCGCCTCTGAGCTGGAGCTGGACGTCTACGTCCTGTCCTTGAGTGCGCCGTGGATGTCGGATGATCGGCTACAGCAGCTTCTCGGAGTTGTGCCCAAGGGAACGATGGTGTTACTGGAGGATCTCGATGCGGCGTTTACGCGCAGCACGACACGCGAAGAGGACGAGAAGAATGCGTCGTCGGATTCCTCAACGGCGGCCAACCAAGAATCTGCTACTGCCACAACTACAACGTTCTCGGGGAGACGGGGTAGGTCAAGGCTCCACCGCTCGTCAAGGACGTCGACCAAGGACACAAAGAAGGACAAAAAGGAGAAGAAGGATAAGGATCGGCTCAATGATGTCAACACACTCAGTTTGAGTGGGCTCCTCAACGCTTTGGATGGCGTTGCGGCTTCAGAGGGACGGCTGCTCTTCGCGTGAGTTCAATACTTGTCTTTCGTTGTGACTTCGATGGTAACCTTGGCTCAGCACCACGAATCATATTGAGCGTCTTGATCCGGCACTCCGACGACCTGGGCGAATGGACATATGGGTTGAGTTCAAGTACGCGACAAGGGCACAAGCAGAAGCGCTCTACAGGAATTTCTTCCCATGCGTTGAGGGTCCAGTCTGGAGAGACGGCAGCTGGGTGAAGAACACCGCCCGCGAAGGCGGGGAGGAGAAAGGAGATATTGATAACGAAGGGAGCATTGAGGGAGATAGTGAGATGGCGAGCGCTGCAGAACTTGCATCGATGGGGCTGGGTAATATGGAAGTGAGGAGTGTGAAGTTGGAGAGCGAGTGTACCGAGGAGGAGAAGGAGAAAGCGTCGTCGACATCTTCATCCTTGCTCGGAAGCCTTTCCATAGGGAGTCTGTGGTCGTCATCTTCAAAGTCAACAGCATCCGAGTCGAAATCGCCAACGTCACCGTCCCTTGTGATGCCCTCTATCCCTCCTTCCTTATCAACCCCCGCTGCCGTCCCCCCTGCATCCCCCTCCAACGCCGCGTCGCAGCTGCCCTATTCGAACGAACTGCGCGCAAAAACGCTGCTGGATGCTCAGACAATGAATAAACTTGCGGCCCTCTTCGCGGAAGGGTTCCCCGAGAATGAGTTTAGTATGGCCCAGCTCCAAGGATGTATGTCTCTGCCTTCTGTCTATCTACTTATTCGCAGGCTGATTGTGAACGGCGTGTGTGTTGACCCATAGATTTACTGAAACATAAATCCCAACCCGAGGTAGCTGCCCATGAGATGACAGCTTGGGTGAAGAGCGAACGCGAGCTACGCGTCAAGCTTGCGAAGGAACGCGCAAAAGCGAAGGCCGAGAGAGAGAAGAGGGCGAAAGAGAGGAAAGAGGTGAGTTTCAAACACCCGTTTTTTCTCTTCTGTTGCTTTTGGATTGGACGGGTCCGAGCTTATCGATCTCCATCGATCGGGGAATCCTCGCGTCCGTGATTTTGGACCCTGAGTCGGTTCGCATGTGGAAGAAGGATTTTAGGAGATCCTCGGTCCATGCCGCGACTCGCTTCGATGTGTTTCCATCCTACTTGCGAACCTGCTTGCTGATTTACACTTGTGGTCTTGTTTACAGCGCGAGAAGAAGGAGAAAGCTAAGGAAGCCGCAGAGAAAGAGAAAACGCAGAATGAGCTCGAGGAGAAGGAGAAGGAGCTTCAGGCAGTGAAGAAGGAACTTGAGGAGCAGAAGAAGAAATCGGGGGAGGAGAGTAAGACCACCGAGGATGGCGACACAGTGGTTGTGAGTAAGGAGGATGGGACGGAGGACAAGAAAGAGGAGGACAAGGAGAACAAGGATGATGATGAAGACGGCGAGGACGATGAAGACGATGAAGAATCTAGCGAAGAAAGTAGTTCCAGCGACGAAGACGACGTATGAGTGCGGCCTCCCAGGCTAGGCCAGGCCACCATCTACCAAATCTATCATGCGACATTTCGATTTCCAAACAAGACGGCTAGACAACATTTTCTCCGCGGTTATCATTCGAATCTCCAGGTCAATATGCATATCTCTCTCTCTTACAACCCCACGTCGACTATCAAGCCCTAACATGACTCTTTCACTGTTCAAACTAGTCCATATCATCACCCAATAGCGGCGATACCTAGACCACAGATCCCATCTGCTTCCCGCTCTGAGTACATTCTTGTTTCCTTCCTTCACCGTGTAAATGCTTTCTCAATCTTCTTGCTGTACATCCATCGATATCGCCATTCCCGCTTCGCTGTACACTTCCTTCTTGCTCACTTGCTCACGTCTCCCATCTGCCCAACGTCGAATCCTCACCATACGTATATATTTTTCACGGATGCGAATGGTAGTAGTGTATACTAAATGGTACCTACCGTCATGAGCAATGCACAAAAAGTTTCCCGCATCTGGAGGATTTTTCCACAGAAAGTGATGTATTAGCAGCATCATATGAAAGAGTGTATGACGAAGGTAAATGAATGTCTATGTTATGGGAGAAAAGAGATTAGAGAGACGGCGACTGATTGACATGTAAATTAAGAGAAAGGGCGCCATTTATCCCGCTTCTGTCGTTCAGCCAGGAGGTAGCTCACTGTGAGAGATTCAGTTGCATAGTCATGGAATTAGACGGGGAGAATAACCTACCGATGACTTTCTCCAGCGAGTCGGTGAGCTCTGGCTTGACATCCAACCAAGCATGCCGAGACATACGGAGCACCCAGAAATAACGTTTGTGGCTGTGATATTGGACAGCAGGGGCCTTCTCGTCCTCGCCGTCCTTCAATAGCTATAAGAGTAATACAGTCAGAATCACTGGATTGAGAGAGCTGCTGGATCGAACTTACTCGAAGCTTGCGCCTGTGTGATTTCCATAGATATTCCGTTCCTGTGTCGGTGGCGAACTTCCCGTCCCTTCATCAAAGAGAGAGAATCAGACATAGTCGGACACAAAGGTAACCATGCTCCTACTTCAAAAACTCAGATGCACTTATCCAGTCACCCAGCTGTGGACCCTTCTCCGTCGGCTGCAAGAAACGAACTCTGCGATCAGCCCCCCTGAGGCCTTCAATCTCTGCCACAGTTGTGAGCAGGCGAGTCTCCACGTCGAACCTATTAATCTTCGTTGTGGTGGGGTGCCAGTAGCGTGTGACTACCTCGAAATAGTATCGATCGTCCTCGACGGCGATGGTGGTGTTGCGCACACTGTTGGCAACGATTTCCATCTTAAGCGGAGGGTCCACTTTCTTCATGGCGCGGGACATGACTTGCGACTGAGGAAGTGATGATTGATGGTAGCGGTAGGGATTCGGAAGAGAGAGCAAAGAATTGGGGCAAGGGGGATTGACGGCTTATATTCCAGGGGACTATAACTATCCCGTAGATCCAGCGGAGGCCGGCGCGCTGTTTCAGACCATTTCCCCCCATGGCTGAAAGCCGGTGACAATGTATGGGAATTCGCTTCCCATCCTCATTCCGGCTGAATGGAGCGTGGGCGAATCTCGACCACGGAGGGTGTATGAACCCTCCGGCACGTACGCAGTCGCTATTCAACCGGAGGTGTCTATCAGCGATAAACATAGAACATAGCCAACAGGTACGGACTTTCACAGCAATTGGAGCTAGACGGTCAGAACGAGGTCGGGGCGGCCACCTTACTGACGCGATATACGTCAAGCTGAGACCCAAGAAAAATACGCAAGGTCGGTGCTGTAGAGGAGATATCTGCAGTTGAGCACGACGGGTTGGAGTCGCCGACGTATCAGTGTGACCTATTTTGTGGACGAGAGTTGCGGCGAACTCCATACAGCAAGTAAGATAAGATAAGATACTTGAAAATGAATCACAATTGGATACGGTGTATGGCCTATAATAAATTAACATTTCCGCCGGCGAAATTGAAATTGAAACGGCAGCTTACCATCTACGCTTCCAAAGCACAGAGTATCCAGTGCGTTCATCTAAAATATTGGAGTATCCAGCTTCGCATCCCAATGTTCCTTGGTTTGGGGCACCCACCTGATTGAACGCAGGTTTGGTAGTACAGACCCATCAAAAGGCTTTCTCTCTGACGTCGACGTGCGGCGCGTATCGTAAAATAGCTTAATATGTGTTGGTGTGCTCTGGCACGCCGAGATGATTTCCGCGCTATGTCGTTGCGCCAAAGTAGGCTGGTCAAGTTTTTGAACGTGGGGGGTAGGCTCAGCGATGCCTGGCACAATGAATAATCCAAAGCTCGCATCTCCAAAAACCTAATGCTTGTTGTACTGGAAAGGATGCGGTTCAGATCGCCATACTGCGACGATGATAGAGAATGGATGGTCAAAGCGGTGGTGTATTTAGCGTAATGAAGGTTCGTATCGATAGCCCTGCGGAAGCCTTTGAGTTGTTTGCCACGAAGATTGATATAAAGTTCGAGGCTTGAAGTGGCAAGTTGATAGGAGGCCATTCAAGAGGGCTTTTGAATCGTCAATGTGCCCAATGATCTCGTCGACTATTTCCACTGGGAGGGTGAAAACGGTGCAGAAGTAGGAGACGGTTAGAGGAATTCTTTCTGTCCGTACCCCTAGTCCCTGTTCATGCCACAATCTTCCGGCGTACATCCGTCCCGTCTACGTGCGAGACACTTTCAACCTTGAACGTACCCAATTCGACATCGGATCTATTGGCACTCTCCCTTATCCCTTGTTCTGAACCCCCTACGCTGTGGGTCCGTATCTCCAAGCTTGCCATGCCACGAGATTTGGCTTTAAACGACGAGATTCGGCTCGTCTCAGGTTGATGAAGAGCATGCTGCTCAGCCCAACGACTTTGGGCACACCATAATGTCGCCAAGAGGGAACAAACGATCTCGACATTGACGTTCGTAAAGAATATATAGGCTACATAAGTCTTTATCAACGAAGCAAAGGAAGAAGAGGGGATTACTTACATGCATAGGAACCCTTCCCTTGAAAGGCAAAGACGAGTTGCCCAATGCCCAAGACGCAAGGAAAGACGAAACTTGCTGCCGCTAGATAAAACAGTCGTTTCAATGTGTCTTTAGCGCCTAGTATGGTTTAGATCAGCAGGTTGCAAGAACTTTAATGACCAAAAGAGGGGCTCACTCGAGACTATGCCAGATGACTTGGCAGATCGACGGCCCATTCCTAGCTTCCAAAGGAAGAATAAGGATGCGTAACTACATGATAACGTTAGCAGTAACTTCCTAGATTGCAAGTTCACATTACTCACCAGTTGTCGAGCACGAGGAGGGACCATTCGATCTTGTGGTTCGGGTTAAAGTGCTCAAATCCGCTACCAAGGCTGGCGGCAGGGTCGTTGCTACGTAGTAGAACCGAGAGTTTTTTCAAGAAGATGCCAATGTTGATCAGACGTGCGATCTTGAACAAGGCAAGAGGTATGAATACGATGCAGAGCATTGTCTTTGATGTACTGTGGCGGGGTAGCACCACGTACAGCCGGAAGGCAAGAATGATATCGATGAAGACTGGGAGGGTTATCGCGCAGGCAAGCACAGCGATGCTCCTGGAGGTGTCACTTGCCGTTTCGGGATGTAGGATTACATTAATCTAAGCAGAGAAGATTGAGCGCGGAGGGAATAACGCCAATTGCGAATGTGCACTAACATTGTAGGCGGCAAGGCCGACATTGAAGGCAATTCCTACGGAGACAGAGAACAAATTCATGAGGAATATGGGTCGGCGGCGAAGGGCTGGCGTCGAGAAGTAGAGAAGCATGATCAGAAGGGGGACTAGGGAAGCGGACCATGCTGCCCCGATCACGATGAAATTCAGGCAAGGATGAATCCCTTCGATGTACTGAGAGAGGAATGGCGGTAAGGAGGCCATAAGGACAAGGAAGAAGGCCAAGCGGTCGATGTTTGAGACTGGACGTTCTGTTGCTCAGAGCTTTATGGCTACCGGCAATGGTGGACATTGATGCGAGACAACCTTTTTGGCCATCAATTTCAATCGGAAAAGAAGGTGACTGACATCGAAGCAACAGCATCTAATGATGCCTTTATTCGAAAGGGCTGGATCATTACTGTGAGACCTCTGCAATTGCGTTAATTCATTATGTTCAAGGAGCCATAGGTGGCATCTATGGGATCCGGATCAGTGTGTTTGTCTGCAGCGACATTCTCGGTTGATTCTCACCAACGAGACTGTCCCAATATCATACCGAAGGTGATACCCCTCGGGAATGTTGCTAGATTTTCTATATAAAAAAGACCGCCTAAATTTGGGCTACTCGCCTCCGTTAGTATGGAAAATAAAGCCAATGGAGTGACTTCAAATTTGGTACAGCAGGTGTGGCGACAAGGTCACTTGGCTTCCATCGAAGATCATGGTGGCAAAACTTCATGTGGATCACAATCTATTCGGCAACAATGAGCATATTAAACTCGCATAGCAACCAAGACCGGCGCACCATGAGTCTTGAGACGACCATTACGTTCCAGCACCACCTTATCGTTGGAATTGGATGGCAAACGTACAACAACAATTTCCAATGACCACTGTGTGCGGCGTAACTGGCGCGCATTGAGACGAAAGGAAGTGGGACCTCAATGAGGGTCGCTGAACCATGTATGTTACTTTTAGCCTGCATCATGACTCCCAAGAAATAGGGCATAAGAACTCGTAACATTTAGGGATGTTTTGGACAGACATACCCAGTAATTCATGCATCCCGACGCCGACAAGATATCCTTGGTGCTTACCGGCCGCGGCTCATAAGGATCATCAAGTTGGTCGAGTCTGGGCACAAAGCTCGGATGCCACAAATCCTCGCCGTTAAGCATATACTAGAGCTTCTAGCAGATAGACCGTCCCATAGAAGGCATTGAGGCCATTGAAAAGGTGTAAATTGCATCACCATCGCGGGTACCTTCATTGTAGTTGAGATTTCAGTGGTTGGACGTTCAATCGTAGGCGCTTGTGGCACGTCGCAGGGCCACGTGGATGTCAAGAATGGAGCCAAAATCCCACCTCAAGATGGTTTGTCGTGTAGCTGAAGTCGCAGATGAACTGCACTCTAGATACATAATGAAGGCGGGGCCAAACCCGAGTGCAGGCAGCAATTTCAGTTTTCGATGACGCTCCACTACATAGCCGAGAGATTCCGTGATGTGCGTCGCGAAGTACGCGAACGATAGTTATTCTGCCTGACAGTAACAGTCCACACTAGGTTTGAGGTAGTCATCGTCTAATTCACACTATATTCAACTCCCACTTATTGCCACCCGTGTTGTTCAAAACGACTTTTTCGTTGTCTTTCGACATTTCCTCAGCTCGATGTGGGTCGATATCGCCGTTGGTTTCGACAATGTCGTCTTCCAATGAGTTTCGGTGGATCGTAGCATTTGTTGCTTCCACGTTGGTTATGTCGCTTTGATGGGATTTCACTTTAAAGGAGGAGATGCGGTTTCCGTCAGATTGCTGGGGGGCGTATCGGTCGGAGAAGCGGCTTTGGGCAGCCCACAGTGTGGCCACGAGAGAACAGATAATCTCGACATAAACATTCGTGAGGAATATGTAGACTAATTCCGAGCATCAGCCAAATAGGAAAGAGGTGTAGACAAAGGACACTCACTTCCATCATAGCCTCCACTGCCTCGGAAGGCAAATATCAATTGCCCAACGCTAAGCATGCAAGGGAGGACAAAACCTGCTGCTCCAAGATAAAATAGTCGAGTCAGTGCATCTTTGGCATCTATGAACAAGATTAATCGATAGCTCTGGAATGTGAACATAGAGATACAGATACTGACGAGACACGATGCCTGAGGATCTTGCAGTCCAGGAGCCCGTACCGATCTTCCACAGGAAAAAGGCTGAAGCGTAACTGAATAGAAAGCAAGACGGATGAGACGAAGTGCTTAGACCTCCCGAATCCGACACACCAATTATCAGCCACAAGAAGGCACCACTCAATCTTGTGGTATGGATTGACGTGCTCGAAGCCCATCAAGCTCAGGGCGGGGTTACCCTCACGGAGAACACTCGCGAACTTGATGATGAATAGGATGTCGTTTGTCAGACGGGCGACCTTGAATATGGCAAGTGGCACAAAAACGATGCAGAGAAGGGACTTTGATGTGGTGCGGCGCGGTAGCACAACATAAAGACGAAACGCGAGAATGACATCAATGAACACCGTGAGGAGAAGAGCGCTGGATATCGCTGCAATGACTGTATTCGTGTCAGACGGCTCGTCGGGGTGGCGAATGCCCTTGATCTGCGATACTCAAGTTGATGAGTTCTACGATTCAGAGAAAATCGGAGGTCCATACACTTGTGGCTGAAATCTCAAAACCAAGCGCAATGCCTACGGCCACGGACAGCACGTTCATGATAAATATGGGTTGGAGACGAAGGGCCGGTGTGGAGAAGTAGAACAGCATAATTAGGAGCGGGATTAGGGAAGCAGACCATGCAACCCCGATCATAATGAAGTTTATGAAGGGCGAGATGCCAGCAATGTACAAAGAAATGATTGGAGGGAGGGAGGCCATGGTGAACAACGGAAAGAGCCAACAGTCTGTTCGAGGATCGAGCACAGTATCGCCGCGTCTTTATGCATATCTACGCAAATGTATCATATCTGAAGCTGTGAAAGGACTTTGGAGGGACTGACGAAGATAACGGATTTGTGATGGCCTGTTTTCTATGGATTGGATGGAGACCGAAATGGCTGGGATCACTTCGCATATTGTATGAAGCCTACTGCCAGAATCATCGTCTCGGGGAATATGTACCTGACGCCATCGGTCTAAGCACAACCGATAGAAGGAGGAGGTGAGAAAATATGCAAATATAATGAACGAAGTACCGCGAGATCCTTTTACAGACAGGGCCTTCAGGTCAACGTTGCTAATTCTGCGTCACAGCGAGAAAGTTCTCACTGACTAAGGCACCGAGCCTCGCAGCGTGAGTAGCAGAAATATATCGCGAACAGGGCCATGGAGCGATAAGTATGGAGAGACTCAGATGAGTTACGCACTGGTGAAAGGGAATAAAGGGTAGGAAGGTCGTTGGGGTGGCACCAGTGTACGACCACGTACGCACGACGTACCGGATTGACATTAGCCATCACTGTGACTGTTCTCTAAACAGGCGTACTTGGTTTGGAAGTAGGCCCAGTTCCGTTTCGGAGGACAATGGGAGAAAACCTATATCATCAGATAAAAATACATGGAAAACGAGCGAGAAGTAGTACTGCAACATCCAGGGGCCATCCTACCGAACTGACATATACAATCCTTCCACTGCGATATTTGCCTGCCATACCCCTAGTCGTCTGGCTGCCCTCAGGATGAACGGCGCCGGTATGATTAAGGCGATAGATATCGGCGTAAGGACCAGGAATACGAGCATCAGCACGATTGTTATGACCGGCTTGATAACCAAGAAATAGAAAAGCGCTTGATAAGAGGTCGAGTCCCTGAACTGAAATGACGGGAGACGTGAGGTTATGGGGGAATCATGAGGATATTGGATGTACCATAGCATAAGCGTTCTTGTAGAAGGACGTTTCTTTGACTCGCGTTCCTTCTGTTGTGCCAGCTTCGATCTCTTCTAGCGTCGCCTCCCTGTACCTGGTGAATATGGGCCGCGGGGGATACGGTGGTGGGAAAGCGAATGGAGCATGGAAGCGCGTTTGAATGGCTAATTCGCCTCGGGCAAACATTCGTGCGCCCAACAGGTCTAAGAAACACAGCGCGACACCAAGAGGGAGAGCCATAAGCAGCGTTGTCCCTGTCTGTGGAAATACCTGTCAAACTACACGCCTAGAAGAAGAATGTGTCGCGTACCAGCGTGAAGACGAAGAGGTACACCCAAGCCAATAACGCGTACGGAAAATTCAGTACCGCCAGGTGCAGCAGGGACCAGTAGTACTTCTGCTTCACCACCGGCCGAAAGTACCGCTTCAAGCCCTCCGTCGAGAGTAGTGGTGCCCTGCGTGATGGCGCCTCCTCGGACATCAGCAGGATTCTGCCTTCGCTCGTATCTACATCCGCCAGAAGGTCTGAGCTGGAGTCATCGTCGCCTTCGGGTTGGAACAGTGATAGTAGGGTGTGTGCAAGCGATGGCGCGGCTGAGGCCGTCGACAACACACTCGTGTGCGAAAATGCACGCTGCCTGCTCGCGCGCCTCCCCGACGGCGAAGCAGGCGACAAGAACGGCGTCGACTCCGATGCTTCGTGGTCGTTGTCGCCAGTAGGGAACTGCTGTGAAGACGGGGTGATCAGTGCCGCATCCAATTCAGAATGCTGCGAATCCGAAGAGGCGATTTGGGAATGCGCCGTGCGTGCGCCCCGACCTGCGTTTCGTGAACGTCGTGTGCTGCGCGGGGACGGGTAAGGTGGCGGTGGGTCATTTTGGGGGGAATTCGGGTCCGGAATTGACGCTATGTCTATTGTTGTGTGGACTGGTGAGTCTCCCGCAGCCATCGAGGCAACTGTCGCTGAACCGTAGAATGTTCAGGAGAAGGCGTCGGCTACTTGTAAATGTAATACCAAGTTGTTTGGCTCGCAGGACCCAAGCAAACAAATAGTACACCCGTGTCACACTTGATGCTAATTGACTCGCAAAAAAAATTGGCAACTTCTGGAGTCCAGCTTGGGGTAGGCGGGAGCTACGCGGTTCAGATCCAATGTCCGGTGCTAAATGGCTTTGCCAAACATGAAACTTCGAGTACCCAATATTGATGCCCAGCAAAAGTGGAAATTTTTGCGCTTGCTTTTCAAACAAACGCTGAGGATAATTTATACAGTTCAATCAAATTTCTCGTGCACTACTACGTCCATCACGGACCTAGGGAATCAAAATGTTTATGAACACACCGTTGAACACAAGAGACGGGCGTAGACTGACCTCAGGTTCATGGAGATGCCCGACTCTACGTCGGTCAAGGTAAGCGTATCCACAGACTGTACACCAGGACTGAGGGCCAGAAACTCCATGCGAACAGACTGGCAAGTTGATGGCCGAAGCGGACTAAACACCATATTCCAGTCAATATGGAGAGCACACGATCAATAGACGTGTAGAGAGAGGGAGAACACACCCGACTCTAACACGGTTGTCCAAGGCCAAAATCCCAGGAGCCCCATTCCAATCCTTAAACCGAGCACCCTCACTCAGAGCGCCCTTCCTAACCGTCCTCCGATCCGGATAGCTCACCTCCAACCTCCTCGTCCACGCACTCTGGTTGAACACAAATATATCAAGCGTAAACGTCTCCAACGGATATATCTTCCCTGGCCCCGTCCCCTTGCAAGGTTCCTCCTCCTGGCCATCAGGCGACGATCCACCCAAGGCGTCCGCCAGGCTATGCTTCCTCTTCACCGGCAGCATTCCCACGCTGACCACAATCGCCTCCCTGCTCTCCTCCGCCCTCTGCAGCTCCCTCAACATCGTCTGCTCGCCAAACGCACCGGGCACGAGCGGCAGCGGCGTGTTCGACCCACCCCCACCACCTACAGCACCCCCAGGACTAGGAGCGCCCGGGAGCGTCACACCAAGGCCCACCCCCTTCGCGCGTTTGACGTCAATCTTGGGACCGACGTTCCCCGAATTCTGCGAGACGATGGGATTCTGCGAGGGCGGCAGCACCGGCAACCCTGAGGGAGAAGGATACGAGGGATACGCTGGCGTTGGAGGTGGCATTCCCCCATTTTCAGTGATCGAGATAGGGCTGGTCACCCTCGTATCGTCACTTCCATCGAAATGGGCGGATGCAAACGGAGCTGCAGGCCCAGCACCGGCCATATACGGAGCATTGTACGTTGTTGGCGATCGCGCATTCTGTACGTTCACGGTGACCGACGGTGGCATGTACGAGAGGCGGTTGTTCGCGTTGCTAGAGCCAGCGCCTGGGGATATAGGATTGGGGGGACGAAGGTCTCTCGCAGGTTGATATCCTGGGTTAAGCATGGATGTCGACGACCGCCACCCGCCTGAAGCTGATGGTATGCGCCCAGGCTGGCTTCCCGGTAACGAATGCCGCTTAGGCACACCCGCCATACCGCCGATTGAGGCAGACGTCGGTGACCTTATCGGAACGCTCGCTCTCCTGTCGGCGCTATCACCACCAGAACTTCCTTTCGCAAGTGGAAGGGGCGATCGCGCGCCAGAGAAAGACATAGGGAACGGCGAAGGGGGTTCAGGGAGCGTATCCTTGAATTTCGACGACGTCCCCAGATCGTCCGGGCGTGGTACGGATTGGTCTTGCGCGTTGGCTGCTGACGCGGAGAGGTCGAGCACGCAGTTCCACCGTGAGGAGAATGTCTCGGTGGGATACACCCCATCCTTGTTCGCCCCGGTTGGCATGATCGGTCGTCCGTAGACAGTGATCGATACTGCTCGCTGAAGTTCTGGATTGTGCGCACCAGCGATACTGGGGTCTCTGGAGAGCGAGAACCCATCCATGTCGTTCGGCGTCTTGAGGAAGGACACAGCGTAGAGGAGATTGTACTGCCCCATACTCTCTATGCGAATAGGGAACTTCGATCCTTCTTTGGACTTTGCATCGCCGTCTCCCCAGCCGATAAGCCGGCTCCGCGCACCCTCCCCACCAATGCGCACATCTACATTCTCGACTTCAAACAAAACCCCAGGCCCCGAGTCCCCCGAGTTCTCTACCTCGACGGAGAGGATGACTGTTCGTTCTTCGTTGCCTGATTCACGGAGATCCTTCTGCTCGGCAGCTTTCTCGTCCTCATCACTGTCATCACTGTCGTCGTCACTGGGTGCATCCCTCGCCGCGCGCTGTTCGTCTGCGTCCGTGTCATCGCTCTCCCCTCCCTCGTCGCCTTCCTCGTCCAGCATGACCGCTGGAACAAAAACAGTCCGCATCCTCACTCTGAACCCCGAAGCCGTACCCAACGTCCGCCGAAACGACTTTCTCAGTGTCGGATGCGTGGTGCGCAAAGCGGTCAACGGTGAAGGTGACGGCGCAACAGGAGAAGGCAGGGACGTCGGTGCCAACGAGAATAACTTACGCCGCGTCACGATTCCTAGGCGCGTCGTGGGGAGAGTGAGCGCGTTCGTATCCTCGCTTAGGGTATAGTAAGTCGGTCCTATTTACATGATGTCAATGCAGGGAAATGCGTGTATGGTGAAAGGATTGACGTACCACAGGCTAAGCCTTCCAAGATGTTCGCTTCGTCGAGACCGTTTAATTCGTTTCCGTCAGTAGCAGTGGGCTTGTCTCGCGGCGATGGCAATGGGACTTCGGTTGATGATGCGATAGCGCCATGCGCAGCTAAGAAAGCAGCCAGAGGGTGTTTGGGGTATTGATGCAACGAAATGGACTTCTCGCGCAACGTTTCGGACACCGTAAGACACAACAACGGATCTTCATATTTGAGTGATACGAACGCTAGCGGCGCGCGTCAGAAAGCCGTTGAAAGGAACATCATCAACTTACATATTCGCAACCCCAATCTGTACACTGCAACCCATACCTGCTCCTCTTCTGACCAAAGCAAGCAGAAAGCCTCGCCAGACTCTCCGTCCGCCGACTGGCCCCATATGCTAGCCATGAGCAATGTCCCCTCAGCCTGCACGTACTTTCTATCATGGTCGGCGGTCAATGGTGTAGGATTTGGTGTGTTCGGAGGGTAAATGGAGGGATGCTGCGAGCCTGGACGCGGGGTAATCTTCAGTCCGAGCGACCCAGTTCTCGGAGGAGCTGATAAGCGCGTCGTGTCGGGGGTGTCAGGCAAAGTCGCCGGTACAGACGATATATACGTCGCTTCTACTGTGGTTTGGAGGTGGGCCAAGAAAGACAGCAATTCTGGTGGTGGTTTGTCCTGGGACACAGGTGTATCGGATAATGGGAGGTTGATGCGGAGAGTAACCAGAGCGTGTAGCTGCTCATCTGCCTGGATCCAATAAGTTTTCCACCAAGTACGATAGTCCCTTGCGCACCAAAGAACGCCTGCTTCCGCTCAGCGGAGCCGGAGTTCAGACGGGCGAGCCATTCATCCGTCGAACCTTTCGGGGGAAATTCTATAGACGTGTCCGGAACTGACACCTTCAGTATGGATGAATTGAAGAGTGATTCAAAGTCGGACATTGAGGCCGCTTCTGATACTAGCACTATCGCACAAGTGGAAAGAGAGTCTATTTGGCAGAGCCATGAGAAACAAACAAGCAAAGCTATACCAAGCCTGTTTCAGACGGTGAGGCTCCCATTTCCCGAATCTCAGATGTTCCCATCGTCCTTGAAGTCTCCCTCGCTCCCCCGACGATCCGATTCCTTGAATGCGACCCAGCAGAAGTCATCCATCCAGCCCATCTTCTTGACCATTGAGCAAGAACTCCACGATGCCAGGCGCGTGCAGACGCATGGCCAAGAGGATGACCTACGGGGGGCATTGGGCATGGTGATCAACCGTGTCAGTGAACTGGTATGCTCTCTGCCAGTATCGCGATTCCATTCTTGCCTCAATGTTCTTGGTTGCTCGCGTGGATGGTCGACTAGTCCAGTATGCTCGCCGACGCGTATAAATCCCAAGTAGACCTCGAAACGCAGCTCAATCTCGCGAAATCGAACCTCAAGTTGGTCATCGCGAACAACGAAATGCTTGAAGAAGCTCTTCGACATGGCAATGGGAATTCGAAAGATGTCGGCTGGCGTAGGAGGAGCGGCAGAGATAGTAGCATGACGCCTGAACAAGGGTACAGGCATAGCGTCGACTTTCCGGTGCCTTCATCGGCCTCCACTATAGAGAGTAATCCAGACTTTCCTCCTACTTCGTCGACAAGGCCTGCATCCCCCGCGCCGAGCCAGTCGGAGAACAGCAGATTCTTCAAGTTTCGCTTTACCAGCAACAACGCAACACCGCCCATAAACCACCTAACATCCCCTTCCCTCCCATCACTGGCTACCCACTCCCATCTCAAAGAATTGGAGGAAGCGACTGCGGAACTGGAGAAAGAACGAGTCAGATGCAAGAAGGCACTTGATGACAAGGCATCGTTAGAGGCGGAAATAGAAAGCTTGTCTCAGGCCTTGTTCGAGGAGGTTCGCGCTTCCTCCTTCTGATTGTCCCGTACTAACGGTTCTCCAGGCGAATAAGATGGTGGCAACTGAACGGATCAAACGTGCTGAGACTGAGGAAGAACTTCGCGAAGCCGTTTTGGAGAAGGAAGCCCTACGGAGCGCACTGAAGCTGATCGAGGGAGAAAACACTCATCTTCGCTCTAATTCAACTCCAAGTGGCAGCAGTCCCATCATCCCTCCGTCCTTGCGCCCCATAACGCGATCCAGGTCATCGTCAGAGGTGGCAATTAAATCCCAGCCGGGGTCACCAACAACGACGAAATTACCCGATTCGCCGCAGGCTCTGGATGATTCCCCTGATACCCCAACGACACCAGCCTCCGCACTTCCCTCGGATTCTGAACCAACGCCGCAGTACGCAACTCATCGGCAGTCACAACAATATATAGGCCTGTCCGAAGCGCCAGACTCCCCGTGGGCCGACGTTGCCTCTGCCTCTCCGAGAATAGAACGCACCGAGAGTTCAATGATGTCTGCGGCGGCTCTGTACGCCATGCGGTGAGATCCTCACGAGACTGGAAATAAGGACTTTTCTTGATACCAATGCATTGGCTGGCCATCGTAGCATCGTGTACGTATATATCACATCAATCATAATATCTAACTGGGGTGCATCGGTCTTATGGATCTAAGCAACTTGAGAAGGGAATCGAAAAGTGGGCCCACGCTATCAGTGGTAGCGACCGTCTGTCATGTGCGAGCCTTGAGGGTCTTCGTTGGCAGCGACGACACTCTTAGCCCTAATGTGCCGTCTATGTCCCTACCCGGTGACGGGGAAACTGTAGCCTGCTTGAAAGTTCACCCTACCAACGCTATCGTCACTCAGTGAGTAGTCTCCTCATATCCTACACAACCTCCAGGCGTATGTAGAGGACGGCGCGAAGAAGAGAGGTAAGGAATGGAGAAACGACGAGAGCCACGTCACATACGTAATACTCGGCGGCTTAGAGTTAGATCTTAGACCCCAAGAACTGCCGCCAAAGCGACAGTAACACGGTCGAGAAATGGAGAAACGAATTTGGTCACTTTCTTCATACCAATAAAAATGCAGGGTACTCCACGCAATGAACCGCTGCATTTCGCGCAGGGCAGAGGCAACTGTAGAGGCGACACAAAACAGCATACTAGACTGTTGCTAATGCATTTGTTGGACATCGTAGTAACGGAAGTACTTGTAAAGATCATCCAAGTTGGAAGCATCGATTGTTTGGATCTAAGCAACTTGGCAAACGCGTCAGAACTGCGCCCAGGAGACAAGGGACGCGCGGAATGCACTAGAGTTCCATGTGCTGGCGGCGACCGTGGGTTCCAAGCATTCCGTTATATGGCAGTCTCGAGCTCTCCGTTAGCGTCGACGTCCACTTTGACGACCCGCCATGTACACCTCTTCCTCCACCACTGCCGCCCTCATCGCCGCCCTCGCCCTCCTCCAGCGAACGTTTGCTCAAAACGTGACCACGGAGAGCGTAGGCCTCTCGTTCACGCAGGCAAAGATTGTTCCAGATGTCCTACCGTCCTTTGCGCCCTCGGGCGTGTTGGAGGTGATCTTTACGGATCCAAATAATTCGAACAGAACTCAAGTTACACCTGGGATGAACCTCACTGTTTCACGTACGTCCTCCGGCTTGATGATATATCTGCAGTCTGATATCAGGAATATCTTTTACAGAAACATCGTCTCTACCGACGCTAGGAATATCAGGTCTCCCTCCTTCGTTCGCACCACAAACCTTCGCTGTCGTATTGATCGACCCGGATGCACCAACTCCCCAATCCCCTTCAGCAGCACAGTTTCTTCACTTCCTAGGTGGAGACTTTGAGATAAGAGGTGAAGCGGTCGAGACGACGCCAGCTCTTACCAATCAGTCACAGGCGGCGATGGAGTACGTCGGACCAAATCCTCCTGCTGGCTCCCCACCCCATAGGTACGTGTCAAAATCCCTGTTTACGAAACATAGTTCATGTTGTTCCAAGATACGTACTCTTAGTGTACAACCAAAACACGCTTCCAATAGCTGATACGACCTTCGGGGCTGCCGCTGCGCCTTTCGTCAATGCATCCACCCCACGAGCCAACTTCAACGTAACGCAATTCGCGGAGCAGACGATGATCACCGGGCCTGTTGCTGGGACATTCTTCTACGTCGCGCCGGATAGTCCAGCGCCATCATCAAGCTCTCTTCCAGCCACAGGGACAGCCGCTTCTGATTCTACCACAACGTCCACCTCAAACTCAGCAACTAAAAGCGGATCTGTGTCTCATTGTTTAGCGGCATTGGTTGCATTGGTTCTACTTGCTTTTTGCTCTGTATAACTATCTCAATGCTACCCCTATTCAGCTATTTTTCAGTTAGTTGGGCGCCTAGTACTTAGTACTTAGTTCTGAACCTTTTTCTTCGACGGATGAAGTGCGTAAATAACACCACTGTACAGTTGAACTTGCGTCGTGACTTTGCTTCAGGGCCGTCTGGATCCCTCACGAACGGCTGAATGATCTCCTGCGCTCCAATATCCCACCATCGGATTCTGAACGTGTCGCCATCTCCAAAGAATTGAGCCTCTGTCACAGTCGCTTGGCACAGCTTGACTCCTCAAGCGATGAACTGCAGCACCTCTCTGACTGCCTCAGGATAGTCGCTTCGCCTATACGACGGGTGAATCGAGACATTCTTCACCACATCTTCCTGTGGTACATTCGGCGAGGCCCAGAAACTTTCGCCAGCTTCATCTGTCGTCCCGCACCTTGGACGATCGCCGTTGTCTGTCGTAGCTGGCGCGAGGCCGCGGTGTCCACCTCTGCCCTGTGGTCCTTCGTCCAGCTGCCTATGACTGCACCACAATGGCAATTCGACGAAAGGACGAGCACGCAGATGGCGCGAGCAAAAGTAGGGCCATTGCATTTCAAAATAGCCCCGGATATGGACTTCATGTGTTTGGGCGAACTCACCTCCCTTACGATCATCGGAGTAGCCTTGTCGGACGAAGATGTCGTCTCCATCATTTCACATATCCCTCAAGTACAGCAATTGTCAGTATACAACCTACCATGGCCGGGTCCCTCATCCAGGCCCTACCGGTTCATAGCGAACATAACGTATCGCCCGAATCAGCCTGAGCACAGATGCTTGGCCCCTTTGCTAACGGACGTCGCCATCCCTCTGACAGCCGACACGGTCAACTTCGTGAACTCGAGGAGCCATGACTACGACTGCGAGTCAGCGGACTTTGTCGAGAAGCTGAGGCGCGTAGACCTCAAGGCTCCGTTCCCCCCAGGCGCGTACAATCTCGTCGATAAGATGCTGGACTCCGTCGAGAGGGGGGTCAAAATATATGGCGGCCCATTTTAGGCGGCCGTTGTATCACCAGTCACGCCGGCAGCTATTTACTGCACCCATCTACCATGCCCCTCTTGTGGAACGACCCGAAGTCGTTGTTGTCTCCACTGTTACATGGTTTCCCGTCTGCTCTGTTCACTTGTGCGCAGCATCCCTAGACGTCTTTCTAGTCACTGACAACTCCTAATAGTGTAATTGCTCGGGGGTGACCTCACGTATTATAAGGTCAAATGTCTTATTTTATACTTGAACGTCCAGCAGGCATGCGGATATCAACACAATCCCCGAGAGACTAGTCTCCCTTTTTGGAGAGCTTAAAGGACCAATTGCAGCCTGTTTGCTGTATCTTCCTGTCATGTGCGACGAAGCACCCCCGCGTGAGTCTACCGGGCTGGCGGCGCATATCCTGATCAACTTTGCCACACGTCTTCGTCGCACCTCACCTTGCTCACGATCGCTCGTGTCCCGTTGACCGACTGGGAAGTCATCGTCCTCATAGCGGAATGTCCCAACCTCACCCAGCTAACACTGCACGACCTCAGCTATTGCGACTACAAATTTTTAACCGACCTTGGGCATCATCGATCATCCAAAAGTCGACCCACTAGCTTACGTTCCCTTCTTGCAAGACGTGACCGTCCCCTTGTTTACCCACACCGTGGGCTTTGTCAATTTACGCAGCCATGACTACGGCCCTCACGACTTCGTCAAGAAGCTGCGCTGCGTGCGTTTGAAAGGACCATTTGCAGTTGCAATATCTCTTCTGATTGACTACATGTCGGGAGCGGTTGAGAGAACTTGATGTCTGACTCGGAATAACCGTAGAAGATTTATGTTAGCGTACGGACGCTTTGTGGACTTTCTTCATCGATTGTCATATGCTTCCCATGTCCTCTGCATAGTTTATGAATGATTGGTCTGAGCATCCCCGAGACACATCGAGATGATCTTCACAATGGCACTTGGGATACACTAGAGAATATCGTCACTGCCCTATTCCATCTGTGGCTTGCGGTAAGCGCCTGCCATCGCATGGTCAGCGTGAACAACCTAAAAGAGGAACAGCTATTCGACAGCAGTATCTGCGAATGAATTAAACCAAGTAAGAGGTGCAGACAGTCCAGTTAATCGTACCAATTGTATATACAGTGTTCCTAAGCGAGGGCTCGTGTGACCCGCTGTAGGAAAGGAGGATAAACTGAAGATGGACTTAACCAACAGAAGTACATTCATAATATACACGACGCGGGCGTAGGTGGAACAGGTGATTGTGGCAAGGAATGAGCATCGGGCGAAACAGCGCACTAAAAAATCAAATCCACTGGTTCTTGTCCCAAGCCGGATCCTGTAGAAACGCACATAGGACCTTGCTTCCTGTCTAAAACAAGATGAGCTGAGCATGAAGAAGGGGCCGCCAAGATGCCGTACCTGTAACAACGGATGTCCAGCGACGATGCTGAGGAATCTCTCCAGACCCTCCCGTCTGCTTTCGATCACCTCATCTGAGAAACGATTGGTGAACACCTTGCCAGGAAGAGGTGGAATGTTAACCCTCGTGGACTCGCGTTCCAGGATATCACGGAAGGCCTCGAAATCAGAGTAACGCCTACGGACAACGGAGTGACGTAGTTTAAAGGCGGGGATGTTGGTCTATGATAACGGATGAGTGCTATGAGGCAGGTGTTTACTTTCATGATTACCTTGCAGACAATCTCATAATCGGTGTACATCTTTCTACCGAACCCTAGCAGACCAAATGTTACCGCACAGCTTCGACGAGGGGTAGTGTGACTCACCGTGCGTTTGCGGGTTCCGTACCTCTATCTCCAGGAAACTTTCCGGGACACTATACATCTCCTCAATCTATACATTTCACGTTTCAAGGACCGCATAGTCGACGAAGTCAAAGGCGTGCGGGATTTTCATCATAACGCCATGCAAGATACACCGTTGAGAGCCCAGCACAAATGACAAATGCAATAACAGGGTCTAGTTCAGAGTTGAATAGCGCATTACAAGCAGAGCTCACCGTTTGCTGCCTCCCCGAGATGGAGAAGTCTTCAAATGCACTGCTGCGAGCGAACGGAGACACCGTGGCCATGATGATGACGGTTAATATTAGAAGATCACCAGTGTGGGTCGAACGACGAACTCTACCGAATGCCGAATTCGGAACATTGTTTGGTTTTTCCTGTACATCCAAATACGACACCACGATTCTAGCCAAACCGTAGGTATAATCTTGCTGCTCGCCACTCCAGGCGGTCCCATATGCGTGGCTTGGGTGTATTCTTCGTTTTCGCATTCATGCACTATTTTGTGTCTAGGCATATGGCTTTTTTGTCAAGTGCTACACCCATCGCCCGAATGTTTGCTTGAGGCGAACTAGTTCTACAAGCGCGTTTCCGTGCGCCATTAATCTTCCGATGCCTATACTCACTGGGAGGCGATTCCCAAAGAGATTCAAGCTGAGAGGACAGAAGGGATGCGGGTCCAAGCCGCAGTGCCCTTCCATATAAAAACACTTAAGTATCAAGTATTCTCGTACTATCATCATCATATAACCTTACACTCACTACTCGTGTCAATTCAGCGACTCGAGCCCCCTTCAAGCAATATTCTACTTCTTGGTTATCAACCCGTAGTAACCATCGTGCTTATGCTAGTGTTTCTGGTCCTTGCTCTTGGTTGTTCCTGTGCTGACCATTTGTGGAGGGCGGCACGACGGCTGGGAGCACGGTGGGTAAATATCGCTGTGGAAGGGGTGTCTATGCTGGTTCAATCGTAGGTTTCTGCTTCAATGGTAATACTTGGAAACAGAAGCATTGGGCATGCTTCTCAACCAAGTATGTTGAACAGCCACAGAAGATGAACGTTGAAGATCATCGGAAAACGGGAACGCAGTTGAACGGCCTATATCTTTCGGTCGGTCTACTGCCATTAGGTGCGTACTCTTGAGGTGATTTTCCCTTACTATAATCACTTCATATTGTCGCAAGACAGGAAGTAGATTGTTTACAGACAAGCCGGACACAGGAGCGTTCTGCCAAGGAGCAGACCGCAACCGGTTTATGTCTACGCACCGCGTTGTTTCTATTTCTCATGTTCAGTGGATCTTCCATCACCATCACGAACAGCGCCGACCCCCCACCTCTGATTTGTGTCTCTTCTTATCACTCCCACGACAAAAGATAATGTGGTATTTCGCACAGAATCTGATGTTTCGTCTATTTCTGTCCTTTAGGCTTCCGCTACTGCTACAGCACTCATCAAACCTGGACCAGACATTGCAAGATCGTGAGGGAAGAATCAATCCAATCTGGAGCGTGCACTGCGGGGTCACTTCCATGTTTCAACATTTCGATGCCCGGGCGACATCCCCAGCCCGTCTTTGGAAAGAAGGAGATTATACGCAGCTGCTTTAATACAGTGCATTCTCATGCTCATCCAGAGAGAATCCGCCTTGTGGAGCGTTTTAACCGCTACTAGGTTCGGATAAAATACCATCTCTGCCATATAGAGCTGGGGTGCCAGCCCTTAGGCCGTTTGCTCCACATGTCTTCCCTCCCTCTAGTGATCACTTCGCACATCGACACCATCACTCCCTTTTTGAATTACCTGATACTAGGAGTAGCTTGGTCCGCCTCGCTTGTTCCACTTTTAATAATGTTGTTCTATTTCTCTACGCCGGCCCTTCGTGTCCGGCCTATATTCCTCATGAATGTGGTGTCTGTGGCAATGGGGATCGTGCTTGGCTTCACCATAGCAGCTATAACTGTTCGGTCACCCTCCTTTCTTCTGACTCGCAACTCAAGCATCTTCGATACAGATCGAGGCTATCCGCCACCCCGACGAGCCTTTGGACGTGAATATGACCGCTTTCGCCATATCCAGCAGTCTGATCATCCCAATATTCATTGACGTCATTCTTGCCCTTCGCCTCTACGCCGTCTTTCCGTACCGGACTACATCTACATGGATATTGTGCATAGTCTTTGTGCCACTTGTCTTGTTCAAGGTTGCGCGTTTGACTAACGTTATACTTCTCGTCGTCAAAGTTGTGGATGTTCTACGACAGAGGGGTTCTACTACTTATACGAACGCGGTCGACTTTGAGCAGCTCAACCCGAACCACAAAATTGAATGGGGCCTACTCGTAGTCGACAACTGGTACGCACCGTACGTGATCACCTCGCACGGATTTCGCTCAGTGTTTTCGATGCAGCTACGCATCAGCCTTTTTCTTATGGAAGATCGGTATGGGCCGTAGGATCAAGACCTCGGGCATAGCATCATGTTCGTCGTTGTCTTGTGGGGCCGCAACTTTGTACTAATGCGCATGCGCAGATGCAAGGGACACTTTGACTCAATTATTCTACCTTGGGATAGCAAGTTTTGTCTTCCCTTGCATGCTCGCTATCGTGCAATTTGTATTTGCCTTCCTGGGTAGTCGGGGCTACGCTGAGCGTAAGTCGACCTTTTCAAGCACCATTCTAGGAATTTTGCTAATCATCGCATGAGGATAGTCTACATCTTCGTCAGCAATGTGTATGTCGAAATAATCTGTTCCCTTTTGGCCACTTTATGGGTTGCCCAAAACCGCTGGTTCGAACATCGTATCTCCCAGCAACCCGAAGCAAGCCGCATTTCATTTTTCAAAGACACATCCCATCCTAGCAACGTCACCAACATCGAGACAAATAACGCTGTCGGTAGCCAAAATTCATCAGAAGACAGCATTGTCAAAGCCAATGGCGAGATGGACGCACGTAGAGCTCAGGGAATTTTGAACCCGACAACGAAGTAGCTGCTTCGAACAACGGCCACGCAGAATAGTAATGTTTGCGTACTTCCCAATGCACATAGCAAAAATCCCTCCTGTTTGTAGTGAAGGGTCGTGGAAAACTAAAGCTGCTAGCTGTAATCGGGTTTACCTTTACCTTTATCTTCGTCACCTAGATTTGCTTCCAGCTACACAAGCCATCTCAAGATGTTTGGCTCCATTCCCCTAACCGCTCTACGTTCAGGGGGTGTTGATGAGTACGTGACCTTGCGAGGCGCCAGCTGCTGGCGCACGCCGACATGTCCTCTCCGAGCCCCGACAAACCCGCTTGGTACTGTTCTGCTGCATATCCATCATCTTCTCCTGCAAGTGATAGGCACATAGAATGGCAACTGCCGTAAGTGCTTGCGTTAATACCAAATAAGTCCCGATTTGGTGAACGGTACGGCGCATCGATAAGCGCTCGGGCGCTCAAGCGCTCATGAGTGGCGCGTGTTCTTTAAGCTTCAACATCAACATCCGCGTCCGCGTCAACGTTCAATGATCACTTAAAGTAATTGTTGCAGTTCGTGTCGTTCTTCGACTGTAACCCTCGTGCTTGCTATGTTGGTGCTCTCCTGGCATAGCTTTTGCTTCTTTGTGCTAATATCTTTTACTTCTGTCCAGGGCATAGTTTTTATCCTAGAATTCGCCGTAGCGCTGTGGCATTCTAGCTCGACTCCGTGCAAGTATGGCCCTCTCAATCCAGTTCCCCTATCATATATCAATGTTCTTTGACCTACCACGGCCCTCGAGTGGTAACAATCTATTTCAAGAGGATCGGCGACCATCTGTCGTATTCTCAAGGCTCGAAGGAATCAACACCTACTACCCACATCTTACTGTTGCCATCAACCTATGTCTCGCGGTTGGCATACCGTTTGGGAGTGAGCGACGATTGCGTATCATTCAATCAGTGGGTGATAGACCCGTCATCTCCAGAGAGTTGACCGGCCACCTCTGAGTGTTGTATCTTCTCATGCTATGGTTCTTTTCTTCCAATCCCTCGCCACAAACTCATCTACGTCAGCTTCTTCATTATCTATCACACCCGTGGCTGTATGGCGTAGACACCCTTTCAATCAGTGTTTCAGCTGCTTGGATAGTTCGTTGTGCTGGTTTGGATATGATTGCATCTTCATCTGCAGGCATAAAGACGATACGCGACGACCTGCCTGCTTGCTCACTCGCTCACAATGGCCTCTCTCCCTCCAACTGTTACTCTGTACATCGACAATATCTCTCCCTATCTTAACTTCATTATGATAGGAACAGCTTGGTCCTCGTCTCTTGTTCCGCTTTTTGTGATACTGTTCTACTTCTCTACACCTTCCCTTCGCCTTCAACCCATTTTTATCATGAACGTGCTGTCGGTGACTATGGGCATTGTGCTCGGCTTCAACATCGCGGCTATAAGTGTACGGTTACCTTCACTTCCTCCAAACCCAACAACTGAACGTTTATCCCATAGATCAAAGGAATTCGTCATCCCGAGATATTGTTCAATGCGAGCGCCGCCGTTTTCGAGCTGGCCGGCGCACTTGTCCTGCCTATCTTCGTCGACTTTATCCTTGCATTTCGGCTTTCCGTGGTGTTACCACGCCGTACGACGCCCACATCGATGCTTTGCATCGTCTTTATACCGCTTGCCTTGTTCAAGGTCGGGCGCGTGATAAACATTGCAATCTTCATGAGCAAGTTCGTGCCTGTCATTCGTACAAGCAATCCCGCTACAGTACTCAGCAGTGGCTTTGACCACTTCAACCCACACCACAAGATTGAATGGTCTCTTCTTGTGATCGATAACTGGTGAGTTGCTATTTAGACTTCGAAAGACGTCGCTCTTTGACAACACCCATCTTGTTTATATAGTTATGCATCTGGCTTTTTCTTGTGGAAGATCGGGATGGGCCGACGGATGGAGAAATCATCGGGGATTGTCTCAAGTCTGTCGACTTATCTCTTGATACGCTAGTAACGTCAGCTCATCTATCCTGCCCAGGCGCTAGAGACACCTTCACACGACTGTTCTATCTCGGAACGGCTAGTTTCATCTTTCCTTGCATGCTCGGCATTGGCCAGCTCGTGTTCGCCTTCTTAGGTCGCGGAGGTTATAACTCAGGCAAGTTCCCCGTCCGCTACGGTTCATTTCGCTGACGGCCACATGATACCAGCCTACCTCGCCCTGACAAATGCCTATGTCGAGATCGTCTGTTCCCTTTTGGCAACTCTATGGACTGCGCAGACTCGCTGGTCCGATCGAAACAGCTCCCAGCAGTCTGAGGCGAGCCACCTGTCCTCTTTCAGAGTCAAACCGCCGCATGAAAGTTTGACCATGGGTAGAAGTATCACCATAGACCCCGCGAACGCATGGAACAGGAGTATCGTTGAGACCAGTGTTGATCTGGATGCGATCAGAGTCACTTCAGATGACGAGATTGATATACTTGGCAGCGGTATGAAATCGAGCGGCAGACCATTATTGCGTAATAGTGGTAACATTTAGTACGTTTCCCCGATGTACTGCGGGTCGACTTTTCATACTCCATCCTATTTTTCAAGCCGTTCATTCTGTCAAATACACGAGGGTTCTGCATCAAACTCACCGTGATGTGGGTTATCGTCTGCAGGTCCAGATTCCACTGCTTTGGTGTGGTTCCCAAGGACGGGGTTTTCTACCGAGCTCGGTCCGCATACCATCCCCATAATATGCAAACAAAAGTGCGATTTCTCGTTCGCAAGGCACCAGTCTGCTTGCTTCGTATTCACCAGCATGCACCAGAGATGCGTGGCCAGACATTCGGACGTGTTTCAAGAATGTATTCTGATCTGCACACTCACTACCAAGATGAACAAGCCAGTTGATCGTTCCCTGCCCAGAGGTATGCCGATTCTTTGGATGCAATTGTCCATCTATAATTTCTCGCAAACCCACTATTTTCGACCAGTGGACTTTTGGTGGCTCTGGGGCTCGGCCGGCATCCCTTACCGCAGTCATTCACACTTCACAGTGCACTCATGCGCTTAGAACTTGAAACTCAGCGCACAGTTGTTCGTGATGGTGACTTCGGCGTGGTCCCGCCTTTAACAATACTCACGTACTTTTGTGTAGGTCGTTTGGTGATATTGGTGATAGTGACAGAATGAATACTCGATAATGGTTGGTGTGGCAACCTGGCCAAAGCTTTCAGCTCGCAGATTTCGGCAACAGCGACCGATGCGGATGATTTATCTTGTTTCCTTAGGCTCCTGCTTCCTGGACTGCGGATAATCAGGGGCTGCGGCGCAGTTTGTTGGCATCATGGTCTTACCTAACCGTGTTTGTCGTGTACACTACATATACTTACTGGTTCAGGCTTTTCGCAGAATCGATTAACAACAACGAAATGGTCGTCGTTTCGAAGACCGACAACGACTCCTCTTCTCACCAAGCCAAGCGCAGCAGTAGCGACGCTCCAGCGTACTCCCCTTCAGCTCAAGATGACGAGACAACACACGAGTCCTGGTCTCCTTCTGTGCGAGAGTCCAGCCTCTTGCTGAGGGAGTCCGGGTACGTCGACGTTCGTGGGGACCAAGCACCCGCGGGGCAGACAACTCCCCTGATCCATGGCTCCGCCGCATCTCCCTCCATGGCGTCTGCCCATACCAACAGCACGAGTGAACAGCCCTTTATTTCCCGCGTTTCAACAGTTTTCGCCGCTGCTTTCTCGACTCCCTCTCGAGGCTTCCCCTTGTTCGCCGTTCCGTTGGACGAAGAGGAAGATAACGGAGCGCTTGGTGGAGACGACGGAAATTTGTCGCTGCCCTCGCACCAGTCGGGACACTCGCCCTCCTGCACATGTTCCCGTGCTGCGCAAACCGAGGCTCCCGCGTTCGATTGGAACAAGCCATACTGGAAGAAGTACTTCCGCCCAATGCGCACTCTGTCCTACTATAAGCCTCTGATCCACCTAGCGCTGTTGGACTTTATATTTGCATTGTCGGCATGGTCGTACCTCATCACATGTATCACCGTATGTCCCTTCTCTCAATCTCAAATGCCCGCTTCGTAGCTCACACATAGGCAACATTGTTTTAGACCGGCGTGTCACTCTTATTTGCCCTCCCATTGGGCCTGATTTTCTGCTTCCTGACTGTCCTTGGTGCACGAGTATTCGCCCGAGCTGAGCTCGCCTTGCAAACCTACTTTCACGGCCCGCCGGTGGTCGACAGCCCGTACTGCCCTTACACCATCTTCACCCGGTACCGTATCGTCAAACATGAAGAGCTCGAGGCCGGACAGTGCGATGGCAATACAAGACTCAAAGAGACCTCGTTTTTGAAGAACACTCGGTCGATGGTGAGCCTTTTATCAACAGTACTTGATTCGCGATATTGGTTAACAATGCGAATCTAGTTCTTTGACCCGACGTCGTACCAGGCTCTCTTCTACTTCATCGTGATCAAGCCAGCGATTTGCCTCTCTTTAACTCTATTCCTCCTGACCGTAACACCGATATCATTCGTCCTGGTTCTCCCGGCGCCATTCTTACTCAAGACTACAAGACGTATCGGGGTGTGGCAGGCTAATATTGCTGTGGAAGGCTTGATGGGCTCTGAATGGTATAGACAGTACCAACGCTTGTAGCTAGCCTGCTGAGCAGGGAGATGGCTCTGGTATTTAAAGGATACTGCTACGCAAACGACTTGCTCTGCGCCGCCAACCATTATTTTGTCTGACTCTATGTAACCATGTACTTATACGTTCATTTACAAAAAAGGCTGTCTTTTCCGTGTCTTGGGCTTTGGGCTTGATCCTAATCTTAAGGCCTCAACGTGTCCCTTTGATTTAGTATCTGATGTAGATGCAGGTTTCCAACAGGTTTCCGAGATCTGATTTCTGATGCAGGTTTCTGGGTTTCAAGGATGGTTCGCTTATCTATGACTCGCGCTGGCTGAATTTTGTTCTCAGCGCTTAGGACATGGTATATATTCCTCTCAATTTCAAAGGTTAAGGAAGGTAACCGCGCCGTCGACATGCCCACCAATAACGAAAATAACGAAGGACCTGCGCCAGAATACACCCCATCCAATTCCGATTCCTTGTCAACTTCGAAGGATACCAATTCTGCTGGGATCTCCGCGCCGGAAGTTGGTGCACCATCTGGCGGACGGACAGTGGCACCGAATACGACTGTAGTTTCTTCACCTGAGGCATCCACGCTACCCCGCGTAATAGTGAACCACTTGCAGCCGTCCATGCCCATAGAACCTACTAGCCCAACCTTCACTATCCCTTCGAGAAGCTATCAGTTGTTTGCGCTGCCGCTCGAGGAAGAGGACGACAACGTTGGTGACATGACGGTCGAAGAAGGCGATGATTCGGGGCCTGTACGTACGCCGAAGAGATCAAAATCCATCTGGACAACAAAATATTGGAAGAGATATTTCCGCCCCATGTTCGCAAAATCGTATTACAAGGCCTTCGTCCATGTCGCCCTATTGGATTCTGTATTTGCGTTCCTCGCATGGTTTTTCATCGTCATGTGCATCACGGTACGTCGATCTGTTCTTAACAGCCATAGTGAGTTTAACTTCCAGATATGTTTTACAGTATTCATCCGCAAGTCCAAGGCCATACGTGCCGTTGTTCGTAACCCTGCCCGTATTCATCCTCACCTGTTTTGTCGTCGTTTTGGGTTCGCGCATACTCGCCCGAATCGAGCTTGCCTCCCAAACCTTCTTCCACGGCCCCACTGTCGTTGACAGCCCCTATCGTCCCTATCGCATCTTTACTCGATATAGGGCAGCTGAGGCAGAAGACGTTGAGATGGGACATCGCACTGATGGTGGCGAAATCAAAGAGACTTCGTTCTTGATGAATACTCGCTCGATGGTATGTCTCCCCAGTCTAGCGTCATCTGAGTATGTCATGAATGTCACTCTAGTTCCTGGACCGGACGTCGTATCAAGCGCTGTTCTACTTCCTCCTCCTCAAACCTGCAATTCGTTTGGTGTTGTCTATTTTCTTCGCCGTCGCCGCCCCAATATCGTTCGCTCTGATTGTCCCTATCCCGCTGTTACTGAGGACCGCACGACGCATCGGAATATGGCAGGCCAACGTGGCCGTGGAGGGTCTAATGCGCGTTGAGTGGCATTATAGAAGACTGACCACAGAGTGAAGTGGCAGCGCGTCGACATCGTGCCGCTGCGCACCGAGTTATATATGCTTCACTTATTTATTTATTGGTATCAACCCCAGATTCGGATATTTACTGTGCGGTACGTGAGGCATGGCCCAAAGCTGTTCAATGCTAAGTCGAACGGAGATCGGATGATTGGCCATCTACAGCGCAAGGCCATCCCAGGATTGCAACGAGTGGTCCTTGCTGACAGCACCAAACACTCTGGACATATTGAGGTTCAAGGGCGAATTAGATCAACCCCCGACGCCTTGCAAGACGGCGGAATACGTCGCGTGAGGCCCTCTCTCTTTCTCTTCATACAGCTTCTCCCACTCCTCTTCAGTATCGCTGCATCCGTCATCTTCAAGCACAATGACGCCGCGCGGCCCTTGCACAACTTCAAACTCCCTTGCGACACCTGGTCGTGCCATGAGTCTACGGTGAACCTCGTTAATAAACGGCGACGTACCCTTCAGTTTCGCTGGTGTTGCGATATCTAGAATGGCAATTTCGACAGTAGCAGCGGGACGACAGTCTTCGTCGAGGCTTTGGACCTCATCTTCCCACCCGTCGTCGGAGAGATCTTCTGTTTCATCAAGAACCACTCCTTCTGCGCACTTGTATGGGCCCAACCAGAGCGTGTATCCAAGAGCGTTCTTGGTCTCAACAGGGTCTAGGTTTAGACGAGGGCTTGCAGATTGACGGGCTCGCTGAGCATCAAATTCTCCAGTAAGTTGCCAGACAGTCCGTCGAGCTTCCAGAAGGGCTCACCTTGGGTTTATCTTCAACAACGTCTTCCGGCCTGACATAGTCCATGTCCGTGAGTTTAACAGAGTTCTGCACGAGCTCGCGTCTATAACGGAAACTCTGCGCAATTATAGTTTGACGGTCGATGCGTCCTTCCTTCACTGCTTGCTTCGAGAGCTGCTTCTCTTCTTTGCGAATGAGCTTTGGGGAATAAGCAGAGGTTTTGGACCGTGTCATGGTTTGTTGGCGGTTAGATATGGGTTGTCTGCAAGTGATTCTTTGAGGAAGTTGAGGAAGTTGAGGAAGGGGATACGAGTGTTCTTTTAAGTATTCGATCTAGTGGTTGAGCGGCACCTCCTTTAGTGCATCTGACTCATAGTCAGCCGTAGGACCAGTCAGAGATACGGGTGTCGAGTCAGCAATAACAGGGGCGGGACCGATAGTGTCACATCCTCGTAGCTATGAACATTGCTTGGCATCGCCGCCAGGGCGGGATCTGCGTTACCATATCTGGGTTTTCTGGTTGACGGTTGAACAGCCATCCTGCATCGCCCAACGTCCGATGTCAACGCGCCTACATCAATGGCTGTCACCCATTCAACTTTTGGCCTTGTGTATCTGGACGCTGACGACTGTCTACGTGTAAGTTCAATGGCGGTGAGTGAAATCCCTGATGTTATAACTTCGGATTCTCATTGGCACTCCAGGACTTGAACCCTCGGACACCGACATGTCTTCTCTTCGAAACCTCATAACCCGCCTCTTCTCATCCCAAAGAGAAGCCTATACTGTATCTATACTAGGGCTCGACTACTCTGGTAAAACCACGCTTCTCTACAAACTCAAACTTGGAGAAGTTGTGCAAACCATTCCTTCAATCGGGTTCACTGTCGAAGAAGTCGATGTTTCCAGCGCAGCCGGTGGTGGAGAGGGGCTCCGTATGGTTTGCTGGGATATGGGAGCAGGATGTGGTGGGTTCACGCACATGAAGAAGCTTATATCAATGTGCATCGAAAAGACGAACGCGATCGTGTGGATGGTGGATTCCAGTGATCGAACACGTTTAGAAGAAAGTGTCGAGATCTTGAAAGAAATCCTCGGTTTAACCAACTTCGTCAATGGCCAAGTTCCCATTCTAGTGTACGTGCCGATATTCTCTAATTTGGATTACCACTTACCAAGGCGGTGTCTGCAGCCTAGCTAACAAACAAGATATGGCAGACTCAATGTCATTGGATGAAATTCGGAAGGCATTTGCCCGCCCTCTGGCCGGCTATACATTCAACGTCTTTCGTTGCTCCTGCTTACAAGAATTACCCAAGAGTGGCATTCCCGAAGCGTTCTACTGGCTTCGCCTCGTCTTACAGCTGTCTCCAACATCCGGCAACGTGACAAAAGAACCCTTGGTTCCTACTTCAGGGCACGTAGATTTACAGAATGGCGGACTGGCTGAGAAGCTAGACACTTGGGTTACTCGCGCGTCAAGTGACGTCCCCGCAAACGAGTATTTATCGTTGTTCGAGGCCGTCAACCTCCCATCGTGGGACCACTACGCTCATGTCCGCATCGCGTACATCATCTTGACCAAATTTGGCCGCCAGAAAGGTGGGTTGCATGTGTCTGGATTGGCCTAACTGTGCTCATTATTATACAGGAAAGGACCTCATCTTCAATGGGATTGAACGTTATATAAAAGAAAGTGGCCAGGCAGGCGGGCGAACGTTCCACCTCACCATGACCTACCTCTGGATACAGCTGGTCCATTTCGGAATCCAGAATACAACCGCCTCGCTTCCCTCGTCGGCGCCCCCTTCAGACGAATCCCCGAATCCACTTCCTCCCTCGGCGGACAACTTTGCTCGCTTCTTGCTTCTCAACTCGTACGTCGTCGATGGCAACATATGGTCGAACTACTACTCCAAGGACGTTATCATGACACCTGCGGCTAAAGCCGGCCTCGTGCTCCCTGACAAGAAGCCTCTTCCTAGCATCTTGTCCCGAGATGCCGTATAGGCAGTATACGATGGCCGATCCTGTGGTGTAATCTGCGTATACTTACTGCACCATGCGCGATGTCTTTCCCTTGTCTCCAACATTGCCCACGGCGAACACGCGTTCCATGGTTCCAGCAAGTAATAAGGCTTGACGACGAACGTGTACAACTTTTACTCAATTATGGGACAATATGCCCACTGCCATGTGCTCCTTCAGCAAGGATATATATACCCTAGTCCATGGCTGCATCTTCACACTGATGATCAAGGCACGAACGCTGCTGTTGTTTTTCATCCTTCAAGTCGTCTGCTATGTCAGCGGCGAAGCTAACTTCAATCCACTTCAACACTCTGGACCAGCTTCACCATACTTTGATGCGCCTTCTCAGGATGGTATTCCTACTGAGACGCCACCTGAATGTCGTGTCGATCAGGCAGCTTACATAGTACGACACGGCTCGTCAGTCCCTCCGAGCATATCAGCTATAGATTTCAATAATTAGCTTTTGTCCAGCCGATATCCTGAGCCTGGGTCGTTCCAAGGCTGGGCGAACCTATTCAACAAGTTTCAGAACGCCTCGTACACGGCAAGAGGTCCACTGGCGTTCATACCATCGTGGGTTCCACCTGTAGACGATGCACCCCATGAGCCTCTATTCTTGACTTCTACAGGAGCGGGAGAGGCATTTGCTCTGGGTGTCGATTTGCGTAAGCGCTACGGATTCACCAAGGGTGGTATGAACCTTACTATCTGGTACGATACCTCCTGATTATTTACGTTATTTCGATTGACACTCAACTAGGTCTGCGTCCCAACAGAGAGTGTTAGACACAGGGTCGTACTTCCTCCGCGGCTACCTCTCGCAAGGCTCCTATGCTGCAGACCCATCTCTAAACCGGGGGTTCACCGTATCTCTGCCCGACTCGGTAAATAACACATTCGCAGATTCTCTCACCCCGTCCATTTCTTGCCCCCCATATGCCTCAGGAGACAGGGGCTCGACAACGGCCAGCCAATTTCGCGCAACATACCTGCCTAATATCGCTACGCGTTTGAACCAGCAATTTCTAGATGGCCTAGCTCTTGAGCCGACGGACATCGGCACTATGCAAGATCTTTGTGGGTTTAGTGCTGAAATCAATGGCGACACACGTTTTTGTGATATCTTCGAGCGTACGCCATTCTACCACATGGAGGTAGCGACAACGTGCAAACCCTTCGCTCTCGCATCTAGAGTCAGAATGGTTAGACTATGAATACGCCCACGACCTCAATTATTACTACGGGTGGGTGATTGGAGTTCGCGTCGCGTTACTCAGGAGTACTAAACCTACGCGAAGCTCCGGACCAGGCAACCCATTCTCAGCGACGGTGGGTTTCCCGTGGCTCAAAGCTATTACGGACATCTTTGTCGCAGGGCCGGGTGAGAGCCCACCGGGCTCATCTGTAACGCCTGCGCAACTCATTATGGGATTCACGGTAACTCTGCAATAACTTTGCATTTGTCCAAACAGTTGACCAAAGCTTACTATTCGCGTACTCAGCACGACAACAACCTCCCGCCCATAATATCCGCGCTAGGCGTCTGGAATACATCTAAACCTCGCGAGGCACCGATCTACCCGCTTTCGCCTACGGCCCCGAATCCAGAGCGTATGTTTCGCTCATCTTTTCTCGTCGCTTTCAGAGGATATGCGGCGCTTGAAAGATTGGAGTGCGATAATACAAGTCTTGCCAAGGAAGTCAAGCATATAGCGGGAAGCCCATTCAGCGATGAAGGAAGTAAGGTTTCCCATTTCGTTAGAATAAGGGTGAGTTCTTAGGTCGGAGTCAAAGCGTGCTTCCCTCCATCGAGGAAGTAATTGACTTGACAGGTCGACAACGCTCCTGTACCTATTCCAGGATGCACCGATGGTCCTGGCGCAACGTGTTCTTTGAGCGCTTTTGTGAAGCATGTGGACAGGCGAGGGCGGGTCGCTGGTGACTTCGTGGATAGATGTGGTCTGGCAGGTGTACCTGGGGCGACCAGCCAACTGCAATTTTTGACAAATCGGCCTGACCCAGCATCTGTGATATCGCTACCACAATAGGACAATGCCTCTTAATGCCCTCTCGCTCAGGAAGGGGAGCAAGACTGCTCAATGAATATATCTGCAAATCCCGTGTATTTTTCATTGTATGCAATAAAAAGAAATCAGGCTGGCGAGGTGCTGAACTCGTGAAATCTGCCTGAGCGCCGTGCATGACTATCGAATATGTTCGTAGGGGATTTATGTGCCCTGCCGCTGATGTATGGGTGCCGGAATATATTTGTAGGCGTTGGTAGGCTTCGATACACACGGGGTGACTGGACACGGCAGCTCTTACTTGCCTGTGTGCGCCGCGCCCTTAGGTAGATGCTTGGGACCTCACAGTGCACAAGGACTCACATTCGCCCCAAGTAGATTGTTGAGGGTCCCCCTATGCTTTCCAAAGATCTAGCGTGGTCGCCAAGTGAGTGTGATTCAGGGAGAATGCTGCAACCTACCTCCGTCGCCCACCAGTCTCTAGCCTCTTGGGAGATCTTCTCACAGAATTCATTCCACCCCAACGCGCGCTGTGCTTCGCTGATGCAACGGACGAAGTCCGCATTTATTAGAGACCTTACCTGCTGAACATTCGTGTGCCAGGCTGGAAGCATATGCCCACGCTGAGAATAGTGTTGGACACATCCGAGTCGGTCACCACATACATTGTGCCTTCCAGCACCGCCGCTCTGACCATCGATCTAAACAGCGGAGCTTCCAAGCTGACGATGTAACGCGTCATGCATGACAATGTTATATCTTGCCTTCGCCTTCAATAAACGATTCAATCAGTGAGTAAAAAGGCTCGCCCCCTCTGAAAGCTCGGCTTACTACACCAATGACCGACTCAACTTGATCATCTGTGCGCGACTTCAATGAAGATACAACGCGCAGGTATTGTTGACTTGTACCTGTAGGTCTCACAAGGACGCGGGTGGTGGTCGAAGTCATCTTATTTTGTGGTAAAGGTTGGTTTCCGGTGTGATCTTATACCGTCGACCGACGCCAAACGGTTTATCTTGCATTTAAACTCTTCTATTTTCTATAAATATCTTCTTGAGCTGGCCCTCGCACACAGTAAGCACGCCAAAATAACCAGAATAACGTACTAATCAGGCACTTTCGGTTTTGGAGTTCTCCAAGGGAAACATCAGAACAAGAAAGACAATCAGATACACGAAGGCAAGATATGAGGTGCATCAAATAATGGATCATCATGTATCGCGGGACTGACGGATCGTGGATGCCTTGCGTGGGGCTATTCCCTTAATCGTTTCATAATCACATACCATGTATTCGTAGCGATCGCAAATTTGAGACATGTAAGTTACAAACTCATCTTGCTTCTCTCAGGGATGGAGCAGTACTTTGGTGTATCCGTCAATCCGTTTGTCGAACTTGTGGTATGCGCTTGGTGCCTCGCTAAGGGGGAGGTTGTGGGATACGACGAATGATGGCTTCGCACGACCAGATATGATGAGATCTCGAAGATAGCGATTGTATGTCTAGGTCCATCGAAAGCTCAATTCGCGGGGAAGTTAAAGGTTATAGGGTATACTGACTTTCACGTTGCATTGCCCCGTGCCGAGGGTTAGGCCTTTCTCGAATAATTTACCTGATAAAAGATATCAGGGTGTGTCATGGATGGAACCTCGTCAACTTACCGAATGGGAAAGAGATGTATCCTCTAAGTTATAGTCGTGTTCAGTTCCTATCAGGCCGCGACGTTATAGTAGAACACTTACTTTGCTGCGGCGGAGTCTGGGGCACCTGGATCACTTGGAACGTACAACCCAGGGATGCCTAATCCACCAGTGGGACGGACGACGCGGATAAGAGCCTCGAGCACAGCATTCGGCTGCTCAGTCTTGCCATCGCCTGAAGTCGCTTGATATCCGACGGCTATAATGTGCGAAGAATCACCGCTTGGCGTCAACGACTTCGCCAGATGGAGAGTTATTAGAATAGAAACGCACCATCGACACCACGGTCAACTTCCTTCCTATTGAAATATTGTGGCGATTAAGTATAGATCTAGCTCATGTATGGGACAAGAGGCGACTGACCCTCCTCTGAGTTTCAGAATCTGGTCCACGGCGTCGGCTTTGGAAAAGTCGATTGGAATGCAGCCGATGTCCTTGGCTTTATTCAGTCTTTCAACGACGCGATCTACGACATAGACGTCCGAGGCTCCACGCAGGACAGCGGAGTACGCTGCCATCAGACCGACAGGGCCAGCACCGAAGACGACAACAGATTCTCCGGGACGGAAACCCTGGTAAATGAAAGGTTATTAATATCTTGCGTGGTTTCTAAAAGGATGTGAAGAAGATGTCATACAGAGAGTTCGACTCCGTGCCATCCCTGCATGAATAAAATTAGGTACTATCCAATGTGGAGAGCAGAGGTTTACTCACTGTTGGAAAGATATCAGCCAATAAGGCGAAATCTTCTTCGTGCTCGGTCCCCGGAGGAAGGATAAGAGCGTTAAAATCGGCGAAGGGAACACGGACGTATTCCTATGTCATTAAGCTGTCAATCAACCCGCGTTGCTGATTGGTAGCAATCTTACCGCCTGTCCCCCGGGATAAGGACCCATAGCTACATAGCTTCCACATAATCAGTACAGACAGCCCGGGGTGAGGACAACGTAAAATGGAGATTCACCCATATGCACTTCATATCCGAATGAACAGGTTGGAGTCAGGCACGAGGTTAAGGTGGGGGACTTGATGCTTACCCTCCTGCCTACATTGAAGCGTAAAAAATATACAACATCACACCGAGAGGGATACTTACGAAACCCGGGTTAACATGGGTACAGAACGCAGACTTGCCCTCTTCGCAATTCAGGCATCGCCCGCACGCAACGTTGAATGGCATGACCACTCGATCTCCCACCTTGAGGAGCTAAGCGAAAACAAAGGTTTCGTCGACATGCTAGAGCGAAGAGGGTAAATCGACTAACCGTTACACCGCTGCCTACACGCTGTATGTTGTCGTTAGTAATAGCTGGGGGAAACAGAGGGTTGCACTGATACGCACGTCAACAATCCCCATGCTGAACGAGTCTTTATCAGCGAAGCAAGATAGAGAGAGAGAGAACTGAGCTCACTTTTCGTGCCCAAAGATGATACCTGGCTGAGCAGCCGTGCGCCCCTCGTACATATGAAGGTCACTTCGCATTTGTTCTCCTAGATCAGCCGAATATTCCCTCACGCTGGAATATATTGACTCACCTGCCGCATATGCACGTAGTGGTCACTTCGCCCGGTAAATTCAGCTTGGACGGCGCACTAAGGAAAGGAGAAGGACTGACCTTTCACGATGATGTCATCTGGGTGAAGAATTTGAGGTTTCTCAACTTGTCTGATAGCGACCTCGAAGGGTTTGTCGTAGACGACGGCTTTCATGGTAGCTGCAGGCGCGGCCATGGTTGGCGTTCGCAGAGGAAGTAGTTTCGATAGAGTGTGAGTTGGTTATTAAGGAGGCAGGGCGTTTAAACAACTTACCCATGGACATGTCAGGTGAGGTCCTGACCGTTTGATTCACAAGATACGTCCGGCGATATATATAGTTTCTAGTGATCACATCTGTGGAGGAGCACGACATCCACTCATCTGTGGAGGAGCACGACATCCACTCATCAATGGAGTATGTGTATCACACCAGGAGAGCAGTGTGGGACGGGGTAACCTTGAAATGAGCAGCGCGAAACTCTAGCTGACAGCGAATCCCGACAACAATCAAAACCCAGAACAACGGTGGTAATCAGAAGAGGAACATACCTTAAACATACCACGTTATCAATTCCAATAGTCTTGTCATGAATATAGCGTACACCCAGCCAATGGTACTAGCCTGATGTAGCTTGTGGTACGCCGAGCATATGTACTATATAACTTTGTGCAGCCTCAGTAGTAGGCTTGGCAAGTCCCGCGTGGGTTCAGGAGAGGATAGCGTGGACCAGAGTTGTTTCTTCGCACATGATCTGATTTTATGGCGTGCTGAGAAGGCGACCTCGGGCAAAGGGAGCATCATCAGTGAAAGGAGCGCACGCGAAGAGCAGCCTGAGTCAGAGTAGTTTTCAAGTTTCGATGATTGGGATCTTATCTTATCTAGATGCAATATCTGATCGGTCAATCACTTGAGGTTCACACTGCCGACGATCATGGCGAAGAAGAAGGGCCCAGCGACCTCTAAGGCTTCCGCGAAAGCAGCCAAAAAGGCCAAGGCCGCGCAGAAGGTCGAGCGCAAGGAGAAGAAGAAGACCTCTAAAGCTAAAGATGAGAGCGATGATGAGGATTTAGAGGGAATTCTGGAGAAGGTACTGCATATTCTGTCCCATGTTTCAACCAAGAAGTAAGAACAGCCTTGCGCTACGCTAGTAGATGCAAAAGGAGTGGGAGGAAGCACACACTGTCACAGAGGAACTCGTCGAAGGACCCCCTAGCCGCAGGGCGAACGCGACGCTTACTGCATGTCCCAACGGCAATCACCTCTGGTGTATCGGTGGAGAGTTCTTCAGCGATGATGGTAGAGCAGTGAGTCACGATTTTTGGTTTCAAGCACCCACCGAACTTTGAACCAAGATGTAGTACTTCTACAATGATACATTCAGATATTCCCCAGAAAAGGTACTGGCCAACTACCACGCGATGCTTCAAAGTGCTGATTTGTGGATCGAGTAGGACGAATGGCGTAAATTCGTATCTCCTACTTGTCCTGGACCAAGATCGGCACACGCTGTCGTAGCGTCTCCAGCTGGAGGCGGAAAACTCTTCCTGTTCGGTGAGGTATTCCTCGCCCATTCATTGGAAACAAAGCATAACCGGTGTGATACTACAAGGGGGCGAATTCTCGTCTCTACATCAAAATACTTTCCACCATTACCGCGACTTCTGGTGCTTCGATATTACTATCCATTCTTGGGACAGGATTGACACGAAGATCAGACCAAGTGCTCGCTCGGGTCATCGGTACACCCATCCTTGTGCGCAATGATAGATTGACCGACAGCGCATTAGTATGGCGATATGGAAACATTACATTTTCCTCTTTGGTGGTTTCTACGATCCTGGAATTACGAGTGCGTACGACTGTTGGGGTTTGCCACCATTTCTGAATCCGACCGCCACTTCGTGTGTAGCACGATACCTAAACGACCTCTGGGTGTTCGATACCCAGGAGTACAAATGGCAGCAGGTCGAATTCAGGGACACGGACTCCAAGCCATCGTATGTCGTGCTACGAATATTTCGCTTCTCTCTGTACTCACGTAGTTCTATAGACCTCGCAGTGGATTCTCCTTCCTGCCTACTCCTGAAGGCATACTTCTCTACGGTATCGTTACCCTCATTCAATCAACCCGATGAATGTACCTGAGTCGCGGATCGCAGGCGGATATTGCAAGGAGTACGCTAAAGGCAAACGGCCAGTCGGGGTCATGCTCGATGATACGTGGTTCCTCAAGTACGTTACCCCACTAGCGTAGTCATGTCATCTCCCATATTGACTTCGCCAGCCTGTCTCTGAAGTCGGCGCCGGAAGCCGGATCATCATCGAAATCCTTCAATCCGCTGATTGCAAAATGGGAGCGACGGAAGCGTCCGTCGACGGCGTACGCACCTGCGTTACGTTCCGGTTGCACAATGACGCTTTGGGCTGCTAAAATGACTGGCGTTTTGTTTGGCGGCGTGACGGATGAGGATACGAGCGAGGAAACTTTGGAAAGTCATTTCTGGAATGATCTGTGAGCTGCGTGTTTTGCTCGGGTCTGTCGGCTTCCTTACGTTGGCTATAGAAATGGATATCAGCTTACTGGCAAAGGCCGCTGGATGAGCATGACTCTCAGGCGGCCAAAGGCCAAAGGCGGGGCGAAGAAGAAGAAACCGCAGGCCGCTTCAGCACAAAGGGGAGAAGATAGCGATGCCGAGGATGCTGTAGGTCCTTTTTTGTGAGCCGATATGGCGTACAATCTCCTATAACTGGTGTTTGATGTAGGCGGACTCGGTGGTCATGGAAGTAGACCCTGACGATCCAATTTTGACGACCCCGCTGCCGAGATACAATGCAATGTTGGCAGTCCTTCGAAATACACTGTTCATGTGAGTATCCACCTAAGAGGGCGGGATCGTGACCAGCTGACCCAATCGTGGTACAGATACGGCGGGATATTTGAAAAAGGCTCGAGAGAGTACACTCTGGACGATTTCCACTCGCTCCAGCTAGATAAGATGGATCGCTATGTATGCTTGAAGCATACGGATGTGGTCATAGACGAGAACGACGAAAGCAGCAGCGATGATGATGACGAGGATGACGATGACGACGAGGAAGATAGCGATGATGATGATTTCGACGATGGTGCTACACTTGTGGAAGAAGAAATGGTCAAAGACAAACTGCCTGCGAAGGAAGAGGACCTAGCTATTGTCGAGGAGGAGGAAGTCGAGGAGGAGATTACCATTGACGAAGAAACCAACGTAAGACACCTTCGGGATGTTCTGCGTCTCAGAAAATTATCCTTGCTAACTCATGTTGTCAAGGCCGATCTACGATTGCAAGCAACCAATTTCATGGGTGTTGCGAAAGACACAACACGTTCCGCAGAGGATGTAATCAGTACCCCACTCCCTGGAGAAACTCTAGCAATGTTCTATGCACGTTCTCGTGAGTTCGGCGTCTTCGTGCGTCAAATGACCAGCTAACTCGATGGATCAGGAGAATACTGGGCTCAGAAGGTTTATGACAGCAATGATATACGGGGAAAAGAGCTCCATCGACTCGGGTTCTCAGTGGCTCAGGAACGATATGGTATGTCATCTTCATGTCATCCTCAATACGCCGATGCTAACCATGTTGGTCAGACGAGTATAAGCCTATCTTGAAGGAGGTTGAGAAGATTTTGGCTGAAGCAGGTTTGGATGAAGAGGAGATGAGGAATAGCGCTGCTGCGGGGCCCGCGGCAGGTGGTGTTGGCCAAAGTCGTAATCGTCGTTGATGTACACGGCCCAGGGTATGTGAACGTTCTGTACCCGTAGGTGTATGAGAAGAGGTGCTATCGATATATTTGAACGAACTACTGATACATAGGGTGATATAAGTTAACGGACCATGCCCGAGTAAAAATTTGCGAAATCCAAGAAGTCCCAAAGAGTGTGAAGTTATGTGATTGTAGCCGAAGGAGGGTGGTGTATTGGATATTGCGACGATGAAAATGGGGAGGGGAAGGGATGCGACTTTATTGTTGGAGAACAGCCCATATTAAAAGGCCACCGGCGAGCAGGAGTGTGCAGATGATGATGGATGCGGCAAGACACCTCCTCGCCCATTTAAGCTCTACGCGCCTCATTTCCTGTACGATGGCGTCGCGCTCTGCTTGCGTCTTATCCGGGAGCCAAGCAAGATGCTCGGGCTCGTCGAATGATGGAGCTTCTGGTGTTTGCAGATCCGACATCAGGATGCAAGCACCAAGGATCCAAAATGGCGGGAACACTGAGGTGGGACGAAAATTTGTAAGGAACGAATGCATTGGAGCAATGTAGAAGAATGTACTCACGAAACCCAAATTTGAAGAGATACATAGCGAGAGTCACTGGCTCTTTGTGCCCCCTTTCGGAGTATGATGGGAGAGGGAGTGCTTCCACGTCTTGGTATGACGGAGGTGCGTCGCCGTCGAAGGACGACACTGAGAGGCGGCGGTCATGCCTGCTCTCGCGAGCGTTTCCGAGGAAGTCTCCGATGGAGCTCGAGGGAGTGGAGTGGGTGCGCGTACTGGCCGGTGGAGGCAACTCCATAGAACCGGAGGCCCTAGCTTCAGTAGTGAAAATGGATTGCATCTTGGTAAAGGTTGGTGATGAGTGCGAAAGTTCGAAGAACGATGCCACTGCAGATGTCAAGGCGGGTATTGGAACGAGGAGGACATGCTATGTGGTCAGAAGTTATATAGCCCGCCATTATGATGGATTGGTAGACGTTCAGGCAACGCTGAATCCGACCCAGCAATTCAAAAATTGCCTCATATGGCAGTTTTTCATATTAGACGCTCGAAGATATCACCACCCACAAGTGTAAGCAGGAGCAAATACGAGCCCATCCAGCAGAAAATACCATAAATAGCACAAATCACCGACGCTCCCAACCCTGGATTGTTTGACCGCCGCACAAAGCAGCGATTGGGTTGCACCACGATCGGTATGATTTATTAATATGTCAGCAATGGACTCGCCTCCAAGTGGTCGTCAAATATGTGTTCAAATAGCGTTCAACGCCCCGCCCCACACTTAGGTTCATGTTTGACTCATTATAAGAGTGCTTGGTTAGCGAGCAAAGAACGAAACTTCCAACTATGTCGCTGAAAGTAAGAAATATATTGGGCATCCCTTCCCCAGAGCATGCCCAGGCAGTTATCAACAGCTTCAATTGCTCTAAGGAGTGGTGAGGTATTGAGTATGGAGCCATGATTTAAGAAAAATTGTTCAATAATATCTTAGCCTCTTCTGAGCGTGGAGATATCGAGCATCGGAAGGGTAAAGGTCCCCTGCAATCGATTAGTACAACGATCTCAGCATCCTAAAAACGGACTCACGTAATTAATCCGGTAGAAGAGTATTCTTCTTTTACCTGGATATCCCGCCCAAAAATGTCCTTCGCCTTCGAGATACGATATACACTGAGAACACTCGCAACCGCCATGAAGATTGTTGCCTCGGCCATATGCCGGCCAGGACAGACTCTATGCACAGTCAGATCCATTAACTCTATGTACGTGGAGCGGGAGACACTAACCGACGACCGAAGCCAAAAACAAACGAGGAGTCCCCATCGTTGAGAGTTCCATCTGAGTTCAGGAAGCGTTCCGGAATAAATAAGTCCGGTTCGGAATACACCCGCTCATCGCGTGATATTGCCCTGTGGCATCATGATCAGATGCATTAATATAAACCGCAGGTTGGAATACCAAATGTTGCTCAGAACAGTTGTATCTGTGCGCTTCAGTGAGTTTTTGACAGACGAACGCCGGTGTCCCCGTACCTTTAGGGATATAATACCCTTCGTATTCATCTTCGGCCAGAAGGGAATGCGCGACGCCTATCGTTATACAACTCAAGTTAAGTCGCCATTGATAGTGAATGTCATACCGAGAGGAACGGAAGGGTGCCACCGCAGGATTTCTTTGCACATCGCGTTGATGTAAGGCAGCGACGCCTGATCTTGGAATGTTGGTAATCGCCCGGGACCGATGACTCTATCGATCTCTGCCTTACCACGTCGTTGTGCCTCTGGATACAAGACCATGGCAAGGAAGAAGGATTTGAGGGGAGACTCAACCTGAGCAGATCAAAGAGTGAATCATAGGACATTAACGATGTCGCCTTTCCTACCGTATGGATCCCTCCTACAAACGCAAACGATAAGCATGATAAAAGACCATGCGACAAAAACATACCAGCAAACGCTGTTGCGGTTAGCGCTTTGATATCAGATTCATGGAGGGCATCTTCCGACTTTGAGTCTGGTAGCTCGAGCAACTCCGTTGTCAGGCATGGTATGGTCGAGCCTGAGGCCTGAGGATACTGATTGAGGACATAGCGAATATTCAAGGTTATTTGCGTACCACACTCTTCTTTACCAAGTCAACTGGGATGTTCTGAAGCGTGGACGTAACCTGGCGGGTTTCGCGGGCGAGAACCTTGAACGCTCCGCCAGGAAACCACTCTGGTAGGTGTTTCACTAGCTGCGCATTAACATCAAGAATGCCAATTTCGAGGAGTAGATCACACTCACGGGACGGGAAAGCAAACAGGACTTGTGCGCCGAAGAAGACTTCTTCCGATAGGGTGTCAACGGCGTCAGTAGCAAGCTTGATGAGGTAGGTATTCTTCTGTATGATCTCATGGCCGCATACCGCGTGCATGATTATCGAAGCAGCGTAGCTGAGCGAGGATCAATTTTGAGTATTTACTCGACGATCGCGATGCACTTACTTCCTGGTATGAAGGAAGAACAGATCGGGGGTGTCGGCGAGTTGCCGAAGTAACTCTTGAGCCTGCCCTTCTTGAATCGGCTGGATCGAGATTGGGCTTCTACTGCCGAAGAAACGTTGGAAGACTTTGCGATGTCTTTTCCACAGCGGATCGTCATAGTGTTTGAACGCTAGATTGAAATCCCAGCCTATGCGGCAAGGCAAGAAGTCAAAGAATGAAAGATAGGATTCGCAAGACTGTTACCCATCATGGTGAGCATGGTGAGCTCGGGTCTATCAGAGTAAATTCGAGACCGCCTCTCAAAGAGCTCCGAGGCTACCGATAGGGAGTTCGCCAATACTACGTGTCGTCCAAATACCGTTACGTGGATAAGGTCCCCTGGGTTGATAGTCAGGTAGGTAAGCGCATGAGCGTTGAGGAGACGAAAGTTTCCACTGACCATACTGCTTCGCCCACTGCGAAACGGTGACCCAAGGCGTCTCTCTACCAAAATTGAGGATATTTCCTATGAAGGGGATTGGTGTCGGTCCTGGGGGATATCTCGACCGATGGTACTTCCACAACGAGTGGATGGTTGCAACGCACGAAAAGAAAGAGAAGGTTATGACAACAGTAGACCATGTCATGTTTATCAGATGGGGTGTTTGTTGAATGGTATCACATTATATAAGATCTCAGACAAGTCCTAAGAATATTTTGAGCGAATTAGTTCTCATAATATGATGATAGGGTTATCTTAACAAACCATGTCCGTACATACGGGGAAACAGGGTGTAAGCATCCGATTTCCCCAACAGGTGAGAGGAGACAGAACCCCACGGCCGGGGCAATCGAAGTTAAAATGAGATGAAGAATACCTCCGGTAGAGACAGAAGCCCCTGGCTAGAGTCGTGCCACATCGCGGGAGGGCATTGGCTGTAGCGTTCTACCAGAAAGGATCTTGTACTTCACAGAGGGTAGTAGCGTTAATCTTTGACTTCGTCGAGCGATTCGAGTATCCAGCACCGATCAAGTCCCTCGGTTAAGTCGTCTGACTTCGGAGGAGAGCCCGCGCACCATAGGCTTCTTTAGGTGTTGCATGCGGAATGACCTTTCACGACCTAGCGCGGGTCGTATTCTCATTCAAAGGGCAAACACCGCGCGAAGACCAGAAGTCGGTAGCTTTGGTAGCCTCCACTTGGACTTGCGGCTTCGCATCTAGCGTGAGTTTGTTTTAGGTTTGTCCTCCTTTGGCATTCTATGTCACCGTTTTCCGAGTTCAGTTTCGGAAAAGCATATGTTATGACGCGTGTAAACCCCTTCCAAACCGTTGTATTCATGGGTAGAAGCTTCGTGGAGGGCGCCTGGTGGAGTGGATGTTGGGGACATCAGACATTTCGAGTCGAGGTACGAGCTTGTTGGAAGTTTGGTGATCAATGCCCCATGCAACGCTGCATAGCTACAACGGCGAAAACAAATCCAGAGACAGCTCCCGAACTTGGCAGCATCTTCGCCGTACACCTCAAAGTGTCGTGCATCCGAGTCCCGAATTGTCAGGCGCGTGGCATGCCCGGGCCGAGGCCCGAAATTGCCGGACCCCTGGCCTGTCACGGTCGACGAACGACTTGGACTCCACCCTTTCTCAAACAAATACTTATCAGGCTTCAGCTGACTGGCTGCGCGCAGAATATTCCACAACGTTTGGTCAGTTCACAACTTCAGTTCCACCCCTGCACTCTGAAACTCTGGTGTAGGCTTGACATCCCAACGAAAACGCGTCGATTATATGGAAACCCGGTCCCCCTCCTGCTTTCAGCTCGATATATAGCCTCGAGTGCAGTCACAATGCGTCGCCTGTATTGTATCCACAAGTTGAATATTTGTGTCGCGTCGTCTTGTTGTGTCAGACTTTGAGCATCGTCTGCGGCGAGACCTGAAGCCCTGACCCTGGATGAATGTACCTGGCAAACATCGTTGCTCCACAACGAAGTTGAACTCTCTCTCTCTTCAAGTCCCCCATTGCAGTGATTTTTACCCCCCTCTCGGCGTGGCCGCCTCGTCCTGTCTTTTTGATCCCTTCACATCGTAAAACCCACACTCTTTTGTTTCCCCCATGTTCAAGTTCGTTGTCTTAATCGTCCTTTCGTGCAGTTTTACGACTGCCTTTCACTCCCCCTTCCACGCTCATTCGAACCGTGGTTTGAGCTTTAACCCACCGTTGAGACTCCTGGAAGCTCGATCAGGCGCGCATAAGCACATCCTTGGCAATGGCAAGAGACATGTTCATCAACAACATGTACCCGATAGCTGGACCAACGCGCAGCGATTGTCGATGGGCTTGCCTATTAAGCCACCCACGAAAGACAAACACGTAGCAGGTGGGTGTATTTTAGGCCAGCCGGTCTTCCAACCATTTATGAGGCTGGCTCATGAACATCGAAATGTTCAGGTCTTCCGAGCCCATCACCTCGGCCCCCTTGTAATCAATGCAATCATCCTACTCCCACCGAGTCTCCTTGTCATACTTCCTCCCCTACGTTGACGCCGTCTGCCCCGCCCTCTTCGATCCCATCAGATCCTCCATCCAGTATCTCCTCAGATCCACCTTCCAGCGTGCCACCGTCGTCGGCTGAACCCTCAACTCCTACTCCTACTCCTACTCCTTCAGATCCTACGGAGCCCCCCGAACCCCCGGTCATCTTGTGAGTACACCACAATCCGGTTCCAAATCGTCCTTATATAGAATGCAATTTAGCACGCGTGGATCCTTCAGCTGTGGCAGAGGATTCTACATCTCCCAAGACCTGAACTCGTTCGGTCAATACACTCGGACCACCGACCCTACAAGGAGCCTGGTCCTTGACATCGACATGATTGCAGCGCAGCTCGGGCCAGTGAGCATGACGACGTTAGTAAGACGCCATCCCCTGATTCTCATACTTGCGAAGTAACATTTCGTCCCGCAGAACGGAAGTCCCACTTTCCCTCAGCTTTCAGCTTTGAACGGTTGGGCGAACGTAAACACCGATCTTGGCCCTGGTACATACCAGTAAGTGAACCGAGGCTTCTCAGCTAGACTTGAATATCTACCCGGCGTCATCTGTAGCTATGCGTACCTCGGTGGTTCCACCGACACACCTCCGGGCTCACCCGCTGTGGTTCAGCCGAGTTCGTTCTCAGCAGCTTCAGGCAGCCCCGTCGGGGTCCAGAGCTCCATCGTGAGGTCCCCGACTCTTCAGACTTGAGCTACCCATTGAACTATGCTACCTTTAGTGGCGATATAGCCCAGGATCGGGCGTCACTCCTCACTGGATCAACTCTGACGGCTCAGAAGCAGAAACTGAGCTTGTTTATGTCCCAGCCGCTCGTACGTCGTCTGCTTTAGACAATCTGAGGTTCATGACGTTTATTGTTTTATTACCCGTAACACAGTTGCGTTTGCGTTAGTGGGTGATGTTGCGATATTCGAAGCAAACTTCGGTGGCACTGAGCCATGTGTAAGTGATATATTCTCTTCGTTCGAGAGTGTACGCATGATCATCCTACTAGACTCTTACATTCATACCCGACACCATCTCTGCGCCTATTCGCTAGCGATGGCCAAGTACTTCTCTTTCGTCTTCTCTTCGTGTCTACGGGTGGTTGTATCTGGGTCGCCAAATATAGCCACCAGTTATTACCTTTTCAATACGAAGGTGTCATCGATACGAAACAGCTGTATACCCCACCAAGCTTCCCTTATAATATATCCGTGGTCAATCCTTGAAGATCATATATCGATCGCCGTCAGTGCCCGAATCCAGTACAGCGATACGCGACACGCGCGCATTTGGCACCTGTAATGTTAACTTGCACGCGCCGGGCTTGGGATTTGCAACGAAAACGAGTGTGATGAAAGTCGCGTGGCCTTCTACGGTTAGATACCGGAAGTAACAAGCGTTCATTGTGTCCCTCTATTTCATGCAGCCGGCATGCCAGTAACGCAGCATATTAGAATGGACCGGCAATACGGATCAGACAATATCATCAAGTCCAGTTGTATACAGGTAGTAGCCCAAGAGGTTTCGCTATGTGTGAATATGAGGTTGTGAATACACGTACAAGAGTCCGGTGTAAGCCAGTGTCGGTTTGCGAAACGTAAGTTGCCTCAAGAAAGGGGTAAGGGGCAGTAAGGAGTAAGGAGTAAACGGACACTGGGAAAAGCAAAGAAGAGAGGTTAGAGAGTTAGCAAGCGGGCAAGTCAATAGGTACTAAGGGGAAAAATAAGGGGTGGGGTGTGTAGATGTCCGAAAAATATATTCGAAAAATATAATAGCATGTCAGAGTCCCAGAGACAATAGAAATGATGGAAGGGGCCATCCAGCAAGCTGCGGGCTTAGTAGACGCTGGTAGTGGGTATTGGCACTGAGGCGGCGGTAGGCACGAACGAGAGCGACTGTAGGAAACGAACGTCAGCCCGAGTGTTGATTTGGAAGTTACGTTAACATACGCATTGAGTAACGGATCCAAAGCTCGCCCTGAAGGCCTCGACACTGCCAGTCAGCGAGAACATATCTACGGAAGCCAAATGAATGTCATTTCAAAGGCAGAGTGACAAAGAGTGCAGTGCGTACCAGCGTTCGGAACGTATACAAGATGAAGCGCTGGCTTTGATCCATCCAGGTTGACCCATTGTGGGTAGACGCCTGATACGCTATCGTATCGCCACTGCAGATCATTATGTTAGTGGAACATCGTCATCTTAGGACAAAACAAAACTCGCAATCGCGCTTTCCACAGTAGCGGCACCTCCAGAATATTCTGAGAAAGTATTTGGCCAGATCTGTGCCGGCGATCCTGGATTGGTTTGGCTGGTCCCACACAAGTTGGCATAGCTATACATCAGCGTTTACGACGTAAGTTCAGGTCATCCATCAACCATCGTCGTATGTCCTGCTTACTTGGATGAACTCGGCGAAAGGTTTGAGTTTGTGCTCGAAAAGCCAGTCACCCCTCCAAAGAAAGGATAGTTGTTTTCGCCACCGTTCTACAAGTCATAAAATAGCATTAGATTTTGAACAAGGCTGCGAGAAGGTTGAGAGGATGACAAACTCACGATAGCCATCATATCCACGGGTCCGAGTCGCGCCGCATCCAAGTCGATCTCTAGAAGTAAACGCTTCGTGGAGTCGGTGGTGCGAGTATACTGGCCGAACGCGTTCAGATCTTTGGAAATGTACCCCACGAATTCGCCTGTCTCGGCATCGGTGCAACCAAACGAACCACGCGTGCTACGTACGAGATCATATATTTAGCACGGTGATGTCAGACCTCGGACACCGGCAAAGAACTCACGAAAGGACTGGGGGTGTTGGAGGTGTGACTGATGGGGCTGACGATCCCGACAATGAAGGGGTTTCGGAGTGGGAGCCAGATGGTGTCGAAAGCGGGGGCGGTCTAGGTGACGCCGACGGGCTAGGAACCGGTGACAAGCTTCGTACAGCTAAATTCAGACACCCATACAAGCTCAGCATCAGATACATCCTCGTTCAAAGCAGGCACATAAGCTCACCGTTCCCGCGTCTAACAGGCGGCTTCAAAGGCAAGCCAGCCGTTAGTCGCTTGGCGTTGGTCCAACTCTCCGGTACAGGGCGCCTTTGCTTGAGCAGTCCTCTTCCAATAATATGCTTGTGCGCGCTCGATTGAGGTTGACGCTGAATGAGCATGCTGCTGAAACTCAAACTACGGCTGGAATGAGTGTGAGAAGCCGACGCGATGCTGCTACATATAAGTGCAAGGAAAACAAAGAGCTTGAGCATGTCGATTCTTGTGAAATAAATGAATGTGGGCTTTAGGACGTAAAGGTCTTGAAAAGAATGGAGGGCCTAATACACTGCACAGTGCAAAGAGAGTATCGGAGAAAATAAAGAGAAAAGAGCAAGGAAAAGTACAGTCACCACAACGACAGTGGGAGAATATTTCGGATTCCAGGCACCACTACATGTGCTGCGTCGCTTCGCTTCTCGATGATCAGATGGTGTGAGCGTAGACAAATGCCAGCATTAGATACGAAGTATCTTGCTAGAAATTTCTGCATGCATACTTCACTGGGCCGAATGAGAAGGCGAATAGATTGAATTTCAAATGATGGTTAGACTTGCAGTTACGTTGGATCGACGATCGACGATGAATGAATTCTCTACGTAATCAAGATCTTATCTTATCTTAGGAAAGGAATTCATGAATAGTTACTGTTTCGCAGAGAGCGATGAGGTTGCTGGTTTTCTCGATAGCGGTTCTAAGGGCGGCTTTCCTGGGATCCCGTTTAATACGTAACTAATACCGATCATACTTTTGTCGGTAAGCCATAGCGGTGGAATCAACGACCAACTATTCGAGAGGCCAATAGTAACTAACACAAAACAAACTGACAGTTAGTACAGCGAATAAAACATCTATTACCTACTTCGGGGAAGTCGGTGTACTGCAGGACTTCGGGAAAGACTTCAGGTGGGAGGATCATGACGATACGAGGATAAGATGGTGAAAAGATATCGATGAGTCAGGACCTGTCATCTGCGAGGCCTTCCTTGTAGATATTGGAGACCCTGAGTCTCACGTTCTCCCTTTGAATCAACCTGCAGCAAGTACCTTCGAACGAGCGGCATGCGCTTTCCGTGGAAATGACTATATTCGTCTTCAGGCATTGCTAGAACCACAGGCGGGGGACATCGTCGATAGATTTTTTATCTTTAGCAATGCTTGAAAATAATAGATGCATTTCAACGACGACCTTGCTCTGAATCATGACCTTTAGGATTCTTGGTGAGGCTCCAAACAGATGGGACCAACTACTGAACCATGCATCTTCATGACAGTGGACACCTATCTTCGAAACCACGGAATGAGAGCGGCGATGCCACGGCGGAGGACGAAGCTATGACTTGCAAACAAGATGGGGGCTATGCAAGCTCGAAATCGGGGACTATGAGGAAGAATGTGCCAAAATTCAGAACAGGCGAGTCCTTTCCACGACGCGCCTTGGCTAAGTATGGAAATAGACATCGGGAACTAGTTAACCGCCGGTCCGTCACGGTTATGTGACCATCACCAGAATCCAAATATTCACCACTCAATACATATGCATCCATTCCATTCTTGTGAATGGCTTAAGCCAATTTCTTTCCTTACGCTACGTGTCTTCAATAAGTGACGCATTCCATGTTTGGTTTTTGAACAGGTTACCGAAGAATTCGAATCTCCTTGGTCATCGAACTACTGTTTGCCTCATAAGGAGCCTAACTACCTAGCTCCTTTAATGATGTCGGCAGCCTGTCGCAGACGGTAAGTATGTAGTCACACGAAATTTTGATCTCACCTTCTCTGCAATTGCGTATATGGTGTGCTGAATATGGGCCGAGATTTGAAGGGGAATCACTGAGGCATCCACCTGAATGGGTAAAGTCAGTCGATGAGTGGGTCATAAATCGTAAACGCACCACTCGCAGATTTTGGGTGCCGTACACTTTCAACGATTCGTCGACTACACCACCGTCTTCACGGGGAAACATTGGTGCAGTACCGATTGGATGATATATGGTCTGTACATTCCCTTTCAAATATTCTATGATCTCAGCATCGAACTGGACCGCTGGGCCTGGCGCCGTTTCCCGGACAATTGCCGATTTGATGCATCGCGCATTCACAACCTTACGGACTAGTTTGACAGCGTCGATGAATAATTCAATATCTGTACCATTGTTTAGGAAGCGAGGGTCGATGATAGGGCTGTCGAAGGGATCGGAAGACCGTATATGGACGTGTCCGCGCGAGAAAGGATGCAGAAGACCTAGGATAAAGGAGATGTAGTTTCTGCCCTCTAGCGGTAGAGCCCTGGTGTTTGGGAGGTACGAAGAAATGGTGGCCAGCCTGGTAGACTCATGGGAGTTGCCAACGGGGATAGTCAGACCGGGGTACGTACTCAAGAAAGGAAACGTCTCTATTCATTAACCACTCCTTCTGCATTTGGAAAGCACGTTGCATGCCGGCGGATGCTCCAGGGTCGCCAGAGAAGTCGAGCTTGTTCGCGCCGTCCAAAATCTTCCGGTCATGAGGAATCAAGCTTAAGGGAATAAATGCGAATGCCGACATAGGGGCGGACGACAGTAAGCCCGTGCGCGTCGTCATACTGTGTTGACGTTAAACTGGAATACGAAATGAAGGCGAGCGCTTGGCACGCTTACTATTCTGCGGATTCTTCGAGTGCTCTTACTGGATCGCGGAGGACATCGTTCGACTCAAGTTGGGGATCCAACTCACATGTAAATGGGCACCACAAATGGTCCTATATGGCAGGGAAGTGAGATTAAGCAACATACGGTGGTAGTGAGACAACACCTCTAGAAACAGGATGTTAGTAGATGCGCTTATAGTAAGCCCAATGTCACATACGAAGATTACTGCCTACGCCAGGTAGGTCAATGATAACTGGAATATTGAGAGGGTCTAGGATCTTCTTGTCGCCGATACCTAGATAGTCGGCGATCAGGTAGGAACTGAGATGTTGTAATCATAATGGCATTACCAGAAAGTTCTAATAACTGAGGCGTCTTGAAAGAACCCGTGCACAGGATTACTTCTTTCGTAGCATGCGCGACATGGATTTCGCCGTCCTTATGATACTCTACGGCCTTTGCAACCAGGTCGCCTGACTCTTTGGGATCGAATAATATTCGAGTGGCATATGCACCGGTGACAACAATCAGATTGGATTTGTCTCGATTTGGTTTGTAGTAAGCCTATTATTGTGATGAGCACCTTACGGAGAGTGTAGAGTGCATTAAAATGATCCGAGGCTTACCGACGCAGACGATGCCCTTGTGTGTTGTCCAGGATGGATGGCCGTTGTCCCTGTCCAACATCCTGCGTTGGCACCATCGTTCTTCGGAGCATCATCCAGGGTCGGTTGATTGGGTTCGGATAAGAAAAAGAGACCTACGGGGTCGGCGTTGAAGGGTATGCCTACGGATACGAACGCTTCCATCACGCGGCTATGAACAGGCCATACCCGAGGAGGCATAATCTTGGGCAGGGGGCCACACTTTCCATGTACTTCGTCGGCTATATTGAGTCCGAATTCTGTAATATCCTCGCTGTCTGGATGGAATGCCTCGGACTAGACGACCATGGGTGAGCGTTGCATGAAGGCTCAAGATGATAGAACGAACCTTCTTGAAGTATTTCAAGAATTCGGCCCAATCCCAGCCCTTGGAACCTAGCTGTTCGAATGCTATCGAAGCCGTTATGCCTCCATGCGTACCAGAAGAACTATGCTCTTACCGTTGTACTCAACGGCGGAAGCTCTGCAAGGTTGAGTGTGTATGGAATTGCCGAGATAAGCGGGAAACTATCTTACCTCCCAAGTTGCATTAAATTCAGCTAAAACGAGTTACAAAGGTAGCCGCCAGGAGGAAGAGAAAGAGAACACACGAGAGTTGAGCCACCCAATCCTTTCCCACTTGCACGGAGTCAGGTTGTAGTCGAAGATGTGGACCAAGTTGCACTATACCGGGGCAAGTAAATACGGCGACCGTTCAGACCATCCTGCGGCGCAGTAAAGAATCCCCAATCCGTCTCAGGATTTCGTATTCCCTTGTAGTAATTGGCTAACGCAGGAAGGTCAATATTTTTGGGACGATAGTGACGAAAAAATATGTTACCGGGCGTTTGAACATCTGGATTCCGGGACATATCTTGCCCAGCCTCTAGGACACCCACCAGGACGTCCAAATCCTCCGCTAGACGGGTGGCTACAACGAGACCCGCAAGGCCACCCCCAACGACAAGATAATCAACAGTAATCATGATAAGAGGTGCACAAGTAAAGAAGCAACCAAAGGTTCCATATGTACTGCAGCTGTTCGAATTTGTACGTCTTTGGAGACCCTGGGCGACTGTGTAAGCCTGACATCAAGGCACACCGAATGGGCTGGCTAGTGTCAGCTTGCGACCTGCTCGGAAATTTGGTTAGGACGGTGTATTTCAAGCCACATTTTAGAACCACGCTTGAGAAACTGAGATGACCCGCCTGGTGTGATTCTAGCTAGCTTCTGCGTCGCAGACAATTTTTGGGCGAGTTCTTTGGTCTTCCTGACCCAGCACTGAGTAAAAGACTGCAACAGACTGGTGAAACGGGGTCGCTTGTTGCGAACCAGATATAGTTGCGCTTAAGACCCTGCAATAACCCCGACAGGCATGTGTGCTCAGGCTAGCTGGGTCGTGTCGCTAGATTAGTTGTTATGTCGAACACGGCTGGCAGTCTTCTAGCGGGCGTGGGCTCCGATTGCTCATTATTACTGGGATTGACGGTCACAAATATTCGCCGTGACATGTCATAGCATCCTGAAATTCCATATGATGAATCGAGCAAGAACTGGGTATTCCGAGACCAATCAAACCTACCACAAAATCAAAGAAGCCAAGAACTAGTCACTAGCGTGTGCGCGGAAAGCTAAACATTGCGCACAGCCGTAGCTATCCAAGATAAACCAATGAGCCTGGGTGGTTCCATAATGAGTAACAATTGTACTTAGTGGGAGTAGGATGCTTCGTGTATGACTACTTTAAGCCCATCGGAACGCGTTGAACGCTCGCCGTGCAAACTTGAAGAACGGGGCCCGGGATCCGGGCGCTCGGCGGAGAGGATGCACCATATGCGCCAGGTCGCAGGTGTAGAGAGGTCAGTTGATGTAGTTGCAGATCCACATGGGTCGTCGTTGTAATTTTACGAGCTCAAACTTGATCCAGACATTTCTAGAGAAGAGGCTTTGTACTGCGAGATCGGCGGGAGACAAATGTGGTCTTATATTCCCACACTCGTCAAACTGAGCCGCAATTTGGTGGCACGACGCCTTGCATTCACCACGAGGGTGCAGAACATGACTTGAAACAGGCAAAAGGTAGACATATATACCTACCTAACTAGCACTCGAGAAATATTACAAGCTGAAAGGAGACACGGTGAAGATACTGGAGAGAAAAGACGAGCGTCCCAAGTACAGCAGTACGGGATAGGATGTGAGATATGGAGAAAGACGAGGAAAAGCTAGTATATCCAACGATTTGTAGTGGATCACTCAAAGCTAACATGGATCGCAAATTTTGAAAGAACCTTTCAAAATTTGCGATCCATGTCACGCAATTAAGCGACGGGGGTCTTTACGTCGTTGTCCGCGTTGGTGATGAGAGGGGCCTTCTCCTCGGCGAGAGTGTAATCGGGCGGCGCTGTGAAGATCTCCTCGGCGTCAAGGTACTCAACGACATACTCTTCTTCGTCTTTAGATCCGCGAATGGAGCGGTATGAGATGACAGCCAGAACCCACAGCATCCTCAAAAGAACGCCGATACCACAGCCTAACAATCGGTTAGCTTGCTTCCAAGCAAATGCCTGGGGACTTACCAAGGACAAACGCCATGACACGTCCCTCCCAAGGACTCAGAGCCGTCAAGGAGTAATGAAGACGTGTGACGAATGTGGCGTCCTGTCCAACCTGATGATGGTGGTGGCCATGACCATGGCGGTGATGAGGATGGATTTCACCAGAACCGGGGGCGGCCATGAAGTTTGGCGGGGTACCGATGAATGGCATGATGCGAATAACACCGCCGTGGATCTCAGAATCTGGCTTGGGGTGCCCTTCGATAGGGGGTAATCCAAGGGCTTTCCTGAATGAATTGGAAAGCCCGACAGCCTTCTGCCTGAAGCGGCACGAAGGTCGGCGTCCGGCGCCAGATTGCTGCTGAGTGCCAGCCACAGCAGCACCGTTGGACAAGGTAACAACGTTATTCCCAGCGTGGGCGTGGGCTACGGGGTACCCAAAACGAAGATGGGCCGTCACTTCAGATGAGCTTGAAGAGACCATTATCACTCGGAGCGGGCTTGATGCCACTGTACAACGCAAAAAGGTGAGCTCGTCGAGAAGACATTAGACTGGCGATGTGCTTACCTAGCCCCGCCCCGATGATAAGACACTCTAAGACAGCGAATTTCATTGGTAAAGATTTGGCTTCTCTGAGTAGAATGTAAGCTGTGGAACAAGGAATGTAAAGAGGCCCGTACAATCGAGTTTGAAGAGGATGAGAGAGGATGGAGAGTGTTGCTTTGATGCCAGTCAGTGCTGAGTGTACTGCACGGTGGCCGTGATGGATACAATTATCCCACGATCACGATGCACTCCGCCTACCTAGGCCCAGTTGGCTTTGGGGTTGGATTTGCTCAAGAGTCTAGAGATTAGGTGAGGGGTCGCTTATATATGCGTAGAACATATAATTGGCTATGTAGGTACCGACTGTAAAGGCATTGCTTTAGAGTATATTGACTCAGTGTGAAGGGCACTGACTCCGAATTGTTGCGAAGGCGCCGTGAACATCGCCTACAACTTTGCACTAAAATAAACGCCTCTAGGCATCTTCGATATGAGTTCCTAATTTCCTTAGAATTCAATCTTTCTTGGATGTTTTTGTCTCGAGGCGGAGTGTTCGGGTAGGCTAAAGATAGCAGAAGTGGGCTTCCAGGGGCTGCTAAGTAATAACTGGAACGAGAATGCTGCTCTTTATTTAGGATGCGTCGCAGAGGCTGTTAGCCTCAAGAAACCACCGACAGCACTCTATACATTCGCGGATTACACGAGAGTATATACTTGAGGAGGTAGAGCTGGGCTGCATGTACACCACGCGGACGGCGCAGGCTGTGCCCTGACGAAGAAAGTATGTTCTCTTGCTTCCCTGGGCATGCACAATTAGGAACCAGTCTTGTACTAGCACACTCCTACGCCGTCACAGAATGTACGTATCAGGACGATATTGTCAGTGCTTTCCTGGACCAGGTATCCACCCCACATGCTCAACCCCGTATCCATAGAGGAGTAGATAGAAGGGAAAGAGAAAGCACACTAACCCGAACAAGGAAACACCGACAAGTTTGAATGCCAACCAACGGGCGATCCCTCAGTGCTCGCCGGCAACAGGCAAACCCGGTACAACGTCGGGAGGCGCACCCTCAGCCCTGCTCTTGTTAGGCCCTACTATATCATCAATACCACGGGAGAACCAAACCCAGATCGACCTAGCAACAAAAAACGGCGATGAATGAAATCGTCAAGCTCCTTCAATTGTCTTCGTCCATTCCATCTCAGTCCCCACCACAACACGCTGGGAGAGCACCGGGCACAGTAGGGTGGCGAACCCGATCGAGCGGGAATAAAGCGGGATTACACCCAGTGTTCTTATGCAGGTGCATAACCACACATGCGCATTGTATTGTGATGAACCAAAACTCCACTGCACAAGAAGAAAACACACCTGAGTTGTATCCGTGCATGCCAGATAACCAGGGAAATGCCAAGCGGGCAAGCACATCGGCCGCGGTAGGAAAAGGCCTTGAGCCGTTAAACTGCAGAACGTCAAGCCTGAAAAGATGAAGAGTGTCCATAAGATACGCGACTGGCTCGGCATCGGAGCCACTTGCTAGTTGTTACTGAGTGATCCAAAGGTGGGATTGCTGGGGCATCGGGAGTACCACGGAAGTACAGGATTGACGACACTGGGAAAGTAGTCACCGGTGACTTGGGAACCTGATGTCCTTTGCTCGGGATGGATAGCAAGAGCACTTGATGCGTCGCATCATTCTTTTCGCTTTGTTCGAAAGGTGTGGGAGCGTAGATTGCTACTGCTGCTCGCGTGGTAATTTTCCCCGTGGCGGTTGTGTAGGATAGTTGACCTCCTGCGTACTCGGTCATTTCCTGATACCCTGCGGCATATTCACGGTAAATTTGGCCCATCGGGTTCTCTCGGGCCGCCCAACAGGACAATGCATTGTAAACGCATGAACCTCGAAGCGTGATAAAAAACAGGGAGCCTCTGTTACTTCCAGAATGAGAATAAGGGCTGACGCATCTTTGAGTCCAAAATACTGTCGAATGAGTGGATGAACGTGTTTCGGAGTGCAAATCCGTTACTGATTCGTGTGACTTTGACATACCATTCAGGGGGACAGGTATAGCCGTCTCTGGGCACTGTATGATAGCGATAGACACTTGAAGGTCGGTGTGGGTGCGTTACAACGCCGGCGTCGTTTACTAACCGACCTTGTAACCGATGGTCGAAAGACTACGAAAGGCTGTCGTGCGGACTCAGCGTCGTGTCGACTCGTCTATTGAATCCGATATGATTGAGATACTATCTCAGATGAAGAGGTTATGATTTCGAGGCTCGGTTTTGATCAAGGGGCACATCTTCTACGCCCCGATGTTAGACAGCAGCCGCGCAGCCAAAGGGCTGTGTAACGGTAGTGTCTGTAATTGGAGCCCATCAGATTCGGTGGCCTTCAGGCTGATCTGAGGGACACGATGTTGTTCTATCTTACCGACTTGTGCGCAACAGAGATCTGCCGCAATATGAGTAGCTGAGTCCCTGAGCTGTAGGCTGTATCCTTGTACCCAACCTGTACGGACGCTTTCTGACACGCTGATGGTGGTAGTAGCAGCGGGGATTCAAACCCGTCAACTCCGCGATCCTGGTGGGAACAGAGTCGCACGGTTCTTCACCTTTGGATCCATAGCATCTACTTGATCTGGTACGTTGCAGCCCCGGATAGACCTGAAAGGCATATATATCATGGCTTCACTGTTCCATGAACTTAACACATGTCCTCCCGATTATCTCTTCCACCGCTCCCAAAGACGCAGGCGTTGACCAGCTCAACGTTCAAGATACCGCCCCTCGACGGGTCATTGAGCGTACCAGAGCTCTATGATTGGCATTACTGCCATAAGACAGAGCATCCTGTCTTTGTTTTCCCTGGAGAAAATGACCAGCAGACGATAATAAAATGGCCTGAGCTCGTCAGAGCGATTCACACCGGCGCCCGTCTCCTTCGCGGTCTCATGAAAGCCGCTGGGAATCCCTCGGTCGTAGCAATCTTCACAACTTCCGGTGAGCACCGAACCGTTGAGCGCATTTGGCAATGAAATTGATCCCGTTTGTTCTCAGAGACATTCACATACTTCACTTTGATTGCAGCTACTTTCCGTGCCGGATTTGTGCCTTTTCTGATCTCCCATCGAAACTCAGCAGAGGCACTTGCATTCCTTTTCGCTGAAACGCACGTAGACCATGTACTTGTTGATCGAGGCACTGAACTACAGGAGGTGTTGGGATGCGCCCTACGACTTATGCAACAAACATACCCAAGGGCGAAGATACCTCCGTACTCTGAAGTCCCACTCTTTGAAGAATTGTTTAGGAATGAGGACTCTTTCCGATTGCTTCCACCCTACCGTCCTGAGATGGACACTCTCGCTATGATTCTTCATTCCTCCGGTACGAGTGGATCTTGCTGCACAATGTCTCGGCGCCAACCCTTCATTTAGGTAGCACCGCGTATCCGAAGGCCATCCGCTGGACCCATATGCAAATGCTCCAGCTAGGCTTTGTGCCCTGTGCGTTCCGTATTTTCGCAGAACGTCGTCATTTTTATTTCCTTCAGTTTTTGGAGAACGAGATCTCACAGGATCTAGACTGTCCTGTCACGTTGAGTTTATTCTTTCTCGAACGGCGATTGGGGTTCTGAGTGCAATACTTCCTCCTTAGGCTATGCCAATGTCCCATGGCACCGGAATGATGCAAACGGTGTGGACGGTACATCATTCGTTCTCGTTTTAGACGAACCGTTAACTGATGTAACTTTAACTGATGTACCTGCACAGGCAAGTATGGGGATAGTAATCACCGCGGCAGCACCCAAGTCGCCGGGAATACCGCCCACGCCTAACAACGTCATTGCCAGCGCGCAGGCTACATCCACAGATATTATATTCTGTGTCCCGATGTATATAGAAGTAGGTCGCCAAGATGAAACGTGGTTCTGAAATATGTGCCTGACAGTTGCTGGATACGAATAGACCTGGTCGCACGACCCCCGGACGGTGGACTTTCTCTCAAACATCGATGGTCTTGTAAGTGGTCGATTTAAGATAGCTGATCTTACTTACCATCATGAATAGCTGTTCTGCGGTGCTCTCCTTAACAAGGACATAGGTGATACGATGACACAGAAGGGTGTCAGCATCTTCAATCTATATGGATGGTGTGTACTGACTCTCTCGATTTGGCGTCGCCCTCATATTCGGCTCCAGCGCGGAAGCTGGCATAATTAGTCCGATAATACCTCGTAAGTCTTACCTTGGCTTTGGTTCACCGCTCACGTAGCAATGTAGGGCATAGCGGTCTCGATTGGGAATATTTCACCGTGTCCAACCAAATGGAATGGAGACTGATTCCTAATGGCCTGGGACAAAGCCGCCTGGCTATAATGGTAAACAATGGCATCATCTCAGTTGAACCGGCGGACATCTCACGCTCTGCTTCTAGCCAACCCCGTACCATACTCCCCTTGTCGTCAATGGTAAAGTTGATGGGAAAGACGCCACATTCACCGACGACCTCTTCATTGCTCACCCAACGAAACGTGGGTATTTTAAGCTGTTCGGTCGTGTTGATGATCAGATTGAACACGCTACCGGCGAAATAGTGAGGCTTCTCATTATATATTTACCGGGATACACGACTATATTGACCTCCTTATATCAATAGACGAATCCTGTCCCGATAGGTGCGTCAATCACGCACGCCCGTGGGTAACACTCATGGTATACTGAGGTTTTCGCAGAGAATCTACTGAACCAAGATCCCCACATTAGAGCTTCAGTTATATTTGGCCGCGGCCAATTCAATCTTGGGGTAACGGTTGATCCTACCCAAAGCTTTGACCCCCATGACAAGAAGCAACTGGCAGAATTTCGGGACGCGATATGGTAGGTTGCTTTCGTTCTACGAATTAAAGCGTCCGTCTGAATCTCTATGAGGCCAACTATAGAGCGAGTCAATAAGATCGCCCCACGCCATTCCCACTTATTGAAAGAGGTGATTTATGCGAGGTCTGATTGAGTTTATGTTATTCATGCATTATTGCGCATGTAGATGATCCTAGTCGCGCTACCGACCAAACCGCTTGAATACACAGCCAAGAACACAGCACGTAGACAAAGAATAATTGCCCATTACAAAGCAGAGATCGATGCTCTCTACCAGGAGGCCAATCGCTCTAGCCTGACGGATCTGAGTCTGGATTTTCCTCAAAAATGGGACTTGAACTCAGCCCGCTGTTTTGTTGGGACGGTGGTCAAGACTGCTTTAGGATTAGGCACCTTGAGAGACGACGATGACTTTCGGCACAATTGCGACAGGTAAATCAGTGCTCAATTCTATTCCTGCTGATCAACGGAACCCGTCTGTAGCCGCCAGAGCACCTTGGTAACCAATACCATCGTGAGGGCTCTACGCGATACAACTAGGGCCAACACCAACGACATAGCAGATACCCTCCTTGATCATCATACGTCGATCAACAAACTCGCCACATTCTGTGTCAAATTCGCTGCCAAAGCATCCTATTTGGCAGAATCTGTAGGTGACTACCAGATCATCGTGGACAACATGGAAGAAATGCTCGAACGATTCGGCAGTAACTTCACTGAGCGATCTGGTTGCTTCACGCACAAGGGGATCCGGAGCAATGATGATGATGATGTATTCTTAGTAACTGGAACGACGGGATTCCTCGGCGCAACTTTACTCGGCCATCTTCTCCAATCCAAAAACACCCGGAGGGTTTACGCAGTTAACCGTGGCGACAATGACGGCGTATCGCTGGCTAGCAGACAAGAGACGGCCTTCAGAAATCTGGGCTTATCAGTTGATCTCATTACTCGGGACAACAAATTAGTGCTAGTGGAGGCAAGCATATCTGATGAACGCGCCGGGTTGACTTCTGCTTTGATCGAAGAGGTATGTCAGGTCTTGCAGGTTTTGAAATTTACTGAACCCCTCAGATTCGGTCATCGGTGACACACATGTTGCTAAATGGTATGTGTGCTGAGTGTTCAAGTTGATATCGTCGATCAATGTTGCGTCGAACAGCTTGGCCTACGGACCCCGACACACCATTACAAGCTTTCGAGCCAACATTCAAATCTATTCGCACGTTGATTGATATCGCCCTGTCGTCTTACCGACCCAAGCTGCCAACGGTGATGTTTGTCAGTAGTATGGAGGTGATATCTAGTATGTTCCTACTATTCATCGGGTGAACCCTCGGGATTAAACAAGACTAGGTAGCCAGAGGGGGACGACAGCCCTTGAACTTGCCGTAAATGCCGACGCATCTACCAAGACGGGACATACTCAAGCCAAATGGGTTGCTGAATCCATTTGCTTGAATGCCACACGAACCACATCTCTTCGAACACGCATCGTGCGGCCAGGTCGACTATGTGGTAGCACCAATGGTTACTGGCGGAATCCTGGTTGGATCCAAGGAATCGTCGAGACCTCGAAGATCACAGGGTTTCTCCCTGATATTGGGGGCGATAAGGTTCGTTTTGTGGGCTGGTTTGTCTTTTTTTTCTTCAATTTCGACTGAGAAGGAAACTAGGAGCTAAGTTGGGTCCCAGTGGAGGATGCGTCTCGGGTCATCTTGGAGCTCTTGGAGGGTGACCAGGACGGAATATTCCACCTGGTACATCCCAAGCCAGTAGCAGCGTCTCTGGTGCTCGGGTGGATCGCATCAGCGCTGGACATCCCCGTCGTCCCTCCACAGGAGTGGCTATCTCATTTAAAGCATATCCATACAGGCTCGGATATGTCGATCAATCCCGAGTCTCTGGACGAGGTACAGTGGGGTCCTCAACAAGTGAATATCTCGCAATGCTCGAGGTCGTCGGCAACGATGAGCCGTGCGTCTATTCGACAGATCAGTGAAGAAGAGGTTCTTCGCTGGATTGGGAGATGGGCTAAGTAGCAACTAAGTTAGAGCTTTACAGAGTACGAAGCCGGATAGATAGTTCTAGATCACCTCTTTGGTTAGTCTTTTGTTAAAAGTGTGTGGTACTCCAATTAACATTGGCGACCGCATGTAGTTACGAGGGATGCCACATGAGTTAAGGCAAAAGTGTACTATCAACACGACGTCCCCGTGCAGGTTCTACTAGCAATGTAAGTAGTACCACTTCCACGGCCGGATGGCTGCTTCTTAGAAAGCCTGTCAACATAGATGAAGGTCGCCACAATCACATCCGTAATGCCATAACCGCCCGGGAATATCTCCAAGTACGCGGTCCTTCTTGGTGAGCGGATTCCAAGGGAAGAACCATGAAAACTCGCGATGAGAATGTCATCGGAGTCAGCGCTGAGATATAGCTATAGTGGGTTGTTGATATGGCGATCAATTTGGGACGAAGGGCGAAGTACCTTTGGCTTCGAATTTGTGCTAAACCTCCACTGATATTCCTGACCGTTTGGACCAAAGAAGACACGATCACTGACGACACATTTTAGAGCAGACAATTTCCCTTTATAAATCGTACACTTACTCTCCATCTGTCTCGAGTCCTGTGCTGTAAAAATTCTCCTTGCTTTTGACCTCCCCGTCTTCAAACCTCAAGACAGGGGATTTGAAAACGTGCCAATCAATTTTGGCGATGGGGTAGAACCGATCTTCGTCAGCCGTTGTCCTTGGTGTGCCATCGTTCATAATCTTGCTAATAGTTGTCACCCTTCCGGTGATTGCAAAGGAAGTGGTGGCTTTGTAGATGGCGCTTCCATCTTCACAGAAGATATTGTTTCGAGTATCTCTTCCTGTAGAGAGGGACAATTTCATCGTCTTCGACATGCTGGGGAACGCGCACTCGGCAGCCAGTGATCTCTGATATAGTCTTATATCCTGGCCCTTCCATCAAGCTTGGCATAAATGGCGATGCGATTCTAAACAATTGAACTTATGGGGATGGTGCCACTGGAGCACAGGTGTTGGAGACCATCAAAACCCTCCTCCATCTGTTTCCTTTCGGGTTGTAAGATGAATACTTACTGTGTCGACCGTCCGTCGCCTGGGAATACTCCAGTCCACCCAACCTCGCCTAGGGTATATGTAGGAGGGGACGAATTCGCAAAGTCAACGTACCAAGTTTGTGGCGGACAACTCGACGCCCAAAAACAGGGGTGGAAAGGAGTGTGCGAGGGGCCATCTGGATGATTTGGGGACCGCAACCATTCTACCCATCATCAACCTGACACAGACACACGGTTTGCTGGCCTCCTAGGGACTCTCACTATGCAATGCAACTCCAGAGCGACGGTATAGATCATGACTGCTGCCTCTCATCATTCCTCAGTGTAGTGCGGCTCGGACTGCTGAAAACCTCAACTCTTGTTTGAAAAATTCCAATTTTCTGGACTGTACGATGACCTCCAGAACCGAGGACTCAGAGCCCACTTGAAATGCTCGATAAATAACCATCAACTGTATATTCTCAAGGACCCTGGCAGCGGGTGGACTATTTTATAGTTAACATTCTTATCTATTCGATGGGGACGGAGTACCGTTGAAGTACTAAGGCCTAAGATCTGAGCCTCTATAACCGTAGAGCCGTACTCAAGACTTTCACTGCAGTATGACCTTAGATACCTGCAGCCACAGTTATGGCTTCACTCGCGAATGTGGATTCTAATTAATCGTTAATGATACATCAGAATTCATTCGTTAATGCTTCGAAGCAAGCGCTCTGCCGGCTCGTTCTGCAAGCAAACATCACTGGCTAGCTAGTCAGCTGGAAACTGGAGCTACATTGCGGTTAGCTGGGTAATCAACATGTTGTTTATAAGGAAAGCCAATCGTGGGCGTGTAAGTCGATGTGAGAAGCAAAGCCCACGATTTACTGGTTCAATGCCTTCATGAGTTCAATTATTTCATTGTCCCATCCTCACTGTACGCGGCTGCGCGCGTCCTCGAGCCTCCTGAGCACCTCTCTATCACTCAGGAAAGCCCCTGAAGTCCGTACACGTGTCATCGGCGCTTAATACGCACTCCTCATCCCGCCCTCCATCCCGCCCTCTGCTGGCATGTCTCTCGAACAGATCAAACACGACAGGATCAACCTAGCGCGCCTCGTTCGACGGCTGGAGAAGTCGACAGCCACAGACGAATGGAGCTCAGGCGCCGAGCTCTCTGTCTGGGCCAACACGCAGGACGCGCTTCAGGTAGCGTCTACAGGCACACCCCCACGACGAGCGACTGCTGATTTGGCCAACAGAGAGTGGCCTTTGCCAAGAAGTTGCTGAGAAATGTTGAGCTGTATGAGGACGATTCGTTGTACGCACCAGTTCTGCTGTGGTGGAGAAAGGCTGACAACGAAGTTCAGATCCGCGGACGGACGTTTCGAGGAGATTCATACGAAGCTAGATCGAATTGAAGCGTCTTTGAGAGAGGTCGAGAAGGTACGTGCTCGCCATGCTCATATACTCGCGACTTGACCAAGGTTTCCAGCGCTTCACTCCGAAACGTTCACGGCCAAAGTCGATATTGGCGCAGCTCCCGGTGCCAGAAATGGACGCGGGATTGGACGAAAGTGCTCCCCTTCTACCTGCCGATGACCTGCTCCTCCCGCCGTCGGAGACGCCGTCCTTCCCTTCCCCGATCCCCACACTGCTGCCGACTACCGCCCCTCCACTCGCCTCGAAGTCCACAGCCGTCGCGCCCAAATTCCTCCACAATACCCAAGCTTTGCACGAAGAACTATCGGAGCAGCTCGCGCAGATGGCGACGCAGCTCAAGCGCAATGCGGTGCATTTCTCCGAGTCGCTTGCCAAGGACCAGGCGGTGGTGGAGGATGCGCAGGAGAAGCTGGAAGGGAACCTGGGGATGATGACGAAGGAACGCGTGCGTTTGAGGGACCACCGCGGCAAGAGCGGGTCTACTACGTGTCTAGTGGTTCTCAGTTTGGTTACTGTCTGCGCGCTGTTTGTACTCATGTTCTTTGTGATCCGATTCACATGAGCGTAGTACTTTGGTATCTCGGAGTCGTATTTCCTCTGTAGTCTGTTCGTGGATTAAATAAGCAATCAAATGTCTATAGACGTCTTGGACATGCCTGAACATTGTACAGATGTGTAAACAGATATAAGACCTAACTATTCGGTATACCTACATCATTACCTACATCACAGTTACATTGGTATAAATCCTCCTTAGAAGGTTTATCTGTCGCTCTCGTAAGGAGCGCATAAGGAAGGTCATCGGGTGTACTCACTATTTTATTGCTCGAGAGCTTATGCTGTTCTGGGTGGGGGAGGCATATACCGCCGAGAATCGTCCCTTGGGTCTATTGGTCGGGAGTACGTGGAGGCAGGGGGTCTACTGTACGGCGCGCCCAGCGGAGCAGCTCGTGGCGGTGGCGACCTCGGACGATCGTACGACGCCCGAGCAAAGTCCCTTGGCGGCGGCGCACCAAAGCCTCTGTCCCTGTCCCTATCCACGCTGCTCGCACCAGACGGCGGCGGCCGATCATAGTACCCGCTGCTGGCCGTCGACGGCGGGGGCGGGCTCGCGATGCGCGGTGGGGGATAATCACTCGGTCTCCTGGGCGGCGGCGGCGGCGGAAGGGGGTCGCGCGTGCTCTGGGGGGAGTAGTATCCCGGGGGGTACGCGTCGTCCCGCTGCCGCTTCGGAGGCGGCGCCCGCATGTCGTCTGCAGCGGACAGCGGCGGTCGCCGTCCAATGGGGCTCGGGCTCCGCGGACGCACGCGCGAGTACGGGGCCGGGCTTGGGGCGCGGACGGGTGCTGGAGGGGGGTATCGTCGGTCGTCTCTGGGGAGGGACCCAAGCGCCGCCGGGGGCGCATACGAACGGTCTGCTGCTGGCAGCGGCGGCGGCGGGTAATTGTCAGTCAATCTCGAGCTCAGCGCACGTGTCGGTGGGGGGTCGTAGGATCTTGGAGGGGGCGAGCGTCTGTCGCGGTCACGGTCGTCACGGGGGTCCCATGCCTGGCTGCGGGGCGGTGGCGGGGGCGGATCCCGTTCGTACCTATCCCTGTCTCTGTCTCTATCTCTGTCTCTGTCGGATGGGAACGGCGGCGGCGCGCTCCCTTTATGGTTCCAATACTCATCGTCGTAATCCCGTCGTCGATCTGGGTACTCGTGACTGCTGGCGTAGCTCCAGTCCCGTCTGTCGCCTATAGCACGACCACGGTCGGCGTCGTCGTAAGCGCTGCTACCAGGCGGCGGTCCTCTCGTTGCTGCGGTCGGAGGGGAAGGCGGGGGGTGCATCCCCCTCGCTCGCTCGCGATCGCGAGCCAGATCAGCGGCAGACGGAGGCGAAAACCTGCGGGGCGGATACGTGCTTCGTGCGTCGTTGAACCTTGAGGGAGGATCCACAACCATGGCGTCCGAGCGTCTGTCATCGGCATAGCGACTATCATCCGGGCGTTGCGCAGCGCCTCGAGGAGGAGGAGGAGGAGGGAGGCTGTGTTCGCGGGGCAGAGGCGGCGGAAGGCGGTCGCGAGTGTCCACGGAGCGGGGCGGAGAGGGCGACGGGCGACTCACGGGCGGCCTAGTCCCACGGGGGTCAGTATCGCGTATAACGGAAGAAGCACGATGGGAGTCATAGCCAGAAGGTCGAGACATAGGCGGCACCCGGCCACGATCAGGAGATGGTGGACGAGGGGGGTATCGAGTCTCTGCCGGACGTCCTGCTGGTGGTCGGTCATCGGGGCGCGCAGGAAGCAGAGGAGGGCGTGATGCAGCACGAGACCCTGGGTTTGTTCTGTCGTCAGTGGGACGCGGCGGCGGGCGGCCGCCTGATCCTTCGGGCACAGTTGGAGGACGAGGAAGGCGACTGTCCCCTGAGGATGGTGGCACCGACGTATTTGCAGAAGATCTGATAGGCGAAGCAGTGATAGTAGGCGCAGCAGTCAAGTGAGAGATGCGGTCTTCCAGACTTGAGGCCTGACGAGCTGGGAGCGTGTCTTCGGCCCTGGTCAGCCTATCTTGCAGAGAAGGGAGGACGCGGGTGTTGCCAATGCGCTCTTCTAGCCGAGGTCTGTCTTCAATACGGCTTCGCTCATCCATGTCCGCAGGAGCTCTAGTTCCAAGTACACGAGAGTCAGCACCAGGCGTAGGAGAAGCAGGAGGCGGTCGACGGTCATCCATAGCTCTACGAGGCGGGCCTTCGTCACTAGCTGCGGGCCGCAGTGCACGACCAGGCGATGGCGCGTGCCGGTCATACGAAGGCTCGTAGTGCCGTTGCTCGGGAGGCGGCCTGCGCACGTCAGACATCCGCCGCTCATCGCGAACACCCCGATCCCGATGATCTCTGTCGCGTTCCCAGTCTCTATCGCGCGCATCCCAATCTCCGTCTCGATCCCGCGGCGCAGTGCTGCCGTTTCGAACAAGGGGCACCGGCGACGCATCAGCCCCAAGTCGGTCGCTGAGCGGCCGCCCTTCAGACGGGCTTGCCGCAGTTGCTGGGGACGGTCCTGCGCCAGAATCCTCGTTTGCGTTTGCTTGCTTTTTCTATGGGTCACAAAACGGTCAGAAGACGACTAGCACGGGCTAGAGTTGATGTACATTGTTCACAGACGTGTTCACCGCTATCGATCTGTCCTTGTTGTGAATCCGTGGAGGCCTGGTCCGATTTTGATCCCCTGGAGACGTGGGTCCGTCTTGAGGCTGAGCTTGGCCATGGGCAGGAGCGTTGGGTCCTAGGTAGAGGCTTGCCAGAGCGCGGGGCTGAGGAACCGCACGGTAAAACTCGTGCTGGCCGTTCCTTATCATATCCTTGAGCTTTTCGAGAATCTCGAGGTCGTCCTCGCCAGGGGGGAGCACCATCTGCGGAGTGGGCAAGAACTGCTGGGTGTGGTCTGTGTGTGCCATGGGGAAGCCAGCGAAGGGCGAGCCAGGGAAAGGCGAGGTCATGAAGCCAGCCGACGCCTCGTGGAGAAAAGGAGTATCTGGTCCGTCTGTGAGCGTGGTGACTGTGCGTTCTCGGGGGATCGGGAGCGTCCGCCCTTTCCGTTTCTTGTTTTGGCGTGTCGACATCTCGGTTGTTTGTGTATTTGTGTGTGTCCCTTGTTTATTCGTTTATTCAAGATCAGTTAGGAGATCCAGCTTGCAGCCAAAGCGCTTCAAGAGGATTTTATATGGTGTTTGGGGAAGAAATGCAAAGGTTTCGCAGACGGCGCACGGTCGGAGACGGTCAGCCACTTTGCAAATCAGGTGCGTGATCAGGGGATTATTTAATTATCGTAAATAATCGACAAAATGATACATGGTAGACAAGGTCTACAGTTGTCAGTTATCGCGACGAGGCGGTAAAAGGCCTGAGGGACGGGGAGTTGCTACATGTCGGTTGTTTCGTTCTGCCATCTATGTACTGCGCCTGGTAAAGATACACCACAACAGCGAACACGGAGAGGACGGCCATAAGTACCAAAGAGTGCCCACCACAGGGATGGAATCGGGACAGATGGCACGAAGGCAAAGGGGCAGAAGACTCCATACACCCGCAAGGAAGTAACGCGATACCTGAAGAACTAGGTCGCACAAACCAAAAGGACTGTACACCGCTGACCATTAGGAATCGTGACCGTGGACTTGCAGACCTAATGATGCGAAGAGATAGCAACAACCACAGAGACGAGGAAGCCAAGGGTAAATGAATGGTGAAGGCAGGGAGGGAACGAAGTGGGCAAGCATAACAAACCACAGGGGAATAAGAACATTGAGACGCCGGTATATGGAGGGGAAGGAAAGGATAAGATACTGGAGAGTTGTCACTTGACTCACCAACTTAGATACCGAAAACTATGCGACGGTAATACTGGCATCACGAACAATTGATCTTCCCAACTGAGAACTGCGCTGCTGTTCTCTCCAGGGTTGTTCCGTGGTTTGGCGCTTCATCGACTGGCTAGGGGAGAGTGAGGGATCAGTGGGCTCTCCCTGTGCATAAGCTTTTATGGTTGAATGGCACCATATGAAAGTGAGATGGTACAGGTGGTGTACAAAGAGAGTTCAAGATGGACCAACTTTTGAGGGAGGCTATCCGTACGCAGAAGAGCAGACCGTCCTGCACTGTGGTAACAGAGCTTGTGCGTGCAGGGAATTTCCCTTCAACGCAAGCACGATGTTGTTGTAACTTGTAACCCATATACGCTCTGTAACCAACAAAGACAGTCAGTATAGAGATTTGCTACAGAAACGCACAAGGGATTTCAAGAAATGAAGGGACTAGATAAGTGATACCAGGATAATCACAACTGCTAGCCCTGAGGCCTGAGGGCTCGAGAGTCGAGGGATATGCCATTGGTTTGAGGTACATGCTCGACAGACACCTAGTCGCGGTTTGGTATGTGTATGTTTCATTTCGCTCCCAATGCTCTAGACAATACTGGCGCGCTTTCAAACACTCAGATCTTCATTTTCAAAGGCTTCGAGGGCTTTGAAATGGTCGGCGCTCGTTTTCCGAATTTCTCCACCAGCACGCAGACGACATCTATAATATATATCCACTGTAAGTACTGAAACTCGACTCTCATGTTCACCTTTTCTCGGTCTGCCCCAAGGTTCTATCCACTGAGGTGCTGCTGCGACTAGTCGTATTGCAAGTAGCGAGCCACCTTCTACTCAGGTGGTCACATCGTCGTCGCTTATTGGGTCGCGGGGACGTATGGGACTCGACACTGTAGCGGTGATTGCGTCCGGGCTCGTTCGTGCATGATAGCTGGGTCAGGCTTCCGCTTCTAATTTCCTCTTGCCCTCCCCTCCCCTTCTAGCTCGCATTTGCGACGTATCTGACTTTCGACTAGCCTTTTCTCTTCAGCCAGAACTACAGTTCGCAGGTCCCCTCGCGGGTATCGGCTAGCGTTCCACGTGTGGCCAGCTAGGTGTGGTCCTTCAGCTCGTTTGAACTGACTAGAGTTCGGTGGTCTTGACACGTCTCCTTGCAACTCCACGCTTTCATATAGTGCTTATAACGGTTAGGTAAAATACCCTGCGGCGTTTCTACAAACTGAAAATAGTACGAAATCCGAAGAAGCAATCACTTACCGGGGACATAAGTACATGCCAAATTGTCTTCCAAATATTGCGTGCACTGAGCGAGCGTCCAAGTAAATGGATAATGTAGCGACAAGGAAAGTCAAAGTGGGATATGGTCCAAATTGACCACGTGACATCTGCCGAGGCGGGACTAATTCGGCGCGCGCTCTTCCTCCTTTACCACCACCACTGCCATCGCCGTTTCTGTCTTTCTTCGCTTTCACGTACCTCATGTCATCCGATTACGAGTTCTCCGACGATGATGGCGATTACTACGACGATGGCGATATGATGGACACCCAAGAAGACGAAGACGGTAAGCTACAGCTTCACTTACTCAGCGTGGCCAAGTGGTGAACGCTTTCGCAGACGACGAAATGATGGGCTCTTACGACGACTTCAAGATCACTCCCAAAGGAAAGCACAAGTCGTACGAGGTTGAGTACGAGTCACTCAGTCAAGATGCCGTCGAGCAGCTGATGTCGGCGGATGTCGAGCACATTTGCGGCATCTTCGGTGTCGACGTGAGTCACTTCCAGCAGTATCTGTGCTCTCGAGTACTGAACCCCCTCAGCGGGATGCAGCGCTGCTGCTCTTACGATCCATGTCCTGGAACAAGGAGCGCTTAATCGAGAAGTATATGGATAACGCAACAAGCGTGCTGTGTGCAGCAGGTATCCAGGTCCCCGAGCCTACACCGGAAACCTCCAGACCCCATTCCACTACAGCTCGGCGTTCCACGCGATCCACGAACAAGTTTCTTGGTCTCAGCTCCGCCTCGAAACCGAAATCGCCTACACCTCCCGCCGCCACTTCGCCAAAGTCTTTCGTGTGCCCGATCTGCTTCGACGACTCGCCCGATCTGACTACACGTGCCTTGGTGTGCGAGCACCAGTTCTGTACGGGGTGCTGGGCTACATACATATGCTCCAAGATACGAGATGAAGGCGAGCACGCGATCAGGTGCATGGCAGAGGGCTGTCATATAATAGCTCCCGATACATTTGTTCGTACAGTGCTATCCTCGGAGGATGGCGACCCAGAGGAGAACGCGCTTGCGCTTTCCCGGTTCCATGAGCTAGTGGTACGTCACTTTGTGGCGTCTAACGCGAGCCTGAAGTACTGTCCATATCCCGGCTGTACGAACACGGTATCTTGCCCATCTGCGTCTTCCAAGTCTAGTCTGATCCTCATGGTCCCGACGGTGTCTTGTGGTGCACGTGGGATCGGCGGCCAATCAGTGTCGGCCAGTCAGGTATTGGAGAAGGGTGGAGGGCTCGGGATTCAAGCCAAAGAACACAAGTTCTGTTTTGGTTGCCCTATTGATGGCGATCATCGCCCTCTTATATGTACTGTTGCAAGGATGTGGATCAAGAAATGCCGCGATGATAGTGAAACCGCGAACTGGATCAAGAGCAACACTAAAGAGTGTACCAACTGCTTGAGCACAATCGAGAAGAATGGGGGTTGCAAGTGAGTTCGGGTTTCGCAGTTTTATATCCCGCGAAGTTGCATTTACTGACGAACGCGTGTTTTGTACAGCCATATGACTTGCAAGAAGTGCAAGCATGAGTTTTGCTGGGTTTGCATGGGTAAGTGGCTTCGGGTTGTCTGCATGGCGTTGGCTAAAAGTTCACGCTAATTTAGGTCCATGGTCTGAACACGGTACCCAATGGTACTCGTGTAATCGATACGACGAGAAGGCAGGCATCGACGCCCGCGATGCCCAGAGTCGGAGTCGCGCATCCCTAGAACGCTACCTTCATGTCCGTCTCACTCTTTCTAATCCCGCCTTCGGCTGACGCGAATGCTTACATAGTACTACAATCGTTGGGCCAATCACGAGCAATCGGCCAAGCTGTCGATAGATTTATACGCAAAGACGGAGAAGAAGATGGAGGATATGCAGGTCACGTCCGCGCTCACGTGGATCGAGGTCCGTCGCATAATTGTATCATGCCAGTCACTTTCTTGACGACCAAGCCATCAGGTGCAATTCATGAAGAAGGCAGTGGAGGAGGTGGATAAATGCCGAATGACCCTCAAGTGGACTTACGCTATGGCGTACTACCTTGCCAAGGGTAACGAGAAGGATCTGTTCGAGGATAATCAGAGGTACGAATCTTTCAGATGCATTGTTCCCGATTCTGATCCTTCCAACTGTAGGGATCTAGAGAAAGCCGTAGAAGACTTGTCAGAACTGCTGGAATCGCCCATTGAGCCCGAGACTATACCCCAACTCAGACAGAAGGTCACCGACAAGACGGTAAGTCTGAATCTCTCTTCACGCGCCTTGCCTTTCCCAAACACTAATTTGACGAACGTCTTTCGTAGGTATACGTACAGAATCGTAACGAAATAGTTTTAGAAGATACTGCGAACGGGTTCCTTGAAGGTCGATGGAAGTGGAACGCCGTTGTCGAGGGATTTGACGAACCTGAGAGGCTGGAGTACTGAGTACCCAGCACTGACGAACACAGTTCATGGTTCTCTTTCACCATTCTCATCATGTATCACGTACGATCCGGATTCCACGGTTGGACTCTCGTTTTCTTTTCATGCAAATAATCCCCCTCTAACATTGTACACTCCACGTATTAGACGCACGCAGTCCTATACAATATATACAGATATATGTACGTATCCTCTTATTTAATCGTAATGCTCGTGTGGACCTGAGCACGCAGATAGGTCGCTATGAACGTCGCTTTGGCTTGCTACTTGATATTTGTCAACACGATTTCTCAACCAATGCAGGTGGTAAATGTCCGTTAGTTCACGCATCAACGCATCATGATCTATCTTTGTCCCGCTCCGAGCCCGAGCCGCAAATCCGACACATTGATCATCAGGCACAATCAATGTTTTACAATCCCCAGACTTCCCCGAGCTTGCTTACTGAGGCTCACATATGTATACAGTCAATCCCTCCGCCCACAGCGGACGCTGGAAGGCTTCTAGAAGCTGGATAATTGATGTTGATGCGCCATCACCGTGGCTTTTTGCACTTGCACATGGTGTATTCAGCGTTACTGTACCGGTTGGGACATCTGGACTACGAAGATGCCGAGTCGACCCAGAGGGCTCGCCACAGCACTGCCAGAGACTCGAGCATTCGAAGATCATCCCCGTGCGTATTTGCCGACAGAACCTCTATAAGCATGGCTCCGTTGGTTCGATGTTGCCTGGATGACGGCAGAGCGAGCAAAAACACAAGTGGCAAACGTCGTTCGGCAGCGCCACCTGACCTACGGACCCAATTGCATTCCGTTGTATTCCTAGAAGGGGCGGACAAAACGTCGGTTTGATGGGATGGAGACTTACGCGACATTATCCAGGTACTTGATCTCCTTTCGTGCCGGCCAGATGACACTATTCTCATTTGGACGTTCAAGGTAGCAATCTCTGTCGCCGGCGCTCCCAGCCTCCCACATGGACTGCAGGACCTTGAGTCACCAATGCCCCAGTGGAATAGTATAAGAAGGTAGAAACGACCAGAGATACTTCAGCAGAATGTTGCCTCCTCCCAAGGTAGCAGCGAGTCTTCTCTTGGGGTACTTGCTTTCCGCAGGTACTCTTGCTAACGCTCAACGATTCCGCAACGCTGGCAACGCTCGAGTGGCTGGCGGTGTGGCGCCGCAAGGCATCGTCTGGGACTCGACGACCTCGGCGGCTGCTTCGACTATCGGCGGAGCCACTGCGAGCCTGAACTCGACCTCCGTCTCTAGTGTCGCAACTGTCGCAACAAGTGTAGCCTCCATCCCTGCGAACGCCACCAGCGTCCAGCCGACCTCTGTGCCCATCAGTTCGACCGCTCGGCCGACGGCGGCGTCGAATGTCAATACTCGCAGTGTTTCATCCTCGTCCAACTTCTCGTCGCTTCCAAGCGCAACTACACGAGGGACGGCTATATCGTCGAGTGTCGCGCCCGCGATCACTAGTGCTTCGAGTAATCTCCGCAAAAGGGCGGCACAGGCAGCGATCCCAGAGTGCCTGAAGACCGTCGAGCTGTCTTGCCTGAATCTGGCAGCGAACTGTATAGACTCTGTGAATTTTGGCGTAAGTGGAATCTGTCGTTGTCACCTTTCGTGCAAAATACTGATTGTCACCCTAGAATAGCAACAATCTCTGGGGAATCCGATCTTGTGTCGCTGCCGCCACTTGCTACGGGGTTCGTGATCTCTAGGGTGCTCAACCAATCCTGCGGTATTAATCGTTGTGTTTTTAGGTCGGCGATTTGATTACGAGCGTTAATTGCCAGACCGGGTTCAACCTGGCTAACTCTGACGAAGCTAGCTTAGATTACAATAACGTAGGATTTGTTTCACTCCTCGAATCATTGCGATATCTGATGATTCGCTCTAGATCTATGCCCCGATTGTTGGGAGTTGCGCGTTCAACCCTGGCGGATGGTAAGGGGTTCGAGATATCCATAGATGTCGTCGATGCTGACAAAATCACTACAGTCCAATCACACAGCAAAACTACATCGACTTCTATTATGGGACGCTGAGTCTGATCAATACGGCCAATTTCCCAAGGTACGTTTGTCTTGTGATGCGCATGCGCCACGGACTAATTTTCAATCGTCACTAGTGATGTGAGTGTGGTCATCGGATTTTGGAATCCCATCCTCTCTTGGGCAGCTACTGGGACTACCATTCCATATTTAAAGTGAGCAGATCATCCTCATGGTTATGTTGATACTGATAATTGGATCAGCTTCAACGACTGGCTACATTTCTCGTCGTTTCCTACAGCTCCGCCAGTGGTGGGTATCACATTGACATATTGTGGAAGTATTGTACACTCAAATCGTCCCTCAGATCACCCAGCCTCCCGCTCCAACCTTCACTAATGTGCCATGGAGTGAGTTCATCATACAGCACACGCGTCCATTGCTCATCATGTCTTCAGACCCAAATCCAGTGCCCTCGCCTGGTGCAACGTCGCAGACATTTATTCGTTCTAGCACAACTGTGATTATCGCAATCCCGACTGTTACCGTAACAGTAACAGTTGCAGGAGCAACTATCACCGTAGCACCTGGAGGTACGCCTGTTGGTGGCACAGTTCCAACAGACGTCACTCAACCAGGCGCCGTCACCCCGACTTGGAGTAAGTCCACCTTCCCTAGTAATGGTCTCCTTCAGCTAAGGAATCAATATCAATAGACCCCAACCCCATCATCCCTTCAACCGCCTCGTCGGTAACCTTCATTGCTGGGACGTGGACGAGTGTTGTACCGGTCCCAACATCTTCGGATTCACCAATCACAGTTCACGGCCCTCCAGATGAAGACGACGGGAACGATGATGACAACTCCTGGCTTCTTATATTTGGCTTGCTTGGTCCAATCATTGTTGGGACTTTACCAGCGTCAGTCAGCGTTGTTGGCGCTCCCATTCCTGCACCAACGCCGCCACCGGATTGGCCAGACGATGGGTCCTGGGTTCCGCCCCCGACGTCTGGAGGAGGTGATCCGGACGATCCAGACGATCCAGATGACCCAGACGACCCAGACGACCCACAAACTTGTCATTTTAGTACATTGCCGCCTTATACTTTCCCCTACGACGGCGAAGGAGAATTCGATCCGGAAGACGGTGGGTTTAGGCGCCGGGAGCTTGACTTTGGACAGTATGGCAATAGTTCTCGTCCGAGAGCTGGACGATCTCTCCACATGTTATACAAGCGCGCCGTACGCAGTAAGTTTGATTTTCGCCGTTTGTAGGAGCCGTAATCTTACCTCGATATCAGGAATCGTCCTAGGACCTTGTGGTGATGCCCGTTCCTTCAACGGTGTCGGTTTAGGTGTCGCAACGTGGTACACTATCAATCCGCCAAATATTATACCCGCAGTTTCTTCTTCCGCCACGACACTGTTCAACGTGCCCGGGTCTAATCACGTAGCCCATGATGGGAAAGAAGGTGAGTGTCGGTTTCTACGTCATCTTCCTGCGAATGTGAACTCATGGTTTGTTGAACAGCCGAGCATCTCTTCGAGTACGCGCGAGCACCACTTTGCCTCAGATCTTCATTCAACTTGAAATAGGTTCCGATACATTCTTGATTTCTTCAATGCCCAATTCACTGCAGGTGATTGCGCTTGGTAAGTATTTCGTTAGGTTTCGATATTTTGACTTAGGACTTGGCAGGCTTCGACCGAATGTTTGGAACGCGCTCCAACCAGACGGAACTCTTACAAATGTAGCCCTTGGTGCTGCTATCGACCAAGTACATTCACCGTCCTAAGTCTGTGTCAGTTAGCTAACAATGTGATAGGTAGCCAACCTTGTATGGGCTGACGCAGGTCAGTATCTTCTCTTCGTACTGTTTTATATCTTCTGATCACAATATGCTTTAGTCATTAACACTGGTAAATCTTATAGAGTCACGTCCATTTGGGCTCTATTGACTATATTATTCCAGCTAAATCCTACGTCACTAACAATGACAAGCCTAACGCGAATGATCCTCCTCTTTCCGGTCACATTGCTGGCCTAAGTTCATTGGATCCAGCAGTATCAGGGGATACAGCACTTCAAATCGAGGAGTTGATTCGAGCCTTTGGGATGCTTGGACAGTGTATGCAACGTGTATTGCTCCCTACTTCCCACCCTCATGGATTTTAACCCCCTAGATTTCGATGCTAATTCTGCTGCGATCAGAGCCACAGCCCAACGTGTTCAAAACATATTCGCCCTGATAACGCCAGCGACACCGGCCTACCCACCCGTTGACACGAGATTCAACAATTTCTTCAGAGGTATTATGACTGCATACACACAACGCATCAGGCGCGTTCATATTCTGTCCTTCCCTTGATAACTTGGGTGCTGACGTTATGTGTAGAACTCGAGGCGTCAACACATATAATGCATATGTCGCGCGACTCAATGTGCTCTTAGCACAAGCAACAGCTACCAACCCACCTGGAAATCCGGCCCCTGTCGTTCCTGCATGCTGGCCTGTTTACCATGATGCTACAGTAAGTCTGTCGCCCTCCGCAGCTCCCCCCTTCTGTCCCAACGTCACGCGTAGATACTTGCTCGCCTTAACGCCGCTGGAATCAACTCTGGGAACTTCATCCCACCGGCCCTTCAGCACGCACCATGTAACTCGGCCGGGCAATCAGGTCGATTTGTGCTCTTTTACGACGCCATTACTGGAAATCCAGTATTCTTTGTCGGAAACCCGATTTTCCAGATCGCGGCTCTTGGCTCGGTAAGGCGAACAATCTCTAGCGGCGATTTGTGTTAACCCACTTCGTGTAGCGGTACTCGGGACTTTGGCTCCCGCCTGCTTCCACCATCTACTATGACGTTGACCTCGCGGCGGCATATGGTGCTCAGTGCAATGGAATTCATTTCATTACGCGAGGCACAACTGGACAAACTTCCCCCAATTTCCGCATTGCGACTTGGGACCAGGACTGCAACGGCGTGAATAATGGACCAGCTCTCTCAAACCTCCATATCGTCGACCAGAACGACAACCGACAACCTTGCTTCTTCAACAACTTCAACGACGGCACCAATACTTTCGCTATTGATTGCGGTCCTTCACAAGCTGCCGTTCAGACCTGCATCACGCATGTGAACCAAGTCGACGGCGTCCAGGGTGCTACCACGACTGTGCCCCTCCTGCAGTTCCAGGCACAGTAAATTGCCTTTCCATACTCTAAACCTTTCAAATGTATTTCGATGCGAAGTCACAATCAAATCATATCCCTTTCCTCGCTCGAGTCCTTCGCACCAAGTGTGCCAGAGTCTACCTTAGATCTACTCGTTATTACCGCAGTGTTATCATTCTGTATGTCTGTTACTAATGCCAGGCAAGAAGGTTTAAGCTTCTAAGTCCCTATCTCTCTCATCGCAGCCCCTAACCCCTTCTGCAGTTCCTGTGCGTAAATTCTGTGCAGCCAGGGATCTCGGAGGTGATGCACCTCTCCCTTCCCACTTATGTGGCCATAGATTTGAATGTCCCCTGAAATCTATGCATCTATTCTACACATCCTAAACAAGGTGGGTGATTCCGAACAGATGCCTCGTCCGTCTGCGTAAAGCAGTTCGTCCACTTGCATTACCCAGGTTCAGATGAAGCAGACTAGATTTCCCTCATTACAGTGCTTACTTACTTGAAACACAACCTTGTACTGTAAACAACAGAAGGCTAGTCAGGCGCTTCATCAGCCAAAGCCCGGATTCATATTCATCAATTCGCACGTGGCAGTATTCCTGACAGTATTTTCTGAATTTCCCAGGGTGGTACTTACTACCTGGGCATCACGCGCCCAAAGTCCCAAGGCCGCGCCCGCCCACAGCTTCGTGATCAATTCCATCAAAGCCTGCATTCTCGCAAATCCACCTCTTCATTGGTCGTGTACGGACGCAATGACAGTGGTGCTTCTTTTTCCCGTCTCATGATCATGGCCACCTGAGCGAACCTGAAAAGGGCGTGACTCGATGATCGTCGCTACGTTTTGAGGCAAACAGCACAAATTTGATTCCGTCAGGCAGACAGACGACCGTCATCAGCGGTCCGGGAAGGGGCGAAGAGCGAGCGAGGTTGTTTCCCACCAAGAAGTTTTTTCGCTGCCAAGGACAAATATGCTCACAGGCTTGCTCCACCATCGCAAATGAATTATGCAGCCAAGGCGATGGGAACAACTTGCGCGTCGTCGTCTGTGATTCTACTCGGCTGGTGTTCCAGTCGGTGCATGGAAGTGAGCATGGCGCAATTTTGGGAGGATGCCAGGGCGCCCTGGCATGCTGGGGGCTATGTTACAGCGTCCATGTCATCATGAAGTGGCAGGCGTATGTAGGTCCTGGCTTCTGCGCAGCGGAGGCGACCCACCGGACGTTGATGTGCTGCTATTTTGGCTTCCTTTCGGCAAACATGCCGTCAACTGGGCGCACGGCATACTTTTTAGATTGCGAGCCCGACGACAGCCGACGACTCGCTCAACGAACAAAATGAATGATTCAAAGCTGTCCAGTGTTGGCTGCGGAATTTTGGCGTTGTTCCTGAGCCAGACAAATTGTCGATGAATTGGCCTAAAGGAGGCTACGCCCTTACAACAACAGTTGGGCGTTTCGGATCAATGAGAGATTTTCGGCGTCTGCACTGAGTGCGAAAAGTTGAATGTCCGAAGGTCCTGAGTAATTGGGTCAACGGCGAAGGGCAACCGACGACAAACCTCCAAGGTACCGACTCCCTCCACCATTTTCTTTGTTGTTCCCCTCGTTGTCGAGTCCGTCCTCCACAACGGCGAGGCTAACCACCTAATTCCGCATCGTCGCCTGGCGTCGTTATTCGCTCTTTACCTTTCTCCTCACATTAGTGACCTTCGACTTCAATGCTTTACTTGACTTCTGATGCATTTCCAATATGTGCGTTTTCCTGCCTTTTCACCGCGCGCGACGATGGAAAAAGCTGATATCTGCTGCAGTCGTCCCTTTTGGTGTCATTGGGTAAGGAAGATCGCTAGTCTTGACGCTAGGGCCCATTTTAAAGGATTTTCCTAGCTTCTACCGATACCTCTGGTACCTAATTCGCGTAACCGCTTCTGTCGTCTACCGCCCAGTCCCACTACCCGAAAACCCAACCTATATCGCCTCGGAAGATGTTACCATCATCGTGCCCACAATCGACGCCGGCGAGGAATTCAAAGAAGCTGCGAACAGCTGGCTCGTCGGCAAGCCCAAGGAAATCCTTATCATCACGGAGGAAAAGATGCTTGGCCCCCTCCAAGAACTCGCCAACGCCGTCGACCCGGAGCGTATACGAGTCCTGACTGTGCCTTTCGCCAACAAGCGGCTGCAGATGAGCCACGGCATCAAGAACACCACCACTGATATCATTGTTTTCGCCGATGATGATGCTATCTGGCCGCCCACCCTCCTCCCTTACACCCTTGCATGCTTTGAGGACCAGAAGGTTGGCGGTGTTGGAACAAGTCAGCGTGTCCAGTCTGTGGGCAAGCGGATGACGGTGTGGGAAGTACTCGCTGCGTTTCGTCTCACTATCCGAAACATCGAGATCTCTGCTTCAACGCATATCGACGGCGGTCTTCCATGTTTGTCCGGGCGCACAGCCGCTTACCGTACCGTTATTCTCAAGGACCCCGAATTCCTCCACGGCTTCACCCACGACTACTGGTTGGGTAAATACCAACTCAATTCTGGTGACGACAAGTTCTTGACCCGCTGGATGGTGAGCCATGGATGGAGTACCTACGCCCAGTGCTGCAAAGAAGCAGAGCTCTTGAGCACTATGAAGCCCAATTGGCGATTCCTCAAGCAAGTATTGCGATGGACTCGAAATACTTGGCGTTCCGATCTCAGAAGTTTATTCATGGAGAGGCATATATGGACGGCGCATCCTTACGTAGCATATACGATGGTGAGTGTCCTCGCTATTGCCGATAGTTACGATCCTGAAGATGGTCTCTAGGTTGACAAACTTATCAACCCTTTTACGCTTCTCGTCGGGCCTTGTCTTGTCTCTTATCTCATATATAAGAGTACAATACCAATAGAGAAAGGCGGTTATCATTTGCCTTGGTGGTACGCCTCATCCTCTCTGAGACCTTGCGCCTCAACTAACCTCTCGCTTAGGAATATTCTCATATCCTACCTTGTCTGGTTGTCTGCGACCCGTACAGCTAAGCTGCTACCTCATCTATGGACCCGCCCGCAAGATATCGTTTACGTACCCGCATTCATCCTGTTCGGATATTATTTCGCTATCATGAAACTATATGCCCTCTGCACGCTTCACGAGGTAAGTTGTTGGTTCGTTCTCACTGCGACCTTGCTGTTGATGCATGTATCTACAGACTGGTTGGGGAACTCGTGCCGGTATCGGTGATGCCTCCGCTGCGACTGCAGCCATGGACAACATGGGCACCCCGAACGAAAAGGCCGCACCATCGTACAACCCATCACAACAACCACAACCATACTACAGCCAACCTCCGAACAGCAACAACATCAGTCTATCGCCGTTCTCGGATCGGAACGAGGTTCCCGTATACTCACAGAGAGGGCAGTCGCCGTATCACCAAGGCGGCGATGATATGCAGATGGGTTATGCAAAGTAATTTAAGATTGCTTGGCAGGTAAATGTGACGAGGAGGGTGGCGTTGTCAGCCGTATGGCCACGCTTCTTCATGGTCTGTCCGTACGCCTGGTAGGCAGTGTTGACACTGTCCAACTTTCGTCGACGCTTGGATATTGAACCTTCCTTCTCGTAGCATTAATGTGTTCATGATCTGTCAGGACCTTGCACACCCATCATTCATCCATCCATCCTCATGTGCTTTACATACCCTTATATCTAGACTTGTCGCGTTGTTCCCCGCACACATCATTTTCTTCTCTCAACATCCACCTACCGGTAGTAGGCGTTGTAGGCATACATCATAAACTGCGATTATTGGACCATTACTGGCTGGACTCCTAATACTTCACCCATTGTGTCTTGCGTATCTTATACCAAACGCTTGATTCATGTACCTCGGAATTCTACAATCCAACTCACGCGTCCAGCGTGACTTTGTAATAGATGTGGCAACGCGCTACGCGAACTACTACCGATTGGATCCCAACGTTCTGGTGTGGATGAAAGCCTTGTCTGACTTCGGAAACCTCAAGTCAACCAGTACAGCACAATAGGATCTTCGTCCCAAAAGGGCACAAAGGCGCTAACTCAAACCTTGAGCGGTATGAGATAGTCATGTTCTTCCCACGGACGCTTACTGTCAGAAGATTCGAGAACAAAATGTCATTGAGATAGTATCGACACAGATAAATGACCCTAGACCCTGAATTCAAAACTGCATACTTTCCTAACGCGTTAGATGCATTGGTGATACTGGAAGAAAAGCAGTCAGTTAGTTTATGGTATAATCCGGGGACAAGGTGACGAACATAATCGCTTTGCACCGTGCATGTCGTTCCAGCGACACAGGTGGTTGGTCCCGTATAACTGAATGGAGATTAACACCACATCATCACTGTCGATGGAGATGGAATCTAGACGTACCCAATGCCACCACATTGTCCCCATTGGCCGACCGTACCGGTGGATTGAGGGGGAGCAGACGACGTGCTTGTGCGTGTGACGGGCGGGACGACAGAGCTCGAGCTCGAGCTAGAAGGGAGAGTAACAACGCTAGAGGATGTGGGTGTTGTTGTTCCGCCACATTTGAATACAGCAGGTCCTTTAAGGTTGAATTAAGTGAACTTCGCCCCGTTTGTACAAGAAATTTACATACCTGGGATGATGTAGTTTGTGATGGGGGGATAGTAGATGCCGATGAGGATACCGGGGTCAGTGCCTACGGAATGATAAAAGCGTCAGAATGAACTCAATCATTTTTTGGAAGTAAACACACCGCTGTAGGCACCAGGGAAGTGGGCAATGGGGGAAGGCACTGCATTGCCTCCACCAGTGATTCGGAGCTGAGCGCATTCCATCTATGGGGGTGCTGATCAGTCTCGTCGTCGGGCTCCGAGTAATCTTTGAACTTACATAGAGCTGGGCACCAGGGTAAGAGCCCGCTCCATGGAGGGCTAGCGAAAAGAAGAACATAAACACTCGAGCTGGAAGAGCCGCACAGCAAACATACCGATCAACTCGACACGAAGGAGGTACTCTCCGTCTTGGATACATTCGGGAATTTTGAAGGTGACAAGGCCCTTGTTGGCGATGAGTCGGTCTACGGCCCACGTTGTCCCAGGTCCATAGCCATCTTCGTAGATCTTAAACCAATCGAGACCAGTCACGTCGGTTTGTAGGGCTGACGGAACTTTGGCACTGTTTCGCGAGTGTGTTATCAATCCAGACAGACAAATGCATTTAGAAATTGGACGTACAGATAGGCAATAATTGGTCCTTTGTGAGAAGGATCAATGGGGTCGGATGCGTCGTTCGGGTCAGGTCCTGAGCCACCATGATGCCATTCAGCGGTAACGCTAGCACCAGCGGGGACGTTGATGATGGCTTGGGACATAGGCTGCAGGAATGGATTGATTCCCCCGTTACAAATAACATCGTTAGAATTGACATCTGTGATAGGCTATTATGTGTAGGTAGTTGTGAGTTGTGAAGAGCTAATGTTACGAATATTAAACGCACCCCATTGTAGTTTGGGACTCGAATTCCGACGTTGTGGCCTTGGGCGACGCCGTTTACCCAGAGTTCCTGGATCCTTCATCAGCGCATTGAAATTCGGGCATGCATGAAAGAATATACTTGGAAAATCGAGTGGGCATAGGCGCTACCCAGGAAAAAAACCAGCGACGCAACAGAGAGGGTAGATTTCATCCTGAAAAAGATGTTCCAGTTGCTTCCTTTGACCCCCCCAGATTGCGCCTGTTTTATACTGCAGACTCGAGTTGAGCCTGCGCGTAACGGCTAGCCACGGGGGAACAAAATCCCTGGTATAGAGCTATTGCGGTCAGTTGAGAGTACGCCAAGTGACGGTGGCCTAATGGGTCATCAGTTCTTCCGAGGAACAAAGCGCCCCGCGAGGACGGAACCGCTGCAATATCGGAATGATAGCCATGGTACGACGACAGTAGACGGATCCGTCGTCAATCTTTGACGCACGGCAGCGAGGTTTTGGCTAAACTTTATCCGATATTTCAGCCAGAGAAGCAGAGACTTTAGACTTTTGCGGGGAAGAATGTTAGAAGGGTGCGGATTGAGGGAAAATGATGCTTCGAGGCGAGCCAAATGAATACGCGGGGGTGGGGAGTCCAAGTTGCCCTAGAGGGAAGGATGAAGCGTACTACAAGGGAGGTGGATGGATTTCAGCGAAATAGACGTTATCGTGGTCTCGTGAGCCATTTTCGCCTTTTCTCCGATCACTCACCAGATCGATTGCGTTCAGGAACATGCAAGGATTTGGCGTTTAATCCTTCAAAAAGTTCTACTCTCCCTTCCGATTAGGGCCCAACACTAAGGTTGGTCGTCCGAGCATTAAGGTGTGGGGAGATATGCATGTCAACCACAGGCCGGATCACCTCAAAGGAAGCAGTCCGCAAGTAAGTACAACTTGAATAGCTTACGAGTCAGAAAGGGGATTCAGGAGGTGCACGTGTAGATCCCACGCCACTGATGTCCAGAAGTTGGAACTTAAAAATATACGGTAGCTTTTGCGCCCGAATTCTGTGAACCTGCTTCAATGCTCTATTTCGATAAAGGTGATTCCGTTGCCCAAAAATAAGATACCACTAGTATCGTGATTGCAGACAAATCTGCTATGCCCATTGCTTGCAGACCGCCTGCACCTTGTTTACGTCTTTACTGGTTTGCGTAAACATCTCACAAGCGAGCGATTACATAGTCCGTCGTTGCACATCTGGAATTGCACTGATTGCAACAGTACACCTTAGCCCATGGAGAAGACAACCGAGGACACAGTATCCTCGCAGGAAGAATCTCAGGAAACGGCCAATACCTCGCTGACACAACCAGCCACTCAGCCGCCGCCTGCGCTTTCGGAGGAGGAGAAATCACGTCTCTGGGGTTATCTGGTTCCTACCTCAGCAAGACTCCCCCGCATCGATTTTTCTCGGGAGAAACACGTTTACATGATCGGTCGTCAATCAACTACCGGGCAGCGCAGAGTTTGCGATGTGGAATTCGCTGGCAATGGCATTAGTCAGTAATAGGTTGGCCAAATACCCGAGGAAAATTAGTGACGCCGTGTTGTAGGCCGCAGGCATTGCCGGTTGGAATGGAATGGCGAAGATGGAGAGACAGCCATGGTCAAGGTAACGGATCTGTCCACGAATGGCACATTTGTAAGTTGTGGGTCCATCATCGATGATGCGATGCTGATCATGAACAGATTAACGGAGTTCTTATACCTCCTAAGAGCTCTGAACTCTTGCGCGATGGAAACATCCTCGCATTCGGACCCCAACCAAAGGAGCGTACCGATGCTGATGTCGAGGAGCCATCAGAACCTTACCATAGTACGCGTGCTTTTCAGCTGGATTCTCTGACACTTACCCGAGGTACAACAGGTTATCAGTTCCATCTTGCCAGGTTCGAGTTACCAAAAGCAGGATTGCTTCACTCGTACACGCTTGCCCACTTTCTCGGCAGTGGGGCATTCTCTACGGTGATGATGGGCATGCATCGTGAGACGGGGAAAATATACGCGATCAAGATGATCAAGAATAAAGCCAGACCGATGGTCAGCCCAGATCCAAGCCGCGCTGAGGATAGCTTAGTATGGACGTACCAGAAATTCGCCGGGACAAACGAGTTCAAGATCATGGAGAGACTCCAGCATCCAAATATCTGCGAACTCAAGGAGTTCTTCATCGAAGAGAATGGGGACATCAGTGAGTAGATTGTGGGGTCCCGGTACCATTACTAAATAGAAATATTGCAGATCTTGTGTTGGAGTATGTCGACGGAGGCGACCTTCAGGCCTACGTCGCTAGGGCCGGCCGAAAATTAAGTGAGTTTCTTTCTGCAATCGCCTTCGGACGTCATTTATAGCTACCGCGATTAGACGATCACGAAGTACAACATGTATCCTATCAGATTTGCGATGCGCTAGCCGTTAGTACAACCGGTGCACTTACTTTCTGCGCCATTCATTTCTATATGTACAGTACATTCATGAACAAGGAGTCGCCCACCGTGATCTCAAACCTGAGGTTAGCTGACCAGCCGCGGAAGTACCATCCCCTTGCTTAACTTCTAGTGTAGAATATTCTTGTCACGAAAGGCGAGCCTGTCCAAGTAAAGATCGCGGACTTCGGACTCGCTAAGATGCTGGTCGGCGAGACGGAGTTGAGAGTGAGTCATTGTCCACGGTCCGTTTGCTAGACTTGCGATTCTCACCCTTCTTGAAGACTAGATGCGGAACGAGACCGTTCTGTGCACCCGAAATCCTACTTGGGCTCGACAGAGAAAAAGGATACAGCCTCAATGTTGATAGCTGGAGCGTCGGCAATATTGTTTATTACATGTATGTCCGCTCCTCCTTGCAAATCAGTGTCTACTCAACGAGCTCGGTCTCTTTACTGATTCTCAGGTTTGTCGTCCATGGGGCCTATAATCCCGAATGTTGGACCCTGGATAGAAGGGGGAACGTCGTCGACCCGGATATAGACTGGGACTCTCTGGGTAACTCGAATGCCAGCCCCCAAGGTAGGTGTTTTTCATGGACTTGGCCCAGGGGTAGACTTAGCCAACGCTGATATGTCGTTTCAGCCGTTCTCTTCATCAAATGTCTGCTAAAGCTTGATCCCAGCAACCGGCTGGCTCTCAAGGAAGCCATATATCACCAATGGTTTGCCTATTACTCTCCTCCCTTGCGGAAAGCACCCGAAAAGTATCCAAACGTTCTTAAGGAGAAGGGGAAGAAGAACGTGAAAGTCACTTATCTCGTTACCCCCCAAAACTCGCTTTCCCATATCCCCGGGTTAACTCCCCCTCCGCGACCAATATCGACATCCACCATTACGGCGGGGGATCCTACGCCTTCCCCCTCTCCACGACCACAGCAACCCATGCCCGTGCTCCCTGTGGAAGTTGTCGATCCAGATGGTTCATTGGGCTCCAGTTTTTCGGACATGTCACTCAAGGATGACAAGGACGAGGAAGCAGGAGAAAGGACGGATAATGAAGAGGAGCCCAAACCTGATGGACCGCAGAAGGCTCTCAAACGCGGCCATTCTCAAGTCTCTTCCAACAACAGCATAGGTGGGGAAGTGGCTCGACCAAGCGGGACAGCTCGAGCTGCAGAGGCGACCCCAACACAAAGAAATCGCGTCCCCCGAGTTCCTGCCGGCAGGAAGAAGCCTCGGATTGAAGAATCCTAGTCTTCGCGTTGGCATATCTCGCCCAATCGCATGTAATCTCCCTGTATTGTATCTGCTTCTATTCGCTATCTTCGCTATCTCTTCGCAGTCCTAGTTCAGTATATCTTTCTTGTTCCAATTCGCTATTTACGCTGTACATTCACCCGCACTATCTTACAACGGAACTCCCCGGAATCTAACAATGAAATTGTATGCGTAACTTCTGGTGTGAGCGGACGCTAGTGTATATGTAGTTCTGCGGACGTACAACAATATACTACTTAGGATACATGAACGATAAACATTACTTCTAATATAGTCCCACAGCTATAAGGTATACATAGTAACTACAAGAGACGTAAGCTAGGTCAACGGGACCGCCTTGGCTGTGCCAACTGGGCAAGGAGTCGGAGTGCACTGATTCTCCAACGGGGATGCTACAAAAAGAAAAGACGGAGGGAGTATGGGGGTAACCCTAACCATATGTACAGTATCGTGGTCATAGTTGTTCAGCACTGGTGCGGATGTGCGAAATCTGGTAGCCTGTGCGCACATATTGAGAATACAACAAAAAAGTTTATCGCCACGAGTTACCCGCAAGATACACCCCCCATCACTTGTCGTTAGACAAGCCGATGGATGTACCCAAAGGACGCACGCATGAGCTGGCTGGCGGCCGAGTAGGGTTTCATTGCTGATAGCCCCGCTCTAAGCCCCGACCATATGCTCTCCTCGCCTTCGACGACGCCGTGTATTGCGCGTCGTTTAGAAATCTCGTTGATAAAGACTTGACATGCTGTGACCCATAATGACTGTAAGCACAATGTACGAGTAGAAGTCAGAGGGCGCAGGGGGATGTGAAGGAGGAAATAGACTCACGCCCATCAGAGGGTTTACGAAACCGAGGTCTTGCTGTGCGTTATCGACGATGGAGCGAGCTGCGTTCATGCAAAGGTCGTTGGAGTTTGCGTTCGCGTATGCAAATACATTGTGGAGTTTGATGATGGCAGCGTTGGTGACGGCATGAGCCAGCGTCACCTGGCGAGGGCGACTTTCGCTCCCATAGGAGTCAAGTGACGGGAGACTAGCGTGGAATGAGCTGACGAGCGAATCAAGCGATTGGAATGCTGAATGAAAGATCTGGGCGTCGCGAGTTGGCATATCTAATCATAGAATTAGATGCAGCTCAAGAAGTCGGCAACAACTACAAACCTGCAGAGGCCTGGCCAGACAGGAAGGAGGCACGATGAAAGAGTGTAACAGCTTTTGCGATCATCTCGGCGTTGGACATCTTGCCTTGAATGGGATATTCTGCGCCTGAGAGAAAATTGCGGATCGTTGAGCTTCCACGTAAATCCTGGGTCAGAAGACCCTAGATAAAAGTTAGAATCAAAGGACAATGTCAAGACGTCCGGGTATAACTTACATCTCGGTATCCTTCCATGTCCAAAGGCCAGGGTGTGTCCACCAGTATTCCGGGCGCGTCTAAGGCACCGCAGAGAGCACCAGCCGGATCAACAGCCGCCGAGAGAGACTTGTGGAGCGTCCACACAGCCCAGAAGCCATTGATGATCTCGCCTTCCTCCACACTATCTCGTGGAGACATCACGTTACTTGTGTTCTCCACCACGACTCCAATGCCAGGCATGGGTGGGGGTCTGGCTGATCGCCACCGGTGTAGACCACAGCCAATAGCTAATGAGACGGCGCCACCAGCATGGGTCTTAGCCTCGAGAATCTTTCCATTCCGCCAGAAGTAATACGCTAGAAGAACTTCTGCTTGAATAGTGTGAAGCACACGATGTGGGTGATCGCGTGTAAGATCCGTAGCAGTGTTCTGAAGGGCCCGCGACAAGAAGATTTCTTCGTACGAGATCAAAGGATCTTGCTGGGAAAATTGAGCACCCCAAAGATAGACTGTGCTTAGTAGTCCCATGGTGGGTCGCGGTGTCTGGCCAAAACGAAGGGGTCGAAGGGCATCAGCTCGGAAGCGAGTTGGGTGGAGGAAGAATCCCAATTCCGTGACATGGGGAAGGAATGAGTCGAGCCTAAGAGAACGAATAAACACCAATGAGGTCGATAGAAGGTGAAGGATAACATACAAAGTCTGGATTACGGGCAGTGGAGGTTCCTGAGCGCATGGAAAGTCAGATGTGGTGTGTTAGAAAATAATCTTGGACGTACCTCATGCCCCAAGAACGTTGTAGCGTTTTGGTAAGGAGACGAGACACTCGATGATCTGCCACTCGAGCCTGTCAGGCATGCTGTAAGACTATGTGATTGATGTCCGAAAGGTCTCGACAAACCAGAAATAGGGCTCGAGGCCGTTGGAATCAGGTACGGCGCAGTGTTGGGGGAACCTTGCGATGCAAGCGGAGAATCGAATGTAGACAATGGTGAAAGCAAGGAAGAAGCCTCCATGGGAGCTTCCGCAGCACGGGATGATTCAGCGAACGACTGAGAGGCCCCAAGTCGGCTTTCATTGTAGGGGCGATATGGGTCGTGCAGCGTCACTGATGGAGTGGAGTCGTGGGGGTTCTGCAGTTCATCTAGACGAGCTTGCAAGCTCTGTATCGTCTCCTCGAGAACCTTTGTCCGTGACCTCCCCTGCGCATCTGAATACTCGCATCCATCGTCCTTCGGATGTCGCATGCATGGTCCACATATTGGTTTTGCTCCGTCGCATTTCTGGAGGTTGAAGTGGTCAATCTATGTGGCACGGAACATTTAAAGCTTCTATACTCACAATTTTGAGGAATCTACATCAAAAGTTTAAGGAACGGCGAAAGAGATGGTATGGAAGTAAAGTACCTGCAAGAGATGCACGCTCTACCTCTCTTCAAAGGTTTGGCTGCTGGCCTTGTACTTGAAGACGAAGAGGGACTGCCGTGATTTGAATCCGAGGTCATTAACTGTTGAGATGATGGTAGTATGGATGGAGGAGAGGGTATGGGTATGAGCGGAAGTGGTGGTGTGGATGAGACCCAGGTTCGACTTGAATTCTAGAGTGAAGGGAGCCACAATCCCCGTAAAGCATCCTTTATATAGGATGCATTCGAATATACCGGAATCTTCTGGTGCGGCACAAAGGTCTACCGTGCAGTTCGTCACTGCACCGACATGCAAAGGCGATCGACCAGAGTTCAACCAAGGAAAGAGGCAGTGTCGATGAATCAGTCTAAGGCCTCACCACGTGATCCGGGGAGCCCCGGAAAAGCCCGATCACTCTGTAGGAGCCTGGAAGTCGCCGCGTCATGAAAGTTAATGAGTTGCCGGGCCGCGTATTGAAGAGGGCAAAAGAGTGTGGACACATATGCGCACCACTTGCGAGCATGCTTCGGCAATGCGACCACAGCACTGTGTAATTCCCTTTGGCTACTCCGAGCGACACCAACGAGCACGATGAGTTCGGGAGAGCGATCAGGAAGGCCGCATACCCAAGGATGCTCAGCGCTCCGAGGCCCATCGATCGACGATTCGAGACTGTGCCTGCAGGGACTTGCAATTGTCCTTTCGCGGTCTTGGAAGTAATCGTAATCTCATCTGACACCTTGTCGGCCCCGCTGTGTCGATTGAAACACTGCAGCCTTAAAAAACGGACTGGTTGGTAAGAGCAAAGCAGAAAAAATAACTGTATGCCGTATAAGTAAACAACTTCCCAGTGCTGACTCACCCAGCTCAGTAAGAACAGCTGCAAATTGACGTGTGCTGACTAGGCATCGTATCATCGATACTGCACGGAACTATGCAAAGATCTTGAGACGCATCGCGATGAGTTGGGGCAAAGCGAAGCCACGACTCCGGCCGGAGTTGCACGACCTACCGTTGGATGCGCTTGTTTGGCAACACCGTCAAGCTCTTGGAACACAGTGCCACACACGCTTTTCCCGAGGTACATCCGCCTACATGCCGGTTGCCGGCTGAAACACCTCTTCATCTCTACATCCACCTTGTCAGGATGTTACGGTGCTCATCCTCAATTTTTAGCTCTTGGCTGGTCGCGGATCCCCAGGTTCCGACGTCGACAACGCGTCTCCATTTACCGGTTACAGAGACCGAGTCGCGTCATTTCCGACGAAATGGAACAAGAAGACGAGAAGGGAGTCGTTACGCGTGGTTTCTGTTGACGCGCTCGGTGTGTGCCTTAGTCCTGGCACGGCTCATAGACGCGTAGTTGCTGGATCGTATAATTTCCGAGCAGTGGCTAGGTAATATGGCTCGTCCTCCGGGAGGTACCTTTGCCATAATCACGGAACGACTGGACACACCAGCCTTTGACCAAATGCAATTGTGCGCAATATTTCTCATTTTGCCCTCTTCCGCCTGCTCTTGGCCAGTTTCGTGTTGGACCGTAGGCACAGCGACAACCCACCACAGACACAGACAGGCAATCGGATAAAGCAAAGGCGGCCGGTGCTCACGCACAGTAGCCCCATTTCCCCCCGAACAGTGGCTAACCACTGTCTTCGATTCCATGGGGTGACCTTCTGCAAGGACCTTTGACCAAAAGGGACCTCGGTCCTGCTATTAGCTAGTGTCTCAATATGCAAGTACGGCATCATCAAATTTCGGCGTGTATATATTCATTGTACGTCAAATTTATCTCCCAATCTCGCTGCCATGCAATGTCAAGAGTTGTGGATACGCAAGAAGCTGACAACATCGTGTTGCTCGGTGCAATTTTTGCGGTTGGACATGCGAAATACGAACGCATACATGTGCTTCTATGGTGGTGGCGGCAAGTAACATTGTTCGTACGTGATCGCTGTTCTTATTCCGTTCCATTTATAGCCCAAAATTTTGCATGGTACGATCACCGTGACTTCTGAAGGCAGATTCGCTCGTCCATTCCTCCATTGGATCTCTTGGAGGCACCCTGGGGCAGTAACTCTATCTTGGCATGTGCTCGACACATCGAACAAACCATCAATCAGTACGGAACATTTTTATTCTAGAAAATTAAGGCACTGACCATACGCATTATAGCGCTCAATATACGGCTGCCTGGCCAAACGGGATCGTGGATGATCCAAAGGCAATATCAAGTCCTTTGAGCTTCGCAATCCGGTGCGTATATGCGTTTGATGTATGGTAAACCCATCTCCCTGTTTCTGGGAACGACTATTTATGCCCATTCTCCAACAGATTCCCGGCCCGGCTGGTCCCTCCGTACCAGAAGTTGCGGTTAAGCCTCCAACTTCCATGTGCGGCTTTCTCGGAGTGCTGCGTCGTAATATGATGTTTATCCTTTTCTCCTCTCTCTTACATCCATGATAAAATCTACATTTACATACGATCACCGCGGCCTTCCACGATAAACTCACACCGAGAATTCAGTCAACGATTTAATCGCCCGGAGCTAAGTACCTCTTCTAAGTTCTTGGTGATGCAGCTACCAAGGATGAAGGACATGCGCGGACTCAAAATCCAAATACTGCTATTTACCATCACCGAACCGATCAATCTATTTTTGGGGTGGTGAGCAATATTTCCCAACAAGTTCCATGTTTCTCATCGGCTTCATTCGGTCGCAGGTTTTCCATGATACGACCGCAGCGGCCTACGAAGCCTTGTCAAAGACGATTGTCTAAACACCAAGCAAATCAGTATGTGCACCAGATGATGACTTTGACTTGTCGGTCCTATGTTTGTTTCTTCTCCGCGTTTGATGGATTAGTAAACCCGTTAGACACTCACCGCCAAAGCCGCATCACCACATCTGTCATCCCGACCACAGCAAAGCAACTGGTGCAGCATATCTATCATCTATCTGTGTGGCGTTGTGTCGTCACGGCGGCCACTAAAGACCCGCCCCCAGACGCATGGACGCAGTAGGATCACCAGTATCATCCTGTCTAAACACAGTACTGAAGATCTGTCACTTTAGAGTTCATCAGCATCAGGTATCCCCATGTATCGGGCATAAACCCAGCATCCCGAACATGTCTTTTTCCGAACGGATCATTGGTTCATACTAGGTCGCCCGACGCACAGCTCTCCCCAGTGCGAATGCGGCGGCATACAGCATGCTCACTAATGCCCAAGAGTGCTTGGCTTCTGCGATTTTCTACTGCTGCGACGTATCGGACCGCGCCCATATGTCTTCATCGGTTGCCTTCGCGCGGTGATAGAAAGGCAATCGACATGGCGTATCCCTGCACTTGCGACAAGATGACTAAGCCTGAGACGAACAGGATAAACTCATGAAGCGGAAATTTTGGTACGCGCCAGAGCGTCCACTTCCATTCAACGACGGGTTTCTCACATTCGAAACCGCCCGTTGCTGGTAAATTCCTAGTCGATTGATATGTGAAGCAATTTTTATACAGTAAACTTCCATGCGAAGGCGTCGCACACCAAACGCTCGGTCGCGCACAACGGTGCGAAACCTCTGCAACATACCGGACCGCTATATCCTCCATTGCGGTCATTGTCTTTTTTGGGATGCAATATTGCATCCTCGAGGAATCATTGGACACACATTCCTCGCCAATCAGTTGAAAATTGTCGCCCATAAGGGTGTCCATTAACTGCGTTGGGACCGTAAACGCGTGTCCCGAAGCTCGGAAAAGCGTCAGAGGTTCATTTACCTCCAGGCTCGTGTACCTCATTGCGATTCCGAACGCTTCGTCCCTCGTGGATTCCCGGCGGTACCGTTTAGGCGCACTTCGAATACAGCACACCGTTGCGAAGGGATGTTCTATCTATCCGCCGGACGAAGTATACTCCCCTTGGCCCCTGCGATAAAATGGAACAAGGTTTTCAGCGGCGTCGCTTCTGAAAACCATCTAATTGGACGGTCGATTTTCGACATACACCTTCGTCCTTGTCTGTCAAATCTTTCTGGTGACAGGTATTTTCTTTCGTGGCGTCAGACAACAATGAAAGTGGCGCTCGTTCTAGCTACTCGGCCGGGCCGCATCGACGTACATCCTCGTTCATCGCGTAGCTTGGCATCTGTTGATGGTGCCTACCTCCATATCATCATCATTGACAGCAAATGTCGCCAAAGCGCATTCGTCGGTGTATTTGGACGGCCGTGCACTGTTACCCCCAAAGCGGCCGTTACGGCCATTAACCCGTGTCGATCCGAGATGATTTCTCAGGCCGCGGCTATGTACGATGATCATCTCTCCTCTCGCCGAGGCTCTGAGCGTCTGCGTACAAATGGTGGCCGTTGAGCGTCGTCTTGGCTCAGTTACGAGACGATGAAGTCTGGACAACTTAGTTGAGGAAAAAATATCACGGGTCATCTAGGTGAGCCGAGACAACGTCTAACAATGTTCCTTGTAACATATCCCTTGAAGGTTGCTTGAAGTACGTAGGCCCCATCCAGCTCCTTCCAAGCTCCATCGATCGCTGATCGGCCCGCTAAGTTCTCGCTGGTCCATCAATCTCTGACCATGAAAAGGCTATCCATGGAGCGATTGGCGTGAGTCTTCACTGGAATGCTGTCCCGGTTATTCGGCAGATGTATTCCCGCAACAAGTACAAACAGGCAAATTCATAGATGACATCATCAAACGACAGTAGCGCTGGTGACAGTCAGTGTCAGTGTCAGCGTGTCCCAAACATGTTCGCCTCTCGACGAGCTTCCCATTTTCAAACTCGGTTTCTCGTCAGAATCAAAAACCCCATTCTGTTCAACATGCGCCATTTCTGCGTATTGCTGGGAGAAGAATAGCTTGAGGAATCCGGTGTCGGATTTTTCCCCGTCTTCCAAAGTGAAGGTCATAGGTTCCGCGTCGCAGTTTTCATATCCGAGCGAAATTTCCTGCTTACTACGCCACGGCGCGGCCATGCTATTCGAAGGTGGAAGATACCAGGGCGAGATCGAGTAATCGGAAGGATCGAAGTAGAAAAGGCAGGGGAAGAAGTCGAACTCGGAGAGGTTGCGCAGCGTCATCCCATAAGCGGCGCTGCTATTCGGTAACACAGCCTGTCCTGATTCAAGTAGATCTGGGCTGTCCTCTACGTAGGGTGCGTATGCATCACCCTCGACTTCCTTCAGCCGGTGCAGTTCTAGTTTGACGAGCTCTTTCAAGGGTTCCTCTGGGTTCATTCGGTTGAGATGGAACTTGAAGTGAGCGGCAGCCACGAGGACTTCGGAGACAGTCGTCGGATCGGAGGGAATGGGTTTGAGCATACGGGCCGCATGACGGCCTATCCAAGGATCGACTCTCTCAATCTGTAGCATTTCACCGCTGAAACTGTGCAAGACGACGTCCGCATCTAACGTGGAAGTAGCTCTTGCGTACTCTGCTCTGCTCGTTTTGGGGTTGACGAACAGCTGCTCGAGCTTGCTGTATTGCTCTGGAGTGACGGTTTGGTTGTCGAAGTATACCAAGAGGGTGGCCCCAGGATTCTCCCATCGTGTGACCAGGCCATACAACGGAGATGGAAGCGATGTAACGGAACTGTCAGTATGGGATGCCAAAACGGAATTCATGGACCGAACTGTGGTAGCATGTCCCACCGCCAGAGGCGTAGATGCACTATTTCTCTCGCTGAAAATCTGGAACTCCGTTCCACGAACGACACCTTGCAAGGACCCCGCTTCGACCTGCAGCTTGCCACTCTTTAACTGTTTGACGGGGAAGAAGCGTTTCTCCTCTTCGTTGGCGTCGGCGGTGAAGAGAAAGCAATGCTTGTTGTCGCCCTCGCATTGGGGGTGTTGCCCTTTGAGCCGAGGAAGCAACTCCATCAATGATTGGTATGTGATCTTTTTGGCGGAGATCTGGGAGAGCGTCCGAAGTAATGCATTTGTGAAAGCACCAGACATCTGCTTTGTGTCCGGATTCAACGTTTCGCGAGCTCTCTCATCCTGTCGTCCCATATGAATGCCTCTATTTTTCGTGGCAGAAGACTGACTTACTTGACGACAGGCGGCCAGCAACACATGGGACGCCATGTTGCGAAACCCTGATTTGGGCTTGAATTGAACCCCACGAGACGTGTTTACATTCCACAAGTCTTTGTCGATATCTGCAGGCGGCGTCAAGGCCTTGTCGTGACTTCGGACGTTGAAAGGATATTCTTCGTCATCGGAGCTGCGAGTGCCACTGCCCGAGTTACAGCAATCAAGGATAACAGTGATATTGTTGTTATCCTTCGCTTGCGCGATTTGATGGAAGATACCCCATAACGTACGATCAGGGATACCGTAAACGTGGGGTACGTCGTCGTCTTCGGAGGATTCATCATGCGGGCATATCGTTTCCGACATCATATCGTCCGTAACCCAGCCATCTGGTGCTTCCACTTGCGCGCCATGGCCCGCAAACCCGAAAATCATCGCATCTTCCGGGCCTATTTTGTCGTTTTGAAGGAATTGGGATCTTAATGCATTGAGGATGCCGTCACGCGTTGCTGCTTCATTCGTGAGGCAGAGGATGTTCTCTTCGGGGACATGCAGCGATGTTATCAAGTGGTTCCTGTAGGAATTCGCATCGGAGACACAACCGCTGAGATCCTTGATTCCGGGCGATCTATACTTTTAGATCGGATACGTTATTGAGTGGCTCTATTCCAAGAGCAGAGATGGACGAACTCTATCAATCCCTATGAGGAGGGCAAATGCGTTTGAGGTCTGCATCACGATGTCTGTCAAATACAACAAGGACTGACTTGCTTTTATATCTTGCTCTTATCCAGGGTAGCACAGATCAGTGTCGTTGAAACCACATAAAACCTCCGCTGAAGCGCCCCAATGGCTGATGTCGGCGTTCGAGCGTTGGAACGAAAACAAACAAAACCACACAAGCATCATCGCGAATCAGGCATCGTTGAAGTAACCCGTCCATCAGCTCTGATACGAGTGTCATATAAACGCGCCCTGCAGCCTTCGAATAAAGTGGAGGCATTGACCAACATTGTTTAAAAGTAACATCGTTACAATGCGCGGCGATCCTTCTACAGGGGCCATTGACAGGAGCAACATCCCACCGTCACGGTATAGTCACGGTATGCTACTTCCTCATTGCGCTCAAAGCTGTTTGGGGTTGCGTAACTGGTATAACTGACTCAGATTTGTTGGGATCCAGATACTACGGGTGTACCTTCATTCGCAACTGGGTATACATGCAGCGCGCATATCCACTTTACGTCGGAACTCTGCCCATGCAACTGTTCATGTGGTATACTATACCTGCGGGAAGAGGTCCCCTGCGTGTTGGCAATTGCTATCAAGAATCTTACAAGAATCTGACTCGAGGACCATCAATCTATCACGTAATGGCCAATTGACTCACTTCCGCCCATGTTTAAATGAAGAGCCTGGAGACAATGTCCCGTTACAATGATGCTGCCAGGTTATACTCCATCTTCTCCGCCTCCTCGGTACATGAGCACGGCAGGTCACGGCGAGAAATCGCTTGCTCACACACCTGGGGAACGACCCGCCCCTACAAGCACATTCACTAGACATGAAGGTCGCACCTCCATCATTCTGGACTCACAAGAAGACAACATCGAAAGACCAAGTTATGGACGTCACGCTGTTGTTTCAGGCGTAATATATTTCGAAAATCCCTCTATTGTAGCTGAAGTCGTCGTCAAGGTGTGTTGACGTCTTGGTACGCTGCGCATATGCTAGAGCCTTTCCATCGACAGCTCGAAGGGAAAGTTGAAGTTTCCCTTCTCTCTACCGGAGACTCGACGTCTTATAAAACATTAAACACACACTGTCGCCTCACTTGGCAAACCTCTGGAAATGGCACGACGTGCCCCAATCTTGTACCATTCCGGCTCCATCTCCCTCCAACATTTGAATACGAGCAAGAATCTCATCGTATGCCTCCTTCGTATGAGATATTATCACCTGGGTCGTCTGGCCAGTTTGTCCGGTGCCGCTATCAACTAGTAGTTGCGATTACTAAAAGACGAAGTGCAGTGTCTTTGATGCGAGATAAAATGTATGTTATTCGCTCCCTCAAAATCCTAGAGATACTGACCTTGGCGGCGTACAGTATGACGATTCCATTCAACTACTACCCCCGAATGCGGCCTGAAATGCCCATTGTCAGCGACGGACATGATTTCTTTGCTTCTATCAAGATGAATCCAGGAGAATGGCATCAGGCGACCTCACAGTCTCAGCCCAGTAGCGGACATCTCAGTCCGATCACTGTCGACGTGAGCTCTTCTATCCATATATCGACAACAGCTCAATGTTCCATCACCTTCTCCAGTTTTTTATACCTGCGACTCGCATATTTGCTATAACCGATATCATACCCTTCCATATACAACTGTCGGGTGACATATCATCGATGAGAGCTTTCTTTCCTGAACTTCCACCCGAGGTCTACCCGCCCACGCTCCAACCCTTGAAGGCATCTTGGAAACGCAAGAAACCACGGTGGAAGTTTCTTCGCTTACTTCTCGTGCGACAGGTTTCGGCCCAGATCCATGGCCAGACCTCTGAAGATAACGCGCAGACCAGTGAGGGAACGATTCTACCGTTACCGCCAGACATTTTCGCGGTATCAGAGAACCAAGAACTCCAGCTTCATTGGAAAGGGGAGATAACGGGCGGTCCGAACCTCGCGGTGGGTAGTTTCAGCGTGCCTAATCTGTCAGTGCGAGTGAGTAGAATGGTCTCCCTGGCCTCCCCTTCTCCATCTTCGTGCTCATGCATCTCAGGACGTTCTCGTGTTAGCATTGACGCCTGCATCCAAAAGCCTCTTCCTAGAAGCCAAATGCATCGTGCCTATTCGTCTTGTAACGGATACTTGGTCTGGCGCCGACACAAGCCAATCTCAAACTGCAGCGTAAACTCTACATGGTACATTGCAGGAACGACTCTCCATCTATTACATTACACGCATGTGTATAGGACGATATATATAGGCTAACAATTTTTCAACAGCACACGTCGGCTTCTAGTTGCACCATACACGAGCGTTTTGGAAGAGCTTAAACCACGGCCCAACTCCAGACCACGTCAACTGCTGACCTTGCGTGTACCAGCTGTTACTCTCTAACGTCACGACGCGCTCTGGATGCGGCATGAGAGCCAATATGCGCCCATCTGGTGTCTGAATGCCCGTAACGCCCCCAGGGCTACCATTTGGATTCAAGGGGTAATGTTCAGTCGGCTTCCCGGATGAATCAACATATCGTACAGCCACAGAGGCCGTGGTTTCGAATCCTGATCGGTGGTCATCATTCTCGAATGAGACGCGCCCCTCCCCGTGTGCCACAGCGACAGGCAACTTGGATCCAGCCATATCACGAAAGAATACCGAGGATCGAGTAACGGCGTTGTCGACAATCTCTACCATCAACGTACGGGCTTCAAACCGTTCGCTGCGATTTGGCAAGAACTCTGGCCAAAACTCCGCGCCGCTTATAATCCCCTTGAGATGGCTGAAGAATTGGCAGCCATTGCAAACACCCAGCGCAAAGGTATCATCTCGTCCGAAGAAGGTAGTGAACTGGCTACGAGCCGCCTGATTTAATAAAACAGAATGCGCCCATCCCTTTCCTGCACCGAGAACATCACCATACGAGAATCCACCACATGCTGCCAGACCACGGAAGTCTTGCAGACTGGTCCGGCCACTAAGAATGTCGGACATGTGTACATCAATTGCGTCGAAACCAGCAGCGGTGAAAGCCCACGCCATCTCAAGTTGGCCGTTGACGCCTTGTTCCCTCAGAATAGCAACTTTCGGACGTCTGAAGAGGTCGCGAGATGGGGAAACAGAAAAGGTCAGGTCATAGAAGAGGCCGTGATGCGAGCTTGAATCGATCAAGGAGTATTCTTCGGCTGAGGTTTCTGGATTGTCACGAAGAGCTTGCATTTTGTAGGACGTTTCTGCCCAGGCTTTCTGCATACTGCCTCGCTCCCCGTTGTATACGACTTCGTTGGCCTGGCGGACCAGGAAAGCTTCAGGGTCGGATGGCTTGCGCAGTGTGCCAATTATAAAGATGGACTTCGAAGGGAAACCTGTCGATTCAAATATATCCCGAAGGAGTGGCAACTGTGACTCCCGAATTTGGACCACGGCACCAAGTTCTTCGTTGAATAGAAGTGGTAGTGGATCAGTCGAAGGTGAATATTCGTCTAAAGATATCTCGACGCCAATCCGAGAGGAGAAGCACATTTCGGCCACTGTCGTTAAGAGTCCGCCGTCGGAGCGATCATGATACGCAAGCACAAGATCTGGAGCCACCTCGCGAATCTTTTGACACCCTTGATAGAAGGCTTTGAGAAGAACTGGATCCTCGACATCTGGGGCTTCATCGCCAATCTCTTTGAACACCTGAGCGAGAGCCGACCCTCCAAGTCTAGCTTTGCCGGCGGCGAGATCAATCAAGATCAAAACGGTGGGCTCGTCCAAATCTGTCCGAAGCTCTGGTGTCCAAGTCGCCCTGACATCCTCGACTGGAGAAAAGGCTGTGACAATCAAGGACAAGGGCGAGGTAACTTCCCGTTGTTCGTCTCTGTCACTCCACTTCATCGACATCGACATCGAGTCTTTACCCACTGGGATTCCGATGCCTAGTGCAGGGCACAGTTCAATGCCAACGGCTTCGACCGCCGCGTACAAGTTGGCACCTTCGCCTTCCTTTGAAGCGGCACACATCCAATTAGCGCTTAGTTTGATGCTCGAGATGTCTCCAGTGTGAGCCGCTGCCAAATTCGTGAGAGATTCCGCAATGGCCATCCGAGCTGATGCTTGAGGGCTGAGGAGCGCAAGGGGCGTTCGTTCCCCCATTGCCATAGCTTCTCCAGAGATAACATCGAAGCCATAGGAACTCCGCGTTACTGCCACATCGGCGACAGGTACTTGCCAACGCCCAACCATCTGTTCCCTGGTCACCAGCCCAGTGATAGATCGATCACCGATGGTGACGAGGAACGACTTGGAACCCACTGATGGAAGGCGCAGGACTCGATTCACGGCTTCCGATATGCGATCTGCGGGCGAAGCTGAGGGCAGGTATTTGGCCAGGGTAGCGTCGAAGGCATTACGAGTAACCTGAGGCTTGACATCCTTACGAGACATCCTGGGTGGTTTCCCGAAAAGCGTTGACATCTTTAATCGTATCACATCTCGAGACAAAAGTCTGTCCGTGACTATGAGTTCTTCTTCAGCAGTTGCTTCGCCTACAATGGAATAGGGAGCTCGTTCACGTCTTGCTATCTGTTCGAAGATGTCGGCTTTATCTGAACCTATGGCCAACACGTATCGCTCTTGACTCTCATTGCACCAAATTTCCATCGGAGACATTGACGAGTCTGCAACGAGAACGTCTCGGATTTCGAACCGAGCACCCAACCCAGAGTCGTGGACAAGTTCCGGGAGGGCATTCGATAGACCACCCGCTCCGACGTCGTGAATACTTTGGATTGGGTTCTCCTCCAGACTAACGCAAGCATCGATTACTTGTTGGCAACGTCTCTGCATCTCTGCATTATCTCTTTGCACCGAAGCGAAATCAAGCTCTGCTGAGCTGGCACCCGAGGCCTGGCTTGAAGCTGCTCCCCCTCCGAGACCTATCAATAACCCAGGGCCACCCAAAACGATGATTTTCGCTCCGGGAGAAATGCTAGTTTTCAAAGCAAATTGGGGGCGAACGTTTCCATAGCCGCCGGCGATCATGATCGGCTTGTGGTAGCCCCTGACTTCTGTCCTTTCGCCCGATAGAGGGATACGCTCAGAGAATGTGCGAAAGTAACCTGTCAATGCTGGTCGCCCAAATTCGTTGTTGAAAGCACTTGCACCGAGAGGACCTTCAATCATGATATCGAATGCGGAAGCAATGTGTGAAGGCTTCCCAAAGTCCGTTTCCCAAGGTTGCTCGAATCCTGGGATAAGGAGATTTGAGACGGTGAAGCCAGAAAGGCCTGCTTTGGGTTTGGAGCCACGTCCAACGGCACCTTCGTCGCGAATCTCACCACCTGAGCCGGTCGCAGCCCCAGGGTATGGCGACACGGCTGTTGGGTGGTTATGAGTTTCGACTTTGGTGAGAATGGGCATGTCTTCAAGCTGAGCGCCGTAGAGCGTGCCGTCCTTGACGCTGAATCTGGGAGCGGGGTGGCCCTTGATGACGGCAGCGTTGTCAGAGTACGCGGAGATGGTGCCGGTACCGTTCAATTGTTCCGTGTTCCGGATCATTTGGAACAGTGACCGTTCTTTGGGTGTGCCATCGATTGTCCAGGACGCGTTGAAGATTTTATGGCGACAATGCTCTGAATTGACTTGGGCAAACATGAACAGTTCTGCATCGCTAGGATCTCTGTTTATCGGCTCGGCGCCAGAAACATAGGCCTCCAGTAGGTAGCTGATCTCGTCGGGTGCCAGCGCGAGGCCGAGTTCCTTGTTTGCTTTGCTCAGCGATTGCTCGGCAGATGGGGAGCTATGGAGGTCGATGGTTCGTAGGGGCTTGGGAGAGTGGTGAGCGAATATGATATCTTCGTTCGGTAGCAAGAACTGAACGACCTGGGTCATGCGATCATGGATTAAATGGGAGAAACTGTCCACGTCCGCTTGCGTGAGGAGATACTCATCCTTCGTGGCGATTTTGTAAACAATTCCGCGTTCGAGGCGTTCTATACGATCGCCAAGATTGCAGATTCTGGCGATATCTGTGGCTTTCGTGGACCATGGAGTAATAGATCCGGGCCTGGGTAGCACAAACAGTACATTCTTCCCTGCTTGCACTGTGGGCGGGCTGATGGAACCATTGCCGTAGGATAGTAGTAAGTCAAGGGCCTTTCGTGAAGGTGATTGGGGATCCAAAAGTTCTGCATCACGACTCTGGATAAGGTGCAACCACGGCGCCTCAAGTGACTCCACGAACGGGCATTTCGCCTGTATTTGCTTCAGGAGTACTGATCGCTTCGACAGGGACAGCGACGATGACCCACAAAGCAGCAACATCCTGGTCATATGTCAGTACACTTGCCCGAGAATGAGCTGAATGGAGGTTCATATACCTGGGTGCCGCTCGACCAAATGAGAGCTCCTAACAAGATTCAAATTTCGCTATTTCATCGAACGCATTGAAAATCGCATCTAATCTAATCCTATCGCCCAATTTGGAATCTTGCCCGAACTTTTGCAATAGACACGTCAAACTATTTCTTCACTTTGGGTGGTACTCGGCACTCAGCGGGGGGAACAATCGTCGCAATCCTTTGGCCGTTGTGCGCCCAATCTGTTCCTCGGCGAAGTTGGCAATTTTTCAAATCAGTTTGAGTTTCCAGTGCATAAGCGCCAAAGATGGCTCCGCACCATCACCATCCCCGACATCGAAGCTCTCATCCTAGACTATAGAAAACATGGCGCGAGGGGACAATCGTGGTGGGAAAGGATCCGGAAGAGGTGGAAGAGGTGGAGCAGGAAGAGCCCGCGGTCAAAACTTTGGCAAGAAGCGGGGCGGAGGCAACTTTCGTGGTAGAGGTCGAGGTCGAGGAGGGGGGCTTGGTTATCAAGATACGGATGTGATGGATTTCGTTCTTCAGCGATGGGACGGTATGTCTCTCTCCGTTTCTCCGTTTCTATATGACATGAGATTGGCACAATAGATACGGAAAATGCGAGAGGATCACCGTCGTCCGGCAGAGGGTCTGTGACGAGGAATCCGAACGCCGGCGCGGCGATTCCTACATCGGGCGCCTCCACTCCACGAGGGCGTGGTCGAGGAAGAGGTCGGGGAGGCATGCTGCGCGCGGATGCACCGCTATCCAAACTCCTTTTCCAAGAGCGCCCTTTGCTTCGTCCTATAAAGTTTGTCAAGTCAGTAAATACACCAACACTCTTCCAGGATGAAGAGGAAGTGTTCAAACCTGGGGTTGAGTCGGCTGGTACGTTTTACGTTCTGATCAATGCGCGGCATCAATAACAGGACATTACAGGGGATGAGGAAGCCAGCCATGTCCCAACAGCAGATCAAGTCGCAAGAGTCTTCAGTGGCAGTTTCCCTAGATTAGAGGATGGCGAACTGGAAGAGATAGACTTTCAGGATCTCCACAAACTCGCTCTGGTTCCCGAGTCGCAGGTCACCGAAACGCAAACCGTCATGGAGGAAACTTTCACCGGTGTGCTATCGACAACAGAAGGCTTTTTTGTTGATACAACGCCTTCTGTTAACAAGGATACCTCCATTAAATACGACACCGTCACCCTTGAAACTGCACCTTTGGGCGAGAATGATGATGATGACGAGCAGATCGTCTACGTTGCTCCTCATCCCCGAGTTTCTACTCGGGCACACTCTCCTTCGATACAACATCCCATACCGCCGATTACTACTGAGCCTTTCAACACCGTCGCCGCTGCCCCGTTACCAGAGGTAATCGACGTTCCAACAACGCAGCTATCGACAGCATCTTTCGATTTCAACTTTGCTCCTAGTCCACGCAAACAACCTCGGCATGCCCCGGTCTTCACTGCCAGTGCGCGGTCAAAGGCAGTAGTGAAGCAAAGGACACGACTTGGTCGAGCGATGAAGCGTAAGCAGAAGTCCGGCGGATTCACCGCGTTTGGCGCCATGATGTCCGAAGCACAGTTGAGAGGCGAGGAAATCAAAGATCCACGTTGGGAAGAGAGGAGAAGAGGGGATTCTGATATAGATTGGGGCGACGAAGATGAGAACGGCGCTGTGGATGAAGTATCTAGTGGCATTGGGGGTATGGATCTGGACCCGGATCTAGAGTTGGATGCGAACGCGATGAAGTCGTTCGTTAAGAGCATGAGTGCCGGAGCTAGCAATCATGTCACCATGGACGATGTGGCAGACGCTGAAATGATCAGAGAAGAGGATGAAGCGGAGGAGAGATCGGAAGATGGCGGTAGCAGTCAAGATGGAAGCAGCGAGGATGAGGACAAGGAGGTCGACGCGGCCGTAAATGCAGAGGAAGAGCTTATCATTTCGGAGGCTCTTGATTTGGACATGGAGAATGAAGCCGCCAGTGGCGACGAAGACGACGAAGACCTCTCCGATGAAGAGGAGGATGAGGATGGCTCCGATTTAGACCCAGGTGGCAGCTTCCAAGCACGCCTGACCCGCATTAGGGCGAACTCGAAAGGGAAACAGCGTGCCCGAGACGCGGACGTCGACAGCGATGACAATACGGACGAGGATCTGGGGCAGACTCGCGCCCAGGAAGATGATGACTTCATTGCACGTATAGAGGTCTGTGGTATTCTACTATCTCTAGTATATCCCTCCTAACATGGTCAAAGGAAATGTTGGACGAGAACGTTGATATTCTGAATGCTCACGACCGCAAGCAAAGAAAATCATTCTTCAAGGCCATACATGATGGAGACTTTGACGACGTAGTTGGATATAATACTCCAAGTATGGTTCACTTCTTGTTGTCCTTTCTGAAGCCCTCATGCTAGTTACACTAGAACGTGCGAAAGACAAAGGCAAGGATCTTCCACCAGAGTTGGCTGCTCTGTGGGAGAAAGACCGACAGAGGAAAGCAGAGAACAAACGCCTTCGACGGCAAGCACAACTTGAATTTGCAGCAGATCCCTTTTCCAACAAGAAAGGCGGGAAGAAAGGACAAAAAGCTGTCCTTGCCGCCGCCAGACTCGACCCTACGAGTGTCTCCATGCCTAACCGCATTATCGACATGCAGACGCTGGAGAACAAGATCAGACAGTTCATCGCGAATATCGGTGGCCCGAGGACGATGTCACTGCCACCTATGCGGAAAGACCTTCGAAAGATGGTACATGAGATGGCTTTGGCCTTTAACCTGAAAAGCAAGAGTGAAGGGAAAGGCGATGCGAGGTATACGACGCTGACCAAGACGACGCGCACTGGCGTTGCAATAAACGAGTTCAAAGTCAGCAAGATCGTTCGTAGGTCTGGGGGACGTGGGTTCACGGCACCCCCGCGAAACGGCAACACCAATCAAATGAAAATGAAGGATGGCGATGAAGTTGGGAAGGTTCGTATTCATTGCTGTTTGTATTTGGACTCGAGAACGTGAACGCTGATTTTTTGCGAATAGGCTGCGCCGAAGATTGGTGAATCGAACATAGGCTTCCAGATGCTGGCGGCGATGGGATGGTCGCAGGGAGAAAGGATCGGCCTTTCTGGGGGCTTGGAAGATCCTTTGACTGCGATCATGAAACGCACGAGGCTTGGATTGGGCGCGACAGTGTAATGTAGCGTAGCGAGGCAAGTACAGCGTTTCTACTGCTCGATCCAGATACGCGCTGTCGGTGCTGAACATCTACCCCTTATATCGAGATGCCCAGGCAAAAATTCTAGGTCACGGCTTTAATCTCATATCTGAGTTCCTTTGACTGTGCACTTCAACGTACTCTTGAGACTGGATAAACGTATCGAGCGAGCTCATACTCACTCTGAAATGGATTCACGGGTGCTGTTCCTCCGACGATTCGTCGGAACTGTGTTTGTGCTTTGGACGCTGATGGCAACGTTTGAACCTCCTTGTAAGATTGGTCAGCAGAGGTACTGGGAAGTAAAGAACACACATCGACCACTTGTTCCGTAGTCTGAAGATCGCAGATTCTTCGTCCCCGAACGTCTGCAACCCCGGCTATCATGATCAACGGACACCTTATTTGATGCTTTTGTGCTCCCGAGCTCATTGACAATTACGCCATGCCTTTCCGTCATGCGCCTTATCCTTGTGGTGGGCGGTGCGTTCCGAACTTGCTGTATTTACTGTGAGAGATGGATTTGCCCATCGAAAGAGACTGGGAGTTCGTCCAGTAGTTGGCCAACCTATCCGAATTCGAGGTATCACCGCATATTACGACACTGATCTCGCCGCGTTCTATGGTGGACAATGCACTGGCATTCATTTTGTCAATCGAGGTCCTGCGGGACGGACCGCACCGAACGTTCCCGTCGCGACTTGGGATCAAGATTGCGACGGTGTGAGCAACGGACCTGCCCTTTCGACCGTAGACGCGAACGAGAATCGCCTACTTTGCTTTTTCGACAATTTCAACGACGGGAGCGATACGTTTGCTATTGACTGTGGTCCATTGCAGGACGCTGCAACATCTATTCCATTCCTACAATTCCAAGCTCACTAGACTAGTCTTTACTATTGCCCTCGCATCTGATAAATTTAAACTCTATGAGCTCCCTCGATAGAATACATTGAAGGAGTCTTGCGACTTCGACTGTATTGAACAATATCCCATGGCGGTACCCCTTTGCATCCCCTAAGTATAAAAATAGATCATCGTTGATTGGCGCGCGCGCCAGTTGCCCGCCGCGTAGGCTCACTGGCGGCGTCGTCGACCTCGACGTCAAATCCATGGAACCCGTTCGCGAGGGCCAACCAATATCCTTTCACTCCGACCGCTCTGATGCCTTGCAACGTCTCCGAGATGAGAATTCGAACTTCAGCAACATGGTCGGTTCACCTGAACAAATGACCTCTATGGACCGTCATGGGCGCAATACCACTTCGACGTCGTCCCCAACGACGCGCGCAGCATCACCCGCACCGGCTGCGCGTCCGCGCCCTATCTTAAACCCACGGAGCATCTCCTCTTCGTATTTCCCGGCCGTTCCTGCGAGCCGTTCGCTCCCTCACCATGCCCCAAATCCTGATGATATGGGAAGGATAATTGCCAGTGCATCGTCCCCATCGAATGATAGGCATCAAAGGGATAGGCAGTGGTCTCTATTTGAGCAGCTCATGGAGAACGAGGGTCTAAACTCACCACTGCCGACGTCACGTCCCAGTCGTTCATTAAGACAAGGTCGCGTTGCTTCGAAACGAACGTCTTCCCCCTTTGCTGCTCATGCTGCCGACAACTCCACTGCTGTAACCGACCCATTTCTTACCGAACATACCCCGTCGCCTATTGACGAGGATCCTCGAATCCCTCCACATTCTCAGACCACCACTAGGTCTAATACACACGACTCCCTTTCATCGAATGAGGAAGACGACTCGTACGACTCGGATACCTCAGCGACAAGCATGCATCAGGCATATGCCTACGACCCGTCTAAACCCAGCCCGATGCCGCCTTGGTACTCGCCTCGAAGATTGCCTACTATACCTCTGCTGTACCGCAACATCCTCAAATGCGCTATCGCCTATTTTATTGCTAGCTTGTTCACATACAACCCTTACCTCTCTGGCCTCATAAGCGACATCACATCGTACAGGTCAGGTGATCGAAAACCTGTACCTAGTGGACATATGGTTGCTACTATGTACGTCTCTGCATTTGTCTTCATGTCCTCATAACATTCAAACCGGAATAGTGCGGTATACTTTAATCCCGCGAAAACTCGCGGTGCCATGTTTGAGGCCGATTTGTTTTGCTCTTTCGGTCTGTTGTATTCTTCTTTCGTTTGTCTCGCTTCGATGGGGACCTTCTGGTGGCTGGAGCTCAAGCCGGGGTGGGAGTGGCTGGGGGACGTAACGGTGATCCTGTGGATTGGACTGAGCATGAGTATAGTGGCGTGGATGAAGGTCTACATGGTGAGTTCGAGTGCAAGCAGTCTTATACGCTCAACTGACTTGGAAGTCTATAGGGAAGCCCGCAGTTCAATACCGGTATGGCATGAAGTATCTCTTTTCTCGCTAGACTCTAAAACCTTGCTTTGCTAGCTTGCAGCATGATTGCCATCACTCTTTTTGCCGTGTACGTCCCGTTGTTCTCTGCAGTAGCACATTGACTGAGCTAGGTTCACAGTATCGTCAAAGAGGGCGGCTTTGAAACCTTGCTTCAGGTAGCGCTAATCGTCATCACCGGTTCGGTCATCTCCAACCTCGTCTGCCACCTTATCTTTCCACAAACGGCCACGGCCAACCTCCAAACAAACATGACAAAAACACTCGATTCCTTTTCCACGCTACTGACGATGTTGACGAATGCCTTTTTGTTAGAGGAAGGGCTGCACCACCCGAGCCAAGGGAAGCTGCAGGAGGCAGTGAAGGCTCACCAGGGGAGTTTTACAAGCTTGAAGAAGGATCTAGAAGAGGCGAAGAGTGAATGGCTCTACGGAGGCCCGTGGAGTAGGGCGAGAGATCAGCCGGAAACCCCAAGGACTGCTGGACTTCGTGACGAAGAAGCAAGGGAGGGACTATCCTTCAGACAGGATGGTAAGGGGGCGGGAGCGAGTATGCGTGCCTACCAGGATGCGGTGGATAGCTTGACCCGACTTGCCCAGCATCTCAATGGATTGAGGAGTGGGACGAGACTACAATACGAGCTAACAAAGGCCGGCCTCGTCAGGTTGAAGGGGAAGGGAAAGAACGCTAACGGAGAAACTGTCACGATTGGGTCCGACACGAGTGCAGAGGGTGAAGAAGACGCGTTGCTGAAGGCTGCTGCAACCATGTTCGGCGATCTGGTGGACGACCTGGGACCCCCACTAAAGGCGTTATCTGTGAGTAGAATCTTACCTTCAATTATCAGGCCCGTTTGTGATATGTATGCACAGACTTTGTGTGGTCATTCGTTGAAGTCCTTGCGAGACTCCTTCGCCCAATCGCGCACGCACAAGGAGACCAGTCGAAAGCGACGGATTCGGCGCATACAGCCGCAGGATTTCATGGATCTGGTGGAAGGCCTTGAACGGGCATTGATGCGGTTCGAAAGCACGTCCAATCATGCCGTGTTGAGGCTGTACAGGAAGAGTGATCTTATATCGGCGGCGCAAGGCGACGCGTTCATGTCAGCGAGCTCGTCTTCGTGGAAGACCGATGGAGAGAAGGAGAAAGAGGGAAACATCTTCACGCAGGGCGACAACGAACACGTCTTCCTTGTGTATTTGTGCGTAGGATGTGGCACCTTGTCTGTCCGCATACGGCTGACCTTGTATCATTGCCTAGCTTTATCTTCACGTTGCAAGAGTTTGCAAGAGAGCTGGTATCGCTCGTCGATGCCATGGAACGCATTTATAGCCTTGAACAAGAGAGAGTGCATCGGGGACCATGGTGGAAACGGATATTCAGTGGTATCTGGGGATTGCTTAAGCGTCCGTTCTCGAAATCAAAACCAAAACGCCATAGAAGACCATCAGCCGAGCACCCGAGTTTACGTCGAAGGATCTGTATGTAGAGTCCCGCGTTTCTCCTTTGCCTTCCTTTTACTCAATGCCCTCTCGTCAGCGCACATCCTCCCCGCCGTTGGGAACCGCCACACCCATCCGTCCTTCCCCAAGGTCCGACCTCACGCGCCCAATACGATGCAAACGCCCCCTCGAACTAACTTGTCCTTCTTCGGTAAAGTCGGCCAGATGGTATGGTCCGTTGGAAACCGGCTCCAGCAAAGAGATGCAAAATACGCCATCAAAGCGGGGATGGCTACCGCGTTATTGGCTGCTCCTGCGTTCTTTGACGCGACAAGGACCCTGTTTGTGGACTGGTGGGGCGATTGGGCGCTGATCTCGGTAGGTTGTGATTTAACCTATATTGATCCTCTTACCATGTTATTAATTCTGAATAGTTCTTCGTGGTGCTTTCGCCAACGATCGGCGCAGTAAGTCGAGCGTTGTTTGGGACGAAGCGAGGATGCTCACGCTTTCCCGATCATTATAGACGAACTTTCTAAGCGTGCATCGTGTCTTCGGAACAATGTATGTTATGTCGCATCTCTATGAAATGGCTGTGAATACTGACGTTCCCGAAGTGCTGGTGCCTCCATTGCTGCGGGGATATACACCTTATTCCCCGACAATGCTGTTGTCCTCCCTATCTTCGGCTTCTTTTTCTCTCTGCCGTGTTTCTACTTCATTGTCGGGAAGCCCCAATATGCATCCTCCTCTCGATTCGTGTTGCTCACGTACAATCTGACATGCCTATATTGGTGAGCCCCAATTTGACGGTGGTGTGCGAGTACTGTCTAAGCCAGTTTCGTGTTGCAGTTATAATTCAAGAGAGGCGGATATCTCGGCTGTATACGTTGGCTTTCACCGTGCAGTAGCGGTCACGATTGGCGTGGTTTGGGCAGCGTTTGTGGCTCGTTTCTGGTGGCCCGCCGAAGCGAGGAGAGAGTTGGGAAAGTCCCTAGGAGAGTGAGTATCGGTTGGTTGGCAGTCCTTCAATGCCGGTCTGATGGCCATGCGTCGGATAGATTCTGTCTGAACATGGGGTGGCTCTATACTCGTTTGGTCGCCTCAAACTCGTACTTCCCAGAAGGCCAGGATGACACTCGCAGGCAGCTACTGCACCCTAACGATGAAGAAACCCATGAAGACAATGCGTTGACTTCACTCACCCCTCAAGAGTCTCTAAGCAATTCAATCCGCGAATTCATGTCAATGTACGTTCCCCCTCATTGATCAATCGCCAGTAGCTGAATGCCATGGTTTCATAGGGAATTGCATCTGCAAATCAAATTGATTGAGTTGCAAGGTTTATTGGCCCAAACCGTCCACGAGCCGCGGTTGAAAGGGCCGTTCCCTGTACAACTTTACCGAGAGATTTTGACGAGCCTGCAAACAATATTGGACCGATTCCACAGTATGCGGTGTGTCACGACACGGGAAGAATGGTATGTGTTGTTCTCTAGCTCCTTAGCGTTCCCACACTAACCAGACGTCTCATTAGGTATACGGTATGTTGTTATCAGCAATGGCGAAAATACACCGAAGCCTTAAATCTATCTTCACTATTTAGCAAGTACGGAAAGACTTCATCATCCCAGTTAACAGGGAGCGGCGAGAGATGGTTGGCAACATTATCCTTTACTTCTCCACGCTAGCCTCCGCGTTCAGATTGAAGGCGCCTCTCCCTCCCTATCTTCCCCCAGCTGAGAAGGCGCGACAACGGCTGGTTAGTGTCCATACCCCTCATCCAGGCACATGTCATCTAAAAATCCTGTAGGTGGACGCAATACGTCAACTAGACGTAGTGCGTACTCGTGATGTGAAAGGATCGAGACACCTTTTATTCTTCGCATATGCCCTCAATTTGAAGGGTGTCACTGAAGAGCTAGAGTCGCTAGGAAGGACGTTGCAGACGGCCTTCGGTGTCATTGGACAAACGCCTGAAGAGTTTGAGGCACTCTTTGAGTCCGAGACGACGGAGGGCCGAGAGCGCATTGAACATGCTGCATAGACGTTCCATGTTATGTTTGCACACTGTAGTTATGCTGCGCTTCATCTGTTTATCTTCTCTCTTCTCGTTGTCGAAACTGCATATTCAATCGACGGACAGTTTGGCTTTCACCTTGCCCGGGCGCAGGTAGTGCTATACATGTATTAGTTATATCATACAAGGACCACGACAGTCAACGATCATCTAGAACGAACAATGCCATCACGAACTACGAGTCCAACGCCCAGCTTGGACAACTCGTTTCTACGTGAAACCCCCCTTCTGACTAGATAGCACGCAACAGAACTCAAAACGCGTCTCGGTATCTTGTCTGGATAGGCGCGTTGATTCTATCCCTATCCTCGTCTTCCCCGTCTTTGACGCCATTGCGGGCATTTGCAGCTTCCTGCTTGAATTGGCGTGGTAAAAGCGCAAGACCCAACATGTACAACACTGGGAGTAACTACATCGGCGAGCATCAGAGTCAGTAATCTCATACCTCGAGATTTACTGGAAATGAGGTTACTCACCACGACCCAGATATACCAAACAATGTTGGCCCCCATCCTTACGTCTCCTCGGCCAGTACTCAAAGGCCACTCTGTTGTATATCCGGTTCTGACCTGATAGAACGACAGGCCGATGGTCAACAGTCCGACAACTGCGTGGATATAATTCTGGAGCGGACGGCGGGCAGCCGGATGTACGGCGTAAGCAGTGGCCTTGGGTCTCGGCTTGACGAAGTGGATGAGAGCACCGAGAGCACATTGGAAGAAGTAGAGGGCGAAAAGGGCTACTCCCCATTTCTGTGAAATCTGTGAGACAGACGACGCCCGAATGGAATGGCAGGACCCACCCTATGAGTTGTTGAGAGGTGCACCCCTCCTGCTTTGTGAACAGCATAAATTCCCAAAACAACACCGACGACGATCGTTGGGCCAGCTGCGAGATAAAGTAAGGAATATGGGCGTTGGACACAACATAGCCTTGCGTACCGATGCCCAATTGAACAATCCAGTGGGCTTCAAACCACTGCGGCCATAATGTCCTTAGATATCTCGCTAAGAGGGCCCCTGTGGGAAGGAACAACAGGAATCCGACGATACAGAATACTGCGTGCACGACGATGATCCTTTGAACCGGCGTGAAGGGGATATCACTCGTAGCACCCGAAGACGCGGGATTCGTCGATGATGAGCCAGACGAATCAAGCGCTTTAGTGAGGTCTAACTGTGCTGTTCCCGTTTCGACGTGTTGATTGATCGATGCGTCTGCGGCTGCAGCTGGAACATCGGTGCCAAACGCGTAAATGACCCATTGTGAGGTTGTATCGTCTTTCTATTGTCGACATAGGTTAATTTGCCGTAAAGGGTTTAAAAATAGATGACACTAACTGGAACTGAGAAGGCAAATTTAGGCTGGTCGCCCGAGGCCTACATCGTAGCTCTGCGTTAGAATGCTCCATCCTTTCGATGGGACGGCACTACAAGCTAATCAATAAGTAGCTTGACGCACCACGCTAAGCCCATTATGCAGCGTAGCTACTTTCGGCGGGGAAGAATCGACGGTAGGCATTACTTTCTGTGTTGCTATCCTCTGCGATATTGTAATACCGCCACTCGAAGGTGCCCAAGCAAGAACCATGGGTGAGTTGGTCATGCTGCGCCCGAAGCCCCTGAACAAAGGAGTGAGCTCTCGAATAACCTTGAAGGCGGTTCAACTTGTTGCTTACATGGCCATCCATCCGAGAGATCTCTCACCCGTACTTTGGAGGATATCTAAAAGACAATGTTAGCCACGGAGGGAAGCATCGACACTACGCCAGAAGAACATATGTGCGTACACGTGACACTAGTGTCGTTGACGATAGCCGAAATGCACATCGCCTGGCGCGATACGGACAAGGAGTCAATGAGAGCGAGACAATCTAAGAATGAATGTGCTCACACTACCACAGTGCGAGTCGCCCGTTGTCCCAGCCAACTCTGAGGAGCTCGACGTGGTATTGGCGGTACCGCCACTAATCGTGTCGTCGTCGTCGTCGTCACCATGCTTTCCACCTTCGCCTGGGCGGTAAGCCTATCCAATGTTAACACGGATTCGCCCCATAGCTCTGTACCCACATACATTCGACGCAAGGGCGGTTAGACATATTATCGGGATAGCGCGTCGCAGCAGCATGGTGTTGGTGGTAGTGGTAGAAGGTAAGGGCCCGGTCTGCTCGTCGAGATGTTAGTCCCTACCTGCCAAATTTGGCTCCCACGGTTGGACCAAACCTGGCCCAAACCTACTCCAAACCGACAGTTTGGTCTGCTGTACCAGGGGGTTTGCGGGTGGGTTAGGACCTTCCTGTCACATTATTATGTCAGCGTTAATATACCTGGTGGCACCTTGTATCAACTGCATTATCTATTCCCTCCAATAAACAGTACTACAGCTTGTGGTGTTTATTTATTAATGAATGTTAGTGGTGAGATAGCAGGACGAAGAAGTGAAAAAAGGACAATCCGTGGCTCGAACCCGCAACCTTTCCGTGCTAAAAAGTAGTACTCAAGCGCGCAAACCGCTAAACCAACGTACCACATGTTAAACTCTTTTGGACTAGTATATCACCTACTGAGCCGGGATACTTCAGGTCGCCGACAAGAAATACAAGAAATACCGAAAGCAGAAGTTTGCATGTATTTACTTTGTATCTATTGCCGCTTTCCCACCATGATGTCTGTGACTTATTTGTGACGATTCCCAAGCGCCCTGAGCAGACTCCAGCGCTAGGTTTTGTCAAGTTCAATCTCCGCCAACCCCAGGCCCGAGGGACTGACATCTCGACGAGCAGACCGGGCCCTAAGAGGGGAGGTAAGCAGATTAACCGCAACTCTTCGAAGGGTTATATGATGCCTTCTATTGGCTGACAACCGCCAAGTCTAATTTTGCAGGGTCTAGCGAAATAGGCTCTACCTCAACGTCAGTGGCAGTTACCAGTATGTCCGCCGCCAGAGTTGTGGATCCAAGTGCTCGCCTTCGTGCGATGAATTGAAGCCTAATGCAAATGCCCAAGTCATGGAATATGTCTACATCTGCCTGTAACCCAGTAGACACGTCTCCTCTTGCACATACCACAGACAGTCGACACGCTGCATTCATGCCCATGCTCGAGCGATCATCGGACGCGAGACAGCGGAAACATTCATATGTTGAGAAACTGGATGACATGGCCAAGCGTAATCGTTCCCGTGCCAATCCACATACAGGATGTAGTCCGATTCTCCAATCGCCAGGCGATCCGCAGCAAGGAACCCGCACACCTATTGAAAAAGTCATGAAGGGTTTACATTTTCTTATCTAACTGCAGTATACCTCCACGCACCAGGTGGCGCGTGTGCTATATACCCTTTCTTTTCCCCAGTCGATCCTCCAAACCTCGGTTGTTGTTGACGGGCGCCGCAGGACTTGCGTGCAGTCGAGCTAGCAACGAGGCTGGCGGGGCAGTGTTATTTCCACCATTTGAGGGTCTTCCTCCATCACGGTCTGCTGCGCCTTTAATGCTTATTCCTCCTTCAGCCTTTCCAGAAGACGATGGCGATGCCTTCACGTTGACCTGAGGGACTGGGCTGCGCAGTGGCCTATCTCTCGGTGTTGCATTCACCGTATTACGTTGTCTTGCCATTACTGCGCCAAACACGGAGTTGTTACTATTATTTTTGTCGGTTCCCATGCGGCTCAATAACGACGGTGTTTCTGCTTCTGTTTTCAACCTCTTCGCCGGTCGATCCTCCGTGATGCCGGGCTTAGATGTTATTCTTGAGATCGGGGTCGCGCTCTTGTCACCATCGTTATACGTTGGGCGCTTGATAACCACGGGAGAGGAAGCCGACGTCGATGCTGAAGGAGATCGGGTAATGGAATCTCTTGGTGTCGTGTTTGTATTGGGTCGTCTATCCGTGGCTGTGGCTGCGGTTTGTGTTTGTTGCGGCTTCACTGACGAGAACAATGACGGAGCTATGGACTGCGGAAAAAAAGAGGGGAAAAGAGAAGGCATGTCGGACACAACGTGTGAGGACGAAAAGCGGTCCGTTGCGAACCCTTATTAGGCCTTTAATGTGCCGCGCTTCTCTGATATTGTTATTACCACCAGCGTTGTCGTCGGCACAAAATGAGGAGGTCGTCAAACGTGCAAGCGCAGTTTCGAAGTGTGCTGGGATCGACCATGAAGTATCTTTGTTTCGCTATAGACAAAGAAATGAAGATAATAGCATGTATACATAGGAAAATGGGTACTTACGCGAACACACTCAGTGAGTAAGACGATGCAAGCACCCATTGTCCTCGAATCCGCGATCCCGATGTCCACAAGCCGCTAATCACAGGACCATATTAGTAAAGTTAGGCATTTGGCGACACTCCAGTCGGTAAGGATGAGCTCAAAGGACGCAAACCTCGAACAAAATGGGGCAAGCATCGACCGCTTGTCGCCTAACTTTGGCCGTCTCTTCTTCGGTCACCAATCCCAGACTAGTGTCGTCCCTACCCGAAGCTCGGAAGGCGTCTGCGAGTTGTCCGATGGCCAGAACCTGATTGGGAGGCGAGAGCCTTTGCAGTGTCATCTTCGATGCAAGCGAAGTGAGGTAAAACGCAAGTAAGTCCGTTGCAGGGGCGGCGCTTCGCTCCACTGCAAGAATATGTGCTAACCGAAGGTAAAATTGTGTATCTTCAAAAGTGATGGCTTGTCTAGATGCGCTACTGCGAAGCGCCTTGCGCAGCGAGTCGCGCGCCAAGTCAAGGAGAACGCGCAGGAGCGCTTTCCCTTGCCGTGATTGAGTGTTGTACGATGGAAGGACGAGAAGGATCTCCTTCACTATTTTGCCGACGTCGGGGGGCGGGAGTTTTGGTATTGCCTATCGTAGGAGCGCGGCTAAGTTAAGCACCGTTTTAGTACCTATCGCGGAGGCTTACCGCCAACAACTCCCCCACTAGCACATCTTCGGCTTCGCTTCCCGATGTCACCCTTCTCGCAATTGCATGTTTCGCTTCATCGGCCAGAAACGACAATACTAAAACTCTCAGCCGGTCCCTGATCCCTTTCTCTTCGTCGTCAGAGGAGGCTTCCAGAGGCGTTATCTGGTCGCACAACACACTGAGAGTGATTCGCGGGTCAAGCTCGAGGTGCTCAAGTAGAGAATGCTTGACCACGGTAACTTCATCTGGCTCGTCTGACGCCACATAAGTTACGTTGGAAGTAATAGAAAAGAGGTACATACCACTTTGCAATAGCTGCAATAATACATCCGCGTTACGCTTCACCCACTTTGTTTGGGCCCTTGACATGTGTGCTAAGGCTTTATACCCTTCTATCCGCACCTAATAACACAGATTTATTTCCAGGCCCTCTCACGAGCGAATGAACGGTGCATACTCACCATAGGCGACTGGTCTTCACACAAGTCATACACAGCATTGATTGAGGCTTCCTCAAGCTCCGGGAAATCCTTGAAAAAGTACTGGATACCATCTGCCGCGAGTATCTTTAGCGAAGCAGGATGCGTAGATTGGGTGAGTGATATGAGATGGGTGAGTGTGTCGCGCCTCTAAATTCCGTGTCCCCGTTGCATTTCAAACCAATAACAGTTTGATTTCAGGAAGGAGAGCGGCGGAATGAGATAATGTCGCATTGAGGATATTGGATATGCCCACCATGTTCCCCGTTTTGTTGGGCTGCCCTTTGGCTCTCCGTATCAGATCTATCCCCGCATGAGTACGAACGGGCGCACATACGGGATCAGTGACTCACCTCTGAGATCCCTTTCCTGCTCGGCGACATTTTCCTCCATCGTTGTTTGAGATCTGGCCTTTCCTTGAAAATATTGAGTAGTGTCGAGAACTATCCAAGAGAAAGTAAAAGTACAGTAGATTTGAGCTATGCACAGGAATTTGAGATGGAACCGGTCCAAGTTGAACTTCTGCAAGCGGAAGCCATGTGCCGAGCGCTTAAATTGCACTAGGAGCTATCATAGGAGAGGATAGGAGCTTCGCAGGCTAATTCCCATTTACCGTCTTTTAAGGTTGCAGACGTCTTCATATCATACCTTGCTTGGGCTAAGCTGTGGAAAGCCTTTGTTGTTCAAATCTTGGAATGTGGCCTTCACTTCTAAATTATCTATTCTATTATTGCCCACTCAGCTGCTGTTAAGCTCTACGCTTCAGCGCCCCACTCATCGCCTCCACTATCTTGAGCTCTAATTAGTGGACACCCCAGCTTTTACAGCGATTATCTTCCTAGGCCAGGCTCCAAGCTCATCTGACCCCTTGCGCTCAGCATGGTGCAGCATGACTGCCATCGGCAACAAAGCCCCAGGATTAATAGCTTCCTGAACATGTAGCTCTCTTCCATGGCGCTCTACCATTTCACCGGCGCATACGGAGCTGGCCAGTCGTAATTCGACACCGCAGTCGAGTCGTTCGAGCCCTAGCAAAATACACTTAGATTCCAATCCTCGTTGTTGGACATGCCACCGACTTTCTGCGCCGCCAGGCTCATGCGAACAGAGACGCCACCAAGCCGTTGTAACCCCCGTCTGTGACCGAACGCCCAGAAAGCCATTCATGCTGGATATTGCTCGTTTAATATCACCTTCAGAGATCGACGAAGCAGGCATCACTAAGTCGTCTCCATTTTGCGTGCCCCGGGTGGTCCAATAGGTTCCGAGTGCGTTGAGCTCAAAGTCTTCCCCATCTGCGACGCCGACTACTGTGAGCTAGGTTGTTCGCAAGCCTCGGACATCTCTATCTCATCCCCCCGACACGGTGCACCAACACCACGGTCGAAACAGGCAAGCCTCACGAAGGTCAATGACACTGTATTCCATTCCCTCGACAGTCGCGACTAGCGAAAAGGGCCCTGCGTCTGGAGACTTGGGCTCTAGCTACCGCGCGCACCTCAAATGCTGAGTTATTAAGAGAGCTTACTAGCAAGACGGATCATTTGTATCATATACGAACAAAGTTGCTGATGACAGGGAAGAGAGCTCAGCAGAGAGTCGACAACGGTTCTATACTTGAGTGCTGCACTAAAGCCCAACAAAGAGGTAGCCTGGAGGGCAAGTGTTGTCGTTTCCATCAAAACGAAAATAGGGCTACTGCTTCTTGGAAAAAAGCCTGACCACGAGTCACGCGCAAGGCACAAGGAAAGCAAGCGAGTTCATTCTGGAGCTCCAGAACAGATACCAACCCGCATTCAAAACACAAATACCGTCCGTTTCACAATGGTGCCAAGTTCATTGTGAGTGCAGCGACGGGTCCACCTCATTTATTGCATAACTTGCAATGTATCTCAATCATCAGTAACACTGTTCTTCAAAAGTAAACAAGCTACCTGATTGCTGCATCGCCAGCTTGAGCAGAACCCCAATGGATTTGTGGGGGTGATGTGGGTAAACCGCCAGGGAAAGAAGGTCACTGGGCTTGATCGCTCCCCGCTCAAGGTTTGTGCACAGCCTACGGCGGTGCTCCTGCCAGAAACAAAGTTCAATATTGTATACTTTCATTATGTACATGCCAAGGTACGTACCTAGGAACCTCCTTTGAAGGCCAACCATGAGGATAACTTTGCCCTCAGCTCGCGTTCTGGGCATCCCAGAGCTTTTGGCGCACATATTCTCGCTGTCGACTCGGCAGGCGAATGCAGTACACGCTCGTGTTTGCAAAGAGTGGTCCGACGCCGCTCTGGACATTCTGTGGCGGAGGGTTACCAACGTTGCCCATCTGATGCGACTGCTCTCACCGCTACAGGCGGAATACGACGAGGACGGCGACGTTACATGGGTACGTCCATCGATTACAACCAGGATTGAGAGAGTTATCGACCTTTCCGTCTAGTTTTTTGTCAAAGAAGGCGGAGATATCACGACGAGCGACTGGGCGCGGCTGAAGTCATATGCAAGGCGGGTTCGGACGCTCGTAGTCGAACACAGCGCATCGACACTCCACAAGTCCGTTTTTGAAGAAATCAAAATTGGAAATGGCGACTTCCTCGACTTGCTGCCTAATCTGCAACGACTCGAATGGTACATCGATCCATACTATTTCCATCTTTTCACCGATAAGAAAGTCACACATCTTACGATGCGCCTGGACCCTCAAGATGCACTACATAAATGTGTGTTTGAGATCATCCAGGATATCCCAAAGTTCCTGCCACACCTGGAGTCCTTGACGCTTCAATCACCATCGCATTACGAGCATATCTCCAACGACCTATTGGAAACACAGCTCCCAGAGGTCGAAACACTGGACGACATCCATAATGCAATTGCCACATCCTTACAAAGCCTTCCCTTGCTGTCGCACGTCTCGTTACCTAAATGTTTTCTTGTCTCGAAGGTCGTTCAACAGCTGTCCACGCTGAACAAACTAACCTCGACGGAAACATCTCTTCCGCTATCGCCCTGCGAGGCAACGTTTCCCCTCGCCCTGGCCGCAGACAGTTTCATCTCCATGACACGGCTCATCTTTTCTATGACGTTTGCCAGAGCCACGGAGTGCTTTGTACAGAGCAACCACCCGCCAAATATCGTTCACCTCGAGCTTGTTTCCACCATCATCGAACCCGAGCGAGATTATGCGCGCCTTCTTGAGGTGCTTTCTGACAGTTATCCTAGCCTCGAGGTGCTCGTTCTGGACTTCAAACAGCGGCGTGAAGTAGATGTCGAACCCACGGTACATACTGCGATCACTTTCCGTAGCCTACGACCCATTCTTTGCTGCTCCAAGCTCAAGACCCTGATACTGCGCCACTACTTCCCTTTCATACTAGAACATGACGATATTCTCTCAATCGCCAGGGCCCTTCATTCCATCGAGACGTTGCTGCTCAATGAGAGTCCACACGCTCTGCTGAAACCGACGTTTCCGATAGGGACTCTCCTGGTGTTCAGAACCCATTGCCCACGGTTGAAGCGGCTTGGTCTCTACTTTGGCACAGGGACCAAGCATATACCCATAACAGTTCCCGAAGGATGTCTGTCCAAGATATCCAGCTTGAAATTGGGCGCCTCTCGCGCGGACCCCTGCTTTGATGTCGGCTGTTTCCTCAACGACGTTTGCCCGAAGGCGTTTCTATCTTTTTCAAGCTACAGGAGTGGGAAGTATCGTGGACTCGGCTCGAGGATTTCCAAAGAATGGAACACGGTGCTTGAGGAAAGAGAAATATGGAGGCTTGCAGACATATATTCTGAGGAACAGATGAAGACCAACAATTTAGGTATACTCTTGCATCTGCGTTATAATCGGATATTAACCGTGAGCTGCTGTCTCCGTAGCTCACGTAGTTCCACCACGCCTTCGCCTCGAGATACTGAAGGGGAATTTTTACAAACAGGAGAAGGTAGGCCCCAGCTGGATCAGCCTCGCTGTATACTGAGCGTGGATGTTTCGTAGGAGAAAATAGCGCGAGAGAAAGAGCTATTTCGGGAGCAGATATATCAGGAAACCATGGATGAAGAGGGAGGATGAATACCGTTGTAGCGAATTTAGGTACCCCTGTTCCCCCCTAAAGACTCACTCACCGTTGACTCAAGATGGCACCATCTTCAACGCGCGTGCTGCGAGCTCTGATAGATTCGGATAGATTCCCCGCCTCCTTGATGCCCATTAACACCATATCGTACCGCCCCTCCGATAGCCAAGGCTATTATGTAGTCACAGTTGAGTATCTTTCAAATGAAATGACCGTCTCGTGTTGCTCCATATCGTCGATTGCATGCTCACCCAAGTTAAATTTACGCCCAGACGGTCCCCTTCTACCGCCTCTTTATTTCCAATCAGAAGTCTCCCACAGCGCCTCGGGTGGATCGCGCGTGCTGTAGACATCATCCCCGTAAGTCTGTACAATAGACAAAACAGTTCCTGGCATGGAACCAACGTGATGCGCACACTGTGCGGTCGCATGAAGTCGTGTCTTCTGAGGGATGCACGTCTTCCCGAAAGCCCACCCAAGCCGAGAGGAAGTAATGCGGGAATCAGGCTCACGCTTTCGAGGTGAGTGGTCTATGATATCTTTCTTAATTGAGAAGTTCTCTGAAAACGTAGTTAGGTCCCGCATGTATAGTTTTGGAGCGGGGAAACTCGATCAACTTGCCGTACCCCGTCTCCTAGTCGTGATGAATTTAGACTAAAAATACCGCCTACCCACCTCCGGAAGAGAAGCTTGTCAGATGGTGCAAGGTCAGGCGGCTGGGCCTTAAACGGTACTTAGCAGGAGTCTGGGAGATTTATAGCTGAGGCAGACTACTCCCACTGAGCTTTAGTCGAAGCAAGTTACAATGGCCGTCGGAGGTGCAGTCAACGCCACAGGCGACGCTGGATACGTTCATCTCATCGACCCAAGGCGGAAATGGTACAACAATCGGCGGTAGGTGTCCTTGGAGTCTCTATCTCATGCGCTTTCTCAATGTGCAATTAGTCTCATCGCCCTCCATGCGTGGATTGTCCTTCTGTAGGTATTCACTTGCGTCGAGAGCCTGGCGCGTGCTAACTTCTCTGTTTCTAGCCTCATCACCTCGTCCAATAATGGGTACGATGGAAGCATGATGAACGGTCTGCAAACACTTCCGCAGTGGAGGGACTACTTCCATACTCCGTCCGGAAGCATGCTTGGCCTTTTGAATGCAATTCAGGTATATTCGCATCTTGACTCGACCATGCAGCACACGTCTGATTTGTTTGTCGCGTAGAATATCGGTTCACTTGCTGCATATCCATTCTCACCGTATCTCGCCGATGGTCTTGGCCGTAAGAAGACGGTCTTCATCGGCGCCGTGATCATGTGCATCGCTACTGTGATCCAGACAGCAGCCCAGTCTGTTGGAATGTTCATCGGTGCTCGATTCCTGATTGGTTTCGGGCTTACATTCGGTGGTATGTTCGCCTCCTTTGTCCGCTTCTAGTTTACTGATTGGAACTCAACAGCTGGCGCCGCGCCAATGCTGGTCACGGAAATTGCCTATCCTCCATATCGTGGTCCTCTGACATCGACTTACAATTCCCTATGGTATTCGGGAGCCATTGTGTGCGTTCCATTCCGCCTTACTCCATGGGCGGGCTTTTAACGTAACGTGGGTGTAGTGCCGCGTGGAGCACCTTTGGTACATTCAAGATCAAGAACACCTGGTCGTGGCGTATCCCCTCGGCCCTTCAGGCCCTCCCGGCCGTACTTCAGGTATTCCTCGTCCTCTTTGGCCCTGAATCGCCGCGTTGGTTGATTAGCAAGGGGAAAGACGAACTTGCATTGAATACGCTGGCCTACTACCACGCCGATGGGAACAGGTGCGCCATTGAGTGATCATCCATCTGGCGACTCCCAGCTGACTTCGTGGATGTAGGGATGACCCCCTTGTTCAGTACGAATTCCATGAGATCAAGAACGCTATTGACTTCGATCGTACTGTCGCCGCTAATGTAGGGTGGAAGGCTCTCGTAGCGACTCCAGGTAACAGGAGACGCATGCGCATTATCGTCGCTCTAGCCTTCTTCTCTCAATGGTCTGGGAACGGCCTCGTATCGTACTATCTTAACATAGTACTCAACTCAATAGGTATCACTAATCCAACAACCCAGGTTCGTATTCTTATCTGTCTATCTCACCGCGGCCTTCCCATCATCTGAACTGCCGTCTAGCTCCTCATCAATGGAATTCTTCAAATATGGAACTTGGGCTGGGCGCTCCTGGCAGCCGCTCTGTGCGACCGCCTGGGCCGACGACTTCTGTTCCTGGCTTCAGGCGTGGGCATGCTCATCTTCTTTACCATGCAAACCGTGTGTTCCGCCGAGTTCGCTATCCACGAGTCACATGCCGCTGCGCATGCAGTTATCGCGTTCATATTCCTGTTCTACGCCTCCTACGAGTACGTACTTTCTCCGAGTGTTTGGCTGTGGCATCCATGCTAACCCTGATACAGTCTCGCCTTTACCCCTCTCATCGTCTCGTATACCGTCGAAATTCTGCCTTTCCCACTCCGCGCCAAAGGATTTACCGTCTTCAATTTCGCCATCTCCCTGTCGCTTATCTTCAATCAATACGTCAACCCAGTCGCGCTCGAGGCCATAAAATGGAAGTACTACGTACGTTGTCCCGTATCCAGCCTCCCCCTAGGGCTAACTCACAGCTCCTTGAATACAGGTTGTGTACTGTTGTTGGCTTCTCTTTGAACTCATATTCCTCTACTTCTTCGTTATCGAGACGAAGAACCGCACACTTGAAGAAACTGCAGCCCTCTTCGATGGCGAAGATGCTGCCCAGCACCTACACACTGGCGCCGTTGCCGACCTTAGCCCAAGTACCGAGAAAGATGAAAAGTCTTCCGGTTCGCTTCATGAACATGCCGACATTCCTACTACTCATTACTAAACGAGCCGACCTTTCTTTCATTAATGTCTGTACGATTTGGGCTATAATCCCTTCTACGACTCCTCACATGTTCATGCGTAACGATTCGCGATGTAAATATTACTGATACGATCAATTGATACACATTATATACATTCACTCGAGGCTTTTTGTGTCATTCTCTAAATTTAATAATCTATCGCGCCGACCAAGTGCTCGATCTCTTCGGGGCCTGTCCTGCAGCAGCCACCTACGATAACGCCGCCCCAAGCCTTGTTGGCTCTGACGCTTTGCACGACTTGATTCAACTCCTCCGCCCAGTGGGCCTTATCTCTCCCCTTTTTCCACTGCCGCAAGATCGTGTCGTACACATCACCTCCATTGGGGTAGAGGATCAACCATGGCGCCTTTCCTGTGCTCTCGATACTGCCGATCTCCTCAGCCATTTCTGCAGATATGTCGCCCATGAACTCGACACCGCAACAATTGATCCCTACAGCCGACGGTCGGGGTAGATTAGTGCCACTGAGTGCGGCGCGTATCACCTCGCGCGGACTTGAGGGGCGTTCAGGGAGCTTCCCAAATGGGAAGACATTGCATATCCACCACGGCTTCATCGCGTTCTCACCGTACTCTTCCTGAAGATCGCGAATCGCCCGGCGTATTGCTGCGACCTCACGAACCACAGGGACTGTCTCGAACGCCAAGCAGTCAATCATCGCCCATGTTTCTGGGTCGGAAATATAGACTTTGAGCCGCTGGAAGTGAAATTCGGCAAGAGCCTGTGTTGCTTCTTCTTCTTTCGCCTGTTCCTCGGGTGGAAACGAATTCCGGCCGTCCAATCCCTCACCAGGAAACGCCTGCGGACCATAAGGGGGAGGATAGAACCCGTCGAACTCTTGCGTTGGGACGGGCGTGGCACCAAATGGACCGATGGACAGTGCAACGCGGATCTTTGGCTGAGGTCCCCGCTTCGAGTATTCTTTGAGGAACCGCGAACGGGCTTCGTTCGCCAGTGCCACGCCTGTTTTCCAGACTCGGCTAGCCTCGTCCTTCGAGTAGCCAGCTCGCTCGAATGTTTCGAACGCACATTGGTAACTAAATGCGATCAGCGCGCGAAGCGGTTGGATATGATATTCTCGGCCTACGTTGCTGTTAAGATCACTTTTGCTCCCGCTCGCAGGAAGGCCAGATGTGCATTGATCACTGCCTCTGGATCTTCCATTATTACGTTGGCAGACCACAAGGGGGTGTTGGAAATGGATTTGGAGTAGAATGTTTCCAGTGTGGTTCCCTGATCAACACATTAGCCTGGTCTTGCGATCGATGGCGGGAAATGTTAACATACCATGCCTCCATCCATGATGGCCACTGGCGAGTCGAATAGTTCTGAGATGTGTGCCATAGCTGTGAATACTTCCAATGGCGTGTGAGGCGAATATATATTCGCCGTAGATGATACCTAGATGCGGCGATTAGACAAGGCGGAGAGTATACCAGGTTCTCTAGGGCCCCGGGTGGTCTAATTTCCACAGGCCGGAACTCTGGGCTAGCGGATTATCTTCAGGGGTCAAGACCAAACCTAGAAAGGCCTATTGAAGCGCCTATGTGATGGACATGCTAGCTGTGCAGGATCAGCCATAAAGTCATGCATATGACCTAGGCTTTCAACCTCGATAGAATACACAGTAACTTGGAATTCGTCGGAAGTTTGGGACCGGAATGAAGCTCGAACTTCAAACACAACCATGCGATGTTCTCACGGTCACTAAACAACTCTCACGGTCACTAAGGCCTTGTGTGGCTGCACCCCGAAGTTTGTGTTGATACCGATTCACCGCTCCAGCAAGAAATCAAGGAGACGTCGCCCGCCCGGCGTCCTGCTCAAAACTAACCTCGACGGTATGTTTCTGTGCCATTCGTATGTGGATTGCGTGGAAGAACGGATCGGAAACGGGGTTGGATGAGATGGATGGGATTCCTGGATTCGGGATGAGGCTGGTCCGATATAGGGCTTCTGGTCTGACTACGCCTACGATAGGTCCAATATGTCTTCAAAACTCCCATCCGTACTCAGCGCGACCGAGGAGGACATTCAGCTCCTCCTTGCTGCCCAATGCCATATCGGCACGAAAAACTGTGACAAGCAGATGGAAGGCTACGTCTGGAAGCGAAGATCTGACGGTGAATAGATATCGTAAATATTCTGGTGCTTCAGGCCTAAACTGTTGGAAAGGTATCCATATCCTCAACATTGGCAAGACCTGGGAGAAGCTCGTTTTCGCCGCCCGTATTATTGCTACCGTCGAGAACCCAAATGACGTTTGTGTCATCTCTGCTCGCCCATATGGCCACCGCGCCGTCCTGAAATATGCAGCCAACACTGGTGCTCAAGCTATCGCCGGACGTTTCACCCCTGGCTCATTCACCAACTACATCACCCGTTCGTTCAAGGAGCCTCGTTTGATCATCGTCACCGACCCCCGCGTGGACCACCAGGCTATCCGTGAAGCATCTTACGTTAACATCCCCGTTATTGCTTTCTGCGACACCGACGCCCCTACTAAATTCGTCGATGTTGCTATCCCCACGAACAACAAGACCAAGCACTCGATCGGTCTCGTATGGTGGCTCCTTGCCCGTGAAGTCCTCCGACTCCGTGGAACCATCCCCCGAACAGCCGACGGCTGGAATGTCATGGTAGATATGTTCTTCTACAGAGACCCCGAGGAAGTAGAGAGACAGCAACAGGAAGAGGCTGCTGCCAAAATCGCCGCCCAGGCCGGCGACGCAGAGGCCGCACCTTTGGATAGCTGGGATGTCACCTCGGCAGCACCAGGCACTTCCATCAACCCCGCTTTGGTTGCTCAGGATGGTGGTGCGTTAATTTTGCTCGGGCGTCGATTTCAGCGCTTACTCAACTATGTATATTCTTAGCCGCTCTTGACTGGTCAGCAGAGCCTGCTCCTGGTGCACCCACTGATTGGTCTGCTGAACCTGCTGCTGCTGGCGCCTGGGAGGCAACCGCCACCGGTTCTGGCTGGGATTAAATACTTGTAGTGGCGGCTTCAAGATGGAGCGGTTGTCGTGTCTAAATCATCAAATGCTACCCTCTATTGTGCTTCTCCCCTTTACGTTTCATATTCCATGCTACTTGCCACATTATCTCCCGATTGCATAGGCTAGGCTTTATGATAAACCATGACATCCCTCTAGTTGATCGTGTCTCGTGAAGTTGACTTTCTTACAGATCCTTTATCATCAACGATGTGTGCAGATGACTGATAAGTATCGCAGACCAACGCTTGTATTATCATCTCATCCTGTCGCGATGCTCCATAGGAACACGCTGGTTCGAATGAAATCCCAGGTGCGTTGAATATGATTCGCCTGTACATAGTCTGCCCACTAATTATCGGAAAATTCTTCAGGGTTGACCATATGCATCGAGGTCTAAAGTAACCTAAGTTCCGAAATCGTTCATCAGCAACGAGTCTTCGCAGTACCTTAAACATTAGTACTGAAGCCTTTGGTTCCAGCTTCTGCATTCTCTTTGACGTTGTGGCGGTCCTTGGAGACGACTGACTCTGCATTCTCCGGTATCCAACCCAGAAACAAAACGAACACGGAACATTGATACCAATCCTGGTTTCTCGTTCGGGCCCTCAGGCCCCCGACCCGCGTGGGGCACCGGAAGACCCCCATGTTGCCTCAGATTGCCTCCTTGGTCCGCCGGAAGCCGTCAGATAGGTACCGCATGTCCCCAGCTTTCCCCACACAGCGCAAGCGTCTCTCACACACGTCTACCCTTGTCTACCCCGCAAAGATCTGTGATCGCACCATACCTGAACCGCGGCGCTTGGAATCGTTGTCTGTACTGGCTGTGATCTACCTAGCTGGTGACAGCTGATGACGACCATGCGGCTCACAAGCAATTTTTGAAACCACTTGAGCAGCAGTAAGGTACAACACCATTCCTCCACATGTTCTTCAGTTTCCTTACACCCCCACAGCTCCGTCACAGTCAGATTTCTGAGCGATTTCTGTCAGCATTCGGATCGGTGGGCTAATGAGCCATAAACCCCAGACAGTCAGATGATGACCGAACTATGTAGGGTCTACCCCGAGGGCGCATGGGCATCGCGGTGTTGGCCAGAAAGCGACCTTCGTACACATTCGCATTTATGCATAAAAGCGGACATAATGCAGAGAGATACTCCAAGTTCTACAGGACCTCCCGAGCCCCAGGATGTACGCGTTGGTGTTTGTCGTGACTCTCCTCCTCACTTTCCTTGGGTCCACGCAAGCGGCGCCCGCGCTACCATTGGAGGTTCGGGACAGCGGTGTCTCTCAAGCCGTGTACGATGACCTCGTCGTTTATGCCAAGTACTCGTCTGCCGTCTATCAGCCATTCTGCCCTCGCCCCCTGGGTAGCTGGATGATCAAAGCTGTAAGTTTCGAGAGATCGTTTCCGCGATTGGATGTGCTTAACGTTCGTTAGTTCGACACCAAGGGGACACAAGGATTTGTCGCGCGTGACGATGCCAGGAAGGAAATCATCGTAGCCTTCCGGGGCTCATTTGAGATAGTTGATATCTTGATCGGTACGTTCGGATTTGTTGATCCTACTAACATCTCTAAACATGGCCACTGCGTAGATATTCAAATCATCCTCACTCCATTGTCGACGCCTGGTGTATCCAACGTTGGCAGCGCACGCGTTCACACCGGCTTCCAGAAGGCGTACAACTTTGTGACCGATGAGGTTCAAAGTTTGATGAAGTCACAGATCGACGCGTACCCTTCTTACAAGCTTGTCGTTACTGGTACGAGAATTTAGTTCTCGGTAGGAATATCAGGACCTGACGGACCCCATAGGCCACTCACTAGGCGGAGCTGTTGCCACTTTCGCAGCCCTTGCCCTCAAGTCGAAGTACCCCAGCAAATCTCTTCGATTGTTCACATACGGTAAGTGACTAGCTAATTGATTTGTTGATACTCTTGATGGCTGACAATGTTTATCGACCTAGGCGCCCCTCGGGTTGGCGATGCTGCGTTCGCTTCGCTGGTTGAGAGCCGTTTGGGGATCAACAATATCTATCGAGGTAAGTGTTCCCCTAGTACAAAGACACAGTTACTAACTGAACACAGGCGTTCATACCTGGGGTACGACACCAGCCGGTTCAAGCAAGCTAGTTTGCTGACGGTTTACTTGAAATTATAGACGGCGTGCCGACTCTTCTGGGCAGATGGCTCGGTTACCGACATTAGTACGCTGCAGTTTACTTCCCCACCTTGATTAAGGCTAACAACTGTAAAGTGGCACCGAGTACTGGCAACATAAAGATCCATGTTTGTCGTACTCGACTCCGTAGTTTCTTCTCTTTGGCTGAGATCTTCAACAGCCAAACCTGAGAATGTTCGCAAGTGCAACGGCGGCGAGGACACTTCCTGCAGCAATTCTATAAGTAAGTATTTCTCCGGCAGAGCGTGTTTCTTAATAGTAACATACACATCAGTCTCAACCGGGATAAACCCACCACACGCCTTCCAGTTCGGCCAAGGTGAGCTCTTTGCCACTTGTGGAGATGTTGTGGCGCCTAATTCTTGCCCACAGTGATGGCTATTAACCCATTACTGTGTTTCTAGTTTTACGGGTTTAGGCAATTGTATTTCATGTATTATTATGGAGATCCCACGAATCACTTTTCTACAAATTAGTGAAGACGACGCTGGCCCCTCCATCGGCCCAAAGGGCGCTCAGAGATCGCCGACTTGGAGACTGTTTCTCTATTTGGAGCCTACTCTGAACTGGCCGCAAATATTCATCCTAGGAACCTGTACTGCAAGTTCCTAAACTCTGCTTCTTAATCAATGACAGAAGGCGCCGTTCAGCTGCTCGCATTAGTCACTTTTTTTAAGAGAATCTTCAAGAACAATGGAGATTAATGACATTGGGAGATAAGATTAGTTCGTTTGACCAAGCTCCTCACCCTCTCATTTCTCTGCAATTGCTCTTTGGCTGCTTTGCACCGAAATGCAAATATGTCCTGATGCGACCTTGAGCGGCTCCCCGCAAGTTGCTGCTGTTGGGCAGCTCTCCAGTTGCTGCATTATGTAAGCCGTCGCAGACGCATTTGAGGCCAAGCCTCTCGCTCCTCCAAGTCCCCGACCCCGACTCGACCTTGTCCTCCATCCCCCATCTCCCATTTCGCCAGTTTCGATCCCAGCGTGTCTGGTACGTGAGAGTCGATGTCCGACCCTCCGAAGGTTCTCCACCGTGTCATTCGGCGTCTTGCTAGCTGGGCTGTATGGTCGTTTTTCACCGAGGTTCACGTTATTGGTGGAGAGAATGTGCCCAAGCATGGCCCAATAATAGTGTCAGTATTCCTAGACCTATGCGAATTGCTCATGAACGCGTCCCGTATCCTTGTAGTGCCGCGACACATCACAATATGATGCTTGATCCTGCCATATTGTGTACGTCGCACCGAGCTATGCTGAAAATTCGTAATTTGACCCGAAATATATAGCTGTTGCATTCCCCTATGCCAGAATACTGAACTACTGGAGCAAAGGTGAGTCTCTTGTTCAATTTACACAAGTGTCTGACTTAAGGTTCCCCTTCAGCCAGTCTGTTTGGAAATCCCATGCTTGCCTACATACTATCAAGTTCCGGCAACATTCCTGTTGACAGAAAGAGCAAAGACCGTCAGATACTCTTCAAGGGCACGTTCGATGCACTTTCTCGCGGATGGGCCGTCGCGTTGTTTCCCGAGGGAACAAGCTACACGGAACCTCGGATAATGCAAGTCAAGGACGGCGCTGCTTGGGCCGCGCTGGAATATGAGAAGTGGGTTGGAGAGAACCCAGGCAAATCCACGGAGGGTAGTGTTACTATCATCCCCGCAGCAATCGTCTATACGAATAAATCTAAATATAGGAGTAAAGTGAGTGGTCATAGTGCTCCGCACTTTCTCACAGATTCCTAAACATTTCCAGGTTATCTTAGAGTATGGGTTCTCTCCTTCGGACATAGTGCATACACTCATTCACGATGATAACAGATTCGGACAGCCTATAACGATGGATGAATACAGGCAACAGTTCTTCTCTAGCGAAGATGGCGCCCCCAGGGCTGCTGCAAAGCGGCTGACGCGAACCATTGAACGCGAGCTTATAGAAGCAACAATCAACGCCCCCGATTGGTTCGTATCTGTCCAAAACCGTCATTCGCGGGCTTATGCTCTCAACCTAGGGATACTCTTTATGCGGCAAGAATGGCGCGCGATATTATGTGGGAAGGGGACAAGTCCATCGACTTGAATGACTTCGTCGCCGTATCTCAAACGTAAGCGGTTCCCTAGACATTCGACTGCGTATTCACTTCTTCCAGGCTTGTGGATCTCTTTTCTACACCAAATGCTACTCCTAAGATGGCATCCATGAAGCGCACGTTGCTTGAATATTACTCGCTTCTCCAGTCTACCCACTTGACGAACTCGGTTCTATCCTCGCTTCCGTTGCCGCGAACATTGGATCCAAGGCATCCCGCGACCTTACCAAGCCGCTTTTACACACTCGCGGTTTTATTCCGAGATACGCTATGGTCATTGCTTAGTTTACCATTCTTCGTGTTTCCCTTGATTGTTCATTCGCCCGTGTATATCATGGGAAGACTCGGTGCTAGGTTGGTTGAAGATGAGGAAGAGACTCAGGTAAGCATTTTCGATGTCTTAGATTGATATCTAATCCCGAACATTACTCTAGGCCCAGAACAAGGTGCTGTTCGGGTTACTTTTCACGTTACTCATGTATCCTGCCTCGTTCTTTTTCTTGTGGGCCCTGTTCATGTACACCCCGATCGGCGCAATACTTGCCTTCGGCACGGTTTATTACCTAGCGGTGTACCATAACAAGATGATCAATGGTAAGCCCCGCTCCATTTTCACCGCGCATGCCGTGAGTAATATTTCATCATCTCTAGATTATTACGAAAAGTACGTTATTATTTTCCACCGTTGAAATATTTCTGATTCGTCGAATTGTAGTGCCAAACGAGTGATCGCAGCTTGGCGTGTACTTGTTGGCGTATGGGCCCCAAGGCGATGGGAATTCTCTACTGCTGTCTTATCGCAGTACACTACCCCCATTGTCCCCAAGGAAAATCCCTGGATAGACAAACCCAAATCGTCGACCTCATCGCCCGCACGTAACGTCGCCGCCCCGCTTCCTTCCTCGCTAGCGTCCGGTTTAGAACCACCCGAGCCGCCCGTGTCTAGTGCCCCGAGACGGCGCCCACCTTCCCGCAGGATCATGCGGCACGTATTACGTGCCAGAGTAGAAGCCGTGAAAGCGCTCGCGATCTTCTTTGATCAGCTGGAGAAGAATAACCAACGTGTATTAGCGAGCGTTCATCTGGCCAAACTGTACGGTGGAACGGTGGAGGAACGGGCAGGCAGTTTGGACGTCACATCGGATGGCGTAACACCCGCGTCTGAACCGGTTGGCTGGAGGAGAGCGTCGGAAGTTATCTCCTTCCTGACGAAGCGGAGCGCAAAGGTCCCGTCATTGAGTTATCGTGGAGACGCTGATTGGGCAGCACTGAGTAGCGAGGGCGAAGGAGAGGACTCCGAGAAGGAGAAAGATCAGGCGACTTGGGTACCCTCCAGTTCATGATTTGCTTTACGATATGTTACTTCTATCTAGGTACTCTTGACATATTCGAGTATTATACGTACGGATGTTGTTTCTGATTATGCCTTTTGTTTTACGAGACTGGACAGTTCGTTGGGAAACAACTAATGTCGGTTCAATGGTCTAATGGTTATGATTTCTGTCTCACATTGTAATGTACACAGAAGGTTCCCAGTTCGATCCTGGGTTGAACCACTTTTTGCCATCGACGCGATGAACGTAGGAAGCAACTACAGCCTCATCAGATGCAACAGGCCCGCTGCAGAATTGTTAAGGAAACTGCTGGAATATCAACGATAATCGATTGGGCTCGCGTATCACTTCGGAGTGAAGCGTACAACATGGCCAGGGGGTATATTACCCAAGGGGGAATGTAGATCTCATTGATGTCCACGTACGTTGGTAGGCGAATTAACCGAGCAGCCTCATCACAGCCCCAGAGTACACACTGACGATGTGCATACGCTTCCCTGCATAATGCACATCCCCGCGATCAGCGTGTTCGACGTCCGTGTCCTCCACGCCCGAATATTAAGACGCGTGGTGGAGAATGGATGCTTCGATTTTGCCGCGTGTCCCCGATAGCGTCGCATTGGGGTGCTTAATCTATCGTTAGGCTCCCCTTCCAGCGCCCTTCCATCTATTGTCATTGGTGATAATCAGCTTATTTACAGCGCTTGATAGTGCTGTCTTGGTGCCATCATTGGTTGACAGATGTAGAAGGCAACGACCAGTTATACGGCGGTATATATATCACAGTTACCGTTCTAACACCCAACAGGAAAGTCGAAAAGATTTATTTTGAGGACTGGTGGGTATTTCAGAAAAGTCGATGGCAAGTCGCGGCAAGACATACGGGTATCAATCTTTCATTAGAGATTGGTCTGATTGCACGTTCTTGCAATTCGAAAGCACCTATAAGACCGGAGGAAGATTTTACTCCTCGATGTGATATAGATGACAGCGTGTGCCAGTTGGACCGGTGAATTCGATTCTCAATTTAGGCAGGGTTATGTTCTTTAGAACAAGACATATCGCAAGGTGCATGTGTAGCCCTGGTGGGGGGGCCGTATTAATAGGGTGGTGGACTGGCGGATGAACATATCAACAGGAAGCAGCTGACACGATACTCACCATTCAATGATGCCGCAATGGAAATAGCCTCTAAACGGTCATATGCAAGATAAAAAAGACAAATTCTTCTCAAGAGGTCGAAGCTGTTGATTGATAGACAAGTTGGGCTACGTCAGACGTTATGAGGGAAGGATCATGATGCCTGCTGACTGGCCCAGGAATGCAGTCCGGCCAAGGTGATCCGAAGGAGTTCACAACAGTGAAAGGGAATGTTTGGGGATCGGAGGAACCGGTGAGGCAATGTAATTGGCGAACATCGGCCTTGAAGCTTGACGACGCGTTCGAGCTTGTCTAGTAGTCGCTGACGCAAGAGTTTTTGACCAATATCGATGATGATTGAAACCTCCGAGGCAATAAAGACATCATTCTAGCGTGAGCCACGTTCAAGCTTGAACGAGAGGTCCCGGAAGGACCCATAGTGATCGAGATGGTAACTTTATCTGCGCGGGCCTAGGGCGACCAGAACCAAAGACGAAGTACCATGGCCCTAGGCATGTTTCTCCGAGCGGCGTTACTATTCGCTGGGATAACGAGGTTAGGAATCCCAGCGATGCCATTCTCACCGCCGGCGCGATTGCGGCCAAACGCGAGAGCTCAAATTTTAAAAGCAAATGGAGGTCAATATGTACCGCCGGAGAAAGTCGAGATGCGAGTATAGTGCGAGTGTATTGGTAGGGGAGATAGGGTCAGCCTCTGTGGGCTGTCACTCAGAACGAAGACATACATAATGAACGCGTACCTCAGAGGATCGGTGGCTGGATGTGTGGGAGTCAATCGAGCACTGTAGGAACCCGCAGGTTCCCGCGTGTCCAGCAAGCATAATTTCTGGACTCCGGGGACAGTCTCGATAGCAGGGTGTTCGGCGCGGTGCTAGACACTTCGCAACGAGGTAGACTCAAAGAGGGGTACAGCCATTCTCCTCCCACAGAAGAAGAGCCGCACCAGTTCCACGTCCCTTGAGGAAATAGAGCTTTCACCTGTGTGAACATGTCAACCAAGGCATCGGGAGGTTCCACGAGCAAAAAATTTAGCATAGCTCTCCATCTGAATCTCCATCTGGCAAACACCACGAAATTACATGGCTATTCTTCTAATCTTGGCGTAATTGGTTTCGACCTAGTTTTTGTTTTGGGACTGTCCCAACCTGGAAGTGACACCAGCGTCGAGCAGCGTTGAACTTGAACTTGAACCAAGTTCTGTCTCCGACAGTCGCCCCCTATTCGTATTCGCGCTATGGACACGTGACTTTGCCTGCATTCGTGTCACTGGCAGCGGCGCAGCGAACGAATCGAAACATTTGCTGGCGCTCTCCTCATCGTCCGCTCGTGAAGATCCTCAAAATTGATTTGGCGACATGCATAGTATCTTCTCGAGACTGAACAATGGCTCTTCGCTGCTCTCATCATGCTTGATGGGCCTTTTGCTGGCCGTAACACTCTCCACTTTCGTCTTCACGGCGGAGCCCCAGGGAAACTTGACTATCGGGTCAATACGAGTGTACGTGTTCGCTGAAGGTGGCTTAACCTCGCTGAAGCTATTTTGGTCTTTCTAGCCTTGAGGGACGGAATCCTCGACGATACAATCAAAAGCAAGAAGTCGGGGTAGTGCGATTCAATGTCACTGCTGGTACGCCCTCATCTGATACGGAGGGACCGTCTTTAATCCTATGGGCTTCACGCATTTGTTGATCCTACCACTACTGCCTCGTCGTTTCATCGTCTCCACGAAACCCTCGCGTCGGTGCAATACTGCAGATCTCACGCCACTATTTCATTGGAATACGAAGCAAATCTTCTTATACCTGCAGGCAGAGTATAACACTACCGAAGGAGTGAGTTCTTCTTGGCTAGACTAAAATTATAGCCGTTATCGCTTCTCCAATACATTGGAGTGAACAAGCATCCGGCTGCAATGTATTTCCAATCTACGCACGCCTCATTGAGGCCATACAGGCGTCATCATTCTAGTGGCGCCCTAAGTCGTTCCAGAATGCCATCTTTTCATTCGTTGTCGCCTGCCTTTCAGTTTGGAAATGTCTCCCGGTATCTAACTAATTGTTCACTATGAATAGGTCCAGAACGATGTAGTTATTTGGGACCGTATTGTACGCAGAAAAGAAGACGCGTCCATCAACGTTGTTGCAAAAGATAAGTACCACCTCCGCGACGTCTCCAGGACCTTCAGGTATGTACCTCGTTCCTTATACTTCCGCAAAACTAAGCCTATTAGGGGTGTTCCACACGCGCAATACGCACTCAAGTACAACATCATGCCTTATGTAGGCGTTCTGACATATGGCGAGGTTGCACGAACCTCGGAGGCAGTAGTTTTTCCTAAATTAGGAGAGCTGTAGCTGGCTTGGCTGTCAGCACTATTATCGCGACGCGAACTGTTTCATCGTATGTACAGCGAATTACAAATGTGAACGGTTGACCATCGCATTCAAATATTCAAATCGCAGTTCACTCGTAGCGAGCGTCCCTGCCATACGATCGCTTCCCCGAGAGAATGGGACAAACTTGGTTGCGCGCTCAACCCCACCATTGACCAATCGAACTTCTCGCCAAATGCAGTCAATTCGGGTGAAACGCTGATTCATAACTCCGCTATTCTTCCGTGAGTTTAGTCTGGTGCATTTGAATCGATCGATGTCAAGGGGCGCTGAACCCTCTTTTTCTGGGATTTCTTTTATTTTCCTCAACCTTCCCAGTGGCTTCCCAGCACTTCTCAGGCGAAGTCAGTCCCTGGAGCCGACCTGGGTCCTCCATGCCGGGCGCAATGCCTTCTGGCTCTGAGGCGAGACCAAATTCATTGAGGTCGCATTCCCATACTGTTTGTACAAGAAGGTACCAGATGTCAATGTACACGCGCTACCACACGCGCTACGCCACGGCGCGCCGGTCCCGCCTCACGTTGCAAATTCTTGTAAAGCACCAACATCGATCGTGCATAGCAAGATAAGCGGGGGCCTCAAGGGCCTCACGCGTACGATGCTTCAGGCTAGTTCAGGTCAGTTGCCATTGCTCCGACTACTGGCTCCTGATTGGCCTCTTCACACGGAGAAACCTTAAATCGTGAGGCGTACTGGCGGTGAGAATGGTAGTCTTATGCCATGGGAACCTTGTTACTGATCTCTCTCTCTATCATCGTTGTTCATTATCATTAATATTGTCTACGACAGCCGTCTACTAATCTACTGGGCAGCCGGGGGCTGAAAGTTAAACCCTCTGCCGGATGTCCGATAAGGCAGTAATCCTGATATTTGGCATTGTGGATGTAAGTAGGCTGAGAGGCAGTGAAGGTCTAGAGCGTCCGCCCTACGCCCTACACCCTGTATGGTCCAAGTGCCGACCTGGTCACCTGGAGATTTGAGGTTGGCTCTGTTATGCTCAAGATTCGTTCTTGAAGCTTGTATACTTCCCGCAATTCAGTCAATTCAATACTCTCTTACTGATTATATTACTGACTGACAGCCATTATAACGTCTTAGCCACTGCAACAACACGAAGAGGTAAGCAAAAATGCTTCCGAGCCGGAAGCAAAAGGGGGCCCCCTTAAATGGATAACATCATTCAAACTCCGCGGCAGTAAATGTGACAGATTTGTTAGATTTTTGAACCGAACATGGATTTTTTATATTTCGAGGCGACGAACCTAACCGATTGGGATGATCGCGACAGATGGCGAGTTCGCTTGTTGTGGGTCCAAATGCCTGTTTGGTTCTCCCGGACACGCTTGAAATATCGAAGCTCATCATCAAGGTGAGGCGATTTGAACTGATCCAGTCGTGAAATCTGATTATTGGTGACCATCTAGAATATCTTTTAAGGTTCACGCATCAGGGGCAAAAGGTATATGTCAGATAACCGATTTAAGTGGTTTCTTACGGCAAGACTCGTAATCAGAAAGGGTCAGATGACGAGAAGCGTGGGTTCGCCAACCTGTCAAGGTTAGCGTCTTTCACTGTGTCGACTCGTAAACAATCCTTTCGGATCTATGATCATTATATTACTATAGGTTTACTGGTTTACTCACTCCCCCTTCTTCTCCAAAATTTCCCCGCTTCTCGCAGTATCACGACTTACGATTATGCATGGTGGCCTTAATTACGATTACCTCTCGCATGGCGCCCAGCAGGTACCTCGAGCCCTGGCTACGCAAAGCCCTTCAGAAGCGTTCCCTATGTTTGTTCGCGGTGGGCAGAATATGGTGTGTTGTATCCTCGGTACGCTACACTGTGTCGGCACGACTGACGTGACGTCCTTGACAGATGCTCGAGGATGATACTGAATCCACTGGCGGATTCGCAGAGACAGTTCGTGAGATTGACGAAGAATTCTATCGCACATTCCCCGCTGCCATGTTACCCCCGATTGTGCCACCGTCAGGCGAGTGGGTTTACGACCGTACGACTGGCCAGTATTTGCACTGCTCGCAAGTCGCAGTGGTAATCAAGGATAGCGACTACCCCCCATGCTTCTCAGAGGATGACTCCAATCCCGTCGTTCCCCTCGCTCAGCGTGCAAAGCAGGAGTACGAGTACCGGGAATCCATCCCTGCATGTAGACCTCACAGTAACTGTGCCACACCGACCTCAGGACTGCAGCATAGTCATCACGTAGCCACTCCCTCTAATGATAGCAGCCTGATGAAGGCGACGTATTCTTACGACACCCAGCCCAACGTACGTTTCTTTATGTAACGACTCAATTGGTCTATATACTCACTTAATTATAGAAAAGCGCTCCAGTCCATGAGTCCATTTGCGCCTCTCCCGCGGTGGCGGCAGTTCCACCTCACCTGGTCGTTCCATCGCAGCAACCGACGGTCGACTTCAGTTCCGAGATCAAACGCCAACAGCAGTGGGGCCATGGGGCGAACATGCATAACCCTTATCCGCAGCCCGTAGTCAAGGCCGAGCCGTCCTATGCGAGCCACTCCCTCCTGTCGCAGATGCCAGAAATCATCTCTCCAAACTCTCCCGATACGCCAATGACGCCTGTATATACTGAGCAAGGGATAGCTATGACAGTCTCTGACGGCCATTGGAAATATCACCGGTACGAGACTTGCATAGACTCGAGTACCCCATCGGACCATGGAGAAGCGCACCCCGAGTGGTCGCAATATGAACACGGCTCTGCTACGCTGGCCAGTCTAGACCCCACTTCGCCTCCATTCGATTCACCGGCATCGCCTACCACTAGCACATTCTGTCACCGCTCCCCAGTACGGTCTTCTTCCGCCTATTCCCGCCAAGCGACTAGTCGTCCCTACCATCCCCATCACAATCGTCATAGGCAGTCCCACCATCGTCTACTAGGTAGTCCCAGTCGCTCTCGGAGATCGCCATCCCCACGACTCGAGACATACCCCGCTTCTTCGTGTTCCCTCGAGCCTGAGATGTCCCCAGCTCCCTTAAGCCCGCTGTCAGACGAGAAGCCACTTGAGAAGAAACCCCCGTTGGCCTGCCTCTTCTGCCGAGGTAGAAAGATCGCCTGTGGGCCGCCTTTGCCCGGGAGCAAGGATCGCACGTGCAAGTGAGTACATCGTTTTAATTCACTGCCCCATCGGTATTCTCGGATGCTTTATTCTTGTCTTACCCCGGTGACTTGCATCGCCTGGAGGTTTCCATTCTCCGATCGGTTGGCCTTGCAGACAGATAGCGCTGTGGGCCTTTCGCACCCCAACAAGCTATAACCTTCCTATCCCCTTACGTCTCATTTCTTTGTTATTTTCTCATCTGCTTCTCTTCTACCACGGGAGACCGCATGGATGTGTCCGCCCTCCCGCCTTCTGGATGACAGCTTATTTCTTGCATCCACATTGCGAGGGGCATAAGGTGGGCATCACGCGGCCTTAGCGTGTCAGACATAGTCCTGACAAGGGCAAGGGCTTGTCGGGGTTTCTGCTTTCATTTTATCTTTGATGTGATATGTTATTTCATTATCTTGATCATCTTTGTTTTCCATGCTTCTCAATCACCCTTGATGGAGTAAAGGCTAACATTTTGAACCCCAATCGTAGTCAGTGTCAACGTCGCTCGCTGAAATGCGAATACCCATTGGAAAGCCGCCGTGGTATGAGGAAGAAGAAAGCACCCGTTGCGACAGAAACGCCGAAAGAGGCAGTTCCCGACTCGAAAAGCAACCCTGTCCCATCCGTACCGGAAGCTCCCGCCCCTGTTGATCAGAAACCAATTCTTGTTGGCATTTCCCACCGACCTTCCGAACCAGACGTTTCGCAACAGAAGCACCCTGGCACTCACTCCAGTCCAAGTGACGCAGTTCCCATCGAAACAGAGTAGTCCGGTATTGTTTCCCGTCTTCGCATTCAATCCAGAATTCCAGGATCGGCATCGCGAAGTCTGTGTTATATGTATATGCATGGCCGGCGCGCTGGCACCTTCCTCCGACCATTTGAGGCGCGGAACTCCCATGCCGCCATTGTATCCTCACACTCAATTCCTTAGCGCTTCTCCATAGAAGCGACCCTCTTCGGCGACATCCCGTTCGTCATTATGACCTTCGTTCCGAGTTGATGGTCGCTTCGACGCCGTATTCCGGCGCATCCCTCACAACCAGGAATAACGATTTGGCATCACCTTGTCCGTTCCCAACGGTCGGTCTGACAGCAGTCTCACGTTGCTCTTCTTTGTATCTATCATTGGTCCTTATCAGTATCGTCCCGCTCTCCCCCTGCTTCGCTATCTGATCGCTATTGCTATGTTTTCCCATGCTTTCGATGCTAGTTTTATGGTATATATTGTTTAAGTGTATATATATATATCCATTCATACATGTTTCATTACAAACCACATTACAGACCTTCATGTACATCGTTTATTACTGCAGTATATGGATAAAGACTACATACTACAATATGATCATACTATTCAACGGTGGCATATATCGTGCTTCGTTAAGGCGGTTGGTTGGCGACGATTTTGGAAGTAACTGGCCGATTATCACGTGTTGGAATTGAAAAGGAATTGTTCCTACTCTGTTCGTCAGAAGGTCTTGGAGAATGATTCTCGATTTCTCCATATACTTGAGGTCCCATATCTCAGCTCTCACCCGTGATCATCGCGTTTACATCGGATGGCCAGCAGCCTCAAGGCCAGGGGAAGCTTTCCAGTATTAGCCCCAAGTCCAAGATTGCTTCCTGCGACGTGTGTACGACTGCGGACCCAAACCTACCCCAAACATAGGTTCGGACGGGTCTCGAGCGCGACGAAACACTAGCGACCCCGATCATCAAGTAGAATGCGCCGTGGTCGTCACCGAGACGCACGTCCCACTGCTATCCTTTCCTCTCGCACTTACCTGAAGGCAGGAATAAGCTGCTTGACTTTCTCTCAGCCCCGAAAGAAACACTTCCGTCATTATCTACCCTTACCGTGAGCTCTAGGGAGCAAGAGGACGGAAGGACTGCTCAAATAAATTGCAAGCGGAATTGGCGACGAAAGGGTAACGTCAAGACATCAAGGTCTATTAGACTTGCGAATCCTGTCGAGCCTGAAGTCCCTTGCTCGTAGACATCATCACTTGGCGGAGAAGAGAGGATATGCCAGTCTTCGGAGGTATCGAGATATAACCCCAAGGCATCGAGGTCGGGACACAGGTCACGAAGAGCCCAAAGGACGGAAACGTTCAGTATTGTGGCTCCTTCAAAGTCGGGGTTTGGGTTTGTTCTCAGAGACGTGAGATTAGGCAACGCTAGGGAATCGCGACGACCTCCGTAGCAAGTTAGAACGGCATAGAATGATGAAGATCAAGAGCGGCAAGGGCCGTTAATCAGACTATAGAAGACAGTTCGGTAAAGCCTACACTGGCATGTTCTCCAATGGTTGATCGAATGGTATGAAGAGAAAGGTCTTCTAGATTTGGCCAGCAGTTAGGCAACGACGTCAGGCTCCGTATTCCTGGGGCGTTTCAATACGTGGGGACATAATATCCAAGCGGGAGAGTACGCTGAGATAATCTTGTTGTGGGAATACGCTTGTAGCACGAAAGAATGGGATGCAAATCTCGAGGCTACTGCCAGAGGGTAAAGGCGCCGGGAGAAGAAGTGCTCAAAATGAGGGACTTCGATGTCGGTGGAGGTTGAATCAGAGTATGGCAGATGCTTTGGGCGTAAACCACTTTGTTTTGGGCCAGCAGCGATGGGGAAAATGGCAGAGGTAGGCCACCAAGTTAGCAGATCCAGTGACAGTCGATGATGGCGGCCCCCGCAGCTCCTCAGTTAAAGTTCCTTCTACATCAGGATCTAGGGGATACGGCTCAGCATTAGTGCATGGAGAGAAGAACCCATCAACCTACAATGAAAGTTTTTCGAGGCTTCGTGTTTTAGCGGGCAGGGAAAAAGTTTGAGGACGTCGTGGATCAATAATATATGGGCGGCAGGTAAATGGGGCATCGCAGTTTTCGAGGAGGTCAAGAAATTTTACTCCCAGAAGCATCACTGGACGGTCTCACTAGGTCGATTTCAATGTGGTCCCTGTTCCGATTCAGTGTCATAGGGGCTCCCAGGGGCCTGGCCGACGATGGGTGCACTGAAGAGCGCTTACTTTCAGGCTGAAGAGTTCGTGCCAATTCTCTGTATTTTGATATATTGTATGTCGCAGTCTACCTCCTACGAGTTCAGTTCTGGTCACACCACTTTCACCCCTGCCTCGAAGGAGCTATGCTCCATCATATCACCAGCTTTAACAGGCCCCGGAAAAGAGTAGCCTCCTTCAATACAGATCAGAGCCAAGCTAAATATATGTTCGCAAGTGGAAAGTCCTTGTAGAAGGGCGACTAGGTATATGCGAGTGGACTCCCCATTATCCTACATCCGTGTGAAACATTTATAATTGCAGCACAAAGAATAAGCTCATCAAAGTACCTAAGCTGTAGCGTCCTGTGTACCGCCGTGGTGCGGATGGTCAACAAAACGGCGTCGTCGCTACGTTGTCTCGTAGGACCCGATTCTGGAAGTAAGTGTTGATCACGTGTTACTATTGAAACAGCGTATGGAAGTCTCGATTCGGTGCAATATCGTTTCCACTCGGTCCAAACACTTAAGTATCTTCGTCGTATGCTGGAGGTGCCAGGACATCAGCACTGGGTCTTTATCGTGGATCTCAACTAAAATCGTAGAGTATTTGTATACGAATACGAATACATACATACGCACAAGATTGAAGAGAGCGTGAATATAATCATTGATGAAATAAACGGCCAGCCCAGGGCATATCTCAGTTGCGATAAACTCCCGCGACCTCAATCAAGTGTATGGGTACATCATGGCGTCGCCGAGACGAACACAGGCAGCCTCATCATCCCGCCTTGGTGGAATTTCGAGGTACCAAGAGAGGGGAAGGACTCTACTCAAATCTCAAATAAATCGCAAGGGGTATCGGCGACGTAACGTGTGATGCCGAGAGATCGAGTTCCACCGAACTTCGTGGTCCCACCAAACGTAATGTCGTTGGCTCGTATTCATCATCGTTCACCAGGGGAGGCATCCAAGTATAGTCTCAGCATATTGAGGTTGGGCGCAATTTATAAAGAGGGGAGAGGACGGAGATATTAAGTGTCGTTTCTGAATCGAATTCGGGACGTGAGTTTAATGTTATATACGTGAGCTTAGGCAACGCTCGGAGTATCGTGACGCCTGCTTCTGCGACGAGCTGAAATGGCATCGTATGTTGGAGATAAATTCAAGGCTCTCCAGTCTCATTATAGGTGACAATTCGTTGAAAGTTACTCTGCCAGTTATTTGTCGTGGTAGTCGACCGAAATTGAGGTTAAGGACTTCCAGATTTGGGCAGCAATTAGACAACGTTTCTAACAACGCCCCGTATTCCCGTGGGGGATTCAATAGACAAGCGGGAGAGCATATTGAACCAGCCTTGCTGTGAGATGACGTCCATAGCTTGCGAGGATGGGATGGGAGCATTGAAGATAGAAAGTGAAGGGAACCACCCGGGGGCAGAGACGTAGAGAAGAGGCGCTCGAAATTGTAGACATCGACTTCACCTGAGTTGGGGTGTACCCGCTGTACGCATAATTCATTTAGCCGAGCCCAAATAGCAGATCCAGCAGGTTCAACGACGGCAACTTCTGCAGTGTCGCAGCTACAGTCCTTTCAAAGTTAGCATCTAGAGGGCGCGCCATTGGCGGCGTTCGAGTCGAGTTCGTCGACTTCTTAAGCCCCCGGAGATTCGGTGGGCAACGCAAAAAGTAATGGCCAACGAGATCAGAGTCGCCCCAGAGCCATGCAATATGAAACGACGTGACCGTGGAATGGAGAAGACCACCGGGGGGGGGGTCGAGAGTAGATGTGTAGAGTTGTAAACATTGTAGGTTTGGTAGAAGCACGCGTGGTCGATATCTCCTTCTCTAACATTAGAGATGGGTGTAAGGCTAGGGGTGAATTGGAGAAATTCCTCAGGGCAAGCTCGCATACTCTGCGCGCGTAATAGTCGAACCTAGCCCAGTATTGGGTTGTCAACGGCTGGGTGAAAGCCTGTTATTTATTAGAATATGAGTTACTATCTCTGTTTACATTGAACACCAGCTCGCGTACCACTTTGCTATCCTTGACAATTAGAGGAGCCGGCAGTCGCAAGAGCACTTCCATCTCCCGTATCCGTTTCCAGATAAGGCCGACAGCGACGTCGCATCAGAACTTGGAGACACGAGCAATTCATACGTGATCATCGGTGCTCAAGTCCTTGAATATTTGCCCAAGATTTTGGAGCGGCAACATAGAGGGCATCGTGGCAGACGTCGGGAAATTTACCCCGAGATGGTCTCAAGTTGATTTCCAAGTTAGAGACAAAGCCATGGTGGCGGTGAACGCATGGTGAGAGAGGACCCTGGAAAATGGTAGTAGAGGATTGATCCCATTTCAGACAAAAATGGCGGCCGAAGGCCGCCCGGCTTGAGCCGTTTCAGACAGATTTGAGGGTAAAATGAGTGTCAGCTGGAGGCATATCCCGGACAATTTATGGGACTCCAGTCAAGGCCTGAGAGAAAAATCAGACACCAAGGTCACGCTGGAGGCCTGAGGTCCTTGGGTCCCATGTTTGAACGTCTCCATCCCGTACTTTCCGTACCTTCGTCTTCGGTCATTTGTAATGTTGTGGGGTGTCGTCTGGCCACGTTTTAGGACCCACCAATTAGTGGCAGTTTTTTTTTGGAAATTTATGATGCTATTTCCTTCACTGGTCTCTACTCTCTAAACCCAATGTCCGTCCTCATTGACCTTACAAACACCCCAACTATCAACAGTACCCGAGAAGAATGGCGCGCGGGGAACAAGCCTCCTTACCTGAGTATAACCCCGGTCGAACTACAATGGGCACGAGAAACAGTCCTCATGATTCCACCATCATTGAAGCAGCAGCTGTTGCCGCCGTTGCACCTTTCCATACGTGATTTCATCAACATGGTGCTTCCGGAACAATGCAGCTTCTCCAACCTGGTCAAATCTGACGCGTAGTTCAGTAGAGAACAGCCCTGCCATGGTCTTGAATGCCTGGTAGTACGCCCGGTGCCAGCGCAACAAACCCTGCGTAAATCTGAATTGTCAGATTAGGACTTTACACTTTTAAGCTACTAACAGAGAAGGACACATTGAAGATCCTTGTCAAAGTCATGGTACTGTCGCGGAAACGAGGTAGTAAAGAACTTGTAGGGGACAAATAGAGCTTCTACTTATTGAATGCAGCCTACACCAAGTTATATTACTACTTATACATGCTTATAGAGCTTCTAGGGAGCCTCCAGGACTCGAAATAGCACTTTTCTGAGGCCTAAGGCCGATTTCGGACAAATTCGTGATCCAGAAAGCCCTAATCCCAACTTCAGACAACTAGGGAGGCCCGAAGGGCCTCCTCCCGAAAATCAGACATTTCTCCCCCAGGTGAGCTAGGGTTGTTCAAAATCGGACAAATTTTCGAAAATCCAACCAGACAGACTCGCCCCCCGCCGGCCTCAATCCTTTTCTACCATTTTCCAGGGTCCTGGTGAGAGTCGGAAAGTCACGATCACGTACATGGGCGCTAATTGATCAGTTCGCGGTAACCTCTATTCCCACACAAATTCGGATCAGAATCAGAATACACGAGTTTACAACCAATGTGGTGATACGACGAGGTTAGTTTTGATCTTCTGTCATGGTTTATTTTCTTCCTAATTTGAACGCTATGTTATCCTATAGTCATTGTAGTGAGGTCTGTGGGCACCATGTCGGCTCAGTGGTAGCTTGGAGTCATTTGAGCACGTCGTTTGCCGACAGGCACCTCATATGGGAGTACGCATGCAGTGCTGTACTATATTTACGCCCTGTAGAAGCCTTCTCTGGGCTTCTACTGCAGCCGACGGACCGCGCTGAACCAGAGTGCATATGGACAATTGGAGGAGGTGGAGTCTATCGCCAGTTCTTCACCTACGCATGATGATAACAGTTATGCAGAATACCTTACTGCTCCTTACCCTTTCGAGCCTTTATTGCTTCGTTACGTTCGGTAAGAGAGATGTATCTCTGAGGGGGGTAAACTGACTTATGTTGGTTGCTTCGTTGTACTCAGCGACGCCCATCACAGTTCCTGCGGTGAGGTCCTGGACGGTGGACGGCGAGCTATTCACACTTCCTATTCATTTGTCCATCCTTGTCGACTCAAGGTTCCAAGGCCTGAGAGACGAGAACGGGTTAACGTTGATCCCTCCGACTTTGCACGAGTTCGCAACCACTTTCACATCAGACTTGAAGGAGTCATTCCCGAGTCTCTCACCCCAACTTACATCGGCAGAGAAACCCTCGAAAGGAGCCATCTTCCTGACAATTGATCAAGATGCCGATTATTTACTCGCGAATGGCAGGTCGTCATCGGAGGGCTACATACTAGACGTATCCCACCAAGGGATAGAAGTTCGCGGATCCAGTCCATTGGGTGTATGGCGCGGTGTCACCACACTCCTACAAGGCCTGGTGCAAGGGAATGGGACGTTTCCTACTGGCACGATCGTCGATCAACCAGACTGGGCCACAAGGGGCATTATGTTGGATTGCGGCCGCCAGTGGTACCCAGCCAATTATCTGAAAGAGATGTGCGCGTACCTGTCATATTTTAAGGTATCGCATTCCATCAGTCTTCCCTCGTTGTCCTGGTTGCCGACTGTTGAGCTTCAACCAGGCATCCGAATTCCATTTACATCTTTCTGATAATCTGGTATGTGAATGACCGCAGTATATTTTCTCCCTCCGTTTCTCAGTATACGTATTGAAGCCAGGAAGGGTCCTAGGGCCTCTGAATTCGACGTATGCCCGATTTCGATTACACAGCGATAAACTGGAGTTCGCAGGTCTTTCCCCTCACGTGAACGAAACCTATTCTCGTGAGGAGTTTGATGATCTTCAACGCTCTTGCGCTTCACGCGGCGTTACCAGTACGTTCCTTATCACTTTCAACTTGCCTCTGCGGACTAGGCTGAGTAAGCTCTTGCGATTTACAGTTGTACCCGAAATCGAGGCACCCGGACACGCTTTGGTCATTTCCCAATGGAAGCCGCAACTTGCTTTGAGTACAGACCCTACTCTATTGAAGTGAGCAGGCCTATACTTTCATCAATAGACTGAAGAGTTTAACTCTTCCTTCCCGATTTAGTTTAAGCCTCCCAGAATCTACACAGACAATGAAAGATGTTTGGGCGGAGTTTCTACCTTGGATTCACTCTAAGCAAGTTTCAATCGGTGCCGATGAATACTCCAGCGCCCTGGCCGACGATTATCTCAGGTTTGTGGGGAATATGAGCCAATTTATTCAGCAAGTCTCTGGCAAGACCATACGATCGTGGGGTACCAATGAACCGAGTCGTAACTTGGCCTTGACGAAGAATACAACTGTGCAGCATTGGGTTCGTTTCGACGCAATACTCCTGTAGTGTTTAGCTGATGAATTTCTGCTGCAGGAAGGGTCAGAAGTAAGTCGCGCAGCAGCTGATGGTGGAGCGAGTATTCAAAGTATCCCCTAGGATAACGCCTTTCAGCTCCTACAGCAGGGCTACCAAGTTATCAATAGTGACGATTTCTTTCTCTACATCGTGTTGAAAGAATCGGGTTCATTCCCCCAGCGGCTGAATCAAACCCGCTTGTGGCGCGGAAATGCCCTTGGGGGGCCTTGGGATCCAACTCAGTGTACGTCGCGCTGTTTCTCTATCGTACGTACTCTGACAATAAGATACCTCTCGATTCACAGTTGACCACACTTGCACGTGTCCCTTATTTATTTCACGCTGTATTTTCATTCATATCCCCTTCGACAGCTCCAACAGGAAATCCTAGCTTAGACTCTCCTACCCTTCTAGGTGGGATCATGGCCGCATGGTCTGACCAGGGCCCAACGGCAACCACTCCGCTCGAAGCCTTCTATTCTTTCAAGATGGGCCTGCCTGTTGTAGTGGCTAATGCTTGGCACGCGGCCACTCGATCTACCGCTTTGACACGAGAGCAGTTTGATAGCGTCTTCGACGTGTTGGAAGCCTCCGTTCCTGGCCAGAATCTGGACAGGCGGATCAAGTCTAAGGGCATTGAGGTGGTTGTGTATGATTTTTCCAGTGAAACTGGTAGCACGCCGAGAACGGTGAAGGATACAAGTGGGAATGGTTACAATGCTGTACTTGAGGGAAGAGTGTCGAAATCTAAAGGAGGGCTCTTGCTGGAAAATGGCGGTCATATATCTACGCCACTCGGGTCAAAGGTACCCGTTTCAGTTTATTATTAGTGAGATTGGCTGACCACTGGCGACAGGGAGCCAACTATACCTTGTTGCTAACCTATTCCACAACAATACCTATCTTGGCCTCCACCCCTTCCGCCACCTTGCTTTCTGGTCCAGATAATTCGCTCATATTGTCTCGCGCAGCGAATGGGTCGACTACGTTCGCGTTCGTATCCAGTAACATCACATACTCCCTATCCGGATATGCCCTTCCTTCTGGAAACCCTTCGACCGATCTCGTCGTTCGAGGAACGGAAGACTCGACTACTATCTTTGTGAACGGAACTCGAGTTGGCGACTTCAGAGTAATCATCAGAAATTCTGCGATTTCCAGCCCGATGTCGTTTGTCGCTCCAGTGCGTAGCCACCTTGATCCAGGCTATCCTTCCAGCTCTGATGATCATATGTCTTCACCGTCCCAGGTTTCCCAGATAGGCGGACCTGGCTTTACAGGTCTCGTTTCAAAGTTCGTACTGCTTGATGGGCTGCACGATGCATCGGCTACCGTCGACACTAGTGTACGACCTCATTAAGTAGTCTCCCAAGCGCGTCCCAACTGTACTACTGAGCTTCAATTCGAGTCCAAACCCAATTAAGAATGCCTCGCGAATGTTGTACAGCTGCCCCAGCGTCGACATTGACCAGCCAGCCCAATATCGCCAGCCTCAGTCGTCGCAGCCTATCCCGTTGCGCGTCGAGCAGACAAATCACAATAATTGGCACCCATCGCGGCGCGAGATCAATGATGGACACGTCCTTGAGTGAGCCTGGTTTGTGCATCTTTAAGGAAGGTAATACATTCGACTCATTGCTGTCGTAAAATCATGATATAAAAGCACAAAAAGCATCACAGCGTAAGAAATATCGAACTCTTCTCGACCTCGTCTTCAAGAGTCGAGATGTAGGCACTACATACTCAAACCTTCTCTGCGTCATCTTTCTCATTTAATGATCCTACTCTTGATCCAGCAGAATCCTCGCGACTCTGCTCTTCTTCAGCAATAGCGTCGGCACCACCTCCCTCTTCGAACGCTGTCTTATGTTTCTCGAAGTGAGATCCATGTTTCCTTTATCAGTAATTGATCAGCGTCCGCGGCGTTGAACCTCGTGGGCAAGAAGCACTCACTCGGGCCCGATAATGGTTATTATTATCACGAAGGCAGCCACCACGCCGATCAGGATTCCTTGCACCGTAGCATAATCCGGGACGTCTGTGGGTACGCCATTCTTAATTATAGTAGTCCGGAGGTTTTCACCACCAGCTGAGGGAACGCGATATGAGGTTATGTTAGATCGTACTCCCACTGCAAGTACTCACTGGCTTCAATCTGAGCAGAAGCGGAGGATACCATCTATCCAATGATATTGTCAGCATTTGGTATTAGGGGTTTTGATGGAGAGGGAAACAACGAACATTTCCTAGTTGGTACGCTACGCCGGGGAAAGTGGCGCGGAACGCTGGGGGAGACATCTCTGCTAATTGGATGGGGATCTGTGGCAACATTAGTACGTGCAAGCGCAGAAGCAGAGTATTGTAAGCACTTACGACACCCCATGCCCCCTGCACGCCGAACTGAATACAAAATGCTCCTGCGGCGAGACCACCGAACGTGGAAGGGATGATCCACAATGGGATAAATGCTATAGAAATAGTTACTGATCGGTTAATTCGGTGCTTTCTGACATCGTCTCTCACCTCCGATAAGGACTACGAAAAGTCTGGGAGCGTAAAGCTATGTCAAGCTTTTCGGCAGACAAATATGGTGAGAAATCAAAATGCTCACATGATAGTCAATCGTCGACCAATGTATTGACTGACCCATCCGGCGATAGCGCCGCCACTGGATTAGATATATAAGACATTTTAGGGATTCGATCGTCGATGAAGAGCACATACGCTATAGCTCCCTGAATGGCATGAATGTGAGTGGTTCGTACGCCAAAGTGAAACGTAGGAGATAAGGCGTACACAATTCCCAATGATGGTGGCCACCGTGGCATTGTGTGCCGAGATACCCTTCGACTGCTGAAGATACGTGGGATAGAGGTCCTGAAATAACAAACATCCATAAGTCCTCTGAGCGGGAGCAAGACGAATGAACACCAACTTGAGAGCCGTGAGACAAGAAATTGAACCCTATGCAAGTTAACCGATGCCGTTCAGCCAGGCACATCTTACACGGAGCCCCACCTGCACACACCTGTCATGAGTAGGACGGCATAGATGCATAACAGCCAGTGCCGTTTGAGCATTTCCTTCGTCTCATGGAGGAAGATCCGCGTTTTGTTTCCGGTAGTCGTGCCTCTCGCTCGTTCCGCTGCCTTCGCCCTAAGGAAGACTGCACTTTCTGGAAGGAGTGCTCGCACGCCTGCCGCAAAGAGCGAGATACCGGATGCCGTCCAGAAGAGCGCCCGCCACCCCGCTGGGACTTCTGGTACGAGTGTCAAGTTGATAACGGCTGCAAGGAGGTAACCAACAGCGTATCCTTGTTGGAGGACACCGCTAGCCAGGCCACGGGCTTCCACAGGAAGATTTTCGAGCGCCGTGGAGGCAGCAAGACCCCAAACGCCGCCCATGGCAATACCGAACAAGGAACGGAGGGCAAGGAATTGTTTGAAGGTCTGCACAAAGCCTGCGCCGAGTTGGAGGACCGCAATCAAGACCATATTGGCGATGAGTGGCCATTTCCGACCAAACCGATCTGAGGTGATACCAAAGACTACCTAGTAGTACGGTGTTTAGAACGTTATCTTGGATTTGACAGGTAACTCACAGCTCCCACAGAGCGAAAGAGAAGCGTTAATGTAATAGCAGTCGTCTATCGTGCAGGATCAGCGCCCGCACCCCTGTGGTAAGTCATGCCACTCACGATTTCGGACGCTTCTTTATTGAATTCATCCTCCAAATGTGAGATGCTGAGCGACACCGAGAAGAAATCGATCGCGTCGCAAGTCCAAGCCAACCACCTGCATGAAATGATCGATCAACTCAAGCTCGAACCCTGAGGCCTGAATGGCAAGGAGAAATCCCGTTCGAGACGACTTGGCAGGTCGATTGCGGGGTGGCACAACAAGAAAAGGCTTGGGAACATACCCAGAAAAGAAATGCGCCCATTGAACCCATGTTAACCCCGCGAGCACCGTCAACAGCGGCCGAGCCGATTCCCTCTGCTCCCGCTGCGGTATCAGGTTTCGAAGAAAATAAGGAGCCATGGGTGTCGGGAGTGGAGGCAAAAGCTGAGAGACGGAATTAGAACTAAGACTACTTTTATACCTTCGCTCTGAGAAGACTAGCGTGGTCTGCCGAAGTCGGGCGTAGGGATAATTATGGACGTCCACCGTCTGAGTTCTCCCATCTGCCAGAGCCAAGACGACTTACGTCTAATCACGCGGAGAGGGAGCTTTTGAATAACACATCTTGGCATATGTTTTCACACGTACCGTGGGGGTCGGACCACGAGGCCGCTACCCCGCACCGTCATAATGACCTGGGGCGAATTGAGATGTAATGAAGATATCATTTCTTGGAGGGAGGAAATGCGCATCGTACAAATGGGAGTAGGCAAAAAATAGACGGCTCACCGCCTTCCTCACTGAACCAAGGAGCCCCGAACATTGAAGCACACATGGACTCGGTCAGGGCCACTATCAACGCTTCACCTTCTTTCCCCTCCTGGTGGGCTTCTTCTCCTTCTCTTTGCCGTCCCCATCTTCAGCTTTACGTTTTTGGGGTGCAATTGATGCTTTCACGCTCACAACAGTTGACTTGCCACTTTTTGTCACTTGCGACTCTGCAAGGCTCCAATCCATAGACGTATCATTGATAGCAAACCTATTAAATCAGAGTTGCTCTATAAATAAGTCTCTTCACGGAAGACGTGGGTCAATGCGCTCACTTGCTGAGATCCAGCGAATCGATGATCTCCCTCTGCTTCTCCCGCAATGCTGTGGCGGCCTCGTCGCCGGCCTCGTTCAACTCTTCTTCGACACGAGTTTGGGCCGGCTTCCATGCCGATTTGCCCTCTTCACCGTCATCACGTTGGACTCTCAAACTAGATGAGTCCGACGCGGGAGGGGGGAAATCAGCGCTAATGGCAGCTTTCTGAATGTCGATCAGTTTATTGCTAGCCTTTCGGACGATTTTAGCAAATAGCGCTAATATTTGAGAGACGGGTAGTTGAAGTTCTGTCTGACAGGTCCACGCGAGTCAGCTTCCGTGCTATGCGAGTACATCGGGTGACACTCACTTCGACATCTTCGACCGATTTCCGCTGAGACCCAAGTGCAATCAGTATAGAACTTTGAATCGCACTCAGCTTTACTTCGCTGCCTAAACGCTTCTCGAAGTAAAGGGAGGCGACAGTCGGCAGGAGGTCGAGGATAACATGATAGTCCAGCATGTTATTGGCATATGATTCCAAACGCTTGAGATCGAATGGCGATAGAAGGAAAGATAGTTCGGTTGAAGTGAGCTCTGGATCTCGGGAGGACGGTCAGCGAATAGCACATATCCCTGATCGATAGGTATCACCACCTTTCGTCTGGCTGTCGTCAGCTTTTTTTAGACCAGTGTTGGCAGCCTCGAGCACGCTCAATGCAGTCACACTAGCAAATTCCCGGAACTTGAAGGACAGGAGGGACAAGAACCGGCGTCGGAAGTCTGATACGGAAAGTATAAATAGCCCAATAAGTGAAAGAGCCGGTACCAAGTTCAAGCGCCAACTTACCTTTGGTGAACTCTGTTAGCCATTCTAACTCGCCTTCCGTGGAGCTATTCAGCCCACGAACCATCACACATGTGTGTTCGCCAGTAAGCTCACTCGCTGTCTGTCGCACGTATAGTGGCACATATCCGGAACGCTTCCAGAAGCTAGATCGTAGCATGAGCAGTCGCCGGCACACACTGCGTTTCATCGCGGCTTACCGGAGGAGTTGTGGGGTTAAGCCGTACGAAACCCCTAGATAGTCAAGCTGCTCGGGTTTCCGTTCCGTTAACTTTTGAAGGAGGGGAGGCATCGCTGTTGGCGCTCGGATGGCCAGGTTGTCCGTAAGGAGAGTTGCGGACTTCAGAATGAGACATCAAAGACTGTAACAAACGGGGGCCATAAAAGAAGCTTACAGGATCCACCTTTGCCACATTTGGGTAGGATGGCTCATCTATAGGTGTTTCGTCCAAGTTGAAATATTCGCCGCTGTAAAATGAGTTCAAGGCTTGCAATGCGCGAGCACCGTAGCCCATCTACAAGAGTCACTCAGTACAATGAACCATGGAGGAGCGAAGGTCTCTTACATTGGCGTAATCCGGATGAGTAGCAATACGGACAACACGTGCGCCCGAAAGGAGAGCAAACTTGCTTTCTTGGAACTGCTGGGAGACCAACCATGGGATCATATCTCCGCCAGCTCTATAACCGCGATTCAAGCCATCCAAGATCGCGTCCTTGCTAATATTCCCCTCTAACGCTACCTGGAGAACCACCAGGGGTTCAGGTAGATGACTTTCGTCATCCTTGATCGGCGGTAGCAAGACGAAAAGATGGTGTGCTGGCGCATCCGACATGAGTTGTAGATCATTCGGTTGATTTTTGTAGTGACTAGCAACGTAAAGAGCCATCATGCGTTGGAGGAACAGCTCTGATGCGGGGTGGTAGCTGAAAAGGGTGTCTCTGCTGACATAGAAGAGCTCGCACGACGATGGATGTGGACACCCTTGATGCGCAGACTTTGGGATGATCGAGGCGTCGAGACACAACAAGCTGTTCAGCCACTTCTCGACCTGGTCACCAGGGGCGTATCGGATTGGTGTCTCCAACTTGATTTCTCGAAGTGAACGAACGCGAGGCGGTGCTTTGTGGGTAGCTTTCTTGGACGGAGATGCTACACCCGCCGCATCATCTTCAGCTCCGGCGTTGGTGACGTCTTTCGTGAGAGAAGGACGCGTGCTTTCGCGTAGCTGTTGGATGAGTTTGAGAGAAAGAGAGCGACCGGTACCTTCATAGCCATTGATTGTTGAGGCCATGAACACGAGGTAAGGACCAATCAGGTTTTTTACGAGAGGGAGGGGGATGGCTGCCGCTTCATCGATGATGACGAGTTCAGCTTGGCCAAGTACATGGGCGTCTTGGGGTTGGATGTACTGAACAAGATGTTCAACTGATTGTAGCAAAAACAACGTGCACTCGACGCACCTGAATGGTCTGGCGGTGATTCCGGAAGACGTTCACTCTGACGATAGCTTTGTTGAAGTCAGGATTCGTACTTTGAGCGATATCATAATCTAGATGCTCCTCGTAGCCCAAAGCATCCATGCCCTTGAATACAAAGTCGAAAAGGGTCTTCAAGTTTTCTGGACTTGGACTTGTAACGAAGATATTTGAATAACCGTGGGCGAGCGCAGCAGCAATAGCAAGTCCAAGTGCAGCAGACTTCCCGCGACCTCTACCTGCTGTGAGCGTCACCGTAGATGACAATGTCTTCTCTGCGATCGCATCAACGAACGTGAGGATTGCCTTGGCCTGGTCTAGTGTTTTCGCCAGTTTGACGAGATCACCGACAGGTTTAGTATCGGCTAAATTGTCTTTCAAGTCCTTGAGCTCGTTGTCCGCTTTGCCTTTGCCTCGTCCTTCTTCAATAGGGGAAATGTCTTTACCCCGCGAAATGGGCAGAACATTGAGCTCGTCATCAAGGACCAAGCAGTCAGAGCATGAACCGAGGGATAGGATGAACCGTTCGTTGAATCGTGCAATCACAGAATCATGCGACGAAGTACGATATCGGGCGTGCACGTCCTACAAGCGGTTTGTAATATTGGGTAGATAACAGAATGGGATCGCGACTCACCATGGTCATCGTGTATAACTGTTTCAGTGACGACATTGTCTTGAGAAGTAACACGATCAACCCTCCTCCCTCTACCGTCTCTATTGTTCGCGCTAGTAGATTTGGAGTTATGGCCTCGAAGTCCTGGAGAACACACATTCCGTAGGTATTCCCCAAGATTTTGTGTGATTCCTTGTAATACCTATGTTATTTAAGAACACTGAGATATGTCAGAAGTATGGCACATACGTGTATCGTATGTCCGTCACTGTGACAAAGATTTCGAATGGATTTTGGTCGTTTGGCTCACGAATTCCGCGTTTTACATCGCGTTTTATCTTGGCCTCGCGTTTTTTACGATGTCTGCGAAAGGGTCAGTAATACAGATATCAAGTAGAATAGGTTCTCACGTAGTGAATCCCAGGTCTTTCTTGTAGCACCATAGGACCGAAGGACGAGCAGAGACCCGTGCTTGCGAAAGGAGGAAGTGCAGGTTCACGATCTGCTACTAATCAGCATAACCCCTCCAGATACAAAGCTGGTAAGCGCACCTGGTCCCTTCCTTTGTCTCCAACCAGAACTATGAATGACCGATGGTTCTTCGTAACATTGTTATTGATGAGAATTGGTATACGAGGATCCAATTGTTTTCGCATTCCAAGATAATTTTCAAAGAAGGCTAATTTTCAAGGTCAAGAGGAAATCAGTCACGTGATCATCAGCAAATAATTACGATCGGTTGACGATCGGCGTCTCGTCCTCACCACCATCTCCCAAAGCGTCCAGACGGAGCCCCAAAAGTTCTCTATAACACCAGGACGGTCCTTGCTCAATACGATACAATACTTTCTCGGTTCCCAGATAACTTGAATACATGCTGGAATAGACATATCCCCCCCCCCCGCTCTGGATGTCCTGGAGACCTCTCACTGGCTTATTTGGCGAAGCTTCGCATGCCTACTGGCGTTTGTGCTCACGGGTGTCAAGAGCAAGCCTCCCTGGAGGTGTAATCCCAGCTTTACTGGCGACGCACCTCCGTGGTGTAGTTGAAAGTCGCCTTCACTGTACGCGTGTAAGCAGTTACCCTACGACCAACGAGTTCCGACTCATATGAGCGAATGGATCGAGATAGACTGCATCAATTGCGTTGAATTTGTTGGCGATCGAGTGCCGCGCGTACTCTTGTAGGACTGTCTCCCAGCCTTCGTACGGACGGACATCTTCCCCATTTCAATCCCTCAAGGATTGGTGTTGGAGGCAAAGTTGGCCCTCAGTTATATCTACGATGCAAAAACTCGCGACGCTATCTCCTTGAATGAACCGGCTGATTCCTCGGTTTGGACTGCGGCTTGCTGTGCGATTGTGGTGCTCAGACGTAACTCAGAGCAACATATTCCTCGCGACGGCCACTAGCGCTGGTGGCGTCCAGTTTCGGACACGCCAGGTGTTGACAATCAATCACTCATACTCGTACGGGAAGCAGTGGCTCGTTCTCATAGGGTCAGGCTGGGGTGCTTCCATACACATATACGGTTCTCGATAGCCTCCCTAGCCTGCGCCCGGAGAGCAAATCCACACCCATGGCAGCATTGTTAGCGGCTTCGAGGTCCTGTCGGTTGATACGGAATGCAGGACTAGTTTGTGCCGAACCGCAAGTGCGTGCTAACATCTACCTCACTTGCTTTGTGGACATTGGGCACCAGACTCACCATCTCCATAGACGTATCAAATGGGATTACACGTTGATCATCGTCTCGCAACCGCCGAGTGATCGGAAACGCTGTGGAACAAGCACTTCGGACATACCAGAGAAACCCGCCGTCATCGGTCTCCCTATCTTCTGTACCATGAGACCATACCTTGCTCATTTCGCCCGCAAAACAAGCTTCCCGGGATGCGCACTAAGCTGAGCGAGCGAGGTTGATTTTCGAACTTCAGCAAGTCCTGGCATCACCTCCTTGCCTATTCTTTACTGATCTAGGAGCCGCGCAGACCATCGGAACGTTGAGTACAAGGGGACAGTAACCATTGCAACAATACAAAGGGCTGTCTTCCACAAAGTTTGAAACAAGGGTTTTAGGGACGCTTCTCCTTCGTAACCAATTTCACTGCACTCTGACGAAACCATCTAGAATGATTATTTGAATAGACATACGTAAACCTGCCTATGTGAAATTTCTAGTTCCTTCGAGAGGACATCTACCTGACTTGACCTACTTGTGATGCAAACTACGCACATCAAGTACTTTGCGCTGTCAATCGGCGCTATGTCTATGTACGTCCTTTCTTCCATCCGAAATTTCGGGTTGTGGAACATTGACTCTGGTATTTTGGATTTGCGTGCACATCTAGTCCTCCGGGTTTGATCCCCGATTGGCAGACAAAAGTCAATCAGAGCTACCTACGGCAGTGTGAAACTGTTGCGATGATTCGCACCGGATGCGCACGCCACGAAAACCTATAATATCCAACGGACGACGGAGCATCGTGCCCCCGACCTCGATCCCTTCCCCCATCCCAACCTCAATGAGCACTCAAGTTATGCAGAATAGCTACTTGGAAGTTGAATCACTCCGGCAGTACCTTGCTCCCTACTTGCTGGGTGAGCCCCTCTAGCTGCTGTGGGAACCACAATCTGATTCCCTCCCACCAGGCTTAACAATCTCATCCCCGTGATTGTCTAAATTCCTGTGCGGTGGTATATAACAACTCACTTGCTACCTATATTTCCTAGGTTATACGCCATCTCTATCTATCAAAGCGCTCGTTACTATTCGACATATGCTAGCGACCCTCGCTACCTAAAATGCCTGGTACTATTCATCTCTACTGAATGTACTTGACACTCACGCATTTTGCCGTAGGTCGCAATCCTATTGTGAACCTCCTGCTAATAGTTTTGAACCACTGAGCTCAGCATACATCTTCCATAGGTTCATGGGCTCTGCCCGCTCCGCCTTTCTGGCCCATGCTGTCTTTATGTCGTTCAAAAGCCTCCACGATCACATGGGCCTGAATCAATCATCGACATGTCATGAACAAATGTGAGTCCCACTGGAATCGAATGTAGGGGCGCCGGGCTGACACTGGGGCCCGAAACTGCAGCACTCTCATGGTACATGTTTTCTTTTCGTTCAGTAGTTTCAGTAGCTGAAACCAGTAACAGCTAGCCGAAATTCTGGGGGTGCGTTCCTCCTGATTGCTGTCATTGGCGCTCCTTAAATGATTTGTCTCTGAAGGCCTTGCTCACCTGCCTGGTACAAAGGTGAATAATACCACCTGACCGATCCGAGGCTGCACCTGAATAAATCATAATTAGTGCCTATGTTTTGAGAATCTTTCACCGTGAGGCCTAAATCCTACGTGAAACACAAGCCTTCTGATGAAGTATGGTGGATTCAGTGAGCGATCACAACATTACGCTGGTCGGAATCGTTGTCCGTCTATTTATTCTTTCAAAATGACACTAACGCCGACACACCGTTAGCTTCTTGTCACACTGTGCCAATTCGGTACGTGTGCATATCCTTAAGCCAATACACTGTTAACATGGCGCTCATCCTTACAGGGACCTGGATAGGTACGTTCATTGATTATACTGACTGTAAATCATCGTCAATGCAATGCCGTCCGCAGTCGTTGTTGCCGGGTTGATTTTAGATGCTTCAGGACAAGGATTGGGTTTATGCTCCTTTGGAAGCTCTTTCAGTGCGAGTGCAGTGTCTCCAAATTTGATCATTGAAGTGAGTACCACAACCTCCGTCGTTCATAACTTCGTTCTTCTTCGTTTCACCCCTTCCATGGTTTAGGCCTTTCGTTACACCCAACTCTCCGCAAGTATAGTCTCGGATGTACTGATCTCTGTTAGCTTGATTTATTATCTTCGAATCGGGATTTACGAGACAAATCTCTTTGGGTATGACCATGGTATAGTTGACGAAACCTCCCACTTACCGTGCCCCCAAGAACGCGCAGTATTGTCCGCCGCTTGATTGACTACATAACAGCAATTGGGTTGAATGCATGGTAGATCTGACTGAATCGTGGGATCGTTGACTCTATCGTTAATACACCCGCACAGCATCCTTTCCATCGTGGCTTTGGTCTTGGTAAGTTTGCAAGCCCTCGCTCGACATTCTGTAAGTAAAGCTAATCTATAGCATCAACAGTTTGCAACCGGGAGTTCTCACAAATACTTCGCTTCTATTCAATTCGTTATACCTAACGGTGAGTCCAATGTTCCCCGACGCCAACGATAATGAGATACTATGTCATACAGTGTATGTCAGTTCATTTCTGGCGAGGTAAGTCCCTATAAAATCCCGAAGCTGAACGGGACATCTAAACACTTGCAGTTTAAATTGGCGTATGGGGCTACGCGCAGTTGGACGAGGTTCCGACCTGCTTTCCACACAGAGCCATTGCGAGTTTGCGGTGCAAGACTCTGCGATGGAAGTCAAGTGAACACAATCGACGCCAGCCTTGTACTCTGATGTACGCGAACACCGCCAAACAGATATCATGATGTATCATTACTACGACCATCCTCAAACGTTAGATTAGACAACACAGGAGGTACCTGATTGCTATGGTCTGACAACTGACAAGCGCCTGTGTGGATATGTCAGTCTCAAGTAAGGTCAGTGCTAAAACATAGGACATACGACACAATCATATGTCACTGAGCTCCTACAGAACTGAGAAAGCTTCACTCACGAATGCGTTGAGTTTAACCTTCCTCTACGAATCGAACCTTTGTTTTAGTGCTCCCTAGCTCCGTTTGTCGTTTCACTGCCCATTCGTGTTGAACTTGTCAGTGACAGAAGGAAAGTGCTACCTCTGATGCTCCCGAGGTTGATATCAACCTAAAGGCGGTGCTGACTGTAGCCTTACGTGTCAGTGAGTGTCCGTCATGTCTGTCTGAATCATCTCTACGCTAGTATGTGACTACTAACATTTGTGCCATCCCCTAACATGTCTAGTCATGTATGAAAGGGTGGACTAGTTGTGACTATCCCAACTTGGCGAGATGCTGGGAAGCAGGCATATAAAGGTCTGCACATGCAGCTACAGTTCTTCAGAAGTCTGCGACATCTCCCCCCGCAATCCCAGCGACTGCTTTCTTTCTTCCCACAGCATCCCCTTTTAATAACTTTGTGCGTACTGCGTGGCTTCGTCCTCTGCCAGCGCCAGTCTAATTGATTCCCCACAGTGCTTCGACCAACACTCTTTGATACCATCCAACAATGATCTTCCAACTCGAAGTCTTTTTCTTCCTTTTCTCTCTCCTCTCCATCAATGTGCTAGCCGCACCAGTCAATCAGGTTTGGATGCAACATATTCTCGTTCACCACTTTGATTGATGACCCTCACACAGGGCGATCACATATCTATCCTCTTTCCTCGCGTCCTCACTCCGGCATTTTCGTTCACTGGCAACCTGACATCCTTCGAGATTCCGCCCGCTGGGACCGACAAGGAGTCTATCAAGAAGAACAAAAAGGCCGTCGCGCAACAGAGCAACCGCGCTCAACAACAAGCTGTTGCCCAACAGCTAGTCAGCAACGTATTGACCAACGCGCAACCAGTTCTTGGATTACCCGACAATCTCGCCGTCACGATTCTTAACAACTTCCACACTAGTAGATCAGACCAGGAGAAACATATCACCTTCTCGTTCAATGCCCCATCGTGCTCTGGCACGTGCGTGGGTCATGCATACAACCCCGTATCTTCAGTAACCCCTGGTAAAGGACAACCAGGCAAGGTCAGTACCGAGTGTGGCCTCTACTTCCTAGATATCACGTAATGTTCGTAGATCTTTGGTTCCACAGGTGCAGCTATCTTTGGGGTAAGTGTCAATGAAAGATTTAGAGATCTCTACTCACTAATTGTGATCTTTAGGACAAAGACAAAAAGTAGACAAGAACATCACAATCATGGCGTCGTGGAGGCCTGTGCTACAACATTTGCTTCGACTTCACGTGAATCGTCAACACATCCGATTGCTTTCATCCTAGCCTCGTCTGTGTGCCACATTGTGAGCTTGTGTCCTTGCATCCCTGTCTGATATATCTCCCTATGTTGTTATTAACACCATCATCATCTATATCTCACCTCGTCTTTTTCATCATCATCAACTTTGGACGCTTGGCAAAGGACTTTACATATAATACTACACATCGTCGAGAAATCATGTCACGTACTCCGTAGGCTTCCTCTTCTTAATATGATATATATATATAACATGAGAACATTATTCGTGAATCGCGAGGGATTAGTTGAAGCTAGAGTTAACGGTCGCAAAGGATACACAGTTTCGTAGATGAGGATCGCAGAGCTATCGCGACGGAAGACTTGGAAATGAACTTCAAGTCGCTCCGGGCCCAGCGTCATGCATTACGTCGTGTATGTGACTGGTTTGTGATTTCGTGGTAATGTTGGGACGATACGAAGAGCATAAATAGCATCGGGACTGATGGAAGCCAGTTAGCAGCCCGCAAGGTCCTTGAGGACGTGTTGGACGGCATGTTGAGATAAATTGTCGTAAGGATAGTGATTTGCAGCTTCCTGGGAGAGGATTTGCAGCCATCCTTGCCATTGCAGCGACCCTATATCAAGGTCGGAGTGTAGATATACCGATGCCGCCTTCACCAGGGCACGAAAATCTACTGCGTTCTGCCCGAGGCATTGAGCCCTGTTATAATACCCTTAAATATCAAAGGCTGATATAATCCTTACAACGAAGACTCACCATGTCTCAACCGTAAGAGGAGGATCAGAGGTGTCCTTGCGAGCTAGGCAGGCGCTGAGCAGGAAGAGGTGGTGAAGCACGGCCGGTACATCGTGAACTTCCGCTAATTGTCCGAAGATAGTTTGCCTAGCATACCACAGCGAGGCAGCCACTACGCAGTTTGACAGCTCCAAGCGACAAATCTCAAGGTAGATGAGGTCGCCGGCTTCACTCACTGCTTCGGAGTACTTCTCAGCGCTACACAGTATGTTTAGTGAATGATTGGTCTCAGTGAACATCATTGTCGCTCACCTCGCAGCCCCTGGAGTAATAAAGCTCAAGAGTAGATATGCTACCCAAAGCGAGAGCGACTTCAGGGTATCCGGGTATTGACGATCTACTTCGAGTGTTGGTTTATCGACGGTCGTGCGCTTGGTGGGTGCTCTAAAGCGTCTACGCTTGCTGCGCTGCAGCTGGTATCGTCCGTGAGCAGGGGGGACTATTTCAGCGCATGGAAATCTTGGTGCCACGGCCTTGACGACCTATTTACACTCTATAAGTTCCTCATTGTACCGCTGATAATAAGAGACATCTATCCCTTACACCCTTGTTTATGCTCATGTCTAACTCCATGAGAGCAGAGGCCGGGGGTGATTGTTGAAATTTAGAGAGTCTATAAGTTTTATTGTCCGAAGACTGCGTCTCCGAAACAGTCATGGACTGATAAACGTTGAAATAAGGCATTTCGACGTCTTGTTGAGACTTTGCCACTGAGATAGGTTGACTGTGGTGGTAGTACGAGGCTAAGGAGCAAAAGCTGGTCTCGGTGGGTTATAACATACACGATTGGCCTTCGGATGGCTCCGCCTGTATTTGGGCAGACAAAGGACACTGGAAAGAAAGGGGTAATAGCCGCATCTAGTAGATTATATCCTAAATGGGGAAGGAAATTAGCCACCAACATGAACAAAGGCCCGGGCCGTCTGCCGCCCATTGTTCGTGAAAGACTGAATTGGTAACTCAAAGACTTCAGGTTGGATGTCCCGAAGGATAGTATAATGTACGAGCTATAATATGCCACTGTAACATAGCGTACATAAATTTGTACATCGATAGTATAGATGTTGAGCTGTATATAGGGTGCTTGAATATACAATAAGGGAAATGAGGCAAATGTACAAGAAGTATGCGATGCGTTGACGTGAAGGAAATGAATATGGACATTGAATGTAACACGATCTTCGAACGTAGTAGGGTTAACGGATGGGATGTGTAAGTGAAGGTTATGAGAAAATAAAAGGCGCTCAGTTGAACCTAGGAAGCTTCTGAGGAGTGGGTTGGCTGTGTCGAGACGACCGTCGTAAGCGTGTAGCCGGAGATCCGTCATCCTCACTTACATCCGCAACAGCAGGGACCGATACCTTCGTCCTCCCAGTACCTCCCTTGACTTTGCTGACGCCACCATTGGCTTTCCCCCTCCCCCTCCCCTTTGCCCTTGGCGATGCGACGTCATCGATCACGCCCTTGCCCTTCTTCCTGCTGTTCACAACATCCTCTTCAGCGGCACTCTCCATCTCCGCGTCCTCGTCCAGAGCGCGCTTGCGATCAATCTTCTGCGCAGCGTTCGCCGGCTCTAGTAGAAGGACGGCGTTGATCATTTCCTGCGAGGGTTGGAGGATTTCTCCTTTGCCTTCGGCGGCATCCTCCAGTACTCGAGCCCTGCGCTGCAGTGGCTGCGAGCGCGAGCCTTCACGTTTGATATCCACAATATTGTTCGAAGACCCGGGTTCATCTCCTTCGAGGATGTCGGAGAGCATGGAAAAGTCGTCGCTAGGGATGGAACTGCCCGTACTAGGGTGCTGTTGGAGATAAGGGGAAGGTGTATAGACGGGCGTGTAGCTTGCGAGCCAGGGATGGTGCAGGGCGTCGGTGAGAGTCATACGACGACGCGGGTCGTCAACAAGGAGAGAGCGGATGAAAGATTGAGCTATATAGTTCCACAGTTAAACGGAGATAGGGCAGAAAAGCAGAGTGATCACTAACCTTCCTGGCTAACATTAGAGTTATGAAGAGTGTCCCAGTCAATTTGGCGTTCGATGATCCGCATACGGATGTCCCGCTGATTCTCATCTTCGATGAAAGGACCGGCATTCGTGAGCCTAATCAAGGGACAATCAGAATCGCAACACAGGAAGGCGGGAGAAGGGCCTAACATAGAGAAAACGATGACGCCGACGCTCCAACTGTCGACAAGGTTGTCATAGCCTTCTGCGTTCTGCTGCCTCACGACCTCGGGTGCAAGATAGCTGGGAGTACCACACATCGTCTGCAAGTGCTAGTGAATAACGCGAGATGGGGAATGGGATCGCGACGCTCACCCGGAGCATAGTAAGACTATCCACTACTTTGGCCAACCCAAAGTCAGCAACCTTTACACGAGGAGGCTTGTCGCTGGTGAGAAGGATGTTCTATGGTCATGACGATCAGCTAAGGCTGTAACGACGACATGAGGAAGGAATACCTCAGGTTTTAAGTCACGATGAGCGACTCCAAGCGAATGGATGTACTAGCGGGATGTTAGCACACCAGGACATTGTAAGGAGATGTCACTCACAGCAAGCGCATCGCATATTTGATAGGTTATGTGCTTCGCATCGTCCTCCACTGTGGGTTTGAATGAGCCTAAAGTACAACGTTGAATGATGGAAAGAGGGTCCCACCTAAGCCATGGCGAGTCAATATGTAATCTAGGAGATCTCCTCCTTCGACGAGTTCCAACACGAGATCTATGACCGTGCGTCAATAACAGGTTCAGCGCCCACAGAAGATTAATAGCTCACTAATATCTCCGTTCGGCTGTATATATACCTCCTTGAGCTCGCAGATATTCGGGTGCTTGAGGTGTTCCATAATACTGATTTCGCGCATGAAGGCTTGGTGCTTGGTTGTTCCATTCCCATCAGCGTTCGCATTCGTCCCGGCGGCGTTCGCCTTCTTGTCTTGGATCATCTTGATGGCGACCCACTCTCCGGTAGCGAGATGAACGGCTTTCATCACGGTGGCGAAGGAGCCCTTGCCGAGTTCATTGCACAGGTCGTAATACTTGTAAAGGCCTTCCGTTGGCGGTCCAGCCGCGAGGTGGCGATACACGAAGCGATAATCTTCAATGCCCCCGTTCACAATCTGAGGGGTAGAGGTTCCGAACGCAAGCTCGCTTCCTTCGCGCAGGATTTTGGTGTTGCCCCGGCCGATCTTGACCCCGTTGATCTACAGCCCCAGGCACATTTGGCTTCAACTCGGGATACACGAAACGTAACGACTCACGAAGGTGCCATTGCTCGACAGATCCTGTACAGTCACGCACGACGTCCGATCCTCCTTCCCATCCCACATAATCACACAATGATAGTTGCCTGTCAGAGACGCCTCAGCATGCCACTCACCCAACGAAACGCGCGGGACTCACTGATTTTGAAGCCAGGCAGGATTATCTCGTTCCCGTCATGGTTTCTGCCAATCGTGTATTTCGGACGTATCTTCCAAAAATCCATCCGAGTCAACGCCGCGTTACATGGCTGAAGGTAGCCCCAGAGATGAGCGTCCATGGTCCCTTCCCGTTGTGATGCGGGTTGCGTTGACTGGGTCTCTTCTTGGGTCTCTTGCTGTGTCTCTAGCATCTCGGGAACCTCAGATTCATGATGATCTGCGTCGTCGTTCATGGTGCTTCGAAGGCGTTCAAGGAATTGAGGTGGAAAATTCACTAGTTATGGCTGGGTGAAGGTTTGTTCGTAGGAGAGGAAGGCTATTATATCCAAAGCCTTTTATTGTTCGTCTTGAAAGGCCACCGTGCTTTCTTGTGGCCGCGGTCAAAGATGTCTGCCGCGTCAAAGGGCTGTAGTCTTGTTCAAGGGGTCAATGCGATGACCTTTTGATATTGGGATTGGCGGCTTTGAACTTTGAAAATCTTGCCAGACGTCGAACAGACACCAATCACAAAGCTAACAGTAGAATTTGGCTTGACGGGAGGTCGTCAAGACGCGGTTGAGAAGATTGGGTTGACTCAAGTTGAGACAACTCTTATTACAAGACGCCACTATACCAACACGTGCACGCAGGGTCTTTGCTCTGATTGGCGGGGTTCATGGACAATGAGAACTACACATAACAGATTAATTCAAACCAAGACGCAGACTACAAGATGAGCAAGGCAGGAGGGAGGGTTGTGTAATTCCCCAACGGAGGCCGCGAATTCAACGTAAACAAACAAGAGTGCGTTGGTGCTAGAGCGTGATGTAAAGCCTCGATGTCGTCTGCTCATTGCTGACATGGACGCAATCTAGAGTGGATCTGTAGTTCTACCCACCAACAACGTCTGTGCGCATAAGCGACACGATCACCGTCGATAGGATGGTCGGACAATGCCTTGGAACTACACGTTCCATAGATCAGCACGTTGTAGTACACGGGGCTGTAGTATATGTACGCACCACGTAACTTGCTATTTCATCACCCACTACGGACGTTGGTTGGCGAAACCCTTCAACCACGAAGCACGAGTCAAGGAATACATACCCGGAACGTATGCCGATATTTCAGAAGGCCCCGTTCAACATATATCCAAGCAGCACCAAAGGGACGATACATTTCCTTGATCACCGGGGACCTCGTTTCTTATAGCACTGCTCTGATAACAGACCGACGTCGGAATCTAAAGGGATTTTCGCAAGATTTGCGACAAAGACGTACCTCTGAGAATCTTCTGCGATTAAACAGGATCGCTGAAGAAACGAATACAATATTCACCATACGGCGCGACAAGCAAGTAGGAATCTAATGGTTCAATGTGATGTACCGCATTCGCACCAAAGGTGCATCATGCATCATGAATGATGGTTGTGATCAGGAAAGGGCCAGTGGGCGCTAAACGAACTTCGATGCAGTCACAAACTTCGATATGGCTGAGGTTGTTCCCTCTCTAGGTTTCAAGCAACTGATCACTCTCGCCTTCACCTATTTGGACCAGGAACGAACATCTGGTATGTTTGAATAGTTTTCTGAGGACGACTCGAAGACGACAGACGACGAATATTTGAATATTGAACTAGTTCCACCTGCTTCAGCCCAATGCACTCCGACCCCTTCATCAGCTAAACTGACACGAACGCTCACAATCTACTCTCTTTCTCCCATGGCTGACGATTTGGCAGCTCAGATATCAACGCCCAAAGCGCTATATTCGACATCCAAATGGGTGGACCACTCGGCTCACATCTTCTCGTATTCAGCCCCTGGGCCTGAACGCTGAACTGCGTAGATATCTCTTTGCTTGGTCAAGGGGCCCACAACACCGTCTACTGGCTTGGATTTAGCGATGGGACCCAGCTCGCCGTCTCCGTTTTTAGATCTTGGAGCGAAGGCCGCAAGCCGTTCAACCCAATGCGAAATCGCAACGATGAAGTCGTTCGTGAATCTGACTTGTTCCCAGGCGTCCCCATAGGGAAGGTCCACGCACTGGACACCATGTTCAGTAACGCGGCTGGGGACTGCTTACGTTCTCATAGACGTTGTTCCTGGCGTCAACTTGGCTGATGCAAGAGACCCGGCGAGAGGTGGACTAGAAGATTATCTGGGATATGGGGATCAGCTTGAGGCCGTGACTCAGGCCCTTGCGGTTTTGCAAGCATCGCTCAGCGAACTGGAATATGAGCATCTGTACACTAGTCGAAGAGAGGACCGAAGACGTCGCGAATTCATCGCCCGAAGATCCACGTTTTCCCAAGTCTATCGAGAACTGTCTTCCTCGAACAAACACTTGCGCACTCACCGATCGCGATTGGTATCCAGCTGCAGGTCCCATTATCGTACTTAATATAAATATGGATGTATGACAATGAGGCGAATCCGTGGCGACACAAGAATGCATCATGTGGCAAATGTTGAAATTGACTCTCCGTGTGGGTGTCTGTTGGCGTCGGTATTGCATCAGTGTCGTTTGATAATCGATGTAGGTACCATTAACATAAAGTATAAGTACACTTTCTACAACCAAACTATCATATCGTCTCCCCTCTTGTCTGCTTGGATGGCAAACGACTTAACCCCCCAAATATCGGCACTCAAACAATTGTACTCGACACCCAAATGGCTGGACCTCAACGGTCTCATACATTGCGCCGTCTCCCATCTCTCTCGCTCTCAGCCCCTTAGCTGCATTGACATCTCTTTGCTAGGCCGAGGGGCCTACAACACCGTCTACAAGCTTGAACTCAGCGATGGAACTCGACTCGCCGCCTCTGTGTCGAAATCTGAAGTCAGGGCCTTCAACCCATCGGCAAAGCAGTCCGAAATCGCAACGATGAAGTTCGTTCGTGAATCTGGACTGTTTCCAGACGTTCCTGTACCGAAGGTCCACGCATGGGACACCACGTTCAGTAACCCGGCTGGCGCGCCATACATTCTTATGGATATTGTCCCTGGCGTCAACTTAGCCGACGCGAGAGGTCCAGAGCCACGAGGGTTGAAAGGCCTGGACTATCTGGGGTATGAGCAGCAGGACAAGGTCGTGAAGGCTCTCGCGATCTTGCAGGCGTCACTCAGCAGACCTCTGCCCTCTGAGCTCACCAAGATAGGGAGCATCGCCCCTGTGGATGCACAGGGGAAGCCGCAGTATAGCATCGGTCCATTCGTAACATCTCGAGCGTGTCTCGGTGGCCCCTTCACATCCATGCAGGACGTTTGGCGTGCTAAGCTGGAATACGAAGCCTTGTACACAGTCGAACAAAGGGCCTCGCTTGACAATTGCTCCCCGCCTGAGCCAGCGTGCACGCCAGAGACGTTTTCCGAACTCTATCAGGAACTTTCTTCGCTGATCGATCACTTCAAAATACCGGCCAAGTACAGTCGCCCGGTGCTACACCATCCCGACCTAGCTCTTCGCAACGTGTTGGTCAACCCAGATACATTGAAGATCACAGGCGTTATTGACTGGGCCGGTGCTCAGATCCTACCACTCGTACTCACTGCACTGTACCCCGACGACCTGCTCTCTGCCAACGACCACCCATTCACCCACCCTGATGTTCCCAAAAATCCTTATCCGGACTTTTGGCGCTGTATTCCTTACGATTGGACGCACCCCCCTCCTGAGTCTTATCCAGCTGCTTTTATTGGGCCAGACATGCCTGCGGACTTCCGACCACTCGTAGGTGCTTTGGTACGACGGGTGACGTTACGGGCACAATTTGCGGCGTATTTCGACGAAGAGATGACGAGGCGCAAATACTCTGATTCGAGCCTTGCGACGCTGTTCTCCGACGCCCAAGAATATTTGAAGTTTAACGAGACGTTGTTTCGAGGGTGGCGTGGATGGATGGACCTTGAGCGTTGGATAAAGTCGTCGTATGAGAAGATGCAGATATCACCCCGCAAGGAGGGGAATATATAGCCTCACTGTTGTGTACCATGAGTGCATAACATTGTCGCTCGAACACGAATAACGTGATAACAGAAACAAAAAAATCTAATCATTCTAAATGCATGCAGAGTACGAGATGGTCATAAATTAGTGTATGTAAGGCACTGCTCAACTCATCAACCGGCTTGCTAGCTCAAACCCGAGGAAGGTGGCACCGTTAGCAAAGGGAGACCTGTGAGGCAATTATGAGACACACATAGAGGAGACGACAGGAAGGATAGGCGTACCTAATGAGGGTAGGTCCTAGACCCCGAGTAAACGCGCCAATACCCTCTGTTCGCCAGACTACCCGGACGCAATCTAGAGTGGATTTGTACTTCTGCCCAGTGGTAGGCGAGAATCCGTCCGTCTGCATGCGCGACTTGATCATGTCAACAGGGTAGATGACAGCCCAAAGCTACACAAGGTCCGTGTATAAGCATGCTGTGAAATCGAGGGGTTCAGAAATACTTACAGCGTAGCCTGCTGCTGCGCCATATAGAACGGAATTCACTGGAGAAATTTGCTCTCGCTTGATCCCCTTCATCCGCATCTCTCGCTGGACTAGTTTCTCGTATGTAAGGAAGTATACGCCATATCCCATGGCTTCGCGTAGGAAAGTTACCGCCTGCCCCTTGTATATACCAGCGATACCATGAGATGAATATATTTTCTTGATGGCGTCAAGAGGCCCCGAGTATATTTTGTTGCCAGTGGATTGGATTTGCAAGCCTGATCTATTGTCAGACCGAGGGTCGGAAACTTGTTGACATTCAAACGTACGGATGCGAATATGCTCGACTGGTCCCGAAGCAAATCCATTGGCTACGCCAGCGGCTACACCAGCAGCAACAAGTTGACCGGGCCCGAGTGCCAGTCCATCGGCGCCTCCGATACCATTCTTGATATTTCGTTCCGCAAAGAACCGTTTGGTATATTCCAACACCCCGAATTGAATAGAAACGCAAACACCAATCCCTAGCAGGGGCGACACAGTCCCCTAATATCGTTGTATTGACATACGTCAGATACACTTGATTTCGCGAATGGGGTTGCTTACCTTGTAGAAAGCCAGGGGTCCTTCGTTCTTTAATATCCCCCCTGCACAGTGAAGCATGCCAGTATATGTTCCTTTCGGAGCTGTTTGCATTCGCTTGAACAATCAATCCTCATACAATGAATACCGATACACCGTAGGGAAGGGGAGCGCAGAGTAAAACAGGTCGACATACAACTTTGACGATATCGAATGGCTGTCCAACAAGCACCTATATTGCTTTAGCAAATAATCAAGGAATTTATAAACGATAGTACCTGTGCTATCCCCCCAGCAGTGCCTGCGGTGAGGTCCTTGGCTGTTTTCAGAAATCCTCCGTCTTGAGGTGCCATGGTTGGGTTTAAAAGACTGTTCCCTGGGGTCTGGGGTGATGGTGCAGAAGCAAGGGGATGGTCAAGGAATGGCTTCGCCAACGCGTTTTGCACGATGGTGTGGAAGAGTCAAGACCAAGGTGAGGACGAGTAAGTTTAACGACTAGCTCAATTCCCTCCTTGACTTTCGGAGAATGCGTCGGGCGAAGAAAATTAAACGCTCGTAGAAGAGATAAGATCCAATTCACATCGGGGGCGCTAATCTAAGTCAGAGAGAACGTGACTTCGAGCAACGATCTTTCCACGTGCGCCTTCCCCTAAGCCCTCCTGTCGCTTGTGAGACGAGTTACTTTGCCCGTTCAAAGGATCAGAATCCTTCTATGGTGCGCATCAAGTATTCTAGTCTCAAATACAGTCTGAGCTCCTCATTGTCTTATCTCTCAAGAAACAAGTCTTTGGGTTAAGGCAGAGAGGGTAATACGGTGCTATGTGAGTGTTACAGATGGACGAAAGCTCCGATGTCAACTCCTGAACCTACAAATTGAAGGAAGTTAATAGAAGAAGTCAGAGAGCTGCGAATGTCTGGATTTATTTTGAGGGACTATGTCAATATAATACCGAGGCCTTTTTCTGTAATATTGCGTTGAATCGTCATTGGGTCGGCGTTGCAGACCTCAACTGAAGCCAAAGTAGCCTAAAGGCGTCTCATTAATATACCATACACGTTTGCTCGCCTTTCTGCTGTACAAGGCGGCTATTCGACGCTTTTTGTTTAACCAAGTGCGCGTCGTGTCTTCTCGGTTCAGCTACTTTGCAACAACAAGTCATACAATTACAAATACAGGATCAGAACATCACTGGGCTCCTTCGTCCTCACTGCGCCGCAGATACTCGTTGAAGATCACTCTCGCCGTGGTTATATCAAGCTCAGGCCCTTCCTCCTCGTCCTCTTTCCAAGTTTCTCCCCAAATGCCATCCAGCATCTGCGGCTCCATCTTCCAAAACTCCCCGTTCACCATGCTCAGCACCAGCCGCGACGTCTCGCCATAAGCGATGGAACTCTGGAAAAGGCTGTATCTTCCTTCGTTAGTCTGCACGCGCTCTATCAGCGCTTCATTCCGCGCCACGGCATTATTTGAGCTTCCAAGGGAAGGCTGCTTGTTCTCGAAGCCAGCAAGGGGCTGCAGAAAATACCTTGGTTCGGGCCTGTCGTAGTCGATGCAAGCTACTAGTTTCGTCATGGGTGTATCGGGATACTCCTTCTCTGCGAGCTCTTTATATAAGGGGACATTGTAGCTGATGTCTCGTATTGTCGCCGAGTGGAAGAAAGCAATGTCATTCTTTGATACGGACTGGTTCTTTCCTTCTAGAGATAGATCGGGTGAGCGTACCACCTAGGGCACAACTAGCTGGTCGTCTACCTAACCGTTCTTGGACTTTGAGCTTGCAGGTTATCTTGTGACCTCCCTCCTTCCAGGCGATCGTTTGACACTCCTTGGAGCAATACAAAGACGTGTAGCAGGAAGAACACTTCCTGAAATTGCTCCTAAAATCCGCCTTTTGGCACTGTGCGAGTAATCAACACATCTACCCTTTCGGAGAAAGAGTAGCGCCGCACCCACCTTGGAGTTATCACAGCTTGTGATGGCCTTGTGCTTCGTGTCCGTGAGGTTTGCTACAAGTGCCCGACGTTCAAAAGCGACGCGCTTGAAGTTGTGCCACACGTCTTTAGCAGGTGTCTGCGAGACCCACTTGCTGGCAGGGTTGCTCTCGACCTTTTGCATAGCTCCGTCCACGGCCTGAATAACGGACCGATAAATCAGATATCTGGGGAGAATAACCTTGAAGATGGCTAGTATCATATCCCTGTCACACTCAACCGGGAGCGTCGGCAAGAGAATACTGACTTCGAGGAAAGCCTGGATTAAGCCTGACTGCATAGCGATTGTCACCCAAGTGAAGCCATCTGTGGACTCAAGACAGTTCGCGACGAAGCCGAACGAGCCGACCAGTGCAGGGATAACCCCATCATTGCCCGTTTTCATGTATGATCTTGCTGCAGAGGCAGCGACCTTTGTAACCGTGGCGATGGCGTTGTGGTGCAAGAAAGCATATAGCAAAGGGTGTCCGCGACGCCTACAAAGACGACACATAAGATTCAAAGCCGCCCCGCCGATGGGGGTTTCAAATCCTGGGCCATTGACGGCGGTTCGTAGCCGCGACAGAGCCACCCGAGCGATTCTCTCCGCATCTCCGTTGGCGGTGGCAACCACACGGTCAAGTGTGCCCCAAACGTCCTCGGCCTCGTGCAGCATGGAATCAAGCGTTGCAGCAGCGTTCGGATGGTTGACTATCGACATCTGCGGGATAGAGCCCTCCAGGAAGAACAGCTCCGTCATGAGTTCGATAGCCCCGGGTGTCTCAGCCATGATCGCTGCAATTCGGTCCACGCGTGTGAAAGTGAACCAAGTCGCGGCGATGAGATCCTGCATAAAAAATTTAGCGTCCTGTTCAACGCCGGGCCTCTGAATGTCGACGGAGAAGAAAAATACACTCCACTTGAAGACTCCGGGCCAGGCGCGGATGATAGCGTCGGAGTGCGGAGAAGGGTCGTGCAGGAGATGAGCAGCTTTAACAATCCCCATAAGAGCGAGAAAGGCCATCTCAGCGACAGGAGTGAGCCTATTGGGGACAGTGGCCTCGGTAGGTGTTCGCTCCGGCTTCAGATGCATAAAAAACACATCCAGAATGCCGTATCCGAGTAGCCGTTCGCCTTCCTACGGAATTTGAGCCGTACAGCTATTAGCCTAGGAGAAACACTACCTGGTCCCAGCAATCAACGAGTTCGACGAACTGGCGTATGTTTCTACCCAGCTTAGCGCTGTTTAGGATCTGGTAGAGCCTACATAAGCCTCAAGCCGCCAGTACAGTGCTGTCAACACTCCACCTTTCTGGGATTCCGGCACACTTCTCTGAGAAGACGCGCACTATCCATAGGCGGGAAACCATTACTTCTTCGGTTGCGGCGATTCATCTAGCCGATGGTACGTATGTCTTGTCTCGTTGGACTCAAGACCTATCGCAACGTGCATACCGCGCACCTGGTGATCAAAGTTTAAGTCACGAATCGGCGCTTGAAGACGTGGTAGGTGAGTTGTCAGTTAGGCTTTCAACGATACCCATGACAAACTCTACACACCTGAACGTTGAACGCGACACATGTAACGCGACACATCTAAATCTGATATTTACTCATATCGTGTAGCCCTGGCTCTTCTTGCACAGCAACGGATGAAGGTCCACTGCGCGGAGATTGAAAACACGCAACGGGCGACTCGGAACTCTATGTGACTCTGGCGGCTGGACGATCGCGTTCAGTGTTGTCGATATTTGATGGGACAGATATCATCGCACTGAAGCTCAACAAAACGGAGCATAGCCTATGGGCGGTGAAATGGAAAAAAAGATCGGCTCAGCAAATTCCAGCCTAGGTCGATTAGGCGATGTGGCTAAACGGTGGCTAAATCAACTTCCATCTTTCAACCCTTTCTTCGTAGCAAATTGTTCCACGAAAGCGCGTTGCGGGCCCACGGCGCTTGAAAACCCCGGGCATTCATAGCGGGTCGACAGATACCCTATGACGTACACCAAGTATAGCCAACGGAGGTGGCATTTCTTCTCGAGCTCCGAAAGATATCTGCTTGCCCCGCCAAAGAGCGATTTTGAGATGTAAAAAAATATCTTCGAGCAACCTGGACCATGCAGCGCTCTTGTGTGCTGCGCGTTGATGGGATGTGCTAGGAAGTATCTGCCAAATCTCCGTCTGAGCTGTGGAACCTGGCTTCTATGGTTTCCAGGGCGCGAACATTCCTGTGCTTCGCGCAACCACTATATGTACTGAGGCGATCAGTCTTCTTCCCTGTTCGTTGGTTTCTTTGTTGGTTGCTACGAGTAGGGAGTCCCTATCGGGGGTGGTTTACTGCCTAGTACACCTCCCACGGGGGAGCACCAACGCCGTGGCATTCAATAAACGTCCGGATTCTTCGAAACGACATAAGACTGGCCATTATTTTTCCCTCCAAGACCGACTTACCGTGTGTTTTTGCGACGGACACATCAGCGAACACAAGCCCAGTGTGCAGGGCTATACTGCGCGGAGAGGGGAGGCCGTACGATTAATTGTGTAGATATGAATTGCCAGGGGTTTCTAGAGGCCGACCCATTGATCTGGGAGTATTATAGCGTCTGCCAGAAGGTCGGCAGCATGCCTTTTGCCCGTATTGAGCGACGCGAAGATAGGAGGGCACCGTCAGAAAAGAAGTACGTTAGCTCACTTTTCCTGAAACTAAATTTCGGATGTATCAGTGTAATCAGGCCGCTGAACATAACTAGTGTGTCCAGCGTAGACTTTATGGGCCACGACTGTATATGGTCGGTCTTACACCGAGATTCGATGGAAACCTGACATTCCCAAATACACGAGAAGATGTTTGAACGAGGCCGGGCTTCTGCTGTAAACAAAAGGCTTCACACACCTTATTGCATCAATCGAACCGTCTGTGAGATTTCCATGGACGTGATCATCAAACGAGCAAAACAATCTACACCCCAAGCGTTATGTGACTAGTAATTGATCGGGAAGTATCGAGTACACGTACGGACGTTTGTATGGCTCACATATGTCGGTGTACGCCCGTGGCTCCAGTGCCGTAGTCATGCTTGCCATCCAAGATGTAATTTCGAAGTCGAGGAACTTGCCGAGATACAACGGAGCATCCTTGAGTAAAAGTTGAGTTCTGATCTGAAAGAGTCCGATTACAGGCACGTCCAGGCGTTAACCACGAGGCCTTGTTTTTGCGTATAATGAAGGTCTGAACCACTACCACGGACGTGGAGATATTACGCGTCAATGCGTTCATAAACCTCGGCATGATTAATAGCCGCACACAATAGGGATGCCATTGCTGGCAATTGTGCAGCGACACGTGAGCTATTGTATTGAGAAGGTACATCGAAATTTGATGAGAAGGTCGAAGGATCGGGGTCCGTGCAAGTTGTCTACGATGCACCGACCATACTACAGCTCGGTGCCTCCGAGTTTCGCGAAGTTTCGAGGCAAGCTGACGGCACATTCGGCCGATATTGATGTTGGCGAACATGTGCGAGAGGAGCCGAAAGTATCGAAGAACAAGGGAGGGGTGCAAACCATGCTGACGGTAGGCTCCAGTGATGGAGAAGCATTATTAGTACAAGAGGGTACAAGGCGGACCGGTGCCAGTTACATCCACTTGGGCCACGCCTCGAGTTCAAGCTTCAATCCTGCGCAGATCACGCACGATTAGGAAGCGTCCGATTCCAGACGGAGTCCCTCCTACCTGAACGCGAGCCGCGTCCAGCCAGAATACCCGATAATAGTAGTGCTGAAGAACTTCTACAGAGCCTCGGTCGATACAAGCGGAGTCGATGTAGCCGGTTCGGTTGATCTAATACTCGGTGATCGGTCTAGGCCGTGCAGTTTGGACACACATCCCTGGACCGTTTCCAGGAAAGGAAACCCAGCGACTAGTTCGGGACGATCAGAAAAGGTGCTGCACGGTTCGTAGTTTCAGCCTGATGTAATGCATGCTTGGATTCCGTGGATGACGAGTCGGGCTCATTTGTCCCCGTGTGGCGGAAGGGTGGTACGCAGGGGGTGGACATGAACATCACGGTGAGACTTCTTCGTCTTCCGATGAAAACGAAAGTCTATACGGTAGGGGTAATACTAACGTCAATCAACCGTGCATAACGGGAAGTACTCAATACAATTGCCTTTGTGCTGTTCGCGGAAACTTGCGAAACAATGGGCATTCCGTGCCATGAAACGACAGTGAATATGATGCATGGTGGGAGGTAAGAAAAGCATCTCACCTGTGACGTTTGGGATTCTAGTGTGCCGTGTTAATAATCGGTTAGTCACATAGGGAGCGATCGGTTCGCGCGGATGGGGCAACGGAAGGTGGACAGAGGGAGTTCTGTGCAAGTGCATCGGGGAATTGTTGGAGTTTACGACATGCGGTATGATAGCCGGAGAGGCGCAAACGGTACTCAAAGATAGCACGGGTGTAGACCCGGGAGTTCGCGTAGGAAGGGATTCAAGGTCGGAGGCAAACTCTGGAAAGCCAGAATCGCCGTTAGACGAGTACGTGAGCGATGTCAGTGCGATATACGGTTCCTAGTCGAAGTCTTGCTGTACGAGACTGCAGAGTGCCGGGTGACAGGTCTAGAATGGTTTAGAGTTCGTAAGTTATTCTCATTAACCTCGTGGAGCCCTCGGCTTACAGGAAATGGAGGTAATTTCATTGCTAGCAGCCACTAGTAGATGGAGGTAAGATCACTGTGAATACACGAGTATGGGCGGTGTTCTACTCACAAATTTGATAGGATATTTTTGGCATGGAGCTTCTGTGCTCCTCTTGGTAAGACACAATGGATCCGAGCGAGGTAAAGATATCAAAGCAGCATGGAAGAGCTACTTACTGAGAGTTCTACCCCCATACACGGCGTGTTGTTGTGAATCACTCATGCATATGTCCAATGTGAGCGTGTGCGGGACCGAAGCAAAATGGGGATAGCTGAAGCACGGTTTGCGATTGGTTTGAAGGAAGTGCATACAGTCAGTTATACATGCATCATTGCGGCTGTAGGTGGGCCTCAAATTGGTCTGAGTCGCGTTGGTTTGTGAACCATTGCAACTCGCAATGACCCGGACCTTTCACGGCCCCTTTGCGAGATGTGTTCAAGCGATGTGGAAGGATACTCCCGCAGTCATCTTTTAGTGATTGACTTCATACGACATGAATAATGTTTGACTTCTCCTGGGTACTCACCAGCGTGATATGGGACAATTGGAGTATTGCAAGGGTGCTTGCAGCGCGTCCTCGCCTGTCGTTTCGACTAGTTATATCAGACGCCACATCACCAATCGCGTTCGGAGGCGACCGTGACACCGCAAAAGTCTGCCAGTTGTGTGAGTAATTCCCAGCACTGATGGGTAGATGATATCTCGTGACACCCTAGAAGCAAGTCTTGATGGTAACCGTCGTAATGGGCACAAGGACAGGGCTGAATTTCACAGAGGGCTGCCTTCGGTATTAGTCGATAGTGCATGGGTCTAGGTTGGGGAAAGGGGAACGATGGCCGCGTCGGTGAACAACGATAACCCTTCCGACGGCGATAGATGGATGCGATCCCTCTCAAGTTCAGTTGAGCAGGAATCTGATAGCACCCTGCGCGCGTCCAAGAAGCATTTCTGGAGCATATACGCGCATATAACGACCTGAAAAGCGCATATATGCCCAGTAGTGCGGTAGTAGTAGTCCGACCAGATGGTACTCACTGATATCGATAACTGACTCATGACGTTAAAACCGACGCGTGGACGTTTGTGGACGTGTTTCGTGTTCCGCGTCCCACGTGAGTCAACCTGACGCGGAGTTGGACTGAAAATCAGGATGCGCCGTGCCTGGGTCAAGTATCGACGAGCAGCTCGGGATGCTTCAGGCAGCGTAATTTTGGAGATGATGAAATGTATGGGGTCAAAGTCTAATTTTCATGGCTGTGCGGGTGTTGACGAGCGGATTTCTGCAGCGCGATTGGATCAAATGGACCGGACCGCAATAAGTCGGATTCTTTGTGGCAATCAGCCAGACGGCATGGAATGGCCGATGTGGGACCTGTGTTGTGGGACGATGGTGGAGGAGCAGAAGAAGAAGCGCGACGAGGCCAAGACGGCGGGATGGTGTCGCCAACGCGCTGGAGCGGCCTCACCTTGTCGTCGTCGCGGTCGGCGTCTGAGGGAGAGGGCGTGATTCTGGGCGAACCGAGAGCTGGAAGAGATTTCCTAATCGGGGTGGTAGAAAACAAATATCGGCATAGATCAGATCAGTTCGCCCGTCCCTGGACAAACAGAACCCGTCGTCTTCGGCTGTGCACTCACAAAAACACTGACCATGGCTGACGCTGGCTCATTATAAGTATTACCTCCAATTCACCCGTCCTCCTCCTCCCCTCTGGTTCAGCCCGTTCCATGCTGCCCGTTCCCCTATTCTCTCACTAATCTCCTCTTGCCCGGTCTTGGCCCACCTCTTCTCCCTTTCACCCAGATTCCTTGTCAGGCCGTCCGTCCTTCTCCTGGTCTTCTCAAGCCGTATCTACCACAATCCAAGGCCTCTACTCCCCGCACACTTCCAATTTCCTCTGTAAATTTAGTTCGCAGTTCCTTAATGGCTACTAAGACCGAGGCCGCGTCCATCGCCGGATCTCTTCAAAGAGGCAAGGCGTGCTTGCGATGCAGGTAAGCCATCCCCGTCATGTGCAAAAAATGACTGCGGACTGACACGCTTACTAGAAAACGGAAGATGGTGCGTCGCTGATCATCCCTGATGTCCGGCAATATTTATTAATTTTCCCGACAGCGCTGCGACGGCGTGAAGCCAGCTTGTCAACAATGTATCCGCGCGAAGAAGGCAGACGGTTGCGAGTACGACGATGGCAAAGGCAAGACAAGAACGCAAATTTTGCGTGAAACCATCGCACGACTCGAAAACCGCATCCGAGAGCTCGAAGATCCCGAATACATTTCGCCCGCTGTCACCCTCTATGATCCCAACCTTCACCAACGGTCAGGCTCGTCGTCGTCAATAAGTTCCGCGGGAGGAACGCCTCTCTCCGCGAGCCATTCACCGTTCGCTTCAGGTGGGTTGTTTTCTCCAATGTTTCGTCTCGTCACACATTCCCAATTGATTTCCCAGTAGATTCTACAAACTCGCCTCATGATTCGTGGACCCATCTACCCGTGAGTATACCTCCGTTGGATTCACTAGTCCTTTCTAATATCGTACTAGAGTGTGCCTTCACCCTCTCCATCACCGTTCAGCCCAGATCTGTACTTCGAAGAAGCCAAAGTTCAGCCACCATTCGAACTTGCGCTCATGCTGTACGTACAGGTTTCTAGCGTCTCTGCCAGCTTTTTTCGCATCATTCTTCTCACATCTCCGCTTAGTTTGGACATTTACGCACCTCATCGCCAGCAATCCGGGTTGCTGCTTCACACCGAGAGACTGCGTGAAAGCTTGAGCTTGCCTCCTTCCGAGCAGCGTCATCCAGTCTTAATGAACGCTATCTACCTTTGGGCCTGCTTCATATCGCGTCCCGAGCCCCTCTGCCAACACGAGGAGCACTACCTTGCACGTGCTCTCGAAGCTATTGGAGAAGCTATTCGGCTTGGAAACCATGCCTTGGACGTCATTCAGGCTTCGTGTCTTCTGTCGATGTACTTCTTGTCTAACGGGCGCATGCTAGAAGGGAGTTATCATGCATCAGCTGCTGTCGGCCTTGCCGTACAATGTGGTCTCCACCGAGGCATCTCCCTGGATTCCCAATCATGGATCCCCCAGAGCGCCGATTCATTTGATATCAAGCCTGTCAAAGATCTTTCGGAAAGTGAACGTGTTTTGACGTTCTGGCAAGTGTTCAATTTGGATCGGTGTTGGGCAGTGGTCATGCGTAGGCCGTCTATGATCCCAGATGGTCCTGATGGGTGGAACTCAATCAACACCCCATGGCCCTTGGATATCGCCGACTACGAAGCTGTACGTTGATTTACTGGAAGATCCCATTGCCTCATTGCTGATTCTATTATTGACCGTATGTCGTTTTTAGGGCCAAATGCATCAAGGCAGCTCTTATTTGACTGTGAGGTCGTTCCTCAATGGTGACGTCTCTGGTGGGTACTCGACACAGGCCGCTCGTGCTAAGGCAACTGCTCTTTTCTACCGCGCCGACGAGGTTGTGTCGAACTGGGATCCTCGTAAGTGTACTTCCCGTTTGTCAGCGCCCTTCTCACCGACCAACAATAGGGGTAACACCTTCTGGCTCTCTTCTTGATGACATGCAAACTCTGGAACGAGCGATCACGCAGTTTGTTCCTAGCATGATTCCCATACATCAGCTGGACGCAGCTAGCCCCGAGGACAAGCCCGCTATCATTGTTGCACACACACTTGCGCAGGCCACTATGATTCATCTCTACCGGCGCTTCGCTCAGAGCGACGGAGTGTCATATGCCAAATGCCTTCGCGCTGCGCATACTTGCGTTGCCATCATCAAGCACCTATCTGAGGCTGATTTCACCTTACTAGAGCCCATAATCAGCGTGAGTGAGATTTCGCATCTCATCTTTTTCCCGCGAAGATCGTAGCTGATGGCCATCATTGTGTTTTGGAACGCTAGCATTGCTGGACCGATGCGGCAGATATCTTGATGCAGGAGCTGAACAATCTCGAAACATCCTGGCCTTTGATGAACAGTTCTGACGTTCGAAACGAGATCGGGGTACTGCTTTATGCTGTGACTAGTCTTGGGTCTCGCTTTCCCCTTCTCGCTGAACAGCAGAACCAACCGTGGATGCGTCCGCTCTACATGGCGCCTTCTCCACGACCGATCAGCCGAGACGGCATGGACAAAGTTCAACTCCAGCAACAACAGCAGCAACCTTCTCCCCAACGGCTGCAGCAGCAATCATACGGCCTCCCTGCAGAATCTCCCGGATCGCGACTGGAAAGGAGCTCCACCTGCCGACGTGTCAGTCGAACGACCACGCAATGACTTACTACGTAAGAGACGAAGACGAAACGGAAAGAAGAACAAAATCGACAATGTAAACAACTACGCGATGTTATATGTCTGGACCATTGCTTTCTTACTGTGGCCCCGAATGAAGCAACACGGACAAGAAAACGGACTTATACTACACATGGACATCTATTTTCTCAGGTGGAGACGCACTTTCTTTAACTTCTCACTTTTTTCTCCCCGTCGCCACCTCATTATTCTTCAATGGACTGGCCCTTCCTTTCGTTTATTTTCTCGGACACGGACATATACTGTTTTCTTGCTTCGGACACACACCCTCCCGCAGGTGACGGTTCTTCCTTTGCCTTTGCCTTCGCCGTTTATATTGTCGATTCTTCCCTTGTTCTTTCTCCCCTTTTGCCTCCGCATTGCGGACACTTTTGACTTTGTTTGTACACATCACTCGGACACTCGGACTCATCATGGACACTGCATCACATCACGGACAACGAACTTTTATTTACCACACGGACATCTGCTGTACACATTGTTAGGATTAACAACGGCATCCATCACGTTCTTTCTACGACCATCTTTCATCTTATATAGTACATTTCCACTACCGCCCCCTTCGGACACCGTTCTTTTCTTTGCAACCCCATTTATTCATATTTCCGAACCTTGCTATCTTCGCTATCATCCCCCCCCCCACTTATCTACCGCTTTCTTGCCTTGCTTCATCACCCAACCCTGTAGCACACATACATCGGACTTGCCACACACCACGGACTACCAGTATTGTACCGCATCGTATAACCCTTGCATTAGATCCCCCATATGACTTGCTGACCATAGCAATCGGACCAAAGGACTTGTATAATACCTTACAGCGACATTATTACTTTATTATAATGTATTTATACGTCTACATTTTACTTGCATATCCATCAATCACATCTTGATTTGAGGTGTCTTTGCGACATCGGAGGATGCATGTCGGAGCTGCACGACTGCACGAGCTACCTAGCTGCGTTTGCCCGAGAACGCGTTGCATTAAGCATCATCATCTTTACGTCGCGAAAACAAGTCGAGGTTGATGTGGTAGCAAGCATAGCTATGAAGAGTTGTTCCGGTTTAGCATCTTTAGCAGTAGTCAAGATCCACGAACGAAGCACCGGCAATCGCTAACAAAACAGAAAGGAAGGCGAGTCTAGCGTCTCCCGTACATCGTTAATAAGCCGGGAGGAGATAGGCTGTGTCGACGGCCTGGCCGCCATGGTGTTGGTCAATCCCACCCGCCATGCCCGCCGACGTTTGAGCTCTTGATGAGTCGATAACAACCGTCCCCGCCTCCAGCCCCATTGAGGTAGAAAGACGTTTGCTTTGGCTCGGGAATGATTATTTTCAAGCCAGTCAGTGTTTAGGGGGTCCAGGGTTCAAACGGTTCAGTACGGATGAGGAAGGCCAACCAGTTCCCTTACTATTAGCAAAGAACACGATGCAATAGGAAATCATCGTACATACGTATACATTATCATAGCAGCCAACATAGCTAAGTTGAACCCTTCCCATTCACCATCTTCAGCAGTGCTAGAAGTACATCAAGGTCCACGAAGAAAGAAATACAGATGAGCGCCAACAGGGCAAATATAATGATGAGTAGGGCATCAACGTTTGATTTGTTATGCGTGTTCTGACCCGGCGGAACTCCGAGTAATCTCTGAGCCTCCACTAGAATGGCACACGAGCATGGCATGGGTGATCATGATGCAAGGCATAGGCTATTGACGAACTAACCATCGTGAGTTGGGCCATTCTTCACTGAGTTTTGCCCCCGGTGTCCGCCAATGTTTGAGTTCTTGATCGGCCCGTTGTAAGTGTCCCCATTGATGTTGATGACGTGCTTTCCCTTGACTGGCATGGGGACTAGCAGCCCAGAGGACGAGTCCCTTCGCATAAAAAATGGGGGATTTTCACCAAAGGGTGTCTCCGAGTTATCCTACATTTGTAAACAAGTGAGTGTTTCTGACGTTCATTATATCGAACGTACTCCAGGCGTTGCGGGCGTTAAGGCCCCAATGACTCCGTCGCCAAGCACAGTGTTAGAGGAGCTGGACGATGCACGTTTGTATAACGGTCGAAGCCTCTCCTTTTTGAATCTGGGCTCCTTCTGCCTTGCAGGCAGAGCGCGGATGTTGTCGTAGTAGCCTTCCGCCATCATCTGATCATACAATTCCATGGCTGCTCTTCGACGACGTTGGAGCAAAGTTTCCGTAGCGAAATGAGGATCTCGGTTGGGAGGGTATCCTCTCCCATCGTGCTCTTCACGGTCTTGGAAAGCAGTTTCAAGCGCTTCTTTTGGCGCGCCAGGAATCTCGCCGCTCGTCCAAGCCATTCCTTCCATTGTCGGAGGCTTATATTCCTGCTCACTTTGCTGGTAGCTACTTCGCTGCATTTGACTGGGTGTTGAGATATCTAAGAGGAATACTGTTATGTGACAACGTTAGGAAGGCCAGAGATACTTTCTCACCAGCGTCCGTCACTCGTTTCTCAGCAACTGCGCGGGATGTAAGCAGGAGCCCTGAAGACTCATAACGAGGGCGTCTGCGCACCCTTCGACCATGAGCTGGGTGTGCGCTCCAACGAACCGTAGTGCATTGGCGAGACGCCGGAGGATGTAAGACTAAGTACTGTCGAAGAGTGGTGAGATGCAAGCAAGTCCTAGAGTCAACTGCCGTACTTACCTTCAGACATGTCAGTCACACATGCACACCATGTAAATGACGACAGCGGTGAATACAGAAAGTGCTGATGAGCAGCAATTTACTTATGAAACTGGTTAGCGAAGTCGTGACGAAGAGGACCCGTATCAGCCAGCGCCAGAATTCTGTCGCTGGAAGTACACACAGAGCCTTAGACGGAGGTATCTCCTATCATCAACATTCATTCCTTCAAGAGGCCGAGGGCGTTAAAGTTGACCAATTGTGTGCGTTGTGATTTCTCATGAAGGCGTCTCTCTTGACATAGAAGCCAGCCTAGATCGAATGGCAGAGCGTCGACATATGGTGAGAGATCCCGTGCTGCGAAGCGGCTGCCCTGTGGCTCTCGTAGCGAAAGTGATTCCGCACAGTCGGCGACAGCCAGCAGTTCAATCGCCAATCAGGGTTCTGAGAAATTCACGTCGAGTCTGTGTGGTCGGCGTCTGGTGCTTCAGCAGGCTGTACTTCGTCCGAACAACTCGGATAGCACAGAGATGCTCTAGAAGATTGCAAAACGATTATTATACAGTGATCTCCGAGTCGCGGCCCTGCACTACCACGCCTGCTTCCTCCAACTTGGCGCGCAGTAATCCCTTTGAGTGAAGATCCCGAACGTCGTCAGAACCGCCAATAGTTTGACCACGGACGATAACATTGGGAAATGTTCCTCGGCCGGTGAGACGACTGAGCAGCGCTTTTATTTGCACATCGTCATCTGGACGTGACAAGTGTTAGAGTTGAGGTTCCTGGACAGTATTTGAGTGAGCGTACCTCGTAGGTCAACTTCTACGATTGTTGGTGGTGGGGATAAATCGTACTTTTTGAGAAGTGCTTTTGCCTTCTTGGAGTATCTGATTGGCTTCACGTTTGAGGGCATGATGATCGACCATAGCAGAAAGACTCACGGGCAATATGTCTTGTGGACAGTCATTCTGCTCAATATAATCGTGTTGACAGACCGAATTCGGCACGTACCTTGCTGAACACGACCACTGGCGCTTCAGTGTCGAATTGCTTCATGACTTCGCTCCAAACGACGCCCTTCTCGCCCTGGGTGTATGTATCCAGTTCCAATGGTTTTGATACATCAAATCCCGCATCGAATTGCTTCCCATCCTCCCGTGTAACGAAGTGTAGCAGACCGTAAATTTCGTCCACCTTCACAGCTGACTTTGGTTTTACGAGGGCGACTATGTTGGCGCGGGTCAGTCCTGAGGGTGCATACTTGGAGTAGAGCTCAGATGAGGTGTCTTTGAGAGCGCTAGGAAGTTCCCAACGCACGCCAAAGAAGAATAAGCCTGCGACCACCAGGATCGCGAAGAGCAGGACACGAGAGCGTCGGACAGAGGTTGTTGCAGCCATTGGCCCTGAAGATGAAAGCGGGCGCTGCTTCTCCATGCTGGGTATTTGTAGGGTACCGTAGCAATTTGAATTAGGATTTATGATGTGGATGCGTGTGGACTGCGATGCATGATTGATTGAACTCGAAACCAACAGCGCCAGCGAGCGTGGGGACGTGATCCAATCTTATCTTATCAGAAACGCGCAATTTAAATATGATCTGACCGCTTGCTTCTCGCTTCCACTTGGCTGTCGCTCATATTGAACCCGCGATGCAGTGACCTGTCGAAAAAAAGGAATTCGAAGCAAACGGAGGTACTTTGATTTATGGAGAACGTTATTCAATATCGTGGAGTGGGCCCAGGATTTGATGGGAGGCGGGAGGCAGCACCAACGACCGACCACCGACAGCTGCAAGTCGGCGCACGTCGCGTCGGGATTACATATGGAGAAGTGGTTGCTGCAGTGGTTATGTCCGGTCACGATTTGGCTTTAGAAGTCTCCGGCCACGCGGATGGCACAGCCAGAAAAATTCAAGGGAAGCCGGCAAAGCGGTGGTTCGTTTCCACCTCTTTTTTCTCTTCTCTTTTTCTTTTCGTACTTATCCCCCAACGCGTCTCGTACAACGCGAAGAAGTGACTGTTCCCGCTCTTTGACTCTCCCCTGAAGTCCTTCATTCGGTGAGTGCCTACCACGAGCTTGGTTTCCGTTCCTGTGCCCTGATGGGTTCCGTCGCGTGCAGATATCCGCTCGGGCTTCTGAACAACACCCTACTTGGTTCGCTGTCACCCGAAGCACTGCTTGCCTCGCCGACATCGCGTGGAATCGACTCCACCAACTAGCAGCCACGCATCACATTAATCACTGAGGGCAGAAGCATCTCCACACTTCGGCTTCAAGGCCCTTAATTCACTACATTAGACTCCACATGCCTTTATCATCCTCTACACCCTCTCGGATGACCCTGCTCACGAGTAGGATGCCCATGGCAGCGACTTCAGACGAGTATCTTCCACTGCACTCGCCCCCTTCCCCTTCCCCTTCGTTCTCGTCGGCCGAGTCAAGCCCAGCGGCAAGCCCTCGTATACATGGATTCCGCCATAAGATCCCCTCTTTACAGGAGATAAGGGCACGAAGTTCGGGTACTCTTCCTCTACCAGTTGCATGCAGACCTCGGAGATTCCAATCCACCTTTCTTGTGCTCATAGCGCTGATAGTGCTTTCGGCGTATATCATATTCCTATCTACCCCAACACTACGCGCCTTCAACACAGCACCGAGCGTGGATATTGCGCGAGTGGATGCTCAACACATCGTTCCCAATCATCGACAACAATCAGGGAAAGCTCGCCATGGTCATCACATCACGAAGAATTTACCACCACTGCCAATACCAGTCCTGACGCCAGCTCTCGAGCTAGCTGCGATAACATCCTTCCTTACATCCATCCACGACGCTCATATGAACATGCTCCCCCCGACCGTTGATCCGTCCAAGACGATTGATCCGCAACTTGTGCTGGATTTTGACATCACCCGGAATCCCCGAGCGAAAGAAGAACTACAATCTTTGCAAGAGAATGTTTGGTCAAGGAACCCCGTAGTCCTGTACGCCAAGGTACGTTATCCCTCTATTTCCTTTCACAGATACTGATGTCGTTCTAGCACTTCTCTCCCCTTTCACGAGCGATTAAAGCAACACTCGAAGCTCTTCACATGCATCCTCCGCCGACCTTCATAGATGTCGATACACGTGTGGATGCTTCCATCCTGGAGCCACTTCTCCGCCGACTCACCGACATGGACTTGCCTATCATATTGATCGGCGGGCAACTGGTCCGACCTATTGATGATGAGGACTCAGGCGACGATTCGTCATCGCCAGATAAACACCTCAAAGTCATACTGGATGCTGGACACTCGCATGCGTCAATGAAGAAAATTGACACGTCTGTTTTGGAGTATTTGCAAGAGTTGGAATCGAGTGGCGAGTTGGCCGAGCTCTTGGAGAATGCTGGGGTACACATTGGAAAAGGAAAGGGTCATAAGCGCAATGGACACTAACGTAATGAAGTACGCGATAATAATGTGATGCATCGGATCATCTTGTTTGTGGGAGGCAAATCGTTGCTCCCTGACCCCTGAGTCACTCCTGAGAGATCTTATCTAATCGCGTTCTCTTCAACATTGAAGGTTTCAGATTAACTTCGAGCACTATCCCCCACCGAAAGAGATGGCTCCAGCCGTTGAGTATGTTATATTTGACATGGACGGTGAGAGCTCTTTGGCAGTACTCACGTTCCATTTTTCTTGCTGACACGAGGCCCCATAGGTTTAATGATAGACTCGGAACGCGTATACACGGATGTGACCAGTACGTTCGCGCCTAGTATAGCTCTGCCGTGCACGGCGAAGTCTGGCTGCTTGAACGCGATCTATTCTCGCAGACGAAATCCTGAGTGACTATGGGAAGGAGATGACATGGGATATCAAAGCGGGCTGTATGGGAAAACGTATGCAGTTTGTGTTCTGGCATAAGCTACCTAAACAGACCACATACTATCCAGCGGAGCGCCAAGCTGCAGAGCATTTACTGTCTTTCTTTCCTGGTATCACCCTAACCATCGAAGACTACCTGCGACGGCGAGATGAGCTACAAGACCTGCGCTGGCCGAAAGTCCAGCTGCTTCCAGGAGTGCAAAAGCTCGTCAAACACCTACACGCACACAGCATTCCGATCGCGGTGGCGACTGGGTCCAGACGGAGAAACTTTACCTTGAAAACGCAACACCTCGGAGATGTCTTTGATTGTTTTGAAGGACGCATCTTGTGTGCCGATGATCACGTCAGCGATGGAGATATTACTCGGAAGATGAAAGGCAAGCCGGCTCCTGATGTATTTATATGGGCTGCGAGAACTCTCCTTGGAAGAAATGTCGGCGACCCGGACGCAGACTGTGTGCCACAGGAGTTGGACGAGCGAAGCAAGGGCTTGGTATTTGAGGATGCTCTACCTGGTATGCAGGCAGGTAAAAGAGCCGGAATGACCGGTAAGTTTTATGTTCCTTACATGATCTTGCACACGATGGTTGCTGAGTGTTGGTTGCTCACAGTTGTCTGGGTCCCTGATGCAAACCTACTCAATGTGGATTATGGGGGCGTGGAGAAGGCCGACATTGTCTTGAAATCACTGGAAGACTTCGTTCCTGAGCATTGGGGTTTGCCCCCGTATTCGGCAGACTAACAAGAGACGGGCTACGTTAGTCGTGTTTGGTTCCATCTAATGGAAAATCCAACCAAATAGACGGTGAATTAATAAGATACGGCAATGTGCCGCGAAAGGGTTTGTTTCCTCGGTATCTGGCATGATTCTAGCAGTTACCAGGTAGTCCGCGGATCCGCGGGATGCTGTTTCGCGCTGGGTAAGGACATATGATACTATATAGACAGCATCTCAGACATGGCACAATGCTTTTCTGATCAACCCCCCCTCGCAGAAGGCCTCAGTCAATCCATGTAATTTTTCCACCGCTAGTCACCACCAGTGATGACGCTGACTTGCTTGCGCGCTTAGGTCATCGCCTGTTTTCTTGAAATTCACAAATAACCATGTAGACATGAAGGCGCCGCCACCCTGGCTGAGCGCTGTATATCGTTCAACGACTTCGCCGACACAAGGGCAGCGTGATGATGCCGAAAGAGGCGCCGAGAAGGCGGGACGCAGTCTGACCTTGTTGGAAGCCGAACTACAAGCTGCCGAGAGCTACATCGTCCATGTCCGGGAGGCACGACGGAAGGTTCAAGAACATCTATCACAGCATAAAACTATTCTCGCCCCGATAAGGCGTATCCCCTCTGAAATACTGGCCGAAATATTCGTGGCCACAATCGACGACACCACATTGTGTGACCCCTTGGACTACGACGAGATGCCGTGGTTACTTGGGAGGGTATGCCACAGCTGGAGGATGGTAACAGAATCTACCCCGAAGCTGTGGAGCCGTATTCGCGTGGAGCTCAAGTTCGTATCCCCCCTTGCCACCCGCTCGCGTCGCTTGATTGATACGTTCATACAACGGGCGGCACAACATCCATTAAAGTTGGAGATCGATTTCAGCTACCACGACACGCACCCGATCATCAACCTCCTTACGGCTTGTTCTCCGCAGTGGGAAGATGTCAGCATGACGCTCATGAACGTTTCGACATGGACGGCCTTGTCCCCCATCCGCGACCGTATACCTATGCTACGACGTCTTTCTTTGAAGCTTGGATATATCTGGTGTCTACCCTCCTCTCCCTCCCTCTCTCCTTCTCCTGACCATTTTTCTGTGGCGCCTAATCTTCGATATCTTGATATAGACCCATTCTTTCCCTTACGGATCCCTTGGAACCAACTAGCACGGTTAATCACCCACAGTCCGTACCCTTGCAATACTTGGTGCATCTTCGCGCTCGCTGGCAACGTCGTGGAGGGTGACATCTCAATATCTATGAACCAACAACATCTCCTCCCCCCAGCAGTCGAGGCTCGCTTACCATTTATGCGGACGCTGACTCTGCGGACTAGTTGTGATGTTATTCAATATCTCACCATGCCGCTCATCCGAGAGATTTGGCTAGTCGACATCTCCCTACCGAATCACAGTGGCATATCCATTCCTTCATATTCGACGCTTCGGACATTGGTATTCATACGAGTCACAATGGAAAAGGGGGTGTACCACAGGCTACTACAGTCGGCAGTTTCCGTCGTTCAGTTGGTGACCGACGCGAACAGCACCATTCTAGATGCCCTCGATGAACAGCCTGGGAGGTTCATATCCTTGCCGCATCTCAAGCACCTCGTTTTGCATGGCCCACTGACCCGATCATCTCACTCTTCCTTACTGCGTCTCCTCCATTCCCGACTGAAATTAAGGCCTCAACCGCTTCAGATCGAATCCTTGTCATTCATCACCACCGGCCAGCCTACGTGCGAGCTTCAAGCTTCTTTCTCGGAGTACGCGGCGAAAGGAATGAAGATTTACTGTGATGGTGTGTGGCCTGGTATATGAAAGTACTTTCGTTATGTGGATAATTTAGGACTACTTGTCGAGAACCATATTGTGAAGCACCTCGCACTTACATGTGGCGTTAGTGCAGTGCAACGTTCTATAAATAGAACTCACCTCCAAACGCGTGAGAGGACAATGGAACATGCGCATGACGGTCACCACAGCTACTATGATTCAGAACAAGATTAAACTCACGGTATTGCCTCGTGCTCTAATAAGTATCCAGCTCCTCGCACTCCGCACACACTTTCCTCCTTGACCCGGATACTTGCTCTGGGTGACCATGGTCGCGGATCACTTACTTTGCAGGGCACTTCTGTTCCTGTCAGTCTCTGTCGCATTCTCGGGAGCGCTCCATCCTGCTGTCAGACAGGAGGACGCCTCAACTGCAGGGCGTATTGCTGCAGCGTGGTACGCAGGATGGCATGCGGAGGACTTTCCGCTGTCAGCAATTAGCTGGAGTAAGTATACTATCCTGACCTATGCCTTTGCGTGAGTTTCTTTGTGCCTCATACTCCGTTCAACTTACCATGCATCCTCCAATAGGACTACAACACCTGAGGCAGATACAATATCGCTCGAAGCCTCCGACGATGTTTTACTGTCGAAATTCGTGACTCAAGCTCACCAGAACGTAAGGGAACGTGGTTTCTTCCCTGATTCAGCAACCCTAACGGCGGCCTAGAATGTAAAAGCCTCGCTGTCCATTGGGGGTTGGACGGGATCCAGATTCTTCTCCTCAAACGTCGGTTCCGCCGCCAACCGAACCTCGTTTGTTCGGGCGGTCATAAACATCACACGGAAATACTCTCTAGATGGCATTGACTTCGAGTGAGCCGGTTTTATGCATCCCGCAACACTCAACGAGACCTTCACCACAATAGCTGGGAATATCCTCACCGCCAAGGAATTGGGTGCAATGAGATAAACGACAATGATACATCCAACTTCCTTTCATTCCTTCAGGAACTTCGTCAACATCCTCTTGGTGCCAACCTGACGCTATCAGCCGCCACCTCCATTATACCATACACTGACTCGAACGGGGACCCTGCTGATATCAAGCCGTTTAGCGAGGTCCTTGACTACATCGCCATCATGAACTACGATGTATGGGGATCTTGGTCGACCGGCGTGGGTCCTAACGCACCTCTGAACGACTCATGTGCCGATGCGGGGGATCAAGACGGTTCTGCGGTTGGCGCGGTACAAGCTTGGACGGCTGCTGGAATGCCGGCCAGTCAGATAGTCCTCGGCGTCCCCTCGTATGGGCACTCCTTCGCTGTTAGCCCGGGTAACGCCTTCGAGGGCGGGTCCAAGACAACACTCAAGTTGTTCCCGCAGTTCGATGCTACTGATCAGCCCCATGGTGATCGATGGGATGGGGATGCTGGGACGGACATCTGTGGAAACTCAGTTCCTACGGGCGGCGTGTTCACCTTCTGGGGTCTCGTGGACAACGACTTCCTCAATGCTGATGGAAGTGTGAAGAATGGGATTGCGTCGGTGTATGATGATTGTAGCCAGACAGTACGTGATCAGTCGATTCTGTCGTCTATCGACGGTTGTTGATGGATGGTCGTGTATTTTGAATAGCCATACGTATACAACTCCACGTCTGGAGTCATGGTCTCGTATGACGACTCGCGTTCCTTTGCAGCGAAGGGGGCGTTCATCAAGTCGAACGGGTTGGCGGGTTTTGCCATGTGGGAAGCTGGTGGCGACTCTAGCGATATTTTGATTGACTCTATCAGTGCGTTGCCTGCATTTCTGATGTGACAGTCTAACACCCTTTCCTGCGTAACTTAGGGTCAGCCATCGCCACAGGAAACACCTCAGAAGGCTCACTAGGGGTTCCACGTGGTACCCCTAGGCCTGCATCTAGTTCAAGTAACGCTCGCCGGCCTGAACTATTTGGCAGTGTCATGATATTACTGCCTATTCTTCTATATCTATCGGTTATCTGAGACCCTAGAGCAGATTGCCTTGTGCCCATCTTGTTATTTGAATTACATCGAATTCTCGATTTCCCTGCTCTCGGTTTGCCACCAGGTCCGAGTCGAGAGACCAGTGTCAAACATTTATCCACTGACTTTGCTTACAATTTGACGGTCTAAGAAAATTTGAGCTGTCAAAGCATTTGTCATTTCGAACCAGGTATCATAGATAGGTACTATCTGAAAGGGTATATCCTGCTCTATGTCGTGCTGTCGTGCTATCGAAGCGCAGCGAGGGTATGGCAGTAACCGGTACCACACGAGATACTGTCTAGTTGAGATGGGTACGAGTGACATGTGTGAGCGCATGGCATCAACGGCATGTACTGGCCCGTCTGGATATAGTGGTGCCTCTGCGCCAAATCACCGCCCGGCATGACGGACGGGAGGAGAGGAAGTTGTGAAGATGAAAACATCCCAACGGTTGATTAGGACGATTATATGCTGATGAGGCCGCGGAATATCCTTTCGGCTTCGCTCATCTCCTTCTTCACCTTCGGCTTCCTTGGGTCCGCCTGGACTGGTTGCTTCACTGCGACTTTGTGAGTTCCACCGACAATGGCGCCGGCGTCAGCCATGATGGCGTCGAGTTCTCCTGAATGATGCAGGGACTCGATAAGGGTGTCAAGCCCGAGCGACGATGAGGCAGGGCGTAAGACATGGCCGCCGATGACCAAGATGGGGAGTTCAGATGTTTCAGTGAGGCGCGCAAGGATCGGTGCCAAAATGCTGGCATCATCTCGAGTGTCGACATCGATGAATGTAGGGGCAGGGTTGAGCTCAAGTGAAGTGAGCTGGGCCTTAGCAGAACGAGATTGAGCAGAATAGTACTATTAGGCGCGGTATCGTCAGCCACAGGTGCTTATTAAATATCTGGAGTAAACGAACCTTAGAGTAGAGAACTACTGGGTGTCTTGTCCATACGTCGTCTTCTACCACTGTCATTTCCTCTGGGTGCCTGGCGACATCAAAGCCCAAGACCAACTGAGGGTCGATGGGAGTCGACGGGTTGACGAAGGGGGGGATCATGTTGGAGGGGAGGGCAGTGATGAAGGAGGTGATGGCTGCGAGTTCTTGGAAGGGAGTGAACTCGAATGCGGGCTTGGTGACCGCTGGCCTTGATACTCGCGTAGGCCTCCATCCGGGGCGCTGCGAGTAAGCCTTCGTCGTCGCTCCGAATAAGGGGCGAGAGGTGATGAGGGCGTACGAAGACAAAGTCAACAAGAAGACCAACAAGCCCGCAGCAAGTCGGACTCGAATTGGTCGAGATAAGGAATTTAGAGGTGAAGCTGAGCTGCCTTGCTTCTCTGTATACATGGGCAGGACAGTAGCCTTTGGCGAAGTGTTGAATAGCATTGGGAACATCGTATGTGTGTTTGGAGAGATGGCCTTTGTCGCCAGATGGCCATTGCTTAAATACTAAACCTCGGAGCCTTAGGAACGAGATACCCAGTATCAGCATCTTCCAGACAATATGATAGTAATGCATTATCACAAACCGGCGAAGCGAAACAAGAAGTGATCGGAGATCGAGCAAGATCGACGATCGTTGATACGCCTTCACGTGTTTCCCTCGTTGTTTCTACGGAATATGGATCTACCATACTCTTCAAGAGGCTGTCAAAATGGTCAATATTCCGTCCGAAGTCAAGAGAAAAGAGTGTCCTACTCGTCGAGAACCAGGTTTAGTAGAGTCAATATTTTCAGCTCCCCAAAAGCGTTGTCTCTGTGTGCCGAAAAGGATTGAGGTATCATGGTTTCCGATCGTCCTTCGGTCCGTTGCAAGGGGCGGCCAGCCCCTATTGCACTACAAGGCGCCCTCAGGCGCCCGTGCTTGTTCTGAGTGACGTCTTGTTTCCCTGGGACGGTCTAGGTACCTCGGTTCCTTGAGGTGAGGTCGGTGCTCCGCGCCCATGTTTGATAACCAGTACCTGGCCGTACTTCGGGCACTGGGTGCTCTGATAGCAAAATACGGAGGGGCCCGTATTTCTTTCTGGGGTCTATTACATTATCAACAGGATGGTAAGTTTAGGCGTTCCACCGCGCGACCACAAAGAAAAAAAGTACCTTCAACGATGGGCCTGGTCTCGGTCAATATTGATTGTGCAATTGTGCACAGGCAGCTTGAAACTTGACTACTTGGGTTTCACCACCAATTCGTCCTGTTGGCAGAATAATGGGCGCTTACACTGGAAATGCCGGGCTCAGCCGATAGTCATTTTGAGTATGAGGATACGTACTCGCAGAATATCCAAGGCTGATGTCGCGCTTCCATTGCTGACTGAACACTATCAAAACATGCTCTAAACAAAGAACGGTTTGACATACTCACGGCACCGAGGAGCGACAATGCCGCCGGAAAGTCTAGGCCTTTGCGGGCACAATGAACACAAGAAGTGATCGATTTCACGATCGACGGTCGTCATATTGTCGTTGACAACAGGTGGGCGCCGCGGTGAACGAAATATACCAACTACAAATGATGTGAGCAAGAAAACTACGCTTAGAAAATGAGCGCCATTTGTCTTTTATGAAGCAAAGGTACCAGGACAGACCTTTCTGGAAAAACCTGCCCAGCCTTAAATGGTATTGCCAGTGATAAAAAGGCCGCTCATACGCACTGGATCCTGGATTTGTTTGAAAATAAGCAGGTTCTGACTTATTGCGTTGCATGGTCGGTGGACGTCAAGATAGGTTTACGCTTTGGATTCCAGCATCGCGGCGCATCGAGACTTCGAGATGAAATTCCTGTAGTATTCGAGCAGGACATAGTCTACTGGTACGATGTTGTCTGAAATTTGAAAAAAGATTCCAGATTTCGACTCACTTGCGTGATGTTTCATCATGTAGGACCCTTGAGTGTGAACTCAACTCACTATCTGGGACCTGGCGAGGGCTCTGGTAAACACGTTCGTCGGTCTCTCTCCCCGACGCAGTATGGTGAAGACTTTGTCACGGCGAGTCTGAGAGTCTGCGAGAGGCCTCGAATGCGACGAGCTTGGAGGGGCGTAGCACACAGCCAAATGGCGGCCGACACCGGCGTAGAGGACGGTGCCGGTAATTACGAGGTTACCGGCATACCGGTAAGCGCTCAAGCGCTTAACATTGAAGCGCCAATCACATTCGTTGTTTGGCCGTGGGGATCTTATCTTATCTCTAGCCTTTGATCATGTCAACACACCTCCTCGTACCGCTGCATGTAAAATACATCCAAGGCCTGGGAGAGGTAGGTCTTCAATATCGAAGGAGCAACCATACTCACGAACCACAAGAGCAAAGATGATCTCGCATACCACCTGACGGCACATCTGCGACTCAACGCCATCTACTGGGGGCTGACTGCACTGAGCATTGTCAACCACCAGGATGCTTTGGATAGAGACGAGATGATTGAATTTGTTATGAGCTGTTGGGATGAAGAAGCAGGTATGCAAGTAACGTTTGGCCTACGAGCTTCGTGGAACCTAATCACCACGGACCGTCGTTTCAGGCGCATTTGGTGCCCACCCGAACCATGATGCACATATCCTCGCAACGCTTAGCGCAATCCAGATTCTCGTAATGCAGGATGCTTTGGATAGGCTGGACGTACCCAAAGTGGTTAAATGTACGAATATACACACCTTCTCACCGCTAGAAGAGAGGTGCCAGTTATACTTACGAACCACTGCTTCTCCTCTCGCAGTCATCCTCTCTCTTCAGCAACCATCCGGAGTTTTTGCGGGCGATTCCTTCGGTGAGATCGACACGCGATTCTCATATTGTGCCGTCAGCGCCCTGTCGCTTCTAGGCCGTCTCCACGAGCTTGACATTGAAAAGACAACGAACTATATCATTCAATGCAGAAACTTCGACGGCGGATTCGGTAGTTGTGTTGGAGCTGAAAGCCATGCTGGACAAGGTAACATAACTCTGGATGCTAGCGTCGTTTCGGGGAGAAATGAATTGCTTCGCTTTCAGTATGGGTTTGTGTTGCAGCGCTAGCCATAATGGACCGCCTCGATGTGGTCGATGTCCCAACATTAGCGTGGTGGCTAGCTGAGAGACAGTTGCCAAGCGGAGGTCTCAACGGTCGTCCGGAGAAGCTTCCCGATGTAAATCGCCATCTTACTCCCACTGCATGGTTCCCAATCTCAAGTTTCCCAGGTTTGCTACAGCCACTGGGCACTCTCTTCGTTGGCAATTCTGAAGAAGTTATCTTGGATTGATGCCGACAGGACAATTTCATTCATACTTTCCGCCCAGGTATGGGGATGCGCACTCTTCCTACTCGACTGTTACTGACTCAAGTATCTATAGGATAGCGAAGGAGGGGGCATAGCTGACCGTGCGGGGGATATGGTAGACGTATTTCACACCGTTTTCGGCATCGCGGGTATTCCTTACTTCTTTTCTCTGTTCCTTAATGGCTGTGAGGCTCACCACTGCCTAGGTCTATCACTGCTCGGATATCCCGACCTTCTTGACCTTGACCCTGTTTACTGCATGCCTGCGGCGACAATAGAGAAGATGGGACTTCGAAAGGATTGGCAAGCTCTGGAACGTCGCACGACATCGGAAAGTTGATCACACACGAAGCGTAGCGAAGAATATGGGCATGTAAACCAATTTAAATACATCACTGAGATTATATCAGAAGTTACTTGCTAATGCGAACGATGCTTTTGTATGTCAAGGCAAAAAGAGCGAGAGAAAGCGACAAACAAAACTAGAGACAAGAAACATCCATGGAAATGGAGCTGACATGAGATTACCACTCGAATTCACTGATGATCCGAAGCTGGTGTTAGTGAAACACGATGCCACATTATGAAAGCACGAACCCAGTGCAACGAGCAAATAGGTAATCTTTCCCATTGATGTGAATCATGCCGTCCTTTAAGATGCACTTCCACTTATTCTTGACACGAGCCACCTTCCCCGCAACGAGTCAGACCTACGGAGTGATCGATAGGAAAAACTACTCACCTTATCGTATGTGCAAAACACGATATCGGTATCGCCAGCGGTGCCTTCATCGGCGTCATCCTCCCCTTCTGTATCTGAGTCATCCAAATCACTATTGATAGCCTCGGAATCGACTACTGAGTTCTGAGAGGTGGACGGCTGGGGCAATGAAGGGTGAGAAGAACGTGGAGCATATGATTGAGGAGGTGAGGGTGAGTCGTCAGATGAATCAGAAGGACCATCCGTTTGTGGTATTCGAGGAACAGCCGCAGGTTGGGCCGGATTGGCTGGCGGAGCAGGAGCATTGTAAGCTCGAGGAGCAGCAGTCGCCGATGGCTGAGCAGGAGCTTGAGGTTGCTGTTGACCCGGTGGCGGACCTGGCGGGAAAGAGAGCACGCTTTGATGTCCTCCGGGGTGCACAGCAGCCGGCCGAGCTCCATTAAGGGTGGGTCCTGGGAGAGGAGGAAGCGCGTAATGAGAGGCTACTCCTTGAGGCCCTCCCAAAATATACCGGCTGTCTACTGGCTCGGCCTTGACCTGGGGCGCTTGGCCGTTTTGAGCGGGCATGGGCGCGTATGGATTGTGCGCGCTGTAGTGGGGGTGGGCTTGCTGAATCATGTGTACATGATGCGTAGCGGGCGCATACTGCTGAGTGGGTGGCGGCGGGGCGCTCTCAAACTCGGCGACATGCGATTCTATAACCTTTTTCTCCCATTTCTATGATAGAGTGGCACATAGGCAAGCCCTCATGGGTACTTGAGTGACGAGCACTTACATGCTGCAGTTCAGCCAGAACGTCCTCTGAAACGCCGAACTCTTCGAACTCGTTCTTAATGTTGAGGATAACATCGTCTATCACCGCACGATAGATGGCAGGCTCAATTCAAGTGTTACCTGGCTGGACGGCTACCAACAATGGGGGTGAGTAGCTCACCACAATCTTATTCGACATCTCCACCGACTATCACTTGTATCTGTCGGTCGTTGGACACAGCGGACAACGTAGGTTGGACACTGGGGGCGGACCTGGGGAGTGGGCGGGAAGCAAGGGTGGGGGCTTTTATACTTGATGCCAATCCCTCCGTAAGACCAATATTCAGACTCCGAAACGGGTACTTGGTATCATTTCCCACGCACTGACCATGCTTCACCACTGCAGTGAACGACGTCAAGAGCCTCGAGGCTTGGTCGTGGTGAGTGGCGAACTTCGGAATTTTACCGCCTCTGTATCCATTGATTTCGTCATTAAGACGATGTGGTGATCAGTATATCGCCACAGGTTCCTTTGTGTCCTTGCAATGCGTGTACTCGCTGAGGCGAAGAGAGGCGACTGCTGCTAGAGAAGGGCCTCTGCAAGAGAATCTCTGCCGCTGTTAGCCTCGGTGCCTTGGAGGAAGAGGCACCAGCACTCCAAGGCCAATGCACCAGCAACGTTGCGCGCAGGCACTGAAAGCTCCACATGCGTCAAGGCTGTACGCCTGGTCGTACCCACCAAAAGGATGACATTGGCGTCATCTTTCCCTACATGATGCAGGAATGTTCACGACGCGCTCCACTTGGGAAAACATATAAATATCTGACGGACAAAGGACCTTGAAACATCCAAATATCGCTTTTCCAACCGAGCCCGAATAATTTAGTCTACACGCTCTAGTGATCATCTTCCACTATGCATTTTGCACACCTTTTCTGACGAACATCTCATAGAGCCGCACAATGCCACTATTCGGTTCAAGCAACAACTACTCGCAGTCTCGTCGTAGCGAATCGCCCAAACGGAAAGGCAGTATCTTTTCCAGTCGGCAATCTGACTCGCATTCGAATTCCCCCGACCGCTCCCGGAATCACAACAGCAACGGTGGAATATTCAGCCGTCGCCGCTCGTCGTCATCGGATTCATCATCGAGGCGCTCTTCTCCGAGAAATGGAGGCAGTTTCTTTGGTGGAGGAAGCAAGCAAGACCCCACCATCAAATCTGCGCGTCAGAAAGTGTCAGATGCTGAAGCAGCTGAGAGAGACGCCGACCGCGCATTGGTGCAAGCCAGGATTAGCGTGAAGGAAGCCAGAGAACATGTCAAAGTCCTGGAGAAGGAAGCCGAGGAAGAGTGTGTATTCTTTGCGATGTAGTTTGACACATGCTGATTTTTGTTTTATATTTAGCACGAGGCGTGCAAAGGCGAAGCAAGCAGAGGCAAAAGTTGTCAGTAAATCTGCTCGGGCCCTCGGGAAATTCAGTTAGACATGCCTTTCTTGCTACACACTCACCTACTTTCCCTTTCGCACCACTGCTCAGTCTGTATTTCCGTCATTTCTTGCATCACTAGCGGGTCAATCCAGTCTCCTAAGAAAGACAACACTTGTGAGCGATTTCCGAGGATTGCCTCTGCCCACCTAAACTCGATGTGTGAGAAGCAATATATATGTACGGAAACCAGCGGCCGGATACCCAACTACCCGTGACAGCGCGAGGAATCAGGTCCATGGATCGTGAGGGTTAAGCGACAAGTGTTGCAGGCAAGGTTCGGAGACAGGCATGATATCATCGTTTTTGCTTCGCGTTGTGACTAAGGTCGCCGTGTGGGTACTTCACGATCCGATATCCCTGCGTGGGTCGACCGGATTGGGAGGACACATCACTGTGCGGCTAGGAACTGCTGCGAATGACGGCATTCAAATCAGAGAGTGTGTGTACTCACCGGCGGAGAAGGCAGTGAAGAAAGACATCCCACTGAAATGGTTTGTCTTGAATCTGCGAAGAAATCCTGAATAGGGCAATGGGGCAGGTGGCTTAGCATGGCTAATCTATTTTCGGGTGAACATGCCCATGAAAAAGCGGGCTCTGGTCGGTGTATTTGGTTGGAAACGCAATCCGAATCAGCGAATCATCCGTGCACAGACGAAGATGAGTTTGGACCGTTATCGCCACATGTACTGCTCCACTCTTGCCAACTTATGTTTAACACACGATATTGGGCATTTGATATTGACTATCGCGATTCCTAACAGCGAATCAAATGAGCTAGAAGTCAACCGACCATTATGCCATTTTAGCTCTCAACTTGGGTAAGTGGCGTAGGCCTGTGGGGGAGTAATCGACTCCAGAGTGACGTTTGGAGCCCTTCTGAAGAGGATTAACAACATTGGGCAAAGCTGAAAGTCGATTTTCGGGATGCATGCTAATCTACAAGAAGCTTGCCGGCGGCCGACCAGTGTCGAAATCGATCATTTCAGATAAGACACGATAGAAAGAAGTTCTGTCATTTCCAGGAGCTGGGATCCTTGAGCCATGAGTAGGAGACTTTGGGTCTTCTGCACGCATCATACGTCCGGTACGCAAGATGTTCGTGGAGTATTGCACCCGCTGGAAAACGGTGTCAGGGAGCATAAACGTAAATGCTAGCGACCATAAGGCCTAGCGACTGAACTTACCCCTTGTAGACAATTGCGGTCACATCGCCGAAAGCGATGAATCATCTTTCGCCACCCGACTTGCCGCGAGCCGCTATTCAACTTCGACAGTGACCTCTGCCAGCAATCAAAAGTCAAAACTGTGGAGGCGAGCATCGCACCTTGTCAAGATTCAGTGCCAAGATCCAGCTAGACAGAAGGAGATTTACGACTCGAGTTTCTATCGATTTCCATCACCGGATTCACCGCTGCTAACGACAAAGAGCTATTAGTAGTACTCGACAAAAGCAGTGATAACCATGATCACTTGACAGTCACTAGGCCAACACTGGGTTGAGCCTGAGAGTTTGAAGCGTAGCGCAAGTTTTTTACGATCTCGAGGGCAGGAGAACGAGCATCGGAGATACGCCATGAGTACCTCCTGTGAAACCGTCGGCTGAGCAGTAACGGCGGGCCCGCCGCAATGAGGTGCATCCAATGAAACTTGGAAGGGAATGAACCTGTTTGTAGCCTCCTCATTGGTCGGGCCGCTGTCGCAAACAGACGCATACAAAGCTTGTCTCGCCGCGGTGCTTGAAACCGCGGAAGCACGCACCACTAACGACTTGGTTCTTCTAGGAATCTGCGGTATTTGCCTCGAGTGTGTGATGATTTCCTACGCACATACGCCGGCCCTTCTCGCGGGAACCCGGGGCCATATTGTTTTTCCTGTGGAGGCTTCCTTCTGAGCTTCCTGAAGTCAGAAGAAGTCGCCTCAGATCCTCCGTCGAGGCACAGTTCCCTGCTACAAATCTACAATCCCGCCGGGTATTTCGCTAAACGGTGCGAATTCTCGCGGACTATCTCTGCGAAAAGCTGATGCGCTTCACATATGCAGGGAGACAGCCGGTTAGGGCCCCGATCTGGCGGTACATACACATTGTGCGCGAGACGCGCTTGGTAATTGATAGATAACTTAGGTAGGCTGTGGCCATCCGAGTTCATTCTATTGATCTATCACAAGTCCATAAATTCAAGATGCTGCCTAATTTCCGAAGCGGAAATGGGCGCTTAGGGTTCCGCGAACATTGGCATTCAATCTTGTAATGTAACATTTCATATACCCATGGTATTATTACTAAACGTCACTCACCATCGTACCAGTAGGATCGCGCCCAACTTCCTCATGCTACTGCTGTGGCCAACGATTTCCAGAAGCTCTGTTCGGTTCCGTCATCAAAGCAAGATCACAAGGTATGTATGTCGTTTTCCCATATCCATTGTCCTGACATCATAGCTACAAATCCTCCAGCTGCTTGCGTATCCCCGTTGCTCAGGCCCTGACTTTTACTCCCAACACAAAAAGGCATAGCACTTGTCTATGCTGATCTCATTCTCTTGCGAAGACCGAAGACATGTCCGCGGAGCTCCCCACGAAATATATGTGTACAGCCGTGTACAGCGGTGTGAGTGCAGGGCATGTGGTCTGCAGTGAAAATAGGTATCGAACTTAGAAGTTTGAGGCAATGTCAGACCTGGGTGATATGTAAAAGCTGACAGGTTCATTTCAATAAGCCTCTCGACGGGCGAATTCCGAACGAACCGTTAGTTTCGTAAGTCTCGTTATCCCGAGCTGTGGGTCTTCTATTGCCAAAGTTCTGAATCTGCTTCCCTCAATAGTGGCGCCCACGACCAAGGAAGGTAATCCACAGCACTGATGAGAATATATCGATTGAATCGCCTGACAATGTATCGAATTAGGTTGTGTACGAGATTCGACATGCAACTCGCCTTCTTTTACACAACTTCTGCGAATGTGATCGGCTTTCTGCATTACAGCGACGTGGCAATCACCGAACATGCTGGTTAAGCTGCGAAGCTGAAGCTCTGAAGGGACGGTCAGTTAGAACTCTCGATCTCCAGCAAACTTTGCAGAAGTCCCCATGGATCTGTCTGCTAAGTGATTGTTGGGACCGCAGATATCAAGACCGCTAACATTCGCAATCGGCCATCTTCTGTGAAGGTATCGTTCCCTAAAAGTCTATCTATGACAACGCCCTCCCGAGGCTAGCTATCAAACTTGTCACATCATGACAGAAATCCCCATCAAGGTTTGATTGGTCACTGAGACCTGCTCAACGGATGCTTTCCCTGCTGTGATTTCCTGATAAAGAAGTGAATGGAATGCATTTGTTTCCGCTTGGATCTGTGCCTTAGCAGATCGGTCGGGAACGCTTAAATACTTTCTTCATTCGCACCGTTATCCAGCGATAGTTACCCCCAATGCATCCTTACATGCACTCACCCACCCGTGCCCCCCATGAATCGGCTGTCTCCCTCCAACGTGCTACCTGCACAGGTATTCGCGTTCGTTCGCCCGCCGATGCTCGGGTCATTTTCCACTCCGTTTATCTCAACATCCTCCCCATCGTCACCCGCCGACTCGACACTGAAGAAAGAAACACTATTACACCTGGTTCGGTGTATGTGTGGGAGGAAAGAGGCCCCCATGCGGAAGCGACTGGTGTAAGTGCTCAAGTTCTTCAGAGGCATCTGCATGCCAACGAATGTTACCTCAGTTAGGGATAGAAAGATGGACAGATGGTACGTCGCGTCTGCGAAGCTTGTGAGGTGCCAAACCCTGACTCGTTGTGAAGGAATACGATGGGGCCCATCAAGAGTCCGCGATGTAAATTCACGCTAATAATATCACCGACCCAACCTAACTCATGGGTATCCTTTCCAACAGGGTTTTCTCTTTTACCACGAGAAAGAAACACGACACATCGATGCCGAGAACATATACGGCGCAACCCCAATGTCAGTCGAAGTGCACATCCAGGATGATCTGATCCCAACTGTGTATCTCTCCCTCTAGATCACAAATGCGACACGAACCTAGTCGCGGGCTGATAAAGCAAACCTACTCCGTTTACGTCGATACAACAAGCGGGAGAAAGAAGTGGCATCTCAGTGAGTTTCTCGAAACACGCTCTTCGATCTAAGCCTAGCTAACGCTAGCGTAGTCGCTTACTTCACTGAAGAATCGCTGGAGTACTTGCGGACTGTGAATGACTTACCCCATCTCGCATCATTACTTGTACCTCAAGGAAGGTACAAGAGCGCACGCACAGCTAAAGGAAGAATCCGCGACCAGGTCGAGGACGACTATACACCTTCATCAGGATCACAGCTTCCACCTATCAATTCACCAATATCAGACACACAGGAGAAGATTTTCACCGATGCCAGAAGACCGTCCTTACCTCACCCGAGAAACGAATATCCTCGTGTCGTGTCGGAGCGACAATCGCCGCCGACTCCTTCTACTCCAAAAGATCTGGCGCCTCTGGCATACCTTGAGAACATTGCTCCTCGGCCTCGACACCCTGTCGATGAGAAGCTCCTGATGATGTTCATTCCGAATCTACATTAGTTCTTGAGACATATTGAGCAGATACTGAACATACACGCAGTATTTCTTCATGGACCAAGTTGTAATACCTCTACTGTACTTTTCATTGTATTTCGCGGACATTTTGGGAGTACCTTTGGGCATTTCGTATCGAGAATCAGTAGCTACAATGGTCATAATTGTCAAATGGAGAAGCCACTCCACATGAGAGAACGATAGACTGACCTATGTTTGTATGTACCTCGAAAATTGTGATGCAATGTGTCCAAGTGAGGCTTAGACGGCTGTCAAAGCTTGACGGATCGCCGAATGTATTCAGGCACGAAGATGAGATTGCCCGCCCATTGCAGGAAACAATATGGTTTTCTGAGAAGCTGAAGTACGCGGCGTTAACATTGACGGTCTTGTTGGTACAGATATACTATTCTGACTGAACGCACCTGAGGGCTGTGTGGCTTAGAAGCAAGGGACCGGTACAAGCCGGTGCAATAAATCTCGGCATGCAGAGAGAATCGCATTGTTTGACGTTTCTAGGAGTGAGCAGACAGAAGAGACCAAGAAAAGACTCAAGTTCATGTGGTGACGAAGACGCCGAACAATGTCATCGATAATGCTGGCAACGCAGGGCCGGAAGCAACTTCAGACTTAGGGGAGGGTCCGGAATCTTTTAATTCAATCCGGGTCTATAATGCATAATGAAACGGACTAGACATGTCAGCCTAGTCTCGCTTGTCATTAGATGCACCATCCATTACGAACCCTTAATAGCCATTGGGTATTAATGCCGTACAGCAGAAGACTTGCGAGATTACCGGTACCCAACCGGTGCCTACAAGCCAGAATGAACTTTGAGTGATAAGCGCAGAAGGAACCGGAAAATACCATACCCGGCAACTTTAGCTTGCATATCGCAACTTTCTTTGACCCATCCGTCTGTCCTGGTTCAACTGAATCAGTCTTCGACTTCCACCGTCCACGCTGGGACATGATCACGGTTGATACCACACAAAACCCGAAAGGAATTAATAAGGAGATCTTATCGTATAACATTACATGCGGTTGATGTGGATGTTAAAGGAGTACTGGGCCATACTGACAACCTAGGTTAGCAGATAAATATAAGTCATAACTAGAAAGGGGCAACTCTCACCACGAGGACTGTGAACCAAGTCTCAATGTAAGTTTGTCCCAGCGAGGGCGACTTCCATTTGTATGCCGGGCGATTCTTCAGGCTCGGGCTCAGTGTACAAATATACAACGCCTTCCCCATCCTGAAGATCGATCCCTTGGTCTTCAAATCTTTCCGCCCACCAGATGAATATGTCCTTCATGAGCGAATCTCCACACGAATCGACTAAGAATCCTATGGTCCGGACAATCTCTAGCTTCGGGTACAGTTCGCGGCTTATTGACATCAGGTGGGTCTTTGTGGAAGATGCCTTGTTTGGATACATGTAGTCGCCTTTGATCCCCCGTATCCCAATACGTCGAAGATTCGGGTGAACATGTTGCGCGCATTGGGGCGAGGACTGCGGGAAGGTCAACGAGTGGAGGTTCGGACACACCCCGGGTTGGAGAAATAGACTTGGATCGAGTTGGGCTTGACCTTCATCAGATTGCTCACTAGGGTTCACCGGGGGTAAGATATCTACAGACGTGAGCGTCTTGCCGAGGTTCGTGAGCATCTTCGTGAGCCCTTGGGAGAATCCCACCAGACCGTTGCCCCGCGACGACAATACTTCAATGACTAGGTTCTCGACAGTGGGTAACACAAGGACAGAGGCCACGGTTACGGATCTCTCCCGGGAGGAAATAATGAGAGTCTTCATTCGTGGAAGACTTGGTAGGTCGGACCGTGGCTTGAAGACTGATTCATCATTTCCGTAGAAATTGCGTAAATCAAGGATACGCAACGACGAAAAAGAGCACAAGAATGTGGGGGTTGATGCAGCTTGCGGCACTTTGTCGTCGCTCCATCGCAAGCCCTTTAGAGAAGGGCCGTATAGCTTGATTATCGCGTCGAGGAATTCATTTGGCAACGGTACATCCCAATGCCCGGTGAGGTGGTTTAAGTTGGGACATAGTTTCATAATCTCGAAGATCACTCGAAGATAGTCGAATGTTCCGCGACCATGGCTGAATATTTCCAGATGTCGCGTCCATTGCCCGTATCTATAGCCCAGATGCGCGAAGCCGGTTTCGCAGCTGTTTCGCAACACATGAAACACCAGTTTGGCGCGTCGTAAGCTTGGAATAGAGATGTGTTCAAACAGGAGACGCAGCGCAATTCTACGCCAGGATTTGCAGACAAGGACGAGAGCATTTTTTGTTCTCATGGTAAGATAAGGGGTATTGGCTGCCATCGCGTTGGTGGATATACGCGCCGGTGTGAAAGCGGGGAGCGGAGCTATGGTCTTGGAATGATGAAGATATGTGGCGAACTCGAAGATCTCGAGCCATATCTCGTCGGGAAGGAGCGGGAGTGTCTGTGCTTGCTGACGCGTCGGAAGCAACGATAGCTGAAATGTCGCACATCTACGGCGCTAGTGAGTGGCACAGTCATGCAAGTGAGACGACCTACTTGTGGAAAGGAAACAAAAAATTGAACGACCGTCGCGCTAAAGATGATTGCATTGCTCGTCGTGGTAGAAAGACAACAGTACCAGAAGGAGCGTCGAATTTCCGAGTCAGTCGTCAAATATGAGTCACGTGATGGATGCGTCAAGCAGAACCAAACAAGCCGCGCCTAGCTGCGTCGGCATCCCGATTTCAGCGTTCAACGCCAACCATAATGTACACACTCGCTTTCACGTTGTTGGTGTCGGGGCTGCAGCTGGCGAGGGCATCTACCCTTTACCTTAGCCCCGCAGCCTCAATTCCCCAGTCAGATTTCACTCCTCAAGATACAAGTTTCATTCTTTCGCGTCATTTTGGACTCGAATATTTCGAAGTGCAGCCCAAAGACTTGCCCGAGGAGGAGTTGTTTGTTGGGCAGGGTCTCAAGAATGGCCTTTTGCTGACGAGCAGCAATGAGGACGCGAATGGTACGTCTCATTCTGTGTCATCTATTTGCTCAGAAGTCAACCCGTATTCCGACAGTGATTCTGCCTTCGTCACTGCAAGAAACTTTACAATATAATTCACCGCTAATTGACAACCCACGACCAATCATTACCACTTTCGCACATCGCGCCAGGCACTCTTTCTCGTCGGTCTTCGTTGGTCTGGAAGATACATATGTGGTAGGGGACTCGACGCAGGAATTCGTTGATACCATCCGTTCCTTGGCAAAATTCCTCCGAGAGACCGAGAGACCTGCATTCGCTGCCCTTGATGCCTCGCCTCTTACGGAGATTCGTAACAAATATGGACCACAGAGCGAGCAGTACACCATCACCCTTCTCGAGCTGCGGTCGCTCGTGAATGTTGCTATGACCTTGTCGGACACCCTTAACTTCGCCTATTTGACGTACTCTACTCACGTCCGAGACAAACGCGCCGCCGAGCCTCAGCAGACCCAATCTCCCTTACCCTCCGATCGCCCTGCCCCTCAGCAACCGATTGGCTCTATTTCTACCTGCTTTACTACCGCCGACGCTTGCACCAATGGCACTTCGTCTTGCTCTGGTCGGGGACAATGTGTCGAGGCGAAAAAGGCCGGAAGAAGTTGTTTCGTATGCACCTGTGGGGTTACCAAGACTGGCTCGGGTGCCAAAACAAAGACGGATGTGTGGGTTGGGGAAAGCTGCGAACGGAAAGATGTCAGCGGGTATGTTTTGTAAGAAATCTTACGATATACCGTGGCTCATCACCAGCAGGCCATTTGTTCTCCTGACAGGTACCGTCGTGCTAGTAATTCTACTGGTAGTAGGTTCCGTGGGGCTCCTGTACAGCGTCGGCGACCAAGAGCTACCGAGTGTGCTCATGGGTAGTGCAGTGAATGCAAAGCGAGACTAGGCTGATTTGTTTAGTCTTGTTCGTTTGACCATCTATGCAATCCAGCCCCATGATTTCAGTACCTTGAAAATCGAACTATTGACCGCGCCGCATAGCAACCTCCTAGGGGATACTCCCTCAATGTGGTGCATCAGATCTCGTCCTGTTGAAATGCGACTATCTGATTAATGATACGAGAACAGCGCGGTTAGGAACATTACATGTGGTGAGGCAGCTTCATCACCCAACTTTAATCATTTGTACTTATTCGTAGTATCAGCATCAATATAGATTCGAGGACTGTTAGCCTGTCGGTCCGATCATTGAGCGGACAACTGTGTGCCTGTGGGGAATGTCAGGCTTCGGCACTTCCTTGCGCCACAATAATTGAATCCATGAGCTTAACTTCGGGTTAGTCTATTCCCGTTTGTGACCCATCCTAATCTATTGTATATGGTGCGATGCTGATGGCGCCCTACTGCCGCATGGCATGCAACGGACTATCAAATACTCAGTTCACCCATGCAGACGAGAACCCACTCGGACGGGGGTCTACATTGATCTTCCATTCAAAGTCTGCTCATTATCCGCGAATAGTGATTTGTTGGAGTCCGTGGTTGACGCGTTGACACTCCAACAGAGGACCGGGTGCTGAACAGCAACGTGCTATACATCGTTTTGCCTCTGCTTCAACAACGAATGTTCCGGCCGTATACGTCTGGAATTAGAATCAGATACTATGGAAAACTTCTGTTCGGCTGAAGATGTCTATTGGACGCAGAAACCCTAATTTTTCTGGTCTGAAGTTCGTCGTCATCGCTTTTATACTTCTTCATTAACGGGCTTGTACAGGGTAATATGGTACATATAGGGAATAAATAACCCCGCGCTGAATCCATCTCACTTTCTAGATGAGCTCGATACGTGCACCTGAGACATGGCTTTCTGGAGCTGCGACGCATTTATCTCCTGTTGCACGTACTTGTCGAACTGCTGAGCGGCATTTGCGAAGTCCCGGGCTAGCCGAATATTTTCTGGGAATACAGACAAAGGATATATGACGAAACGTTCCAACATCATTAGCTGGTCTTTGAGCCTGAGTGGGTCAAGGTCAGTCCTTGCGGTAATCATCCGCTGGATAATTGTCCTTACTCCGTTGACTCTGAATCTAATCGATCTTTCAAGTCTTGGGGGACGTCGGCGGTCTTGATGTCTTCAAGGAACTTGGCGACGTATCTGTTCCCAAGTTCCAAATTCGTTCGCAACGGTTGTTTGTGTAACAGTGAAATCATAAGGTCACCAGGCATCTCGAGACGATATGCAACCCCGGCGCTGCCGTCGTCGCCGGCTGGAAGGTGTCAGCACAATCTTGTCTCGTTGGACATTGGACACTGACACAATGAATCATCTTCAGAGCTCTTCGATTGGCCCCGATGCGATATTCCCTTCCCTTCGGGAGCCGAAACTTCTTCGTCTTCCGGGGGCTCGAGTTCAGCCACTTCATGACATTGTTTAGTGCTAGCGATGACAATGTACATGATGCATTTACCTCTGCAATGCCCTGCCTTCTCGGCAGCCTCCATTTCCTCGAAACACACGTTCGCTGCCTTGACTAATGGTGTTTCTTCTGAAAGGGTTTCCTCCGCTTCCAAGAGCAGCAACAGATGGATTGAAGCAACTCTATACGGAATCAGTATCGAGTGATTGCCAAGTGTGACAAGCGCTCCCTCACTTGTTGAAATCAGCTAACATGGCATGCTTCTCCTCCGCTGGGATTTCGTCTTCAGCAAGCGCTTCAGCGATAGCGATGGCCAGTGACTCCCGGTGTTCGGTAAGTAGTCTGTGTCGATTCTCGTAATCTTCCCGTTCATCAGCGGGGATGACGGGTACGATGCGTTGCCTTGGCATGAATACTGATTTCAAGTAGTTCATAGTAGGAAGACGAGTCGAGGAAGTGTGTGTGCGGACGATGCCCCACCCCCTCTTGCGGCTCTTATGGAAGATACGAATAGTGTGCGGGTAGTCATCGAGACGTTCTGTCTATTGTCTGTAACTGGGGCTCGTTCTTGTCCTCCAGTTACGTTAGAGGTCCACAGCCTTTTAATGAAAGAACAATGGAGAGAGGCCTGGCTTACTTGTTGTACTCGTGCCCACATACGCCCACACTCGCTTACTTGAACGAAGTCACCCGAAGAACTATTGGAATATCGATATAATATGCACATTGTGATGAGTGGGCACTGGCGCTGAGGCGCTGAGGCGCTAATGCACTGTCTACCAGTATTTTGCCACCGTTGTCCCACGAGCAGAACAATAATTCTGTTGACTGTGGGAGTTTGAAACTACGAGTAAGCTACAATCAAAGTGTGGCGCTGCGAAATGCTCTCGTCGTTGTTAAACTCGTAAAGTCACTAACGAATATGCTGTCCAGAACTAGCGTAGGAGATCATCAAGTCCACAAATCGGGGTGGGGGTGGCGCACTTCGAAGGGGAGGGTTATGTTTTGAACCGCAGTTCCATTGAACGTGACGGCTCTCGAAGTCTAAGCGTCAGTCGGCTGGGATGGGAAACCTGAAAGTATCGTTTGTCGATGTGACGCCAACGCCTCCGAAGTCAGTCCGCCTAATATTTGACAGTCCACCCGGCATCCCTCACTTCGTCTGGTCGGCGATAGAGTAGTCTCTGTTTCATTGGTTATAACTCCGTTAGCCCTTCGTCGTCTGGACAGTAGCTCCCTCACCTTTGCACCGAGTATCGCCGTCAACAGAGGAATCCATCCCTATGGCCTACCAACCGAAGATTCGACGTGTTTGCCGCTTCTAATTAGTGGATCGGTTGAGCCTATGCTCAAAGACATTCTCCTATGCGGTCTGATCACCCTCCACTGCATCAAACGAAACCAATCCAATAGACAGCTTGTGCTGCGCTTGCATCTGGATTGAAATACCTCAAAGTCTTTTCGTATGTAAGCCAGTGCCCTCTTTACCATCCCCTTTATCCGAGTATCCCTTAGGACTCCATACACTGAGTATTGCGGCTGATTCCGCTGCTATCTTCTGGACCACAAAATACAGCTCTTCCAACTCCATCGAATGCGATGAATAATTTGAGGTGAGATTTGTCAAGGCATTGAAGATATTTGAATATTGAGAGGCCACAAGGAAGAACCTAGACCGCGAACCCAAGCAGATCGAAGACGGATCAGTAACTGAATGGGAGCGGTGGACGATCATGGCACTGAGCTGGAGGGCCAGTGACCGGTAGCGACGTTGCAACCGTTGCATGGGAACCTCATAATTAGAGCTACTAGCGCTCGGATGCATGTACTTCCAGGAGCCTTCTATCCCAATGACATAGGCTATGCCTGAGACCATGGGAAATGCGTATGCCGGCGATCGGCGAAGACGGCGGAGCTAGTCGCTTTCATCTTACTGAGTCAGCTTCATCTCGTCGAGTATGCTCTTCAATTTCTTGCCTTTCTTTCTCCAAGGAAAGCTGGGCAGGTGTTTCGCAGAACCAATTCTGTAACACTCCAGATCCATTTCGAGAGTCGCTTCGTCGCTACAGTGTTGTAATTGTCTTGATTACTGTGGGAATTTGATCATCAGAGGGGAAAAGAGCATTCAGGCGTGTACTACGGCTCGTACCAGGGCCGTCGAATCAGTATATGAACCGTGCTAAGGGTTGAATATCGGGGCGTTAGATCATTATATGGAATGTTGTGTCCCAATACTGAGTGAGTCGACAGGAACCACCGAGAACCACGACAGCTAGTCAAGGTCGTAGTGTGAACGATACCGCAGATGTGAATTGTGTTCCTCTGTGGTGAACGTAATTAGCGCCCCAGCGACTTCGTGGTTGTTTGTGGCAATGGGGGTGTGGCCCGGGGAATCACCTAGAATATTTCGAGGGGCGGGGGCTAGAGGCTGATGTGAGACCTAGTTGATGAAGTATAAGCGCATCAGCCCGCGCTTAGATCGCCCGAGGGACTGACCCTCCAATCGATGTAGAATTTACATCTCCACAGACGAGGAGGTAGATAGGCAGAATTTCAAAGTCAGCGAGCGGTCAGTTAGCACAGCCACACGCAGGGGCTTTCGTTCCGCTTTATGCACCAGTTTATCTGAAAGATGGTGGCGAAGATGGAGGTGTAAGTACCAGTTTCTCGTTATTAGAGGTCTCTAAATGCTAACCAGTTATCTACTCAAGCTAATGTAAGAAGCCTACTGAGGCGAATAACATTCCATACTAAATGTGACATTACCAACTTGTGCTTCTGCCCATCTGCAGTGCTACAGTCACATACGGGTGTACTCGGCGTAGGGAAACTCCTGCTATATGGGACACAACCACCTCTCACTGAGGTCACTCTTAGCCCGATCCAGCGAATTCTACACTTCGAAGCGCCGGCGGTGTCAGTGCAACAACGCCACCGCTCAGTGCACAAGCTCGCCAACATCCACCTAGTCCAAAAAAAGAGAGTATTGCACGGTTGATACCATGGCCAATCTCTTGGGCTTGTTATGGCCGAACATTGGCTCACCTCCATCCTCCTATTTGCCCAGATATGCTATACAGATCCCAAAGGTCAGGAGCATATTATATTTATAATTATTGGAAATCTTTGTTGCTGGTTGGGATAAGTCTCCCTTCCGTTAAGACATCGTTTGACGTAGCGTTCTGGAACTGTGGCATTTGGTATCATTACCTTCACCGACCACCTAATGAAACTCAAGCTCAAGCTGTAGCGAAAGTCCAGGCTACTACTCCTTCGCACACCGAAGGCTACCGGGGTTGTCAATCGGTAGTAGTCGCTCTTTTTATATCTCAATCAGCCCGACGGGAGTACTGATTATCAATCTGCGCAGTTCGCAGGCTACAGTCCGCTTCGACAGCCTGGTGGTTACCAAGTCATCGTGGCATTGCGCGCAACACACATCAACTCGTGCCTCCAGATTAAATTAGCGATTGACGGGGAGGTACCCCAGAACGTGGCTTGCAAGGTGGCGAGCGCGAGGGAGGGGTGCATCGATGTCGTACGGCGGTGTTGATTTGGGTCGGGCGGGCGTTTCACCGCAGCATAGTATGCCTGACAATCGCGTTCTCTGTTTCCAATTTTCTGACAAAGGCAGCAGCAACCCCGCAAGCGAGAAGGTCACAAGAGTTTAGCACGTCTAGCGAGGTATGCTCTTATCTTCGGCATCGCGCTATGTAGGCAGGAGAACCCGCAGCATGGGATGGCGCCGCCATCTTGTGTAAATCAATACGAGTTCGTCGATACAGAATAAAGTTACACAGTAGGAGTGAAATAAGTGATTGGTCTGGTAAACTAGAATGCGCAGCGCAGGAGACCTCCTTGTATATCGAAGTCACCGTGAACAAGAAAATAAATAATCGCTGGGTCGTTGCGAAAGGATCGGATTACTGGAGGCCTTCTCGAAGTCAGCGAATGAATGATTCAACACGCAATCACTCACCTTGCTCTCCTTACATCTTTGTATCTCTGGCCCGCTTGTGAGGCAGTGAGAATTGCTTCCTCAGCAATATGTCTGCTTTCCGCCACCTCTCTTGGTTCTCGAGGGATTCCTTATTCCAAGCATCTGCAATCGCTTGAGCGGGTGAGATGAAGGTATTTTGTTTGGATATTTCTTTGGTGGAAGGATCGCGCGCCATTTGTGAGGGGTCCGAGGTCATGATCTAGCGAAAAGCAACAATGGCATACGCCTCAGAACATAGCAAGAAATGAGGTATATATGAGGTAAACAAGGGCGTACGGGTGTCGTGAGTGAATCATGAATGACCTTGCAGTTTATTTCCCCGTCCATTTTTATAGAGAAAACTCGCCCTTCGGGTGAGGGCTGATACTCGAGCTCGTGTTCATGCTACAGGACGAACTGGTAAGGGCCAACCATTCTCACCATCGAATGGAGAAGAACAAAGGGCGACCCATATCGGGAAGGTTGAAAGGAGACGTGCCGCGGAAACGATCGGAACCTGCCGTCCCCTCGGTCGAAGTATCCGTCAATAAATGCAGCCAAAGCGGGGAACGAGGACGCGGACAAGGTTATACAGAGGGAAAGTCGGCAGTGTGGGCCTTAGTCGAGGGAGGCCGTTACGTACCATGATTGAACGGAAAAGTGATGTGTGACCCGAGCCTCCACAGAAACATGAGCCACTGCTGTTTGATAACAACGTGTAAACCTCGTTCTGGGGACATGATAATGCGCAGAACCCAATACATATGGACGTTGCACACGCTTTGGGAACCATAACGTGACAGAAACGATGATATTCCAGTTGTCACGGATCACCGCCACAAGAAGTCCGCCAGTCTGTAGGCGCAGAGAAATCAGTGAAACATGTCGGTGCTGTTAATCAGGTATTATACATGCCCAATACTCTGATTTAGATACAACGAGAAGCAACAGTGACGCAAAAGAGGCCCATCGAGGCTGTGGTGTGCATCTCAAACACGCTGCGTAGGTGCGGCGGCTCTGATGTATTCTTTTCTTTGGCAGTGTGTGAGGCCGGCAGGAGGAATTTGGCCTGATGATAGCACTCACAGAGTTACTTCCACCGATACTGACTCAGCACTCGTATGGACCACCCTAGCAGTGGAGGAAAGCCGGAATAATGCCATACTTCCAGAAGGGTACTGAATAGGAGCTCAGATAGGGTTCGAGAATTCCAGTGACATTGGACCGACAACGTCGTCGCATTCTGATGAAAAAAGGCGCTAGTACTGGAAGCTAAAACTGTGACTGAGATGGTGGTGAGGAAAGCGGAATGGGTTCACGAATCGTACAGGGCTTTATATCCGTTGTGGTCTGATACCTACTAACAAAAAGGCCAATCCACTAAACGTATTCAGCATGCTGCTTCTTTTTCCCAAGTGTATAAAGGGTGCGGAATTGTCTTGTGGCATCAAGTGACATGTACTGATCAAAACATGGCGGTATATGTTCTAGATGAGTGCTGGATTACAATTGCGAGTTGTCTACAAAGAATGCTGAATAAAGATAAGTTCACATAGCCCAATGTTTATACGTCTCCTCGAATAGCTGTTGGTTAACAATGCGCGGCCCTTCTTTCAAGATACATGGCCCGCCATAAAGCACACGATCCGATAAACTGTTTTCAGTGATGTACTTGATAACTAGTTCATCCTCCGAGCCGGGCTGTAGCCAAATAGCGGGAACATTGAGACCTTTGGCTTGCTTTAAGATGCTCAAAGTGACCTAATAAAGAGTCGGGGAAGGCTCAGGAGCGCCCAGGAGTTCTGCGATGAAAGAACGTACATAGGGCGCCGTGATTATACTGATGGACGTTTGGGATGGGTTTGGTAGGTCGGAGATCGAGCGGACTGTCCTCATCCCCTGTATCTCCTTTTCGCGCTGAAGGGGGGCATTCAGGGGTGTACATGAGGACACGGAGGTGTCAACTTACAGCGTGGACAGGGGTGACCGGGAGATGGCGGTCTTTATACCATTTAAGCACCTGTAAAGCGTACGATTAACAGGGTGAAGTTGGTGGTATGAATATGATTCACCTTGCTCGCCCATTTTGATTCATCATTGGATACCCCGACAACGGCAAAGAAAGGTGAAGCGAGAAATTTCTCCTGCTTTTCCATGGCGGAAGTGGTCACAGTCATGTTGGATTGGGAAGTGAATGGGGGATGGGGGGTGCTACTCTATGTTGCGGTGTACTTAGAGAGTACTCAGTTCAAATACTTTCATGTCGGATTTAGAGCGTTATTGAACTTTCACATAGGATCACTACATGTGGGTCAGGTAATATGATATGCTAGAAGACCGAGGACATTGGGATCTCAAATTAGACGTTTTTAACGACGATGGGATTGATGCAGGCAGACTCACAGTACATCATAGCGGGAAGCCTCAGCAGTTGGCGGCTTGTCTAGAGGAGGCTACGGACAATTTCATCTCCGTCTACCAAGATGCAGGGGCCGCCGTAAATCACTCGGTCCTCCAATCCATTATCTTTGATGTACTGGATGACCGCGTCATCTTCAGCGCCCGGCTGCAACCACAGCGCCGGCACTCCAAGTTCCTTAGCTTTTTGCACAATCCCGAGGGTCACCTAGCAATACATTCCGTTTAACGGTGCGTTGATCCGCGAACAAAGAAACAACTCACCTTGGGTGGCGTGATGATGCTGATGGACGTCTCGGTGGGAGAAGGGAGATCCGAGATAGCGCTGATGGTCGGAATCCCTTCTAGCTCAGCCTCCCTCTGTAGGATGGATATTGACATCCGAAGAATGGAGTGCACCAAGCGATAGGCGGCTTACCGGGTGAACCGGTGTCACTTGGAAGCTCCGAACCTTGTACCAGTTCAGGACCTGCGAGTCGGGGAGCAAGGCGTTCAGAACCGCTAACAATGCCTCAAATCCGTGCATACCTTTGTTCCAAACTTGCTCGTATCTTTGGATGCTCCGACAACGGCGAAGGAAGGCGAAGCCAAGAAGGTCCGCTCGATATCGCGCACAGATTCGGTAGGAGTCGACATTTCACGAATAGTGGTATTTCACAGTAGAGCTGTAGTTCCCGGTGCTCCTGCTCGCCTTTTGTAGTAGATTTTGAGCTGAGCGCATGAATCATCGAGTTGCGCCATAATGGCCACGATGATTGGCGGTCACGTTGTGAGAACTCTTCTACCAGCTTCTGCCTCTGACCGCGCGGTGCCTTCTGACTTGGCGCGTTATCGTTGGCCTCCTCATGGTTCCATCACCGAGCTGGATTTCGCGGATAAACGTACCATCACCAACAGCAATTCGACAAATCCTGTATGGTGTCATTCTGGGAGTTTCCTTGTCCATCGCGTCCACGTCGTTGGCCGTCTATTATCAAGCACGCAAGCGGGAGCGTCTGGCGGCACAATATCAACCAAGGCCAATAGAATTAAGACGCGACGAAGTGCTTTCGGGAGTGACGGGGCTGATAGGTATGCATGTTGAATATTGTATGTGGCAATGCGAGACGGTGAAATATAGGCAACACGCCTCTGATTAGAATCAATTCATTGAGTGATGCGCTTGGTGTTGAGATACTCGGAAAGGCTGAGGTACGCCAATGTCGATCTGTTTCGTGGTGATGAGCCTTACGTCGGGGAAAGTTCCTGAACCCAGGCGGCAGCGTGAAGGACAGAGTGGCTCTACGCAGTAAGATTTTCCTGTCGTAATCGCGTTCGTGCCAAGTAGCCTTATGGCCATGGAAAGTGATTGAAGATGCCGAAAAAAATGGTCTCCTTTACCCATACACTGGTTCGCGCATATTTGAAGGTACCGTTGGCTCAACAGGAATCTCAATTGCGACGATTGCTGTAGCTCGGTAAGTCTCAATGATTTCCTGCTACGAATTAGGTTTAATTTGTTGTTGAAGTGGATACAATGCTAGTGCGCGGCAACATTACTTGCTGAAATGCAATGCCTCTGACGATGAGCACGTTTAGCTATCATCATGCCAGACGACGTAGCGGAAGAGAAGGTCAAAGCTCTCCATGCCCTTGGGGCAGAAGTCGAAAGAGTACGACCAGCCAGTATTGTTGACAAGAAGCAGGCAAGTAATTTTATACGGTTATAAGAAGGCATTCTTGACGATTCTCAAACAGTATGTTGTAAGCTCTTGTTCGTTCACTGGGTGAATGGAGAGCGTATAGCCTGACACCGCGGTAGAACTTAGCTCGCCGGCGCGCCATTGAATTTGGCAAACAGAGTAGCATGGATCGAGCCAACAGTCTTACCGACAACGGGTCTTCGCACCTACTCAAGTCTCCATCCTCCGTAGTTATTTCTACGTTGTCCACCCATGCAACCTCAGGTGCCGACGCCGACCCACGTGCGGACGAGGATATCATCAGCAAGCCTCGAGGATTCTTTGCAGACCAATTCGAGGTTCGTGAAACGTACCCCAGTTCGCTCGCATCATATCTTACTCCCGCATACATCTAGAACAAAAGCAACTTTGATGCTCATTTTGACGGTACTGGACCAGAGATCTGGAGACAGACGGACGGTCGGGTAGATGCGTTTGTCAGTGGGGCAGGTGCGCATGGCGTGTCTTTGCATATGCGTTTCACATCATCCCGCTTTGACAGGGACGGGGGGAACAATAGCTGGCGTTGGGCAGTACCTGAAGTCCATGAACGAGGACGTCATCGTGGCGTTGGCAGATCCAGAGGGCAGCGGGTTGTACAACAAAGTACCTCTCCGCCTATCCTCGCCGATTTCCTGGATCGCTGAGTTTCTCATTCAGGTGAAATACGGCGTCATGTTCGATCGCAAGGAGGCCGAAGGGACGAAGCGACGGCACCAGGTAGACACTGTCGTTGAAGGGATGTACGTCCGAACCTTCGATACCCTGGTGCTCGGTTCTATCCTGACAAGCGAGGGTCGTTTAGTGGAATCAACCGACTAACGAACAACATAGAACTTGCCCTCCCGATTATCGATGATGCCTTCAGGTTCGTCCTTGCCTCGCGCTTTGATCAATGAGTCTGATTTTAGCCGGAATGCGGCAGAATAACGGATGCTGAGGCTGTCAGCATGTCAAGGTATTTGGTGCACAACGACGGTCTTTTCCTTGGGTCTAGTAGCGCGTGTAATTTGGTGGCGTGCGTGAAGTTGGTGCGCCAGATGGGCTGGAAGGACGGGCAAAAGATAGTCACCATTCTGTGAGTCACTGGAACGCATCATCCTGTTCTGTGAATTCATTAAACTCTCCATAGTTGTGATTCTGGTACCCGTCACTACTCGAAAGTAAGTGGCGCTCCATTCCGTCCCTGCTGCTGAATTTAGGTTGTTTCCGTGAAATAGTTTTGGTATGTGTGATTAGCCCTCCAGAATTTCGCATCTAATCTCAAACTTAGGAACGACGAATACCTCCGCACGGCCAACATACCAAACGATTCCCAGATTGTTCTGGACTTATTAGACACTCCGATTACTTCCTCCTCAGAATGATACAACTACAAAATGAATATGCTGATATAATACAAATGCGCGAGACGGTATATATGATGAGGCGGGAATAATCCGAATCGAATAATGATAGATATAGTTTTTCCAGCGAGAGCTGAAATCGCCGAAAGGTGAGAAGAGGTGAGGCGGAGTGAATATGTAATTAGTGGGGAGTCCACGCTGTAGTTTGTGCTTGAGGCAAGGGGTATTGGAATGTAAACCCGTTCTGGGTGGGCATCGTGGCTTGGTAATTCAACGGAGGTGGAGGTAACGTTGGCAATCGTGGAGAACTCTTCGCTGCTTGATCTTTCAACGGAGATCCGCTCGTCGAGGGAGGAAGAGCGGAGCTAGTCGTGCTGCTACTGTCGACATATACAATTTGTTGTTATCAGCGCCGTAACGATATGTATACCTGACATCACTTACGTGGTGCTATCCGGGGGAGCCTGGGCTGCTGATGCTGCGGGGGCAGCAGGCTCGGCTGTGATCTTGAGGAAGCCGGTCTGCACGAGGAAGTCCCAGACTCGACTGGTCTTGTTGACATCGATCTTGACGAGATCGCGTGCTTCCCGGCGTCGTAATTTTCCACCACGTCGGGCGTACTCGCGTACCAGGGTCTCCTTGATAACCAGATACGGCTTCGGTAGGATACGCAGGGTGGAGCAGAGGGTTTGTTCCCCTGGAGTAAGGAGGTGGAGGCATGGGCTGTTTGCAATGTTGAGCGGCGCGGCTGAGGTAAAAGGTCAGACAGGTTAGTGAAACAAGCGAATAGGCTTACGTGGTCTGCGCACAGCTGGCTTTGGCGTGAAGTCGCGTTCATGGCTTTTCCGCCCTGGCACATCGCGGCTGCCCTTGGGTTGCGACTGCCACAATGGGAATCAGACCAAGCAATGTACGTCAACGACACACTTACGCGTCTGTTGTTGAGATCAACTTGGTATTTATCAATGTCTGCCACCGTTTGCAGTCCAAGCCGACGATAGCTCTGCAGTTCTTGTATTTGCTTCCGCAGCATAGCTTCGTCTGTAATGCAGTTGAGAGTGAAATTCATTCGGAGATCAAGTGCAGACGTACACAGAATGTCGGTGGTAAATACCTCGAAGTCATCAGCAGTCTGGAGTTTCGCGAAGGGCTTTAAGCGATGGACAAGATCCTTTTCTTCTCTTGGTCGCTTCTTCTCTGCAGCAGCCATCTAGGACTCGTCAGCGAATTTGAAATCACAGGATGATGCGATGGATTGGCACCTTCTTATACTCCAATAATCCTCTATCAAACATGATGGCTTTTGCTTCCAGCCGCTTCTCAACCCTTTGGGCGTACATCTCCAGCAAGGTAAGTTTGAACGCAAGGGAATCCGGTGTTTCTATCGGAGGTGGCTGTGTGACTTCATCGGCCCCGTCGTCTTCACCATTACCGTTCGCGTTATCTTCCTCTGACTTTGATTGGGATTGAGACTGCGAATGCGACTGAGACTCTCGTTTTACAACATCGCCGTGAAGGTGGTAGCCATTGACAGTCCCGTTCACTATTCCCTTCATAGGCCCCTTCCCTGCTGTAGCTGCTGCTTGCCTCTCTTCTGCCCACTTCTGTCTCGCCTTAACGTCCAAATCGTGCTCGTCTTCTGCAATTTGATCGCCTCCGTACTCCATACACATGCCAAACTCCAGATCCTTGACGAGATCCTCCGCGTCATTGTCCAGCTCGTGCTCGAATTCAAGACGGCCTGGGAGGAAGGTGGCGACTTCGTGGATACCCGGCGCTGAGGTCGGTGCCGGTTTGGCGGGTGGAGGGGGGGCGGCGTTCATTTTAGCAATGCGCCGCCGCTTACGCTCGTGGAACTCTGCGGGATCAATATCAAATTGTCGGTCCATAACCTAGGCTTGATGAACGGTGGGACACAGTAGAATGGACGGGCTCGACATACCGGCAGCGGCCAGTTGGGGGAGTTAATGTACACCGAGTTGTAGTGCTCCTCGACCTCGTCTCTGGTCCGTGTGCCAATATGGTCGGCGACTTTCTTCCAGTTTCCGAGTCCTTGGGCAGCGATGCCGGACAGCATGAGAAGTTCCCTAGTCGTGATGAGCATGCATGGGCTGGGAGTTGTGCTGCAGCTTACTCATCAGCGCCCCAGTCCTCATGGAATATTGGGTACGAGTGCAGTTCCTGCGTCGGGTCAGCGGGAAGGCATGTTATGGGTATCGTGGAAGAAACATACGACGATGCGGTAGGCGTGGCCAGCCTTATGTTGGCCGAACTCCTTGCCGGCACAGAAGCAGGTTGGGCAGAGGTCTACTCCGTCGCCAGGTTCGCATATGGGATCGGCACATTTTATACGGACGGAATGAGTAAGATCACATGTACAGGAATCGCAGTGGAATTGTTGATCGGGTTCAGCAGCTGCTATGGAATATGTAAGCCAGTAGAAAAGCCTGCGTTCTCAACCGTTCTACCTTGCAATTCGTCCAATTGTTGAGGCTTCCGATGTGTTACAGTCATTAGGCCGTCCGCACAGTGTATGGGCTGACCTCCGAGAACTCTGGCTCGGTTCTGACTTGCTTTCTCGACCGACCAATGTGGTGGATACACAAAATGACTAGACGCCACTTCAGCCACTGTTTGCCTTTGGCGGCAGTGTGCAAACAAAGAATAGGCGCTCAATAGTCGGTCACGTGTGAAACTGCTCCGGACTTGGACTTGGTCAGTGTCTTCACCGTTCCCTCACCTTCTCAGTGGGACATAATCTAGTCGTACAGGTCTCGGCAGTTATACCCAATACGCCTACCCTTTTCACTCCTTTGCGCCCCTCATCATGGCAGATGATGTCCCCCCAGGCCGCTCGGTCGACATAGAGCTTGGTGGCCAAGAAGTTATTACGATCGACCTCGACAATCTCGATCCAAATCCGGAGGACGTTCTCGAGCTGCTGAAAGAGGGCCTGGGGAAGATATGGGTGTGGTCCAAGCTCGCTGCAGAGTATTGGAGAAGAGGTTATTTGGACGCAGCTGAGCGCATCGCTCATGCTGTGGTAGACAGTACGTCGGGAGTTTATGCTTTCTGTGCATACCATGTTATTTATGCGCATTTGCGCTAGAATTTCAGTCTAGCGGTACAACTTCGAGCCTGCCCCCAATATATATGTTACTGGCGAACATACAAATTGCGCGCGCGCGGGATGCTCCTAAAGTGCTGCTACTTGATGCTCGTGAGTTATCCCACCGCGTAGTGATTATGGACGGTGTATAGAATGGACCTAGGTCAGGACATCCTCACGAATGAGAAGACGAAGGAAGCGTATCATAAAGAAGCCGCCCTGTTCATCAACACTGCCGAGAGATATAGAAGTGAGAACCAGGACGAGGCTGAGGCGACAAACACGCTGTCTTTCTTGACTCGAGGTATGAAGGCTTTTCTTGACCTGAACTCATTCGTATTGAGACACTATCAGGCGTTCAGCAGCTCGCAACTCGGTCAATTGACGATGCCCTTCGATCTTTTGAAAGCGTTCTCACCCAGCAGCCCAACAACCTGGTTGCACTGCTAGGAAAGGTGCGTGCAATCTGAACGAACGTATGTTATTGCTGACCGCTTCCGAAGGCGAGAATTTTGTATGCTCGGCGGCAATACCCTGCGTCCTTGAAGATATTTCAGAATGTTCTTCAACTAAACCCCAATTGCAAGCCCGATCCCCGAATAGGCATTGGCCTATGTCTGTGGGCAATGGACTACAAGTCTAAAGCCCGAGCTGCCTGGCATCGAAGTCTTGAACTGGTACGTCATACATTGTTCTTTTCATTGTTGCATTCTGAGCTCAGACGCGTGGGACAGCACAACCAGCAGATTGCAGAATTGGGCGAAGACGACGGTGAAGGATGGCCCGCACAACTCCTTCTTGGACTAGATGGAATCAACTCCAGTAAAAACGAGCAGCAGCCGGAACAGGAACGAAAACGCTTATTCGTCACCGGCACCAAGCTTGTTGAGACTGCCTTCCGAACCAACCGTAAAAGCGCTGCCGCTGCAAATGCCCTTTGTGAAATTGTCTTGCAAAAGGGTAACCACAAGCAGGTGTGTACCCACGCCATCCGCTGCATTGGAGCCCGCTCACGCCATATCTACACAGGCTCTTAAGTTGGCTGAAAGAACTGTGCAGTTTGCGGATACGTTGACAGTGTTGACCGACGGCTATCTGCGGGCTGCGAGAGTATCTCATGCCCAAGGTTCGCTGCCACTCGCATTGAAATATTACAAATCTGCGCTAGATGGTCAGCCCAAGAACATTGTTGGATCAGTTGGCCAAGCTCAGCTACAGTTAAAGAATGGTACGTGTTTTCCCTCGTATAAAACGTGATCTCCCTCAACACTAAACATGCCTAGATAACACCGCTGCCGCTATTCATACGTTGAATACGCTTCTGCAAGCTCCGAATCCCCAAAAGTCAGCCGAGGCCACCATCATGCTCGCATCACTCCTTGCCCACCCTCGTCCAGGTGTCTCCAAAGATGAGGCTGCGAATGACCAAATACGGGCCCGTGATCTATTCGACAGCGCTATGAAAGGCTTCGAAATAGAGGCATCCCGCAATGGCACCATGACACGGTCCCACCGCAGTCTCGTCGACGATACACACGTCCACGTCGAAGTAGCCCGACTGTGGCGAAAAGACAATCTTGACCGTGTGAGCAAAGCGCTGCACGAAGCACTCAGAACGAGTGAACACGCCGCCAAAGGCACTGGCGGCGCCGCTAACGTCGATCCCCGGTTATTGAACAACATTGGGGCGCTGCTGCATATTTCCAGCGATTATTCTGGCGCGAGGTCGATGTACGAGAGGGCATTGACCGCCAGCGCGACTTCGTCCGAAGTTGGCGAAGGTGCTTCCACCTCGATCCTGTATAACCTCGCCAGGGTGTACGAGGATCAAGGCGAAGAAGACATGGCCAGGGATGCCTATGATAAACTACTAGCAAGGCATCCTGAATACGTAGACGGTGAGCTCATAGCGAAAGAAACCGCATGTCCGATTTGAACACCCGGCTGACATACCAATAGCTAAAATTCGGCAGGCTTACATGCTAACAAACCTCAATCGGAACAACGAAGCACTGGACCTTATCAAGCAAGCCCTGTCGTCCCAAAGTGCCAACCTCGAACTCCGCGCCTTCTACACCTACTTCCTCATACAGACCAATCTCCCCAAGGTCGCTCGCGACTTCGTGTATGCAACGCTGAAAGACCACGATCGCCACGACGTCTACTCGCTATGTGCCTCTGGGTGGATAATATACAACCAAGCGCGAGAGAGCAGGGACACCAGCCACCAGGGTGCGGAAGACCGGCGGAAGAACTATCTAAGATCGGCCGAGTTCTACGAGAAGGCTCTGCAGATGGATCCGATGTGCGCGTTCGCGGCGCAAGGGCTTGCTATCGTAACTGCGGAAGATGCGTTGGGACCGCCGACGCAGATGTCGGGCGCTGAGGGGGTCATGTATCGGATGAGGAACGCGCGCGAGGCGTTGGATATCTTCGCCAAGGTGCGCGAGTCCATCAACGACGGGAGCGTGTATCAAAATATGGGACATTGCTACTATGCCCGCGACGAATTCGACCGCGCGATCGAGAGTGTAAGAAACCCCCTTCCGTGTGCTTTTCCTTCCGCTCATTTCATCATCAGTACGAAACCGCATCCGGTCGATTCTACAAAGGGCAAAACATATCTGTGCTTCTTTGTCTCTGTCGTTCGTGGTATGCCAAAGCGACGAAGGACCAATCTTTCCCCGCGATGAGCACAGCGCTACGTTACGCTCAACAGGTATCCCAAGCGTTTGCTCGTTCCCGATCTGCTCACTGACCTGATATGTGATCTGAAATAGGCCCTCCATCTTCAACCAAGCGACAAAGTCATTCTCTACAACATTGCTATGATACAGCAGAAGACTGCCGAACTCCTCTTTACCATACCGCCGGCGAAGCGAACCCTCAAGGATCTCAAGTGGGCAATCGACCAAGCTGGGCATGCGCAGAAGTCAGTCGCCTCACAGCTTTCTTCATATACGGCTTGCTAATAAACGTGCGCATAGGTTGTTCGCTTCGCTCTATGCCGACCCAGCCCCCGTCGTGCCCTACAACCGCGACATCGCCGACCAGCGGCGCAAATACGGCGAGAGTCTGCTTCGCAAAGGCGGCGACCAGCTCGCCGCGCAAACGGACCACGAGTCGGAGACGCAGGCGAAGCTCGATGCGGCGCGTACGAAGCGCCAGGAAGAGAAGGAACGGCAGGAGGCGATCGAGGTGCGTGTTACCACGCGTTTGTGCTCGGGCGGTATTCTGATTTCTGGTTTGTTGATTCGCTGATTATGGTGTTGTAGCGTGTGCGTCTTGAGGAGATACGGAGGGAGGCGGAGAAGCTGGCGGAGGAACGGCGCATCGCTCGGGAGACGGCGCAAGAATGGACGCGGGAGGTACGCATGGAGAGCGACGAGGAGCGGGAGCGGAAGGCGAAGAAGCCACGCAAAGCCAAGGCGGAAGCGGGTGCAGGTGGCAGCGGGGACGAAGCGGGCGAGCCAAAGAAGAAGCGGCGCGGTAAGCTCAAGAAGGCGGCGGACGGGGAGGAGGAGCAAGCGGTGTTCAGCGACGAGGAGGAGAATACCGATCGACCGGTGAAAAAGGTGATGCTTTCTCCGTTCGTTGTTTTGGCTGCGTTGTTAAGAAGTGCACGTTTTTGCAGCGGGGCTCCAAGAAGAGAGTCGTCAGGGACGACGAGGATGAGGCTGCGAATCCTCGCAAAAAGCAATTGTGAGTAACATGCCGTCATGCTTCCCTTCCTTGCTTCGACGACCTGATACGATCCGCCCCTCCGCAGTAAAAGCAAGGAAGTCCTTTCCGACACCGACGAAGAGATGGCATGACCGCACACATACGGTTCCATTGACGGTTCTGCGTTCGACGCCTCTCCAAGGGCCTCCATCTGCGACACCGTGCTCCGTCTCCATCTCCTGCCAGTTGCTCTGCTTTCGAGTACGTTTAGACATCTGTAACACTATATCTATATAATTTGCTCCGGGATGTGTGCGCATGCTGTCGTGTCTCTGCTGTATATTGTAATACCATGGTATCGTAGAGTTTGGGGCGGGTGCTTGGTAAATACTAAATGCTGGGCCGTGGCTGCGCTGAGTACGTCACGGTGCCGCGGAGCTTATGATCGTGACAAACTACTAGGAAACTCGAAAGACACAACAACACACCTGGTTTAACGACAAAACCACAACGCACGACGCCATAATCGCTGTTCGCTGTTCACGACGAACCAGAATGAATTACCCATATTACCCATGCTCGCCATTGTAGCATTGTAGCTCACAGCGCAGTGGATGCTCTATGTGCGAAACGACGAACCAGGCCGCGGCTCAACGCGCAATGACGGAGTACGACAGACAATGGGATAAAGTTGGGAACAACCACAACGGGTGTGCGTACGACGACAGGTATATATATATCTATATCTATATCTATATTATAAAAGACGGCCTTTTTTCCCACGGGATAAAGACAAAAGACAAACCGGTCATCTCGGGCTTGCCCTGTTTAGCTGACACGCACACGCAAGCACCAATCAACGTCCGTGTGTACTGTCTCATTCCACGAACACGCGACGTGCCCATCAGCCAATGGCAAACACTCATTCATTAAGGTAATTCTCCTCAACAGCATCAACAAGGCTCTCATGTGCTAACGAGGGATAATGGCGCCCAACGACCAACGACGCCGACTCGACACCAACAGCAAGTCCGCCAGCACACTCGCGCTGAAGCTGAACGAGACACCCTCCAACAAAGTCCTCGACGCCGGCGACGCCATGATGAGAACGCGCCGCCGCTCAACAGCACATCCGAGACGTGCAACGCGCAGAGCGACGCTAACGCGTTCTTACCTGCGTCAATGCGGTTCGGATCTCCGGTAAGCATAGTACTCTATCACCTCTGTCTGCTCAACTAACATCCTGTAGCTTCTACCATCCCTAGGATGCTTGACCCCGTCCCAGCGTGCCAATATCTTGCAGCCGCACACGCCGGCGCTTTCCGCCGTCCACACATATAATAATGCCCTACCAATGCTACCCTTGACGGCAGTACGTCTTTTGTCCGGATCTGTGCCACGGGTCACCGGTATGTTTTCCGTCTCTCTCGCCTTCATAGTCAGAAGAAGAAGTAAATTTCCGTGACAGAATCCGCCCCAGCGCAACGCGTATTCACTACGCCATCGCAACCTGAGGATACCCACACCCAGCAGACACCAACTCCCCAACCCCGCAATCCGTCACAGTCTGACCCCGTACCCAATCGGCGGTCTCTGGCGCAACAAGCACGGCGTGCTCGCGAACGAGCCGCTAAAGACTTACACGTCTGCACGGACAGACCACAGCAGCCCACACCACCGCCGACGCAACAATGCCAACTCAATGCACCGGCGTCGCAGCCTCCGCCGAATCGCCGGTCCTTGGCTCAACAGGCCAGACGTGCGTGGGAACGCGCTTCTCGCGATACAAACCACCTTCCCCAAGAAGTACAACAGGTGCCTGCCATGGAACCACCTTCCGCGCTCCCCACGCCGCCGCAGACGCAGGTGCTGCAACTCCGACCTGACTCACCGGTGTCAATGCCCCCGCCAAATCGCCGGTCTTTAGCCCAACAGGCAAGGCGCGCGCGGGAACGGGCTTCTCGCGAGGCAAACCACGGCTTGCAAGCTGTACAACCGTCGCCTCCTGCGCCCCCGTCCCCGACGCTGCAAGCGACATTGCGGTCCAGGGGTAGACCCAGAGTTACACGGGCGCAGCAGCCGACGCCACCTATAGCGCAGCACGGTGAGTCTTCTTATTGTGGTATTCTAGGCTTACGCACTAAGTATTTCTTCAGGAAACCCTCCTTCTGTCTCTGGACAGCCATCGGGTGATCACGAAAGTGCAGCACGGGCGTCAAGGCCCAGGATCACTCTGCGTAGGTTGCTCCCAGCTGCGCGGCGGCCGTATCTGGACCCCGAGGCACGGCATGACCTTGGGCGCATGAACATCGCTTGCCCGTACTGCGGGGCTTTGCATTGGGATGCCGAACGCACTGCGAAGAGCCGTCATTTTGCAACCCCAGAGTTTGGGGCTTGCTGCAATCACGGCAAGGTTGCGCTACCCCCCCCTGCGGTATCCTCCTGCAACTCTTCGTGCTCTCCTCGAGGCTGACGACGCTGCTGCACGGGAGTTCAGAACCAACATCCGTGCATACAATGCTGCCCTTGCGTTTACATCGCTTGGTGTCAAGACGGACGATAGCATCAACCGGGATCCCACCAACTCCCACAGAATACGAGGTGGTCCTACATATGTATTCCGTATCCTTGGCCAGCTGTGTCATAAATCAGGGGTGCTAGAGCCTGCGCCTGGCCGAGCTCCATCTTATGCACAATTGTATTTGTATGATCCCCAGTCTGCGCTGCAGCAGCGTATGCACCGAAACAATGAACTTCGTGCAGATACCATGGGTAGCCTTCAGAGTATGCTCACTACACACAATCCATACGCTGCCATGTTCATTCGAAGTCATGAGAGAGCACGGCGATGTTCCCGATTTCAAGGTCCGCTTTCGTGTTGACAAAGCCTCGCGTGGCATTCACCCGCGCCGTATCAACGCACCCACTGCTGACGAGGTTGCCATGGTCTTACCCGGCGATGGCACCACCACTGATTACCGCGACATCATCTTACGAAGGCGAGCCGTAAACGGGCCATGTGTAAGGGGACACTCCTATTTTCTCCTATTCCCCCTGTCCCGCCCCCTTCCTCCTCGTTCCTTTCCCCTTTCCTTCATTCCCTTTCCTTTCCTTTTGTCCCCTTACCTTTCCGCTTCCCTTCCGTTCACTCCCTTCGCATCCGAGCCCCGTCCGGTGACTCCGAAGTCTTCCCGCACTTCGGACTCGCCTCGGACTCACTCGGACACTTCGGACTTGCTCGGACTCGTAGATACACTTCGGGGCTTGTCCGGGCTACCTCTATCCTCCTTTCCCACTTCATTACTCCTTGTCCCCACTTCCCCAGGTCGCTGGCACGACTCCTGTACATTCCCCTTCCACTTCATTATCACATGCCCCCTCGTACCTTGTGATATTCGTTCGTACCTGTGGCTGGTGTACTGTACAGTTACCCTTCATTCCTCCCACGCTACTACAGTATATACTTCGCTTCCTAGCATGGAGAATCCCCATCCTGTTCTCTTTGGATTCTCCCTCTGCTAGGTGAGCAGCTCTCTCATGTATTGTAGTTAGTCTTATTCATTTCTTTGGATTCTCCCTCTGCTAGGCCTGCGCTGTCGGCCATCTTGAGGTTGCCCTTACACCATGCCTCTATCGCATTCATGAGGGCCACCCTGCATACTCCCCGCTTCACTATGTCCTGCTGTTCCCGTTCGGTGAGCCTGGGTGGCAAGAAGAACTCCGCATGGTTGATCGTGCTACTGGTGCATCTCTCCGCTCCCGCATCTCACAGACACGCTTCGCTGCATACCGCATGCAGGTTCGCCCTGGACAATATTCAACGCTTCTGCGAGGAGGACGTCTATTCCAGCAATGGTTGGTAGACATGTGGGCAAGCGCTGACCAGGCCCGGCTTCGTTTCCTTGCCAAAAATCAAAACGATATTCGAGCTTCTCTTTACAGTGGGCTGGAAGACGCGGTCCGAGGAGAGGCTGACCCTGATCTGACCCAGCTAGGGAAGCGCTATATCCTGCCCTCTTCATACATTGGTGGTCTGCGACACATGCAGCAATGTTTCCAGGATGCCATGGCCATCGCACGGCGCTTTCGCAAGGTCGACATCTTCATGACAGTCACCGCAAATCCAGAATGGGAAGAGATCCGGCGTGAGCTGTTACCCGGTCAGACGGCTTACAACCGACCTGATTTGGTAGCACGTGTATTTCAGTTGAAGAAGCGGGCGATATTGGAGGAGATTCAAAGCAACGGCATATTTGGCAAGACTGTAGCCCACGTTCATACCATTGAATTCCAAAAACGCGGTCTCCCGCACATGCACATCCTCATATTTCTGGCCGGCCACGATAAGCTCCTCACTCCGGAAGACATTGATTCGTGCATATCCGCGGAGTGGCCCGATCCCGTCACACAGCCAAAGCTCTTCGCAACGGTCCGCAAATGCATGGTCCATGGTCCGTGCGGCCCACATAACCCAAGTGCGCCGTGCATGGAGAATGGTCGGTGCACCAAGTTTTATCCTAAGGCGTTTCAACCGTTTACGCGCATGGACGAGGATGGCTTTCCCCTTTATCGGCGCCGCAACGATGGAATACATCGCTGCGTCTGAGGCAGTTTGGCGTCTGCTGCACTTCAGCATCCATGAACAGAAGCCAAATGTTGTTCGCCTCCAGGTTCATCTCCCTGGACAGCACATGGTCACGTACAATCCGAACGAGGATGTCGCTGCAGTGATGGAGCGTGCGGCACAGGAGCGCACAACTCTGACTGAGTTTTTTGCTGCCAATCGAGACCCTGGACTGCGAGGGGCGGAAGCACAGAAGTACACCTACCAGGAGTTTCCAGAGCATTTCGTGTGGAAAGTACGAGCCAAACGCTGGGAATTGCGACGATCTGAGCTGCTTAGAGCTCAGACCTGCAATGATCCCCAATCGGGCTGCGGTATCCCCCATGTGATTGGTTGCATGTACTTCGTCTCGCCTTCTGCTGGTGAACGGTTTTACCTTCGGACTCTTCTGACAGTTGTTAAGGGCCCTAGGTCATTTGAAGACCTTTGAACATTTGAAGGAATCATTTATCCGAACTTCTGCGATGCCTGTCTTGCGCGTGGGTTGTTGGAGGACGATGGCGAATGGAGGGCATGTCTACGAGAGGCTGCAGTGATGCAAACTGGAACTTGGCTTCGACATCTATTTGCCACTCTCCTTCTATTCTGCCATCCGACTCAGCCAGAATGCCTTTGGGATGAATTTCGATACGACATATGTGACGACCTGCGCCACCGGTTGCTTCTGGCTGGACGGGTGAATGCATCTGAGGAAGAGGTTTATGATTATGGCCTCTACCTCCTTGACCGTATTCTCCAGCAGTCCGGCCGTTCCCTGCGCAACTTCGAGACAATGCCACATTGGACTGGTGACTGGGCTCGCCTCACAGATAACCCATTGATCGCCGAACAGCTCAATTATAACCGTCAGCAGGAGCAGCTACAAGCAGAGGCTCGAGTCCAGCAGCTTAATGGCGACCAGCGGGTCGCCTTTGATCGCATCATGGAATCAGTCGAGCAGGATCACAGATGGACTTTTTTTCTTGATGGACCGGGTGGTACGGGCAAAACGTTCATCTACAACACACTTTGCCATCGTATACGCAGCGAGGGATGGATTGTCCTTTGCGTTGCTTCTTCTGGCATCGCCGCTTTGCTCATGATTGGAGGCCGTACAGCTCACTCGCGCTTCAAAATCCCCATTGAAGGTTTGACCAACGGCTCTGTCTGCTCAATCAACAAGGAGAGTCACCTGGGCGGCCTCCTTCGTGTTACAAGACTGATCCTATGGGATGAGGCCTTGATGCAACATCGTTTCACCCACGAGGCCCTCGATCGCTCATTACGCAACATTCGTAATTGTGATCGTCCATTCGGTGGCATCACAGTGGTGTTTGGTGGCGATTTTCAGCAGACACTTCCAGTAGTTCCGAAAGGTACTCAGGAGGAAATCGTTGCGGCTTCCTTACCTCAATCATACCTGTGGCGGTTCATTCGGGATGAGCAGGTTGATCGTGTACTCCGGCTGCGTCAAAACATGTGACTTGATGCTGGTGCTGAAGAGGCCGAGTTCGCGCAATGGCTTCTGGAGGTTGGGCATGGACATGGGATTGCTGAGGACGGTACCATCGCAATCCCCGAGGACATGAGGTGTGCTGACATCAAAGACCTCACTGACTTCGTTTATCCCGGAATTGATGGAGTTACCCCACCGCCGGAGTATTTTATCGAGCGCACAATCCTTGCGGCACGCAATACCGACGTTGATGACCTAAATGAGGCCATACTTGAACGGATGGCTGGCGTAACGAGGACGTACGTGAGCGCTGACTCCATCGAGAATGCAGACAGTTCGCAGGAGGAACGGGTGAACAAGATCCCGATTGAGTACCTTCGCACCCTGATGGCACCAGGGCTTCCTCCGGGCATCCTCTCCATCAAACCCGGATGCCCTCTTATCCTCCTTCGCAATCTCTCTCCTGACCGCGGACTGTGCAATGGCTCTCGGATGATCGTTCGTCGCACGGGAGACCGTGTACTGGAGGCTCAAGTGATTGGCAGGCAATTTCATGGGGAGATTGCGTTCATCCCTCGAATTACCCTCACACCCTCGGGTAAGGACGCCGAGTTTGCGTTTTCACTCAAACGGCGTCAATTTCCTGTGAGGCTTGCATTCGCAATGACCATCAACAAGGCTCAAGGACAATCTGTCAGATTCGTCGGCCTGGATCTGCGAGTACCTGTATTCTCGCATGGGCAACTCTATGTGGCCCTCTCCCGCACCACATCCCGGCATCGTGTGAAGGTTCTCCTTGCAGAAACTGCCATGGAGTCGCGAACAATCAATATTGTGTATCCTGAAGTTCTCATGGATTAGAGTATTGTTTTGTCATTCCATATAGAATCTTCTATACAATTGTGCAAGTCATTGGATGAGAACCGAGTGAGTTGGAGAGCGTGTCTGGCCCTGTTACCTGATATGGCACAAGCACTGCTTGCTCCTGACCATGACCGCCGGCGATTTAGCCAACATTCTCGAAATTTCCACTCTCCTTCTTGCTGTTTCCGCTGATGCTCACCACATTCAACAATGACGACAGTCTCATCGCAATCAACCGAATATTCGAGAACCTCTCCAAACGATAAAAACCGCTGCGCGTCGGACGCTGCGCACATCTGAGTCGCGCTTCAAACTCTTCACCTTCCGTGTCCACCATGTCCTCTCAAGCTTCTGCCACCATCACTGGGCTTGCTGTATTGGAAAACCCTCGCTTTTACGACACCAAACAATCCAACTCATTTGTCTTTGACACACAATTCTATCTCACTCCCCATGTCACGCTGGTAGCGCAGCTGCGGTACTACAATGCCAAAGGAGATCATTTCGATCCAATGGGGCAGTATGTAGTTTGCTCGACGGTGCGTCAACAACAGTCAGCTTCATTTTGTGATGCAATTGAACTGACAATGTACCAAATTAGATCGCCAAAACTCAGGAAGGCGCAAAATTAGGTAGCCTTGATATCAAACCGGAGGAATATCATGTCGTTGGGGACATCATCTGGGTACGTCGACTTCTGGTGTTCTACATGTGGCCGCTCCCTGAAATCATCGTTTGTAACCCCTGGCTCCCCTGAGCCACATGATCCAATCCTATTTCACGCTATATATTGAATGTACCCGTATTTGGTAGTTGGCTTTTCTTTCACTTGACACGTACGTTCCCGAATATAGTCGGTCTTGCGTACCGTGCAGCGTGAACTAAGAAACAGCAACCACACCCATTACACTTTTTTACGCAACCATAAAATCCCTTGACGGGAATGTCATACAGTCAACGAGACTATTTCACACCCAACGCGTGGGACGAGGCTCGACTGCGCGAGCATGGGAGGAGAAGCAACCGGGTGAGTCCCTCGGAAGGATCCGAGAATGCAATCCGGGTGCCACAGCAAACATCACATTATGATGGATCCCGCAATGGTGAAGGCAATCCCACACCACTTCGTTTTCACCAACCACCCATCCCACATCGGGGAACGTCCGATAGACGAGAGCATGGCTCTGCCAGAGACGACGGCCGACCACGAGGGCCACCTAGCTCGCATACCATGAATACGAACGAAGGTTCAGAGCAGAACCAGGTATGAAGTGACGGCCGAGTGCAATCGGTTGAGTCCGTACCAGCTATACGGAACAAAGGGAAAGGGCGGGCCACGTCATCAGACATGGAAAGAGAAAATGCGCGAGAAAGGAGGATGGCGCAAGAGTACGAACAAGAGCCCGTAAAAGAGGAGTCGATCACGTCGTCCAGACGGATGAGGGAATGGATACGAGAACAGCGGTCAACGGATAAACGGCAAGCCGTAGTGCCATCACCTACGCTATCGCAAGGCGTGTTCACCGAATTCCTCGTACAGATGAGGCTACGGGAGGACGAGACGGGGACTCGGCTATCGGCCGAGCAGATCAACGAGTTGGTCCGAGCCATACAGGCCGATAGGGCCACACGCGACAGGCGGTATAACGATAAACCGCCCACACCAGGGCAGGTAGCACCAACGGGCAACGGTTATGGCACTAATGAGCCAATACACCCTAGCTGGGACACGAGGGTGGCGTTACAACGATGGCGAAACAGCGCCATTGCCCAGCACGAGTACACTGAAATCCCAGACCAGGGCATCGTGTTCGACGAAGACGGCACTCCTAGAGAGCGACCTAGATCCCAACGCAGAGACGCCGACGGGGGTTCGGCCAAAGACATGGAGTCAAACCGTCAGCGACGCGTTCGTACTGCTATTACGGTACCAACTGGGATACCACCCAATTCGGGCGCGCTGGGAGGCGGAAATGACACATCTAGTCATCGGCGTCCACGCCAACATGAACGACACGCCATACGCCCATACGCCGACCTACCACCTGTGGGTAGACGAGCCAGATCGAGAGAGCGATCACCGTCGACGGACAATGGTGATGGTGACGCGATGAGGGGACAACACCCCAGGGAATCCGCACGGGTGCGGATGAATGAGCCTGATGAAGTGGACGTCAACCGACGGCACCGTTCGCGATTGACGTCTGAAGACCTAGACGTAGGCAGACACGACATGCCTGGACAGTCCTCGTCCTATCACCGCGCGATTGAACGGCGATACCTCTCGCTGATTAAGGAACAGTTGGGCAAACCACTGATATTGCCTAGCGGCGTTAAGCCACCATCGGGCATCCCTAAGCCTGATAAATATTCAGGCGAGTCAGATGTTGAAATATTCAACAATTGGCTACAATCGTTGCTTAGATGGCTTCGACTCCAATTATATGGGGGCGACAATAGAGATAGCGAATGTGTCGCCATGGTAGGGCTATTTGTGGATGGCAAAGCAGCCACCTGGTACAATGACGAGGTGGATGGCATGTACCGACGCCATCAATCGTGGACGTTCGCGCGAGTCATATTAGACATGTACGACCGTTTTGTACAGCCCACAGCGATGCAAGACGCTACGGAGCAATTCTATGCCGTGGAATACACCACTGCAGGCGGAGTAAGAGGGTTCTATGATGACCTGGACCGTAAGGCCGCCCGGATGATCCACTCAGTGGACGCCTATACGTTTAGGCGGCAATTCCTGATGGGATTGCCATCATATATACGAAATGTTATAATCGACCGTGGTTATACGGCGGAACGGCATCGCCTGAAGGAAATATATCGAGTCGCCATCCAAGTTGAGGAAGGACAAATAATCACCAAGCACTATGCTGTGGCCAGTTCGAAACGAGCAGCTAATTCCGCCCATGCGGTCGGCAAACCGCATACCGGACCCCGTAAGTTTACCAGGGGAATGCCACATAATGGCAATGAGTCGAGGCCATATTCAAATGGTCAACGAAAAATAGACAACCCCATTACAGCCAATCCCGTAATATACAACGGTAACGCTAAGGTGGAGCGAAAAGAGGAGAGGCCGGCTAAGGGGCCTACCATTAATCGTGCTCCTCGGCCTGGCGCGCCCCGACAAGTGAATTCGGGACCCTCACAATCGAGGTGTTACGCATGCGGTAATCTGGGACATTTTGCAAGTGACCCCACCTGTCCCAAGCGACAACAACCCAAGATGTTCGCAGTACGCGATTTGAGGGACGACGACGACCAGTCGGTAGCAATGATGACGCCAGATGGTGTGGACAATGCGGGAAGGGATGACACGGGGGTCGAGGATGATCGACCAAATGAGTACAATCGATCGAGATACTCCTCGCCGACTAGCGAGGACGACAAATCCCAGAGCGAACACGGGGATGAACCCGAGGAAGGTGACGACAACGATCGCATAGCAGCGATGAATGATGATTATGGCGAACGCATGTTCGCCATGAGGAACACTGCACAGGAGCAGCAACGCCAAAGTCACCCAACGGAAAACCGAGTTGCAGTCTGGCCACAAGGCCGCAGGTACATTGCGCGACCCCAGCGAACGAGCGACGAGAAGGCCGTACTAGCTATGCTAGTAGACATAGGCGGTGAACAGGCCTTCACATTGTTCGACTCAGGATGTACGACTGACAGCCTCAGTCCGGAATACGCTAGGATAGCAAAAATTCCATACGGCCACCTGAAGGAGCCAGTGCCACTACAATTGGGCACGGTGGGGAGCAGCTCGAAGATAAATTTCGGAGCAGAAGCCACCCTAAAATTAGGCCCAATAGTATCGAAGATGTACTTCGATATAGCCAACCTTGACCGATATGACGCAATCATTGGGACCCCCACCATGCGAAAGTACGGAATAGTACTTGATTTCGCGGAAAAGTGTGTTCGAATAGGCAATCGCACATTCGACGCACTTAGGGAGGGGGAGGAGACACGCGTCATGGCAAGAAGGCACTCCATTCAAAGGAGGCAATGACTATATGAGGCATCGACACGACCTCACGCGCCTGACAGCGCGGCCAAGGCGAAACAGCCTGATAGGCCGGATGACAAGGACGTCATCATGAACCACGACCAGCTGATTGAAGCTGAGGAGATCATGAATAAGATCCGGCCAAGTCATGGCTGTCAGCAGAAGATGCGACACATAGAAAACAATAAAAAAAGAGGACGGAAGGAGAACGCAGCACGGATGACGACCGTGCTACAAGCTGCAACAAAGCAGCTGGGAGAGGAGATCAGGTCGGCGAGGACGTTGACCGATGATCACATCCCGTTTTTACGAAAACGATGGCTGGATGAGTGCGCCGACATCATGAAAGGACCCCCAGAGGGGTTACCGCCGTTAAGAGACATTAACCACACCATCCCATTATTGGATGAGGGCAAGAGATATAATTACTATCTACCCAAATGCCCCGACTCATTGAAGTCGCAGTTATCGGAAAAGATAACCAAATACACCCGGACGGGGTGGTGGGAAGCGACTCAAGTCGACCAGGCGGCGCCCATGATGTGCGTATTTAAAAAATCAGGCATGCTACGAACAGTAGTGGACTGCCGCAAGCGGAACGAGAACACACGAAAAGACGTGACACCGTTCCCGGACCAGGATACTATACGCATGGACGTGGCCCGCGCCAAATATCGATCGAAAATCGACTTCTCTGACGCGTATGAACAAGTGCGCGTGGAACCTGCGGACGTATGGAAGACCGCGTTTGCCACCATATATGGCACGTTCTATAGTAACGTCATGCAGCAGGGGGATTGTAATGCACCATCCACCTTCCAGCGAATAATGAATCACTTATTCCGTGAATTTATTGGACGATTCGTCCATGTCTATCTCGACGACGTATTCGTATACAGCAATACGATAGAGGAGCATGAACAGCACCTGAAACTTGTATTCGCCAAAATTCGCGAATACCAGTTCTATCTCAAACCAGAGAAGTGTGAACTGTATGCCGACAAAGTCGACTGTTTGGGGCACATAATCGATAGGAATGGCTTGAAGCCATGCAGTGACAAACTGCAACGCATCAGGGAATGGCGCACGCCACGCACATATAATGACGTGTTGCAATTCATGGGACTGGTACAATATTTGGCCCATTTCATCCCCGAATTGGCTGCATATGCAGGCCCGCTCCAGTCAATGGAAAAGAATGGTCAACCATTCTATTGGAGGCCGCTGCATGACAAATGTTTCACCACCATTAAGGAGCTCTGCTGCAGGGCGCCCATACTTAGGCCTATCGATCCATCCAAACCAGAGACCATCTGGGTCATATGCGACGCCTCCCTATCAGGAGTAGGAGCCATGTATGGACAAGGCGCGGAATGGGCCACATGTAGGCCGGCGGGATTCATGTCCCGCAAATTCACACCTGCACAACACCACTATCGAGTGTATGAACGCGAGGCATTAGCCATAATAGAAGCGCTCCTGAAATGGGAGGACAAACTATTAGGTTACCCCATTACGGTCATCACGGATCACCGTGCATTGGAATTTTTCCAAAACATTAAACGGCCGTCGGCCAGACAGGCCAGGTGGATGGAGTACCTGTCTCGATTCCAGTTCACCATTCAATACGTCAAAGGGACGTTGAATAAAGTGGCCGATGCACTATCGCGATACTACGCCGAGGACACCGATGCTGAGATCCACGACGTAAATGAATACGTTAACGCCGACGCCAGGGTAGACCCCGACCTAGAGGTAGTGCCCTGGCCACGAGTAATAGAATCGCGGAAACGCGAGGATGAGCTGAAGGCCATCCGCGTCGGTGATGCCCGATTGGACCGACAGGCACAAGCCGATGACATAGGTCAGGCCAACGCCAGTACGACGAATGGTCGAAACGCGCCCGATCATGACCCCACTGTGTTCGAATCAATCGACAAGGGTAAGAATCTGCGAGCCAGCCTAGCAACGCGTTCGGGGTTCGTCACGGCTGTCCGTGTTAATAGTACGACGGACCCCATGTTGTCGAAAATCATCGACAAGCCCGACGAATACCCCAAATTCAAGGTTAAAGACCATATGGTATGGATCCACAATTTGGGAGACGAGTACGTCCTCTGCCTGCCTACTGGCGAATTCGAAGGAACACCCCTACGTAGCCTGGTCATAGAACAGGCGCACGAAACATTAGGTCATTTTGGGCCAGCCAAGACGGCGGATTACCTGCGACGGTGGTATTGGTGGCCCAAGCTGACGGCCATGGTAGCCAAATTCTGCGACTCATGCGTCGTATGCAAGCGGTCAAAAGGGAACTACCAGCCGCCCGCAGGCAAACTACACAACTTACCTATACCCACTCAGCCGTGGGATAGCATTGGCATGGACTTTATCGGCCCGTTCCCCGAGGTAGAAGGCAAAAACTACCTATGGGTAGTCATATGCCGACTGACCTCAATGGTCCACTTAGTCCCGGTCAATACCAGGACGACAGCATCGCAGCTGTCCGATATATATATCAGGGAGATATGTCGGCTGCATGGCCTGCCATCCACGATAGTGTCCGATCGAGATTCGAAATTCACTTCGAAGTGGTGGCGAGAATTGCATCGCATGCTAGGAACGAGGTTGAGCATGTCAACGTCATTCCATCCACAAACCGACGGCCAGACGGAACGAGCGAATCGCTCAATCGCACAAATATTGCGATCAGTGGTCAAATCTGACCAATCTGACTGGTTGGGTAAACTGCCCATGGTTGAATTTGCATTAAATTCGAGCATAAGTAGCACGACAGGATTGGCGCCATTCGAGGCCAATTACGGGTACTTACCTACCACGATGAAGGTTCACCGCAGTGAATTCACCGGAGCTCCGGGGGTAGCTGCCTTCGTCGAGAAGGCGCAGCAGAATGTAGCTGCAGTCCAGGACGCCGTAATTGAACGGCGCGTGTTCCAGACGTACTACGCAAACGTGCGACGACGGCGGGAACCCAATATAATGCAAGGGGACATGGTGTACCTGGACACGTCTAACCTAGCATTACCCAAGGGAAGATCAGGGAAATTGCTACCCAAGTACGTGGGGCCGTACAAGGTGTTGGCTGCGATGCCAGATACCTCTAATTATACGCTGGAATTGCCTGCTGAGCTAGCGAATCGGGGAATACACCCGAAATTCCATGTATCCAAATTACGGCCGCATGTGGCCAACGACGAGATACTGTTCCCAAACCGGCGACTAGCCGATCCATATGACTGGGGAACCCCCGACGACGCCGAGTGGATAGTGGATGAGATAATAGGCCATGAATGGAATGGTAATCGAATACGATTCCATGTGAAGTGGAATCTAGGAGATACCACATGGGAGCCACGGTCCCATTGCGACGAGCTAGAGGCGCTCGATAGATACCTAGAGTACCACGGGGTTAGCGCGGTTGAGTCCCTACCGCGCAAGGCCAAATCAGGCAAGCGTCGGTAATGCCCCAATTAGGCATGTGACTGACCGTGGGACAAAGTGACCAACAACTATACAGTTGAAAGTAATCATAAGACCACACAGTCGATAGGGACGATCTGCATCACCAGTGATGCGCGGGAAATCACCCGCAAACAACGACGTCCACATGGACGGAGACCACAACACGCCGCGAAACGACGACGATGATTATGAGCGAAGAGACGCTCAAGAGGGGGAGGGACAGCCGAGTCGAAGAGACAAAGGCAAAGGAAAGGCCACGGCAAGAAATATAGCCGAGCTGGATACATTTCCAGCAGCCCCATACGATTTGGGGCAGCCTCGACAACAGGCCTGGATAAACACAGGCATAGGATGCATGAACTGTGCGAACACAGAATGCACCACATGCATCGGCTTTACCAGCCACTTTATGGTAGGTATCAGGGATAACGACGCACGAGCCGATTGAAGGCTGATGGCCCGGGACATATGCCCGGAAATATTCAACGACTACGACAGATTGTATGATACAGCCAGGAGGACGATAGAGTCCGACCGAGAAGAGATCGAAGAGATCGACGGGAAATTGACCCGGCTGAACAACTACGCTGATCGCATAGAACGCGATCTGGATGATGCACGCGCCCGAATTAAAGAATTGGAGGAGTCACAAGATGACACCCATCGACACAACCGTCGAAAGACGCGTCTGTCACTGTCCCCAGGTCGGCCGGCCTCCGACACGAACAGCTCGCAGAGGGAATCATCTATGGGTATGGCATCACAGCCACGATCGAGCCTGTCGGTAGCCAGCGGGCTCAAGGCCGAATATTACGACCTCAACTCAGATTATGGGGAGTCTGACGCATCGGATGCAAAGGAACCCCCGCGTTATGCAAACGCAGCACCTAGCATGACGGCCGACCAAGTCGGTGGACAAACACCAGCGACTGAATTCCCCCCGCTGCCTCAAGCGGGACCTTCCAACTATTCCCGGACCGCAGCCACCCACAGTTTAGTGGGAAGAATCAACACAGGCACAGCCCCGCGAGGAAACGAGCAGATTATGCTCCCCGAGAACTCGGCAGCATGGGCCGAGATGGTACAAGCCGCTCAAATCCCAGACAACTGGGAGGCATACAACAGTTGCCGATCGGTAGTCAACATAGCAAATCAGCTAGCGAGTGACAAGAAGCCCATGAGGGGTTTCATGAGAGCCGCGTTGCGGACATGGCGGGCACCCGACTGGGTGAAACAAACAAGGAACATACGCCCGCTACCAAGAATTACAGTAGCAAACGTCATGACCTCCTCATCTAGCGGCACAACAGCCGCGCCTCACGTCGGGGCAATAGTGAACGATCCATCCACCGCCTCATCGTTGAGGGTAGGACCGCCGGTTCGCGTAGAAGCGAGACCCACCACGGGGTACCAAGCCCCAAGTATGGATGCACCACCAGAAGCGTGGTGCGCATACGATTATTATTTTAGGCATGTGAAGGCCATGTCCGCCGGGTTGGGAGACAACCCACTCGACGTAAGGACACGACGTGGGCATCGTCTAATACGACGAACTGGACCCTCGCCAGCTGCTGGTGATCCCGCGTTAGAACGAAACCGTTCGGTGTACGCGGAACGTGCCACCACACTGCTGGCCATGCCTGGGAGGTACCAGGCGGTCATAAACCGATTGGGATTGACCATCCCGTCTGTATACCAGCCCGCACATTATAGCGGGCCCCTCGACAACTTATCTGTCGAGGATGTAGCGGCACACATGGCCGCGTGCGGAGTCAGTATCGAAATGGCGAACGACGCCTGGCTGTTTGCACGACAATGGCTGCTCGATCCAAGGAACGAGAACCGGCCAAACACCTATCCAACCCGCCAGCAGGTACTGGCCCTTCCCCCTTCGCAGTATCCCCCCAGCGCGCCCAATGCGCCACTACTACTGATGAACCCTCAGTATTACTTCCCGGCAGGGTGCCCTCCCGAGCCCACTGAGGTTCGATCCAAACGGCCGCGTCACACCGCAGCCATGCCCCGCGGGGGGTACAACACTAACGCTGCCATATTAAGGCAGCTACATGCAGTCGCAACCACATTAGGTCACACAACAGTGGCCGTTGGCGACCCCCTACCGCCCTCCTCCACGCCCTCGTCACTCCCAGATTCCATGGTGGATCGACTGGGGCCACCATCCCTGACATCGTCCCTCCCATTCGAATGGGATGATGATGTCGTCGAGGCAGACACTCGTACCCCCCATACCGTCTCATTGGGAGGTACCGTGGTGCCTCCCGCCTATTTACATTCCGCGACATCTCGGAACCAATCCGGCACTGCAGCCGTGTCGTCATCATCGACTTCAACATCCGGGTCCAATCACCCGCTATCCCATACCTCTACCTCACTTCCGCCAGCGAATCCATCTTCATACATCCCCGAGGACATTGCCATGTCCCCCATCATTGAGAATGAGTTCGGCGTGTCCACGCCCTCTCCATAATTGCACACTGTCCTTTCTTGCTTACTGGTAACTAATACCATAATCACTTCACCCATTCCTTTCATATCGTTTTTGTTTCTTGTTAGATTGCGTATCAGCAATCTAGAGGGGGCGAGTGTAACCCCTGGCTCCCCTGAGCCACATGATCCAATCCTATTTCACGCTATATATTGAATGTACCCGTATTTGGTAGTTGGCTTTTCTTTCACTTGACACGTACGTTCCCGAATATAGTCGGTCTTGCGTACCGTGCAGCGTGAACTAAGAAACAGCAACCACACCCATTACATCGTTGCAGCTCATTCGTGTGTCAGCAACTAAGCAGCAACTTCGTAACCGGCCTTGGATCTCAGTCTCGGGAGCAGCGATTATCCCCTCGAAAGATAGCGGCACTTTCCAGGTGAACGCTGTGCAGTTCACTCATGCCAACCGCAACATGGGTCACCCATCCACAATGCCTATTGAAGCCATGTTTCCCGACACACCCCGCTACGCGAAAAAGCCCATTCCCAAGCCAAACACCTATGTGACCCTAGGCGGCTTTCTCTCGTGATACACCGAAAAAAACAACATTCCTGATTGCTTCTACATTGAAGTGGATCATGTTGTTTTCCTGGGGCGTTCGCAGATTCCCGTTGAAACACCTGGTATGTGGTTTTTGATATGGTGTGATAGTCTTGCAATAGCCAGCTCAATGATTTCAACAGGAAAATCTCCATTCGAGGGAAGTTGTCGCAAACGCAAGCAAGGACTCAAGTTTTCGTTTGACGATGATGATGATGACGACGACGACGAGAAAGACCTGGAGACTCCTTGCAAAAAGGCCAGATTGTCCGGTGATACTGGCTCCAGTCTCTTTGGTGGCATGAAGCCTATAACAGGGCCTTTGAATTCATTATCCGACACTTCCTCTTCTCGCTCTGAATCTGAGTAGTACTTTAGCTTATTATAATTTTATTTTGTACAACTTTGGTAATTATGCAAGCACAATCTATTTGCTGTGATGTATGATCAATGATCAATGACCTTCTCCGTGCGTAGCACGGGTTAGCTGCTAGTTTACATATATATATATCTGCCACTACAAGCAACAATTGTTCACTATAGCTATGCAAACAACATACACATTGCACTTCCATCCTATGTCGACGGTTGGAACTTCGGGTGGCTTTGGCGGACGGTTGGATCGGTTGGATGGGGGAATCCGAATCGTGGGGGAAAGGAAGGAATGGGGGAAAGGAAGGAAGGAAGGGGGAAAGGAAGGGTTAAGGAAGGAAGAAGGAAGGAAGGAGGCAAGGAAAGGTGATTACTTCATTACTTGATTACTCACTTGGACTTGGACATCAAACAATGTAGCGCCGAAGCCTCGGGCTTATTGGCCGTAGTCACTACGCACGACATGTAATCAAGCTTAGGCTTCCAGACTCCAATCATACGCGCCTCACAGAACAGAACAGAACAGAGAAATTCCGGAGTAGTGGTCTGATACGACAATGCTGATCCAAATTTCACATCCACTGATTTGGTCTCAAAACGGTGAAGATCATAATCACGATCACGATCACGAACATGAACCTGATGGGCACAGGTACAGGTACAGTTACACGGGGATACAGAGACGTTATGTATGGCGCCGGCGGCGCGCGCGCAGGGGGCGCCGTGTTCGTCGTTCTTCCACACGACTAGGAAAGCACTTCGTCAGCGACAGCCCCGTCTTTCGGCCCAGCATATACGCATATACGCACCTTTCACGGGGTGGGCGCGAACAGCCCGATGGTCGCACAAGTCGCGGAGCAGGCGCCAAGGGCGGCATTGCACGCGAGGACAGCGGCGGGGGCCGCAGGGGCCGCGATGACTGTCCCGAACGTGAAGCCCGCGGCGGCGTAGCACGCTACAGCGACGGTGTTACACCCTAGCATAAGCATCAAACGCATGTACATGCTGTGATTAGTCCCACATGCGTGTATGCTCATGAACACCGCGGGTGCGCACCGGTTTGGCAGAGGCCGTAGGCGATGGGGCCTGCCTCGACGCCTGAGAGGGCAGCGAGGACGGCGGCGGCGGCGAGCTTGGAGAAGCGCATGGTGTCTGGTGTCTGGTGATGGCTTGTTCACGGTCGTGGGGAGACGAGGTGGGGCAGGTAGGCCGAGGGCGTGTGCAGATGGGGGGTGGAGGGAGGTGGGGAAGAGAGGGCGTTGGGGGGGGACGGGGCTCTTATACGTGCAAGGGGATGGATAGACGCCAGCACCCCGCGGGGCGTGCACGGACGTGTACGCGTGTGCCCTTCGCCGAAAGCCGCCGTCTGGGTACATCAGTGCATCAGAACCTTCGATCCGCGTATCTGGAACACGAACGACGCCATACAATTGTAGGTCCAGTGTGTGACGCGTGACGTCCAGTATCCAAATATTCAGTTGAATGGGTACTGCAGTATCAATACCCAATGCAGAATCTAGATCCAGATCTTTGATGTTGACGTCGAGGGCTACAGCTAGCGCGCACCACCGACGCCATTGCAACGAGGTAAACCGTAAACCGTAAACCGTAAGCCCAGAGGCAAGCACTGGCCTGAGTACTGAGGACTGAGTAGTCAACCAGTTGGTGCAGCGTAACCCATGGCTGGGAAGTAGCCCGTGTATCGATGGCCGCGTGGTGATGCATTGATGGAGCGGTTTGGGAGCGAGATTGATATGGGGTAGCAAGAGACGAAGAGACGAATCCAACGCCTAGCCTGCACAGTGCAGCTGATGAGGACGTAGATGCATTGATGATCGATAACTGAGTACTGAGTACGGAGCCACGAAGCTTCAAGCCACCAGCATCGAATAAGAATCCAAGAATCCAACGATACCCGAACTTCTTGCCCCCTGAAGCTTAAAGCTTGAAGCGCTGAATATTGAATATTGAATACTGAATACTGAATCATGCGGGGTTGGGTTGTGGCGATTGACCGTGACACCGTGTTTGCGGCGAGCCCAAGGAGAACCTTTCCCAAGATTTGGCGATCTCCAGAGGAGAATTCCTCAGCCTGAAACTTGAAAGGGATTGAACGACGAGCACAATCCGGCTGCCGAGTTCAAACTTCAAACTCCACACTGAATCACAGTTCGGGGTTCGGATGAGTAGGACCCTGTTCCACGTGACACTGAGCGGCTGGTACGGGTATGTTTTAACTTTTGGCGACTCGCGCGCGGGGGTGTCGCGGGAGAGGTAGCCTTCCAGGTTTCACTGTCCGCTTGCTGGGTGTTGGGCGTTGGACCCTGGTTGCGCTGAGTACGTGCCGCGGAGCTTAGGCGATTGTAACGAACTACTAGGAAACTTGAAAGACACAACAACACACCTGGTTCAACGACAAAACCACAATGCCATAATCGCTGTTCACGACGAACCAGAATGGATTACACACGCAATCCATTGTAGCATTGTAGCTCGCAGCGCAGTGGATGCTCTATGTCCGAAACAACGAACCAGGCTCAAAGCGCAATATTGATACAATAGTGCTATTTATGCAGGCGCGATCCGTGCGACGCCACGTCCCTCTGCGTCTTCCAGGCCTGCACTCCTGGGGAGTAGGGCCCGGGAGGCAGCAGCCAGATCGTCGATATCAATAACCGCCAAAAGCATAAGCACACGTGCATCTGCGTACTTGGACTCGCGAGTGAATGAGCGGAAGTTCGAGAGCGTGTGCGGTGCCCCTTACAGGTTTGGCATAAGCCGTATGCGATGGGATGGGGCTGCCTCGACTCCGGGCCCACAGAATTCTATATAACATTTATTGGTGTCGTTATTGGTCTCAAAGTTGATCTGTCTTCAAACTTTGAAGGAGGCCAAAAGGGGGAAATCAGGGGTAGGTGTCATACTTTGATGCGGTGTTCCTCCAATGACACGACACGACACGGTACCACTTTAACTTGGTTTGATCAAGCGTACAGTGGAACGACCTCGAGAGCCTCTCACCAACGTCATTCATGCATCGAGCTACACAGTTCAGCGATGAGTCACGATCTGAGTATGCGAACTGAGCAGTCAAACGAGTTGCGCACACCGGAGCAGCATAAGGACGGGAAAAAAAGTAGAAGGAGGAGGCAGAGGCGGGGGCAAAGTCCAAAAAGGTGTGCGATGATGTACGTGTTGTGGTACTCACGAGCGGGTGCATTTTGCAGTTCAAACTGAATCCCACCGCCAACGAGGATATTGGACAAAATGAAAATTTTTTAATGGTTGATACTAAGATGATGAGCAAATACATGGTAGATGTGAGCTGTCCATTTGTGAGTCGTGCATTCGTGAGTGATGATATGACAAATAAATAATGCATCGTGCTGGATGAGGGGGCCCATCGTCGTAAAAGGCGTGTACGCGTCGTGTCATTGCAGGGCATATCATATCCAAGTGGTGCCGCTCAAAAGTGCTGCAGCGCGAGAAGTCACGAGCCGCACATTTGTCCGGAACGAGTCTCGGCGCCTGATGTGCACCTTGCAAGGCTTGTCGTCCTCCGATTGGTAGTGGGCGACATCAGCAACATCCTGCCATGGGACAGGGGTCAGCAAATTCAACACCTCCCATTTAACATTTAAAGTACCTACTTTGCTGGACTCGCCTTGACTGAGGAGTGTAACATCTCCGCTGCCCGCACTGCTAAGAACCGCCCATTGATGTTCGTCAAACGTGCGGAGCGTAGCCTGCACCTCCATGCGCATCAGAAACACCTCGTCGAGCGACACAAGCCCCCCCGCATGCGCCGCCCACTGCCCATCGCCCTCGCGGCCCGCCGCCCCCTGGCTCGAGTGCGCCGCGAGCCGCAGCACCGCCAGGAACAGATGGTGCGGCGACGACGACGCGAGGGGACACACCCCGGCCGCGGTCAGCCACCCGATGATGGTGAGCGCCGCCAGCGCCGTGCGCGGGGGCGTGCTCGTCTCGCGCAGGAGGCGCGCGATGAATGCGGAGAGGGGGGCGCGTGGGGGCGCGAAGGCGTGTTGGGAGTGGTGCAGGGGCGATTGGTGCAGGAGCTTGGTGGTCGTGCGCGCACAGTGGCGGGCGACCTTGGCGGTAGAGTCTTTGTTGGATGTCTGGGCGGGGTGTTAGCGGCTATTCAGGGGTTGCGAAGAATGTACTGACCTTGAGATAGGCATTCACGGCGAGGAAACGTGTACGCATGCTCGTAAATGGGGTAAAATTGGTAGAGTATTGGAATGTGGACATGGCGTGGCTGATAGACAGTTGAGGTGAATCCTCCAACAAACATACCAGGTATTTATGCAGTCAACCCATAGGCGCATACTCCACCCCCGCGCTCCCTTCCGCTGTCCGCCATACACAATCACAACAACAGCCCCCAACAAAACACTGTCATCCGCGCTGTTTGTCCTGTTTGTTTTCGGAGCATTCGCACCCACCCGACATTTCGTGACATCCGTCGTCGGTGGTTTGCCCGCCCGACCCCCTGTTCCGCATTACGTCCAATGGCGTATCAAGCTTGCACTTACGGCGCATCCACCCCTTGCAGGGGGATTCAAATACCACTTAAGGGGTGAGCTCCTGCGGTCGTTTGACTAGACGCATGCTCAAAGTCAAAGCCGGAGAGTGCATCGCAGTACACTGGGGCAATTAATGAGTGTAGCCTAGATAGGGTGCAGAGCGCCGTGCAGATGGCTTGAAGTGGCGTTGAAGCCAACCATCACAGAAAGTTCATCTCCATACCCCTGAATCGCCCCTTTTCGCCTTCGTCAGTCAGGACGAATTAACCTGTACACAGAAATGAGTTTATACACCCTGGTTAGCCACCAGTAATCGTGTGTCGAACATTGAGTCCTTAGTTGTAGCTGTGCTACTGCGTCGGGCCTGGGTGCGCCTGCTCATTGCTCGTTCCTTGAAACTTGAAACAAAGTCAGTGTCTCGCGTCCAAGCTGATTCGAGTAGAAAACATTATGATTCATGTGTGTCGGTTTGAAACTCTTGGGCTATAGAGCGCACCTAAGGGCGGAGACTAGAAACTAGAGGTCAACGGTGGAGAGGAAGAGGAAACAGACGGATAAAACGGTGGAAGCCTTTGTTACGCAGTATTGCAATTTCTCCCTATCGAAGACTCAGTGTGGATTGTGCTAAAGCCTGTGGGCTGTTTGGGCCGTTTCCTCAAGGTAGTGTGCAAGCAGAGCTTGGGTACCTAGGTGTTTATGCTGACAATGAGAGCCTGGAGTGCCCGCCCCGCGATAACCTCGTGAGCCGCGAAAACATACTTATAGTAGTAGTAGTACAGCTCAGTGTCCTGTGGACCTGGACCCAATTTGCCTGAACTCAGTGGACTCAGGCTCTGTCCGTCTCTGTCCAGAACTCTGCTCTGGAGATCGTCGATCAGTACTCAGTACTCAGTACTCAGTTATCGATCATCAATGCATCTACGTCTGCGAATACTGAATACTGAATACTGAATGCTGAATATTCGGATACTGAATATTCGGATACTGGGGCTACTAGTAGGCACTGGACATCACGCGTCCCACGCTGGACCTACAATCGTACAGCGTTGTCCGTTGTCCGTGTTCCAGATACGCGGATCGAAGGTTCTGATGCACTGATGTACCCAGGCGGCGGCGTTCGGCGAAGGCACGCGTGCACGTCCGTGCACGCCCGCGGGGTGCTGGCGTCTATCCATCCCCAACGCCCTCCCTTCCCACCTCCCCCCACCCCACCTGCCCCACCTCGCCTCCCCACGACCGTGAACAAGCCATCACCAGACACCAGACACCATGCACGTCTCCAAGCTCGCCCCCGCCGCGGCCGTCCTCGCTGCCCTCTCAGGCGTCGAGGCAGGCCCCACCGCCCTCTCAAGCGTCGAGGCAAGCTCTACCGCACTCTCAGGCGTCAAGGCAAGCTCCACTGCCCTCTCAAGCGTCGAGGCAAGCTCCACCACACTCTCAAGCGTCAAGGCAAGCTCCACCGCCACCGCCCTCTCACGCGTCGAGGCAGACCCCATCGCCTACGGCCTCTGCCAAACCGGTGCGCACCCGCGATGTTCATTGTTCATCGTTCATCGTCCATGAACATACGCGCATGTGGAACTAATCACACCATGCGTTTGTACATGCATTTGGTATTTGATATGTATGCTGTGCTAGGGTGCAACGCCGTCGCTGTATCGTGCTACGCCGCCGCGGGCTTCACGTTCGGGACCGTCATCGCGACGCCCGAGGCCCCCGCCGCCGTCCTCGCGTGCAACGCCGCCCTCGGCGCCTGCTCTGCGACTTGTGCGACAGGGCTGGTCGCGCCCACCTCGTGAAAGGTGGTATATGGGTATGTGCGTATATGTGTATATGGTGGGCTGAAAGACGGGCTGTCGCTGACGAAGTGCTTTCCTAGTCGCGTGGAAGAACGACGAACGACGAACACAGCGCCCCCTGCGCGCACGCCGCCGTACATAACGTCATAACGTCTCTGTATCCCCGTATCCCCGTGTAACTGCACCTGTACCCGTGCCCATCATGTTCGTGTTCGTGATTATGATTATGATTATGATCTTCGCCGTTGAGACCAAATCAGTGGATGTGAAATTTGGATCAGTATTGTCGTGTCAGACCGCTACTCTGGAATTTCTCTGTTCTGTTTTGTTCTGTTCTGTGATGTTCTGCCATTCTGTGAGGCGCGTATGATTGGAGTCTGGGAGCCTAAGCTTGATTAATTGATTATATGTCGTATGTCGTGCGTAGTGACTATTTATAGCCAATAAGGCCGGGGCTTCGATCCGACAAAGGGGACTGGTGGGGGCGCGGGTGACGGCGCGACATTGTTTGATGTCCGAGTAAGTAATCAAGTGATCAAGTAATCGATTAATCACCTTTCCTTGCCTCCTTCCTTCTTCTTCCTTCCTTCCTTCCTTCCTTCCTTCCTTCCTTTCCCCCTCCCCCCACGATTCCCCATCCAACCGATCCAACCGTCCGCCAAGCCACCCAACCGTCGACATAGGAAGGCAGTGCAATGTGTATGTTTGTATGTTGTTTGTGAAGTGTTGCAGTATGCAGCATAGACTATAGCGAGCAATTGTTACTTGTAGTGGCAGATATATATATATATACCTGTCTTCGTCGTACGCATACCCGTTGTCGTTGTTCCCAACTTTGTTCCATTGTCGGCGGAATCTTGCCTGGTTGTTCTGAGTTCGTTGGCACCCCGAAGCTCCGCGGCACCTGCTCAGGGTTTTGCGGCACTGCCAGCCTGAGGGCCCCCTAAGCTCAAGGCTCCCCTCTTTTGCTGTCTTGCTGTTTTGCCGGGAAGAGGTCTTTGTGCACGGCACCATTTCGTATATCATATCATCATTTCGTAAATTCGTATATCCGTACTTGTGCGCGTGCGCGTGCTATTTGCTGCTGCTAGCTGCTAGCTGCTAGCTGCTGCTTCAGCCACGAGGAGAACTTATAAGAATAAGTGGCGGCCAAGTGCAGATGCCGGCGCACAGTGATGGATGCAGTGATGTAGTGATGACTTGTATGACTAGTCATGTAACATTGAGAGCGTGTAGATGACGTCATGGTGTAAGAGTGTCAGAGGGTGTACGAGGCAGTCGAGTCTCTGAGAATAGAAAGCGGGCCGATGGTTTGGTTCGTTGACGCGTTTCGACAGATCCGAGAGTCAGGAAGCTGCTTCGACGATTCTCTTTTTTCCCTCTGATAGATACTGGACTTACCTCGGCACTGGGATCATATGAAGTGTCGCAATCCGGGCTGAATACGGCGCGCCGACAGAGTCTTCTGTTCTTCTTAGCGACCTTCCGCCGTCCTTCCCCACGAGGCTACCACGTATCGATTATCTCGTATCTGCCCTTCTCTTCTCCTACTCAGTACTTGATCAGTCTTCAGCGATATCGCCCCAATGTCGATTCCCCAAAGCGCCGCCCTGCTCTTTTCGACTGGATCTGCTGTTCAACGGGTCCACAGCGCGCTTCATTTCGCATGATCTATGAGATCTGATAAGTCGGACTTTCTGATGCGGCGGCCCCTTCGGTTGGGAACTGTCACACACCACACATACCCTTCTAATGGGCTCATGCAAGCATACCTGCACTGACAACGACCTATAAAAAGCCGCGGTCGATTTCCGCTCGTTTCCTGACTTTACTTCATCCAGACCCTCGCAAAGCACGTGTGCGAATGCCGGGTGGTGGCCCACGCCGTGAGGTGGAATAGCGAAACTTGGGGAGACGGGGTAAAATAGGGACTTGCCGATTGTGTAGCGCTCTCTCGTTTCTCGTTTGTGTAGCCTTTTCGCCGCGAGGCCGCGAGGGGTTGGATAGATAGGACCTGTTGTGTAGATTCGTGTGTATCTTCGTGGCGAGGGCTCCGTCAGTGAATATGAAGAATTGACTTTGAGCGCCTGAGCGATGTATTGAAAATTTGAACACCAGTCGTTTCTAAGCGCCCAAACACGGTTTCAACTTCCACCTGCAGCCATGGCCGGAAAAGCGAAAGCACGGTGCGTACCACAGCTCCCCCCATCCCCATCCCCGTCCCCAACCCCATCCCAATCCCCATCCCAATCCCAATCTCACCGCAACTCGCAACTCACCGCAACTCCCAATTCCACTCTCACCGCAACTCACGTCCCGCGTCTGGCGTCCCGCATTCTAGCACACAGATCATCCGCCTCATCTCGACCGCCCAGACGGGGTTCTTCTACACGACGCAGCGCCTGCGCACGGGCCCCAAGCTGTCGGCTGTGAAGTATGATCCGCGCGGTGCGTCCTCCTTTCGCTGTCTGCTGTCCGTCTATCCATCTATCCGCCCGTCCACGCGTACGTCCACGCGTGCGTGCGTGCGTGCGTGTGCGTGTGTGTGATGGAATGGATGGAATGGACTGGGAATGGGAATGGAATGGTACTCATAAGGCTGTACAGTGAAGCAGCGCGTGCTGTTCGTCGAGAGCAAAAAGACGAAGAAGGGCTGATGTTGAACGTTGAGCATCCCGTCCGTCCGTACACCCGTCCGCACACCCGTCGGCATATCGATATATCCATATTTTTCCAGATGTACTCCCCCCCCCTCGAGAATGATTCTCCTTCTGCGACTTCTGCGCTGCTTAGACCGCTCTTCCTTTCCTTGATCCCGCGGTACGCGTACCCCGTGTCCGTGTCCGTGTCGCGTTCCGTTCCCCCCTTCTTCCTCTTTTCATCCCGCCACACTCCGCGCGCATGACAGATGACGGGAGAAGAGACGAGTCTCAGATATCTTCTCTTCTTTTTTCTCTTTTCTCTTTTTCTAGGCCGGTGGACATGGCAGCGAGCTTCGAAGTGCCTTTCCTACACCACCATACCACACCGTACCATACCATGCACGCGTACGTGTACGTGTGCGGTAATACGGTAATACGGTGTGGTCAAACACCGAGGTACCAAGTTACCAAGTTAGTAGGTTAGTAGGTTTTTGGTCGAATGGTTTTTGGTCGAACGGTTTTTTGGTTTTTGGTCGAAGAGTTCGAGTCGGTGGGTTCTGGCGCACGACTCCGAGCCCGGAATGCGGTGGGTGTTCCGAACGACGTGTCAAATGTCGACGAAGCACAGCCGATCCCTATAGCTAGGTGTTAAACGTCGAACGTTGAACGTTGAGCTCTAGCACCAACACCAATACCAACACCAATACCAATACCAATACCAGGATGCCAGGATGCCCGGATGCGAATATTCAATCTCGACATCGACATTGCAACATCGACATTGCAACATCGACGTTGGATGCCTCAGCACGCGCTCGCTGCGAATACCGTGCGAGGAGACCTTCCTCGGGCCTCAGGACTCGGGCCTCGGACTCTGGTTCTGGTTCTGAGATCTGACGTCTCTTCGCTTTAGACTGACGTCGGTCGCTCTCGTCACGGAGGACATGCTGACGTACTGATATGTGCTATGTTCGCTGAGTGATATGCACTATCGCGTGGGCTGCCAGTAACCACACACCCAGACACCCAGACACCCAGACACTGGTACACTGGTGGGCTCAGATGTCAGGTGTAAAGAGGACACGGACACAGGTCAGTAGGGCTCGCGGAATAGTAGGGCTCGCGGAATAGTAAATGAGCACGCTCGTCTGCTAGTCATGTACATGTGTATATATATCACCTGAAAGTGGCAGGTACGAAAATATATATCTCACTACGGCGAGTAGTTGAACACGGCGCATAACTATTGAAATATTGAAATCCTGCTCTCGGATCGAGGGGAGGCGCAGTTGAGTGCGGCACAGCGAAGAGACCAAATGTGCGAGGAATTGGTACCTTGGAATGATAGCACAGAAGGTACTTATTACACCGTGGATATACATACAGGAGACAACAGTCTACAACAGTACTACGGGAGTATGGTCACGACGGCGGGCGACGCTATCTTCTGCATCTTCCGCAGAGATTCGCTCTCCTCCTCAAAGTCGTCGCACCCCTTTATAACAAGGTGTTCGAATTCAAGGCAGGCCCCCGACCGTCGAACAGCTATCCACCGTCTCTATCGAACCGAGGAACCAGGTACAATAATCGTCGTTAAGTCCCTTGATATGGAGTCGCCGAAGGAAGGGGTACGATGGATTGGGCCCGTCCGGCAATTTGAGGAGAGTACATACATATGCATATGCAGTATACAGAGCTGGGAGACCAGGTGTGGTTCTTCAATCATTGGGGGCGCGGTGGAGGCCTTTATAAACTGAAGGCAGCTAACTTACTGTCGACAATGAACATTGATGCGGATATGTTTGTGTCCAAGATGCGGGGCGTACAACAGGGGAGGAACCGCATGAAATATGAAATCTGCGGACGCACCCTGGGGTGGTATTCTTGAAGCTGGGGGCGGGCACGGTGTACTGGTCCGACGACGTCGAGAACTGCGTATCTCTATTCGTGCACGCAGCACGCAGCACGTGTAGATGGGGGCCTCCATAGCAGGTGGCGATGGCGAAGAAGCGGCACACGGGTCTCAGCGTTCGCATTTCGCATTTGAAGGAGACGCCACGGCCGTATTGTCTCCGATGTATGGATGCTGTCGACCGTGGGGTGGTCAAAGAGTGGGGCCATCGCCTCGCGTTCGTCGGGCAGTTCGACGGTGATGTCGTGGAGGTGATGGAGGGAGCCGTGTCGAATGACTGAAGAGCCGCGAAGGATAGACGCTGCAACAGGGCATATTCTCCAGGGCTGAAAGGAGTGTGTCCACGGTCAACCGGTCACGCGCCGTACCGCCCCTCTTGCTGCATCATGCCAGCGCATCCCAGCCTTCGGTGAGTGCGAGGGTCCTTAGTTGGGACAACCACGCGGCTTCGAGATGCACTTTCTGACACTCCAACCTAGCTAACCACATTGGCAAGGCAAGCCACCCCGCTTCCAGAGACAACGCCCGGACGGACCTTATACAGCGGAGCCGGGGGTGCGCTGCCGCCCAGGAAGTCCGGCAATTCTCTCGGGGGACGTGTTGAGGAGCTCAATGTACTCTGGTAAAGAGCGGTGACTCCCGTTGCTGAAGCGCAGGCGCAACGGTGCGGATTTGGACCTCGATAGAACGTCTGGGAGCCAGTCAGGCCTTCAAGCTTCAGGGCTCGGAGCGACGAGGTTGGTCCACAGCCGCGGCTCGTTCAGCGCGAAAGCGCGCCAAGGACGACAGACGTGGGTGACTTGGATCCATGCAGACAGTGTATTCCAGCCCCACTCCCGTCCATCTCAGTCTGAATGAGGAGTCTAACGAAGTTGGACTATCGTTGGATTCTGTGCGACCACGTGACCGACGGCTTTGACCGAATAGGATGTTGGAAGTATTCAAATTGAGTGGCGCTAGGTCTATTCTTCTTTACTCTGTATTGTCCGACTACATAGTAATGAGGACTGCTCGTTGCTCCAGCTGGTCCAAAGTCTAGGCAGTGCTTGTAGAATGACGGCGCCTTCAAGTTCCTTCCCTCCCCTCCGCGCTCTCCTCGCTTTCTGAACCATACCGTGGAAGGCAGAGAAAAGGAAAAGTGCCTTCAACGGCGCATACGAGGCATCGTGTTCACCCGGCGGGGGCTCTCTCCGCTTTCTGGTGATTTTTGGTCGGTCTCGTTCCCTGGCGCCCCGACACACTACGGCGTTGAGTTGGGGGTGTTGAGTGTGCATGGGTCAAGTGGGTGAGTAGAGGGCAAGGAGAAGAGACGCACCGTGCTTTAGCTAAGCTTTTCCAGCCATGGCCTCAGAGTACCCCGGTGTGAACACTGAACGGGTGGTCGCCCGGCCCTCCCAATAGCAGCGCTATCCTAGGCATTGCGGATTCTGGAGGCATACTAGTAAGCGGCAATACTAGCACTTGTGTATTTATAGCTTGCACGAGCGCGGGGCTAGGAATTACGGCACCGGGAATCAGACACATAGCAGCGATATAGCTCAGCCTTAAGGCTCAGAGGCGCGGTAGGTTCTAGCAGGACATTTACGGCTCGAGTAGGTCATCTATGTGATGTGATTTTACATTCGGATCACTCGTGGTGCTGGTCTCTGGTTTCTGGTTTCTGGTTGTGACTTCTTACTTCTGGGTCGTAGCTAGCGCCTTCCGTACAACCTGCACAATCGAACCGACGTAGCCTTCTGCGCCCTAGCTCCAAGTGTTAAGCAGTCGATGCTGAGCGGTTGGGACATGGGTGTGCCATCGTTGTTGCTGACCAGAAGTCAGATGGTCCAGATGCCGTGCCACTAGGCAAAACTTCGAGGCGCTAGACCAGAACTAAGCATCATGGAAGACATCCAAGTATCCGACCATGTTCGCAGGCCTACCTGTCAAGGTGCCGAATTGATCTGCAGCATGCAGTGATACTGCGAGCCGGTGGGCTCAAGCCTCAGAGCATCGCATCGATATAAAGAAGGCACCCATACGCAGCCAATTGCAACCCACAGCTCACCACAGCCAACCCGCCTACTCACACGCAGCGACGGAATGCAGCTCACAACCATCTTCGCGATCGCCGTGTACGCCTCGCTCGTTTTCGCGTTTGGTGCGTCCCCCCCTCATGGCGTGTCTCGCAATGCCGCGCTGTGACTTAACCCTTAACTTCCCCATTGCGATACACAGCGACGCCCGTGCCTCGGTCGGCAGGCGCGCACGAAAGAACACTCGAGACGAGGGCAGAAGACGCGTAAGCTGATTCCTCCCCAGCGTCCTTCCCGCGCTCACCATCGGATGCATCTCTGCCAGCGACGACGCCGGGGTGCGCAGCGGCAACACATCAATCAATGGCACCATCACTGGCGGGAACAGCAACAGCGGGAACAGCAGCAGCAACGGTGGGAACAACGGGAACATCGGCAACAACGGCAACAACGGCGGGAACAGCGGGAACAGCAGCGTGAATGGAAACAGCAACCAGGCCAACAACGGGAATAGCGGCAACGTAGGTGGCGGGGTGGTGATTGGGGGCAACGTCGCCGGGAACAGTGGCAACAACAGGGGCAACAAACGAGGGTGATTGGTGGTTGGTGGTTGACCGCTTCGTGCGAGGGCCGACATAGTGACATAGTGACGGTGGCTTGCGTAGGAATTAAGTCCATAGTAGCCTTCGGACGTCCTTGGCAATAAGATGTATACCGATTCTTGACTTGACATCCTGGGCTCACGCAAGCTATAAATACCCTGGTTTTGCCGCTCGGCGGACAGCGCACCAGAATCCAATACCTGGATTCATCCAGCTAGAATTCCACTACCATGCAAGGAAGGCACTACTTACGCTGCTATGCTCATTTCGAATCCCTGGCTTCCGTTTTTCTAGTCGTGTAATGGATTGTTGCGATGCGATAGCGTTGGGCTGTTCAAGTAACGGCAAAGATGCCGGATTCGAACTGTCAGAGAGCGCTTCGACAATGTGTCTGCCCCGAGTAAAGGGCGACTTTTCTGCCCCTCGTCGTTCGCTCAAAATGAACGTCTAGATCTGAACGTTTGAACTCTTGTCTCCACTCTCCACTACTCCTTTCGCCTCAAAGGACCTCGCTGCTTGGCCGGTCACCCAGTCGAATTCGGAATTGAAACGTTCCAAGTGGTCATTCGCGGCGCATTCGAATACGTGTCCGGTTCGCGGTTGGGTGAGGGAGGAAAGCTGAGCTACGGTGATCCAAAAGAAGCCAGGCATAATGATACCATTTGTCACGATCATGTGATGAGATGGATATAGCCCCTAGCTCTTAGTATCTCTTCCCTTCATACTCATAGCCTACTTCCCACCCACGCGACACCGTCCAGGCCCCAGCGAGTCACCTATCGCGAGCCGCATACCCCCATATATATATATGACAATGAAGCTTCGTAGTCAAACCAAGGAGCATTACAAGTCCGCCCAGGCGGTAAGTAGTAGGAGTAGGAGTGGCACTACTAGCGGCAATCCCAAGGCGAGGATCATCCGTAGCGGGGGCACAGTCGAGAGGATAAAGGTGGATCAAAATCCTCCAACGCGGGTTATTTGCCCGGTGTTTGACCAGCAGTGTGTTGGCGCCACTGGACCTGCTCAACGTCGAACGCGTGAAACGGGCGAGGATGTAAGTAACATGGTGGTGCGAGGCGGTGGTGATGATAGCAGATGCGAGAGCGATAGATCTGAGCATAGCACGGAGGAAGACGAAGACGCGTTATTTTCAGACTCCAACGATTCGACTCTCCGGTCGTACGCTCAGCGCGATTCGATGGAATCAGAATCTGATAATACCAATATCACTACGCCTTCGACGACTCCGTCTGGCTTGTCGAAACACGCGCTAGCCCTTCCACTCGTTGATGAGGAACGCGAGTGGCATCGTTGCCGCTGCTGCCGCCACACACCAAACGTCCTCACAACGGCACCGCCCTTTCAAAGGTCCTCGGATGAAGCAGCGCAATACGAAACCCAGTATTACATCGATTTCTATAACTTCGTTCGTACAACATGGACCACTAAAGTGAAAACCAAGTCTGAGCACCCCGCTGAAAGAGAAGACTCCGGTACGGGCATGTCCACGCTCGCGGTGGCAGCAGCATATCTACGGGCGATAGACCTACTAAGGGCCATGGGCCACAGGGTAGCCGACGGCATGAATCATCTGATCAAGATAGTTGGGCAAGATTATGTAGATGAGTACTCCACGGAGAGCTTGGCGCTGGATATGGTTGACGGGTTCGTCAAAGTACGGGGATCATTGGAGAGGGCAGATTATTCGTCGTTGTCTCGTTCACGTGGAGGTCGTTGGGATTTCGAGAGGGAGAGCGCGAGCGAGGGCGATATGTGGTTGGATTATTACACGAGGCGATGTGAGTGGGTGCTTCCATCTTCCTCGGAGCGAGTCGGCGTATGTCGTCGATTAGCGAAGGAATGAGTAGCAGTCGCTGACTTCTTGTAGTTTCAGAAATCATTGCCAACCGTTGCGATATAGACGAGGCTACAGATGACGCCGACGACGAGCAGGTGGAGAGCCCGGCGCCGACCGGTGTCTCCAACGCGTCGAAGGACGCCTCAACCACTAGTCGCAAGAGGAAGGCTCCTGCTGCCCAGCTCGAAGTCGATTCCAAGGTATTGAAGACGAGATTCCTGAAAGCTAGGCGAACAACTAAGAAGGCGAGGGAGGCTGGTCCGAAGCGAGGGGGCTCTGCGAAAGTAAAGTGATCAAACTATCGACATGCGATGCCCAACAACACAACCACAATACCGACGGACGCATCCATCCACTCATGAGATACCCCGAAATCCATTCCTCATTGTATTATTGTGTTTAGGACCCTTGTGTCCTATTCGCACATGTGTAGCAATCTATGTATGTACTACCTGGGTTTCGGTTAACATCACGCGGAATACATGTTCTTGTGAGAGACGCACCTTTCGCTTCGTTTCGTTTCGTCGCGGCGCTACGCCCATCGAGCGGTCCAATACCGACATACAGCTTTACGCGCAGACAGCTGTTCCCTATCCAATCCGCTCACTTGTAGTTTGCCCAACCACTCGGCATGTGTATCACCTGCAGCCCGAATTGGACTCAGACTATCCCCAGCGGATCCGGGCCCAGGGTCTACATGCAATCCTGCCTCCTCGACCTTTCGGAGGAAGGTATCGCGGACCTCTGGTCGCGTGTATGACCCAGCGGCGATGTAGGCTCGCGCGTCGGTGGAGGGGCTAAGAAGAGAGGTCATCGAAGAGATCAGAACATCGTGCGAGCGGTCGAAGTGGAGTAGGTCGGAGAGGATGAGGATGTCGTAGCCGTCTCTTCGTCCTTCAGGGAGTACACCCCTACATGCACACAATCGGTAAGTTCTATCTGTTTGAGATCGGGGCTACCGTGAAAATGGAAATGACTCGCTTGACATGCGAGACGTCCGATCCCCACTCGAACGGAGCCCACTGTACGCCGCACGAAGGCTGAAATGCCTCCTGGTTTCGTTCGACGTTGCTTCGTAGATTTGATAAGATGGTATCGTCGGGGTAGTCTGTAACGACGACCAGGGAGGGCGTGTCGTGGGCCAAGGTCGCCAACAGTAGAGATGGTAACGCGCATCCTGCTCCAAGCTCGAGCACTGGTGATGCAGATCAAAGCCATCAGTTTTCAGCGATTTCAGCGAACCCACAAACGACTGGCGGGTAGGTACCTGTTTTGCCTTTCGCTGGGAGAAGATTCCGTTCGATGAGTTCGGCCAGGAGAAGAGAGGGCGAGAAGAGGTGGTCAGCGAGCAGGGTATTGGCCTGGTATAATGCTATGTTTCAGACTCGAGGGGAAAAATGAGGGGGAAGCGTGTACAAGACCTTGCCGTCCTGCAAAAGCAACGGCGTTCAGTTGAAGCCTGAACGTTAAACGTTAAACGTTCGATGTACGGAGGTTACAGTACCTTGGGGGCTATGGTGAGTTTCAGAGGGCCATATTGTATGAGCTCGTTTTCCGAGACTGGTTCCCCTCCAAGAAGGGTCAGAGAATCGTTCAGAATATCTTCAACGTCGGCGTCAATGGGATAATCCATTGAGAAGTAACTGTCAGATATACGAGCGCCAAATGTACAAGTAGAAGGCCACAAGATGACTTGAGTACCACAATGAGTGCGTATAAAATGATTGCGTATACACCGGCTAGCGTAACTATACGTCCGTTGAATGTACAAATAGAATGTCCTGAATAGAATGAATCATCAAAGAGCCTAAAATTATATGGCAGCGAGCGTCTTCTGCCAAACAGCCTTCCTCTCATCGGTGACGGTGGTAAAGATGCAATTGGTGATATAATCCGCCCATCCCTGCTCTGTCTCGGCTTTCAGACCTTCGACGAGTGTCGAGTTCCCCGTGCACCCGATCTTCTCTGGACCGCTGGCTTTGTAGAACCACATCCCGCTGGCAAAGCTGAGGCGGTCCTCCAATACGAGGGCGCGGACAGCATTCATCGTGTCGTTGGAGATGGAGGGATCGGACGCATTTGGAGCAAGAGCGAGTGCTTGCGCAGAGGTCGAGGGAGTATCGACAGCATACTGATGAACGAAGGGGAATGTCATCAAGTTCCTCGTTCCCTGGCCCGGTCTTCCAGGGAAACTAGACGCGCGCGTACATCAGCTCACGGATCTCGACGCCGCACGCAAACCGCATGCATGAAGGGCGTGCAGCTATACTCACTGGTTGATATCAAATTTGAAGTTTCCGCTTTCGAAGAGCATGAGACTCAAGATCGCTGCTTTCTCTCCCTTGCTGGTGATGGCGTAGTCCTCGAAGCCTTGGTTGACGAAGGGGGCGGACTGTTTAGCATCTCTGCATTCCTCTGGGAAGGGTGCGGTAGCGTTGCATGCTGCCATCTCGGGCGCGATCTGGATGAGCTGGGCGGGCGTAATACCGTTATAGGTTCGTTTCGTGCATAGTGGTGCAGCGATGGCCGTAGTCGTGAAGAGAGCGAGAGCGAGAATGCGGGCGGAGAACATCATGGCTGACGAGAACTTGTAAGATTGGAGGGCAGAAGGGGAGGTTGAAGTCGGGTTTCGCGCTGCGAATTATATAGCAGGAAGAACCAGAAATCAGCGACCAGGCGCTGTGGAGTATGTCGGGGGACTGAAGGAAGAGTGAAAGATAGCCGCGTTTCTCAGTTTCATCTTATACTTCCAAGACAGGGCTTCAGTAGCGCTGTGTGCAGGGTCGAGGTTGAAACACCCAATAACCGTTGTCGCCGTATACAATTCATTACCACTGAGTGCACAATAGGGGATTGTTGCCATATGTAAAGTCCATTGTGTACATAGCCGTATTGTCAGGTGTTTGAATACAGCCCGCACGACACTGCTGGCCTTTCCGCGCTGAAGGGGAGGCTATGCGCGAGACTTCCGAGCTTGATGCCCCTCGCGTATGTGCGGAAGTGAATGGCAGTGATGCAGTTTCAACCCTTCAAAGCTTCAGGAGGCGGATGTGGACACAGGATTGCAGCGGGAGGTCCATACTGAACGACGTGCGGACATCAACACCACGGTGGCTCTGGTTGAGTTCTATCAAAGCCTTCACGTTTATTGAGCGGCGCCCTTGATTGAGAGTCAAAGCGCGAATGCAGCTCTGGTGTTTCAAGTGACAATAGGTATTGGCGGGTGTAATGGATCGACCGAGTGGGCGCGCCGACGTGCGCCTCTCTTTGTACTTGTTTGAAGCGAAAGATCTTCCTCGGGATTTACCGAGCACCTGTACAGTTCTAGATGCCGAACTTCGGCATGTACGCCCTCCTCCACCAATAATACCCAAAATCATCGTCCAAGACAGCAAAAGTTCAAATGGCCTCACAACGCGGTACGTTGCCCGCCCCTTTCATTTACATCGTCGATGGTGTGGGGATCCATGTTGCTCACAGTGATGGCTTGCAGTCGGCGCATCCGGTAACAAATTCCGTTTGACCCTCGGTCTCCCAGTTGGCGCAGTTATCAATTGCGCTGACAACAGCGGAGCCAAATCCCTCTTCATCATCGAGCCGTATGGATTCGGCGCCCACCTCAACAGACTCCCGGATGCTGGTGTTGGCGACATGGTTGTCGCTTCGGTCAAGAAGGGAAAGCCTGAGCTGAGAAAGAAGAGTGCGTTTCGTTTCGCCCATCAGAGGCGCATGTCCCCCTTGCTGATACCCGATGCTTTGGATTTGGATAGCTATGCCCGCTATCGTCATCCGTCAACGGAAAGCTTGGAGACGACGAGATGGTGTATTCCTCTACTTCGAGGTGCGTTGTAATGGTCACGCCCTGACATGGGAATTCGAGTTCTAACGTCGAACTGTAGGACAATGCTGGTGTTATCGTCAACCCCAAGGGAGAAATGAAGGGATCAGCTATCACCGGCCCCGTCGCCAAAGAATGCGTGCGTATTCTGCATCATCTATTTGAGCGTGGATTAGATGTTCAACCCACTTCTTGTTACCCCCCAGGCCGATCTATGGCCACGTATCGCATCGAACGCCGGTACCGTCGTCTGAGCGTTAACATCGTTTTATCATGCGTGCATTTTTCATTGCTTATACTCTATGTGTACATCATGGCCCCCAACAAAATGATTATGATGTCAACTAAGAGCGACGTCGCAGGGGCGATCCACCGTTCACCACCACCTTCCTAACACATGTCCGTAATTGAAGGCGTAAGTGTTAAACTGCACAACGAAACTTGAAGGCAGTCGCAAATCTCGCGGATTGGATAGGGACGATTCGAATTACTACATTCTTACCGACTCTTCACCGTCTCATCCGTCGTACCACGAGGCAGCGGATGGCTTCTACGGAGCCTGCGTTTGGCAAATCACTAGATACTGGATACTCCACCGGTGCGATATCGATATTTCGACGATCTAGCGTAATGTGATAGTTGTAGCAGTGCGCAGCGGGAGGTCAAGAGGAAAAAGTTCGAACTCTACAGGATAGGTGATGGTATCTTGAGTTCGAAACACTCCTTCCTCTTCTGAGGATGTATATGTTATCCAAGGCATCACAAGAGGGGGCGGCGGTTTACCTCCCGGATCAGGGAGTTCTAATTTTGGGACCGTTTTCCGTTTTGTATCGGTGAAGTAGCGAAACTCTCCAGAGGATGTCCTACAGTAGGGGATCCAGCGACCGCAGACTGCAATAGCTCGAGTACATCTTTGTCTCCAGAGTCTTTGAGCGCTCCAGTATCAGCCATCTGCATTGAATCCCCTACTCCGCCCGCTGCAAGCAAGAGGCAACAGTAGTACCTCTCCTCTCCCCTCTCCAAGAACAGAACGAGAGGGGAGCACGTACCACAGCCTGAGGAACCACCATTGCTGTTCCCAATATTCGGACTGAGGTTGGCACCGGGCCTCTCCACGAAGAACAGAATACTTAGAAGAAGCAAGGTAAAACGCGGCTTACTCACTAGACAACCCGCAGAGAGCTTCGCAATGAAGTGTCCTCTGGGGGTCTCGAAACCCTTCTCAAGCCGAGAGGACGTAATGTGGGATTCATACTCACGCTTTCGAGGCGAATGTTCTATTATCTACATCTTGATCGAGAAGCTCATTATAAACTGATTTTAGTGCGGGGAAATTCGATCAACTTGCCGTACCCCGTCTCCCAGTCGTGGCGCATTTCGACTAAAAATACTACATATCCACCACAGGAAGGGAAGCATGTCAGATGGTGCGAGGTCAGGCGGGTGGCCCTCAAGTGATACTTAGCAAGAGTCTGGGAGCTTTGTAGCAGGGGTGGTCAACTCCCACTGAAGTTCACCACCACTTCAGCTCGTTGTATCAGGTTGCAATGACCGTCGGAGGTGCAGTAAACGCCACAGGCGACGCCGGATACGTTCATCTTATCGACCCGAAGCGGAAATGGTACAACAATCGACAGTAGGTGTTTCGTAGCCTCTATTTCGTATGCCTACTTATCATGCAACCAGTCTTATTGCCCTCCACGCGTGGATCGCCCTTCTGTACATAAGTACTCCCTTGCGTCAATATCCTGATATGTATCAACCGTCGTTTCCAGCCTCATCACCTCGTCAAATAACGGGTATGACGGAAGCATGATGAATGGTCTTCAAACTCTCCCTCAGTGGAGGGATTACTTCCACACCCCATCGGGAAGCATGCTTGGCCTCTTGAATGCAATGCAGGTATATCTACCTCTTTACTTAACCTCTCAAAAGTTACTCTAAATTAATCTTCACTCCAGAATATAGGCTCCCTTGCAGCATACCCATTTTCACCGTATTTAGCTGACGGTCTCGGCCGTAAAAGGACGGTCTTTATTGGCGCCGTGATTATGTGCATTGCTACTGTAATCCAGACAGCATCTCAGTCAGTTGGAATGTTCATCGGTGCACGTTTCCTGATCGGTTTTGGGCTTGCATTCGGTGGTATGCTCGCCTCTTTTCTCTGCTTCTCATTTACTGATTGGAGCTTCGCAGCTTGTGCTGCGCCAATGCTGATCGCAGAAATTGCCTACCCAGTGTACCGTGGCCCTCTAACATCGACTTATAATTCTCTATGGTATTCTGGAGCCATTGTGTGCGTACCATTCCGCCTTACTCCATGGGCGGGCTTTTAACGTAACGTGGGTGTAGTGCCGCGTGGAGCACCTTTGGTACATTCAAGATCAAGAACACCTGGTCATGGCGTATCCCCTCGGCCCTTCAGGCCATCCCCGCCGTACTTCAGGTATTCCTCGTCCTCTTTGGACCTGAATCGCCGCGTTGGTTGATTAGCAAAGGGAAAGACGAACTTGCATTGAACACGCTAGCCTACTACCACGCCGATGGGAACAGGTGCGCCGTTAGGTGATCATCTATCTTGCGACTACCCGCTGACTTCGTGGATGTAGGGATGATCCCCTTGTTCAGTACGAATTCCATGAGATCAAGAACGCTATTGACTTCGATCGCACTGTCGCCGCTAATGTAGGGTGGAAGGCTCTCATAGCGACTCCAGGTAACAGGAGACGCATGCGCATTATCGTCGCTCTGGCTTTCTTCTCTCAATGGTCTGGGAATGGCCTCGTATCGTACTACCTCAACATAGTACTCAACTCAATAGGTGTCGCTGATCCAACAACCCAGGTTCGTATTCTTATATGACTATCTAGCGCGGCCTTCCCACCATCTAAACCGCCATTTAGCTCCTCATCAATGGAGTTCTTCAAATATGGAACTTAGGATGGGCACTCCTTGCAGTTGCTCTGTGCGACCGACTGGGCCGACGATTTCTGTTCCTGACTTCAGGCGTGGGCATGCTCATCTTCTTTACCATGCAAACCGTGTGCTCCGCCGAGTTCGCCATCCACGGGTCACATGCTGCCGCGCATGCAGTTATCGCGTTCATATTCCTGTTTTACGCCTCGTACGAGTAGGTACTTTCCTGAATGTTGTCTGACTATGACCCATGCGCTGACATCAATACAGCATCGCCCTTACGCCTCTCATCGTCTCATACACCGTGGAAATTCTACCTCTCCCCCTGCGCGCCAAAGGATTTACCGTTTTCGTTTGCGCCAAATCCTTGTCGCTGATCTTCAACCAATACGTCAACCCAGTGGCGCTCCATGCTATCCAATGGAAGTACTATGTATGCTCGTATACCACCGCTCTCTATGACGGCTTGACAATAACCTGAACATACTTAGGTTGTGTACTGTTGCTGGCTCCTCTTTGAGGTCGTATTCCTTTACTTCTTCATTATCGAGACGAAGAACCGCACCCTTGAAGAGACTGCGGCCCTTTTCGACAGCGAAGGAGCTGCCCAGCACCTACACGGATCCGCTGTTGCCGACCTTAGCCTGAGTACCGAGAAAGACGAGAAATTTTCCAGTTCGCTTCACGAACATGCCGACAACCCTACTCCTCATTACTGAATGGGCCGACCTTCTTCTTTCATGTCTATGTGATTTGGGCTACAACCCCTTCTACGACCTCATGCGTAACGTTTCGTAATTTAAATATCAATACGATCCTTGAGGTTGTTCGTGCCGTGGTCTATCGTGTCATCCAAGTGCTCGATCTCTTCAGGGCCTGTCCTGCAGCCCCAACATCTCTGACACTTTGCACGGCCTGGTTCAATTTCCCTACCCAATGCCTCATCTCGAATGGCCCGGTGTATTGACCTCCCAAACCACAGGGGCTGTCTCGAGCGCCAGGCAGTTTGCGCGCGTCTCTTGTGGGACATCTGCAGTCGCCATGACCGCTAGAGGGTACTTGGACCCCACTCTGGCCAGCACTGAAATCCCGCCATGTTGCCCTTCTCTGGCCCTGTCAACAAAGTCGTCCAGATACCTTTGACCGATATCATGGCTGCAAGGCTGGGAGCTTGCCACCGATAGAATTTGGTGATAAGGAGTGGCCCAGGCATCAACTACTTTCATAGCTGCTACAGCCAGCCTACTTATTTTCAAAGACGACAGTGCTCAGTACTAGAACATACATGGGACTCAGCTCCAGTTGGGACGCCTGGAACCCTGAAAGCGCTGATAGTGCATCGTCGCAGTGCCATTGTCATGTATATGCAAAATGCGGTCGAATAGATTACTCAGTATGCTCAGAAATGTCCGAAAGATCAATCCACATATGTGTATCAAAATCAAGTCAGTACCAATATATTTTCATTCTCCCCGTCCCTGGCCCATGCCCATACCCATACCCACACCCATTGCACATCGAACTGGCTATCGTCGTTGTCGCGGTGGGTGATGAAGGTGAAGATGGATACGTTCACATCTCACATCATTGCCCAGAGAGCAACGACCACCGGAGCCAGCACAGCGCTCATCACCAGTTGTGTGCCGCCAATCGCACCGTTTCCTACACAAGCAAGCCAAGTTAACGACCGCACATGAAAAGACAGGGCAGGAGGGCACGAGGAATGAGCACGTACCAGTGCCCGAGGAATTCCCATCATTGTTATTCCCAGTGTTCGGACTGGGGTTGGCATTGGTACCGGGCGTACCTGTTGCCGTCGAAGTCGAAGAAGCCGAATTTGAAGTTATAAATACAATTGATGTGGCGGTCGAAGTCGAAGGTGATGCATTTGAAGTCGAAGTCGAAGATACCGAAGAAGAAAAACCAACTAGAGGTCAGATATTGATTTCTCGTCTCCGTCGCGTCCGTAGAGAGAAACGGCTTCAAACACCCACACCGCCCCACAGGCCGAAAGTGAAAGCACCAATAAACCTCCCCACCCCCACGACGAACAGAACAGAACAGAATAGAATAGAATAGAAGCAAGGTAAGAACAATTTGCTCACCAGACGACCCGCCCGCAGCGTCAGAGAGCTGCGCAAAGCCAATACTCGGGGGATTCCCGGCGCTGAATATCGAATACACATTCTTCAGGAATACATCCCCAACGACCCAATTAGGGTTTCCTCCTCCGCTGACGATGCTGCTGCCCAGCCCGAGATCGAAGACGCCGCCGAGACATTGCGAGGAGCCGGGAGCGAGACGACCGAGGTTCATGTCGCGGGGATTTATGGGCCAGAATTGTCCGCCGTAAGAGATAGTCATTCTGACGGTTTGAGTGCACGCTGGAGGGGAAGCGGCCTGTTATGATACGTGGATAGAAGGAGGAAAAGAGTGACCTACGGAACGAGAAGAATCCGTCCATGCCGTCAACTGGCTGAGATCCTGGTACCGCGTCCCAGATAGCCCTAACATCAGCCGACGGGCCTCCAATCAAGGTAGTACCAGTGTCAATAGCACTGACGCCGGCGTTTCCCGTCGCAACATTGACGACGTTTCCATTCACCGTTAAACCTACACACGGGGCTCGTCAGAACAAGAAGAAAGGTGATCCGCCGTCCTTACCAGCCAAATTCAACAACCAGAAAGTCCGTGTATTTCCACCCGTCAGCGGCAAAAACTCAACGTCTCCTTGGAACAAAGACGAGTTCCTCCCTCCGAGCGTAAACACTCCCCCAGACTCTTCGAGTTGCACACCAGGTACACCTCTCAGACGTCTCAGCCAGAATGACATCTCTGGCGCGGTGAGTGAATTAGCTGTGCCCTGTGATGTGTTAGTATATCAACAACAGAACTAAATGACGGATTACGAGGAAACGCACCCCGTTGTTCAAGAGATTCAGCCAGAAAGGGGTACTTCTTGTACTGCTGATCGCGCTGAACGCCAGTCCCAAAATCCCTGAAACACTCCCATCTAAGAGCCCATTACTCGTCTGGTCTACGGCAAGGAACGTTTGCTGGGGGAAGGTAAAAGGTCCCATCGCGACCGTGTCTTGCGCGACGGATCCTGCTACCTCGCCTGAGCCATATCTGCATCCTGTTAGCGATCGCTGCTAACGACAAAGCAAAAAAGGTACCTAATAGTAACTCTCTGCCCACTGGTGCCGCCTCCTTGAATGCTAGAGCTCCGTGATAGACTGAACAAGGGAGTGGTCGGGTCACACGTTTGACAAGAGGAGTCGGCTACCCAGAGATCGGAAGATCCAGTGTCGAGGATAACGTTCATTGGCTGCGGTCTGTTAAAGACGATCAGTATCAGAGGGCAGACAACGAACAGAGCGACAAGAAAGTGAGATAAGTAATAAGGCCCAGGGTAAGTGTAGGTATGTGCGTCAAATGACATTATGGATCGAATTCGCCGTCGTTCACGAGATGAGATGGAGATTGGGAAGACTTGGATGATTGCTGGCGTGTAGACCCAAGTCGGAGAACTCGTTGAATATTCCTCAGGCCCCGTTCGCCATGAGCGCGCGCTTCCACCGTTGGGAACTGCGACAACGACGCGCGCGCGCGACTGAGATGCCGATCAGCCTTCGCCCCCTCCCCGGCGTTGGCGCCATCATCATGTCGCATTTCCATCCCATCAGAATCATAACCCGGTCTCGACGATTAAGGTAATCACCGCAACCCATACTAGCCATCATAGGTTCCTATCCATCCATCTGCCAGCGTGGGTCGACCGTGTCAACGATCCAGGGGCACCATAATGATGGGTGATGGAACGCGAGGGGATGGTGGACAGATGGTGGTGGATGCAAAGAAACAGAAAGACTCTGTCGACCGCGCGGATAGTGACAGTGTACAGATGTACGCGGTATGTGGTAGCAGTGTGTCGTATCCGCGTATGCACGTGAGTCGACCGGATTCCGGGGTACCGAAAATAACAGCAGTTATTTCCGTCACAACTAGCCCAACCGGTTGACCCTCGCTAGCCGTCACTATGCCTCCCACTCAACACCGGCAAATCCGACTTTCCCAAGTGTCCAAGCAGGCCCCAGCGCTATGATGCAACCAAGCCATCACTAATACCCAAGCACCAAGCTCCGTACGCAGCCACGCAACGTCAAGTGTCCCAATACCCAAGCTAGTTTACAAGCACCTAAGCCAGCGGCAAGCGAGAAGCGGTGCGTGAGGGCTAAGGCGGATGGTCCGGATTTGGGTTGACATAAGGAATGCTGTGACGGGCGCAAGCCAGGGTGCTTTGTTGGACGTCGAGCGGATGATGGTGCCGAAAGTATAATGTCTATTCGTCGTCCATAGACCGTGAATGATTGGCAGGATGGAGGCGCCAAGGTTCTGGAATCAACTTCCAAGTGCCAAGATTGGGGGAGAGAACGCTTGGCATGGAGTGTATCCGGCTTGGAAGGAAGAAGATATTGGGTGGTGAATAAGCCGGATGCCGAGGAAGTCTTGTGGTTGTGGACGACAACGGGCAATAGAATTCGAACAGAATAGAAGAAAGGCCACTCCGGGGATGCAAGGAGAGAAATGAAATGAGAAATACAAAGAAGAGCACTTACGGGGTACCGATCTGAACAGTGCCAAAGTAACTTGAGTCTGCGCGCTATGAAAGAGATGGTATCAAGATGGCCACTAATGGTGACAATGAACAACAACCACTCACCTGGTTTACTACAGGTAAATCCGCTGCTGCTCTCTTGTGCAGGATATCGTCCCAGCTTGCTCCTGCAGCAAGGGCCCTCTTCTGGGCCCTGTTCGCATACCCGTACTTGCCCCGGATATGGTCTGCTACTGAATCGTAGTACGTTAGGTCCAGGGCTCCGGAGGAAGAGTTCCAGTGGGACGCTCTGCGAGTTAGCTCCAAGTGCAGGCCATCCGGGGAGCGTTTATCATAATAATGTGAATGAGCGTTCGAATTGTACTGCGACTGGGGGAAGAGGGGTGCGTCTGCGTGGGATGCGTGCGAGAGAGGTGCCGCTGCGGGGGAAGCGTCGATGAGGGTGGAGGAGAGAAGAGTCAGGAGAGCGAGAGGTATCATCACAGGACGAGGGGAATCTGGTCGAGGTCCGTCCTTATGTATGTAAATTATAAAGGAGAGAAGCAGAAGAAGGAAGGAGCCTGGTGGAGAGGAGGAGAAAAAGGAACAGAAGGTGCGATGATGCTCGCAGTACAAATGTAACGTCACACCCGTGACACCAAGCGAATTAGTGATCCTTTTACTGATGAGCGTGACACCTGTGATAATATAATCTTTGCCAAGGTGCACGTTTCTCAGGCGATGCCGCTGTGCGGCGAACAAACCAGTGTCTGTAGGACTGGGGTATTTTGGCGACGGGACTGCGCAATGATTTGCTGCTGCGCACTCCCAGCGCTTCTCAAGTCCGGTGATCCTCACTTGCCAAAACAGTCCACCGGGCGACCTCCATAGGCATGCTTGCTAAAGGCCGGCAGGCTGTCCGACCCCCGACTACTTACTCCGAAGTTAATGAACCGCTGTCGATGAACTTGGTCATCGATTGCTCGAATACTGGATGCTGCTGTTCTTCAGGTGCTCAGGCTTATTAATAATTATTTCCCATTCATTACGGTTGCTCACCATCGAGTAAGTCTACAGTTGGTCGAGTCACCTAGGCTCCCAAGTTAACGTCGAGTAAACCTTTGGGTTTAAAAGCATTCAGATGTGGCTCACTGACTCAGCGACGTGAGAGAGGTAACGACTCTGACTCGAAGCCGACTTTATAGCTTGTGAAACATTCCCTTCGTATCCCGCTGTGCACGATGGGCGTCCGCAGCGAGCGCTCCGGCTATCGTTATCGTCAGAACCGTTCCTCGGGCAATCCGGTCATCCGTGCAGCAAGCAGTGAACGATTGCACGCCCCTACGATCGTGTTGCCTGGCGCGGAGTACCACCGTACGTGCTATGGCCTACGCACTGTCCGATACAAGTGGCCTATGATGTTATTATGATTTCCGGTACCCTGATGACATACTCCATGTCACGACGCTGATCAAGCACCCCATTGTGACGCGCTCTGGTAAGTTCTCGTCGCATTGTCATTGCGCGAAGCAGCGAACAGGCTGACACACCCAGGCTTATGTAGAATTCGACGTTTTGCCTCAGGTCCACGCCACGATCAAGTTCCGTATCGCCACGTGAACGAGCCTACTTCCAAGATCTATCTATCTATCCTCAACGAGCAACCTCCCCGTCGTGGGAGGGGCCAGGCAGGTTCACAGAGCTCGCGGGGGATGTATATTCTTGGGGCAATATTCTTGGAACGGCCCATTGAGATCGATGCTCTGCATTCCCGCCGGATGTCGCAGATGCCCATTGCCCCCCTCAATAAAACTCAACAAACACTAATCTAAGACCATCCGGTTCTTTGGTAGACACGTCTCGCACTATATAAAGCAAGGGGTCCAGTGAGCATCCTATCTCTCATTCCCTCTTTGGTTCCTATGTTCACTTTCCTGGCTTGCTTCGTAACATTAGCATTATGTGGATATTTTAAACTATTCCCTCGACAACACTATTTGCCTCTTCCTCCTGGTCCAAGCACGTACACCTTTGCTGGTGCACAGAAGCTGCTTCCACGTATTCATCCATGGAAGACCTATGCTTCTTGGAGCAAGGAATACGGATGTGTGTTCTATGCATTTATTACAGGGTCTCAATGACTAACCAATCCGTTGTCAGCGCCTCTCATTTCATTTAGAGTCTATAATCGACGGACCATAGTCCTCAATACTCGAGATGCCATACACGATCTCCTTAATAAACGCGCTCATATGTATTCCGATCGCCCCAAATCTTGGATGTATCACGTACTATGCGGGCGGGGAAATTCCGTATTTAATATCTCCGCCTCGAACGAACGCCACGCTCGCTACCGGAAGCTCATGCAGTCGGGCTTGGGTGCTCGCGCGACCAAGAAATACTGGGAACTTCTCGAAACCGAAGTAGACAACCTTCTCGAAGGATTTCGCCGCAGCCCACGAAATTTCGAAAAACATATCCGCCGGTAAATATATTATCCTCCCTCCATTCCACTGGTGGAATGCAGACTAAAATACGGTCCGACCTGTGTCTGATGGCAGGAACGCGGCTGCTGTTGTTATGAAGGTGGCATACGGCTACAGCATCCTCGATGAAGACGACTTCTTCATTGGTGTGGCCGAAGAGGCGGCCCAGATCTCTGGGTGGGCGCTGGCTCCGGGTCGCTGGATGGTCGACTATTTTCCAATACGTTCGTGCTGTTCTCCGGTCATTTCTAGTGTCGCACTGCAACGCAAGGTGTTAATTTCGTCTCCGCTGTTTACTCTCCAGTGCGATATATCCCATCTTGGATGCCAGGCGCACGCTTTAAGCGCCAAGGTGAGGCGTGGCGCGTAAGGCTGCAAGATCTATCGGAGGTCCCCCATCAGTGGGTCAAAGGGCAGATGGTGGGTGCTGCTACTTGCACACATACGTATAGACACGTACCTACCCAACTGGATCAGGTTTCCGGGACATATACGGATTCGTTCACGTCTCGGCTTTTGAGGCCGGATGGGTGTACATTCGTGGACCCAGACGAAGATGATATCATCAAATGGACCGCTGGCGGGCTCTACGCTGGGGCGACCGACACCGTAAGCGCAGCCTAATACCTTATAATTGAATTGTGGCTCTGCGATATTGATACCCGGTGTGCACTGAATTATAGACAATTTCAGCGATGATCTCATTCGTGATGCTAATGGCGCTTCACCAAGACGTCCAGCGCCGGGCTCAGCTGGAGATACATGAAGTCACGAAGGCACACGATCGCACAGATGGCCTGCCCCGCGCATCGGATCTTGGAGAGCTGAAATATCTTGTTGCGGTGTTGAAGGAGGTTTTGCGATACGCACCCATTTCAAATCTTGGTGCGTCCATTTATTTTATGGCCCGTAAATTTCATGTGGGTTGATGGTACTGATACGGATATAGCACTACCTCATTTAGCGACGCAAGACGATGAATATCATGGCTACCACATCCCAGCCGGCACCACCGTAGTGGCCAATGTGTGGTGTGTATTCAGGTCTACGCTCATTGTCACTTGCCTGGCACTCACGAATACCGCTTCTCGCCGTCGTCTCCTAGGGCGGTAACACGAGATTCTCAAACATATCCTAACCCCGACATCTTTGATCCCGAGCGATTTGTTGGCAACGGTGGGGATGAGTCCACTCAACAGCCAGACCCACGTCTATTTTGCTTCGGCTTTGGCCGACGAACTTGCCCTGGTACGGTTTCTCTTGATGTCGATTGATACGATTTAATTGATCACTGATCGTTGTTCATACGGCGTAAATAAACAGGCACCCAGTTCGCTGAAACGACAATGCTGCTCACTATGGCCGCAATCTTATCTCAATTCAATATCTCGTATAATAAAGAGGCTGGCGCTCCACAAGTTGATTTTACTACCGCGATAACAAGGTATGTGCTGTGTGCTGCTCGAAGGGACTCATGCCGAATCCTGATTGTCTGTCTCAGTCACATCGTACCGTTCGACATCAATATTACTCCCCGTTTAATCTAATGCCTAAAGTAGTTTTCAATTTACATGGGTCGTCAACTGATGGCATAAACCTCCACAAATCCGTGTAGCATAATCATCGCAATAGCCTTCCTTGTTTCCCTTCCTCGCCCTAGGCCCATAATATCTCGTCCAGCTTGTAACATATTCCACGCCGCCTAACAAATCCAACGTTAACTTCTCTTCAATTCCCGACTGATTTTACGGAGGCAATTGCGAGTTCACCGAGATTTGCCTATCCGTGTGTACTTTGCATACACGTCCAATGGTTTTGCCGCCTTGTTTCGCCTGATGCCACGGTTGGAATTATGAAACTACGAGCCTGAAAGCTGTTGCAGATCTCTGTTTTTCCCTGCCGACGAAGCGCGGTACAATGTCTCCCTATCCATCCGCGCTGATCAGGCTTGCGTCGTAGCCGAAGACGCCGCTTGAAAGACCATTGCCTCCCAGGCCAAGTCCTAGGTTAATCCCGCCATCAACCATGGAGCAGGGGCCGCTAATACGTATGCCTGTGGGCGCGGGTTGTTGGCTGTAACATCCCTGACTCCGGGAGAGAGGAAGCTAAGCCCGCAGATCGCCTTCAAGGAGGAAGACCCCCTGAGCCCCCTCTCCTAGGCAACGACGCTCATGGTGAATCGAACGGCACTCTACGAGACGTTCTCCATTTGTGGCCCTCGACTCCAGAGTCCAGAGACCGACGGTACTTGCCGCAAGGGTAAGTGGCACTCAAGTGATCAGGCCACTCTCGATCCGTGTTCTATATGATACACGATCGTGGTTACTTGCATTTGCACGGTATCTACTTCAGCTTTAGGTTTCAGCTGCGTCCCGTATTGTCCGATAGTTACTGAGAGATCTGGGTGCATCCTCAGCATACAAGTACTCGAAGTTCCCCTTCGCAAATAAACTACATTTTGGACAAATCTGCTCCTTCAATGATTGATCAGTCATAGTGACCCTCGAGTTCCGTGCGTGTTTCCAAACACTACTTATCCATTCTCCGGTCAGATATTGCCGTACTGAACAAAGACTCACTGGCGAATTATATTTCCCTGCGGATTTTTGGATTCCTGGAAGGTCGGCGGATATTCGTGAATACCGATGTACCCGGACGAAGACAGAGGATACGCCATAGGCAAGCGTAAGTGCGAGAAAACCGAGTAATCATACGTGAGCAACCATATGTAAGTGCATACTCGCATGTCGGTCCTTACACCGAAGATGAGGTGCACAAGGCACAGAAGACTGCTTAATGCAAGTCGATTAATAGCGTCACTATATTTATAGAACGAATATAAATTTAGTAGTGAGTACTCGGCGTCAAGTACGCCCCAAGTGTGCATACAAAGTCAACGAATGCCACGAGAATAACATAATTATACAACGGATATATGAGCAAAGAAGGCCGTTATAAGAGAAGCGAACGTCATTGCGCCGTTTCTGCCGTCGTGGTTGGTGTGTGGAGTGGAAATATGAGAACGGCATCTGCGGTCGACGTTCAAACAGGACTTGTTCCCACTTTCGCTACGTCCTCCGAGCTGCTGACGCTGACGCTCGACGGCTCAACGCCCTTGGTGCCATCAGCGTCCTTTGGCTCCGGACCACCGAGGTCAGGCGATGGTTTCGCAGGTATGCTGACGGCGGGCTGGAACCAGAATACTGGATACCTCCTCTGGATATTATTCATTACCAATGCCACAGCCAACGCCAACGTCGATGTCAACAGTATGATCGGGAGGTAGTACCACCCTAGGTGCCGCACGTCGGCGTTAACTGCAGCGAGGAGGGCAGTGGCGCCTGCGGGAGGGTGCGTGGTAGAGGTTATCTGCATGATGACGATGGCTGTTGCGCAGGCGAGCGACCCTGCGAGCCATTGGAGCTCGAGGTAGCGCTCCTCGGTTGGGACGAGGTGGACGAGTTTTGTGATGATTACGCCGGTGAGGGCGCCGATGAAGTGGCCACCCATGAGGGCCCGGGGCTGGGCGAGCGGGGCGTCAATTGCACCATAGATAAGGACGGCCGATGCACCCTGAACGTTTCACAATTTTTCGCTCAGAATTTCGGGATTCTGCTGGGAATGAACAGCGAGATTTGAATCACTCACGTAACTCGCGACTATAGTCGGTGCGCCTCTCTCCACAAAGTAATGGGAATAAGTGAATACAGCTTGTATCACGGAGATGCCGCAGAATGCAGCAATCCATGTCCTTCGCGGATGGTAATTTCAGCCGCCATCATACCAACCTGGTAACTTTAAGGGCGCACCATAGCCAAATAAGCCAATCAGGGAGCTTCGGTGGAGGAGACGCTCGGTATCCTAGCCATCGGGTAAACCATGCTGGAAGACGCGAGAGACGGTGGGGTCGTGGATGGTGTGCGTCCGCCATAGTGGGAGTCGATGGGGGAAGAGAAGGCGGTCAGTGGGAAGGTCTTTTAAGTCGAGGCGTTGAGATAAGCTATATATAACAGAATGTCGTTGATGCAGATGTCCGCAATGCTCCGGTTACGCGATTCGCTCGTCTGTGGGCATGCTGCTTCAACGACAACCATGTTTCGACTGCTCCGAAGCGATCGTAGTTGACGTCGGATGCCTTGCGATCACATGATCCGCCTTCTCCCGCCCTCAACCTCGCCGATCATCCACGCCCGTCGCCGACTCCAGCGTACTTACTACTGGGACACATTGCCAGCAGGCAGGCCTTGAGAGTACAATAGAGGTTGCTGGGGTACTTGGGCTTACTTCCCCCAAAATGCTCATTGCTCAGCAGTAACCGAAGTCAGTGTCACGAAATTTAGCCATTTCCGTTGCACGCGGCTCCATTCTGACATTTCGAAGAAGACCATGAAGGCACGCGATATCATAGGCGTGAAGTGCGGAGGCATCGACTGCCATACCCTTGACGAGAGGCTGCCGTTTCATGTACTATAAGCTGTCAGTGAGGGGCAAGCTTCCACGTTTACTCAACATATATCCCACAGGCAGAGCACCCCCTCTAAGTTTAGACTAATAAGAGGAGAATCAAAATCGGAGAGGCTTCCTTCCTGAACGACTATGTGAAACGGCGGTACGTGGTACAGGCTCTCATATACTAATCCTGTATGAGAGCGATTACAATTGCCTCAGCTTTGAGGAGCATACGTGTTCCAGCATTTTCCTCTTCGCAGCTGGCGAGGGTTTCCTGATGTCGTCGATTCGGCGCAGAGGTTGCAACTAATGTTGGCGGTGTTCATGAAAGTACTCTTAAGGCCCAGTGGGAACGATTGAGTCTGACTTCGACTTCGACTTCAATCATCCCATATTTTCGGCGTGGCGATATCAGTACATACAGAGAAGCGCGATATGAGGCTCGCAAGGAGATGAAGCACCCGCTTCGAAGTTCAAATCAGCTCCACAAACGATGGCATTGGGTGCCATCTGAGGAGTGACTGCGTGGTCGGTCCTCCCAAGACTCTAGGATTTCTCCTTGTAATAAGAACGAACAACTTCTGGCCGAGCCAAAACTTACTTTGAAGTTTGCAAAAAATCGCAGGATTCACAGGCTAGAGAATCCGCAGGGGTCTGACCCCTCCATAGGCCCCAGCATGCACGACTCAGAGACTCCCAACGCTTCCATGGGCCTACTATCAGCCTTGCGACCAAAGTGGCTGTCTACTCGGCCATATTATTCCAACCTGGATGATTGGGATGCTAAGGAAAGACCCGTTCTCCGCGACGACACCAACTCAGAGGATTCGCTCATTGAGGAGCAGCCCCGCCCTCGCTCCTCGCGTCCACTTTGGTATATCATCATTGCACAAACATGTGCTTTGACGGCATTGTTCATTATCTTGGCGAGTAATTTATACGTTCAACGAGAAGAAAAGTGGCTATACTGTGAGTTCGTATAGCTACTACCAACTAGGCGGCAAGACTCAATACGCTCACAATTAACCAAACGCCTAGCGCCTGCCCAAGATGCCATCTCATACAAATACTACCGTTTCTTCAACGGCTTCGAGGGGGATATTTCTCCGTTCCAAGCTCCCCCTTCTGCGGAGCTCGATGCTCGCTGGGCGGGCCTCTACGACTGTACGCTACACGAACGATATTCCCTTTGCTCTCGAATTGCTGATGCCGCACCTACAAGTTGGTATCTCCCGAATCCCAAGGTCCCAAGCTGCCCGCCTTCCCAACCGCACCGAAGAGATTCCGGGCGACGAGGGGAACTTCATCATCGAACTCGACGTGTTCCACGAAATACACTGTTTGGTACATGACATTGTCTTCTTCTGACGTAACCAATGGAGCTATCTAATCGTAGTTGAATTGCTAGAATCAAATCCGCAAAGCGCTCTATCCCGACCACTATCCCGACATGCGCATGGACGACACCAGCACCGCGGAGCACATCAACCACTGCATCGACAGCATCCGCCAGTCATTGATGTGCTCGTCAGACGTCAGCACAATCGTATGGCAATGGGACGCAGCAGTACGCCGGGCCTTCCCGAAAGGCAGCGTCGTACACCGTTGCAGGGACTTCGAAAGAATAAAGGAATGGGCGCTGGAGCGGCGGACGAAGGAGAAATACGACACGACGCGCCATGTGGAGAACGATCTGGACATTCCTATAATCTACGATTAACTGCTTGTAGTGCTCCCAAAGAAAAATGACCGTTCCTTTGTATTAGTTCGAGGACCCTATGTTGTCACACCAACTAAAGTAACCACCCATAGGTCAGCAGAAAGCATGGCATTGATGTTAGTCACGGCACTGATACACTGTAGAAAGCCCAAATGAACTCGTTCGTTCCTTGTCCAGTCCCATCTGGAATATCCTAACTTCCACATCTATAGAGCATCAGAAAAGCATCGCGTTGGTGCTAGTATGCTTTGGTATAAATCCCAAGCCTTCTCCACTTCTCGGATTGCACCTCGAGGCCTCAGGAGGGAGTCAGGAGGTCTCCTATACCAACCTTGTCTTCTTCCACCCGCGGGTCACCTCTAGCCCTCTGACTACTAGTTTATTCTCGAGCCCTCTGCCCTCTTTTTGAGCATATATAAACCCTCTTTACTCGCTATGAACAGTAGCGCATCCCAGCGTTATTATCTCCATCGCCCTACTATCAACAACTCCACCGTCTACCGCTTGAATACCTCTCTGCAAATATGAAGCTCTCTATATTCGCCGCCCTAGTTGTCTATGCTACTCTCTCAACGGCCCTCGCCGTGCCCAGAGCCACGGTACGCGCCTACTTTTGACTGACTTCACCATTCAACCTTTCTGACTGTGTGCCGCTGCATTTCTCAGAGAGAGCTCGACTCGGTGTAAGTGAAATGCTTTCAGAAAGGATCAGACACATGCCTCAAGCTGACTGCTCCCAGCGATGATAAGAACAAGAAATGGACGTGCAGCGATAGAAACGCAGAAAGAGACGTCGACTCAGTGTAAGAGGGAGTGATCAGACATGGGCTCCAAGCTGATCCCTTCTAGTGATGACAAGAACAAGAAGTGGTCGTGCTGAATTCCCCGCGGCGACGGTACCCATGGAGGAGGAGGAGGAGGAGGAGGCATGATCCAAGAGAAGTCAACACAGAGGTCGACGCGGTGAGTGGAAAGGAATCGTATTGACGAGTGGACCGTGGTTTGTACGTCAGGGACGACGGTGCCGTTCGCGAACTTGCAATCATACGTCGATTTGAATCATGGCATGGTTCGACTGCGAATAACTCAAGTTGTGTTTTGCCGGGAAGGTCAGCTTATTCCGCGGCTGAAGCAAAAGATTCCCTAGCCCTTCGGTTGAGCCTGGCCTGGACGAGCTGAACAAACGACAGCAGCTGTGTATTGGTCTATGTAGTTCCTGTTACTTATTAGCACCTCCTCGCAAAAGAAATTCGGATGCGACTATACGAGACGATGTATTTGAACAGGAAATTTGCCAATACACTACTGAACCAGTCTTTTGCGCCGGGGACGAGGGTATTTTGGTGGAGACTTGGCGGGTCGATGGAGACGGAGCTGGAGGAATCGGGAGTCAGTGAAGCAGACATCGAGTGGTAGGAAGAGAAGAAAGGATGTAGGTGGCATTTCGTAGATAAGATAAAGTATGTAATCAATAACCAAGCGCTAAGTAAATCCGTCGATTTTGATTGAGAAAGATTATTATAGCTACAGGCCATCAAGGGATTGTGAAAGCAAAGCACCTTGTATCATTAGTTGTCAATATATGTCACCGTGTATCACGTCTCTCGCCACAATTGTCGCCCACTTTGATGCACATTACAGGTGTCGGTCACCAGGTGCATCTAGACTGAGTGTTTTTGTATCGGTTTTAATCCGATTTCACCTTAATCGCTTCCCGTTGTGCTCGAAGGGCGTCCTGGACTCATTACACTGAACATGAACTGATGGGGCCGTAGAAGTCGATTTATTTTGCTTCTGATACATCAACACGACGGCAGGCTATGCATAGTCCGAGTCATTCAATCAGTGCCACCCGAGTTAGATTTAGTCGAGGATTTGGAGGTGCTTCCTCGTCTAGGCGTTCATTCACAGACAAGCCGAGGTATGGCGCTCATAGAGTGCGACAATATTGAATCTTTGCGCACGGAAAAGTAGCGAGAAAACTAGAAGTTCAGTGTCTAGTTCAATGTCTTGGTGAACGGCGGGTGTGCTGGTCGAATTCTGACTGATGACCGGTGACCTCCTTTCGCGATGAGGGACTCAATAGGAGCAGCCCCTTTCTCTAAGTTGCCTTTGAATGCCAGTGGCTGATGCTCTCCGAAGCTTACATGCTTACCGGTTTGATTATACAGTTGCCACCATGCCACACCATCGTGAAAAGAATGTGATAACGATTCAAGGCGGTGAGGTTCTGGATTTGCCGCTAGGGCTTTCGTCGGTTCCCGCTGAGAAGTTCGTCAGTGGTGCAGCGAGGAGTAGTTCTGAAGCTTACGCGCTCGGGAAATTACTCTTACCAAGAAGTCCTAGAAGGTATAGAATGAATGCCCTAGCGAATTAATACCTATGAGCCAGACTCCTTTGTGGCCGTCAGAAAACTAAGTGCTTCGGAGTCGACGTTGAATCACTGATCACCTGAAATATTCTGGGTGTCAGTGAGTATGTATATAAAGGGGGGATCCTGTTCGACTCACCTACAGCTCAGCAAACAGCCAAGCTACACTCGATACTCCAAGTCTTCAACAATATGCAGACCAAGTCGATCCTTGCAATCGCTGCTTACGTCTCTGTTGTATTCGCCTTGGGTACGCTTCGCTCGTATTGGCCTTTGTCCGTGGCCTGATCGTGCAACACAGCGACGCCGGTGATCCAGACCGAGCAGACGGGCGAGCAAGCTGAAGTGGCGGTTGCCCAGAGGTCTGTTGATTTCTTGTAAGTCGTCCCATCCGAAATTGTCCTCCGCAATCGCTCACGCGGCACCGCAAAATTTAAAGCTATAGGCCTATATCTACGGGCGGGAACCGCAACGCGAATGGTGGAAACGGGAACAGCGGGAACTACAACACCAACAAGGGGAGTGGGTCTAACGGGAACATCGGCAACGGCGGCAGCGCCTAGTGATCTTCCAGCTGGGTGTCGAGATACTCGTATTGCGTCCCTACCACTGTCAGTGTATCGAGGTCGGGTTTGACCTTATTGACTCGATCTGTACCCCCTCTGTGGGCAACACAAGACACATTTGATTGAGCGGTGAGAACGGTTGAGGAAGACGCGCTGAGCACGTACATCATTAGGAACTTGGGCTCTATACGAAGTGGTATACTGCTGATTGACAACATTAGTGATCCCCTTTGTGGGGGGACAGAGGACGGAAGGCATTACCTGGCGTAGTGAATAGCAGGGTGTGGATTAGCTGCGCTGCTTGGAGGTGATGCATTGGAGGTCGGCGTCGCGATGAGAGTAAGCGTGTTTGAAGCGACGTTGATATGACTGTTATCAGTCGAACTTCTTCTCATTCTCAGACCCCCAGGGATATAGGTAGTTCCAAAACGATTCGAAGGTGGAGACCAACGAAAACGAGTTTGACGGGATGACAGTAGTGTTCGCCGCGATGAAGGCGGGGGCAGCGTGCGATCCCAGAGCGAATACGAGTGCGATAAATTTATCGAGTCTGCGGGTACAATGTGAGTACCTTAGAAGCATGGAAAGACGCCTAGTGACCATGAGCAAACGTGAGATCCTTGCTACGTTTTCTGTTGAAGCAGGGCCAGACTTTCCAGTAAAACACCGTAAAATGAGCGTTCACGTTCAGTTCCTCTCTGCTGAAAAGTTCATGGGCTAGATACGACGGGCCGCATTAGACCACATACCATCCGTCCGGATCGTTCGTCTCAATGCGAGTGAGCTCCTACGCCGTGGTGCACTTTGCATTGGATTTGCCTTCGCAATTCTGTCGGAGGCAAATGTATCGAAGGCAGATGCTGCCTGCAGGTTGTGGGCTTCAAGGACTTGGACTAAGAAGTAACCCTAAAAAAGGGAAATGCAATTATGCACAAATGAGGATTCTATTTCCCAGGGGTCCCATGCAAGAGATTTCGAAGTCTACTCCGTCAACGATCTACTATCCGTTACCTTGGCTCCATGGCACACATATTCCATGAGTTCCTAATATTGAGGTCCCCAGCCTTGCCCCAATCACTTCACAACCAACGCGCTGTACGAGGACGTAGACTCAGGATGTCGACGAACGGTATCGTATTGAGGGAGGCGATTCGGCCTGATATACTCTCGGAATCGACACTCATTCAAGTAGTACACACGGGCCGCCGTACCGTAGAACGGAAAACAAGTTCGTTATGCCGTTCATTACAGTGGGTTGAATGTGAATATCCAATTATGAGGACTCAGCACATTCAGAGCACATGCTCGAATGATCATATCAAGTAATTAGTATATGTGAGAGAATGATTGAGAGTGTGAGGCTTGAAGGAGCATTGTTACGGTCAGTTTTTCGAGTTCAGATCCCGTTGTACCATACTGACCAATGACCAGTTGATTCAACGCCTCGCTGACGGTCTAGTCTAGCTGCGCTGAAGTCTGGGACATCAAACAAACAGACATTTGATTTGGCTTTGGGTGAATCAATCATGATTACCCTACCCCAAAATACGAAGGGTTTAGTGACTTACTCTCGGTCACCGCTCCACGAAGGTATCCGTTCTCAATAGCGTGGTCCATGCTCGTTCATTGCCATTTAAGTCTGCCTCTGTTCAATCAGGAGCCCCAGAGCCAACTTGGCAGGCAATATCCTTATTCCACCGCATCCAAATCGAGCTAATGCCTCCAAATCGCGAGGAAGGATCCTATGAACACCTTTCGTAGTTACTCTGAGAGAATATCATTTTGGTTGCTGGTGATGACTTGTCTGCAGCTTGTCGGGCATGCCCCCCACCTAAATGAGGATTCGAAATGTATATCCTGGTTGTACAATACATTGCATAGCTGTGTCAACATTGAAACATGGAGAGATAAATAAATAATCTAGAGCATATGGATAGAATACAGAGCAGAGAATAAAAATGGATGCTGTGGTCATGAGGTAATGGCATGAGTATCCGAAAACAAGGAAAGCAACTGCTGCAACGTCCGCTCATCGAGACCGTGTTCTGACAACGTACTAACGAGAGACTTCACGTCTGCTTGAGGAGACATCGTGCGACCTATGACGGCTAGCGAATTCTCGATCCGGGTAGAGAGTGAGTCGAGGATCATCATAAGATCGTTATCGGGCATTTTATCATTCACTGATGGTAAGAGGAGATGTGGGTTCCCGTATACGTATCTGGAAGGGGAATCTTCGTTCATGTTCTCATCCTCGCCACTGAGAGTTTGGATGCTGGCTTTGCGATCGGGCAGCGGGCGGAAGATGCGAGAAGTGGATAGGGCTTCCAACCGAAGACATAACATGCCGAGCTCGCGCATTTGCGTGGCGCTGAATTGAACGCGTGAAGTCGATGCGTTCAAGGCTATGCCTGCGTCGGTGACCAGACCCTGTCGGGTTTCTAGTCCCGCAGGATATATCATGGATAGCATCTCAGGGGTTTCCAATCCCTTGAGTTTCACCTCACCAACGGGAACGATGACGACTCCCATGCGGCGAATTGCCTCGATGGCCTGCACAGGTTGGAGATCAGAATACTCTGTAGGTGCACCGTTATCAAGAATCTTCGCCTCGATCTCCCGAATAACATCGATGCTGCACATTATCTGCCCGCCTTGTGCGTTGGAGTTGATTCGTGCTGAACGATTTACGACTGGGCCGAAGTAGTCCATGCGATGGGTGACTGGGTCCATATCACAAATCGGGTGCCCGCAATGAATTCCCATGCGAACGGATAACCCCCGCGCAACTAGCCGCTTCTCCGAATCATGTACCTCCTTGCCGTCTTCGCACTCCAATATCTCCAGCGGCCATTGTTCCTGGAGTAGCTGGACCTGAACAGTTAAACACCACCATACGGCCGACAGCACATTCGGGAAAGAGCACATGAAGGCGTCGCCTTCCGTCTTGACTTCATATCCGCCACAGAAACGCAATTGACGCCGTAGTAGGTTGTTGTGCAATCGCATGGCTGTGGGCATCCCGGGATTGACTTCCCAAAGGTGGGTGGAATTTCGGATGTCTGTGAAGACGAGGGCGAGGTGGCCGGTGGGCGCAGGAACTTCTCCGTCGAGCCTCGAAATATTACGATCAGCAATCCCTCCCCTTTGCTTTCGTCTTGAATTCGATTGGTACGTCTCGGGTAACTGTTCCAGTGTCGGCAGTCTCGACCTCGTAGGGAAATCGTCGAAGAGGTCAGCGACGCCTATCACCATGATCATCATACTGCCCTCCGCCCCATAGCTAATAGCGAAGTCCCGAAGCTTCTGAGCGGCAATCATAGGATCGGCTCGTTCGGAACGCGCGATATCGACGGCGGTCTGATAAGAGACGTAGTCCCAAAGGCCACGGTTCCCGACGATGACGAATTCATCCTGTTCTGAAAGCTCCCAGGTAACGACGTCGGGTCGAGCATTGACGACTGGCAGGAGGTGATAGAATCCGAAAGATCGAGAGACATCCACTTCGTCGTTGACGAGTCCTGGTGGCGACACCCAACCCTCCGCAGCTCGTATTCTAGCAGTTTCTTTACGGTCGAACGGGTCGTGTTTGCGCGACACTAGCTGGGCGCCACCGTGTCTCGAAACAACCGCCAGAGCGTTCCCCACATTCGCAACGTACATCGTCCTACCGACAAAGTACAGGACAATCCCTGAAGCTCCATTGCGCACAGAGCCAGCGGGAAGAACCATATTGTTCACATGAGTACCAGAGGCCTGTGACATCTTGCGGTCCCCATACGTTACGGAGAACAAAGAATCATGCAAATCTTTGTTCAGCCGCAGAAACGTTCTTCGCAGAGCATCGGGGATGCCAGCATGTCTATCCAGTCGAAGAGCAGCGAGATAACTCTGAAAGACAGTCAGGAAATTGTCCCGTAGATATCTTGCTAGTTTGTTCGACCCAGGGCCAGCTGGAAGTTGTTTGGGAGGATGGGCATGGCCGAACATGCCAAAGACGGCCTCGCCCGCATTGCTGCCCCGGAATTCCTGCATAAGATCCAGCATATTGAGGTTCTCATTGCGCCCTATTGTGTCAGCGATACCGTACGGCATTCCATTGACGGTGGACGACGAGGTTCGGACGCGGCGGTCCTCGCTTTCGTCGGGGATATCGACGGCCCCGTTCATTCCTGTCGTAGTGATCGTAACGTCCATGAGCCCAAGAACGCGAAGTTGGGTAAGCTCGGTGAACCCGGAGAGACGCTGTCGACTGATGATGGAACGATCGAGGCTGGGTCGTTCTCGCGTTGAATGACCCTTCACGATGTCTGACTTGATCTGGAGCTTCTTGTTGCCCGAGAGATTGAGATACTTGAGACTCTTGTTGAAGTTCCTGTTTGATGTTAGGCGTCATAGGACGAATCAGCAAAATTGATGATCAGCTCACCAATTCCAATCGAACTCCCAGTTGTTGATATTATACTTCAACAAGTTATTCCCAACATCTAGAACGGTCAAACTCTGCACTTTACCCAATTCCTGCGGCAGCGTCTGCAACCTGTTCCCATTCAGGAATAGCACCGACAGCTTCTTCAACCGGTTCAAGTCCTCCGTAGGCAGACTCGTGAGCTTGTTACCGCTCAAGTACAACTCTTCCAGCTTGGTCAGATCCTTGAAGAACGTCGGGGGCATATCCTGGATTTCGTTGAACGACAGATTAAGGACGCGGAGGTTCTTGAGAATGGTGAGGGGGTCGAGGACGTCGTCGGTGAAGCGATTCTCTCCGAGGTAGAGTTTCTCGAGGGAATAGGCGAGGGGAGGTAGGGGTAAGCCAGGGCCATCGGTAGACCCCGCAGTGGAGGGTTTCCGATCTGTGGGTCCGCGAATAGACAGGGAATCCCCCGAGAAAGACGACGACATCATCATGCTCTGTGATTGAAGTGAAAACAGGACGGGCGGGGGGTCATGCCACGAGCCAAGCAAATTCGAGGTTACGTTGATCTTGGTCAGACTCGCGCAGTTCCAAAGCGAGGCGGGGAGCTCGATGAGGCTGTTGTTGTGCGCGTCGAGGAGCTCTAGGCATTGCAGCTTTCCTATACTTTGCGGGAGGGAGTCGAGATTGTTGTCGCAGCACGAGAGGATCTCGAGGCGAGAGAGTTCGCCCAGGGTTTCGGGGAGGGAGCGGAAGGAATTGTAATCGAGCTTGAGGACCTGGAGAGAGGAGAGCTGCAAGAACACCTGGTCTTCCAGAGATGAGAGTTTCGCATGGGAGATGTCGAGGGAGATGAGCGCGTATTGGGGATTCTGTGCGAGCGTCGGAGAACTGTGGAGGAGGGATAGTTGCGTGATTTCGTTGTGCGACGCGTCCAGCGTTGTTAGACACGGCCCCAAAGCCAGGTCGAATCCATGAAGCGCATTATGATCGGCGCTGAGTTTCTCCAACTTCGGCAGCGTACAAGCAATCGACAAGTCCGAAATCTGGTTCCGCCGGCAATCCAGAATCCCCAGGCCCACCAACTCGCCGAACGAGGCAGGCAGCCTGGAGACCTGGTTCCCCACGATGATGAAGCGGCCCAAATTCTTCAGCTGCCCAATCTCGTCGGGGAGCTCGGAGATCATGTTGAAGGAGATGTCGAGGTCGGTGAGGCTCGTCATCTCGCTGACGACCGCGGGGAGAGTCTGGAATTTGTTGTTCGAGATATTGAGGGTGGTGAGGATGCGCAGGCGGGGGAAGTACCACGGGAGCTTTTCCATGCGGTTGTTCTGCGCGAAGATGGTCATGAGCTCGGGGATCCTGTCCAGACCCGCGTCGTCCAGATCGACGATGCGATTACAGGAAAGATCCAGTCGGCGCAAGGTTAGACTATGCCGGACGCTCTGCGGGACTTTCTTCATGGCCATATTGGACAACCGAAGCTCCCGCAGTTGCGTACAGGACTGGATGAAGTCTAGCGGGATCTCGAGCATGGGATTTCGCGACAGCTTGAGGGAGATGATTTCATCGGCGTGTTGGTGCAGGGCAACCGGGATCGTGCGCAAACTTCGACCGGTCAAGTCAACGAGTTCGTAACCGTCGAAAGTAAGATCTTCTTCCTACATTCGATATGTAAGTTATGGTATTAAAGTTTTTGGGAGGAAGTTGAACGGACCGCAGGGCCGAGAAGTTGACTTTTATACACAAACTTGAGCAGGAAGCTCATGTCGTCCTCGCCAAGCGTTTCAAGACCGTCAGCAGCGTCATAACCCGCCTGTTCAAGTCGCCGACGAAATATATCTGCTGGACGTTCCTTTTGACCCATTACCCGCTCTAGCCGTCTATGAGGTATCGCGTATCAAGGGGTATGTACACACGCACCTCTCCCCCTCTCTTTCAGATACAGCCTATGCATATCTTGATCCCCTTGCAATAGCTTACCACTTAACGCAGTCGTCAGAGTCGCAACGTTCGCATTGAGTCCTATTGTTACGATATGGAATTGCCCCGTAGCACGATGTATCCGAATCTTGAACATCTTCTCGGGCTTCAATAGTCGAAGGGATTTGACCGTTCTCCGTCTGTCCTTCTTCGCGGCAGCGAGTGCATTGTTCACGCTGGGGTTCGGACTCAGCATCGATCTCTTGTCGCCGCCCGCGCTGTCTTCCTCCGACGAATAATCCGGGCCAACGGAGTCCTCCCCTTCCTTTCCCACAGCCCAGCTTTCTGGCGCCGTCCACGATGGATCATTCATGTCAGGCTCGGCGCTTGGTGCGGGCGGGATGTCAGACTTCGAGCCAATGGAACTCGTGCGTGGGGGTATTGACGTGGGGGAGACTTTGCGGATGTCGAGCACCGGCGGTCGCTTCTTGGGAGACTCCGAGATCGGCAGGAAGGGGTTGCTGAACGACGGGGCAGTCGAGGGGCGCGTCGTGCTGCCGTAGTCAGAGTGATGCAGACTGTTGATGCTGGGTGCATGACTATCAAAGGCACTGCTGGGCGAACTGTTGTCGTTGTTCGTTGCAAGACCAGGTAGGAGGGTGGGGTCGATGATACCGTCCATCTGGTCCAGATTAGTGTCGAGCGTTATTTCGTTTTGAGACCCGTTCGCCTCTTTCGGAGGTAGACAAGGCGGGCGCGTCCCAGTGCCTTTCCGCTTCGTCTTCTTGTCTTTCTTCGGCGTCTGCGGTCGTGATTGTATCGAATACGTCGGGCTCGGTGGTATCGGAACAGGGTGGAACGCCACGTATTCAGGCAGCGGTGGGGGGAGCGTCGATGCCAGAGGGTCTTCGGAGGAGCTCGAGCGTAGCCGGCTCTTGCTCTTGCTCTTCTTCAGAAAGTTCGAGAACACAGATGGCTTCGACTTGCGCGTTGATTCGGGGGGGATGAGCAGGCTCTGTGTCGAGGCGTAGTCCGGGGGATATGTCAATTCACCTATACTGTTAGACTCGCTGGAACGGTGTCTTTGGGGGAGAAGCGAGGTGACGCTGGCTTGTCTGAGCGAGTTGAAGGAGGAGAACGAGGGTTTTGGGGCGAATCCCATGCTCCGGGGAGTCTTTGGGGGCGGCGTTGGCTATCGAAAGAGCAGTGAGTATGTCGCGGCGCGGCTTCGTCCCCTCCCCCTTTCAGGCACAGTACACGGAGGCACGCACCGGTTCGTCATTCGTCTGCAACCACGGCGCTATGGCAAAGTCGCCGTTCGAGGGCGATGAAAGCATGTCCGGGGGGATGATGGCTCTGCCATTGTCGTCCACAGATTCGCCCTGCTTCAGCGCGATGCTGCTTACGGACATCCTCGTCGTCGTAAAAGACATCTTGCGTGCCTGTTGGTTGGTTCGTGAGGTATGGAGTGACTGGGGCCCTCGAGATTCGTTATTCATGAAATAAAGAGCATTGTACAGCGGACACGATGGTGTAACATCAAAACTGGATATTGAATCGTTGACGGACGTTCGGACTGTGGGAAATACCTTCCGCATTTGATCGTCACAAGCCTTAGCGTAAGGTGCCTCTCGCTGCTTGCCAACTTCGTTCATGTTTCCAATATGCCTACCGTTGGGAGATGTTGCTTCCGGCGAGTTGCATTGGCATTCTACACTCAGTGTTCAACTATAAACATCGTGGGACCACTCCCATCGAATTAATGGGAGCGAAGCGGGGGCCACTGCGACTCGAGAGCAGGACTTGCGACTATCTTCATCCCTTCCCGGTCATATTTTCTCACTGGAAACACCGTAGATTGAGCCGCCAACTACTCTCTGCTGAAAAACTTATACGCTGCTCATGACGGGCCGTATCGGATCACCGGCCATCCATTCGGATCGTTCTTCTCCACCACAAGGAAGAGAAAACAAGGATTTCATGTTGATTGTAGTCACTAGGTGTCCTTCTGTGCTTCGGACGGCCCATCATCCAATCATTTTCGGTACCGTGGCATTTCGCTTCTTGGATGGCGTAGTTTGTTTCGCCGCAGATTTCATCGAACCAGAGAGCAGATGACTGTGCCATGCTGTCCAGTTTACAGTATAAATTTGACGCACTAGCTTCGAGGCTTTCAGAAAGCTACCATGCACAGGTGAGCCCCCTGACTCCCTACTAAGAATGACCACTCACATCGCACTTGCAGCCTTGTCAATTCACTCGTACTTGTGTTCGCTTTAGGATTGCACATTTCCCCCGCCTTCGTCGCGGCGGACACCACTGTCATCCCTTCCAATTCGTTCTCCTCCGTCTCCACCTTCGAATCTTTCTGGAACTACCTCTATCCCTGGGGATCCGACCACAATGGCAGTAAGTAATGTATCGACGCCGCGAATTATACATGACAATGTCCATGTGAAGGTGCCCGGATGAGAGGAAGCTCGACTGACCACAGTCATATTAACGTTGCTTCTAACACGCTCAGCCTTATCGCGACACCAACCTCTAACGCATCACCTCCAACCAGCTCGGCAGATCCCCACCCTGTTATACATTACGCCAGGTAACATCCTTTTGTTCATTTTCCTTAAGAGGGGCACTTATTGCTGAGTCAATCAGTGGAGCTATTCACGCTAAGTCTCAAATTACGGTTACTACTACAGCAGGCTACACAATCTCCGGCGAGTTCAGTGCCCCCACTGCGAGAGGCACATGGCCTGCGTTTTGATAAGTGCCACCGTTCGTATCCTCCGAAATCGAAGCTAACACTTTGCTCGATTGCCTTTACGGTGACTGTACGTAAATTCAATCCGCTATTACTGTATATTGTAAACAGGCTATTTCTCAGGCAGTAAACAGCTGGCCTCCCGAAGCAGACATCGGCGAATGGAAAGGCACTAACGACAACTGGTTTAATACATTCAACACTTCCTCCGTTGTCCGCTCAGACCTCGTTGCTTGGCCGGCCGATCTGTCATTCCACTCTCTCAAAGCTGTCCTTAAGCCAGAGTCTAACGGAGCAGACGTCCGAATCGACTTCTTCATGGATAACACTTTGCGGGCGACGCAATTTGGGAAAGGCTTCATTGGAAAGGCTTTGTGGCTGTGAGTATTTCTAGCCCTTGTCGTCTCGTCACACCTTTGGAACCAATTCCTTTTTGGGGTATATAGGATTATCAACTTGCAGGTGCGCGCCGGTGTATCAATACCTCTTGTCTACGCAGCTTATCAAACCTTCACAGATGGAAGGGAGCTCTGGAAGCCCTGGCCCTACAGGCACTACGACATACAGAGCAAGGAACGTAGTAGTGACTCGTAATGACTAGGGGCGATCAGGAGTGAGGAGAGTCGTATATCGCCAGAATTCCTACTCAATAACAGATTTGAATTTCTCGCCTCTTGGGGCCATGCGAGCGATATGATACCCATGTGGATGTTCACCCGGAAACGGACAATTAACGCTTCTGAGCCGTATGCCACTTCGTAGAGAGCACAATCGCCTAATGATGTACGTGCTCAGCGCGTCTTCCTCAACTGTTCTCACCGCTCAATCAAAGGTGTCTCGTGTTGCCCACAGAGGGGGTACAGATCGAGTCAATAAGGTCAAACCCGACCTCGATACACTGACAGTGGTAGGGACGCAATACGAGTATCTCGACACCCAGCTGGAAGATCACTAGGCGCTGCCGCCGTTGCCGATGTTCCCGTTAGACCCACTCCCCTTGTTGGTGTTGTAGTTCCCGCTGTTGTAGCTCCCACCATTTGCGTTGTGGTTCCCGCCAGCAGCTACAGGCCTATACCTTAAAATGTCGCGGTGTCTCATGAGCATTTGCGGAGGACAACGCTGGATGAATCGACTTACAAGGTATCAACCGACCTCTGGACATAGGCCGAGTTGGCTTGCTCGCCAGTCTGCTCGGTTTCGACTACCGGCATTGCTGTGTTGCACCAATCAGGGCACGGACAAAGGCCAATACGAGAGAAATACCCAAGGCGAATACAACAGAGACGTAAGCAGCGATTGCAAGGATCGACTTGGTCTGCATATTGTTGAAGACTTGGAGTATCGAGTGTAGCTTGGCTGTTTGCTGAGCTGTAGGTGAGTTGAACAGGATCCCCCCTTTATATACGTACTCACTGACACCCAGAATATTTCAGGTGATCAGTGGTTCAACGTCGCCTTCGAAGCACTGGGATCTCTGACCACCCTAAAAGAGCCAGACCCATACGAACTCATGTAGTACCTTCTAGCATTTGCAGAGTAGGAGTAATTTCCGAGCTCGTAAGCTTCAGAACTACTCCTCGGGGTGCCACTGACGAACTTCTCACCGGGGACCGACGAACAGCCCTAGCGGCAACTCCAGAACCTCAGTACCTCGAATTTTTCTCACATTCTTCCCATGATGGTGTTGCATGGCAGCAACTGTATAATCAAACTGGTCTGGTCCACATGTAAGCATGGTAGGCAGGCTGAGAGCATCAGGCAACTTAGAGGGGCTTCTCCTATGGCATCCTTAATTGCGATAAGAGACCACCGACTACCAGACCCACCGTTTGCGCGCGTAAAGCTTCAATGTTGTGGCGCTGATATAGCGCGATACTTTGGATTGCCTGTGAATGAACGCCTAGACGAGGAAGCACCTCCAAATCCTCGACTAAATCAAACTTGGATGATTGAATGACTCGAACCATGCATAGCCTGCCATCGTGTTGATTTATTAGAAGCAGAATAGATGGACTTCTACTTTCCCGTCAAGTGACTTCATGTCTACAGTGTCTGAACTTGAATAAGTCCAGGATGTCCTTCGAGCGCAACGGGAAGCGATTAAGGTGAGGTTAGATCGAAAACAATACAAAAGCACTCAGTCTAGATGCACCTGGTGACCGACACCTGTAATGTGTATCAAATTGAACGACGATGGTAGCGCCGTACGTATTCATGTAATATTGAGCACGTTGTTTAGCTTCCTTAGAGACACAGGTCTGACAGTAGTTGATTCATCGTCGAGTGAGACGGTCTAAGGTCAGGCTGCTCAGCGCTCAACGCTGTAACCTACAAATGTAGTCAAAGTCTCCTCGAGCGATAGCCTCACCTAGAAGACGACAAAGTAGCTACTGACCTTGGTCTTCATATCGAAGGTGAATGTTACCATCGTTGTAGCCGCCTGATTCGACGTCGACTGTAAGTACAACGTTCTGCGGCGTGCAATTTGGCTTCCTCGGAGACGTTTGCGTTGTGTATAGCTGCCTTGAAACTCCCTGATTGGGATGTTTCGCAAGCTATGCATAGACCTCAACGAGAGGCTTTACTTCCTCCGTTTTGACGCCCCTCATCTTGCACCATATATTCTACAAGTCGACCTTGTGTGGAGTGGTGTTGGCGACGAGCCGGCGGATTGGGTTACCACATGCTTTGGTTCCATGAAGAATCTGAGTAGACTACGTTTCTCGGACAGTCCATAAACTCACAGGCCCTCTGGAGTGCGATCTTGACCTTATTGGCCGCCCCTCTTCTTCGGGAGCTCTTCCTACTGGCTGGTGTATCGGACTCTCGATCAATCCACCTCCTTTCCGTCCTCTCTCCTACGCTCGAGAGGTTATCCTTTACTTCCATTTATTTCCCAGAGAGAACACAGTCCAGTACCGACAGGATAGTCCTACATATGGACCACACTGTCAAATTTATCGGAACAGGCCACGACGTTTTGCGACAACACTACATTGAATGTCCGGATGTCCAACATGTGCTTCTTGGTGCCACTCGAGCCAAGAAGGTGTGGCGCTTGCCGCCAATGTGGATTCCTTCGGGGCTCTCGAGAATTACCAGAAGAAGTGCGTGTCTGCGAGATTCCACTTGCTGTATTTGATGTTTCAATCCTTTGGGTCTTTTGGTATCTCTACAGTGCCGACTGATGATACCGTCCCTGAGTTTGGGGAATATATTCGGCCTTCTTATATGATAATCGATGTATCTGAGAGCACTTCATGCTCTCGATGTGTCATCTGGATCCAAAATTGCATCAACAACCTTCCATTTCCTAACGAACTTCGTTGACTAACGATCAGCATAACCGTACACCTCCACTATGTTCGAAGATTCCCCGACATCATCGACTACCAAGTTCTGACCAATGACCAATGTTTTGCAACGGCTCTACAAGCACGGTTCGCTACGTCATATCAACTTGAACATTGCATTACAAGGCAATGGCCCCATCAAGGCAGTCTTTAACCAGGCGAGCGAAGTAGAGAAGTTGAGCAACGCGTTTGCGATGCTCTTGGAGGCGAAGGCGGAGCATCGATTTTGAGTGGCGGTGGACTTGATACCAACTCCCAACACTGAAGTGTGTCGCTCTTTGATTCCCCTCAAGATCGTGCAAGTACTTCAATCATATGAAGCCACATATCTCCTTTAACACGACTGACTCCAAGGCAGTAACTAGCACTATTTTTCAACCGTTCGCATTGCTCAACCAGAGGTGCCTAGAATCGCACACAAGGGAGGTACAGATCAAGTGTCATACGGGCCTAACTCGACCTTGGTACATAGGACTAGCAAGATCACTCCGCCTTGTAGCAGTTGTAGCCGTAGTAGCCACCACTCTTGTTTGTATTATTGTTAATATTGGTGTTCGTATTGGTGTTCGTATTGGTGTTCCGATTGCTGCCTCCGCTGTAGCTTAGCAATGCCATTGTTCGTGAATAGTCACGGTGGAGAACATATGTAGGGTCAACTTACTAGTAATCATCCGACCTCTGGACAACTGCTTGCCCGCCCTCTGCCGTGAATACCGGTACCGCTGTGTCGCGTATATTAGGGCCCGTCCAAAGGTCAATATGGGTGGTACACACCCAAGGCAAATACAACGGAGACGTAAGCGGCGATTGCAAGGATCGACTTGGTCTGCATACTCATGAAGACTGGAGTACGGGGTGTAGCTTGGCTGTTTGCTTAGCTGCAGGTGATTTGAACAGGCTCCCCTTCATATATGTATTCGCCTGACACACAGCATACTTCAGTTGATTGGCAGTCAAGGTCGATACTGAAGCGCTTGAAACTTTTGGCCCTCACAAACTGGCCAGACTCACGGGCACTGATACCATACGAGCAAGCAGTTATCTTCTAGTATTTGAGAAGTATTGATCACGTTTGGTGGGCGAGAACTACTACTCGTGATACTACTAATGAGTGGCTTCTCGCCGGGAATCCCATTGGTCACTTCGGACGAAAAGTTCTAGCGGCAGCGCCAGAGCCCAATTGACTCGAATGATTCTCCCATCCTTCCCGCGATGGCCCGACATAATGTTCATGGTGGAAACAGATTATCAGACTGGCATATGTACAATGGTAGGCCGACGGAGAGTATCAGCCAAAGCCCCTTAAAGGGTACCCCTATGACCAGACGCTCAGTGTGTCCGTTCAGAACGTCTGCGAATGTGAAGGGAAATGACATCGACAAGGCCTGAGTAGAGGGTATCACTGCTCTGCGACAACGTAAATGACCTACGGACTCGATGCCTCGAACCATGTATAACACGTCCATTGTGCTCATGCAGTAGAAGTAGAATTCCTGGTCTTCTACTGCCTCGTCAAGCGCCTTCGTGTCTACGTTGAACTTGAATAAGTACAGGAAGTCCTTCGGACACGCTGTGAAGCAATTAAGGCAAAATCAAGTTAGAACTACTGATACACCAAATCAATTCACATGTAAGAAAAACCAATGCAAGTGACAGGAGTGAGCTTCCGCTACAAGGGTACAATCGTTGATGATTCATTTATGAGTGTTGTTCCACAGGGAACGAACGACGAATGCCTCTGCTTTTGGCATACCATTCTTTGATAGAGATTGGTTGACGATGAATTTCACTAGATATCGATATTTTGAGTTCGGGAATACGATGGGAAGTTCGTAGGGACTTACGAGTTTTATCGGTCCCTGGAATAAGATAGAAGCCGTTGGTTGGTATACCCGTGGTAGCATCGACGAAGTGCCCGACGCTACCAAAAGGATGATCCATCCATGTCCAGGGAGCAACACCACCCTTCGCCGAAAGAGTGAACGTAAGGTCCGGCCCACTGGTGAGTTGAATTCGAGGATCAACCAACTTGGCTTTCGCGAGCGTTGTGGGCGTGAACTAAAAGTAGGTCAGTGACATGTCCTCCCTTAGATCAAACGGAGCCATACATATTGCTCACTGATTACAGCCCGCCCTTCAACTTGCGCCGTGGCGTTTACAAGAAGCCATACATCGGCTTGGTCGTGACCCTTCGGAAGTATGTTGCTGAGCCCCGTCTGGTTGAAGACGAGGGAGTTATTCAAGGCCGGCACATTGAACTGGTGCTTGCTCGTTTGGAGTTGCCTTCCATGCCAGTCGTACCAGGTCAACTGAGCCTGTCCTGAAACAGTTTCCAACCGATCCGAAGTGACCATAACCTCCAACAGCTGACTTGCTGCGTCCCAGAATGGGAAGATGATGACCGGGGAGAAGATGCCCGTCTCGCCGTAATGGAGCACCTTCCATCGGCCAGAGTATTCGATGCTAGACCAACTAACGCCTTGCCAGATGTCATTGAGCTGCCAGACGAGCGCTCCCAGATTGTTCTCTGCTTGGCCCGCACCGCGCCGATACCATGCAACCTGAGCGACCATAGCCATGGATTGGAATACTTGAGTACTCCAGCACCACTGAGCAAAGGTTTGGTTCGTATCTGATGTAAAGGGTGTAGGGAGCCACATCTTGACAGCGTCGGACATCTGAGTCTGGCCATCGATACCGTTGGGATTAGGGAAGTCGAGATTGCCAGCAGGAGGATGGTGATCTCTGGATGTAACCACTGTCGAGTTAAAGAAGAAGTCCTCTGGCGATTCAAGCACTTCCTCCCAAGAGTAAAAGGATGGCATTGAATGGAATCTGCAATACTGTTAGAATTGATCAATGATGCATGACGCGAACCTTACCCAAACTCATTCACAAACCGACTCAACGGAAACGTGTGGTAATCAAAGGCAACGGCGGCATCGTAGTTGTAACGCTCTATGAGGCAAGATCTGAGAACCGAAACGAAGAGCATGCCTTGATCACTTGCCTGAGTTGCCGTATATCGCATCAGAGGAACCGTTATCAAATCTCAGTACGTAGGGATCAAGGCTGAGAACGCCTTTGGTCGTAGAGCAATCCGTGTAGGCAACCTACGAGGCTATGAGCTCACGAGTGCCAAAAGAGGACTGGGTTGGTGACTGACCGACTTGGTCTCCGAAGTGACGGCATTATATAGGACATCTTGAAATAGGGTAACATACTATTGTCGATCAGATTCATGGCTGTCACTGAGCCCAGGTGTAGCCTACCTCGTTCAGGAGATGATTGCCTTCCGGCGCTCCTTGTGATAGATTCGCCGAGACTACGATACCTTCAATCTCATTGCCCCCGGCCCACTGGACATTGCTCGGATGCCTATTCACTCTCCTCACATTCTGGCGAACCTCAGGCTCGATCGTCTCCAGCATAAAATCGTTGATTGGATAAAGTGCGTCTGAGAATATCAGTTCGGACCATGCCAGGATTCCTAGTTCATCGCAGGCGGAGTAGAAGTCGTATACGCCCCCTGCAACGTTTGGACTAGAAGGTTGATACGTTCCTCCACCCCAGATTCGAAGCTAATAGATGAGTGACCATCAGCCCCTTTTGATAACGACTACCACGACACACCATGTTCTGACCACTGGCCTTTGCACTTTCTAGAACCCATCGAACTTGCTCCGTAGACGTTCGTGCATAGAACGGATCAAAGGGAATGATGTTCGTCCCTAGACTGTAGAACGCCTTTCCGTTGATTTCGAAATGCCAGTTGTCACCGGGAGTGATCCCCCGACGTTCCACCTCTTCTTTGGAATATGGAGATTGCACCAGCTGGATAGTACGAAAGCCTGTCCTCGTATTGAAGTCCAGGGAGCTTCCGCCCCCCAGGTCTATCGTAACGCTCAAATTGTACAATTGTGGATTTCCAAGATTGTGAGGGTACCAGCGCTTGGGTATAGAGTCTGGTATTCTCCAGGTAGCGCCGACCCAGAACGTATGGCTAGCGTCGCCTCCAAAGGTGGGAAGACTGAATGCTCGGGAGTTGAGCCTAAGTTCGGGGAAAGATAATCGCATAGTAGCTCCTTTATGAGCAACCGGAGAGCGCAACGCCAGTGAGATATTGAGTATCCAATCAGCCTTTTCATTGGGTGGTACGGAGAAACTCTGGCCAACTTTGAAGATGTCGATTGAAGATTCCTCGATGAATACGGATCCACCTGAAGACACGTCGCCGTGGGGTGATACGGGCGGCGTACCGATTTCGACGTGTCCGCGAGGATCTCTGGGAAGCGTAACAAGGTATGCCGGCTTGTGAATACCACTCGGCACAAATGCGGGACCCTATGTAATAGAGTGAATAAAGGTAGGCGCTGTCAGACACAGTATTCACCCAATCCCAACCAAAATCAGAGGCGACCTTCCTTATCCATCGACGGACGCCCGGATATTCAAACTATGGTTTACCGCGTAAGGACATGTAGATCAGCATGATTGACCAAGACTAACGTCACCCGAGAGACCAGCAGGCAAGATCTCAGCGTCTGGTCGAGAAGAAACATTCAAGCCGTAAAACCAGGCTGATTCGAAGGCGACTGTGATGTTCGTGTCGTTGTGGAGGGGAGACCTGACGAACTCGGTGACATCGTACGTGTACTGTCGAAACTGGTTGTTCACCCAAGCTACGGGGTGTCCAGCTAGAGTCTGTTAACACAATCAATAGGGAATAACCCACTAAGAGGGATGTTGCGTACGATATTCGCAATAGTGTCAATCCCATAGAGTACGAGTAGCGTGGTATCCTGTTTATGAGATTGGAGGAAGGGCGTGATGTCCGCAGTATACGTCCAATTCTCGTTCACAACCCATCTTTCCGTGAAGTCTAATAAAGGTCATGCTTGAATCTTCGAAAGCGAACACAGGTGCGAAGCTCACCATTGATGCCTAGCAGAGGTTCGGTGATAATGCCAGCTTTCACTAGATCCAGATGCGCTTGTGAGGGAACCGAACCAGGAATTGCGATAGTTCCGTTTTGATTCTTCAAAGTCCAATGTAGGCCTGATAAATCAAATATTGCCCCATGGACTGCACATGCAAGCCAGAGGGTCAATAACGATCCAACCAGGAGTTCGTTACCCATGGTGGGCTAAGAATTATGCATTTCCTGTGACAGGGCCTTATATCATAGACAGGAAGCATTGATCTTCGAAATGAAGGAAGTCGCGCTGGCATACGTGGCCTGGCCACCTGATAGAGCTACGCCTTCTTCGTTACCTCACACAAACCTCGCCATGCGCGGTATTTGACAAACATTGGAGTAGAAGGTCTGGTTGCAGGTGGTGAAGAAGCTGAGTCGAGAGTTCACCGGGTCCGAAGGCGCCCCCTGAGAGGTTCGCAATGAGTACATACTTAGCTTGTACTTCCATCCAATTTACACGCACCTTGATCAGTAAGTGCAGTTCCTATTGTCGATTGAATAATGTGACTGTCGGAACAGGAGTTCCGTGTTGAGCTTAAGATGGTCTCTAGCCCGAAACTTCGAAAAACGGCACAGCTGCTAAGAGGGAGGACTGCGTGCTGGGATAAAGTAGTGCATGTGCTGCTAGCAGAAATAGCCACCGGAACGAACCAAATCTCGGATAGTACCACGTCAAAGGTGGTAGCTGGTACAACGCGTTTGCGATGTGGTTGAATGCCGCCTCGAGGTGCCTCATTTGGCAAGAAGGCGCGATCACGCGATCGACGCCCGGCCGTTGCCGCAATCGTTCTCACTCACTTTCACTTGGTCGAAGCAGCGACATCATGGCCCCCCGCCGGCGTGCAACTTGTCAAATCTGCAATGAGACAGAATCAAAGTATACTTGTTCTCAATGTCTTGTAGTATAGTTGAGTCGTTCACCTAAGCGTCTCCTCACTATGATCTCCTGAACTCTGAGCAGCTGCTCCGTGCCATGCTTCAAAAATCACAAAGGTCTGTCTATGCCGTTCCGTCAGGTACTCCAAACCATAAGCGGTCTTTCTGTCTCTGCAGAAAAATGTGCACCATCGAATGAAGCTCGGAACGAAATTACCAGACTCGAGAGTGCAGCTGGACCATCAAGTGCGGCCTACCTTGTTCACTCATTGGTATCCCTTGACGCGAATTTGTTCGCTAGCTCCGAGTGCTACGCAGGAGGAGGAAAACGTAGCCGATCCCAAGCCCTTGCGTCCACTCACGTCCTTAAACTGGCCTTACGTCCCCGAGGAATCTGCCTATCCCGATCCACTAAAACGCGATGATCCCAAACCACTTCAGTTGCCTCAATACGAAGCAATAGGTAGATCCAGGCGTTTCATACGGCTTGGCATTAGTTTACGCTCTACACAGCTACGTCGTCGCAAATCCGCAAGCTACTCATAGAACACCCTAACTTAAAGGAACAGCTAATCGCTATCGACAAACACCGCGGCCCGGATCGCGAGTACGCTTTACAACGTGCACTAGGAGTAACACGGACAGATATCGAGAGACAACAGGGGCCTGAGGTGCAACTCCCAGAAGACGTAGTAGCTCTCCGTGCACTAGCAGAAGCAGTCGAAGTAGCGGTCAGGGGAGGAAAGCAAGACGCTCTCGGACTCGACTGGGACAACGAGTGATCCTGATGTACAAAAAAGCACACTATACGATGACAACAACAAACGTGGAACGAAGAATGAGGGTATCCTAAGGGTATCCGGGAGAGGGTGCAGAATCAGGGCTTGATGCCCAAGAATACAAGGCCACGCTTGGCCTTCTCCACTTCTTCCTCGAGGTCGCGGCCGTCTGCCATAGTCCACTGTGCTTCTGGTGGAATTTGGTCAGGAGTCTTTCCGCTTCTGATCGCTGTCTCAAAAGCGGAGCGGCGAGCACCCAGGGTTGCCATTCGCCGCGGGTCGGAGTGGCCGGTGAAGATGATGATAGCTGTCCGAGAGGGTAACGAAGAGTGCAATGTAGCTAAATGGGTGTTTAGGGAGGAGAGGGACGCCTCAATTTCTTCGGGTGTCGGCGGCGGAGATGGTTCAGGTGGCGGAGCGTCAGGGTTTGGCTTCGGAGTAGTCCCTACAGAAACTTGTTAGAAGGATATTCTCAGCGTTCCCTAGACGTAACCTACATCCCAGCGTGTCTGCCAATCCCATGAACCGACCGAATATAAATTGATGCGAAGGCAGCGCATCTAAGATGCCCTTGTGTATGTCATCATCATTCTTGCAAGCAATGGTCGTATCGGCTTTGGCGCCATGCATAAACGCTGGGTTGCCATAATCAACAACCGCTGACTTGATGCTTCCAACACCGCCGCCCGCGCGCCTTGACGATCTCTTCAAACGTTCAAAAATTGATTCGTGGTCGACCTTGAATTCCCCGAAGCCAGGGCCTTGCTCAACCTTCTTCTTGAGCAGGTCTAGGCAAGCACGAGCGTCTTCTTCTGGGTCATGGCCTCCTTCACCTCGAGTTTGAATTTCTTTTCCACACCACTTCTTGCTTAACCAAGCTAATCCTGGTTTAAGCGGTCGTCCGCGTGGATGGTGATACAAGATCGCAGTATCGATACAGTAAGGGTGGCACAGCTTCAGAGCTTTGAGGTCGGATTCAAGAGAGTGACCGAGGAGAATGGGGGTTGGAGGTGGTGGAGATGGAGGCGACGATGAGGTGGAGAAAGGGTTGGCGGGAGGAGGGGAGAGGAGGCGGAGTAGATGGGTTTGTACAAGGGAGAGTGTGGTGGTGACAGGCGCAAGTGCTTCGGCCGTTATGCCTGACCACCTATTTCAGCATGTCAGCGAGTCAACAATGAGTATTAGTTAAGAATGATCAGGTACCTGGTCAAATAGTCGGTGATGGGTTTCGATGGCTTAACTAACTGGTCGTATATCACGATGCCGGTGTAATAATCAATTATACATATCCTAGTCAACTCTTTGCCGTCTTCGGTCATGCACTAGACGTCGGTTAGCCCACGGAAGATCGACGCCGCTGAGACACACCATTTCGCAGTCCAGCGCGTATATTCTTTGCTTCGGGAGGTCAACGCCCTCGTCAAGAGGTTCCGGTTTGTATTCTGGTGTCTCAACCCAACCTGGCGACTTCTGGAAGGTGTCGGACATATATGATGGTATGGGGTAGTCATCTTCAATCATTTGCTCGACAGACAGAAGAAATTGCGTGGGGTCCTCATTGTGTGCCTTCTCTGCTAAAAACGACGTAATGCGTATACAGCAATGTAGAAAGATGGCTGCTGGACGTACAAGCAAGTCTCTGCTGCATGCGCCGTTTCCTCTCTTCGCCAGTGATTGGGCCATGGAAGAATGCGCTGAGCACACTGTACATGTGGGTTTGATCGCCTGGGGCTCTGGTAGGACATGCGTGACTGAATGTCGCAGCAACGAAGGGGATTGATGAGGGGGGCAAGGGGATACTGAGTGGTACATTGGGGTTTGAGGTTGCAGAGGTCGGTAACGGAGGCAAAGAAAGTAGAGAAGGGGTAAGACCAGGTACGAGAAGTGTGACGACTTTTTGAATCATCGGTGCATTCTGTTAAAACGGCTTGCATTGAGTAAAAAAGCGAGAAGAGTTGGCTCAAACATACATCGACCCGTAGCCAGTTCGGAGGTGGTGCATCTGCGATGATATGAACAACAAGTTCCCGGATATCCTGCGTTCACTTCAGCTCCAATGAAAGGACCCTGGTACCTGCATGCCTACCTCGATGCCAATTGCTTGATTTCGCTTCAAGATCTCCGCATTGTTGTACATAAACCTTGGTTGATTTGACTATAGAAGACATCTAGTACGTGATGAATGCGCTAGAAAGAAACACACTTCGAGTTTGACCTCATGCTTTTTCGCTTTTTTCTGCTTGCGCTTTTCCACCCTGGTCCAGTCGTCTGCAGAGTCGAGGGCGTTTTGAACGGGGGCTAGCTGGGACGATGTCTTAACTTTTTTGTGGGTCGGAGACGATGGTATTGTCGGCGACGAAGCCTTGGATCGCTTCATGTCTACTACTCTGGCGCGGGTCAGACAGCACAGAGGATATGAGATGAGATGAAGCTTCTGGCAACGGGTGCAGTATCGCAGGGCGCTACACCGCGTGTTACGTAACAGTGATTCACACCATCACGAGTCCGCAAACGTGCAGTCTACTTCTACGTTCTACTCCCACTGAGAGTCCTAGAACTCGCCGAATGAAGATGCTCGCCTTCTACTAGGAACTCCGAGTGCAAGTACTTCGGACACCGTAGAATGCTCAATGAATACATATAGGGTGCCCTGCACGATATCCAGCCTCGATTATATCCATAGGGGGTTGTACGCTTCTGGTTGACTTTGGTCCTTCACTTTACCTTCAATTCGCTGGCCTCATCGAAATCCGGTTGAGAAGCCCCAACCAAACCATCAGTATGCCGATATATGCCACCGGACAGTAACGGAGGCGTTTCAAGTGGTAAGCCTTACTCTTTTCCCTGAGGCAATGGTTAGTCGACAACGAAGTCGGAGGAAACAATGGCGGGAATATCGGAGTGGGCAACAACAACGGCGCAAACAGTGGCAACGATCGCCCTTGATCCCGTTACTGAAATGCACGGAGCCTGTCTCTGGTGTTACGGCTGTTGGCGTACTAGCGGGTTCGAGTCTGGTTGCATCAACTCAAGTCGCATTTTTGTTGTATGCAATGCTAGGCGATGGTGCATGTGCATGATAAGTGGTAACCGACGGTTCGAAAACTGCCCACATCAAGCTGGCTAGAGGACGGTTGATCGATTATTAGATTGGACGGTGCAACGGTGAATCTCAATGTTCGTCAATGTTCACTAATCAGCTGACCGGGACCCCTAGGTCGACGTTTCGAGACCTTGCTTTTCGTTTACTGTCGCTGCCTTATACCGTTACATATACAGTGTGTTCTAACGACCGGACCCGCAGCATGCCGACGGGAAGCTGCCAACATCAAGTCGGAAAGCTTGCCTCGCAGGGATCCGCAGTCCGGTTAGGAATACTCACCGTGACATACACAGTGCTCCTGCATGCTTGGTGCAGAAAGTCCCTTCCGATTGCCTTCTGCTGCGCTTTGTGGATGGTGTGGTGAAGGCAAATTAGTGATTTCGTAGCTCTTGCTTGCTCGCATACTGAGCTCAGTTTGTAGGTTGCTTTCTAAACAGGCTATAGGATGGAATTTGGATTAAAGGGTACGTGCCGTGCATTTAAGCTACTTCCCGATCTCTTACACATTCAAATACTCACAGACGAAGCAAGAAAGTAGATCCAATCAGTTTAGCTCTCGGATCAAAATCAAGAACCTGAAGTCGGTGTTGTTCTCAAAAGTATATGCGGAAGCTTACTATGTATCTCGGCCCCCCATCGCTGGATATGTAGCAACGTTTCGATGTGCGTCAATACTAGCACCATCCAATACCCTTTTCGGTAGCTAGCTTGACAACGTGGCGTAGCCAAAACGTACAGCGGCATGCAGGACACCTTGCAGTTGGTGATGCTCTCAACTACATGGATCGATGCTTAAAGGCAACGAAGCCAGACTTCCCAGCAATCCATCACAGCTATGCACACCGAGCTCTTAACCGCTCTACTAACACTTGTGATGGGCTCGTTCGCCTCCCAAGAACACTTTCAGAGTTTTGATGACGGGGTGCGACCAACAGCACAACAATGTGTATGCCTACCATCCCAGCTATCTGTCTGTACCCCTGTACTCATTCCCATCCTCTAGTGCAATTCTCTTGAAGCTGTTTTGGTTTCCTCAGTAATCCTCTACCCCGGCTCATCGGGATATACCGATCAATTAGGTTCCTACTACTCTCTGGACCAAGCCACCCAACGGCCAGCTTGCCGCATAGCTCCTAGCACTGCTGAGGACGTTGCGCTTATCGTGAAATATGCGACTTCTTCTAGATGTGAATTCGCCGTTCGTTCGGGTGGCCATATGAGCTGGGAGGGCTCCTCAAATATCGGACACAACGGATTCACCATTGACCTAGAGGGCCTGAAGCTGATAGAACTGCAGGATGGTGGAGAAACCCTTTCTATCGCTCCCGGGTTAACATGGGGAGAAGTCTACGCGTTTCTGAAGCCACATGGGCTACATACGGTGGGTGCTCGTTCCCCTGGAGTCGGCGTTGGGGGTTTCCTGTTAGGAGGTCAGTTGATTGCACGAACCCGATTGGGTCACCATCTGATAATCATGTTGCGCAAATAGGCGGAGTGTCTTTCCTATCAACGGAACATGGACTTGGGAGCGACAACGTCCTCGACTATGAAGTCGTCCTCTCCAACGGATCCATCGTACATGCCAACAAGGCTGAGCGCTCCGATCTCTTCTGGGCGCTGAAAGGCGGAAGCACCAACTATGGAATAGTGACCCGCTTCCTGATGCCGACGATGCCCCTTACTCAATTGTGGGGTGGTTTCCTTACGTACTCTGCAAATGCAGTCCCTCAGCTTTACGAGCGAATGGTTAAGGTCACTGACCAGCTGAAAGTGGATCCGCGCGGCCTAATGATTATCTGTACTGCGTGGAACCCTGCTACAAAAGAGCACACCGTATGGGCACTCGCCCTCTACCTCGCTCCTCATGAATACCCCAGCCCACTCTTCGATGGATTACAAGACATCGCACCCATAGGAGGCACGACGAGGGTCACCAATTTGGGGGAGATCCTTGATGAAGCAGGTCAAGCGCTTCCAAAGAGTCAATATTCGCAGTGGTTTACCTTGACCTTCAAGGCTGATGCGAAACTACCATGGGATGTTCAGCTCAAAGGCGAGGATATTTTTGGGGACCTCGAAAGTTCCGACGCACACTGGGAGGTCCTTGTACAGCCCATGAACGAAGGCATGTTTTCCGCGGGTCAGAAACGTGGCGGAAACCCATTCGGCCTCTCCGTTGAGAATGGCGATCAGTTCCGTGCGTACTTGGTTGACTAGTGTAATAGCGCACTCACGAAAACTTATGTCTAGTCATGCTTGTAATGGTCTTCTGGACCAACCCTGAAGAGAGCGCCCTCATAAAGGCAAAAACGCAAGAGTACCTAAAGGTGTCGATGGACCTGGCACGAGAACGCGGGTTGCTAACCGAGTTCATCTACGCGAACTACGCGTCGGGAACTCAGAATGTTCTGGAGAGTTACGGCGAAGAAAATATCAAGAAGATGAGAGCTGTAAAGGAGAAATACGACCCCAACAACCTCTTGGAAGTGTGGAAAGGTGGCTGGAAATTGTAGCGTGGTTTATGACGCTGAGTGGACTTCTTACACATTGATCTTGAGTTGTCTGGTAAATGCCTCGATGGCCTCTGTACACTAACATCTTGTTCCCTTGTATCGCAACCACGCCACGCCCACGACCACCTTTATCCTCATCTCTGCTTAATCCTCAAACCACGGGCAAAATGGCCCCGAACAAGCCAAAATACAACCTACAACCGCGAAAACCATGTCCAATGTCCGCAGACGCCGTCACGATCTTTGACTATCGCGCCTCAAAATCTTCTTATCACATGGTATGTTATTGGCGCTAGTATGTGAGCTCCGTGAATCTTGCACCATTGAACCCTCCATTATTCCCAGTATTGTTTCCGTTGACATTTCCGCCATTTCCGATGTTGCCACTGTTTCCGCTGTTTCCGCCATTGTTACCTATGCTCACGCTATTCCCGTTACGACTGTTCACGCCGTTCGAGTTGGTTGCGCTGGTGTTTCCCGTGATGTTCCCACTCTCCGCGCCACCAATAGTGTTATTGCCACTGATTGTTGTTCTACCGCCACCTATCCTGGTCCCGCCGCTTTCAGAGGTTACGTCGTTTGGTGAGGTTGAATGAAGGCAATGCAGTAGGGATGGCTTACGCGTCAATTGATCTTGATGCATGCTCATCCTTGAACAGTTGAGATATCGGCATCGCTGTATCACGGGGAAAGTTAGGTTACTCCCAATATTCAATGGCTGTTATGAGGAGGACTTACCCAAGACAAATAGAACTGAAATGTTTGCGGCGATTACGAAGATAGTCCTAAGCTGCATTCTCCGGATGTGTATTCGCTGTCGAGTCGTATGGCTGTTGCGGATCTATGGGTCGGTCAAGCACTTTTGCACTCTTTCTTTTATATCTGAGTGCGATGACATCCTTCATCCTCAGTAGGTATGACTAACATGTCATCGTCCTTGGAGGAGGAAGAAGACAAAACATTGGATGAAACCATCGGAAGCACGCAAGTGCCTCTAGCATTTCGGTGGCAGGGCCAAGGCAGACCAGAACCCTCTCTGAAGTTATTGTTGCACTATTGGTCGCTTATGGATGGCAACACTGTGGGTAAAGAGTTGCACATGGTTGAACTTGCAATGGAAGGGAGAAGAACTGACACTGCGAGAATCACGACGAAGTCACTACCCAAGGCCCGCAATCAACAAGCTCTACCATCGATTCTTATGCTAGTATGGCGCTATCTTAGCACGTTCGACATTGTGTGACTTGAGTCGTGATTTTTCCACATAGTGAAACAGAAAGAGAAGCCGACATTACTAAGCTATTGAGCGCCAAATATATTCATAGGATTGAATACAAGCCGTCGTTCAGGGCAGCATCGGGGTCGGATGTTTAGAGAATATGGGGGCTCCAATGAATGGCGGCCTGCCGCTCATCAATACCCCACGCGACAGTTCTATTACTTCTAAGCATTGTAATTCACGCCTGTGATGCTGAGTCGATCTAAGTGGTAAGTTATAGGGGTACACTCTTTTCTCCTAAGCCAACGATTCAATGTTGTCAACGCTTGACGCGCTCAGCGCTCACCGACATCGTGCAGGCTGCTGCGGGGGATGGTCGGCCATCACTGCCAAGCAACTGATCGCAAGCGAGAAGACACTCAGACTTCTGATTCTGTGACTTGCAGCTGGTGCAGCATTCCCACTGATCTAAAAATAGTACGGTTGTTCCAAGCAAAGAAATTTCTCATAACAAACAAAGACTCCGTAGAGTTTGGTGAGCTATTGCTGCAGCGGCTTGCCTGATCCAGAATGCTAGAGGGATGCTCCCTTGCGCTAGCCAGCGACCGCCAATGACCTGAAACTTGCCTTTCTACATTCCAACTTTCAAAGTCAACTTCTTCATGGCAAGACACGCACCTGGTAGATCATAAGAGATATACAAGACGCTGGATGCCGAGCGAGGTATAGATATAAAGAGTGCATCTCAAACATGCCCTAGTCCCGCATCAGCCTTGCACCACTTTGCATATCTCAACACAATGCAATTTAAATCTATCCTCCTAATCGCTGTGACTATTTCGGTCGCATTTACGCTGGGTGTGTTTCTTCGTTTCCACCATTGAAACTTGGGAGTGACTATCTTCCACGACACAGCAATGCCAGTAGTTCAGTTGGAGGGTAAGCTTGGAGGGAGGACAGTCGATGAGTCAGTCAATCCCCACTACCTCGTCCTTAGATATACAGTTGATAAAACCGTTGCCAGAGGTAGCGCCAGAATTGGCGGCGGCACCACGACAATCAAGGGTAACAATTCTATTGGTGGGGCGAGGGGCGGAAACATCTCTGGAAATGTCACTTCGAGCGGCTCGAACGGTGTGAGCAGCAGCAACGGGAACGGCGTGACCATCGGCAACAACGGTGGAAACATTGGAAACAGCGGAAATACTGGAAATGGTGGGAATGTAGGAGGAATCAACTCCGGGAATAATGGAGGGGTCAACCGTCCCACTTGAGCCTGATTCCATTGACGCCTGTGACTAAGGAGTTCGCAGTATATATTATACTCTGTAGTAGGCTTGGATTGCGAACTTACTAGCGCAAATCCGACTGTCTGAATGACCTCCCGAATGTCTCGAAGTTTTCCTTCATTGCGAACTGTGTTCCTACCTCCAACAAAGATACCTCTGAGACAGTACTCTAAAAGAAACGGGGCAGATACGGCGTCATCTGTTACGATTAGATGGGAGGTTCAGGAGCCTATACGGGAAATGGCGCCATCGCGTGGGGATGAGCGAAGGAGACTGAATGAATGGCCAATCTGTGATTTAACTAGTTAGAGCTGCCACACACCAGAAATCCGGATGGGCATCTAGGCTGAAAGAAATTATGAATACATCAGTTTTACCGCCCGGCGAACAACACACCAGAATCTACTATTGGTATGCGGCGCTGTAGGGAAGGTGTCACGCATTCTCTGCCAGTCTTCAATCTTGACTTGGAGTGTTTCGAGACGACCCTATTGCAATAGAATTTACTCGTTTCTTTCTTTCGTTGCCCCTGTGTCAGTTGATTTACGACTGATAGTCCTTCAGCCTGACGAATCGTGAAAGATGTGTCCTGTTGGACCCAGGTTAGGATGGTATTCGAAGCGAGTCGTGCCCATGGCTTACCTTTTGGCCGATTCGGTAGTCGTTAGCAGTCGCAACACAGCTAGTGGGTTGCGTTCTATCGACGCAGACACGAAGAGAACTTGCTGCTGATCGTATCCTTACTAAGTTTATCGGCGATGCGAATAGGCGCTGGTAAACCCACAAGCGATTATAACGCAAGTAGTAAGGCTGACCTGGCAAGAGTCTGACTCTGGTCGCCAACACATTCTAGCATAGTGTCAGATCGGCCATTGTTCTGGTATGAGGATGAGCCAATGGTCACGTCGGTTGTAATGAGAATCACTGTCGACTCGATCGGAACTCTCGCGACGCATGTTCCATTACACCTAGAAGAATATCTAGGCTCAAACAATTGTACAAGTTATAAATACACCGGCTTCGCCGCTTGGCGAGCACGCACCAGAATCCAAAATGCCAGCTTTGGTTTCACCAGAAATACCACCGCTATGCAAAACCTCTGAGATGACTCCGATATACGAGATCAAGAATGAAGGCGATAAGTCCAAGGATTGTGTCCTTTTCTTCAATTAGCCTTCTCCGCACCAGAATACCATTGGGTTTGAGCCATCGCCACCGTGCTACACCATTTAGAGGGCCTTCAAATTCGAAGACGCCTGGGCCGCGAAATCCTCAAAGCTTCCGGCAGCCTAAGCATACACCAACCATGAGCGTATCCTTCCTTTCCCAAGAAAGACCACTAGCCGAGCCGAAGCCATGCTAGAATGGCTCGCGATCCACTGCCCTCACTCTACCGGAAGCCGAAGCAAGCAGATATAAAGAGGGATCCCAAACCTCACCTCAAACAGCCCAGCTACCACTTGCAGGAGTTACGCATCAAAATGCAGTTCAAGTCTATCCTCGCAATCGCTGCTTGCGTCTCCGTCATATTCGTTATGGGTGGGTTTTGTGTATTCGTCGTTGTGCAAGGGGCTGGCATACTTAGTCCATTTGACAGCGGCGCCCGTAGTCGAGTTGAATAATGACGTTGATGCCACCAATGTACAGGAAATCGACGCGTGAGTGGATCCCTTCGGCACAGTTCTCTACCGCTCACAGAGTGTACAACCTCTTCCAGCCAGAATAGAAACGGGAGTGGCAACAGGAACAGCGGCAATGGGGGCAATGGCGGGGTGAGGGGCAACGGTGGCAACGGTGGCAACATTGGGGGCAACAGGAACAACAACCGTAAATGATCACATTCTGTAGCATTGATCGCGTTACAGAATGTAGTCTCATTTATCTGTTGCGAATGTCGAGGAGAGGTTCAAGGGTATCGATTCAGCCGCCTAAGTGTTTTATATCGTTGACACAAGAGGGGTCGCCAGTTCTCGACTTTGCGTGCAATTCTAGATGATGGAGCACTTTCTGGGGCTGACGAAACCACCACTAGAGCAAGGTCGAAATTGGCAACGACCGCGGGTTGATCGACATTACTTTGTAGCGGGAAGAATATGGCGACGTGCTTCTTCAGAGACGTATCAGTGGCAGCGCCAAAAAATAGTATTCATTTGAATGTGCGAGGTCCATCGAACGTCAACATTCGAGAAAGCAAGTCAGTACGCGCGCGTAGCCAGAGACATAGATACGTTTGGAATGTCTTGAGAGATAATCGTATAGGCGCAAAATGTGAACATTGGATGCGAGGTGACTCTCCGAGACGAAAGAAGGGGGTTCGTGGGGCCGTAGATTCCAAGTAGCACGACGAGAAGAGGAAGTACTAGACGCTGAAGGCGCTCATTCGAACGATCATAGCCCACACATACTCCGATATATATGAGTAGGCGATCTAGGCGGTCACCTCATGTTATAGCAGCAGATGCAGCAGCAGCATGCCACAACTAGCCTGAGATTACTGGCGACGAGGTCGATCAGTGAAGAATGAATGTCCCAAGTAAGTGACTTACTAGCTCGCCTTCTTATGCAAACAGGGTTCCTGCTAGAGCTTTCCATCCGACGTAAAAATAGTGGTGATGCCCCACGCAGAGAGTTCTTGAATGAGACTTAAGACATAGTCTGGCATTGAGTGAGCATCGAATGAGGAGTCTGGCGTACTAGTATCGTGGCAGCCTCCCTATCTCCAGCATGCTAGAAGCCCACGACGCGCTTGAACCTCAACACTCTGACGCCCAAGGTCAACTACTGTCACGATGGAAGAAAATCTGTCGGATATCATTAGATTGTGACTGATATATGGTATACTGAGTGCTAGTGGCTCCGTGTATAAAGCACTCACCTGTGCTCAACCAACCTCCACAGCAACCTCGCTATAACTTACACACATCGACAATGCAGTTCAACTTGACCATCCTCTCAGTCGCCGTGTACGCCTCGGTTGTGTTGGCGTTGGGTGCGTTGATTCACCTTGACCACTGAGACTTGAGCACGTCATAACTTATGCAACATAGCCATTCCGGTATCTCGTGAGGGTGCTGGCGCCCTTGCGACGAGGGCGACCGACGCGTAAGCAGTTATTTTCCGGGCGGTACTTCTGGAACCTCACAGAAAGTTCGACGTTTTTCAGCGGGCCCAGGATTGGCAACGGTACCAGGATTATTTCTGGGAACACGACTGTTGGCGGCGGCAGCGGGAGCATCAACGGAAACAACAGTGCGGGTGGCACGAATAACGGCGTGAACGGCAATAACGGGAACAACGAGAACATGGGCAACAATGGCGGCAACGTTGGGATCAGTGGGAACAACGGAAATGGTGTCGGCGGAAACAATGGGGCGAACAGCAGCGGGAACAGCGGGAACAACCGCCGTTGACCGTGTTGCAGATTCAAGGAGTTTGTGGGCTCTGGCTGTCTTCGGCGTCCTGGTTTCTAGTTAGTAGTCTCAAAACATACCTTCGATGTATGTAATACCAAGCGATGGCACATCACTGAATGTCAACACATCGGGTATTGATAAGTCTAAGAGATACATTACGCGCGCGTGGCCCAGTCGTGTCATTAACATCATCATCGTGGTCCATAAACATAGATACAGAGATAGAAATGGAATGTCCTATAAAATAACCATAGATGAAATGACTTCGTCAGAAACAATGCCCAATATCAACAGCAACGAGGTATACCTGACCGTCTAGAACTTGCTAGATGGTCCCGAAGTAGGTTGTACGAGTCTTATGCCGCCGCCCGGTGGTGGGATGTCATCGTCTTCTTCTGGCTGCCATAGGCCGACACTCTCATCTCTGTCATCCTCTTTGTCTCCACGTGGGTAATTTCGTCTCGGGGATCTCCCGCGATCAGTCTTCCCACTAGAACTGCTATTGCCCCTCGACGACTGGGCGGCTCCGACGCTCAGCGTAGAGTCTACCGGTGAAGGGAAGGTCGGGAGTTGCGTGGGCGCCCGACTGCTGCTGTGGAATATATCGCGAGCATCTATTCGTTTTGGTAAGCGTTGGTTGATAAGCGGCGGTGCACTATGCGCAGCATGCTCTGATGATATACGTGAAAGAAGAGGAAGCGTTAGGCCATCGTTATCATCATCTGAATAGAGGTCGACGTTCGACGCCGCCGCAGCGGCCGAGGTGGAGTCGGGATTGATTCCCAGCGGCTGCGGTGACGGAGGGTAGGCGTTACCCAGCGGCGAATGCGGTGCTTCACGGTGTTGATGTATGACAGAGTTATCTCCGGTCCCCGGTCTTGAGTACTGATGTACAACATCCTGGCTATCGAATTTGATAGTGGGGCGTTTGCCAATGGCTGAAGGGCTACCAGGCGGAGACAAAGCGGATGAGGTGGGTCTTGGGACGGGTGCGTCATAGAGTTGGTGTCTAGTCATTCCGGCTAGCGCTTCGCGCTCAGCAGTCGGACTTTGCACCACTATGCGATCGGGGAAGGCGTGCGATGCTTCGATATCGTATGCTGTGCTTCCTGCAGCAAACCCGGGCGTGCTTGTTCTCCTGCTGCTCTGACTCAGCCTCCTTGCGCTCCTCGCCCGGATGATACTCCCAACCGTTCCAAAAGATCCCCGCAGAGCGTCGATACCAGGATCTTCCTGACCAGCGATACTCTTTTCGTCCGTTTCAGTTCTCTGCCGTGCAGCTTGCAGAAGAATCGTCGACTTGCGGTCAAGCTTTCCGAGTTGCTCTGGATCGACCTTGGACATCTGGAGAATAGTAATGCCAACACAAATGACTAGGAAACCCATCACAATCGTTATGATTTGAGATGCGCCGGCGTGAAGGCCCCTGTACAGAACCTATTCATAGGTGAATATGGTCGGTAGATTTCAAAAGCAGGTTCATACGACATACCACCGTTGTAACCATGGAGAAGAACGTAACTATTGAAGGTGTCAGTAAAAATACCACCGTCAAGAAACGAGTAAACCAACATATAACATAGTATGTTGGCGTAACTATAGAGGATTGATATCAGTAGACTGACATAGATACATAAATACGACTTTACCCATGGCTACACAGAACGGTTAGTATACAGTCAATACAGCTGCAGGTAAAGAGACTCGCCTGTGTTGAATAATGCAAGGGCCACGTTGAGGTAATACACTTCCGTGACTGATTTCATGCTGTGAGATCGGAGCAACGGTCAGCTTGATATACCACTCACGCAACGTAGCAATCACGAATCCAGCTAAGAAGTACATGAACCAGAAATTAAACTGGGGGCATTGTCAGCATCTATCACTTGGAAAATGCATAGCGAAACTCGCCTGATTATCGCCCATTGCTGTTTGTACAATGGCAGCGCCAAGACCCGTTGTTACACTAACACTTATACCTCCGATCATGCTGCAGATCATGATATACCATAACATCGATTTCCGGCCGTATTTGGGAGCGAAATAGAAGATGAGGACGAGCGACGCGGCGAAGATGACGGAGATGTAAGCCAAAAAGCCCGGTGCGATAAATAGTTTCATGAATTCTCGAATTTGGCCCACAGTCGCCTCCCTAGGACCTGCGCTGAGGTCAGTAAAGCGGCAGTACACATACCCAATGATCAACAGAATAACTGCAACACCGTTTCTCGCACCACCGATCGTCATGCCGCCAGAAAAGTGATTCGCAGCGACGACGTGATATGTCCGCGTGCGCGGCGCAGGCAGGGAACGAGAGAAGCCAACTGAAGTTCGACCACCCATTAGGCGAGGGATGCTCACCGTTTAGAGCTATCACAACGGAACCCAGCTATTTACATGGTTATTGCGGAGAAATAAAATTACAGGCAGGGAACTCACAATACAAAGAATACAACCTAGCCAGCCAAAGAAACTGAGCTTCTCATGAAGGAAGAACGACGAGAGTATGGCGCAGACGACCACGGATAGGGCGCCGAGGGGAGTCTATATGAGATGAGGGAGTGTAGATGACAACAATTGCCTGGAAGTACGCACGACGACGATGGCTTCGACAAAGGCATATGCTGGGAGTATAATGGGTATGATGTGAGTGAGTTGGCGTTTCAATTTCTGGCCCGCGCACCTGCGAAGTTACATATTTCACCCAAAATCATCACTGGTGCGGAGAAACCATGAATGAAGACCGTAAACCCGCTGGACGTCGCTGAATAGCTCACTTGTCATTCCGGTCCACCACATTGCCTTCGCAAAGGTAAGCTGAGTTCTCCGCCAGCAAGGGTCCTGAGCTGGCTCACCGATTTGAGATATGCCACTCCCTCGCCAGCGACCTGTCCCTTTTGTGACTGCACCAGGCCTTTCTTCTTCAACACAAAGCTTGACCCGATAAGGATGCCGCTGACAATTGCCAGGATAATGCCAACGATCTAACCATTGCTCCGTGTAAATAAACTTCGTTTCCAGGGTTATATCATGGTCACCTTGAGGTTTGCAGGCGCCTGCAGTGTCTTTGTGGCAGATGATGATGTGGCCGCAGCGACCGACGAAGTCGCTGACGCCGATGGCGACGTCGTCGAGGACATGGTGGTGGTAGGGGGAAGAAGCGGATGGTTGCGAGTGACCGGTCAACCACGCCTTCGATTGGGCGTCAATATTCTGGAAGTTCTGCTACTTTTAGCCAAGACATCGCCTTCGCCACAACCGTCATCTTGCTTACCATCATGCCCGCCAAAATGAGCCAGGATGCATCTCAAATGGGGCTCATTGTGCGGCTCGCGTTACTCCAGTGCTCGGCTCTTTGATACTGCGCAAGAACAGCCATGTTTCGTTTTCCAGCGGTTTTATCAATTACTACCGTTTCTTCTCAAGGCCTTGTCTGACCGCACTGCGGGTGGCGGGGTGGTCAAGTGCTCATCCAATGTCGCTAGAACAACCTGCCCGATGGGTGATGACTGACGCTTATTTGAATACAAAGAAAGCACGGTTCCAATTAGTATTGGCAACAGAATACAGTACTATCCAGTTACAGTGACGCAAATGCACGGTGCAAATCAATTGCTCCAAGAACTCTTGTTCGCCTCGACGAGATCACGGAGCCTCTGCTTTCCTACATACTTGTTCTCCGCCTTGGTAACTGCCTCCTCCCCTCCGCTAGCGATGACAGTATTCAAGAATGCCAAAGCGGTGGCTATAGGCTCCGCAAGCCCGAACGCAATAAAATCCTCCTTCAGCTCTGCTTCCGACACTCGTTTATGAGTGATGCGCCTTCCTAGGATGTCGGTGAACAGTGCTGCAACCTAAGGGCAGTGAGTCTCCTGAGTTCTTTCAGCTATATTCTAAGGATGCTCACATCGTCGTAGCTGAGCAATTCGGGGCCAACCACGTAGAGGTCTCGTTGCTCTATCGTTTCGGCAGTGAAACCTTTGACAGCTGCCGCTGCGATGTCATCTGCCGAAATCCAAGGCACGCGACCATCCCCAGCGGCTGAGACAATGATGTTTTCTTTCACAATGAGTGACAGATACTCAGGCATCAAGAAATTCTCTGTGGACGCCTCAGAGTGCTGGTCGCAGCGAATAGGCAGAAATACATACCCTGGAACCAAGAGGGCCGGAGAACACAATAATCGAGTCCTTTCTTGTCGAGATATTCGTGGATTGCTCCCATCATGATATCCCCTTTGTTCAGCTGTGTTGCACTCAACAGCACGAACCGCTTGACCCCGTGCTTTACAGCGAGATCTATGAACGAGGCCGCGACAGCTGCCATATCAGGGAAATTCGGCGACACCAAATAAACACCGTCGATATGGTCGTTTGCATCCGCAGCTGCTTTGAATGGATTCTCGAAGGTAGAGGTGTCCGACCAGTCGAACTTTACTCCTTTATGAGGCGCAGGAACGGTGTCGGGGGAGCGGGATGTGATGTAGGCGGTGAGTCCATGTTCGTGGAGCTGACGGGCGAGTCGAGAACCGGTCTTTCCGGTCCCTCCTGTAATTAAGATGGCCATCGCTTGATTTCGAATGTAGGACACAGATGAGGTGTAGATGTATATAGGATTCGCTGATGTGCAGGTGCTATAAGTATTCCATGCTCGATACTATTGATCGGTCAGCACTTCAGCGTATCTTGCAGCCGAGAACAGACCAGCCACAGAGATTACAAACTTCGCACTGCGCCCGTAGACAACTCTGACTGATCCCCTACCATACGCGTCTACTGATTATGGCTTAGTAGGGTCGTGATTACGCGAAGGCAATTGAGTTCAGTCAGTGCTACTCCAAATCATTATCAAGGCTATTTCTGCTCGTAAGTTACGCATGGGTGGAGGCCACTATCGGCCATCACAAATTTTCCGTGTTTGGTATGCCGACGAACTTTCACTCATTTTTTGCAGTTAGCTGTAACCGCACTACCGCGCAGAACGCCAAGATCACCAAGGACGAGCTCAGTTACGTTCATGAGAGCAATGGACCCAAAGAGGAGAGGGGGAACAGGAGTGCCCCTGTGATCAATCTAGCAAGGATTCTGCAGCAACGCCGGACACTGCAAAGCGGTCGAGCGATGTTAAGTTGCTGTCCGCTATCGTACAACTCACGAACCCCTCGCAGACCAGGCAAAACCTCCAGGGTTGGTGGCAGTGGCACTATACCTGGAGGCATTAGGAACACTAGAGGCACGAACGGCGGGAGCTTCACTGGAACTAATTCGGGACGGGGTGTACTCGGCAATGTTGAGAGCATTAGCAATGGAGATAATGTCAACATCGATAACAGCAATGCCGCTAATGGTGGTAGTGTGAACAATGGCAACGGCCATAACGGGAGATTTAGCGGGAACAATGCTGGGAACGCTGACGGGATCACCCCACGCGATCGTTTTCTTTAATGACTTCATACATGGTGTGCTGTCGTATTCTGGATGGGATCTTGTAGTAACTTGAACTATACCTGTTTTAAGCACTACTTGAGCGAGGACTCAGTACTCAGGATTGATGGTTGACAGGGGCGGGCCTTGTGAGGTGGGTGTAGCGCCGCTACCGCCTCGAAATCACAAATACCTCAAACTAGAAAGCGGTACAGTGACGTTTCTGCTTCACCCAGTGAATGTGCCGAGGAACCCGTTTTGGCTACAACCATACAGATTACTTCGACCATGTTGTCATGATATTCGATTATGAAGCGAAGATTATGAAGAGAAACGTACACCCCGTTATTTAGATATCTACATATTGATCAGTATACATATACAAAGTCGAGAGTCGACACTGGGGAAATTAGGCTAGACCGGTCTTAGCAATGTGGGATCGTATTATTGCCTCGCCAACTGCATAAGTGATTAGCCCAATAATTATGAAATTATAACGGAAGAATTCACCGTTAATTATGATCCCTTGGGTGGCCTTGATGTCCTGTATAGTCATCAGCATCACACGCGTACATCCCGAAGGTTGATAAAATATACCAGCATCGACGTGAAGTGCTGAATGCGGCGTCACGTCAGCGTACAGCCACAGGCCAGGTTTGAAAGTATTTACCACATAAAGGGAGCGACGAGAGATGTCTTTCTTCTTGTGGACTTGCACGAAATGGGCCCGGAAGTATTCAGCGACGTCTTCATATCGGTTCGGCCTGTGTCCGTAACTCGTTATGCTGTCAAGCGAACGGGGGCAATGCTCAGCTGTGGTAGATGAGATTGCCAACGTGGGGAAACCTACTATTTTCGAACTTTGAGCCCCGCCTCAAGCTTCTTCTTCAACAGGTCCACCTAAATCGGGTGGTCAGCACCAGTTCTTGGAGACAGACCGCGCGACCGAACAAACCTTATTCAGAAGGAGTACTAAATGTGTATTCTTGAGAAGTTGATTCGTACATATCGCCGTGAACAATTGCAACGAGTCGTCGATCCGATTGGTCTTCATATCTTCGTCAAGGTACTGTGACCAGACGACTATCACGTCAGTGGAGTCAGAACACGGATCAGCAGTGGATTATACCTGATCGAAGGCACTTAGTGGTGCAAGGAATATTATGGCTGTGGCTAGAGCAGCGCACGCAGTCAGCCACCTTCACACATGTTGTCAACCATCCCAGTCCATCACGTACCATCATCAAAATACGGAACCCAAGCATGGCGCTGTTTGCAGATCGCTCGCGTTAATCAAATATTGTTCGGAGATGCTGAGTATGAGAAAGTTATTCACCTGTCCCCGCTGTCAAATTACTAAATCAATTTCTGACAAGACGGTGAATTGAAAGCGAGTAACCCACTGCACCCCCTACGTCGTACAACTTCCATATATACCGAGAACCGGCGACGACAATGTCGAAAATGTGCTCCGTAACACCGAGAGTTTGCAGACGGACGTTCAAGATATCATCTTAACGTGATAACATGATCATCCTGATCTTATACATGGCGGTAATCTTACCCGTTGTCGGCAGATAGTCTGGCTCCGCGACTCGCTCAATATTATGCAAGAAGCTATTCCAGAGGGAGCATCAGTGTCACCCTCAATTATGATCGTTGTTGGCCGAACACTTACAAGGGCGCTGATTCGTCTAACTTGAGTTTCTGTAACCTGACTAAATTTTGAACAATGGGCTGTTTCCACAGCGCCTGGACATCAGAGCAAGTTTCGTTAAGAGTACGGGCGGCGAGGTTGGTCACTGCCACAGTTTTGTTGGGTGGGGTGGAGACGTCGTGGCCCGAGCGACCGCGGGAAGTGAGGGCTTGCCAACCTCCTCGAACGAAGACATCTGATCGACCCCCGATAACTGATACGCCACCACTGAGTTCGAATGCCAGAGACGACTCGATGGCGATAAGAGGGAGCAAGCGACCTCGTATAGCTAATATTTCTTCGAGCACCTCTGGCGTTGGTCGTTCTATTTCGCTATCCATGACTTCAGCGTTTCCAGACGCCTGCGCGGCAAAGTGATAATCTAGCTCGTCGAGAGTCATGCGCACTGCTTTGATGATGTTGAAGTAGACAATCGGCCGCCATGATGGTCTCTCATGCTCGAGTGTTTGGGAGGCGTAGTAAAGTTGGAACTGTTTTTGGAGTGTCGATTTGCCTTATCCTCTTTTCAGTACGGGGTTCGCTGTCATCGCGAAGCAGACTGACCTGACTCTGCTTGACCGAGAAGCATGACTACCCACGGTGCCTAGGGCCTTAGTTCCCCGTAGAATGTAAATAGCTATGACACGTTACCTTTTATCTCCTTTTTCCTCGCCTCTTTTCGCCTCTGCTGTTCTTTCTGCAAGGGTTTAATGGTATACCAGCCATGACAATCGGCGGAAGAACACACCTTCAGTTCTTCGTCAATTAGTTGGCTAATCCTCTCTGCCTCTGCATCACCGAGGTCAAGCTCCCAGAGAGGCTGTAACGGGATATCTGGCGCCGCCGGAGCAGACAGGGAACGAACGTGAGTCGGATGACGAGTTGGCCCTGCTGTTGTCATTGAACCTAGTAGGAAGTAAACAGTGAGGGGATGTAGGGGTGTTCAGGACTGCAAAATGGCAAGTGCTTTGTTTATAAGGGATTTCTCATGGGAGAGACTTTGATGTCAGGAACCGGCCGGTTCGAGCCAGTGCTGTAATATGAACCTATTTTCAACGCCCAAGACAGTATAAGAATCATCATTGAGCGTATTCTTTCTGCCATCTGATTTCACACGGTCTTTGTGCATGTTGCTACTTGGGCGAGAAGCACAAAGATTGGCTCAACGATCATCATAACGACGGCGCAGGAGCGATGCCGGTTTGATAGAGCAATCATGATGCATCCCCGTGGTCCTGCACTACTGATGAGGAATCACGGTGTCTCGTAGAAGGGGAATGAGTCCGCAGAATCAGATGATCACAGCGCGAAACAAGTTTTATCAAGCAACACGGAGCGAAAAGTGAATCATTATAGTAAGTCTAAGAATCAAGGACAACCATCAGCTTTGGCCCAACGAACACATCCAGAAGCAGAAATACTAAGCTTGTCCAGGAGCTATCGAGCGGCAGAATATTTCTACGGCAGGTATGGTCGTCAATCGTAGCACCACTGAGCACAAAGGTTGCATGAAGGTTGGCCTCGAATAGTCCGTTACGAAAGGTGCGGTCGGGGAGGGAAATGGCACACCGAGCCCATTGCCCCTTGCTTGCGGGAAGAATCCAGGATCACATTAGGGTACAGACAAGGGTGGAAATAGAAATAGTGATGCGTCGAGGAGGACGGGTTCTCCCTGGCCTCGAAAACGAGGGTAAGTCGAATGTTCGCGTTGTGCTGAGCAGGCAACCTTGCACTTAAAATTGTTGTGTAGTCATCGTCGCAATGGTTGACCACGCCTTGGATCCTAGATGATGGACGTCGGAGAAGAAACGGAATCGGCGACGGAATCAGTAATAACGGGGGACCGGGAGACCTCAGGACCTATAGTATCACGTGAGACGCTATAGACCTTTAACGTGTGAAAGTAAATTACTTGACTGTCCCAATATTTCAAAAATTTGGACTTTACTCCTCGAGTTCCCCTTTCCTCCTGGCTTCACCTGCTTGAATCATCTCCACCATGTCGACAAGCGGGCTGAAGGCGATCGCGCCAGTGCCCACAGCGGCGGACTTTCTGGACATCGTCTTATCCAAGACCCAGCGTAAAACACCCACTGTGCGTACTCAGATCCATCTCGCAATAATACATTTTGTTTACGGGGGATCCGATTTATGGCCATAGGTCATCCATAAAAACTTCAAAATCAGCCGTATCCGCAATTTCTATATGCGCAAGGTTAAGTTCACTCAAGACTCATTCGATGAAAAACTGGGCGCGATATTGACTGAATTCCCGATGCTGGATGTGAGCTTCTCTTCGGGAGTTTGCAACAAGTTGAATTCTGAATCCGACTCATTTAGGATCTTCATCCTTTCCTTTCGTCACTTATGAACGTGTTGTACGACAAGAATCACTACAAGCTTGCACTTGGACAACTTAGAACCGCTCGCCATCTCATCGATCATGTAGCAAAAGACTACGTCAGACTGCTCAAATTCGGTGACAGTCTGTACCGTTGTAAACAACTGAAGAAAGCCGCTCTTGGTCGGTAGGTAGCATAACCTCTGCTTCGTGATGACAGCTGGAAATATGGTGTTTAGCATGGCAACAATAATGCGCCGACAAAAGGATCCTCTGGCATACCTTGAACAAGTCCGCCAGCATATCTCTCGTCTCCCTGCAATCGATCCGAATACCCGAACCCTTCTCATCTGTGGATACCCCAACGTCGGAAAGTCATCCTTCATAAATAAAGTCACTCGCGCGGACGTAGACGTCCAACCGTATGCCTTCACCACAAAATCCCTCTTCGTCGGACATCTCGATTACAAATACCTTCGATGGCAAGTCATCGACACGCCGGGGATATTAGATCACCCGCTAGAAGATATGAACACGATCGAAATGCAAAGTATCACCGCCCTAGCGCATCTCAAAAGCTGTGTAATGTATTTTATGGATCTGAGTGAGCAGTGTGGGTACTCTATCGAGGCTCAGGTTCGTGCATCTTGAAGTTTCCCGCGAGCAAACTTATCAACGGCCGATGTTAGTGTAAATTATTCCATTCTATCAAGCCTCTATTCGCCGGCAAACCTACTCTCCTCGTCATAAACAAAATCGATGTCAAACGGTTAGAAGACGTCGAACCTGAGTCCCGCGCGCTTGTACAGGAGATCATCGACTCTGAGGGCGTTGACGTCGTGCAAGTCTCTTGCTACTCAGAGGAAGGTGTTATGGACCTAAAAAACAAGGCCTGCGACGCCCTTCTGGCACATCGTGTCGACTCGAAAATGAAGGGCAGCAAGATCAACTCTGTCATCAACCGTATTCATGTCGCGCAGCCCAAAGCCCGCGATGACATCGTCAGAGCGCCGTTCATCCCAGAAATTGTTCAAGCACGCAAGAAATACGACAAGAACGATCCTAACCGTAAGAAACTGCTTCGCGATATCGAACTCGAAGAGGGTGGAGCTGGTGTATTCAATATCAACATGAAAGGTAACCTATCCAGTCATTCTGGTGTGCGAGGAAGACTAACTGCTCATCTCCAGAGAGCTACCTTCTTGCCAATCCCGAATGGAAGAACGATATCATGCCTGAGATCATGGAGGGCAAGAACATCGCTGACTTCATCGACTCCGACATCGCAGAGAAACTCGAGGCTTTGGAGCGTGAAGAGGAACGTCTCGAAGCGGAAGGGTTTTACCAGTCTGACGATGATATGGTATATTTCAACGCTTTTTGGCAACTGATGGTCATTCATCATTGTGTCTAGTTCGATTCAGATGATGAGCGAGAAGCGGCAGCTGCCAAAATCTCATTGAAGCACAAAATCAAATCGCAGTCCATCAAGAAGTCTCTCAAGAACCAATCGCGCCTTCCTCGTACAGCCGGCCTACGTACTCTCACCGAGCTCACCGATGAGCTCACGAAAGCCGGCTACGACCCGAGTAAGATCGAAGAGCGGGCGAAGATGCTCGCCAAGCTACAGGGCGCGCAGCAGAAGAAACGCAAGAGGGATGATGATGACGATGACGACGACGTTGACATGGATGCAGACGAGGGTGATGATGCGGATGGCGCCTGGATGGACGTCGACGGTGAGGAGGATGTATCACCCAAGAGAGCCAAGGGCAACTCGGGTGCAGTCATTGCCACGAACAAACGTGCCCCAAGATCGAATCGTCAGCTTGCCGGTCTGCGGGACGAAGGGGTGCGTGTTTTCCTCATGTTTTCTCAAGACATTGACTGAATGTGAATTGTATTACAGCAAGCAACGAAAGCTAACCAACTTCGTAACTTCATGCAACGCCCACGCAACATGCATGCCAAAGCCGGAGAAAGTGATCGTGCGATCCGCGTTAAAATGGTCAGTCCCCCTGCTCTTTCATTCGACGCCCACTTACACATCGTGTGGGCAGCCAAAACATTTGTTCTCAGGGAAACGGAAAGGAGGGAAAACAGACAGGCGGTAACTGCACTGCGATCGTGTTCTCATTGTATCCGTTACGACTCGTTATGATCTGTATCATGTTCCTTTGTACCAATCTATATTTTGGCAATACACATGTAGGTACATACTCGACGAGAAAGACATTCAAAACAACAAAATCTGTCCCGACGACAGATAAATTAGGGGAGAAATCCAATAATACGAGAAGAAAAGAGATCAAGGTCATACATACAACTCTGAGTAGCAAAAGGGCCGTTCGGCAAACTACAAGAGATAACAGGCCACGTCCTAACAACGATAGCCTGAATATAAAATAGAGTGGAGGCAAGTGAAAAGCAGACGTCCAATGTCCATGCAGCGGTAGATCAGTTCCAATCAATGGTAACACCGCCGGGACCTGGGCCAACGAGCCCGATCCCACGTTCAGCCTCGCGTTTGAGCCACCTCAACGCGCGTTTATCATCCTTTAGGAAGGGGGCGAGCTTCTCGTAGCATCGTTGGTTATGGTCCTGAGGGTGACAGATTAGGCCCTGCAAAGTAATAATGCCCAGAGTGCGATGCTTACCTTCAGCCACTGTTTCTCTTCCTTGGTCAACATAGACTCCTTCACCATACGAGTTTGGATCGGAACACATGTCAGCCGCTCAAAGCCCAACCAGATGTCACCGTTAAAGGCACCCCGAGTCTGATTAAACGCCGTGGAAATGAGCAAAGTATGTATAAATGAAAGAATCGCACACTCGTACCTGCACGCGCTTGACGGCGAGGGCAGATTCTATTCTCATGCCCCATTTACCCTCGTTATCTACGAACGGAGCGTAAGTCACGTCATGCAGCGTCAAAGACACGGAATGCACTCACAGAAGCCGGGCTCATTGGTCACCACATGACCATATTCTAGGGGAACAGCACTCGAGAAGCCTTGAGGGCCCTCATGGACATTGAGGAACGAACCAAACCCATGACCAGTTCCGTGCTGTTAAACGGTATTAGGTTGGCTGGGCCGAAGTGACAATGAATTACGAACCATGTAGTTTAATCCATCCTTCCAAAGTGCTTTACGAGCTAGTACATCGAGCTGCGCACCGGAAGTGCCTTCTGGGAACACTGCGCTATCTATAGCAATCTTCGGAGCAGGTGAGTACGGTTGGAACCAATAGCGAGAGAAAAGACCTACATGTCCTTGCAAAACTCTGGTGTACGCTTCACACTGTTCAGGTGTGGGCCGGCCGAAGTGCAACGTGCGTGTGGTATCGCAAGTTCCGTCTCGGTATTGTCCTCCAGAGTCACTAGAATGATATGCTCGGTAAATATCGAGCGAGAGTGGCAGAAAAAAATACGCACTTAAGGTAGGGGCTATCTCGATCAATCATTCTGGCTGTGGCTTTGTGGGGTACATAATGAGGCAGCGCAGCGTTAGGACCTGACGCAGAGATATTCGCATAGGCCAATCCCATGTAATACTTGTTGCGTCGTCTGAACTCTGTCAGCCGGAAAGCCGCTTCATATTCGGTGATATCGTAGCCTTCGCTCAGTTTCACCTCTAGCCAAGCAAGGAAGCGGACCTATCGAGCAGTCAAGCACCGTGATACGTAGATACAGAAGAAGTAGACGCACAAATGCAACACCATCCCGTAAGTAAGCTCTTCTCAAACCGTCGAGTTCAACAGAGTTCTTGAGCGATAGCATACGTTCGACATGCGACGGCGTAACGGTATAGCGGAAATGTGTGAGCATCAAGGAGATCGCATATGAGGTTTGAGGGGATATCAGCAGCTAATAAATTCTGTCAGGATCGACATCGCAGGGCTTGTATATGTACGCACCTTGCCCTCCCCCCATTCCCTCTTCCTCAGGAATGTCCACAAATCGTTGTAATCCCGCCTATCCACACCAATTGTCCGGAGGTAAGTCTGTATATCCTCTGGCGCCTTCGGAGACTCGAGGAAGATGATTGCCTTGTCGAGGCCAACGTAGAGGTACGCTTGGAAGAGCGGATTGAAGGGTATGTCGGAACCTCGAAGATTCAGCAAGTACGCTATCTGCGAAAGGTTGGTGATCAACGTTCCAACATGTATTTGAGCTGGCGTAGGCGGTGCTTTGGAATATGACAGGGTAGAAGCGGGTTGATCACGGATCCATTCCCGGACTTTCTCTAGCTTCCTGGTCGCGTCTTCACCTATAGATGACGACAAGAGGACGTGAGGAGTTGAGCGAGTGAGACAAGCGCAAGACACACCAGTGAATTCTCTGGGTTGCAAGAACACCGGATCCTTTGATTTCGCAGGTTTATCCGTCCAAACCAAATCCACCAAGTTCTGGGGTGGGAACACCAACTTCGAATTGAGAGTACCTATTTTCGAATTCAGGAGGGTGGCTTTCTCGTGGGGCAACATGCGAGCGTCGATGCCGATCCTGCAGTCCTTGACACGGTCCTGAGATTGTGTTAGTGATACGAGAATAAAGATAGCAGACGGGCACTCACCACAAGCCATTCTATCCAATCCTTCGGCCCATCGATCGACCCAGCAGCAACGAGGTGCCAATTCGGGTCAACTTGCTCTCGGGCTTGTATCCAATACCTCGAATCAGTGATAATGTACGCTGCTGTTTTGGACACCACAGCCTGCCCGGCCGAACCAGTGAAACTATGGAAACAATCGTACCGACCCTCCCGAGAAAGAACACAAACGACTCACCCCGAGATGAATTCTCTCCGCTTGTCGCTAGCAGCGACATATTCAGATCCATGGGCGTCTTCGCTCGGGATGACGCTGAGACAAGGATGAACATCGTTTTCGGCGCAAGAAAAGAAGTGTAACGCACTAGTAGTCCAGGTTGTCCTTTGCCATCAGCCCTCGCAGCGCTTCCAACCGCTCGGTGGTGTCTATCCTGCCTTGATACGAGTCGGTGTCCTGGATCTTGCGGTCCAAGGCAGAACCAACAAGCGTGCTGGATGAGTCATTTGAGTTTAGATGTGGACGAGATCCCGAAGGTCCCATCGAAGGGGAACTGCGATGGCTTCGGTAAGTGAGATCGCTCTGTTGGGACTGTTTGCTACGATGGGTGGATTGAGTGTTGTGTGAGGCCTTCGAGGCTTGAGAATCCTTCGAAGCCTGCGTCGACTTGGATGCTTGAGTCGACTTCGTGTTGGACCGCGTTGGGGGTTGGATGCGAACATAAAGAGGAGCCTCGGACTCTTTCGACTCTTTGGTCTTATGCGATACTTGGGACACTTGGGACTTCTGCGACATTTGCCTATCCAGAGACCGATCCAGATCCTTCTCTTGCTCTTTCCCTTTGCCATCCCCACCTCTCCTTCCAATTCCCCAGCCATAACCCCACTTGGACGAAGCAGTCGACTTTTTCGTGCCGGTCATGGTATTAGAGCGCACGAGCTTGCCTTTGCGGTCGTCCTCGGAGGGAATGACGGTCATAGTAGTTGGGACTTCGTCATATTTCTCGGAGTCGGATACGAAAGTGAGGTTTTCTGGGGCAGATGTCAATGTGGAAGTTGCAGAATACGAGCCCTGTCGTATGATCTGGTCGCGAGGGATGGTCTCGACGGAATGGTCGGTGTTCGTCCACGAAATGCGGCGCTTTGGCTTTGAACCCATGAAGGGAAAACATATCGGGGGAGGAGGAGGAGCCATAGCAGGCGATGGTGATGGTACTGTGCAAAGAGCTAAAGGACCAGGTCCCGGAGATGACAGTCAAGAACACGAGGAAGGGAAGAATCAGCTGAGGTAACACGTGTGCTTGACTTGCCAAATTGGGCGCTCGATATGTTTTGTTGTGCTGCCAAACATGGCGTCCAAGCAATTGAACAAGCACAATGGAGGCTGATGAAAGCGATAACAACTGGCAATTTCCAGCACTTCCCAGGACAACGAACGATCCCCGGTATTCAATTCCAGCCTCCGTCTTCTAGGTATACCTAGAGCCACCTTCGATTCTCATCGGCATCGCGGTTTCCGATCCGACATCACCTTCTTAATCTTCAAAGCGTAAACCCACCGTCGTCACCTGTTCCCAATTCAGTGTGGATCTCAGTGCATCCCCAGAGTACTAGCAGGCAGCAAGAGACGCAGGGGTGTGGACTAGGGTTGCGTGGCCTCCCACTCGCATCTTCTAGAATATCCGGTGGTAGTATTGATTGCAACACGATTGTGGACGGCCGAGCTTCCGATCTCAACGCAGCTCGAGAGGCTGTCAGCACGGGCACACAAGGATCAATGCTCTCACCGTGAACGACGCACGATGACGGGGAAATCGTGCCAGAAGGGAACCACGGTCAGGTAATGATCATGTTCGGAACGATCTGCCCACTGGCAGTGGAAGAATGAATGGAACTAGTTCATGGCCTCCATGAGTACGCTATGCAGTACGCTATGCAAGGGTGAGGGCAGTCAGGTAAGCATTAACCGTGGTGCCTCGCACCATTAATCCAACAGGTCCACTCACGATGAATACTACGTCATGCGTAGTACATTGAATAGGTGTCCACACACCTGATGTGGCCTATGAACAGTGGAAGATTGGGTTGGGTCCGTCCCGAAAGTAATGGAGTACAGTAAACTGGAGCACGATCAAGAGTACGAGTCACCTTTCGATTCACCGAACAGATGCTGTATAAAGACCCACATGAAACGACCCTAAACTGCGCCGTAAGTGCGGCTTTGCGGCAATTAATTCAAATAGTCCATACCTGTGTTATGGTGCATCAATGCATCAACAATTTGATATATCATCGCAGCATCTAACGGTACTTTAGCCAGTCTATTATGTGCGCCTTGAGGCCCTCGAATTGAGGCAGGAACGCCCCTTTATCACATCGATTAAATTAGCCCTCGTAATCACCGAGGAACGTAGAGCCTGTGCCGCACTGAGACTCCACTCAGCGCACAGAGGCAGCTTCGCGGAAACGCTTTGATCACAGGGTGAATTTTGCCAAGATCGATAAGTTGCCTATAGTACTTACTTCCAGGTTTGATGAGTGTTAGGTATGGGCCAATCTTTCAATATCGCCTTGATACTGTTGGGAGATTATATCGGCACCAACGCCCGTTTATCGCGTAATCTTTTACATAGCGAACTGCAAGCAACATCATAGTAGTGGACAGGACACACCTATGGCAACCTCAAATATCCATCAAGTTGGCTCGCAGTACAACCGAGTAAAACATGTGCTGTATGCGTGAGCATATATGTAGACTAGATCACTGGAATACCGGGACTTCGCTCCGTGTGGACAGTGGCGATAACGCTTGACATCGGCCGAGAAAAAAGTCGTCTAGCGTATGCCGTCGGGTGGATCAGCAGCTTGCCTGGTTAGAGATGATGCTGTTACAAGTCAGGCCGCTGGCGACGGCGACCGGAAGTCGTAGTCATATTTGATCCAAAGGTTTCGGGGCGTAAGGCAAGGCGCTGACGTTACGATACTATGCGTTAACTCCGTTGACCTATCGCATCAGTACTAGCGTATCGGGGTCCAGGAGCTTGAGGCTCACCAGAGAAGCTGATAGGTGCGATCCGCACGCAGACTTTCTGCTGTTGAACGTGGTGGGGCATAAACGAGCAGAGCACTGGTAGATGTACCTTCCATGAATCATCTCCTTTCCGAGCTTCGCGTAGTATACAGGCACCTTGCCGCGAAAGTCTTAATTCCGCTTTTCTTCTTGACAAGGGTAGCTCATTGTCGAAGTCACTTCAAGTTGAACACGAAAGTTCTCACGACACGACGTTCTCAAGCGCTGAGCCTTCTCTGAGTGACTTGTTACAAGTCGGAGGACCAGAGGAGGACCAGCAGCTTCTGGGTCGAGCACGGACGAGACTCAATCTTAGGTGAGCTTCATGTGCATAAACGAATTGCCCGTCGCAAGGTCTACTCTTGAATCAACGATTAGCGCGTAATCTAGGTCCCGAGAAGCAATGTATTATGCCCGCATGCCATGATACTTTCCGAACCCGATATCTCATATCAGCGGCCAATAATATCTGCCAACCCTCCAGACACTACACGGCTTCTTGAAGAACCAATGATTTTCCTTGTACGGCCTCCCATGCAGAGTTAAACCGGACTCTCGCCTTATGGCGTTTACATCATGGCTGGAACAAGTTCGGGCGTAATCATGCCTGAGTTCTTCACCACTTAGATACGTCGAAGAAGTCTGAGATGCGCTTCGATGGTCGGACTATGTCCATCTACCATCCGCGCTGCAGACACTCACTTGTGTTCTTGATGGCGTCAGCTTCATTTCCGTAATACCAATCTACTCTTTCACCCTTTATTGGCTTCGAAACCTCTCATCACTCCATCATTCGAACCTCCGGCCTTCGTACTCTTTTCTCATTTCCCGAGGCACGATATCGGCGAAACTTCGAGCATTTGTGGATTCTACCGACTGCTACAGGATCCAGGTGTTTTACTTTGTTGTCTGGCAATCGTAATCCACGAACAGCCGACGCTTACGCGCAGCTGAGGACTATCTTATCGGATACGGTATATAGGCTTCTGCTTCTGTCGATGTGAGTTTTACACCCTCCTTGGTCTCTGTTATACTTACACGTCAATATGGGAGGTGGACCCGCTATCGCATCGACATCGACGGGCTACACCCATCTCATCGACCACTCGAAACCTTGGTATAAAAATGGACGTGAGTTTTAGCCTCTGGTTCTTGATGGTAGACGAGATATAAACGGAGGGATACTTTCAAAGGCCTAATTCTATTAAACATATGGATTGCTATGCTGTGCGTCACATCTTTTGAACTCACAAAACGCTGATGTTTAATCTATCGAGATAGGCTCGTCACGTCTTCTACGAATGGTTACGATGGTAAGTAGCTTTCGTACCTCCATTCAATGACTCGAACCGACCATTTTCCAGGTAGCATGATGAGTATGTTCTACGCGTACCCCAATTTGCGGTGCTCACGGTCGTGAAGATGGACTTCAGTCCTTAACGCAATGGAATGAAGCTTTCGATTATCCTACTGGATCAAAGGTGCTTTCACACCCTGACGTTGCCTGCAAGTGCTCACACACGTTTCCCCAAGCTTGGACTTCTTAATGCTATACAGGTTTCCTAAACCTCAATACCTTTGATTCACATTGCTAACCCAATTCGAAGAACATTGGATGTCTCGCTGCTTATCCCTTTTCGCCCTACCTCGTTGATGGACTCGGCCGTCGGGCTGGAGTTCTGTTCGGTGCTTCCCTCATGATAGCTGCTACTGTGATCCAGACCGCGTCGCACTCAGTTGGAATGTTCATCGGTGCCCGGTATGTCCCCATATAATTGACCTCGATGCTCACCAGAAACACTAAACCAACGGCGCCAGCTTCTTGATCGGATTTGGCCTCACATTCGCTGCCTCTGCAGCACCCCTCCTTGTCACCGAGGTCGCATTCCCTTCGCAACGTGCCCAAGCAACTTCGATGTACAACACCCTTTGGTACCTTGGAAGTATCATGTACGTCTCAGGGTCACACATGCATACCCCGGACCTGACTTGACCCATCGCCACTTTAGCGCCGCCTGGACGGTAAGCCGCAAACGCCGGTGAGGCACTCGGATATCGATATCTCATCGGGGCTTTTTAGACATTCGGTACCTTCAACGTCCCATCGAGCTGGGCCTGGCGTATCCCATCCGCTTTGCAGGGTCTTCCGTCGGTGCTTCAGGTAATCTTCATATGGTTCATCCCCGAGTCGCCTCGTTGGCTTGTCAGCAAGGGAAGGTAAACCAGGATTTCACCTGTTACGAAGCGTGCTTTCTAACCGCCGCCCGCTTTTATTAGGGAAGCACAAGCACTTAAGACACTGGCCTACTACCATGCTAGTGGCAACGAGTAAGCATCTCCCCATCTCAACTACTTATTTGTCGCTCACATCCTGACAGGGAAGACCCTCTTGTGGAATATGAATTCGAAGAAATCAAAACTGCGATCGCTTTGGACCGTGAGGCGGCGCAGAACGTCGGCTGGCTCAGCCTCGTGAAGACTGCTGGTAATAGGAAGCGCATGAGAATCATCCTTGCTCTTGCGTTCTTCTCGCAGTGGTCTGGAAACGGATTAGTGTAAGCTTTAACCCCTGCAGCCGTATATGATTGCTGACAAAGTGGTACTCGCAGCTCGTATTGTAAGTCGATCATCTTGGTGACGCTCGGGTGACCTGACAGGTCCCCTTCAAAGATCTCAACAAGGTCTTCATCGCTATCGGCAGTGAGTTGATTGCAGTGACGTTGATCTTGGCTCATAGCTGATATGCCTTTCAGTCGAAGACCCAACTACCCAACTCCTTATTGTAAGGCGACAACTCTACCGCCTATGTCATCTAAACATCTAACCATATATCATTCTTTCCCACAGAACGGCATTTTGAATATCTTCAATTTCTTCGTCGCAATTATCGCTGGTATGCTCTGCGACAAGGTTGGACGCCGGCGGCTGTTCATGACATCCACGATCGGTGAGTCCATCAATAAATCCCGCATTCGCTTCACAGAGTTCACCTGCTACTTGTAGGAATGGTTGTATTCTGGACCTTGCAGACGATCTGCTTCGCTCTATACGCAGAACACGGCGTAGCGAAAGCTGGACATGCAGTCATTGCTATGATATGTACGTGTCTGCTACTAAATAGTCCTGCAAAAATACTTATAAAAATCAGTCTTGTTCTATGGCTTCTGTGAGTTCATAAAGACAATTGTCTAGATTCACCTACTAAAATTCTTGCGAACTCTAGATGATGTACGTCACCCTGTTCCACGATTCAGCTAAAACCTCTAAAGCTTACTTCATTTCATTTAACATAGCTGGCCTTCACACCTCTTATTGTCTCGTGAGTAAATGTTTACCCGTTCATATCACGTCGGTAACTTACCCCTTGCTCTAGGTATACTGTCGAGATTTTGCCTTATTCCCTTCGCGCGAAAGGGTTCATGATCTTCAACTTCTCGATTTCGATCTCCTTGATTTTCAATCAGTATGGTCTCCCATTTCATGCCTACAAATAATGTCTAACCCTCCACGTAGGTATGTGAACCCCATTGCTCTCGAAGCGTATGTGCACTGTTTGTCACATTTAAACGTGACTGATTTAAGACATCACACAGCCTCGGATGGAAATACTATGTAATGTCCCCTCACTACTCTCAACTATCCTATCAGTACCTTACTCTTGCGCAGCTTGTGTATGTCTTCTGGCTTACGTTTGAAGCGGTTTTCTGTTATTTCTTCCTTATTGAAACGAAGAACGTACGTGGCCCTCCTTGCACTTCGGCATCCTTTACTGATATCCCCGTCCTCCAGCTGACTTTGGAAGAAACTGCAGCGTAAGTCTTTATTCATTGTTCCCAATATCTGGTGAACTCCATGACTCATGGGATTTGACAGATTATTTGACGGCGATGCCACGGTAGCACAAATTGCCGAGAAAGCAGCCGAACAAGCAGGCGTTTCCGACCAGCGTGAAGACGAAGAAAAACGCTCGACGCAGGAGTCAGATATAGCAGAAGGAAGTCGTTGAATGCTTCCTCGTACCAATCAAGAACAACGCCCGATTGCTAATGTCGCAGGGCAAGCCATAGACTTTACAAGTCTCACTACCTCTTCCCTCTCTTGAATTCGCATTGATCAGATGTATTATTTAAATATTCTTCGCGTTAACTAAGACCCTTTGCTACTCTCACTCAGGAAGACCCTGCATGAGGCGAAAAAATGCTTCCGGGCACTATTTCACCGTCAGGGACCCAAAGCACCCCGAATCGACTTACTTCCTTGTTACGGTGCAAGATTTGATATGGTAAATGATCGAAATCGGCCTGTCCCTTGCCGGGGTCCTGAAATACAAGATGCTTGCGAGTATACGTTCGCGTCGCAGCGTTGGGTACGATTGACGCTGTCCTAAATCAGAGCGTTTTCTGCTCGTGTTATAGATAGAATCATGATAAAGCTCAAAGCGATCTGGTCGGGAGGCAACTCGGGCACCGGTAACTAAGTAAGATGCCGAAGACTAAAAGCCTGAGACTTGAGTTTGGTTGCTCCCACCCATCACCGTCCCAGTGCGCCCCTCTTGTGCCAAACACTCATATGTGATGTATTTCCCCCGATTATGTCTTCTCATTGTATTCCAATGTAGTGTAGTACTCGGATTTACTGTGAGTTTATTCTTTATTATCACATTTTAACAACATTTTTCGCTAATTGATCCTCGGCGCTTTTGCAGTGTAACAGCTTACCGTGCGCTCGCGCTCGATCGCTACATGCTGCCTGTGGACCAGGTAAGATACCCACCGTACTCTATATTCGACGTGTCGAGCAACGTCATGACTACGAACAAGATGCCTCGCCAGTGATCGCAGCCGATGCCGCTACCTACGGATGGTGTGTCCAAACGCCCACAGCCCGCAAAACAATGTTCACTGATTTACGTACCAGCAATGGGCACCCGGATTATGCTTGGAATTCCGCAGATAACGAAGGACACATCGGGATGGATGAATACAGAGGGTCAATTCGGCAGTGGGTGCGGAGAGCTGAGGAAGGTGTGCAAGCAACCCCCTTTATTGATGTTTGCTGATTATACAAGGTCAATGGGGCCCAATGCAAATCATGGCACCGATCCTTGCTGGTCTTGGTGTCGCGCTGTGCTTTGCAGGCATCTACTTATACTGGTATAGGAAGAACGCGCTCAAGGAGCATCGAGTGGTTCTACCGAGCGGTGTGCGCGGTACGCGGAGGTTCTTCGGCCTGTTTCCCAGCATCTCGTATGTTCGCGAATCCAACCGCAGCAATACATGGACGATCGAGCCACGGGACGACCTGGAGAATAGCTCACATGGCCATGGCCATACTCGGCTGCCGTCTTCCCCCAGCAATGAAGCAGTTGTTACCCAAAAGCCGCGATCAAGGTTCCTCGAAGCTCTGAAGGCGGCGATTCCTACTCCGTGGAAGCGCAAGCCTGTTACAGTTCAGTCTATACCAGCTAGGAAGGGATTTCGGATCGATGACATCGATAGAAGGACATCCACGACACCTTCGCGCCCTTCCATAGCTATGACGCTTGATGATGAACATGCACCCGGAGAACACCCGTGGAAGTATCTTCCTCAACCCCAAGCTTCGAGTAACGGAAGCCGATCGGGCACGGAAAACCTCTTTCCCGGCGACGACCCTGGTAATGACAGTGACGATGATGGTGAAAACACAGAACATGAAGAAGAACATACTTCTTTATTGTCCGCCTCTTCTAGAATGGGCCATAACATCATGCTTATCTCTCGTAATGGAGAAGACTTTACGCTGGAATCAGGGGACTCGCAGCGGGGCTCCCGCCAGCATCATGGACCTTCTCTGAACATAGTCCCTCCTTCCCCTGCCATGGCGCGTCCAGACCCTTCGAAACAGCCACTGAATGTGAGATTCGATGTATCACTATGACGTGTCTATGTGCTAATTGATACCAGCAGCCTGTCTTACCGCCCGTCCCTTCTTACCCCGCCCCTCAGCCATCTTCAACTCCTCGTCCAATCCACCGAGCAGCCTTGTCTCCTCTGCAAGAAGCCACCACCCTGTCACCCCCTCCTTCCATTCGCCCCAGTCCTTCTAATCACAGTCTTGCTTCCCACCATCTAGATCAAGCTAGCCAACATACGGGAGCTCATTCACTGTCGCCTCCTTATACGCCCCGAATACAAGGAGGAAGTTTGAGACGCACAGAGCACGTTCGGCGCCCTTCCTTTGAAACCGAAGCGGAGGATGGGGCAGTACTGCGACCGTCTGCAGAAAGAGTGGGTTGGGCCATGAACAATTCCCTTTCTTCCCCGCATCTACCTTTGCCCCTTCATCCCCCCCAGTCAGTTCGCAGAACGCCCTCCCCAGATCACCGCCGCATCCTATCCGCAGAAGACTCCTCCCATAACCACCCCTACGCTCTCTCCGTACCAGGACCCTCAGCTCATCTACGTAGCTCATCGGCGGACCACATTGCTCGACCTTCTACGACTGATCCAGACATGCTATTCCCCGGATCGGTTCGCGCTGCTGGCTACACTCCCTGGATTTCCAATTTGAGCAATAACGCCTCTACCGAAAGCATGTACTCTCAGGGGAGCTTCCCTTTGCCACCTGGCGTTACTCGATGGGGGGAATAAGCCTCGGAAATTGATGGGTTCCGGATGTAACTTATCTATAACTGCTGGTATCTTTATCTAACGTCTTCTCATTCTTGCATATGGATAGCAGCAACTCGGACGGTTAAACTCGATGACTACGTACAGAATCTGGACATTGTAACATGTACTCTTTGTATCGCGGCTTCTATATCGTGCGTTGCTCTTTCTACACGTACAGCTTTCATCTTGGTGGCGTTTGTCAGGGCCTCCACCGACCCACAGCAATCAGTAGGCATGCATCGGCCCCTGTGGACATACGCTTAGAGCTAGCATGTTGTCGAGCCTCGCGCAAGCTTCATTCATTTTTCCCTCATTTGTAGCGGGATAAAAACCTTGACGTATTTAATTGGGCTGACTTCTGTCGCCACCAGGCGCACACGTTGCAGCAGGGGTAACGCCTAGTGAGTACGATAGGAGTACGCACCCAGGGTTTTTTCCTTTAAAGACGACGTCCGAGCAAAGTTTTGCTTGGTCGGACGACGCCGCCCCCCTTCCCCCGACATCATGGCTTCACATATACCAACCCTTGTGACTAGGATACCCCACCTACCACCAGAACTACAGCGAGATATTTTTGAATGGACCGCTCTGGCCTACCCAAAGCTCGCGCCTAAGCTCCTTTTGGTCGCAAGCCGCGTGCAGACATGGTGAGATGTTTCGCTCGCAATGTCGTAGCCTTTTTCTGACTTTAGCGCTATGGTTCTAGGATAGAGCCCGTGATTTATAAAGTCATCGTCCTCGACTATCCCTACAAGGGTGTTGACCTCTTCATGCGAACTCTGGAGTCAAAGCCGAGTAGTTTCTTTGCGAAACATGTTAAGACGCTCTGCTTGACCGCGAGCGTCACCTTTTCATATTGCACCCGAGTGCTTTCTGTATGCACAGGCGTCAAGGACCTCATCTGCTGGTGCCCCTCCCCCGTTTCTGGGCTGCTCCCACTTATCAGCAGCTACCCTCTTCGCAAACTCTCTGTCAAGATGGAAACTCTTTTCCCCATGGAAGAAGCCCCCAATTTTACCCATCCCATTTTTCGCTTCATAACACACCTAGACATTGTCAACCCCCGCTCCGCCTCCGACGATGCGTATTGGCACGGCCTAGCCAACCTGCCACGCCTCACTCACCTTGCCATCGGCGATCTGTTCTATTGGCAGCAGACAGACATCACGAATACTATCCCGTTCTTACTGGAGAACTGTCAGACCCTAGAAGCGTTGATTCTGGTATGCGGAAACGAAGAGATTAGGGAAACCGTTGGGACGAGTTGTGGACATGACGCGAGACTTGTTGTGCTGCCAACTTTCCATCACCCTGATGTATATCCTGTATACTTGCAGCGTTTGAAGGATGGCGAAGCGGGTATGTGGAGGCATGCGAAGCCTGCCATCTGCGCGTCTAGCAACCAGACAACCTTAAGCAGCGAGTTAAGTAGTGAGTCAATGTTTTCGAAGACAGAAGGAAACTGCTCAAACTCATTTCAGGCTGAACGCTGAAGAACTTACCAATATATATACTATGTGTTCTACGTAATTTTACTATGGATGCGTCCAGAAAGTAATTGGCTAGACACTAAATAGATTGTCGGCTAGTAGTATAGAGAATAGGGGAAGTCGCGATCACGTGGATGTCAATACAACATTCTTAACGTCTCAACTTACGCTTCAACTTGAACTTGAACCACCACCGTCAACGATGCTCGCTGCACGGCCTATGGAATCTGTGGGCCCAGCGCCGCACGGTGCTAAAACACCTGCTCGGGCTCTGCTGAAGAGTCGTAGTGGGATGCAGGAGAACGCCATTCGCTACCCAATGACAGGAGGAAAAGATAAGTCCAAGTATACTGCACAGACGCCATATCGCCTCAAGAACGACCGTGCGTACTCACTCAGGTGGCCACTTTCTCGAAATTCTGACGCTCTTTCCCCCCAGAGAACCCTATGGGACAGGGCCTCTTGAAATCCATCCTTGCCACCCAATCTCGCCCGCTATTGGATAAAACACCCTTCCCAAATCGAACAACGAGGAATACCAGTAATACGCCCTTTACGAAACCGGCGAACTTTACAAAACCTACTACGTTGGATCAGAACTTTCTGCAGCCGGGCAAGACACCCCTTAGACCTAGTTCAACCAGGAAACATGCTCGTGCCCCACGAAGTGCTTCCAAAAACTTTGAGACACCTCAGACCAATGGGAACCACTGGGATGTAGCAGATGTCAGCATATGCCAACCAGAAGTCGACGTTGAGGGAGCGGTTGATGAACCAGACCACGACGAGATTGAGTACATGCCGCCAAAGCCTCTAGGTGCGCATATATTTATATTTTGAACTCGATTAGCGTGTAACCTTCCACAGAACAACCATATGTGCCACCCTTTGACTTCGATCTGCCCAATTATAAGGAGCTCGGAATAGCTTTGACGAAGGCCATCCGTACTTATCCAGTAGACGACACCCCATTGCCAGAACTGCAGCCTGTCGTTCACCCCGTTGATGACATTACGCTGTCGCTGGCGGAAATTGGTGAGGATATTAAACTACTTTCTGGGCTTTCTGCTGACAAGAGGTCGCAGCCGACGACGACCCATTCGCACTCTTGAACTTGAAACAAACTACGCCAAAGCCTGCCGCCATTTCCAGCCGTGTCGCTCCTAGGACTCGGACTATGTCTTCCGCAACCACTATCCGATCAGCCCCTAGTGCGAAGGCAAACTTGAGTATGAACCCAGTGCCTGTCCGTCGCCCACCAACTTCTAGAGCAACCAGCAATATGACCGTAGCAGTTGGGGCTAACTCCAAGTTACCGCCACGCAACAAGCTCGTTAGCATTAGACCGGCATCCACACGGCCTATCACAGCAAGTACTGTGGCCGTTGCTCGGAACCAGGTTTCTATCCCTCCTATTCGCAGGCCGGCAACATCTGCGTCTACATACAAATCTTCTCTAGCTCCCAAAACTGTTCGACCCATCACAACGAGGACGTTTGGTGCTAGGACGACGACGAAAAAGGACGATTGCGAACCCTTGAAGTTTGATCTGGTAGTTGATGATGATTTCCGTTTTGATGTATGATCAAGAAGGCGGTGAGTGGAGCAAGTTGGTTTATTTGACGGTATCTGTCGATGGTTTTACGCGTTGCAAATTGATGTATGTATGTCTTGAAGTCGCAGCCCTCTGATAGGAACTTTGGTTGAAACACTGAGGCTTCATGTGCCGATAAACGACCGTGGTTCTACATGCGGGTAAACTAATTGTAACTATCATCTACAGTGGGTCGAAGCCAGGCCTTCCCTTCGCAGTTTGCTCCAAGTAATATTCCAATTGGAAAGATTGGAAGGCTTCTCGGGTCATCAAGTCGCTCATAGTTGCCCAATTGTATTCGGCCTTCTCGCTATCCTCCTTGATGCTGCAATGGAACTTCCAAATGGTTTCCATCAGCTCGCGCGTGAGTAGCTTCTTGTCCTGCCGAGCAAATGCTACCTGATCATCACAGTTTGATTGTTAGTGACCTCAAGTCGCGTGTACAGAGTCAATCACTCACGGGACCGTCGAAATGATCTGGCGTGACGCCGGTGTTTAGATCAACGCATAGGAGAGCGGCCGCCTGGTTGTACTTCGGCGGTGAATCGCTCGCTTGCTGCGTTGATTCGCCCGTTGGCGGGTTCTCGGAGACTGACATTGACACGATGCAGCGTAAACTGAGGCCAGAGCGTCGACTCATCGCAGCCGTCATGTGAGGTTTGACGTCGCTGGACGACGGACTGGATGCATGGCGCGTTGGTTCTGATTTTTCCGACGTCGACATTGAGCTTGCGGCGGCGGTTAAATTTGTCTCTGGGTTTATTCCGTGGACGCCATGCTGTTCCTGTTCCAACGTCCGCTTCAATTGAACCTGCTCAGAGCGATACCACAGAAGCGGGACACCGCAGAGTAGGGACCCTAGGCATATGTTCTGTTTGTTGCCATCCTTCAGGAAGATGTGGTGGTTGATTGTAAGGAGTTCGTGCTGAAATTGCGGAGGATGGCCGGGAGGTCCAGGGAGAATGGTTATTCCCCAGACTTCTTTGGGAGATAGGGGACGACAAGTGGGTTGGTGGATTTCCTGGTGTGCTTTCTGACAGGCAATTGACTGCGGAATGTAGGTTCAATGTAAGGTGTGTTCATCGGAGCAGTAGCGAGGATACGAACGCAATACGAGGCCGTTCCGCATTCGTTGCAGACCCTCGGTGTTTTCGTTGGGAGGTGACATTTGTCGCAGTATCGGATGTGGGATGTAGTTGGCGGCATTGTAGAACGGATAACTGCGCAGGCTTGCGTGACTTGCTGCGTCTATATGTGCGTCTACCTACAGCATCACATATTCAATTATCATTAACCATGGGAACATGATTAAGCGTACCGGTTCCCATCTATAAGTCGCATGTCCTGCTCGTGGTGATCGCGTTGCGTCGAGGCGTCCGCCGAATACGCAAGTAGCTTGCTTGTTGCTTGTTTCACCTAGTAACTGCTCAGCGCTCAACGGTATTCGATATCTCAATAGTCAAACCAGTGATATCCAGCAAAGCGTACAGCCGCTCATCACCCCGTCCCCCATATTCGACATCTTCCCATGGAATCGCCACCACCGCCTCCACCTCCACCACAGGCTAGTACGAGCCGCACGCAGGAGCCTGATATTAGGATGCTTTATGATGCATTCCAAGATTTGGTCCGCGCGTCTGCTCCGAAAGGCGAGCCAAGATACATTCCGCCCCAGATACCGGTGACCTGCAGAGGGGAGACAAGAATGTTTGGCCGTCGAACGTTGGCGGGGATGTCGTATTCCGTACGTTAGTCCGATTGAGGATCGGCGGAATTTCTCATCAACTTTTGAGTGATGTAGAAAGCCATTCGGATGTTCAGGAAACGGTTTCAACAGGAAGGAGACATCACCCATCTGCCTGGCAAGTACGAGCCAGAGATGTTATTCGACCACTATCCTCGAGTTGGCCTTGTGGCTACCTTCATCGGCGCAACAACGCGAGCACAGAAAGCTGGTGTCATAGACGAAAGTTCATGGACAGAGTTACTGAGGAATGTAGAGAGCATTGAAGTATTTATTACCCCAGTGACTGAAACTACCTAGTTCGCTTACTCCCTTCCGTTCGCGCATTTATAAACTCGAGGGTTATAGCAGTGCATAGAAGGTTTATTGAAGCTACTATAGAACGAACATAAAGTATATAAGAATCCATCAGACAGACGCTCGATCCGCTGGCTAGCCCATTCGCCGGCTCCGAAGAGCACAAGCAAACTGAGCAAGCCAAACGTCCTCGAGACTCCCCGAAGAGAGCCATGTTCTCAGTCATACGGACGAGCGCGCATATCATCGAGTGGACTTGAAGAAGTGGCATGTGTAAACATGCGAGACTCGAGTTAGTTTCTATAGAATAGATCCTAGCTGAGTATGTTCTAAGGAATTCAAATGGGCGCAGGCAGGTTTATATATTTTTCAAGCACGGTCCGTGCACAGAGGAAAAAGGTCACGTGTAGAACGCGAGGCTCGAGACTCATCCACCGTGTTTATTACAAGCAGCTCGTGAAAGCAAAATGCGAAGTATTCAGAACAATGCAATTAGAATATGTGAAAATACTGAAACATGCAGTAGAGGTGCGTAACTATGGAACTCTGAATGCTACAGAGTTGAATATTTGAATTTCGAAGTGGTGGTTGCAAGTCGTCCAAAAACAATGGCGAAATGGCGGCTAGAGTTCATCCTCAGGATCCCATCTCGAGATTTTGCCTAATGGTTGATAGTAATACTGCTTATACTTCTTGGTAACAGACCGCTTGCCAGGACGAGGCATCATACTGCGTATAACAGTAGCGCGTTCCTGGTCTTCGTCCTTCTCCGGCACGTAGAACCATTTAGCTTCCAGCGGACGGTCGGCGTCATCCTATTCGAAGGTAAACCGTTGATAAATAATCAAGCACGAATTCAAGAAAGAGAAGGCTAACCTTGCCACTACTCTCGACTTTGCCAAATATACCGCTTCCACCTTCCGCTTCATCGCCGCCACTCAGCACGCGCTGGAAAACGTCCATCCATTCATCTTCAGACCGTTGGGCCTGTAGTGTTGGCCGCGCCCGCATGATCGCGCCGTAGAGCGTGGAGATAGCTTGCGCAGAAGCTCGGGATAACGCAAGACTCTCAATGATCAGCCCGCATATCTCAGCGTCATGAGTAGTGTCAATTGGTTCTGGGGGTTGGTCTGAAGGGGTTGTCGGTTGTTGTACTGACGTTGCGTGAGATTCGGAGGTCTGTTGGGTTGAGGGCGATGGTTTGGATCCGCCTGAGTGATCTGAAGGTGATATCGACGGACACAAGGGTTTATAAGGGCCGGGGTCTGAGACAGAAACCCTGCTAGGCTTTAGCCTCACGGGCTGTTTCTGACCGGCATGCGTCGACTCATTGACAACGCTGGCCGCCTTCCAATTCCGGGGTTTGACAGAGGCTGATTCGTCTAGACCGCCAGTATCCTTCGACGCCTTAGCTTCAGGTTTCCTTGCCTTGCCTTTCGAGGTGGAAGTTAATTCCTCAGCTGGCGTGCTCGAGACCCTAGCCTTCTTCCTCGAGGGACCTTCCTCCAAGCTAGCGTCTTTGGGCTTACGCTTAGCTTTCTTCGGGGCAGGAACAGGCGTCGTATTCCGGTGTCCGGAGGTTTCAGAAGCAACATGTTCGACGTCCGTGCGCGATGCGATGGGCTTTGCGGGTTTCGGGCGTGCAGACTTGACTTTGGCCTTCTCTAACTTCCGGTTCTCCTTATCGTCGTCCTGGACAGAAGGACAACTAGGCAGCGCCACCGATGGGGGTATTGAGCTTGATATATCCGACATCTCAATGTCCGCCCGCAACAGCTCCGACATATCTTTCCGAGAAAGCGATAGCGAGTCGCTAGAGGCGACAACGACCATGGGATGGCTATCCTCATCGTCGTGTATTGAGCTTAGAGGAGAGGATGATCTTGAAGACACGGGGGACAGTGATGAGATAGTCGAAAGTGAATCATCTTCGTCGAATTCCGAAATATATGCCGTAACTTGTGCGGGGAGCTGATGAGATTCTTCCGCTGAAAGGCTGGCCAGTGTGGAGTTTATGAGGTCGGCGGACGAAAATGGGGGTTCATTGCTCGGAATGGGACCAGGAACAGCATCGCATGAATGGTCCTAAATGTAAATTTAAGCACAAGATAGCATTCATCCGAGCCAGCAAACACACCATATCTTGTGACCCTCGCGAACCGAGATCCGAGCAACCGTCGCCTGTTACGTTCTTCTCAGCATGGCTTGATAGAGCTCCACCTTCTGACGACTGTGTATCATCACTCGCGTCACACGGTACTAGCGATTGTGTGGGTATTGATGTTGGAGGGGCATCTGCCAATGGGCTAAGAGATATAGGTGAGGGCGACCGTGCATATGGCGAGTCGGTCGTCGGGGGGATTGGTGGAGACGATGGAGGTAGAGGCGAAAATGGACCGATTATCTCTGTGGCGTTTGTCGTGGTATCGGACAACTGCTGTAATAATGATGAATGCTCCAAACAATCGCCGGAGGAGACGGGAGACGGGTCTTGCTCCTTGGAAGTGACGACTTTGGTCACCAAAGAAGCCTGTTCAGTAGCTTCATGGAAGTTGGCGCGGCGCTCTGAGTCCCTCCGCAGACTGTTCTCGAAACTCGTCGGTGTGCTTGTCACCGGGGCGGAACTCCGCAGCCATCGGTATGGCATTGGGTCACTTTTCCAACGGCCTCGCTCTGCAGACGTATCGAAGTACGTTGAGCGGATATCGGAGGAATTGAATTCGAAAGCATCGTCGTCCTGATTTGTTTCTTCTTCGCTGTCCGAATAGAAGACATTTTCGGGGGCTACGGTGGGACGTGGGCGGGAGATGGGTTCACATTTTGAGCGTGTATCTTCTGAATAGTCGGACATTTCAAAATCTGAGCCGGGTAACTCATCGTCACTGGGAAAAGACGAACGGAAACTAGGCAGCCTGCAGTGGGTCGGTGGTGATTTTATCGATGAATTCCAGCGGTCGTCTGGACCCCAGACCATCGACATATCATCTATCACATCGGAGGCATTCCTGAGGTTAAAATCGCTCTGTATTTGCGGACTGGTGTTAATGTGCGCATAGTTATGCCCTTTCGCAGAGTAGGGGGATATCGGTGGGGGTGACGAGCTCGCTGGGGGTGAAGACAAAGGGGAGCTAGACGTCGAGGCTTGGAACCAGCTCTGAATTGAAGACGATGGTCCTTCTGATGGGGAGGAGCTCTTTCTTCGAAATTTAAACGGTAGCGGCAGGATGGGGGAGCTGGAGGTCATGGTAGTCGAGGTGATAACCAGAACGGATCACGTGTAACGCGTCCGCCAGTCAACGGCGCAACGCGTTTGAAGCGGAGTTGAAAAATCCATTAATCCAACGCGTCCCGTCATGTGACGCATCCCCGTCGAGGCACTGCAGTTTAGCTCGATGTCAGTGTCGTTCAGAGAGGCGTCCAAGGGCATCGTACGTACCTCTTCGACATCGACGGTCAAGCTTCAAGTAGAAGACGAATAGACTACGCACCCACCACGCAGCTTCGGTGAACAAGGCCCGGTAATCATCGGTGAGTCATGGGGCTTTCGGGGACGGTGATAAGAGATTCGGAATTGCTGATACGATAGGGTACGAGGGGGCAGGGCAGGCTGGGAATGGTCTGGTCTGGTGCGAATTTCGACCCCATGGTACAATGTTCTAATGAAATTCAGAGCTGTTGAGATGCCTCGAGGCGTACCATGTGTGGCAGAGGCAAGCCTATTCCCAGAGTTCCAGAATCGTTATCGATGCCATGAAGGGGACATGAGGGTTCCACGGGTTCTGACTTGGTTCTGCCAGCGCTATGACGAAGCCCGAGCTTGGGAGTGTCGCTGACCGTCAGACCAGGGGAAACTTTCTGCGGCAAGCGAACTGTGTGGCAAGCCTAGCCACTGTGGCGAGAAGGAAACCATCGGAAAGGTGAGTAACGAACCAGCTGCAGGCGAAACGCCTGTTGGGCAGCGGCAAACGTCGTGGTCAAGAGCATGGTTTACAATTGAAATTAGTTGGCCATGTTACCCGATCATTACTCAGTACGCAGCCCCTAACTTCGAGGTTCTTTCACGTAGTACGCGTATCGACCTGGCCACAAAATTCACAGCTCACGAAGGCGAATACCCAGGAACATCGGTTGGCCCGATGACCTGCCGACTCAAAGTAACTCATTGGTCCCTTCCAGAGGCCCATTACAACATGAAGCGCCATTGAGCCCATTGGATACGCATTAACGACTACAAATTGAGAACACCAGGGACGATCTCGATCCAATACCTACACGGAAGGGCGAGAACACAGTACGTTGTCATTTAGCCATATCGACGCTGTATATCAACAAATGGAGCTCACCCATCGGGATCCAGAATGAACGCGATATTCCTCATCCTCCCATCGCTGGGCTTCTTTTTGAACTGGACGCCCAGCTGCTCGAATCTGTCGCACGCCTTTTCCACGTCGTCGACCGTAATAGCGATGTGACCGAACCCCTTGCCCGGGTCAGTGTTCCCGCTTGCGTATCCTTTGAAATTGGCATCGGACTCGGTGCCGTGGTTGTGCGTGAGCTCCAGGACACCTGTTAAGTGCTCATCGATTAGTGGATCCCCAATGATCCGTGACGAGGGCGCTCCATAATGTATTGGGCTCTGATATGACATACCTTCACGAGAGAACCGGGACTTCTCTTTCTCCTCCGCCGTGAGGTCCCTGCCTTCGTGATTGTAGGCTAAGAAGTACAGGCTGAATCCTGATTCATTGAAGTCCTTCCCTGCAAACGACGGGACACATTAGTCAAGCCTGCACCGAAGCATCGTCGGTGGACCGTACTTGACAGTAATTCCATGCCAAGGACCTGTACATGCGGTGTTAGACAGACGCATCAAAATTCTTGAGTCCAGATACGACATATCGTACTTACCTCGGTGTAGAACTTCAGTGACACCTGAGGATCCTTGACACGGATCATTGTATGGTTGAACTGCGTCGCTCGTAATTCAGCGGACATATGGTTTATTGGATAAGGGGCATACCTTGAATGTAGCAGTTTCTGCGGCTCTAGGCATGTTCGCAGTTTGCTGGTGGAGCACTGGAGAGCAGGTGAAGACCACCTTGGGGGAGGTGAGGATCCTCGTGGTCGCTTAGGGGCTACGGCCCGCCCGGACAGTCTCATGATCTACAACGCGAAGTCGGAGTGACGGCAAAGCGCGACTCAATGGAATCGAAGCCTCCGAGTTTGCTAGAAGCCTCCATTATGACCTCACCAAGTACATACTTGCGAGTGCGGGCTCAATATACGGGTATCAAACGTCAAGATAGGCGAGATAGACCACACACCTTCGACTGGACAACTTCAAGTTCGAGATCTCAGAATATCGATGCAAGGGACGCGTACAGGCAGCAAGCCATCACTGGAGTCGTTGAATTTGTGGTGATCATGATGATATTGACAAGTAAGGGTATAACAAAGCACTACGACACTTTCATCAGTTCGTCAAAGGCTCTCCGATCCAGGCCTGTTGGCCAGGAGAGTTTCCGTTCGGCACCAACGACTTGCATGTCATTGCGTTGTTCTTCGGTGAGGGGCAATATTGCTGGAATTGAAATCCGCGGTTAATTCCTTAGGTTCATTCCAAAGAAAACCAGAAGCAACTCACTTGCGCTGTCGGCACGAGGGGCATTGAGAGCCCATGATGGGTGCCCCCCGTCGAAGAAGTACCGCGATATAAGCTCGATGATGGCCACAGGCATGATACCTCCATAGTTGCTCCCGACAGCAAACGCGAGTTCGGGCTTTCCTTCCCAATTAAAGACCTTGACGACAGCCATCTTCTCAGCGAGCTCCGGGGGCAGTAGCAGCGCGGTCTCAAGGACTGCCGGCAATTCTGAGACAGTCAATTCTGCGCAGCTGGAAGTATCGAACACGTCGGGTTTGCCTGGATGAGGGTTTCCAAAAAAGTTGAATATCTTGTGCTCTCCGACGACCCAGCAACACCAGAAGAGTTCAGGTAGTCCGTCAGGGCGCGAGGGGCCCAGGTCCTCAGGGATTTTGTTGAATGGTATCGATCTTAATTTGCTGAGAATCTGTGCATACATGGTGAGCACCATTGTTGATGACCCGGGCTAACAAGAGCTTACGCGCGGGTCCGGGGAAGCCGTAGTGAAATGACTACGCTTGGCTACGCAATTAGGTGCAAGTAAGTATTCGCCTTCCATTATGCTTTCAGAGGGATACAGGAGGAAGAGGACGCTGAGGTTTGATGGGGTTCCCAGCAGTTAGAACCACAGTTTTATCTTGGTGTGGCCACTGTCTCATGCTGACGAGCCACCGGAAGCCACATCGTCGATCAAAGACAAAATAGGCCACTGACTAGCGACTGCGCGCTTTGTCGCGCGGGAAGGTGAGACTTCGGCCAATGAGGACACAATAGCCACATAACAGGGATTTGCAATTGTTTACCTGCTACGCAAGGACGACTAGTGGACAATGAACATATACAGATATTGACTCACGCCTCCCTAGCCTTGACCTGTTTTGCCACCTTAGAAGACGAGCGGCGCACAGGATTCCGCCTTGCCGCAAGTTCCTGGTCAAAGCTGGCCGCGCCGACATCTTGTATGACCTGAGTTGTGACCTCTTCGGGTTCGTTGGCAGCTAGCACGCCATCGCCGATGTTGTCCTCTGGGGGTGAGCCGCCACCCATGTCTAGACCTTCCAAGACTCCGCCGTCTTCATCGTCGTCTACCACTTTCTTGCCGCGCCGCTTCAACTTTCTACCTTCCTTAGCTTCTGCAACCTGTTTAGAATCGTCGCTCGCTGGACGAAGACTGGCTGAGGTGCGAGATCAGAGGAGAGTGACAAAGCGACTAAGAGCAGAACCGTACCATGGATCACAGGATGGAGATCATACGTCCTGTAGAGCTGCAAGACCGCTTGCTCTTTATCTTTCGCTTCGATCATCAAGTCTGTTTTCGGGAATAAGCGATGGATATAGTGCGTGCGGGATGAGACTTACCCATATCATCTGGCAAATCCTCTGGAAGCAGCTTGCATCGTGCCGAGTGTTTCCTTTTCTCCATGAGCGTCTCAGCGCCTTCCCTCGCCTCACTTAAGTGCTGCTTTGGCTTGATCCCCCTCTTTCGAAATATCTCATTCGCTCTCGAAATTATCTCCGTGCGAGGTAAAGACGGATTCAGTGCATCGTGATGATAATCGAAGACGAGGGGTATGAGCAGTGACTCGCAAATGGGCAGAAGGTCAGATGCGGAGTAACAAATCTCGTCATTCTCGAGGACTAGACGATCGCGAACATTCTGAGGGAGTACGTTCGCGACAGTGTCCTTGATTCTTTCGAGGGCAGCTTCTTTATCGCCATATACGCCTCCTCCCTGTGATGCTAACATTAATGACCCGTCGCACATACTAAGAGGGACGTACATGAACAATCATGACACCGTCTTTATCAATCCCCATTAGATCTAGCATCTCGCAGTGGTATTTCAGCTCCCGAACTGCCGCAGCTATGACCTCTTTCTTAGGGCTTCCGAGTTGGGTATATTGCCCTGGATGGGTAGTAAGTCGATGGTTGTATTTCGATGCGAGCTCCCCGACTCGGGCAAGCAGAGGGGCGCAGTAGTTGAGAGAGTAGCCGTGCACGGAATGGGAAGCGAATGGAAACATATCGGAAGAAATGCGCATGAAGCGAATATTCTGCAAAACCAGAGGCTAGTGAACAACGTTCCAACAGTAGGGTCCTACACCTTACGTTTGCTTCATTCCATTCAATAATCGTCAGTAAATCTTCAACATTCTTGACGCCCAAGTCCTTCACAAAGTCTATACCCTTCTCCTTAATCGTGTCGAGACTATTGTCATAAGCGACACGTCGGCCAGCCCAAGGGACATGACTCACCGGCAAGTTCTCGAACAAAACACAGCTTCCGTCGCAGGTTTCTTGTTTCGCAGAATGGTGTTGAGGCACGCGTAACCGAGACGCCCCTGAAACGTAGTCGTCCTCTTCTCGACATCGGGAATGACGTACACTGGTTCAGGCTTCGCTCGCCTTTTCTTCCGCGACGAGGCCGTTACCTCCTCGCCTCCATCCTCTACAGCGTCGTCAGGTTTGAGCTGAGATCCTTTGCGTTTCTTTCCTTGGGACTTGGGCTTGCGTTTGACCTTCTTTGGCGCAACAATTTTGTCAGAATCCTCGTCCATCGGCGAAAGGCTAGAGTCTGATTCGTCGGCTCCAGGGTAAATCACTTCTTCATGCTCGGCGGACGAAGTAACTATTGCTGCGGATGTAGTCGACTGAATACTTGCTAGGCGAGTACTCCGCCTCCTGACGACCGAAGTGTCCATTATTGTTACAAGCGCCTGGGATGCACGGATAGACTGAGCTAAGCGACTACGCTGGATGATTCTGGTGAGACGACAACAAGCAAGAAGCATAAAAAGAGGCCAACGATCCGCGTCGCGGCTGACAGAGATTCGTAAGGAACGATGCCTGCATGTGATGAAGTCATCGTCGGTACAGAGGGAGGCGATCGCACCTCCTTTTCGGGACGTGGCTCGGAACACCGACTAGGAAGAGTCGCGCCTCTTAGATTCTAATAGACCGTTCGGCGCGACGTTGTCCAACAACAAATAATAAATTGGTCCTTCTCAATTTCTTCCGGGGGCCTAAAGATGCCTAGAGTTAATAGTTGTATCGTCGACATACCTAACGACCATCCATCCTAGCGGGAAAGACCATTGAAGGTCAACGTTTCAACCACCAGTCCCCGACGGATGAAAACGGTGTTACTGTCCTCTGCATTTCTGATCCAACCGTTAGCTGACTCCTACTCAAGAAGAGACCCAACAAAGGGAAGACAGTTATGAGATACACGGGCTGCACGCTGTTCTTGATTAACGACTGCGCCTGATGCGTAGTTTCATAGAATTGGGAATATATGACGTCCACTTGGAATTACTGCACCAAAGGCGATACTATAGCAGCAGCAGCAATGAATTCTTGGGCTTTGCTCGTCATCAATAGCCCAACTGGAAAGAGGAGGTAAGAGGAATGCATGAACATAACAGCACACTGTGGGCGCACCAATCAGACCAAACAATCCCAATATACTGCCAAAGACCTCCACCACTAAGATCTTCACGAAAAGATCCGGGTCCGCAGCATCTGCAAGGGCCGCTGTAGACCCAGTAACACCAACAGAAACACCGCAAAGCAGATTGCATGCGCCAACCGTAAGGCCGCCCCAGAAGAGCGCGAACCCGGTGAAGTAGTTTTCGGGCGTGTAGAGCACGTCATTCGACACATTACTGAGTTTCGCAGAGTAGACGATGCCGATGATCTGAGACATATAAGTCATAAGTCATGCTACGTGGTGTTTCTACGGATGGTTGGACTCACAACGCCGTAGATAGCGACGACCTCGCAAAAGATTATGCTGGCAGGCGAGTAGGTTGAATATACGTGTTCTGTTGGCTCGAGGGGCCAGCTTACCTGATGAGATTCTTCGTCGTAATACGAGGTGCGCGTACACCACCTCCAAGAATCGATGAACCGGTCACGAAGATTCCCCTACGCGTTGAGCATCAATACATCTAGCCTCCGGTCCTCAACCTGTCACATTTACGCACCAGCCAGCCCCAAGAACGCTCAACCCCAAGCACAACCCAATCCCCGTCGCGCCCCAGGCATATGGGCTGGATTCCTCAAGGAAACGACCGACGTTAAAAGCTTCTCCGGAGTCTGTAGGAAGAGCGGTGAGACTCGTAAAAGGCGCATATAGACGGAATCTTACCAGTGAAAAGGAGATACAGGGCTATTAGAAGGACAAGAAAAGTGGGTAGGCCATACGAGAAGTAGGCCTTGAGATATGCCATGATGGAACGAAAGCAAGCGTGAATGAGCGAGCGGAATCACCGTCAGCAGCAACTGTTTGGGCGCTTACTTGACCAACCTTGCCCGAATGTACCATCTTCTCAGAGGCCTTCATGAGTATCTCACAAGGTACGCGACTCCTACAATCCAGCCCTATATTGCTGAATACTTCGCAGAAAGGAAGAATTCACTGTCCTCATCATTGGCCTCGATGGTGCTGGAAAGACGGTACAGTCGGCGGCTTGAACTTTGACCATGTACTCATTCATGTACTGCAGACCTTCCTGGAACATATAAAGACACTATACAACGATGTACCAGGACTGACGCCGGACAAGATTGCACCGACGGTTGGCCAGAACAGTACGTGTCCTCTGCAAGCCCACATTCAAGGAACTCAATCGGCTTGTTAGCCGGAAAGATAACTCTGCCTTCAACCATTCTCCAATTCTGGGACCTCGGAGGCCAGAGAGGAATACGGAACATCTGGCACAGATACTACGATGACTGCCACGCAGTCGTCTATGTCATCGACGCGGACGACAGAGAACGGTTGAGCGAGGGCTGGGAGGTCTTCGGTATGTCCTTTCGCCATGGACGTGCAATCCTTGTGGACGTGACGTGAAGACTCTGTCTTGTCCTCTCCACAGATCCTCGGCGTACCACTTCTCTTGCTTGCCAATAAACAGGACTCGCCGCACAGTCTTTCAGTCGAAGAGATACGACATGACTATGAAGATTGGCACCAACGCAAGATACAAAGTATGCGCAGGAGCTCCTTCCACCAGCAATACGGCGGGGAGCAGGACCAAGGCATGCAAAGAGAAAGGATTGCCAGTCTTGATGTGATGGGCATTAGCGCTATTCAAGGGTATTATGCCTTACAGTTACGTCTCGAACGAAAGCTGAGTGCCACGTATCCTAGGACTGGAATAAGAGAGGCTGTAGATTGGCTCTTCTTGCGAGTGCAAAACTCGCGTAGGTCAGACGGTCCTAAACAGGGTCAAGCAGCGTAGACCGTCGAGTGCATCACCTATCCCTTGCTATTGTGCTCTTCCTAGTTATAATATTAGAGGGCTGCGCCATTCTTGTGGTAAGATCGCGCAGACCTTCCTTCTGCTCTTGTAACCGTAGTCAACTGTTCGAATGAAATCTGGCATTTAGACACGAGTCCTGCGTGCCATGTATAAGTGTGCCTCTAAGACGAAGCATCCCTGGCGCAACATGAATCAAGCCTGCCTAGGACTATCCGAACCGTCCCTGCAAATCGCATCCAACATCTCCTTCACCTCAGTCTCCTTCATCACAACATTTCTCGTATCACCAGAATGTACGCTCCAGACCTTATCCTTCCACGCCAAATACTCTTCCAATATCCTCCCTCTGATATGATCGACCAACACTCCCACTGTCTTGTCGCTCTCCAGATATAACTTCATCCTGATAACAGTCGCCCTGAAATCCCTGTTGCATGCGGCGCGGAAGTTCGAGTCCAGCGTCTCGATGACTGAACGTTGAGCAAAGTCTTGAGCGGTTACGGGCACTGGATCGGATTGTGTAGCTAGCGCTTGAGCGCGACGGACACCGTTGAATTCATCGACTTGTATAACCCATTTGATGAGGGGATCTGTGATGGGGTCGGCGCAGCATGCTATGACAGCTTCGCAAGCATTCCGTAGGTCATGATCAATACCCTGTCATTATCTCTGCTTAGGCAAATCTTCCTCCAAGCACAAGGGAATGGACGAACATGCTTGGCCTCAGATATACTTTCTTCTGTCTTCGGCATGCCCAACGACGCAAATAGGTTACTCGGCAAGAGAGAGGTCGTTTTGTTAAGCATTGCGGCCAACGTTTCTACGAGCACTGATTGGTCCCCTGGTACCTGCTGTTCGAGCGCATGTGAGCTTACCTGTTACTCCGCCGAATTCGTCCAACCCCATGTCCTTTTGCACCAAGTCGAGACTGTTCGTGATCTCCTTCAGAATAAGGAGATGTCTGATAAGGAAGAGACATCCGTCTACGACGCTGGTCGACGAGTTCTTCGTTTTGATATTCTCAGAAGCGGAGACAAGGGAATATCGACAAAGGCCAACAGCTTCTTGTGCGATGTCTTCGAAAATAGCTGGCTATAAATGGTGATGATGAGGACGGGATGCGATGTAATGATTTCACGGCTTACCTTGACGAAGTCGTGTAACTGAGACAGCACCCAAACAGTCTTCTGAAGTGTAGGATACCACGTTTCCCGCTTCTCTAGAGACGTTATTTGGAACAATTGGCTGATGCTCTCCTTTTCCTTTATCTCGAAAGTAGTGGCCGGCTTCCGAGCATCTATATATCATGGTAGGATCTGAAGTTCTATAGACATGCTCGAATTATACGCACTGACAAGCTTGTCAGGATACGCCAGGTCCTCCGGCTTAGGCACATAGTATCGAATATCCGACTGGATCACCGATTGCGCTTTGAAGAATAGCCGCGTTTGGGCGTCCTGCAACACCATCTGCAACAGATGACTGATGTGCAGGTGTCCTAGTCCGCGTTGTTTAGTCCGCGGGTGCGAAGGGTCAAGGTCTAGGTTGAGTTCCTCAGAATCATCGCTGTCGCTGTCGTCGACGAGTTCGTCATCCACAACGTCTAGCACCATGAGTGCTTGTAATACGGTGCAGACTTCGCATAGTGCTGTAAGTCTGGGCTCGTGCAGAATGCGGGGGCGAAGATCGTCGTACAAGTAGTCGCAAAGGTTCTCTAGGTACGAACTACAAAATACGGGCTGTCAGCTAGGCGTCGCAGTATATAAGAGGGGAGGCTAACTCACTAAAGCTGGTCCTCGCCAGTACTGAAGAATTCTCGATATAGCACAAATTCGTCGGTGCAAAGTTGCTTGAGGTAACTACATCCAGCTCTCGTCAGCTCGACCAACTCCGTCCTTACAGGATCTAAGCCCCGGATTTCTTCAACCACTCGCCCGACAAGCAGGGTCTTGCGCGTACTAAAATAGGCTGCGTGGCATTCAGATAGAAGAGTAGAAAGCTCTGCTGGATGCGCCTCGGCTCTGCGCTCGAGCTCTCCTATCAGCGGCGCTACCTGTGTGGAAACAGTGTGAAACCGGGTGTAAAGGAGATGGGTACTAGCAGTGCTAGAAATTTCCTAGAATAAACATCAACGACGCGCATGAGTTGACGTTGCAGGGAAGGGCTTACTCTCTCTGAAAGCTTCTTGGAGACATCAGAAGATAAAGCGCGTAGCGAGCCAACGAAGAACATCTTGATGAGCGTCATAGCACGGGTCATGCATTGTTGGAAACGTAGAAGGTATACTTCTGCGTCTTTATAATGCCGCTATAGAGAAATGAGAACTAGAGGCAAGTCAGAGGATGATGGGCTTACATGCAACTTGAGGAAGTCAATGCAAACGCCGACGCGTTCGACCATATACAGGAAGTCGGTTTGCAAAACGAGTGATTCGCCTGGGTGGTTGAGCATTCGCGTAGCATGTTCCAGCTCTTGGAAGTATTCTAATCGCGCGCCAATATTGTCCGTTATGTCGAGAAGCCTGTCCTGCGAAGGTATATATGCGGTTTTGATAAGGCACGAGAGAAACAACGCACCCTCTCTTCTAACAGTTTCTCGCAGGCTTCCTTCAGACTCTTGCCACCCTCTTCTACGCTCCGCCAACCTTTAAGCATGTCACTGACTTCCTTGTCAATCTCCTCAATCCTCTCAACAAGGAAGTCGCACTCGTCGAGGTGCTGCGAGACACCTGCGAGGTGCGCACGGAAGTGAGCTTCCTGACTGTGAGTAACCGACCTGTCGATGAGGGCAAACCAATCGTAGAACTGTTCTAGTGTTTGGATCGGTTGTTTGGGGTGGAGCGCATGCGAAGATGATCCTGCTTGGGCTGCTAGCTTGCTCGAGCCCGCTTGGACTGGCGTACCGGGCCTGGATCCAGTAAATCTCAAGCGCGGAGTCGATGGTCTCGAATGACTGAGATCGTCAGTTTGGAACTACGGCCGGGAGATCATTCATCAGTACACACTAGGTATGCTCAAGTGATACGCTCACTTTCAGTGGTAACGGCAACTTCTCGCTGGCCTCCTTGATTAAGGCGACACTACGCGTCTCAAGCTCTCCCAATGGCGCTTTGCTTTCCCATTCTTCGACAGAAATTACAGGTGGAGGTCGAGGCTGGGACGGTGACGGCGAAGAGAGATTAGTTGGAGCGCGACGAGGAACAGAGCGGGTTGAAGCCATAACTTCGTCGCCGTCGTCGACAGCGGCGCGCCAGAAGCGACGGGATCACGTGGTAGATGCTGCTAATAGTCGTTGATGATAAGATAAGATTGTGGAGATGCGATTGGAGATAAAAATTTCTGTTCATACTGGCCCACTCAACTCTTCGACTCTGGATTACGCGGATACTACGAGGATCGCAACGTCGAGGTCGATAAAGCGATCCAGAGACAAAAAAGCTGACCATGGTTGAAGCACATCACCACCGACCTACCCTCAAGCAGGTTTGCGATCTACAATCTTTACAAAGCAGTATGTTCACGATATTCTACAGACGAATAAATCATTTAAATCCAAACATGCCACCAAGAGTTCGATAAGAGATGCTGCGAAAGGTGCGCGAATCGATATATTTTCTAACTTTCCGCATAGCTCACTTAGTGTAAACAAGGTCGCGTCTCGCGACAATCTCCCAAAACTATCCATGGGTCACCGAACGCTGCTCAGACCAGGCTGAACCGCAAAAATCATGCGAAACAGGTGCAGGCTCATAAACGGTCCGCCATCGTGTCTGCAACTCGCCTATTCAACGGTGTAGACGGCGCACCCCGGATTGTTGCTGTTGTACCATTGTGCCCCGATGTTTCGACGCAAGAAACCGTGAAATCCATGGCGGAGGCTCTTGATCAGAACGCGGACGATTGCCCGATTGCGGGTGTATGGAAGCTCAGGTGCGTGATGATTTGAACATCGTCTTCCAGATGCAACCAATATATTTTTCAGAGCAGAGCGTTTCCGTACATCTCTCCAATTCATCACACTCCCATATAAATCCTTCTACGCCACACTGGATGCCTGCAAGGTCGCGGATTACGTTGTATTCGTTCTTTCCCCCACCGTCGAAGTAGATACATTCGGCGACACCCTACTACGCACACTCCAAGCCCAAGGCCTACCGGATGTCATATCAGTTATTCCCCCGACTTCCTCACCTTTGGTCGACACGAAAACGAAACCTGGAATACTGAAGTCATTACTGTCTTTCGTACAGTATTTCGTACCTACACAGACCAGGATATTCGACCTGAGTAGTGGAAGCGACAGAGTCAATGCGATCAGAACGATGGCGGATGGCAAGCCTGCCGACGTGAGATGGCGAGAGGGGAGAGCGTGGGTACTGGGAGAACACGTCGAGTGGGAAGACGAAGATAACGGAACTCTCAAATTCACCGGCGTCGTTCGCGGCACGAGCCTATCGGCCAACCGCCTTGTTCATCTCCCAAATTACGGTGACTTCCAAATATCTAAAGTAAGCAGCTGATCGCATAGATCCTTACCTTTACTCATATGCAGCATCTAGATTCTCTCAGCTCCCCTGCCGTCGACTTCTCACAAAGCCTCGAATGCCAACCACATGGACGTAGAAGCTGCTGTTCTTGCCGAGCCAGATCCCTCCGATGCCGACTCTTTGGTTTCCTCCAATGAACCAGATGATATGGCTAACGAACAGACATGGCCGACTGAGGAAGAAATGAACGGCACCGGCAACGGAACCGACGGCGCGGACGCGGACGTTCCTGACGCGGCAAACGGTGCAACCCCAAAACGCATTAAACGCGTGCCCAAGGGCATGAGTGAGTACCAGGCAGCATGGATCGTGGAAGATGAGACTGAAGATGAGGGTGGTGAGGGCGAGGGCGAGAATGGAACTGAAACCGAGGCTGGTGAAATGGATGGTATACGCGGTGGTGAAGAAGAGATGCAGGATCTCGTTGTAGATGACGATCAAGATATGGAATCTAGCAGGGTTGTTCATTTCGAGGATCTTGACAACGAAGAAGAGGAGAAACAGTACGTGATCAGATTCCTTCTACCGGATAGGAATTTACGTCTTTCAGGCTTCAGACGTGGCGCACGCGTACTCGGACGCTCGAAGAACAAGATGACCTCCAATTTCCGGATGAAGTTGATACACCAAAAGATACTCCCGCGCACTTACGTTTTCAACGATACAGGGGCTTGCAGTCATTCCGTACCAGTCCTTGGGATCCATACGAAAACTTACCTAGGGATTATGCACGCATTTTCCAGTTCGAAGACTTCAAGCGCACAGAGAGGGGCGTTAGGAAGAGAGCCGAAATGGAAGTAGGCGTCGTCGAGGTGTGTTATGAGTTTCTTTCATTTCAGACCACGTATTAAATCTTGGTTAGCCCGGAGTCAGAGTGACGATCTATATTCGCGGAGTACCTCGAGCTGCCGCCGGCGTGTCTTTCCCTGTGCTCTTCTCGTTAATGCAACACGAACACAAGATGTCAACACTCAACTTCACTGTACAGAGGAATACTGAGTACGACGGTTCCGTCCGGTCGAAGGTACACTTACTTTCGGAACGAGACACGCCTGATCTGAAGTTGCGGCTCTAGGATCCCTTGATTCTATGTGTAGGACCTCGTCGATTGCACATCAACCCCATCTACAGCCAGCATACTCGTGGTGGCGGAAAGGGTGCTAACAACGTTCACAAGTTTGAACGTTTCCTCCGGCCTGGTATCACGACTGTAGCGACCACATACGGCCCAGTGGTGTTCGGAAATCAGCCTTGCGTTCTCCTGCGGGAGTCCGATGATCCACAAGGTGCATATCTTTCGTCCCCCAATCCTCTCCCCCCGTGTCTGCTGCCCCTTGGCGAACGTTATACACCACCCCAGATAACTGACCTAGGCTTGAATGATTCCATTCTTGTTAAATAGCTCCACATCTCGTGGCCATGGGGTCGTTCCTAAACCCTGATACAACTCGTGTCATCGCGAAGCGTATCATCCTGACCGGTCATCCGTTCAAGGTGCACAAAAAGACGGCAACAGTACGGTATATGTTCTTCAATCGAGGTAACGTGTCCTATTATTGGCGTGCGATCACCACCTCTCTAACACTCGTGTCTTTCACGCGCCCGTTTATCTACGGTCTATCGAACCGACGAACATGCACCGTGCCCTATCGCCCATCCACTATGATCGTTCCTCCCTGCGATTGCAATCCTGACGTTAATTGCGGATTTATCTTTATCAGACGACGTGCATTACTACAAGCCCATTCAATTACACACGAAATACGGACGAACGGGCCATATCCGCGAGTCCCTCGGAACACACGGCTACTTCAAGGCTCATTTCGATGGTCCTATCAACCAGATGGATACAGTCTGCATGTCGCTATACAAACGCGTTTTTCCAAAGTGGAGCACCCTTTGGAAAGACGGAACTGAAGAAGTGGCTAACGCGCCTTCGGATGCAATGGATCTAGAGTAAAACAGGCTCATTTGTATATACCGTGTGCCGTTAGTGAGCTTGGCCCAATGCTTCTCAGATGCTGCTCACTTGATTAGGTTTATCTGATCCGTGGAGACACTGCCATCGATAAAAGATATGGGGCCCAATTGTGAGAGGCGAACTCACATAAGCCAATCGTGATGGGCTACATATGGCGCAACTCGTGCGCCGCCGGTCAATGTGCCTCCAGTAAGATGCGACCTTCCGGACTGAACCTGAGATAGCTCGATCGTACTTCTTGTAATAATGACTCAGTCGCCGATTGGTCCGCACCACCAGTAGGTAATTGATTACACGCTGTGGACATTCACAAAGCGATATGGAAGTGGTTGTACACATGTATGAGATTGGAAATAAGTAGTAGATGGTCCTCGCCGACGCCGGCCGAGCTACAATATGATGACTATGTGGGTGCGCGCCTCGCTCGGCAAGCGTAAGCCACAGTGCTGCTATATGGTACAAGTGGAGGTATCCGTGGAGGGTATGGCTGGTAACGGTGTTCCCTTCCTCTGGAGGCTGAATGAAAGGCTGATCATGATCGAGGGATAGGAGGCCAACTCACGAAGTGGACAGGGGTACCTGGTGATCGTCGAGAATCATGCCTTCACCGCACGACTTTTCTCTATGTCGTTGTGGGTGAGGTTGTTGGCTTGTTTACCTGGCACTTGGGTCAGAACTGGCCTGTTGCCAGAGCCCGCCTGTACTTACATTTCGCCTGTTCTGCCGGGGTCATAAAGCGTTGGTCGCTCTCTGCGTTTATACGACGCTTGTCGAGCAAGCTCCGTGCAGCCGTCCACTGGCGCAGCGTGTACGCAGCAAGTTCCTGGGAGTACCGCTGTCGTTCAGAGTCGGAGGCGATGGTCATGGTCATTGTGCAGAAGAGAAAGGGAGATGTTCTGGGAAAAGGAGTGTGTCGCGAGAGTGCCTTTATATGATGAATCCCTTGCAAGCCGTTGGGTGCATGCCGAGGCTCTAGAACACGATGATTCGATTTTGCGCAGTCTGGAGCAGTCTATCCGCCCCGCAGGTGATTGGCTGTACCCACTCCACTCAGGAATGAATTCCGCTGATTGGCTCACGCTTCCAGGCCGCAAGGGGGGACTGAGAGCCGGAGTTCGAACTACAGCCTGCCAGTGGGGCAACGAGATGAGCAGAAAGGGAGTAACAATTATCGACGAAGCACTCTACTGGTCCATGCAATAAACTTCTGTACAGCACCATCAGTCCACATCCACAACTCCTCCAGAAACCCATCCAGGCCGCCACGCTCATCCCAAGAGGATTCCCGGTCCGGTTTTTCTGTGGCTATGAAGCGAAGTACGTCCTTTACTGTCACCAACCCAGCTAGTGCTCCATGGTCCTCAACGAGGATAATGCGCGGGCTGTCAATCAAGTCAGAATGAAATACAGTAAAAAGATATCATCACGACCAACCCCATTCTCTTAAACATCTGCATGACGATTTCCAATGGAAGTTGTGGAGAAACCGTGATTGGTGTCTGTGGAGCCAGGAGTTTAAGCCGCGCAGAAGCTAATACGAGCGCCGCACGAACCTGGTTCACCCATGGCCAAAACTTGAGACCATCGCCCGATGTAGCGGTGTCAAATAATGACGTCGGTACATCTTCCTCAATACCGACTGCCGGCCCTTGCGCGAGGTCAAGGTCATCGTGAGTCGTGGTCTCCGGCTTGAATGAGCACAATGTGTTGGGGGATATAGGCTGCACCTTGCGCGCCTTCTCTGAATATCAAATAAATTAATATTAATGAAACACTTCTTTACGGTAGAAGCACGAACCGAGCACGTAGCGGAGCTCCGTGCGACCGATGTATCCACTGAGGGTACGTGAAGTAGCAGAAGCCACGATAGGGAAGCATTTGACGTCGGTAGTTGCGATAATATTCTCTGGTGCCACAATTTCGATCAATATCGCTCCAGCGCTGAAGTGGATTATCAATTGTACCTATTTCCTGGACACACATTCCTGATTCTGTGAGGGTGTGTAGGTCGCGCCGCATGACCTTTGACACTGCCTGATGTTAGGGTCTGAAAATAAGGAAGTACACCACAGCGCATACCTGAAACATTGTAGGCATGGTCATCCTTCTCTAGGAAAGGGAAACCGTTGAAGCGTATCATCTCATCCGCGATGCCGTTCGTGCCAAGGAAGTCTCCGACAGCCTTCGTCACGAGGACAACAATCTGTGCACCAACCATTAATGCCACACTTTGTGGTGATCGCACAGAAATATACTACCATAGTTGGCAGGATGTATGTGAGCGCGCCAGTCAATTCAAACATAATCACGACGACAGTAACGGTGATTCTCATCACCCCACTTCCCACGAATTGGAGCGATAAGTCAAGTGTCGGAGTATCCACAAGGATGAGGATTGCTCACCTCAATGCCGCGGCGGCACCTAGGAAGGCATATGTACCCGGCGTGATGCAGGGAAGATCGGGTTCGCAGAATGCAAAGATACCGGATTGAGGATAAGCCCTGGAACGCGGTTGTTAGGTTTCCACCGATTCGATAAATAGAAACAGGCAACGGACCTGTATATAGCTTTCACTATTATACCTACCATACGACCGAACGTCGCACCGACAGCCATTGACGGTATGAAAATACCCGCGGGCACCTTGCAACCGTAGGAAATCACTACTAATCCTGTTCGGATTATGGTCGCAAGGAGCAGGGAATTGGTGAAACGCCACTGTACGGAGGTTCTGTATCAAGGGTTGAGTCGAAGGCTCCACATTACGACATGTGCTCTTACTGGCAGAGGTTGTCGTTTAGATTATCGCATTCTCGAAATAGGATGGACAGACTCTCAGTCATATCCGTCCGGAGGAAGCGATTAAAGTAGCCGATCATTGCAGTCAGACTAGCCAGAGTAACAGCCTCGGCGACCCCGTGGTTAGCTAGGTAGCTTCGGCGGAACGCTGCTACTTGGAGATTGAACTTGACCACAAATGCACCGTACAGACCCTATTGGGGACATCAGCGATGCCAAGGACACTTACAGACTGTACGCACGCCAAATACACCAAGGACGATGAAGAAGATGATCTCGAAGAAGTGCCAGTCCCGGTCATACGTAACCTGGAACAGTACAAGTTTGCCCGTTCGAAAAGGGTTCATTGCCTGTGGAATAGAATCAGTAACTACGGATGGGCAACGAAGCCAAGGGCCAACCGAGAGTGTAACCGTCGCCACTAAAGCACAAAAGAAGCTCCTCCACATCGTCTTCACGCTAAAGGCATGGCTCATTTCCTGTTGATTGGAATTAGCCAAAGACCATGTGAGATGGATTAGACGTACCTCTATTGAAAACAGGACACCGCCGATGGGTGAACCGAAAGCGACCGCGACTCCTGCAGCACTGGCGGCGGTGATGATTTCTCGCATTTTGCCTACATATGCTTAGGTTAACAGTAAACCGAGTAGAATCAGCTCCCACCTTGACTACGGGCAAACCGGGAGAATAAACCAGCGACAAGGGACCCTATACAGCAGGCGACATGGACGGATGGACCTTCCTTGCCGACAGACAGACCAGAGGCAATGACGAGAGGCTACGCGAATGAAGCTACATTACTGAGGCATAAGACGAGTCAGGACTTACCAGTGTAATACTCTTGATAGCAAATGTCGCGAATCCTAAAAACCCTTGCATAACGAACCCAGCCAAAATACACTTTATCTCGGAGATGCCAGATCCCGCCGCGTACTTTGCTATATGACGAACAAGATGTGAAGCTGTAAATGAAAATACTGCCTAGAAGACCTTCAATATGCCCACGGCAAGGAGTTCGGATGACATACCGCAAATAATATATAGATCATCCAACGAGCGAGAGTGACGGTACTCCATGGATGCCATGACTCGCATCCGTCAGTCTCGTCATAATCCACCTCCCAGCAGCAGAATTGCTGGTTCAGCCACCAGCCGTCCGAGCAATAACCCATTTTGATATCGGAGAGCCACTCAGTCACAATGGAGATGACCGCGGCATTGAGTCCTATACATATGCCTTGAAACGAGCAGCGCTCACTAAACTCAGTGTCCCAAGAGACAACCAGTGGGATACTCACCGACAAGGCTCACCACGAACCAGCTCTGCCCAGTATCTATCAACCGGCGCCATTGACACCGCAGCCACTCCATGGTAATCTCTCCGCGTGGTCTGTGTTGCGAAGCATTGCCGAGCTGCCTGGAGGCGCGTATGCGCCTATTCCGCTCGAGAATTGAGTCTTCAATCCAATCTCCAGAGAATTGTAAGTGTCGTTCTTCTGGCAGTCCAAATGAAGCGTCGGATACCTATCGTGCTGAAGTCTTCATAGCGCCTGTAGTGATCCTCCTATTCAGAGGGCTGCGAAAACATTCCAGAAATCCTAATACCTTATTTCTTCTAGTTCTTCGTCGTCGAACTGCGCATGCATGTCGGGTAACGCGCGCGGAGAGTGCCAAAATTGGGCTATATGATGTATTCCGCGATGATTCGAAGGACAAAGAGTTAGACTCTCATCAGAATTATGGCGGGACGAGTAACGAGTTCGTACGGTACGACGAGGACCAGATTCAGGCGGCGGGGGCACGTGATATATACGTGGTCTCACCCCTGGCAACTTCGAAGGAGCCAAGCGGCCGTCGATTAGAAGCGAAGGCATCAGCACAGTACATCCTCCATGTTGAGATATCGCGCGAGTTCCGAATAATCAAGTAATGTATTGCGTTTGACTGGGACTCCAGCAAACGCATGAAGAAAAGAATACATGCATGCGCAAACTATCTACGGAGTCACGTGAATCCCTGTAACCCCTGTACCGCCTAGATTGTCAGAATCCAACTCCAGTCAGTAGCAACGTATGGAGCGCTCAACATACTAAGTGCTGGGGTATGTAGAAACGTTTATTTGACCAAGGTGGTGCGAATTTGGTATTGCCATTAACTGAGAAAAATAGATGGCTCGACAAGTAGACGGCATTTCGTCAATTCTACCGATTTGCTGTACTGGTTTGGATGCTTGAAGGAATCCAGGAAGTCTACCGGCGAGACGACGGAGTAGCCATTGTGCCACGGGGGTACCCCGGCCAAACCCACCCCATCGAAAGGGTGGGTTTGTTGTACGCATGGCTTGAATACATGCACACAAGGAGACATGGAATGCACCCGGTAACAGGATCGGCAAGCGAATTGATCGAGCGGACACGGCAGCAAAGATCGCTCAGGCTATGCACGACTCGAAGCAACGAAAACGTGCGCCTCCGATGAGCTCCATTGGAGCGGAAAATTCTGGAGCCGATGAAGTTCATTCTCAGGTTATGTTGATTGCCCTGGCAAGCTTTAGAGCGAGGGTAAGAATATCTAAAGATGGTACAAGGAAGACGTATGCCAGCGTGGTCCTATAGCTATATCTGCGCTGTACTTATGCTCACTAATGGTGCCTCGCCCTGTCTGTTTCACGGATGACATCTAGGTTTGATAATTAAGTAGTGGACGCTGTGTCGATATATTGAACCGAGGGGTGGGCTTTATGAGCGGTCACACTAGCCAGACACGGCAGAAGCTCTCCCGCGAAATTACCAGATTAGGTATTCCGCCGCATTACCATATTCGTCCAACCCAGGCGGGCATAGCAATCACGTTGAAAAGAAAGTTCCCCACGACCCCCAAACCATGAGAACCCAGCCACGAAGAGTTGAGCGTCTGCGACAACCATGCCTGGCTTGGATGCTTCGTTCTACCCCCTCATATCATGGTTCCAGGCCAATGGCGGGACCATCGATGAATCGCGCTTCGGTTTGACGACTTTCCCCGAGGAAGAAGGCGGTCGGGGTGCCATAGCTCTGAAAGACATTCCGGTGAGGTCGTAGCGTAGCGTGATGGCAAGATCCTTTTTCTGAGCCGTATATTCAGGAATCGCATACTCTTTTCAGCATCCCCAGGGCACTCACACTCTCAACTCGGACATCGCGCCTGCCTTCACTTTTTGGGATAGATCAATGGCGGAAGGCTGCACCTGATGGCTTTGGGCTGGGTAAGGGATGGGCGGGGTTGATTCTTTGCATGATGTGGGAGGAGGCGAACCACGGACGCTGGGCAGCGTATCTGGGTGTGTACCGTTCATTCCATTGTGGTTCGTGATCTTCATCTCCGGGCAGCAAGTCTTCCCAGTCAGTTTGATACTCCCATGTTCTGGTCCGACGAGGAACTAGCGGAGCTGAAGGGGACATCCGTGGTAGGTTCGTCCTCCCCCCCGCCCCCCCATGTTTTCGTCGTTAACTCCCATTTCCAGAGAAACTAGGTAAAGCAGACGCTGAACAAGAATACTACAAGAAACTTCTGCCCGCAGTTGAAGTGCGTTTGTCTCCAACGCTTGCGCGTCATCTACTCATATTCTGCAGAGCCGGAAGGATATCTTTTTCCCGCATCATATCCCCGTCTACTACACGCTCGAAAAGTTCCACATACACGGCAGTCGCATCCTCTCGCGAAGCTTCACAGTAGATCCCCCTGCGTCCGGGAGCGGGTACTACCAAGACGAGGAGGCCAGCACCGTCAATGGGTCGTCTCACGCGATGGATGTCGACGAATTATCGCCCGAAGCTACGCACGAAGACAGCGGGGATGTTGATGCCGACGACGACGACGAGGAAGACGAAGGGATCGTATCCATGGTCCCCATGGCAGACATGCTCAACGCCAGGTACGAGTCAGAAAATGTGCGCAATCTCCTATTCCCAGACTAGTTGATGTTATTAACCTCTTTACGGAAGGCGAAACTATTCTACGAGGAGGACGAGCTGAAAATGGTATCCACCAAACCGATTAAAGCCGGTGAACAGATCGTAGGTCGACACAGTGCCCAACGACCTTCACGTCTCTGATCCTCTAGGTTGATAGTTTAACACGTACAGCGATCTCCCAAATGCAGAGCTTTTGCGCCGGTATGGACATGTTGACTTGCTTCCTCTGCCTGCGGAGCTTGGTTTCGCCACACTTTCGAGCGATAGTCGCGGCAACCCGGGCGATGTTGCAGAGCTACGCGCAGATATCATCGTGGATGTCGCTGCCAGATCTGCGCTCGGGAAACAGCCAGATTCCTCGAACCCGACGAATCCAGATGCAATAATGGAAGATCTCAAAGGCCGGATTGATTGGTGGCTCGAAATGGGCGGCGATGAGTATGTCTTTACACAAGCACAAACCTCGCCCATTCTCCAGGCTCAGACGCTTCCATTATTATAGCGTATTTTTACTTGAACCCGCGGCATCACCGCTGCCAGACGATCTAGTCTCCCTCATCCGTCTACTCACGGACGATTCCGAATGGCGGAAGGCCCAAGAAAGAGATAAACCGCCCAAAGCTAAGGCCGACAGCGATACATTAACCATCATGATGGAAGTCCTAGAGCAGCGATTGGCCTTGTACGATACCACCCTTGAGGTAATGTCTGATTATATCACAATGCAATACATGCAAATTTGGCTGAATCTCGACGTCGATAGGACGACGGAGCGACACTGGCGTCCTCAGCCGACCTTCCATTGCGAAAGAGAAATGCACTTGTGGTCCGATTGGGGGAGAAGCGAATCTTGCATGGTCTCCGCCAGAAGGTCTCAAATGAACTGGCTGCATTGGCGTCTAAAGCAGGCGATGAATTGGCCGGTGGTTCAAAACGAAGGGGCGAAGGTGGTGATGAAGGGCGAACCAAGAAGCAGAGGCGTTGATGCGCTCGACGGGACGAAAATGGGCAGTTGGGTCGACCTTATTGAAAGTAGAAGAATTGTTACTAAGAGTCTTGGCTGCTATGCGTGCCCACACAACAGACGCTCTCTCGGGCAATTCGTGTTGCATGGTCCAGGCACTGAGATACAAAAGCGGCGTGCTTCAGCGCACTTCACGTCGGAGTTGACGCTTAGTATTATCCACGCCATCCCCATGTTCTCTTTATTCTCTAAACAGGCATCGCGCAAATACGTCGATCTCATATACGGGGTGTCGTCCAAGTGGGCTAATTGGGACCCACCGAAGAAGCTCGAGGTGCCAATGATTGTCTCCCTTCGACGTCCGTCGCTTCTTATCATTGCCCGATTTAGCCAGGCGATTTCGGGGTCATCGATTCGGGCTCGGGGCAGTTTGAGAAGGAGGGCAATATCTACGTCGATCTCGCCGCCGACGAAACCGTTTGCCAGATTGTATCGCGGTATCCGCCCGCTCGACTCCCGTCCCGGGATCAATACATCATCAGCTCTTCCAAAGTAAGGCAACTCGAATTATCGGCTGATGTGCATGCGTAAGTCAATTCGCGGTTCATTTGTGAGGCCGAGGATCATAAAGCTGAAGGAGTACTTAGCAACGTAGGCGATGTGGTTGGCGGTGCGTTCAAAGGTCAGTGGAAATTCGACAAGAGTAGGGGCGCTCTGCTTGTCATGGATCGTCCAGAGACGACCGTGATAGCGGATCAGCTCTTGACGGCCCTCATAGGCGTCGAAAAGCTGAGGGGGAGATACTTGATAACAGAAGTATTCTCGTGCCCCGGCTACGTGCTCTATCTGTCCAACAAAAGTTAGTCGCAGATGTCGATGTCGGTGGCTGGTGCTCACCGCTTCAAACCCTCAACAAGGCAACGAAACCATCGGGATTTCGCTGCAAGCGGACGGTGTCCTTCCATCCGCCGTGTCCCCCGGCGCACAGTTTGATTCGGCCTGGATTTGCGAAGGTGGCACCGGGCTGTTTCAGAAAGCGTATCGCGAAGAAGCGTGCTTTACGCCGCTATATCAGGCCAAAACGATCAGGAAGCACCGAGCGGCGAGAGTTGAACCTCGTGTGTATGTCGTCCGTGCGTCCATTGATGTCTTGATGCTGATCGCGGCGTAGCTGGGTAGACGTAGAAATGCCTTGGGGGCCGCTCGACGATGATGGAAATGAATGTGAGGAAGACGAGGAAGAGGACGAATGAGAAGCACGGCGTTATGTAGCTGGACGCAGTCCTTTACGGCGATTAGTGTGCTAGATAATACCCAGAAAGGTCACCAAGTTACTTCACGTACATGACCTTCAGAATCAACTCTGATGGTCGATTCCTGGATGGTGGAACATTGTGCTACCAATCTTTCCTCTTCTATAGGAAAGACTCCCTTGTCTACTTTACGTAGTTGCGAGCGTAGCGAGCAATCATGCTCTAAAGGGTTCAAGGCCCGTGCAAACAAGGCCAAACAAATTCTGCGTACTTTGGAGGCTCGGTCGTGTTTTTTTCTGGCTGAACTGGCCTCTTTTCCACAATTCTGAATCATGGGAAGTGTGGATTTTGCTTGCCGTAGTTGGTTTGCGCCAAGAAAGCGGCACTTTTGGTAGAGATTTGATGATTTAAGACCGTAATTTGGCGAAGGTTGTTCAACTTCCATCAACTCGAGACTTGCTGACGTGGCGCGCGCCTAATTCTCTGAGCTTACGGTGTACGCACTGGGTGCATATCGATGAGAACTCATATGCGCCCTCCTAGCGCTCATAGATTCTACGCAAGTAATAGCTAGCCATCTACCTAGTCTAGGAATATACACTGAATCCTTGCCCTAGCACTTCGAAGCGAGCTACCGCCGGCGCGGCCCGCGGATCCATATTAAGTAGTTGCGAGCGTAGCGAGCAATCATGCTCTAAAGGGTTCAAGGCCCGTGCAAACAAAGCCAAACGAATTCTGCGTACTTTGGAGGCTCGGTCGTGTTTTTTTCTGGCTGAACGGGCCTCTTTTCCATAATTCTGAGTCATGGGAATTGTATATTTTGCTTGCCGTAGCTGGTTTGCGCCAAGAAAGCGGCACTTTTGGTGGAAATTTGATGACTTACGACAGTAATTTGGTGAAGGTCGTTCAACTTCCATCAACTCGACTCTCGAGGCTTGCTGACGTGGCGCGCGCCTAATTCTCTGAGCTTACTACGGTGTACGCACTGGATGCATATCGAGAACTCATATGCGCCCTCCTAGCGCTCATAGATTCTATGCAAGTAATAGCTAGCATCCATCTACCTAGTCTAGGAATATACACCGAATCCTCGCCCTAGCACTTCGAAGCGAGCTACCGCCGGCGCGGCCCGCGGATCCATATTAGTTACCTCCAAGAGGTCAATAAACCACGTGATCGACGCGATCGCCACTAAATTTCGCGCACTCGCTTGTTCACTCTGGCCCAAAATGTCGGGAGAAGGAGCATCTTTCTACTCTCAAGGGGAAGAAGCAATTACTCGGAAAATCGAGCTGCAGGATGTCAATACCGGTTCCATTCTTCCAGGAACGCCACGATTCACAGAATATTTCGAACTCGAGTGGACGATCAGCCAGATCAAGGATGGCGGATTCAAGAGGGTAAGGGCTGGTTAAACTCTGTAGCCTTGAACTCTGTATACTTCACGGAATACTGAGGACGATTCTTCGCTCAGATAGCGCTGCAATTTCCCGATGAGCTACTGCAGTACTCGGTCCCTATATTTCAGACCCTGAAACGGCACTTGCGACCTGGACAAGATGTGTACATCTTGGCAGATACGTCGTATGGCAGGTGCGTAATTTCATCTAGTTTGCTAGCCTGCAACTGACCCATATCTTCAAGTTGCTGTGTAGATGAGGTCGCGGCCCAACATGTCGACGCCGATCTCATCGTGCACTATGGTCACGCTTGCATGAGTCAGTCCGTGCATTGCCTGCATTGCCAACATCCACACCTCTCCTAATGATACTTGAACGCAGCCCATGCAGATTGCCTGTGATCTACGTGTTTGGACGTCAACATCTCGACGTACAGCTGTGTGCACAGAACCTGGTAGATTCAATCTCGAAGGATCAGGCCCTCAACGAAAACACCCAAGTGGTGCTGAAGCTTGATGTGATCTACGCTCATTGCGCAGGTGAGCATCATGCTTCTGAACTTCCGTACAAATAACTACAATATATCTTAGCCGATGTTCGTGATGCTCTCGTAGCCAAAGGCATCCAAGTGACGTATACTCCGATCCCTCGACGATTAGAGCCAGCTACACAAACCAACACCTCACTCGCCGACGTCGAAACGTCGAATACACCTACACTCATTCTATATGTAGGACCGGAAAGTCTCCATCTTACTAACCTCCTCATAACTCATTCCTTCTCCACCGTGAGCACACCCCACGCGTATCTTTGTTGGTATGAAATTCTCACTTCAGCAACAGGTGTATCGGTATGATCCGAATATACAGGTCGTAATCGTCGAGTCTACGAAGACCAATAAGATGCTCATGCGTCGATACACCGCTGTGCAAAAGGCTAGAGACGCTGATGTAATCGGCATCCTTGTCGGCACGCTAGGAGTAGGTGAGTTATCACCTAATGTCGACGAAGTACAAGCAAACTAACGATACTCTGCAGCCTCATATCTTCCTCTCATTACACATATCCGAACGACCCTGAAGAAGGCCCAAAAGAAAAGCTATACTATAAGCGTCGGAAAGCTTAACCCCGCGAAACTGGCTAATTTCATGGAAATCGAATGTTTCGTCCTCGTCGCCTGTCCTGAGAACAGTATAATAGACTCTAAGGTGTGCCTAGCCTTCTTGTGCTTCTACTACCTAACGTTTGAAGACAGGAATTTCTGAGACCGATAGTTACCCCATACGAGCTCCAGATTAGTTTACAAGCGGAACCTACGTGGACGGGACGTTATGTTCTCGACTTCGGCGAGCTACTCAACGAGCCAGTTCAACAAGGTATGGGACAGTGGTGCTACAGTCTTTATCGTCGTTAAGCTTCTTGGTCAGACGAAAATACCAGCGATGACGACACCAATAGACCTGTTTTCTCACTTATGACTGGGTCATACAGGCACGCGAAGAAATACGGAGGTAAGCCGCCCACATCAATTCAGATAGAGGTGCTGATGCTTCATTTCCAGCCGCAACTCCTGATATTGACACTCTAACGAACTCTGACTCGACAACAGTAGTTGTTCGCAGCCAAGACAATACTGTCGCACGGCTGGGTGATAGCGCAGCTGGTGAGCATAACCTTGCTTTCCATAGCCCTGTTCTGGACCCACTAATTCGAATTGTACATTAGCCGATTTCCTAACCACCAGGTCGTATCAAGGATTGGAGATGCGCCTTGGGGAGGATGCTCCCGGTGTTCTTGAGCAGGGCCGGAGCGGGATAGCTAGAGGATATCAGGATGACCATTCTGGAGGGGACTGAAAAGATTCTTCGAAAGTATGTAGACTTTTCTACATCTCTTTGGTAGTTAATTGTATCCCATCTAATCCCTACTCGGCTGGTGTTCTTCTCGTTTAATTCAGTATGTCGTTCCCTACAATGCTAGGCCACGATGTAAAAGATCAGCCTCTGGATCCTCATGGGAAATATGTTCGTCTCTTCGTTTTCCCCTTCTTACTGAGGCGTAGCAGCGAGTCAATGAATGCCTCGTTGCATACTTAGGATGAGTTACAAAGAAGCCTGAAGGGGGAAACCTGAACCCAAAGTTTTCAGTCCTCATCAGCCTTCATCGCCCTTATTTATGGTGCGGTTCACCTAGAGCCCTCCAATTTGGTGCAACCGAAATAGGGACTCCAAATCTGGCTCAAATTACTATCCCTTTTGCCAAACAGCTCCTTTTGATATGGGGATTAATCTCATCAGACAGATTTTTCTTAAGTTCAAAATTGAGGGACTTATTCTTTACAACCAAGATTGAATTGGCACTCTCATGTGAGGTGTCCCAATATGGTAATATATTCCAAATTAAGTAATGATAAGATAAGATATGTGTAGCACATGTCCACATCAGGCTCAGTGTCTGAAGCGCTGCCGGAGTCTTCAACCGGTTTTGTTTGATTTCGTGTAACCTTTGCGCATCCGCACCGCCGCTGCGATAGCTGACGACTTCTTGCGTGCCATGACAGGCACTGGGTGCTGGATGTTTGAATGTTGAACAAGCTGGCTCAACTGATTATTGATATGTCTAATATTTGTTTGATATATATTACAATATATGATATATTTTTGTGTGGTTTCCGTGTCCCTGCCTAAGGTACCATTTTTTTGCGCAGCCGGCTTCGCCGGCCAACCGTTCGCTGACCAATTTGGTGTTTGCACCAAATTGAAGGCCATTAGGTGAACTGCACCATACAGTCTGGCATGTCCATAACCTTTCTACATAGTCATCACCGTTTGTATCTAATCCATGTCTTGGTGGAAAAGTATGTCCAATTTTGAGATATCCCTACAAACCTGCTTTATGTCTCAACATCTCTGTAGTTGCTGTAAGGGCAACCTCAAGGTGGCCACACAGCGCGAGCCTAGCAGAGGGAGAATCCAAAGAGAACAGGATAAGGATTCTCCATGCTAGGAAGCGAAGTATATACTGTAGTAGTGTGAGAGGAATGCAGGATAACTGTACAGTACACCAGCCACAAGTCCGAGCAAATATCACAAGGTACAAGGAAACATGTGATAATGAAGTGGAGGGTAAATGAACAGGAGTCGTGCCAGCAATTTGGCGAAGTAAGGGCGAAGAGTAATGAAGTGGGGGAAAGGGATAGAGGTAACCCGGATGAGCCCCGAAGAGTATAGACGAGTCCGAGCGAGTCCGAAGTGTCCGAAACGAGTCCGAGCAAGTCCGAAGTGTGGGAAGACTCCGGAGTCACCGGACGCAGCTCGGATGCGAAAGGAGTGGGTGGAAAGGAAGTGGAAAGGAAAGGGAGCGAAAAGGAACGAAGGGGAATGAAGGAAATGTAGGTAAGAGTCCATGGGATGAAGGAAAGGAGAGAAAATAGGAGTGTCCCCTTACAAGCATGGAGAATCCTTATCCTGTTCTCTTTGGATTCTCCCTCTGCTAGGTGAGCAGATCTCTCATGTATTGTAGTTAGTCCTATTCATATCTTTGGATTCTCCCTCTGCTAGGCTTGCACTTTGCGGCCATCTTGAGGTTGCCCTTACAGGTAGCAGATGCGAGGGAACTAGAAGGGACTGACCCCAGGGATCTGGCAAAGGCGAAGAGAAGACCTGACTGGCCCCTGTGGGAAGATGCCATCAAAGAAGAGCTTAACACCCTCGCAAACGCCGGCACATGGGTACTCGTCAACCCACCCCCAAACGCTAATATCATTGGATCGCGGTGGACGTTTGTGGGCAAGAAAGACGCTGCAGGTCGACTCGAATGACGAAAGGCACGACTTGTAGCTCAGGGGTTCACTCAAGTGAAAGGGGTTGACTATCTCGACACCTTCTCTCCTACAGCTCATCTTGAATCGACCCGCGTAGTCCTTGCTATGGCCGCTGAACGGGGATGGTATCTCCACCAGATCGACGTCAAGAGTGCTTTTCTCAATGCGGAGTTGGATGAAGGCGAGGCGATATACATGCGACAACCCCCTGGCTATCGTACTCCTGGGTCCGAAAACAAAGTATGCATGTTGATCAAGACACTATACGGTCTCAAACAGGCAGGCAGGAAATGGTACAAACTGCTAGTGTGGATTATGGTGGACAAGCTTGGGTTCAAACGGTGCAACGTTGACCAGGCGGTGTTCTACAAACATATCCCATCAGGGAATGAGATGATCATCGTAATTGTTCACGTTGACAATTGTTCCATAGCCGCAAGCAGCCTCACCCTCATACTCGCATTCAAAACCGCTATCGCTAGATTTGTTACCATCTCCGACCTCGGAGAACTCCACTGGCTTCTGGGTATGGAGATTAAACATGATCGAGAGGGACGCAAGATTCAACTTCGACAGCACTCGTACATTCAAAGCATGATTCGACGATACGGTCTTGAGGATGCAAAGCCTCTATCCATTCCTATGGACCCCAACATCCATCTGTCCACCACTGAATCCCCATCAACCACCGAAGACTTTGCCAGAATGTGTGGTGTACCATACCGAGAAGCTGTTGGCTCACTCACACACGCTGCACGTTGCACATGACCAGATATCGCATTCGCAGCACAGACCCTCGCTCGGTTCAACAATAACCCAGGACAACGGCATTGGGATGAGTGCAAAAGGGTATTCAGATACCTGAAAGGCACAAGCGAGATGTGGTTAACTTACGGGGGAGTACAGAAGGAACTGACGGGTTACTCAGACGCTGATGGTAGTATGGCAGAAGACCGGAAAGCCATATCAGGGTATGCATTCATCATCAACGGTGGGGCGGTCTCTTGGTCTGCTAAACGACAGGATATAATATCATTATCCACCACCAAGAGCGAGCTCGTTGCTGCCACTCACGCAGCCAAAGAAGCGCTATGGCTGCGAACATTCATTGCCCAGGTCTTCAGCACTACCCTCCCGCCTACTACTCTCCACTGCGACAACCAATCCGCCATTGCGCTCACGAAGGATCACCAATTCCACCCTCGCACCGAACACATAGATATTCGGTACCATTTTGTTTGATGGATTGTAGAATGTGGGTCCATACGTGTCGCATACTGCCCCACCAAAGACATGATCACAGACACTCTCACGAAGGCATTACCATTGCTCAAAGCCAAGCACTTCGCATCTCTCCTCGGACTCGCACTCGATTGAGGGGGAGTGTTGGATTATCACAGACAATCGGAATGCAGGGCTGATGTCAAGCTGCGACGAATACTATGGTACATGCTCATGCTAACAATATGGCCACAGCCCACTGTTTCCCCCTGATGCACTTCCCCCTTTGTCTTTCTCTCTCTCTCTTCTTTAATCCCTAATACATATGATATTACACTTATACTTTCATATGTCACGCGCATTTCTCATAGCGACGGACTTCTACTTTATATATTAGCTACATTTGCGTACTGTTACCTCAGCAAGTGCATCCCACATTTACTGAGGTAAGCCACCTATACCTTACTTACTACGACTGCTTACTTACGCCCTATTAGGCTACGTTTCTTACAGGTACAGTCTAATATACAGCAAGTGCATCCCGCATTTACTGAGGCTACGTTTCTTACAACTGCTTCTCTGCAAATATGCTTATGTGCACACACCCTTTCCATCATGTGTTAATGTGTTAGATTGATAGATTGCCTTTCCCTTGTTCATTTTCTAGCCCTCAGAACGCTAGGTGCTCATAGAGAGGTATATAGAACTTCGAATTTGAAGCCAGCGCCCATTGGTGCACCTCAGGCTCCATCTTACGGCAGCGTGGGTCCAGGCCATAACATAAGCTTTGCGGTGCCGAGCCCCCCATCTTCAAAGCCTACCTACGTGTTGTGGCATCACCGTCGTTCTCTGTCTCCTCCACCATCAACAAAGTTAATTCAAACACACAATGAGTCAGGCAAACCCATGCTTCAATCACTTTGACACTGGCCTCAATATGCCTTATGGTATTTGATCCTGAACTAGATTTCGTGTCACAAGCAGCAGGCTACGCTGCAGGTCCAGTCGCTATGGTGAAATCAGCAGTTGAGGGTGCTGTACCCATGGCCGGTGCGAGATCCATTATTTGTGTGCTCTGCTGTGTGTTGATAGCGCGGTCTCAGCTGCCTTTGCTCAAGCAGGGCTGAGTCAGGCGGCGGCTGCAGGCTCGAAAGGGCTCGAATTTGCATGCGAGGGCATTGCACAAGGTGCTCCGATTGCAGGTACGTGGTTCAGTCGTATATGTGCGTAACAAGTCCAACCTCAACCTCACTTAAGCAGCATATGCACATACGGGCCTCAGCCAGGCGGCGTCCGCATTTGCGATTGGCGTGGAGCAGGCTTCGGGGGCCATTGAGCTCGGTGCTCCTATTGCAGGCACGTCAATTCGCAAATGCTGCCATTCTGAGATGTTTTGAACCCCGCGATCTCAGCTGCCTACGCACAGGAAGGGCTGACTTATGCAGCCTCTGTTGGTGCGAAGGCCGCCGACCTAGCAGCTGGAGCCGTGGGACATGCTGCACCCATAGCCTGTGCGTAGAATCCCTCGCGTCCTTCAAACCGTTTCCTGATAATTGATTAGCTGAGTACATTCAGAAGGGCACGGAGATGGCCATTTCTGGCCCTACATCAACCAGTAAGCTGGGGGGGTGTGCAGCTTATCCTTTGCTTAACATGATTGTCCTGTAGTTGTGATAGGCGTCGCGGGCGCCGTTGTGGGGGTCACAATCGCACCCATCGTAGCACCAGCCGTTCTGGGAATGGTTGGGTTTTCGGCTGCGGGTCCTGTAGCAGGTCTGTCTAAACACCATCTCCCTCCCCCTTGCGACTATTAATGGTTCTATGTATCACCAGGGTCAATGGCAGCTGGTATGCAAGCTGGTATCGGGAACGTAGTTGCTGGAAGCCTGTTTGCGGGTGCGCAGAGTGTAGCCATGGGAGGCGCTCTCCCGGCCATTGGTAGTGTCATCAGCGGAGGCGCTGTGGCCGGTGTAGCCACGACCATGAAGAAGTTCTTCTTCTAATCCTGGCCTTTAAGCACACTGCACAGGACCCTCCCCTAGCGGCCCTATTGCAGTCCCATTTATGGCCTACTGCAAGGGACTGATCTTCGTACTCTGCGGTATACAGGCATCACAAACTGTTACTAGTAAACGCGCTTATGACTTGTTCGCACTATCGCATCCACAGCAAGCTTCGTATCTGCGTACAAGCTTGGAGCGCTTAGGAAAGGGCCCTCATCTTCCTATCGTTCGCCAATGCCAGTGTTGATGAGTAGAGTACAACAGGCAGGGAGCTGAAAGGGCGAGTTCCATCCCCCATCGACAAGCCGAGGGTATTTTGTGCTTGACGGAGAATATCCTCGGTTTCAGTTGGGTGTAATGTTGCGGTGGCCTTACTATTCATGCATAGCTGCTGTCGGCGTCACAGGTGCTGTTGCGGGCATTGCTATTGCACCGATTGTCGCCCCAGTCGTCTTGGGAGCGTTAGGGTTCTCCCAAGGTCCTGTGGCTAGTAAAGCTCGACGCCTTCTGAAATCTCCCATTTGCGGATATTAATGGACTTACTACTTGGGATCAGTAGCAGTTTTGTTCGCAGGTAGGCAGAGCGTGGCAATGGGAGGTGCGCTACCGGGCATTGGTGGCGTCATCGGTGGAAGCGTTGTGGCTGGGGCAGCCGTGGCCTCGAAGCAATTCTTCATCAAATCGCGACTCTAAATTCTCAGAACCCATATGACACCCTGAGAGACGCATGCTGAACACGGAAGTGTATTACTACAATACTTTTGGGCGTCTAGATATCGGATGGAGCATTTCAGCATCACAAAGGATCCATAGCAGCGGGGTGGGGTAGTAAAGGGTACAGATGATCAGTGTAAGTTTCTTTGTACACGATGGGAGTGTTCCGACATACTTAGTGAACAATAAAACTACAACATTAGAATCGTGGTGCTGAGGAAGGTTATCAGCTAGTAGAACATTTGATGAGACCCAAGAAAAGAGAGTTCGTCGTAAGGGTTCATGGGTCAGTGCTGATTTCCTCCCTCGGTCGCTTCAGCCCGGCTGCTACGCTCTCCATGGTCGGGACAGGGACGGGACCTGCTGCAGCACCTGTAACCCCAACGACGAGACCCTTCAACCAACCATTCTCTCTACGAAGTCCCTCGCATTCCTTCTCTAACTCGTTCACTCTAGTTTCCAGCTCCTTCGCTTTCCCCTCGAGCGCAGCTTCCCTCTCCTTCTTCTTCAATCTGAAGCGAGCACTCGCAGCAGTGTTCCTCCGACGTTTGTCCTCGGCCGCGGACAGGGGGCCTGTCGAGATTGGTGATTGCGCTTCAGAGATAGGGGAATCAATGGAAGTCTTGCGAGTGCGAGCACGTTTCGTTGGCTGCGCTTCTTCTGACGAAGCAGAGAAGGAGGTAGCGCTGGAGCTAGTTGTAATGTGCGATTGGGTGTCGATGGTGGGTTGTGGTTTCAAGGCGGCCTGCATCGCTAAGAGCTGTACGAGCGATGGGGATATACCGGCGGCCTGCGGCTGGGACGGCGGCACGGGGAATGGAGCCATGCCAAAGCCGGACAAAAATGCACTGATATCATTCAGCTGGAATGGGGGCGCAGCTGGTGCCGCTGCGATAGAGCCGACGTTATTCCCGCCGTTCGTTCTGCTGGCACTGGTATCGTGCAGCGTCCCCCGAGCCCCCTCGTCGTCGTCCCCCTCGTCGTCGCGCCTGTCATCGATGTGCCCGTGGGGCTGCGCCTCTTCATTGTCGAAGGTGATGTTTGCCCATAGATCTAGCTGTGCAGCGAGCTCTGGGTACGGTGGAATCAAGTCCTGCGAGTCAGAATCGCTTGTCATGGGCTGGACGATATTAAGCCCTTGTAGGTTGGAAGGCGCCATCCTTTCGCCGGGACCGTTCGAAAGACTATCGCAATTTTGAGGCGACGGTGGTGAGTGCAAGAAGTAAAGAGCAAAGCGGCGCTTGCTAAGCGTAACACATGTATTCGGCTTCGGAGTTGGCTGGGGCTATACCATTTTTCGGATTTGTTATCCACTGACTAAGGCACTTCCTTGTACCGCTTATCGGCCCGTATCAGGGGCGTCCCCTGTTCCCCTCCCCTGACTCCGTTTCATCCCAACCTCGCTGCTGGTGTACCGTGCCAGTACGGGCTCCCAATGTCCTCCTCTAGCTTCAGAATACCCCGCCGCCATCACTTCATGATCTGCGAAAGCCTACTTTAATCTCGCATAATCATTTCATGTACTAGCCCCATCGGCCTGGGGAACGATGGCGTGATTCCATCAACGATGGTGTCGAAAATGTCCGCGACAGGTCACATGACTTCAACGTGCTAAGAAGTCCATTGGTCCTCAGCCACCGGCTACGACATCGTCGGTACATGGAGAAGGCCTGCGGGATGAACGCGTTGAACATCCAACCAACAGCTGCAGAGGCTGCAGCAATATCACGGGCCGTTTTTACAGCAATGGAACTCGAAGAGTTGGGATCCTGTACGTGTCAGGTACCCCCCACAGCAACTGCGATGTCAAAAGCACTCAGACAGGCCGTGGCCACCGCGTGCAGCGAAGTTAAATAACGAGGAACTCGAACGTGTGCGACTAACAGGGCTTGTCGAGCGAAATATTCATCCGTTGTCATTCGCCCCACCGCCGCTCTAATTCTAGCCTCATTTCATGACTATACCCACTTCTTGAAACATTCCTAAACGCCCCTAATAATCCTAGTACTGAACTTGCAGATACGCCACTGTGAAACTTGTCGCAGAAGTCCTGAGTAATGGAAGGCCTTCTGGACATCATAATTCTACGAAGCAATACACATGCTACAGATAGAAGGTGTCGGGAGGTCATTAAATGCAGACGGCTTCTACCCCACATTGGGGATTTCGAAGCCAAAGCAAAGGTGGTCCGCCAACACCCCGTTGTTGTCATTGTCTCCAGGCATTAATCGAACTGCTCGCCGACCAAGATGCGTTTGTAGCTGCACATGGCCTTCATCAGCGCTTTCGGAGGGGCTGTTAGGAGCGCCAAGCAGGCTACGTTCTTGTCTGGAGGACTCTTGTGAATGATGAAATGCGGCCGACGCCACGGCTGTTGTTCCCTGAATTTGTCGTGGAGTGTTAATCGGAGGACATATTCAGATATCAGTCGGCTCGAGCTGCAACTGACGCAATTCAAGAAACTGCGACAGTCAACGAAGAACTCCTTGTTTGCATTTTGCATTGGGGACATGAATACAATGTGGTCTAAGACACAGTTAGAGAATATACATTTATTAGGGGTCAATCTACCTCCCGCCGCCACCCCCGGAATCTCGTATATTGGTGAGTTCGGCCGATGACACGTTCTTTACTACGGTGAGGGAACGCCAAGCAAGAGACACTGTAGACAGTCCCAGAGGCGTAGGGTGCCCCCCCCTCTAGAGTAACAAGGGCCTCTTTTCCGACGAGCAAGGACGTACAGTGATCGGCGGTAATAATGATGAAGCCGCGAGCGTGGGCCGCCGACTCAGGACTAATTGAATACTCCCCAAGTTGAATTTGAAGGTCTTCAGCTTGGGGAGCACGGTAAGCAAGAGACACTGAATAGTCGACATAGGCGTGAACCTCTCCCCTAGGATGACGAAAGGCTTGTACGACGAACACCTTGTACAGTCAATAGCGCTAATAGTGATGGAGCCGGGGGCATGGGCCACTAACTCGCATCTGTTTTATTGCGCCCCAAAATTGGTTATGAACGCCCTTGAGTGCCACCAACAGGCGCAGAAGCACCAAACTCGTCGCTGAAATATGCAGTCAGAGGGTATGTTACCGTAGGCATTAGGGGGAAATCCATACCTTGCGGGCCTCTTCATCGACACCAAAATCGGTAGCGCTGTTAACAAGCTGCAGACATGGACAACCGACTCACAATCGTTGGAATGCGTTCCCGAGTTGATTGCGAAGGCCCCAGGTGCTATCATGGGAACCTGGCGCTGGAATCCTGGACCCTTCGCCATATCGTGCGACCTTGTCACCTCAGTGCGGGGTTTGCTGCCTTGAGATTCCGTGTATTGTGGGCAACCTTGCGAAGTTCGTTGCCTTCAGTAGGAGTGTATATCCTGACTTGAATTTCATAGGTGAGCGCAGCCAATATTGTGAGACGTTATAGGCATACCTCGTTGGTCAACGTAGTCTCCGTAGATAGCGGGAGGGTGCTCGAGTAAGACCGTAGGCGGTGTCACTGACTGACATGAAGTTGGGTTTCTATGGGGCCAACGCGCCCTCCTATTGAGCACCATAGTAGGTAGCAACCGGCGATGACGAGGGGACAGTGATGAGGGGGCTGAATGCTATGTCTTCTGAAATGTTGGTAGCCCTACCCAAGGTTGATAGCGGACGGCCAACGAAGCGCCGTTGGTGAACCGAAATTCATCGAGTTACTATGAACGACCCTGCCCCTCTATGTGAAGCCGTGCAATTTGTTGTATCTGCTGGCTGCACAGGGTGTGCACCCCCGCTCACGACATGGTGAGCGCGGCCAGGATTTTAGGATATGAATGGCACATCGCGATGGCCAACGCAAATGGTAGGGGAGGGGGGGAGGAGAAGGGGCTGTGATCTCTATACCGCAGACCAGCTCGCCTACCAAACTCCGTGACGAAGAGGGCTACTATTGGGGAAGCTGAAATCTGGATCGCTGAGCCGTTGACTATCATACCTAAGGCTGACCGAGTTATTGCAGGTGACTATCCGGTGTGCACCAGAGTTCGTTGCAATTTTCGTGCAGCCAACATTTTCGTGAGACACCTTCTGCCGCTAAGAACCCGGTAACATGACCGCCGTACTTTGGCGATAAAGGGATACATCAAGAGAATTTTTTAATTTCGTTGATTGGCCTCTCTATCAAACACCATGATGAGTAGCTCTACCAGTATCCAGCAGTGGTTCGAGCTTAGGAGCGGGACAGCCAAACCGGCTGCTCGGCCAATTCAATTCTAGGTAGCAAGCGTTACTGATGCCTTCCGTATAAAACTTGTACGTCCTGTGGCCTGGAATTCCTTGCAATCTGGATGGATGATGTGAAATACGAAGTTATTGCGGCTGATGGAGCGAGTGTTGCCAGCAACGCACATCAGGAGAAGGAGTAGCGTACATGTATCACGTACTACAAGAAACAATTAGAAGAGTCTGCAGAATGCTAGTACACAATAACGTCACCTTTGCCACCCGGCTGGAGTCTCGCTAATTGATACGTCCAACAACGTTGGAAGAGAGCACAGCCATAAACGAAATATTGCTTTTCGGAGTCCTGGAACGCCCTTCTCTCAAGGTGGATGTAGCCTGACGTACTGATGGCCCTGTCCATAGTGACCACCATCATATCTTCATCATACGCCCTAACTGCAAAAGGCCAACCTAGCTCTAGTAGTATTTGGGAGCCGAGATTTAGTGTATTCGCATTATGTCAAGGGAGCTTGTGTCGTGATGCCTACGAGTGCTGACATGCTTATCCGAAACGGGGACCTGCTGTTGATTCTCAACTTCGGGTCGTCGAGGCTTCCATAGTGATAGAACAGGGATAGTGTCGAGTGAAATGATCCGTACGACTACGTCGACGTCGTCGGAGAGGCTGATCCATGATATTTTCATGGTAATGGTATATTCAAGACAGAAGACAAGATCCCAGAGCCGTGAGAGCCCAGTGGCGGGTGCCAAAGAACCAGCCAGATAGACGAAGGGGGATATTCCAGAGATATTCTGCGACCAAGCTAGATATCAAAGGTTCATTCAAGAGGGGTGTCGAAGCGTTGTAAGTGCGATCCGCGAACGATATTCTCCGTTCGCAACGCACCGACTGCCTAGGGGAATATCAGAGTGATAAGATCGTAGGTACAATGGGATGGGTTTGTGACATAGAGCCCCAGAAGCCAGCGCTTGATTTAGACCAAGAATGCCGAAGTACGAGAGGCCGCCGGTCGGTTGGCATCGAGTGTGCGAGAGCTAGGAACGGCCAAAATGTATGTAACGCCAAGTCCCCGACATCAATGGCCTCTGTATTTCGAGCTCCCGGCGAATGATATAGAGTTTAAATTAGGGCCGTAAAGTGGTGGATAGCAAATACATACATTTGTCCAAGTGGTGCATGTGTGTCGCCGGCCGCCTTGAGAGAAATAGCCATATGAAGTCCTCGGGTACCTTTTCCGCAATTCGGTTTGACAGAGGACCTTATGGAATCCCGTGGAGTCCTAAAGTTTCGTGTGTCTCGATCGGCCGACAAATATTCCAAGCCAACGGTGTTCGAGTAGTTTCCAAGTAATGATTGGTTAATTCGAAGGTTACCTGTTTGCTGTATGGTCGTCCGTGCCGCTGTCACACTGAAAAGAGAGTATGATTGGAAGATTTTCACGGAATGAAGTGTCTTGACGAAATAAAACCTCCGAGACGTAGAGACGCCGAAATGATTAGAAACCTCTTCGCTTGAGGTTTACCAATTGACCCAAAGCATGCACGGCTCTACGACGGAGTCGCTCCATGAAGAAAACGATGGCGAGTTGAAATGGCTTCATTTGTCGTGAGATGAGGGCCAAGCGATATCGGCAATAATAGGGCCGGCTGCAGTCTGAGATTTGAGATCAAGGGCACGGCGAACTTCGACGTAGATAGGGGGAAGTCGGATTGAATGGGAGATTCTTCAGTTGTACTGGAACAGCTACCAGCTATAGCTGGGCATGTACAATGGGGAAGACTCCTTCGGTCACGTTGTCTGAAACCATGGGCGGGCGCTGGTGAGCCACTACTTGCCTGCCTATCTGTGGAAGGTATAACGCAAGGCGGATTGATGAGCGGCGTATAGAAGGAGGAGCAATAGAAGTCTTACTCGGCTCAACCAGGGAAGACAGTTGATAAGCCCAATCTTGCGCAGCTGGAGATCGACTTGAGACGTTATAGCAGCATTTTATTACCCTAAGGTGCACTCGGCCTTCATGATTCGTGCTCAAGCCGCCAGCAGCAATGTCAATCTGACTATATCACCAATATATCGGTGAAAGACAGGTAAGGTAACCTTAGCATGTTCTGGGTGCGTTCTGGGTGCATCTTGTACGAAACCCGAGCTATTTCTGGCAAACCCGGCAACTTGCCGTCGAGAATGGGGTCCATGTCAGCGTTGTAATATCGATGCGTACCCGAGCGCTCCTACTGGGATCTTGACCAAGATATCGAACCAATTTTTGATATAGTCGAATCATGCACGACCTAGTGCCATGGCGGATCCAGTGATAAAGTGAATTTATACCTTCAGTTGCTCGTGATGAATATGTCATCGCATACAGATCCGTGTATCGAATCAAAAATTGCTCCGAAGGAGACAGCGCTGGAATGAATAGGTCAATAAACTGCAGCCGTCCCAATTCAAAAGTCCTCTGGAATCCAGTTTGCACGATGGGGTGTTGATGGGTCCTTAACGCGTTGCCTTGGATGGTTCTAGAAATCCGATTGAATGGGCTTTGAATAGCAGATGACCACAAGGTCGCCAAAGGATGGTTGATAAGGACAATGTGCCCTTCGTCTAGTTCATCCACCTGGATCGATATCGAATCCTTCGAGTGCAAGTGATTGAGAAGACCTGCGTATGTCGAGTCGGCCGTTGAACCTATGTGGCGGGAGACAACCGGATAGGGAAGTGTCGCGTCACACGAAGTCACACAAGTCAAAGACAGGGGTAAGTCGTCCTTGTTTATGCAACTCTGCCCTACAACGTACACAGGGCTCGTAACTATATAGTAGACTACCATGATGACTGCCATAGTAAATACACTAATAAAAGGAGAGACTAAGGTTAGACTAAAGAGAGTGATTGACTAAAGAGCGTAGCTAGAAAGGAGTGTGACTAGCCAGCGCTAAACGTGGCTTTACCGTATCGGGTATATTTCTGTTACATACGCCCTCCTGGATCTGTGGAACAGATTCACTTGGCGCTCTCGGCAATAGCGGAGTCCTTGGAGATGGAAAGGTCCGCAAGTTCCACAGTGGGAACCTTGGAGGTAGGTGAGTCACTGGATTTGTCATTCTCAGTGTGCATATCGACATCCTCGCTGATGGTCGTAAGCTCAGACGAGACCGAGGAAGGGGTATTGACCAGCTCGATATCGGAGTCGGACGGCGAGGGACAAGTGTTGATAGGAACAGTGTCGCGTGGCTTATCCGTATTGGGAATGTCATCAGGTGTCGGTAAACCCGAGATCTTTTGATCAATCGGAGATGAACCGAGGTCGGGACCTGATTTGGTAGGAACAATGATGGGACGAATCTTCTGGGGGCGAGCGTACGGAGTGGAGTTATGGCGCTTCCCAGGTTGCTGCGTGGGACGGCGAAGGGAAGCACCACCGCGACGGACAGCGGGAGACTCGCGTACAGGAAGGGGATTAACCGGGGAAGTGTCTTTGCCCATAACCATGTCAAGTAGTAGATTGGTTACCACATCGTGTCGTTCAGCGGTTAAGACGAATTCTCCGGCCTCTGAGCGTCGATGTCTGCCAGGACTCTGGCCCACCATGGGTCTAGACTGGCCCATATGATTAGGCGGCACCGCAGCACGCCGATTATACGGGGTCTGGGATTGGTAACGGTCCCTGGGATTTCTATGTGGTATAGTGGGTCTCGCCGCAACAAGTCCCAGAAATCTGAGTCCGGGCCCCGCGATGCGAGTCGGGAAGGCATGCCCATGGGGTACGTTAAACTTGGTTCTGACGTGGAACTGTTTATTGTACAGGGTCGCAAACGCAATGTAGCGAGGAGGAAGGGACTGAGGGTCGGTGAGACTTCCTTGAATAATGCGACGGTTGGCGGAGACAAAGCTGATAAGCTCGTCACGGGTATAGGAGGCAGTAGTCACACGTGCGTCCAAATCCTTGAGTAAATACACGCCGTTGGAATTGCGAGAAAGGGCTGTGTGAACTGGGTGCAACTTTCCAAGTTCAACTGCAGCCATAGATATGATAGGAGGATGACTAGAAGA